ACGCTAGCGGCGGTTAACTGGCCATTTACATAGTACACAACCCCATGCAGCCTCTCAGAACGGCGTGCCAGATGACGGCTAAAATGACTTCTCGCTTGCTCCTCCTCCAATTAGCAGGTATCGTCTGCGGGTGCAAGACGAATGAGTGCCCAGATGGCCGCTGGTCGGCCGCTCTTGGACCATGAAGTCACCTATACTGCGCTTGCGTCTGGGAAGAACGCATGTTTCACTCGCTTCGCCCATATTCTGGACTTGCATGACAAGGCCACTCCTAGGATGATTGGAAACGTGTGGCTGTTCCACGACCATTGTCAGATTTGCTTGCTTTTCCTTGTGGTAAGGATTTCTCGAGTTTTGCCCAATCTCCCACCTCTGCCACATCTGCCAAAGTCCTACACTAGACCGCCGGTGGGGGTCTAATGCAGCGATCGACGCAACCAATGTGCACTGGCCGGCCTTTGATTGAGCGAAATGCGAGCTACCCATCCCAATGCCAGCGAGCAAGTCTTTGAGCGAGATTGAGGGCCACAGAGATGCGAGTGCGAGCTGACAGCGTATCGCCCCTGTGTGTGTTTCTAGAGCTCCATCACTAGAGTCCCTTGGCTTTCGACAGTCAGGTATCACAAGATGACTATGCGTAGTATCCATTCATTACGCCGCCCGTTCACCTCGCTGCTGGGGCTGGCTCTCCACAATTTAACTGTGGTGTCCTCTTACAAGGGCACCCCTTTACTAGTGGTATCCTAGCTCTCATGCAAGGGACTTTCCCCAGAACCTCGGACGACCCAATCCGACTTGTTCCCGAGACGAATCGGAGATATTTCATCACGCCAGAAATCCGATCCCCAAAAGCACGTTGCTTCGGGGGGTTCCGTTTGCTACCTCACTATCCAGGTACCCAGCTCCCAATTATCTGGCTCAACCAAATGAATGGGCCTGCGAGTCCCTGAACCCCCGTCTTCTGAAGGCGATAGCCGTGACTATCTTTCTGCCCAAATGCCGTGTGCACAGTGAGTAAGCATGTAGCATTGACGTAGGCAAGGCGCGGATTTCAGCATTTTCACGGCTCTTGATCCTGCGGTTGTAATGTATTCCACGCGCGAATTGGGCGTTTCTTCACTGTGGGTGGTGGTTTTGGGTTGTTTGGAGACGGACGCAGGCCGCTGGAGGCACACTGAGTCTGCATTATGTCATAACCGAGTCATGCCTTCCCGCGAGGTGGTAACCCTTTTGTTCTACTTGGTATGGTCTGAACAGACACCGTATTCTGTTGGGCCGAGAACGAATCTTGTATTTGCTCCAAACCTTCCCGTCCAAAATGCCGGTATTCGGTAGTGTTGTAGCTTCGAAAGCGTTGTTCTAGCTGCTTTCTAAGCTATTGGCGACTCGAGACACACGGTATGCAGCACGCTTTAGTAACCCTTGCAGAAGTTCGCCTCGGAATGAAGCCACCCGAGATGCACGTCTGGCAAGAGTGGGTAGCACAGCAGTCGTTTCTTTGCTGGGCAATTGCTGGATAGTTCCCAGATAGCCAGCCCTAGCTCCAAGATAATGATCCACAAGAATCGGAGGTCTTTGCTTGGGTGAACACAAGGCAACAGCATAAGAGAGCCAGAGAGTGGCCCACGATGGTGGCAGACTTTGCTAGCGTTCGTTCTATTTCTGTAACAATACGGAAGACCCATGCCTACGGAGTATGGAGTCGGTGCATTTCGCTTCTGTCCACTTGGTGTCTTGGTGACAAAACCACTGGACCCTGCCGTTACTGGATTATATGCTCCACCTACAGACTATTATCACGCTCGTCTGATGGTGAGGCAAAGCTTTCACGCTTGTTTCTCTTTAGCGTACGGATTGCTGCTAGATTAGTCGGGTGAAGCGGCACAGTCACTCGGCGGACCATGATGCAACGCACCCGCACGCGACCATTGACAGACGATGTAATAATCGGGTGAGGTTAGGCATGCGTATGGTCAAAAAACAAGATTTGTGACTTCGCGACTCATACAACCAACCATTGCATCCACGAGCGGGGAGACAACCTCACATCACAGGCCATGGGTACTGCAGGAAGGGTCGATTCGCGTTTAAGGTAGCATTCTCAAGCATCTTGCAATTCGTCATTGAAAACGACGCCGTTCGAGGACCCTGGTGTTACCATCCGATGCTGGGCCAAAGGGGGCTCAGCACCTCTTCATCTCAGTAAATTATCTCAGGCAAGGATGCTGCTTGAGTTGATCTAGCCCCCAACTCATCAGACGTCCATCGAAGCCTTGAATAGACGGGGGGAGAAATGGTTAAAGCACAAATGCTGGTTAGCGCTCGGCTTACTCTGGCGGCCAGCCTGGCTGCAAATGATGATTTAACCACATTGCGATATAGAAAGAGGCATGGCGAAGAAGTCCATACTGGACAGCCAGGACTGCATGAAAACGGAACGAGGCTTGGCCGGGCTGGTCTGGCAATACTGTCATGAATTGCGCCATTAAACCCGGGGCAGTGAGAGGCGTTTCGGAGCCGGAGAGTTAGTTGCCCTAGGGACCTTTTCCCAAAAAGGCAAAATATTAAAAACGCCCAACCCTTGAACGAAAGAGCCTTGCCGACAGGGATCTGGGTTCTTCTCGCTAATGTTGACGAATGGGAGATCTATCATTTCGACCCTGTTTCCGTGTGCTAGGAACCCAAGCCATGACCAAAAGGCGACGACGGGGGTATCGCATGGTGCTCAAGGGGGGAATCGTGGTGTGGTCGCTTTTGTGGCCAGTCAAACCAGAGTCGGGTCTCAGTGGAACGCCCCCTTCACGTCGTTGTAACCTCCCATATCAGAAGCGCTGTTAACAGGGGCCTTCTTGTGTAGCTTAGCCGCATTCGAACGGCCCTTGGTACCTATTCAACTGCGCCTATTGAAGATCAGCAAGCGACGTGAGAGGCGCCCGCAGACGAGACCCGACTCGCTTTCTCTGCCGTATCGTGTCGCCAACCGCCGATACACGCCTAGTGGTCGCCCACCCCCCAGCAGAATCATGCTCTCATATCACAATCTCTGTCCCCGGACGTCGTCTAACCTACTATGTGCATTGAGAAAAGTGCCAGTGAAACTTGCGCTCTATTCCCGCAAGCCATCGAGTTGATCGAAGCTGGTCTAGACACGAATGGTTAACTAGGGTCGCAATCCTGCCATTGCTCTCTCGGCAACCACCTTGGATCAGTCGCCGTCTTGGTCAGAGCTCCCCCGTGGCTCATGACCTGGAGCTCTGAAGCTCCCCCCAGGGTCCATCTTCGCGCCGCTGGTCGAAATAGACTGCGCTCATTACTCGACTGTACGTTGATAGTTAAGAGTTAGGCTAGTTGAGCACCAACGGTTTCAGGGCCGAAGTGCCATGCTAGCTGTCGCCTTTTGCGCGACTGGATGGAGCTGGCGGGATGTGCCTAACGTAGTGTTTCGCCGGAGATCTCGACGGTCCATGAACGCACCCTCTCTGACACATGCTACCGCGCGTGGCATGGTGCTCTGTCAAGAGTATATTTCTTCTTTGACTGCGGCGAATGCCATTGCTCATTGAGTTGCAGGCTATGACCGTCGAAACGGCGCGCAGCACGGTACTTTCACTGCCTGCCACGAGTATCTAAGTTAAGGAAATCGGTAACAGCCACCCCGTCAGACCCGCCTCTTTGGCCCACGCAGCCCTGTCTTTGCTGTGCTACTACTAGACTAGACACTACTAGCCTTACTGGAGTCCACTTTCTCTGATCGCTGATTTTGGTGGGCTGCTTGCTGGCCCGGCCAAAGAAGTTGTCTCCGCCGCCGTCGAATCGTGATCTTGACGGTGCCATCGGACCCAAGTATGCAGAACCTCGTCGCATGGAGACTTGAACACTCCGCGCGGTACCATCTCTACTGCAATGCCTATGCACCACTTCATCAGACACATAATGTTGGAGCCTATTGACCGTCCAGAGGCTTCTTCTTGAGGTCGCATCCCCCCCGCTCTGTCTCTGGCCACGACCCTGCTCATCATGCGAGTCTACGATTGGCCAGTCTACTTAGACTGTGAGCTAAGTTACCCTTGACCCACCGGACAGGATGGCTCTAAACGCACCCTACCTTTTGGTCAGACAATCTGACCCTGGTCAAGAGCAGCGCCCACGCCCCCCCGAGAGTGACTTGACTCCCCATGTACTCTCTACCAGGTCCCAGGCACCTCGACCCTCATGAGCATCGCCCCTGGTCAAAAACCATGTACTCTCGACCAAGCGTCCTTCCACACCACGATGGGCAAGGTTCCTCAGTAGCCCTGATCCACCGGTACTGCCTCTAATACATAAGCCTACCCGTCCTGTCTGTCCGCGGTTGAGGCTGAGAGTCTTTCTCACGCGAGTATTACCAAAGATAGGTTTCTGACCTTTTCATCTTATGGATCACGTCTGCCTTTAGCAACTACCTTCCAGGTCTTTAAAAGCGTTGTCAGCTCTCCTAGACACATAGTAAGCGAAGACCTGTTTCCTGTCATATCTACCACCAAGTGAGGTTCGGTGCACGACACACAGTACGTGAACCTGGATGTCTCATGACTTTCTCGTCTGCGCTGTTGTTTTCTCCCAAGATGAACAGCTCCAGACCAGCGCAAAACGGCGAGGACAATTACTTACAACCGTCCAGATCAAGAGCGAATAGTGCCATCTCTTCATCAAACAGTTCAGCCTCCAACTTGGCTTTCATCGACTCTCCCCGGAGTCTGCCACTTGACGCTCATCGACCGGCTTTTTCACAAGAGACCCACCGCCCGTCTCTTATAAGTCCGGCCGCCCGTAACCCCGCGTCCTATTTGTCAACCCCTTCAACCCAATCTCATTCATCTTTATCTATTCCATCACAAAGCACCATCCACTCTCGGTGGAGTGGCCAAAGTCGACCACAAGACACTCCGATACTGCGTGTCGATCCCGCTCAAGACGATCCTCCGACGACTTCATCTTCTTTAACATCGACTTCCGCAAACATGAGGTATGGAGTTGCCATGGGCTTGAGATGAGCATAACTAACTTGCTTCGAGTACTGTCGCCGTACAATTCGACTCGCGGTATGAGATGGGGCTTCCGCGCTCCTCTCTTACTTGGCCAGGTAGGCATTGACGACACGAAAGCTCGAAACCAGTGACTGATCGTGTGGCTAGGTTTAGACTCCAACGTAGACTTGTTAGGTCATGACTTGGGCTCTATGAGCAATGCCGGCTCCGACGTCAGCCTGACACCTCCCAGCACCAACAGGTCGATTACAGGCAGCCCGCCTCGAGGCACCTTGACACCAGAGCAGCGCGAGTTGAAGAGACAAAGGGACCAAGCCCGCCGGGACTCGAAAACCTCAGTTCGGGCCCGCCGTGCTCTGAGCTCAGCATATAACCCTCACTCACCACCGGTTTCCTTGGCCGAGTTCACTACTGCATCGACGCTCCCCATTTACACGACGTCTCCGTCGCAAATATCCCTTTTGGCCGAGCCAGTTACTACGGTGCCAGGTTCCAGCTATATTCCATCATATTCAACTTCGCCTCTTCCCGACTCGGGGACGTCGATGTTCCAGCCTTTTCCAACGCTGTGAGTTCGCCCATCATTAGACGGAATTCCATGACGGCGCTAATCATTCATAACAGACCTTCTAGCGGGTACATGGGCATGGATTACTCACCCAACTTTCAACCCCAACAACCCACGCATAGTTTGAATGGTCACTATGGGTATGTGTAAGCCTAATGGAATGCTGGAATTGACTTGCGTGGTGCTAACAGCTTTAACAACAGTGGTCGTCCAGCATCGTTATCCGAGCCTGGCATGCTTTACAACATGCCTCCAGTTTTGTCATCCGGAGGTGGATCCGGCCAGGAGGCTGGTCACGTACGAGTAGTTCAGAGCCGACCGAAGCCACAGTGTTGGGAGCATGGCTGCAACGGCAGACAGTTTTCGACATTTAGCAACTTATTACGACACCAACGTGAGAAGTCGGGCCAGGCCGCGAAAGCAAGCTGTCCCAACTGCGGCGCGGAATTTACACGAACGACGGCAAGAAATGGTCACCTTTTGCACGACAAGTGCAAGTCGCGCCGAAACTCGTAAAACCTGTCTGATGGACGAGAAGAGGCCGACGACTACGATTCCTTTACGACAAAGCGTGTATTTTTAGTGGACTGGGTTTTAAAAATCGTTCTTGGGAGATTATGTCTGGAGAGACGTGTTCTAGAGCTGGATGGGACCTTCCATGTTGGCATTCATGGTATTTCAGGATATGCGCGTTCCGGTGTATATTGGGGCCCGGCTGTCCTGGCAAGGAAGCCTTTGATGGGCATGGGCGCGGAGAGAGAGCATATACCCCTTTTGAGACTTAGCTCTACTTCGCCAGGACATATTGATCATTTTTTCATCGTTGAAGAAGAAGAAGAATATACACTCGCTCAGAAGCCAACTCATGATTCCTCTCACGGATTGACTGATTGATTCTTTGACTGTGTCCAGAAGCTCTGGCAGCTGTTTGACTCGTGCTCGCAATTTCCCGCCATTCAAGGTTCGCATCAGTCTGCCCGACGACTCGGAACCTCGGACGGGATGATCTGCAACTACAACGCCCCGCCTGCAAATTGTTGGACCCATCTAACCTAATGCTAACTACAACGGGCTTAAAGAACGAGCCGTCGGGTGCCCGTCGGGGCTAGCGACACACACTGAGGTTGCATCGAGCTTGCGGGGGCCTTGAGCTCTAAGTTACCATGTAACCATCTACTAACTGCACGCCGCTTCTTTTCCTGGTCGACCTAGAGCCATCAAAGCTGAGGAGCTTGATGGGCCGGGCAGGTCTGACGTCGTCAAGACCAAGCTTCCAGATCCAGCTGTGCTTGCCTCCACCCTGGCCGCGCCAGGTCGGCGACATGTTCCCAGTTGGACTGCAAGACCTGCAGCTGCTGCATACGCGCGCATGAAAGGCGTAGCTAGACGACATCTGGGAGGACGGCTCCTGTGGAAAGGCGTTATGCTACTATGACGCCAGACGATGTAGGATCAGGTACGGATTGGCTCGCTGCAAGCCAGCCTAGTCCCCCCGCCCTGGCCAGGACGACCTAGCGAGAGACATTGGCGACATACGATTATCATGGCACATTCATTTCACTCCAAGCCCCCCGCCGCGGCTGATACAAGGTCCTGCCATTTGCGCAGTTGAAGATTGTCTGTGCAGATCGGGACTCGTTCAAGCTTTACCCTTGCGGCCGCCTCCAGCGTGGGAAAACTAACTCGTACGTGCTGTTCACAGTCTAGTCAAAGGGGGAGTGTTCGGGAATCAGCCTATCGCGACCAGCCTGAGCGACACTACCTAGACGTTCAGACAAGGGTACAGCCGTTGCGCTGCAAATAGCGCAGTGGTTGATTATAGGCTGCCATCATCAGTCGTTTCGTTTCATGTTTAATCTCGGTCCTCCAAAGTTAGCAGCACCCTTAGGACCGTTGTTCTACTTTGCTTGTATCCGTGGGGGAGGGGGGGCACTTGGCGCCCGTTCGATGGGGTTCCTGCAAGGCGTTCTTCCTCGAGCTTGTGTGCGAAGCCTCTCCCGAGGTCTGGTGTTCCAGGGAGCCGAACGTCCCATGCATGACCCCCAAAAGTGGCACGCCCTCGTCATCCGTCAGCGCACACGGCAACCCGAAGCTCAGGCAGGGTCGAGTGGGTGTCATTCAAATCTCGTCGAAACAATCTAAGCCTTTCTGCACCATGATCCCACCCGCTATAGATCGCAAGGGTCTGGCCATCAGGCGACATGTCCAGAAAGTCCCCTGTCTGCCTCTGTAAATTGCAAGGTGGGACTCGCTTTTCTGGTGAAGATTTGTTTCCAGTTGGGTGCACAGCCCGATCAATGCTTGGTGCCAAAAATAGAATTGCCCCAGAGTCCGGCAGAGCGGTTGAGCGAGGGCAGATCACCAGCGGGCACGGCCACAACCTTAGCGTGCGGGCTAGTAGTTGAAACGGGGGCCCGCCCTTTTGACTTGTCAGGATACCGTGGCAGCTCTTTTTTCGCCGAGCATGATGCCCATTGGTAACTACCCTGAACCTAGACGGGGCCCTGGTCGAGAGCAGCCTTTCAGACGATAGAGACCGCGGGCGAGGTTGCGAGGGGGTGGTACTGTCACTGTGGCTATGGAATCTTGTTTGTTTTCTGGGGTCCCCCCTACGGACCCGAGAGAAATTTAAACTTCGCAGCTTGCAGAAGTAATGTTGTATCTGTCACAGGCCCGCAGAGGATAGACAGACAGTCCCCGCTTTTCCTACTTGGTGATGTGCTTCGATTATGATTAGCCTTAAGATAGCGACTATGTACTGCAATCTTGTGCTTCGGTGCCGAAAAGACGTTTCACTCAGACCCAAAAGGCCCTCTCCATACTTCTACTTTTAGCTACGGGGTCTGCGCAAGGGGCGCAAGATGGCAAAGCAGTGCAGTGCAGTGCAGTGCAGTGCAGTGAAAGGCGGCACGGCCGCGAAAGACCGTCTGAATCATCCCGTCGTACCTCCTGCTGGCCCCGTGCTTGTTTACACTCGACGGGCGGGGGACCCCTGGGAGCAAACGCCATCGCCCTGGCGGCGTTCAACTACGCGGCCCCAGGCCCGATCTCGATGTCCCGTTTAGGATAAGTTTTCGGCCTCATCGGATACTCCACCTCCACCCGGAGCTTTTGGTGTCTCAGTCACGAGTGGCAGGCGGCAGTCGCGAGTCAAATGGACAACACCCCACAGAGCGTGTCCTCATAATGGCATGTCGTTTACTATTATCGGCACTTTGGCTATGAAAGCTACCAGCTCTTAAGCTAATCGACGATCGTGGAAGCTTGACTAGCCTCCGAGGGTGCCAGACTCCTGATAACGTTGAAACGGCGTGTGGCCTTGACAGCCCTTTCAGGTAATTTCAATCAACGGCACATGAAGCCGGTATGTGCGGATCATCACATGTCCCGGTCTTCAACCAAGTCTGGAACGACGATACAGAACCGCTGTTCAACCGTTGCAGTCTCCGAGAGGTACACGGCTCTGCTCTGTCCCAACACATATTCTGTGCTCCCCTGTCAGCTCTGGAAAGCATTCACAGGTAGTCAGCAAGCCTTGGGGAAGCCTTGGAGAAGTAACTAATACTTCTACAGGAGGGAAGCATCCGATAGTGAAACGGGCGAGTATTACCTTCTTCCCGAGAGCCTGGTTCTTGCGACTTTCTGAGCAAGCAGGCTATGATGTCTGGTTTGTCGGCTTCTGTTACTGGTCGATATGAGGTGCTCTCCAGATCTGACAAGATGACACACGAAACATTTTGGGGGCCGGCACGCCGCGCGGCCCTTGGACAATCGCACCGTGGTGAACACAACAGGACGCACCGCATAAGACGCAGAGATGCGGTCATGCTGTGTCGCCAACGGATAGCGGCATGCTGCTAAGGCAGGCTGTGGTACCAAGGCGCGAGGCACACAGGTTTCTGCCCGCCTTGCTCTCTATATAAAGTGTTGGGTTTTGGTGGTCTTCCCCCCCGGAAATGGCGGGATCGAGGGTAAACTCTCGCATGAGGGCAAAAATGTCCACTCAGCCGGTAGCCGCCATCATGCTGGAAATCGGCCTTCATGCTCTTAAAGCTCAGACTACATGTGTGCATATTCACACATCATGTAAGCAGCAGCGCGTCTGAGAGTGCGGACTTTTGGTCCACCCACGTTGGAGGGGGAAATCGACTCAACAATCGGTTCAAACCATGCGAATGAGTACGTCCTATACAGCATAGGTACACCACGGGTTACGGTTAAGCATCGCGGGCTACTAATCATGGGACTGTGGACTGGATGTCCCGGGACATCATGTCCAGGGCGGAGTCAGATATACCACTGATCGCCCTAACACAGTAGTCGCACGTTGACTTTCACGCTGGAGCTTATGCTCCCTCCCTATGTGCAAGCACCAAAAGATCAGAGCTTGGGTCGGCAGGGCGCCATTCATTGCGCGGATGGACGGCAAAGACATCAACAATAACAACACGGCGCACATGGACTTGGACGCGGCTTCTGCACGCGTGTCAGCGCCACTCAAATACTTATACTGACTCAGCTGAGAATGTAAGGTACTTTAATATTATTGAGTCGCAGCAACGGCGCACACAGCGTAGCATCATCTTGCCATTCAGTCCATCGAACGACTAGACCGTTGAGGTGGCTTGCTGTTCGCCGGTGAGCAAAAAGCCGACGTTGACGGAGTATTTTGACTCGGATTGCGGAGAAGGCCCTATCCCCCGCTCCTGGAGTCCTATTCAGCAATCAGAGAGTCCGATTCAGCTGTGTGCAAAGCAGCCAATGGCAGTGCGAGCAGCCTTACCAGGCTATCACATTGGGATGCAGTCAGCACTTGCGGCCCAACGAGGAAGCTTCCCGAGGTATGCATTGAGGCTCTCGTTATCAACAAGGCCATGGACGAACCACTGGTTGCTGCTGAGCTGGGCCCACGGTTTACGAGTCTGACCAAGGTATGCGGGGCCGGTGATGAATACAAGACGCCACTGCTTACAATCTTCCCGTTTGGAAAAGCAGCACCTGGGTATGTATGCATCTATCGACGGATCGCAGACTTCCCGACCATCGAATGTATGCACCCTCTACAGCTTATGGGACCTGATGCGGTCACCTGGGACCGAGGTCACACTTACTGTGGTATTCCTAGCTCGGCACGGCGCCGAAAACGTGTCGATGCTTCGTTCTCGTTTGGAGTACATGCATGCGAGTTGGTTACACGACGTTGCTTCGGTCCTGACATGGCAGTCTTCTCGAAGTACCAACAGTAGGGGGGCAAGGGGGAAGTCTCACGCCCCCAATTAAAGTAGTCGTCGGCAAATAGCGAACAAGGTTCACCCCAAAGACGGACTTCTGCAGCTCTAGTCTCTCGATAGTAAGCCCTTGGGTAAATGGTTTTAGGGCTGACCCCAGAGAATGGATCATCTGCCTATTTGTCCAATGATACCAAAATCTGACCCGTGTAGCTAGCTACCGGTAGTTGGTACCTGGGTTAGCAGACACCCGATGGCCATGCCATCATCACCTGAAGTACACCGAAGACAGATGTGTACTACACTCTGGGCTGGCCGACTTTTTGGAGTCCAACCTACGAGAAGCCAGCCGACTCGCAAGCATTGATTGGCGGCGAGCGGCTCTCCACTTCCCCGTTGAGGTCATGATGCCATAGATATCCCTCGTGCAACAACAGAGGCTTTCGAGCTCCCATTCGTCCAAACGCATGTTCAAGCTACCCCCTGCTGTGAGCTTGCACCGCCTGTACTGTTTCGTATTCCGTACGACGGTGTCGAGCGACACTCACTCGCTCGCTCACTTGCTCACGCACGCACGCACGTAAGGGCCCAATCTGCGCCGTCAGAAGTGCTTATTCGTCAGATGCGCCGGACCCCAACATTTGGATCGATATGGTTGCTGAGATGCACTCCGTTGCAGTCGAGCTGCCACGCGAGCGGCGCAGGCTCACCGCGACCTACATGCAGGCCCGAGGGGGTTGTTTCTTCGTCGCGTCACACGTCGCTGAGGTGCAATAAATAGCAGCACTCATTAATGAAAGTCCAGTGTCAAATTTCAAATAGACGAGCATGTCTGGGGTGCGCCCTGGGCTCCCGTTCCGGCCCCATACGAAATTTGCAGCTCGGGTCCGCCACGGGTGAGCGAGGTACAGGTTACCGTTGACAGGGACAGACAGGCTGACTGATGGGGATGGGTTCCGGAACGAGGCGCCTGGCTTGACTTACCAGGTAGGCAGGTAGCCCCCCTAGTTAGGGCCCCGGGGTGCTAGTTATACCCACACCCTCCTGTCAACCTGGAACTCCACAATTCTGTACAGTAAGACGAGACGGGCGCGGGGCTTGGCATTCTTGGATTAGCCGCAGCCGCTTTTGGCGCTTTTGACGCAGGGCGGACCGGCAAGCCCAGCGAACAACTGGCAGCGACCCAAGGACTCGGATGGCAATGTTGACCTTCATCAGACCGTAGTATCTCAACGCCAGCGTTGGGTAAATGTGATGCTTCTTGGATCTGTACCGGGCACCTGTCTCACAGGATCGAAAAGCCCCGCTGCTGCATCTTTGCAGGCGCCAGTTTTCCGCCAGCCGCCTGGCCCTGAAGAAGGAGGAGGCTTAGCCGGCGCGCCCCGCCATTAGAGCGTATGTTTTGCAGAGCTGGGACCGACTATCACAGCGTGGGAGGACCCGTTGAACACATCAAACAAGCTACCCCGGCCACCCTGTGTTCCAAAAATAAGGTGGCCAGATAGTCGATGCACGTCGGGAGGCGATCGGTCATGGTCCATCAAAGCTTCACCAGGCATCCGAGGTACCAGGCAGCATGATGACGACAGAGACCAGATGGAACGCGGGCAAGAGACGCGTCTTCCAGTCCGTCTTCCAGACGGCCGTCTCGCAGCCCACGCCCTACTCCACCCCCTCGGTGCGCTTCACGGAGCAGTCTCAGGCCTTCGGCGGTCCGCTGGCACACACGCCCCAGAAGCGGGCGGCTGCCGCCTACCTCTCGTCGCCCGTGAATCCCCACGCCAGCGACCAGACTCGCTTTGACCGGTCATGGCATATTGTGACTTCCCGCATCGCTCTTCCGCCGTCCGTGGCAGCTGAGGATTCTTTCGGACCGTTGCCCAACTCCCAAGAGGCCGAGGACGAGGATTTCGACGATGCCTTGCGGGATGTCCTGGACCCCGGGTCTCGATTGCCCCTGGCCGATGATACCGAGGACGTCCTATCCTGGCATACCCAGCAAGTAAGACTGCACTTTGTCAGTCACGTGCTCCCCCTACTGGCAGTATGCGATACCTACACGGATCAGGCACAAGTGCTGCTGGGCAGCATGCGAACGCTGGAAGCCGCTCATCGGCAGTATCTCTTTGGCCTGTCCCTCATTATACGGGCCATTGACCAGACCGAGGCCGATCAAGCTCTGAAGAAATTCCGCCGGGACTTGCATGCCATCGTGGGAAATTCGGTGTCATCCTCGCTTATGGATGCCCTGAGGACGGTACTGGGGCAGCTCATGACTGTAATTCTGGGGCTGCCGAGCGCTCTCAGGGGCTCGCATGGAGAACAAAAACGAAGCAAAATCCAAGAGGCAAGAAGGGAGATGACACAGCTTGTCGAGTCCCTGTGCAAGATTGGTTTGGCCGGAGAGAGATTCCAGATTCTCTTTGCCGAGCTTCTCAACAACATAATGGCTACCTACATCTACGAAACATTTGCGGGTCGATGGGGGCCAAGCGGCGATGTGATTCCCAAAGCACATGCACCCGAACACGCCAGTGCACAGCCACGTTGTATCAGAGAGCTGTCCAGCTGGGTAGAAGATAACTACGGTCGGATGGCAGTCGAAGTCACTAACCTCTTGGGCAACGTCCAGGTTGCTTGGGCTGATGTGGAAAAGTGGAAGGAGATCGCAGTCGGACGGTTGGCATCGCTGAGGATCAGTGAACTCTTCGACATTGTCATAAGTTGGCCCGACAGTGAAGGCGGTATCAATGACCTCCGATACACCGTCACTACACCCCAACGACGACTGCAGCTCACCGATGCCTTCTCTACGGCTTTGCAAAAGCGGCTTCTCCACTCCGGCCGCTCGACTCTGGACATTCTTCGCACATATATCTCCATGATCAAAACGTTTCAAAGGCTCGATCATTCGAGGGTTCTCCTTGATCGCGTGGCTTACTCGCTTCAGCTCTATCTTTGCACGCGGGAGGACACAGTTCGGATCATAGTCACAAGTCTATTGACAAGTCCGAAGGAAGATAGAATGGAAGCCCGCAAGACCAAGCTCGTGGAACTGGTCGAGCTGCTGCACGAACCAGACCAATACCGCTCCGAGCGCCAGGATGACGATTGGGATGACCTGACTTGGGTCCCCGCGCCAGTCGACGCGGGCGCGAATTACAAGCGACGCAAGTCCGAGGATGTTATTGGAACCCTCATTGGAGCTGTCGGGTCCCCCGAGGTCTTTATTAAAGAGTTCCAGTCCATTATTGGTGAACGTCTACTTTCGGAGCAGACTGGGTATGAACAGGAGATCGGCGTTCTGAGCCTGTTGAAGAAGCGGTTCGGCGAATCTTCGTTGCAATCCTGTGACGTGATGATCAAAGATATTCAGGATTCGAGGAGGCTAGATGGAGTCATCCACCGTGGCGCCATGAACCATCCAGGAAAAGGCCAGCGTGACTGGACGATTCATACGAAGATTCTCTCAAGGCTTTTCTGGCCGGACATGGGAGATGAACCTTTCGTCGTCCCATCGAGTGTCGGTGACATGCAGAAGTCGTACGAGAACATCTTCGAACATCTCAAACCATCGAGAAAGCTCCGCTGGCTCAATCATCTCGGCCAAGCAACAGTCGAGCTTGAACTTGAGGACCGCACCATATCGGAGGTTGTTCGCACGTACGAAGCGGCCGTGATCAATGCGTTCAGTGAGGATGTGTTCAAGGGCCGTGCTCCTACTTGGACGTTCGAAGAAATCTGGCAACACCTGCAGATTGACGAGGATCTGCTTGCAGCAGCCTTGCAATTCTGGGTTGACAAAATGGTTCTCCGGAAGCTGCCAAGTGAAGAATACACGGTGATCGAACGACTCGCGGACGCGGAGCAGCACGCAGCCGCTTCGGCCTCGAATGCACCAGGCTCAACTCAAATAGCACCTCACGACAACGCACCCAGCCCTCGCAAGGCAAAGTCTGGCATGAGCGAGAAAGAAAAGGCCCAGCGGCAGGTATACTGGCAGTTCATTGTTGGCATGTTGACCAACTCAAGCTCCCAGATGCCTCTGGGCCAGATCTCGATGATGATGAAGATGCTCATCGCCGACGGATTTCCTTGGAGCAACGAAGAACTTCAAGAGTTCCTTGCCGACAAGGTCGCGGAAGGCGAGATGGAGCTTGCGGGTGGGAAGTACAAGCTTGTCAGAAAATAGGCGAGATTTACTTGCATACCTGTAGATGTATGCTACACGATCAGCCAGCGGCGGCCCGGCCCGCCATCCTGCCCGCGCACGTTTTCTCATGGAGGTTATGCACATGCGCAGTCCTTATCACCGAGCGGTGCTCTCACCAGCTGTTATTGGCTCGGGGGTGTGTTCCGAGGCCAGTAAGCCGTGCTGACGCCAGCATGGTACAACTCAGTTGTCAGGAGCATCATAGAAGGACCAAGGGGCGGCGCCAATTAGGGTTGTGTCACGAACGAATGGATGAACAAGAAACGCAGAATCAATCAGCTTTCAGGCTGTGCTTAAGATCAGCAAGCCGTAAAGCAAATAGGGAAGCGGTTGTACGTGAGAGAGAGCTATAAGCACCCACTAGCTAGAAAGTAAGAAGCAGATCCTCCCCAATGGTTCTGTGCATGTAGTTCCATACCTCGAGTATGTGAGAGCTACGATCCGTCAAGAAATTTGAGGTGGAAATTGTGCTGGCTGTGCTTTTTGCCAGGGAGGTGAACCTTGCGTTTCCAACTATGAGAGCGCATGGCGACAATCGCCAAAGCTTTAGCGCCAGCTAATCTAGTCGATTGCGCTTGCAAGAGGCCCTCCAAGACGATCATATACTTTTGATTGTCAGTCCATAACATCACCCGTGTCTTGGGACACTGGTTGCTGCAATCTCGGCGTATAACGACCACCGCCCAAGATAGGGAGGAAATGAGTAACATTTGAAAGAACACTGTAGCCATAGAGATGGCGAGCTCGGCACTTGGGAATAGCTTCTGTGTCGTGGCCCTATGACACAGTCGGTACTATTGCCTGTGGAAGATTATGGGTAGATATGCGTGTCTATCAACGATATCAAAGTCTATCAGGAGAACAGACCTAGCCACCCTAGAGAATTCTGGATTGTGTCTAGTTTAGACTATCAGTCACGCCCCAAATGACCGTGATGCGAATGCTGAACTCGACAGACCTCCATACTTAGCATGTGCCGTGGACGCATAGCGCGGCATGGAACACACCTCCTCAACTCTCGGGTTTACTCAGGGATACCTCTCAGCTCGGTTGAACGTATCTGCCCTTCGAATACACGCGCATGTCGGAGAAGAAAGACAAGGTATTGGGGAAGGAGAAGGTGGTTGGATCGATCTCAGACGAAGCCCCATAGGCAGCCAGGTGACCGAGGGGCCATCTGTCCGCATGGGGGCCTTTGAACCTCATATCGTAGAGACCTGGAATGTGTTAGAAGTATCTCTTAATCAGCCATACAGTCGACAAGCCCAGCCAGCTCTTAACACTTGGCTGATCTGTTATATCAATCCCTGTCCTCTTTTTCTTTATTCATCCTTTTTTATCTTTGTTTTCTTAGACCCACCCCTTTCGCTCCTGCATGTCGTGTACTTATGGAAATGGTGTTATCGACAACGCCAGGGCTGCAACTGGAAATTGGTGGTGCATCTGTCGCCTCACCGGTCGTTGCTGAACTGCGGGCGATTCTGTTATGACGGACGATGCAAGGGATCGTCCGGCGCTTCTGCCGTGAGGATAACCACCAACAGCCCGCGTAAGCGCGCAGGAAATACCCCCTCCGGTGCTCCAAAGGGCGGGTGCGTTCTCGTCACGGGCCCGATGTGGCAGGTTCAGCTCGTTTTCCAGCTCATGCATGCGTTCTCGGTGGGCTCAATATAGTTTGACCGGGGTCGATCAACTGCCGTCGGGCCAGAAAGGGCGGGTGGCGTACCCCGAGGCTGGGCGCATCGTCAATATAGCGTCGCCCTGCCGCCATGTATACTGTACAAAGAGGTATGAGCGGCGAAAGGGAGGGGCGTATAGTTTGGGCTGCCTGAGGGTGAGGGCAACACGAAGTTCGCTATCGTTGGAACTATTGATGTATCGATGGATACTGTGAGCAGAGCTGATGGTGCAGCCAATTCCGGACCCAGCCGTGCTTTATATGGGTCACAGATCACACGAAGACGCCTGAATACTTCGCTATAGCGGATGCAACCTGCCTAGCCCCGCTGCCTGAAATTCAACATCTTGACTTATCACGAGCAGGCTATTGGAGATGGGGAATCACTTGAAATCATAAATTTGCTCTGTGCTTCGGTATTCTTCACATCCTTGATGCCGGTAGTACTCAGTTTACTGCCATAAATGAAATAGAGACGACCGAGATCTCATTGCCATACAATTCGCTACATTGCTGTTGCCCAAGATCTATCACATTACTCCTCAAAATCTGCCGACTGGTCGAGGTCACGGATTGAACCACTCATGTGACCTGCCCTCGCCTCCTCGTCCTCCAAAGTATCGCCGCCTTCGCTGCCACCGCAGAGCTTGCCCAACATATCCTCTATCCTGCCCATCGACTCTTCCAACGCATCAAGCCTGTCGGTCACGCCAACTCCTTTACCGGCTTCTACATCAGCAAGGATGCTGCGTACTTGTTCCGTCAGGTCTGGGCCGTAGGGTGCGATGGAGTCGCGTCGCGTTGGCGGCTTGAAGCCCGGCGGTCGCTTGTCCGGGTCATCGGCACCATTGCTGACCTGTCGGCCTCTTCTGTCGGCGTCCAGTGTCGTGCTGTGCTGTCTCACGAATTGACGGCGGATCAAGTGATGCGTCAGCTCGTCGTCCACGGCGATATCGTCTGTCAAAGACTCCGGAGGTACTATCTCGAAGACTGTGTGTAGATCTCCATGAGTTGTAATCTTCCACTTCTCCCAGAACCAGGTCCTCTTCGGCCGTGTAGCCTGTGTCCTAGACTGGGGCCAGAGAAGGCGCCGTTCCGCGACGGCGATGAGGAGCAAGACGGGGAGGTTGATGAAGCGGACTGTTGCCACATGGATCTTGTGAAACCATCTAGGGCTGACAATGAACTTCATGGGCAGCAGTACAAAGATCGCGAGGATATTGAACGGGGGCTGGTAGGCGAAGATGGCATCCGCTTTCACGCCCTCCAATGTCTGAACTGCCCTGCGAAATTGGATTTCAGCTGTGGCATTTGACACGATCGTACTGAAGGTGTTTGACAGCATCGACACAAGGATAGTGAGGAACAGGGTGTTGCCTAAGAAAGCAAACGTGATCATAAGTGTTGGTCCCAGAAACCAGTGGAATTCACCCTGGAATGTGATTAGCCCCAGACCACTTCTGTTCAAGAACATTGACTCACGGATCTTGATACGCCAGTACCATCGAGACCAAACCATATCCACAGCATCCATTTGCTGATTGTGCTGTTGACTGTTAATCATTGTCGCTGGTATCGTGACCTGAAGACTTACAGAAGGTTATGGCGACCTTCAGCCAACCAGACCATGGAGAGCAAAAATCCACAGAAACACCAAGCAGCCAAGAACGTGAGCAGTATGAAATCCGACATCATTGACCTCAATGACAGAAAGACCAGATTATCTGATAAGAGGTTGAATGCCAGCCTTGGAACAAGCACGGGTGCTCCCATAGCGAGGACATCTAGGGCTTGCTGGCCAGGCCCGATATCGCCGGTTGCCCAACCATGAACCCTTAAGATCAGATATGCCCAATAGACAAGCGCAAACATGACGTCTAAGAATGACCACAGATTTTGCGTATAGACGTTCCTAGCATCGGGATTAGTGCGAGTAACCAGCGCTTGGGATTCATACTTACCAGCCATGCTCGAGAATTGTAGCAAACTGATCCAGAACCCAGCCAAAGGCGTAGATAGAGAAAGCTGCTTCTAACGGGCTTAGATACTCAGGCTCACGCTCAGCCATGAATGCCAGGTATAGGCCAAGCAGTAACAAGAACTGAAATACCTCCAGGTAACTCCGAGTTCGTGGCACTATCAGTCGATATTGGTTTAGCAGCGGCGCTTCCCTCGGTTCATATAGCGTGATTGGCTTCTGTTTGTAGCGATCAGGAATAAGATCCAGGAATGTGGAGGGCGTATAGACGATATGACCCGTATAGATTGCGTCGACACTATATGCCACGGTCATTGATTGGACGAGAATTATCGATCAGCGAAGTACCTACACTTTCTGGCAATGAACGGAACTGAGGAAATATTTGCTCTCGCTGATAATGGCCACTTCTAGAGCAGGCAGGCTGCGATGAAAATCCCACGTGGAAGCCAAGGAACCCTCTCGGCGCACCGTCTCGGGGGCGTTCTGAAAAGGTGTGAAACCAGCGATCAGGATGTGTGCTAGCAGTAGCAATCCCTGAAGGCCGTCGTTGTCTTCACCGAAGCGCCTCAGAATGCGCGTGGCCACGACCTCGCAGAGAGTTGCCCTCGTGTAATTCACATTCTGTCTGTTGCTAAGATGTGCCTGCTCGTGCAGGAACTGAGCGCGGTTGACGAGGAGGCAGTACACTGTTTCGGCATGAGTAACATGGAACCATTATTATCTGGAAGGGGTTATAGGGCAGATGTCGTACCAATGGAGATATCGTCCATCTCATAGAGCTTGTCCACCAGCGGACGCACAACGGATATGTTCAGCCGCAGGTCCCTCAGTTGCTCAAAGGTGAGGTAGTCTTCCACGATGGAGATGACATCTCTCCTTATCCTATGGATGTTGGTATACACCGGGAGGTGCGCGTGGGCATTTGGGGTGCAGCTGAAGAATTGCTCCCCATCCATCGAATGGGTGAAGTGTGCACGCTCGAGGAGAGGACGCCTCTCCGGCTCCTGAACGCGAATGTGCCGGGGAGTTTGTTCCGCCATGTCGAGACAGCTATGCACATGCGATGAGTCGTGTCGTGTGCGAGTTAGTAGTGAATGGATTCGTCGACGCTCATGTCAACATGGAGCTAGCACCCTAATCGTTCCGACCAACAGCGCCCGCGCAGTCGGAGTAACGCAGGACCTAGGAATCTAGGCCGTGCTAGATCCAATGCAGCTGGCTACTGTCGCCGGACAGAATGGTAGTCGAGCAAGTGATGCGAAGTCGTCTGCGTGCGACAACATGTATGCAGTACTGAATGGTGGAACGGATGCTTGGAAAAGCACCACCGCAACCCTGGACAACGGTGTGGCTGCCACGCTTTATTCTAGCGCATCTTGCCAAAGGTCCGTACTGTCAATGGCTGTCAAGAGTAAAATTCCCGTGAGGCCGTAACCAGTACGCAACTCCTATCCCTGAAGGTTTTTAGGTACTGTGGCAATGGCAGTGTCTTGACAAGCACATCTCAGACATGCATCTATCTGCACGTCTGCAGCTTGCACGCTGACGTCAAACTCACATACAGTAGCTAGCTGAAACCTGGAGCAAATCCGCCGCGCTGGAGCCGTGAAAGCGTGTCCGGAACGGCCCAAGTTACTGGCAAAGGCCGGAGGCCTGAGGCACCACTGCATCAACAAAGCCGACCCCACCACCCAGATAGCGGCTAGTACGCTATAACCTTTCCGTTGGTCGGCATCAAACTGGAATAGTGCCCAGTGGTCGCTACGACAAACATTCTTCGCGCACACACGTCCCTTGCCCTTGGGCCATGCTTCTTCACTCCGTGGTTTGTTAGCTGCAACGACAATGCCATGGCCGTTCAGCTCCGACTCCGGCAAAGATGACAAGGACAGGTCCGGCCGGAGATCTGTTTCGTGGGCCGACAGTCTGAATGGCACGGATTGGCAGCATTACAAGGACCCTCGGAACTGGCTGCCCACGGTTCTGGTCACGACTACGGCACTCGTCTCTCTACAGCTCTACCGTTCCTACCTCCGCCGCATCCCAGGCGCCATCCACGTGCAGCCGTCCTTCTTCAGAAAGAGAAGCCTGTTCGGCAAGGTGACGAGCGTCGGTGATGGCGACAATTTCCACTTGTTCCATACGCCTGGTGGGCGCATGCTCGGATGGGGATGGCTGCGGCGCGTCCCGGAAAAGAAGGCGGAACTGAGGGGCAAGACAGTCTGTTCACCCAAGACGACACTGGAGCAGGACATGTACAGAATTTGTGCTGATATTGCCCGTTTCTAGATACCTGTACGCCTCGCCGGCGTAGACGCGCCTGAGGGCGCCCATTTCGGTCGACCAGCACAGCCCTTCTCGACAGATGCGCTGGCATGGCTTACCGACTACGTGCTGGGCAGACGAGTGCGGGCAAAGATTTACAAGCGGGACCAGTACGACCGCATCGTGGCCACGGTCTTCGTGCGGCGCTTTCTCATCCGCCGGGATGTCGGGCTGGAAATGCTGAAGAGAGGCCTGGCCACCACGTACGAAGCCAAGAGTGGCGCCGAGTTTGGAGGGCTCGAGGAGAAATACAAAGCCGCAGAGGCCAAGGCCAAGGCGAAGAAACGAGGCATATGGGGAGGCAAGCCGGAGCACTTCGAAAGCCCCCGCGAGTACAAGACCCGCGTCAATGCAGAGGAGGCACCGAGCAAGACGGGTTCCTAAGCGTCCCAAAATCATCGTATCAATCCTCACGGGCCTGGTAGAGGTCTGCATAAACATTTCCAAACACCCAGGTCAATGCTCGCGTGTTGCACCGGGAAACGGTTCGTTTGAAGTAAGGTTGATGTGAGCACTTCTGCGCATAACCGTACCGTAAGCCGTAAGCACAGAAGATCAGGTTGGACTGGTTGAACCATGGTTGAGTTACCGAGAAAACATGCGGGGTGAAACCATCGGTGTACTCAGAGTGAGCCTCATAGCTTGACATGTATGATCTACCGAAGCGACCCGAGTCCGATATCCCATGAGCATATGGCGAGGTTGGCTTCTCGCAGCCAGATGCAGCCTTTCTTGGTGATTGGTCAACGGCATTCCTGGTTCGCAGTGCTTGGCAGGCATTCATATTTATAATTGTGCTTTGTGTTTTTGTTTCTCACTCATGTACAAAGATGCATGCAGGTGAGTAGGCCAGGGCTTGCGATGCCACAGCCAAGATGATGTGTCCCTGCTCTAGCAGAACCCCACCGAGGTGGGCACCTGCAAGGTCAACCCGGAAACAAACAATTTATTTCGGGCGTCCGGAGTCCAACTGGCATTGAGATTTTCACGGGCACCGCGAACACGAAAGTAGTGGTTACGTGTCTCCGCGTTGGCGACCGCCCTGAAAGGGGTTGCGTTCATGTTCCCCTCATGAGAGCAATGGACTGCCTGCATTCCTCTACTGCTAGTGCTAGCGGATAGATACGAATGCGGAAAGGTGGGATGGGTTGGCTTCCCTAAGTTCCCTTTGGTAGGCGCAGGAGGTGGCGGCGCGCTAGCGAGTGGAAACTTTTAGAGTTGTTTATACCAGATAATCCAGGTCGTTAAGAGAGAGAATAACGAACCATAAAACCTTTGGAGCGTGCTCCCTCCGACGGAAGCTGCTTCGGTCATCCAAGGCATCACCAGGTGGACTGGCCAGTAGCAGGTCGAGGTCGAGAGTCCAACACCCTTGCGAATCTCCGGTGCGTAGTAGCCTCCTTGGGTGGTGTCTGCCGGGGTTGTCTCTCCATTGTGATACCGAACCAGTTACAAGACAGGCCTGCGTCCCACACCCTCTGCCAGCCTCCAAGCCTCCCCCTCTGCCCCTGGCTGCTAGCGGACCTGGCCCTGGATCGTGCAGACGCAGGGGAACACCAGGACTGTGGGACAAGCCTTCAACAGTTTCCGTAAATCTGCTCAATTGTGATTCTCTCGATGTTGTTCGTTGCTGTGCTGTCTGTAGGGCGGTGGTGAAATCGCCATTCAAAACCTTGTCATTCTTTACCAAATCAACCTCAAGTCAGGCAGACGAGATCGAACATCGGTCCGCTGCTTGTCATTACATCTGCCATCCGGGCACCTTTCTTTTGCACTCACCCAGTCGCTCGTTTTTCTGCAGTGATCCAATCACGGTGCCGACGCCGCTGCCCCTGATCTGAGGCTACGACCGTCTTCTCCGACAGAAAGAACATCGTGGGAACCAGGGAGTCCCAGGCGTGGTTCCGAAAATAATCAGCACCCCAAGGGCAATCTTGAACGATTCCCGTCACGCTCGTTTCCGAACCGCAGTTCCCAGACTGCGCACGAGGGAGATTGCGACGTTGTCTGCTGCATTAAGCACACCACCGCCTGCGTTGTCGGCTGCCGAGATCTCTTACCACAAACTCAGACAGCAGCGTCCCGACACGGGCGTACAGTCCGATTTCCTCTCCAGCCCCTTGGCCGTAACACCAAGCGCCGGCCAATCTTTCCAGTCCGACGACGACCGTGTATCGCACACAGGGAACTCATCGGTAAGTATTGTCAATTCATTATAGTCGCTGCCCTCGACACAACATGCCTGCCCCCTTTGCACCGTCATGCCCCATCCACCGCACTACATCCAACGGGCCCAAGTCGAGGCTGTCTAGCGCACTATTTGCGTGCTCTACGTGAAGACGAGCCGCGAGGGTCCAGCCCGCGCCGAGCCATCGTGTGCCGGACCACTCTGTTTGTCTGCGACAAAGAGGGCGAGCGAACGGGGCCAGGTTTGACGGCTGCCATCTCACGGGTCTGTCTCATTTTGCGTGGTGTCGCGAGCGGGCGGCCGTGTGCCGAACGGGGCTTAGCGAGGGAGCAATTTGGGCCATCGTCACAGAGTTGCAAGGGCAATCAAAGTCAACACGCACACACACCAGCCAGCAACAGGAAGGCCAAGCAATCCCAGGCTGGATCCAGGCACGAGCAGTGCGGGATCGACCAGTGGGCTGCAGAGACACGAGCTGGGCCTGCTGGGGCTACGTCAAGTCCCATCCCGTCCCATCCCATCCCAAGCCCGCAGCGTGCAGTGCAAGCACCAGCCAAACAGCACAGCACAGCACAGCACAGCGCCATTTGCATCCCTCCCCCCAAATCCAGCCAACCAGCCAACCAGCCCATCCATCGCACCACTCACAGCCATCCAACTCCACCCCAGAGCAGCCCAGACACACGGGCCTTCTTCATCAATCTTCATTTCCACCCACCCGCGCCAGACCAGCAGGACCACTGCGTCCTGCGTCTGCCCAACCTTATTCCCCAGTAAACAAGCTGCCAACTCCTTCGACCTGTCTCAGGAACTCCCATTAGGCTCGACGCAAACGCTCGTTCGCCGGCGCTGACACAATCGAACTTGTAGATACCCTCTCGGACTTTCGATACTCGAAACATCAGGACGCGACAACCTCGGATCCTCCAGCACACGCTCCTTTCCGCGCCATACCCGATCGCCAATTGGCCATTCACGCCGCCGCCACTTTTTCTCTCCCGGCTTCACCATTCATGGCCCCCATTGTTCACGCGTGATCAGGGATGAATTTCACACATCGGTAGCTTCGATTCACCACTCACAGAGCTTCCAGCCATCTTCTGCGACCGAGGCACGCAAGGCATCACATCATTGCCTCGGTCGTCGCTGGCAGCCATGCGAATATCTCCCAGGCGGCGGCCTTCTGCAATGCGCAGCCGCGTGAGCAGTCCGACGTCATGTCTGTTCACTCTCGCCTCTCTTGCGTCGCTATCGCACGCCATCACACTCACTCCCGTGCCCTCGCCGGATCTCGATCTCAGCCAATTAGGACGCACTGGAATCGCCGGTGATTTCAGCGGCATATCACTTTACGAATGGGTGGGACAGAATGAGCAACCCTTCACTGCTAATGGCTCTGAGACGCTCATGACCCAGCTCCCCAACGGCCAGTTTATCAGTATCCTGGCCGCGGATGCGTCCATTCAAGCCATGTGCACCTTTCAGGGAGCACTAATTCTAGGTGGTAATTTCACCAGTCTAGGAGGCGATGCCTTCGCCGCCATCGCTGCGCTTGATCTCAACACCACGCAACCAAGTCCGCTCACAGGTCTGTCAGGCCAGGTAAACGCCCTACTTTGCGACGAGGACGCCAAGATGGTCTACGTTGGAGGAAGTTTCCAGGCCGGGAACCTCTCTGCAAATGCCATCACTTGGGTTGGAAATCAGGGATGGACAAGCCTACCTTTCGCGGGCTTTAATGGACCCGTTACATCCATCGTCAAGGCAGCAAACGGTCACATCATCTTCGGAGGAAGCTTTACCGGCCTAGGCAACACAAGCACGCCCAACGAACCCGATGAGCAGGTCATCAATTTATCGACGGCCGACATCTCGGCAGAGCAGAGTTCGACGACGGCCGGATTCAGTGACCCGAAGAATATCGTATGCAAGACTAGCGGTGCTGACGGCTCCGGTAACACATGGCTATTGGAGGACAACACCGCTGGCTCCTGGCAGGCCAAATTTAACTTCGGCTTCGAGCCTACCAAACTGCGACTATACAACACCCACCAGGATGGACGTGGCACGAAAACTTGGAGGTACACGGCGCTACCGATCAACGGCATCATGAACTTCACCTACGTGGATCCGGCAACGCAGCGGAATATGTCCTGCACGAGCGAGTGCCCGCTCAGTAGCAACTCCTCAATTGAGTACCAGGACTTTTACTTCGTCAACCAGGTTGGTATGAACGAATTTAGACTCGACATTTCGGCCTGGTACGGCAGTGGTGGTGGTTTGAATGGAATCGAGCTCTTCCAGGATGATATATACGCCTATGCCGTTAGCGACTTCAACGAGCCTAACTGTGGCGGAGTATCATTCCCTTCGACCGCTACATCGACAGGGCCATGGACTGTGAGCCCTTCTGGACAGAGCAACTCTGAATACCTGACGGCGCAGCTGAATGGCACGGCGACATCTGCCGCCGCTTCTGTTACATTCTTCCCGGACATTCGGGCATCCGGTAATTACAGCATCAGCATGTTCACTCCTGGATGCATTCAGGACGATACCTGCTTGAGTCGTGGCCAAGTCAATGTGACCTTCGTCACAACTGCCGATGGTGATCCGGGTGACAACATAAAAATTGTTTATCAAACAAATAACTTCGACAAATACGACGTTCTCTTCGACAACATCGAGATTGATGCCGCTTCCGATTCATTCCGCCCGAGAGTTATCCTCACTCCGGCTAACGGCCAGACCCTATTGAACCAAAAGGTTGTGGCCCAGCGAGTTGGTTTTGGTCTAGTTAATTCTTCAGGTGGTCTGAACGGGCTCTTTGAATACGATCCAAGCAAAGCGACTGTGGACACTGCCGACTTCACGTCTTCTGCCTTTGACAAGCTAGGTTCAAGTTTCTCGACCAGATCCGCTGTGGCCTCCCTTGTCGTCGATGGAGACCTTACCTACATTGGCGGCAACTTCTCTTCAAGCAGCGTAAAGAACATCGTTGCTATCAACACCGACCGCAACTCGACGGTGGATCTCGATGGTGGTTTGAATGGTGCAGTGTGGTCAATGCATGCATCGGAAGGACAGATCTTCGTCGGCGGCCAATTCAACAATACACTCGATGGGTCTGATGCTGGTCTGAGCCATGTGGCCGCTTATGACACGGCAAGCAGCAAATGGTCCGCGCTTGGTGCTGGAGTTGATGGTCCCGTTACGAGGGTTGCGGCGATGTTACTGAACATCACCAACGGGTCCCCCGAAGAGGTGATTACTTTGACTGGCTCTTTCAGAAAGGTGCGCGCTTTCGGCAGCAACGCCGAGATCGCAGTCGACGGTTTCGCGGTCTGGGTCAAGTCCCAACGCACCTGGTTGCAAAACGTCAACGCCACCGTGCCCTCGATTGATGGCATACTCACAACGTCCTTGTTCAATGTCTCCGACGGTACTTCACTTTACGCCGGATCTCTGACATCTCAAGCAATCAGCGCGAACGGAGTTGTTACGATGGGCGAGACTCTCGGAACATTCCCAGTCACTTTCAAGACGCAGAGCCAGAGCACGAACGGAACTACGGGCAGTGCTAGTATCGCCAAGCGACAGTCCGTCATCAACAGCACAGAGTCCGTGACTGGTGTCACCACGGGGGCCTTCTACGAGAGTGGAGACCGGAACATAACAGTCCTTGCCGGGCACTTTTCCGCAAGTGCCACCAACGGCGCGGACATCAGCAACTTGGTGCTGATTGACGGCGCTAAAGACAACACCGTGACTGGTCTACCCTCGGGGGTATCTGACGAGTCCAGATTCTTTGCGCTGGCAATCCATGATGACACCCTCTTTGCGGGTGGTGTCATCAATGGATCCATTAATGGCAACTCCATCAACGGACTTATCTCCTACAATCTGGCAGATGCCACATTCAATACTCAGCCTCCAGCTTTGGCCGGCGGTAGAGGTGTGGTCTCCACAATCGCCGTTCGACCCGACTCCGGAGACGTATATGTAGGTGGCTCTTTCAGAGCTGCCGGCTCGCTCGGTTGCCCAGGTGTCTGCGTGTTTTCCACCTCGACTAGCCAGTGGAACAGACCGGGTGTGTCCTTCGAAGGCGATGTCAACTCGATGATATGGCCCTCCAGCTCGACTATGATTGCCGGCGGTGATCTGAAGGTGAACAACACCCCGACGTATCTCGCATCCTACGATCCCTCCAGCTCTACCTGGTCAAGTTTTGCATCCGCCTCCGCTCTCCCCGGACCCGTGGATGCGGTCACGGTAGCAAACAGTGAAGGCAGTCAACTATGGGCAGCAGGCACTGAAGCTACAAGCTCCTCGGTCTACCTGATGAAGTACGACGGTTCATCATGGCGATCCGCGGGCATCAGCCTCGACCAGGAAACCGTAATCAGCAGTCTCCAGGTCTTTACCGTCACATCCTCGCACGATTCTAGTGATCTAGTAGCAGCCAACCAGGTCTTGATGATCACTGGCTCCTTGGTCATCCCTGGGTTCGGAACGGCATCGAGCGCCTTGTTCAACGGCACCACTCTCCAGCCGTATGCTCTCACTGGAAACTCCCTCAACTCTGCAGGCTCCATTGCGAAGATTTTTGTACAGAACCAGAACTTCTTCACCTCTGCTGGTATGACAATTTCCCTGCCTTTCGATACGTTGTACTATATGCTAACATGATGCGCAGGTGGGGGCGGCCTTGCTTTAGGATTTGTCGTTCTGATTGCACTGGCCATCTCGTTGGGTCTGATGCTCCTCATTGTAGTTGCCGGTCTTCTCCTAGACCGATACAGGAAGAAGCGTGACGGGTATATTCCAGCACCGACTTCTATGTACGACCGTGGCACCGGAATGAGACGCATCCCGCCGCACGAGCTTCTCGATTCCTTGGGCAAAGGGCGCGCGGGGGCTCCCCATATATGAGCCCGCACGCCGAGCATCCAAATTCTTTGATCGTCGATCTTCATTAGCGGCATTATGGCGTTTGGATACGTAAAGCAAGCACATCACACCATATTTCGATCAGCGTATGATTCGTCATCACCTTGATTTCGAGTCCGGAAAACAAAGAGATACCCACCGGTTGACTGTCGTCGACAGTCGTGAGCCGCTCAACCGGGATAACAAGCAGAAGGCCGCGTCACGGGGAACGGCAGAGGAGAAGTAACGGCGAGAGATGTCGTGGCCGGTGTAATATCACATCTTCTCGCATCAAGCGTTACCCTCTTTTTCACCCCTCCTCCTAATCACGAGTTACGACAAGCAAGTCACTTTTTCACATTAATGTTTACATGTCTAGTTTATTCTTCCCACCACCCTACACCATGTATTATTATCTTCTTATCCTCTCCTCTGTACAACCAAAACCGATGCGAATTCTCGCAGCCCCGTCCCACGGCTGCGTGTGGAGGAAAGGAGTTGCGATCTCCTGGGGATGTTTTTGGGGACGCGAAGAGAGCGTGCTGCGTTTCGCGAGAGAATGGAGAAATAGGGGGGGTGGTCTTGCAGACCACGATCCCCTGGTTTATTTTGTCCTGCCCGAGAGGCATTGGAGAGCGAAGACTTTCACCCACGAAGGGGCGATCAAGGAAATGATTTTAAGGGATGCCTCATGGGAGCATAATATGCGCGTCTGCTTACAGCAGCTGGAGGTAGTCAAATCTCAGAAATAGAGTAGTCTCACAAACTGCGTCGAGTCCTAGCTTGTGTGATGTTTACTGACGTTCGTGATCAATTGTCTTCATCCCAGCGAAGCCTATGCAATGCAAATGTATCTAGTGGACGCAATACACAAGCCGGCAGGCATGAGACTCAAGGAGGTTGGTGTATCTCCGGTCTAATTTCATCTCCATCACTGACCAGTCACGACTTTGCCTACGACCTTGCCGCCCAGCTCCTCCTCAAAGACGCTGCCGTTCCCCTCGCCACGCGCGTCGAAGACGGCAAACCAGATCTCTCGCCACCACCCGCCGCGGAACTCGGCCTCCTCGAGGACCTCGAGCCAGCAGCGCGCCACCTCGCGCGGCGGGTTGCCGAAGGCGCCGCAGCCGATGGCGCCTAGCACGAGCAGCTCGTGGCCCTGCGCGGCGGCGATCCGCAACACGAGGCGCATCTTGTCCTTGGTCAGGGCGCGGTCGCGGGGGCGCGCGAAGCGCTCCTCCAGGCCGCTGCCGCCAGCGCCGGAGACGACCTCGGGGCGGCGGATCCCCGCCACGCTGACGACGCTGACGACGGGCAGCTGGTCGGCCGGGGTGCGGGGGACGAGCAGGCCGTGGCCCTGGGACTGGGCGCGCCGGATGATGACGACGTCGCGCGTGTACAGGCCCGAGCGGGCCGCCCATGGGTAGTAGCGCCGGTGCAGCGATAGCGACAGCGAGCTGCGGTAGCAGAGGGCCTCCTCCTGCGCCGACGAGCCGTTGAGCCAGCCGCCGCCTGGGTTCTTGTCGGAGGCAAGGTTGAGCACGACGACGCGGTGATTTCGCTGGCGACGCTGTGTTGTCTTCTGTGCTGTCTCATCATCATCGTCAACATCCTCCTTCTTCTTGCCGTCATCATCATGTGCTGTGGTCCCGGTAGGGGTGGCGGTGAGGAACAGGGGGTTCGTGGGCTCTTGGTCCGGCACTTTGCCCGGCATCTCCAGAGCTGCTTCGAAGGAGTCCGCGTTGACAACCTTGACGGTCGTCCCGCAGGCTTGGGGATCGCCGTTGGAGCCGGAGGAGAGCGGGAACCGCGGACACAGGGCCGGGTCCAGGGGGCCCAGGTCGTCGAGTGTGTGCTGTGAAGACATGTAGGGCTGCAGGCCCGGCAGTTGCTGCACGACGCTGGGCAGGGCGGCCTTGGTCTCCTTGGCCACGGCGGCAAGGGCGGCGCGTCGGTTGCGCACCGCCTGGGGTATGGTGGTCTGGCGCATGTTTCGTGGTGAGAGCGAGCACCTGCTGTGGTATGTACTCAAGTGAGCCCGAGGGGGACGGGCTTGGGAGAGCTGGGTTAGAGAGGTCGGAAACCCAGATCCCACAGCGTTATGGTATGGGTTGATTGCTGCCTTGGGTTTGCGAACTTCGTATTTCCTTGACTGGCCTAGGCAAGGCGGTTGACGCAGAACTACTCAAGGCGTTTGATGGTCCTAATACGAGCTTGCTTCCGGTTTGTCACTGCGCGAGTGAGCAATCGTGGCTGCTTTCTGGATCTGAATATGGGCCGTTTGCCTTTCAGTGTGAACCGTCTGGCCGGAAAGAGCGTCCTTGACAGCTATCCGTTGCGTGCCGTGCGGTTTCCAACCCAATAGTCGTTTCCCGACGAACAAAGGAAAGCAGTTTCCCATGTAGTGGAAAGTGGTGTGGATGAAATTGCCACAGTCCTGGCTACACCATGACTTTCTGTCGAGCCGCGATGAGAAGTCGTGCTGGGTGAGATACTGCATGCGGCTGGAGCCTCAGCTCGGCGTGACTCAAAACGTTCCTTGGGGGGGGGGGGGGCAGCGACCAGCTGCCTTGAGCTAATCCCCGTGCGCTGGGCTCTGGTTTTATTCGACTGTGTACGACTCGGTTGGTCTGGAATCCGCTTAGTTACTTCGTCTGAAGGGAATACATGAGGGATGGAGGTAGTATATCTCACCTTGTATCTAGAGACGTCCCGGAGTGAGGAGGCGTACGCTGGTGGCCAACAGCAGTAGCCTTGTGAGGAAGAACCTTGGCACGCCGAGGCCTTGCGTCCGACTGATCGCTCTGTGACGCGGCAAGTGGACTAGTTGTGATTTGCGCCGATGCGGGTGCTTGGTCAATCTATTTTGATGTTTCCAGTAGTTCGGAAACCCTGTACCAATCCCAGATGTCGTCGGAGGCTTTGCTGGGACCCAGTGCATGCAGTTCATAAGTGTCGTTAGCTCCCTCTGCGTGAATGCACAGGAGACCCGCCACACTAGCGCACAACGTCAACCTGCATCCTCTATACCAGGACATCCTCACTCTACTTGTGCACATATGTATTCCCAGCATCCATAGGAAGGCGTCATATGGGGTAAAGTGGGCGACGGAAGCGAGGAAATGCTGCTTCACTGAGTAGCAGATATAGCGGAACACATTTCGCATCCGGCATGGTGATGCAGATCCCCTCCGTCGGGGGAATTGCACGTGTAAGACAGAGCCGTTGTAGTCTCACTCACTCCTAACCTGGAACCTGCGATTAATAACAACCCAGAGAACACCGCAATACTCCCCCATCGTCCCGCTGTCGTCCAAGACCCAAAACCAGTCTAACCTGCCGCCGTCCAATAGTTTTCCAGCGAAACCTGGCACCAAGACAACATAGACTGCGGGGAACCCATGCATGGACAATCCGGGGGAAGTGTCTTGGGTTGAGCTCTATTGGTCGAGGCCCAAGAGCCCCTTGGGGGAAGGAAACCTTGATGCTTTGACCTACCTTCGGGGTGCGGGGAAAGGGGGGTGTGCTGTGGTACTTAAATGCTGGCCGGGAACCCCTTCCTATTGTTTGAACACCTGGCAGCCCTATACTATAACATCACTGTACGCCCCAGGAACCTCGATGTGTACCACTTTGAGATCAATCAACATTCACTTTGATGAAGATGATGATGCCAAAGCAGTGGTGACGATGATGATGATGATGATGGAATGGCAACGCGTACATTGCATACATTTGATTTACAGAATGCTATCAAACAACGGACACGCTCGAACGGCGTACCTACATCAACGCCATCTAATGAAAACACACACATGATTCGCGGCACCATGGAGCCGACCGTGAGTCTTGTCCTCCTCTATGATCTCTAATCCTTTCTTCCAGGCCGACGAGGGGAGACGAGTCCTTGTGTTGCGGCTTTCTAAATTCTATCAGGGGGGGTATTTCTTTGCGTACAGCTTCTATCCTTGCCACTCGTCTCGTCACACTTTCGCCGCCACACTTAAGCGTTGGTGGGCTTGAAGGCGATGGGCTCGGTACCCTCCTTGAAGGGGACGCCGAGCTCGAACAGCTTGACGATGACGGCGCTGAAGTCCTTGAAGAAGGCGTCGTTGTCGGCGGCGTACTTCTGGACCCAGGGCTTCATGGCCTTGTCCTGGATGAGGGCAATGTCGGCGGGCAACATCATGAGGGTCTTGCCCTTGTCCTGGAACTGCTGGGGGCCGTCCCACTTGCGGTAGGACCACTTCTCGCTCAGGAGGAGGGTGAAGTAGTCGTTGGTGAGGACGGTGGGGGAGAAGGTCCAGGGACCGTCGAAGCCGGAGCGGTCAGTGTGGCACCGGCCCAGGGCGTGGGCACCGGCAAGGGCGACGATCTCCTGGTCGTTGAAGCCCATGCGGTAGAAGATGTCACGAAGGTGGCTGGAGCCCTTGGAGGCATCGGGCAGACGTCCGTCAGGAGTGCAGGCAGCCACATCTCCGTCGGCACGGCCCGGGCGCCAGGGGATGACTGGGCCCTGCATCTCCTGCAGGGCGCAGACACCGGCCAAGGTCCAGAGATCAGAGTAGGTGATCCAAGGGAACTTTGCTGCAGAAGGTGTTAGCGTCTGGTTCCGGTCTCATTGGTCAACGAGTTTGTGCCGGGGTGCACAATCAAAGCTGATAGCGCACTGGTGGCATTCGCAAAGAGGAACGTACCCTTGACGGGCTCGAGGAAGTCCCGAGCGTGCTTCAGGCCAGCGTTGGCACCGTGGTCGGACTCGGGGGCGAATCTCATGGTGGCGCCATTGCTGCCACCGGTCTTGGTCTCCTTGTCGTAGGTGCCGCTGGCGTGCCAGGCGAGGCGGACCAGGACGGGGCCGTAACTGCCATCATCATAGTCGTCCTTCTCCTCGAGGCGGCCGGCGATCTCGTTGTAGACCTTCTGGTAGTCGTCCTTGGTGGGGACGAAGACCTTGGGGGTCGAGGACTGGGTGAAGGCGTAGTAGCCACCGGCGGCGGCGGCGGCGGCAGCGGCAATGTAGAGCAGCGGCGACGAGCTCGACTGCTTGGGAGGCTCCGAGGAGTAGGCGCGGCGGCCGCTCTGGCGGAAGGCCTGGCGGGACGAGGTCGCAAAGGTGTTGCGGGCACCGGTGCGCAGGGCAGCGCGGGCGAACTGTCTGGAGATGGTGGAGGCAGACATCTGTGGAGGAGAGGACGGGTCAGCTTCCGAGGTCCGAGTCTTGTTCGTATGCTATCCGGCGGATTTGACCGAAGAGGCGGAAACGGAGGCGGACGGACGGGTATCGAGGGGGTATAGGCCTCTTATACCAGGGCTGACTTGGGGATGAAGACGGTCTTGGGGGGGAAGCATACCTTGATAGTGAACGACGAAGAAGCAGCAGAGGCACAGGTATCACCAGAAGATTTGTGGTGTTTGACAAGGAAAGGAAGGGAAAACGCGGGACGATCGCACGGGAAGAAAGAGAGGGAGAGGCTGCCCGTCTTATCGTACCCTCACGCAAAATAGCGAATATAGGAAAGCCGTGATTGGCTGATTGGGGGTGCCCCCGTTGGTTCAGGGACCCGACCCCTTTGCACTAGCCGTGACTAAGACAGGGACGTCCCCCCTACAAAGTACTAACTATGGTAGATCCGCTGGAGAAAGGCCCAAAGGCCCCCGGTGGGCCCGCCGGCCTTGGGCGGAGGATTATGGATACGGCGTGGAAGACGAGCGAAACATGTGCGGCCAATTTCCAAAAAGAGTCGTGCCGCTGTGCTGTCTGGCTGGACGCATCCGCTCCACCACGAACCATACCCACTGCTCCAGACTCTAACCCGGAGCCAGCTGCTTGCTGCTCGGCTTCGGCTCCACGAGGGGGTGGGGAGGGGCCCGCATGCCGCTTCACGCCGCACGTTGCTGGCTTCTGGTTGGCCGCGCAGGAGGCAAGCCGTCGGGTCAGACCTGTCTCTGCAGAATGAGAATGAACGAACATCGATGGGAGAAACTGTCAGCCTCGCACCGCCCGGCCAACCAGCTCTCCGGGACCGCCCTCGCTGTGCACCGCAGGTGCTAAGTTGCAGTACACCTGGGTACTGCTGACAGATACAGCTGCACGCTTTGGGAATGACGGCGTAGTACACCAAGGCGTGCGAACCCTAACTTGACTCACAATCTCACCCCGATTTGCCATTGCCACGTCGGCATCGGAGGGCGCAGATTTCTTATCGGCTCATGTGCGTCTGAGGCTTGCTGCGAGGGAAAAGGCACGTCAAGTCACGCCATGAGTCGCTGACTCGACCCGGCGCCATCGGACTACATCGCTCTTCCGCGGCGCGTTCCTGACAAGAGCTCCACCGGAGTTTCAAATCCCTGCACAAACGAATCATGGGGTTTGTCACCACCGTGAATGGCCACCTGCACAGGTTGTCCCAACCAGCATCCAGAGATATAGTTACCAAGGTGCCTAGTATTCTAGCTCAGCCGCACAAGATAACACCAACAATTAGTATTGGGAGTGAGTTATGTGTATTTGAAAATAAGTAAAACTGCTATTTTCGATGCTCGCATCGTCAGGTGTTCCGGTCATCTTGGAGCCATCTTCCTCAGAGCTCCGACCTACACCGAGCCTATATATTTTTGTCCTCAAACTCCGGTCCCATACATGTTGCGCGCGTAAATCCCAAGCCCCAGCCTCTCGCCAGGGCACCCTGTGTCGCGGATCGTGACCGAAACCACAGGAGCAGAAGAACAACGAACACAAACATTGGCCTCGCCTTGCACAGGTCTTAAACCCGTATTGAGAGAGCAGACAGTATGAAAGGCTGCACTATACACACATGTCTGGGTCGACACACGGGCTGCTGCAGCCCGTGGCCTCCCACAGACAAAGAAAACCGCCTCCTGAAACGCGACGACACATATACAGCGAGACAGCAACACCTTAGTTGAATGAAGCGGTGCCTTGTGCAGCTGCATCAGGCTCCGCGATATACTCGTAGTATCTCGAGTAATTGCTCTCGGCCTTCTGCAAGGTGATCTCGTCCAGCGGAGGTCGCGTGGCCCCGTTCTCCTTGAGGGCAGGCTTACTGAGCGAGCAAGTCGATGCGGGACTGCAACTTGATCAGTAAATCGTTACACAGCACCGAGATACAGAAACCTACCCATAAATCTCTCGATCCACGACGAGCAGCTGCTTCATGGCATCCTTGTCTCCTCTTTCCTGGAGGTACGCGATGTAGATCAGGAACAGGCCCTTCTTGGCCCCTGCCGAGATGCGGCTCTTCGACCTGAGCTCGTCGAAGATGTGCTTCACACGTTCACCGTGTTGAGCCTCAAGCTGGGCGTTGGTGGGCTGCTCCAACTCGAACTCGAGCCACTTCTGCCAAAAGTGACGGCTGTCGGCGTACCACTGGACGTTCTTTGCAAACACGGCTCTGGCTTCGTCCACTGACCCTTTGATCTTCCACAGCAGGTACGCCCACTGCGTGACAAGAACCGCCTTGGTGAAGATGTCGACTTGCGGGGCATCGATCTGAGCCTTGTACACCTCAATCGCGGCATCGAGGCCGCTCTGCCGTCTCTGCAGGTTTGCCCAAGACACGATCGCTTCGACGCAGTCAGGGAGCTGAATGAGAATGGCTTCGTGGATGTCACGGGCGACATCAACCCGCCCGTAGGCCTCTTCGAAGTAGGCGAATTGCAGCCTAATGCCAGGCCTGCTGACGGGCACGAATAGAGTGGCAGCGCGCATGTATATGTGGCGGACTTCCTCTTCTTTCCCTTCCTGCGAAGACATCCACTGCGCGTAGCGGAACCAGAACTCATCGTACAGAGCACAGCTGACGAGGCAGCGCTCGTACAAGAAGATGATCCTCGCGATGTCCCCTTCTGCCTCCTCGAAATCGAGATACTTGCGCCAGTTGGACATCTGCGAGTGCTCTAGCTCAGTGACGTGGAAGTACGGTCTCTTAATCTCGGACTCATAGGTCCATCGCTTCGTCGTCTCTTCCTGCGTGCGGCGAAATGTCTCGCAGTACATGGTGTCGATGCGACCGCGGATCTCGCGTTCGACCTCCAGCTCCTGCCTGGGCATACCTCCATAGGCCGCGGCCTCGGCATCAACTTCTGCGCGGAATCGCGCGAGCTCTTCCGCGGAGGCCAACTCGCTCAGAGGCCGGTTGTGGGCCAACTGACGGAAGCGCTCAAAGTAGCGGGCGTACTGGTGCATGGGGATGTGAATGACACGCTGCAAGATGGCGAAGATCTTGTCATGGGCCTCCTGTCTCTCTTCGTACTCGAGGTACTTGTCCCAGAAGGGATGGGCCAAAAAGTCGAGGCCGACGCATGTTGCGGCACGCTCAAAGAGTCTGCGTATAAGTTAGTCAAACAGCGCGCGACAGAGAGGGGGGATGCATGGATGCTTCTTGGGGGTAAGGGGGAGGAGCGTAAATACAGGAAGGGGTAGTCTGTGCAAGCAAGATGCCGAATCCAAAGCAAGCCGAACTGTTCAAGATGGACTAGAAGGAGGGCGACGGGGGAGCGCCATGTCTTGTTGATGACAGTGTAGGAAACCAAAGCCTGATAATGTCTTGTGAGAAAGTTCCCAACATGGAATCTTATGTTGTTGGTATTTCTCACCGTCCACGATTCTGTGATGTCCGGTCGTGCAGGTCATTTTGCAGGGCGGGAGCCGCGATACCTCGTCTCTTGAGAGACGCTGCTTGGTGACATGGTTAAAGGGTAGGAAAGAGTCCGTCTCTACTTACTCTCTCACCAGGTGGGGAGTATGGGTTGTTTCCATCTTGAAGGAGCAGTACGAGGCCCACAGATCGACGCAGTTGGTGATGCTGGCGCATCCGCGCTCGTAGATCTAGAGGAAGACTAGGTCAGCTTGTGCGGGCGGAGAGAGAGAGCAGGGCTCGGAGGCAGGGCGCGTACCATCTCGGCCGACTCGGGGCCGGAAATGTTGAACTCGAGGTCGGCATACTTCTTCCAGTATCCGAACATGAGGGGGAACTTGAGGAGGAAGCGGTCGTAGACGTCGCGCAGGGCGGCCAGGGCCTGGGGGCTGGAGTTGCGGTTGAGACCACCTTCTTGGGCCTCGCAGGCGCGGATGAGCTTCTCCCACGATTCGAAGTTGTCCGTGTCGGCTTCCTGTTTGCAGCAAAACAATTAGATTATGTCGTCCATGCGCACGCGCGACGGCACGTCTGGGCCACGGCCACGGCCACGGTCGCAGCTGCAGCCTGAGCTCCATCTATCTCTGCGCGGGCTAGGTAAGGGGGAATACATACCACTTCGGCCGTCAGCTTCCTGATCTCTGCATTCTCCTCGTCGCCACCTCCGAAATGACTGAAGTCGGCCATGATGGGACGTCGGCTGTGTTGGATGCGCTTCCGACAGGTGTTGCTGTTGTGGGCGCAGACAATGTCGAGGCGAGACAAGAGGCGAGGCTGGGGACAGGAAGAAAGCGAAGCCAGTCAAGGGCCTCGGCAGGCTGCAGAAGTTTCGAGAGCCCGTGGGTGCAAGCGAGTGAATGCAGAGCTCAGGTTCTCGTCGTCGACATACACCTTGCTGTCCAAAAAGACAAAAGAGCTCACGATGGGTGGTTGATTGATTCAATTGAGGAGAGCTTGGGACGCCAAGTGCAGTTCTCTGGGGTCGAGTCGCAGCGCTGATCGTGAAGAAGATCGGACGAGCAGCTGGGGCTAATCAATGCACGCGTTTGCATAGAGGCATTCGGAATGGGAGAAAGCCCAGAGGCTAAGGGGACAAACCCAGGCCCCCAAAGGCCCCCAAGCCGCCAAGCTGCCCCCCTAAAGCAGTGGCCACGGGCGCCTCTGCACTCTGCACTCTGCACTGGCCCTGGCCCTGGCTCTGGCTCCTGGCTCCTGGCGTTGGCTCCATTTTTCAGCCGCATCAATCACAGTCACGTGGGATGTGGGCGTGCCCACATCAGCGTCCTGGCTCTGGCGGAGGCTTGAAAATTTCGAGCGCGACGAGCCAGGGCTCTCCTCTTCTCCTTTGCATCAAGCTTTTTGCAAAGCAGGCCTGTGATGATACTCAAATTACAAACATGATAGGAAGAGGAATAGAACCCAACAAGGTTCACTGATTTCAAATTTATAATCTGAGGCCGCTCTACGCAGAAGTTGTCAATTACTTTTTTTTTCCCCCTCATCACTACGCGGGAACGACCCTGAGCCTCAGCGTCTTGTTCGAGTACCATAAGCCAAGTGGCAAGGCTACCTGCTTCTTTCTCGTCGGTAGGTAGCCACTCGAGACGTCAGACACGGGTCCCCTCTCCCGCCCTCGTCTCTGTACCACTCCGGGTTATCGAATGTCATGAGAAGAAATTAATACAATGAAAGAGTCGAAGCGAGAGAATGGCCGTTCCTTGATAGTGGATGGTGAGAAAGGCGCGCATCTTTCGCGTCTGGCTCTTACCCAAGTTTTGTTAGATTGGCCCCGTGCTTTTACCAAAAAGCTGCTAGGAACTAGATTTGGCAAGCAAGAGGGCTCGTGGCATAATCTCGTGATTCTAGCCCAATCTCGAAGCTTTAGCATGCATTGTTACCACAGTGCTTTGTGACATCAGAAGGCCGCACCCCTATAGGATAGATGTAGACCAAGAGGCCAGAGGCCAAGCGTAGAGGCACGTAGCTCCTCGTCTCCTCGTAACTTCGACAATTGATTTCTATATCATACTATCCCAGCGGTTGGGCCTTGTTGTAGTGTATGATTGGGCTGCTAAGGTTGGCATAGCGCTCCCTCGAGTGCTTTACGATTGCCAATGGCAGTCTGCGAATTACTTCGAGCTAAAATGGTCATGATATCTCCCATAGTACCATGGCAATGCTTCTCTGGAACCATGAGCAAGCCAAGGCCGGTTATTCTGTGATGTAATGTCCCTCTCGTGCCATCTTCGGGTGTTGCCCGCACGGATGCCCCTGTTAGTGAGCTGCTGCTGGGCGTTGACAGGGGGTCCCGAGCTGTCTCCTGCAGCACGATTCAGCCTCAAGATTTAGCGTGTGGGTGGCAGCCCCACTAGTGACGTTGGGCGAGCACTGTTTCTGGGGGCGCTCTGGACATTCACAGCGCTGTCGTTGGTCGCTGAGCGCTTAGTTATGCGGTTGACTGACAATCTTGGCCGTACCTCACTATACCATACAGTACCATACCATACCTCGAGCATTGGGCGTCTCTGCACAGGCCGACGATCTGCGCTTAACACGACTTGGCTTCTAGGTGGCTTGCCCAGAGGACCCCGAGCATGTGCCAGCTTCTCCCGTCAACCTCTTGTGCTGTCGTGTCAGCATGGACCAGTACCCGCGAGCAGCCGATCGTGACCAGCCCGTCGGCGCTGCCTCCGAGAAGTCGAGCCGGCTCCTGATCCGCGAGTACCCTCACCGAGCCATCGCTATAGCAACCTCGTCGCATGCCTTGATCTTCCGATACAGCCCCACCACCAACGAGGCCATCGCCGATGGCTCCCTGGCCGCCGTGCCCTCGGCGCGCTCCCGAGCCGGCAGCGAAGGGCTCGTCTCCAAGTGCATGGTCGAATTCTCCCCCATCACCAAGGATCTGCTGGACGATTTCCGACCCTTGACCCCTCGCCCGGTATACGGGACTCTGGGCCTCATCTCCATCAGCCAGGATGTCTTCATATGCATCGTCACCCAGGCGAATCGGGTCGCCTCCCTCCGGCCGGGCGAGACGGTGGAGAGAATCGCCAGCGTCGACTTTTACTGCTTGAACAGCGCCGAATACGACAATGTATACGCTTCCAACACCTGGGACAACGAGTTCTCCGACTCGGCAGCTCCCTACGGCCAGAACCTAAATCGGAGGGAGGGCGAGATGGAGTACCCGTACCAGGAGCTGCAGAAGCTGTTGAGCAACGGGAGCTTCTACTACAGCACGGATTTTGATTTGACAAATCGCCTCCAAGACAGGTTCGTCAGCTCGGCCACCTCGAACCATTCATGCTGGACCTGCTTGGACTGTCCCTAACCCATTTGCAGGCCGGTCGACTCCGATACTTTTGATATTGACAATTTCGACGACTCCTTCCTGTGGAACTCTTTCATGATCAACCCCCTAGTCCAGTTCAGATCGCGCCTCCTATTGCACGAGAGAGAAGCGCTGGATGCTTCCAGGATCCTGACTTCAGCCATTCGAGGTTTCTGCTCCACATTGACGATACCCCAGGCGGCAGCACCCATGCGAGCCGCCAAATCAGGTCTTCCTTCATTTCTCACGGTGATATCACGTTTGTCGTGCAAGAGAGCAGGCACACGCTTCAACAGCAGAGGCATCGACGACGACGGGCATGTGGCCAACTTTGTTGAGACCGAGACTATCTACTGGAGTCCTTCGGGGGTTCTTTTCTCGTATGCCCAAGTTCGTGGCTCTGTGCCCGTGTTCTGGGAACAATCTGCTGGTCTCATTCCGGGCCAACAGAAGATAACCATTACTCGTTCTGCTGATGGTACCCAGCCAGCCTTCAACAAGCACTTCGAAGAACTGGAACAGTCTTACGGTGCTGTCCATATTGTTAACCTCCTCAGCGCCTCGAAACCAGGAGAGGTGGAGCTCACGCAACTGTATCATTATGGCGTACAACACTGTTCTCTGTGCCAGAACGAGGAGAAAGGATCGCAAGACCACAACTTGTTGCGTGAAACAGATTATGACTTTCATGCAGAGACCAAGTCCCTTGGTTACGAAGCGGCCAAGGACATACGACGGTACATTGAACATTCGGCAGACGGGTTTGCATATTACCTTGCGGAAGAGACGGATGACTCAGCAGATGCTTCGCACGAGCATAAGACGAATAACCGGATGGTTGTGGTTCTTCAGCAAGAAGGAGTGTTCCGAACGAACTGCCTCGACTGTCTGGACCGGACAAACCTGATACAGTCAATTATCTCACAGATGGCTGTTGAGTCCTTCTTGAGCCATCGAGCAGAATATGCCGCTTCGGATTTCTGGATGCGCCATTCCACACTTTGGGCCGACAATGGAGATGCGCTTTCTAGAATATATGCTGGAACCGGTGCTTTGAAGACCTCATTCACAAGACATGGTAAAATGTCACTGGCTGGCGCTTTCGCAGACGCGAGGAAAAGTGCAACCAGATTGTACATCAACAACTTTGCCGACAAGTCACGGCAAAACACTATCGACATGCTCCTGGGGAGATTGGTGGGGCAGGCCCCCGTTCATCTATTCGATCCAATTAGCGACTATGTGACGGCCGAACTATCTAGGCGCGGAGCTGAGTTTTCGTCAACCGAGTCAATTAACATGTAGGTGGCATCTAAAATCTGTATATACGCGTGTTGGCTAACAAGACGAAGCTGGGTTGGCACGTTCAACCTCAACGGCAAGACTAACGGTATCAACGAAGACTTGTCTCCGTGGTTACACCCAGGCGGACTGGGCACTACCCAGCCTGAAATTGTTGCTGTGGGTTTCCAGGAAATCGTCGAGTTGAGTGCCCAGCAAATCATGAACAGCGATCCGACTAGGAAGCAGGAGTGGGAAAGGGCTATCAAGAGATGCCTTAATGAGCGCGCGAAGCAGATAGGGGGCGACAAATACGTCCTTCTTCGGAGTGGACAGCTCGTTGGGGCCGCCCTCTGCATTTTTGTCAAGTCTTCCGTCCTGTCGAAAATCAAGAACGTAGAAGGGAGTGTCAAGAAGACGGGCATGTCTGGCATAGCGGGAAACAAAGGTGCCGTGGCAATACGGTTTGAGTACGCCAGTACACAACTGTGTTTCGTTACAGCACATTTGGCGGCTGGATTTGCAAACTACGAGGAGAGGAACCGGGACTACGCCACCATCCACCACGGTCTCCGCTTCCAGCGTAATAGAGGAATTGACAATCACGGTAAGGAGCTTCTGCTTGTCTTGTGTGAGGATGTACTAACCATTCCAGACACGGTCATCTGGATGGGAGACTTCAACTACCGTATTGGCCTAAGCCACGACAGGGCTATGGATTTAGTACAGCAACAAGACCTGGCGAAGCTGTATGAGAACGACCAGGTAAGTCTCGAATCTTGCGCGTGGTGGTTACCACGCTAATGGCTTGCAGTTGAACCTCCAGATGGTTGCCGGCCTGTCTTTTCCGTTCTACTCTGAAGCTCGTATCACGTTCATGCCCACCTACAAGTTCGACATTGGCACTGACAGATACGATACCTCGTAAGCCATGGTTCCATCTTGTTTACGCCGGCTGTCTACTTACTCTGTGTACAGTGAGAAAGCACGTATACCAGCATGGACGGACAGAATTCTGCGGAAAGGAACCAACATAAGACAACTGGCCTACAACTCAGCACCATTAAAGTTTTCCGACCATCGACCGGTGTTCGCAACCTTTCAGTGCACCGTCAACATCATTGATGAGACTCTGCGAGAGGAGATTAGTCATCAACTGTACGGACGGCGTAAGGCAGAAATTGGCCAGACAGGGGCAGGCCTGGATCTTGACGAGTCGGACGAGGAAGACCTCATTGGCTACGACGCTATAGAGCCTGGTCTACCCCCAGCCAGTTCAGATCGTCAAAGATGGTGGCTTGATAATGGCAAGATGGCCCAGTCCGGGATCTCTCCACCCAAAGCCAATGGCAGCTCAACTGTCATCTTGAATCCGAGTCGACCTTCCAACCCTTTTACACCCTCCGATGAGCCGGATTGGGTCGCCGTTCCCCGAGCTGGCTCGAGACTGGGATCCTTCTCGAGTATGTCTAGTTCGCCGTACGAGCACATCAACCACTCTACACTGCTTTCTACCTCGGCGTCAAGCTCAGCGCCAAGGAAGTTACCGCCGCCATTCGATCCTGGAAATATGCCCGCTAAGATCGGGAGAATCAATCTGATGGATGAGCCCATTAGCGGGCAAACGTCGAGGAATGATACACCCCCGCCACCTCCACCAAGGCGCCAAACCGGCATGAGCTCAGCAGAAACAACACCCAGAGCTATACCGGCCAACACGCGGGTGTCTAAACCCGCACCGCCTCCACCGCAACAGCGACGCATGTCAGTGACTTCACAGACATCGAACAAGTCCAAGGCACCTCCGCCAGTAGCAAAGAAGCCAGCACATCTTACATCGCCCATTACAAGTCCCTCGGCCAAACCGATCGACCAGTTCGATGACCCGGCATTCAGGCCAACCCTCCCCACGCGAGTTTCAACCAACGTGCAAACTCTTTCATCGCAGCTGGCTAGAAGCGGCTCCGGAAGCTTGACGGGCGGGATGCACAAACCTTCGCCACCGCCTCCCCAACCCAAGCGGGTCGGGACGCTCCCTGCGAGCGGTGGATTCGGGCGGGCATCCTCTAGTGGCGGAGTGAGCCTCCCGGGCCTAGGTGAACGGAAGCCGGCGTTGCCTACACGTCCTGCGCAGCAGCAATCTCTTGGGCAGCCTCAAATTAACCCACAGCATAAGATAGCGAGGAAGCCGGTGGTGGATCTTTTGGGCGATGATGACAGCACGGGCGACATGCATGGTTGGGAGACCTTACGCCCTAGTTAGATGTTGGTGTTTGTTTTGGAAAACGCATGCAAATGGCGGCTCTGCGCCATGTGCCCGGAGTTTGGTCACGACGGAGACGGTGTTCAGACACGATGTACGTTGCCCTGCATAAATGAAGAAAAGAGATCTTAAACGAAGCGAATCTGCTATTGCGCCACGTTCGATACAATGTAGACTTTTGGGCCACCAGTGGTCAATCCTTCTCTGGTTGTTGTCGATTCCTTCGTTTGTAAAGAGATTCGATCTTGGCTCGGATAGAAGTATTCAAGCACTACATTAAGCACCGAACATCATAGATTGAGGAGACAGGACAAGTCCATTTCGCCGCATAGAGCACCCAAGCCTCCGAGTGCAACTAGCCCCGGATCTAAATAAGTGTGTACCCAACGGAACTAATAACTTAGAGACATTGAATAGTCGACCAACCATCCCTGACCGAGGAATTGCCGTTGGCGCCCCCTTTCCGCGCCATCACAGCGTCCAACATTGATATCCGCCAGCGACCACGGCTCTTTCTGGTTTTTGTCACCCGGGAATCTGCTTCTCGTCAGAGTCCCACACACTCACGCCCGCATCACCACGGCAGCCCGCGATGGCCGGCGTCGCGCGCCAGTCTGCCGACCGTGACCGCCAACCCTCCGGCACCGGGGGTTTCGGTGGCTACGGCGTCACGCGCGTCGTCGTCGTCGACGAGGACGACGCCCAGCCGCGGGGGGCGGCGGCTGCGGCGGGAGGCAGGGACGCCAAGAAGACGGACCGCATCCACCGGTGGCGCGCCGAGGTCGACCCGCGCGACGTCTTCTGCAGCTGCTCGCACCGCCTGGACCAGGGCAAGCGGAGCCGGAGCGGCAGCAGAAGCAGCAGCAGCATTGCGCGCAGCCCGTCGTCGGGCCGGTGTCCGGCGTGCGGCGGGCTGGCCGACGCCGCGGCGGCGCAGAGGAATCCCGGGGACGAGGACGACGGGGACGGCAGCAGCAGGGGGACGAGCCGCGTGAGGCTGTCGATCCGCGGCCTCTTCCGCCGCGCGCGGACGCCGTCATCGGCCGCCGGGGCCTCCACGCCCACGACGCAGATGTACCGGCGCGAGGCCCTCGCGGACGACGGCGACGACGAGGGGTCGTCCTCGGATGCCGGCCGGGGCGGGGACCGGTTCAGCGACAGCGACGGCCGCGGCAAGCCGAGGCTGAACCTGGACGACACGGCGGCGCGGCTGCGGCGCGCGCAGAAGCTGCTGCACGCCCAGGGCAAGGGGCAGGGCGGGGCGGGCGCGAAGCCTGGTGCGTGACGGGGGCTGCCTATAAACGTCTTTTCTCGACGATGCGCGCCCGGGAATAGAGAGCCGGCATGGGGAGGGCAACGTTCACGACGACGAGACGGGGCACTCTCGGGTGCGGACGGGCTGAGGAGGGATGGTTTGGTACGTGCCAGAAGAAGCAAGGACGGTGAGGTGTGCCGTCAACTAACTCGAGCTTGGATCTGAAGCCGCACCGACTCTCTCGACAGATTGTGTGGCGAGCTTACATCTGGTTCGTCGTACCGACGGCGCTCGCTGGGCTGCGTAGAGCGAAGGGGTTTTGGATATTTATTCTCTCAGAGTGTTCACGAACCTGATGAGGTTCGTGCTAAAGTTGCATTTGCGTTGGGCGTTTGGAGATTCTTGTTTAGAAGGGAGATACCCAGCATACCAGAATTTGGAGTGGTGTTCGCTATACACCAAATCTCACAAATTTTTTTTGATTTCTCATCACGCGATCTGCAACGCGGTAGCGGAGACTCGGCGGCGGCAAGAAGACAACACCTGTTTCTTGAACGACAGAAGAACCTTGCCGTAGAGGTAGACCAGATTAGACATGAGGTTTCTATAACAAGCGCGCATCCTTTCAAGAATGAGTCCAGCACTGCCAGTGAAGGTAACGCCAAGTGCATCGGTATGGCATCGAGGATGCCCGAACAGGCGAAGAGTGTTCCGCATGGGCTGAATTGAGAACTTCTACCAAGTATTATACGGGATACACATATACACACACACACACACACAGTTATTGACGAGAAGACACATATGTGCTGAAGAATTTTTTCGTTTTATTGTCTCTGGGCCTGGCAGTAGAGCCACTATGGATTTTGCTGGACGACAAACAGGGATCACACAGCTTCGCGAAAGCAGACACAACCAGGCTGTTCCCTCGTCTTCACTCGCTACAGGTTGCGGCGAGCGGTGGTGGCAACAACAAGGCCAGGTGTCAGTTGTCAGGCAGCTTTCGTAGATGTGCGCGAGGATCGTCATGTCAAGCAAATGACCAACCCGGGACGGCAGTACAGGCAATGAAAAATAAACAAAGGGGGATCGCGATATCTCTGGAGACAAACACAAGACAAGAGCAAGAAAAACACTGATGAGAGGGAAAAGAAATCCATTGACCGTCAAGAGACCTCGAGCCACCATTTTCGTAAGCCCTTCCTACTAGACGAAGGGATAGAGAAGCACGCGAGGCCAGATGTCGTGGTAGGAATGTCATTGCCAAGCAGAAAGACATACGAGCTACCGCGCAGTCTCTTGGTTTGGCGGCTTTTCTTCCATGGAAGCAGATCGACGAGGGGACGCCATGGCCTGCATCTTCCCAGCCCTTTAATCAACCACGCCAGCTCCGCTGTATCAACCTTGACCAATTCACAAATTCCGTGACCATCTTTACTGGGTATCGAAGTAGACCCAGCCCGTCAGAATATCCGCATGAGCCTGTGCCAATGAGTCAAACCTAGCTGAGAGGACGGCGCTGAGAGATGCGAGCCGCTTAGGACTCGGGAGCGGCGGCGGCGGCGGCGGCGGGAGCAGCCTCCTCCTTCTTCTCCTCCTCAGCGGGCTTGTCCTCCTTGGGGGCCTCCTGGGTGGCACCCTCGCCCTCGGCGTTGTCGCTCGAGGTCCAGAGGGTCAGGTTGTCACGCAGCAGCTGCATGATCAAGGTGCTGTCGCGGTACGACTCCTCGGACAGAGAGTCGAGCTCAGCAATGGCATCATCGAAAGCCTGCTTGGCCAGGTGGCAAGCACGGTCGGGCGAGTTGAGGATCTCGTAGTAGAAGACGGAGAAGTTCAGGGCAAGACCAAGGCGGATGGGGTGGGTAGGGGTGAGCTCGGTCTGGGCGACGTCGGTGGCGCTCTGAACAGGCGAGTTAGTACTGGGGCTTTCACGAGACGGAAAGTCGTGAGATGGTGTTTGGCGTTTCTTACCTTGTAGGCCTCGTGCGCAGCAGTAGCGGCAACCTTACGCTTCTCACCGGAGGCGAACTCGGCCAGGTAACGGTGGTAGTCACCCTTCCTGTGTTGAGGAAAGCCATGGTTAGCGTTGTGACGCGTGACGGATTGGGGACATGCCCAAGGAGAAGCGGGAGCAAGCGAGACACTCACATCTTGTGGTAGAAGACCTTGGACTCGCCAGAGATGGCCTTGGGGATCAGGCTGTCATCGAGGACGTCGAGGACATCCTGGCAGACCTTCTCGAGCTCGAGCTCGATCTTGTTGCGGTAGTCGCGGATGGTGCCGACGTGCTTGTCCGAGCCCTTGGACTCCTCCTTCTGCTCGATGGAGGAGATGATGCGCCACGACGCACGTCTCGTTCCGACGACGTTCTTGTAGGCGACCGACAGCAGGTTGCGCTCATCGACGGTGAGCTCACCGTCCAGGTGGGCAACCTCCTTCATGTAGGTAACCATCTCATCGTAACGCTCGGCCTGCTCGCAGAGGCGGGCGAGGAAAGTCTTGCTGTGGGGAGATGTCAGATCCACGTCACATCACGGTGAAGAATACCCGGCGGTGGCCGCGGGCGGTGTTCCATACCTTTCGCGCTACAGACGGACATTCTGGTCAGCATAAAAAATTCACCACGGCAAAGAGGAGTTGCGCATGCAGGAGAGAGAGAGAAGAGAGGCCAGTCGGGCCAGGGCGGCGGGCCATGACGGCTCGAAGGGGGGATGGATGCCGTCGTGGGCGGGCGATATGGGCCAGGACCCGGGCGGGCGGCAGAGCGGGAAAGGGGAAGGCGAAGGCGGGCTTGTAGCAGGGGAGCAGCGGACGACGTACCTCAGAAGCCATTTTGACGATGGGTTGTGATGTGGTGTGTGGGTTGGGTTGGTGGTTTGCGGGTGTGTGGCGAGAGGAACTCGAGGGCGCGGGGAAGGGAGAGGAAGATATTATTTACTTGATGTTGTGATGGGTTGACGTTCAGATCAATCACACGAGGAAGAACAAGCGGCGACGGGCCAGGCCAAAAGAAAGCACAGGCTTTTTTTTCGCCTTGGGGGAGGAGGAGGGGGCATCAATGTTTCCTCTGGTGCTGGGCAATGCCTGAGGCCCTGAGCTGCTGCTGATTGGAGGGGGGGCGGCGGCCATTCTGGAGACAGGGGGGGTCGCCGCCCGTCACCGTCCGTCCTGGTCCTGGCGCCCCCCGTCGAATTGAGACGGGCACAGAGAATGGGGCAAGGCACGCATCACTCTCCCAAGGCCATTCATTCAAGGCATTTCATTCATTCATTGATTCATTCTTTCTCTCGCGCTCGCGCTCGCTCTCCCGTCATTTCACGCTGTCGACAACGCGCCAGCCAAAATTAAGCGAGCAACAAGTGGATGGCTCAGCTTGGTACCAAAGGTACTTCTTCTAGTTGCCTACGTCTGATGAGCCGTCTCCTTCGTGCCCGACTCGACGCTCCCTACTCACCGTCCCAATCCCAATCCCAATCCCAATCCCAATTCCAATTTCAGGGTCCTGGGACTGTGTCCCTCGCCCGCGCCCACGGACCACGGAGTCTCGAAATGGGGGGCAACTTGCGCGTTTGCAATTTCATGTCATCTCTACACACTGGCCCGGGCAGCCTGCAACATGCACATGAGGGGCATGATGACAGCTGCAAAACACATACCTAGACAGACGCCTGCAGGGCTCATCGTAAACGAGGACTCTCTCCTCTACCCCCCTTTGCTTCTGAAATCTTCCATCGCGGGAGCTCCCCGCACCCAGGACCGGGCTCATCAGGCTGCTGGCTAACACCACGCGTTGTGGGCCTCTGCCCGTCCCGGCGGACACATGTGTGCACTGGGAACTCGGCATGAGCCTGGAACTAGCAAGGTCATGCCCACGGGTCCCGGTGGCATTGGATTGGGGGCTTGGGCGGTACGTATCTCGTAGCAAGTGGTCCGCCAGATCACTGGAATGGCCCTCTGGAATTTCCGGCCCAAGCCAAGCAACCATTCATACTTTCGCCCATGACGAGGCCAGTTCCTTGCTCTCTTCCCTGGCCAGGTGATCTCTCAAGCGCGAATGATTGTGCGAGAACCCGATCATAACCTCGACTGGCAAAGTTAACTTGAACACGAGAGGTCGGGCTGTGCTAGCTACGAGAAGACATCTTCCCCTGAAATAGCCCCCAAACAGGTTTTCAATCAACATTGTAGTCTTTCTTTCTACGTACAAGGCGTTCATGTACAAGTCATCATAGCCAGTGCACATACACACGCGTTCCGACGACCACGCTGGCAAATATCGAGACAATCCAGCTGGACGTTAGGTAATCAACGAACGCATCGTATTATGCTTGCGTGCGTGTGTGTCTTTTTCCCTCTCCCAACATTTCGGGGCACCCAACCGAAGATAGTTCTTCCCAATGCATGCTGGCCGCTGCTACCCTTCCAGAATCTCTCTCTGCCCCCATCGACCCCTCATTCCAAGCTAGCTCGCAGAGACCTTTGGCCGTGATAGGACGACGCTGCCCAGCCCAGCCTTATCGCGTGGCATCCGGGTGCTGCATGTGCGTTGTTCGGCCGCAGGGCTGTGCTGGCAAATCTTGCCCGTTTCTTTCCCTTCTTGCCCAGTCACACAAACACACAGTCACACACTCACACACATGGTGTGTGCGTCTTCTCTTGAGCCGATAGGAAGTCTCTTCTGTCGGATAAGGAAGAGACGAGACCGGACAAGCAAGTCGTGCCAACGTCATGCAGGCTACCCGTTCCGCGGCACTTGCACAGCTTCACATGCACTGCATGTCGGGCTCTAGAATACCTACATACTAGGCCGACACTGCCTTACCAGATTGTGAATATTTTCGACCAGAGATCTTGATGACAGGGGCTTGCTTCTCGTGGTTAGCCGCCAGAGAAACACGGTTCTTGCGCCACCTACGGAATAACCAGGGAGGATTAATATAGGTAAATATTATGTTCGTAGTGGGCGCTTAAGGTATACGAGGTTTACTCTTGCTACACCCCAGCGGTTCTCTTAGCACACCAAGTCCCACGTCAACGGACTTGGTCAAAAAAGTAAGGATATTAGACACTAGCTAGTTACTATCGTATTGTTTGGTCTTCCTCTAGCACCAGTGCTCACTTCTGCGACTACTCTCGCCTCGGTCGTTGTCTCATCATGCCGTCAAAAATCCCACCTCCGAGTCACACTAGAACCGGTCTGGGGATTCCAATTTCTTGTCCATCAAGAGGGCCAGCCTAAAGCTCGTCGCTAACGGTGACGTTGGGATATCTGTCCCGTCCCCAGTCAAAGGGGTCCCCTCCTGGGACACACAGGCCAAGACGCCAGAAGTAATCGCGATGGGCGAACAGGAGCTGCCAAAGCTTAAAACGTGACGGGATGCCCCAGCGCTTCTCAACTGCACCTGTCTCCTCAGAAGCCTTGCCAGCAAGGGCTCTTTTCTTTATCTCCATCACCTCCTCGCCCTGGGACCCAGCGATGCATCTCGGGTCGTAGTCGCCTACGCACGGCCAGATGTCTCCCGGAGCAGGCGGCAAGTCGGATTTGGAGATGAATATCTCGCCGGCATGTGACCTATACCCCCATTCGTGCAAGGGGAGAAGAGGCACAGGGTCGTCAACGTGGGTCAGGCGCCTGTATATCTGCCTCTCCGGCTCCGTGCGGTTGTTCTTGAGGTCGAAAACGGCGTCGAGGTAGCGCACGAAGCCGTTGTTCCCAACTCTTGGCTCCCCAAACGTAGTCACGATTACATTCTCCCAGCCAAGGATGACCCTCATCTCCAGGGCTGCCAAGGCGGCGACGGCGCCGCCTAGGCTATGGCCGACGAGATGGATAGGGTAATCAGGATACTGCGAACGTAGAGGCTTCAAAGTTGGCAGAACATCCTCTCGGGCAGTCTGCCACGAGGTCAAGAAACCCATGTGTACTGTGCAGTTCTCGCACCTGTGCTCGGGCTCCTCAGGGGCTTCGTCTCCTCCGTCCTCCGGGGACGGGTAGGGCACGTACTCCTGGGGCACAGTGCTGAGGTCGATGACCGTATTGGTGATGCTGTAAGTGCCGCGGAAGGCGACTACGATGGCCCCGCTTGTGGTCTCCTCCGAGCCCACAGAGGGTCCCCAGTGCAGCCGGGCGCCTTGGTCGTGGTCCACGGCAATGTAGCCGCAGCTGTCGCTCATCAAGACCCCCGTGTTCCATGTAGTTACCAGCCCAAGCGTCGGGAACTCCTTGCATCGCGACGCGCACTCGAAGGGCCGAGAGAGGCCGGTGGTGCCAACGCAGTAGGCGATATCCACCAGCCGCGAGAGACGTTCGAGAGAGGCGAAGAAGCGGTTCGAGATGCCGCCCGGCGGTTCGTTATGTTGTTGGGGCAGAGGGTGCTGCTGCGGCCGCGGGAAGGGCGAGGGAGATGCCAGGCATAATACCACCTGCAATACCAGGGACAAGAGTGTCGGGAAGAGCGAGATCATGGCGTCGGGTTTGCTTCGCTACCGGTGATGTCACTGTCGTTCAACGGCCAGGACGTATAGGTGGACCATGTTGATCCGTGGTGAATGCTGTAAGAGGTTTTCTGGTCCAGAATTGGATGGCGAATATGCGACACAAAGCCTCGAATCACAGAATTGCGCATTGAGCGTTGAAACGCATCATGTCTTGCGTCACGGACGCCGAGGCGCTTTGTTGTGAGCGTTCAGGTGATGGCAATTTGTGGCGGGTTCCAGCCGTCATCTGGCATCTGGAACAGGCACAATGTGCGCTAGAACCATTCTGAAAGGCCGGGGGAAGAGCGCGCCTTGGCGCCAACGCGGGGTATGGGCCCTCCAGGCTTGGGCGCCACCTAACCTACCTGCATGGTACACTTTCTATATTCCGTGGAGGGATTGCAGTGCAGTTGTACAAGATGCGTGCGCCCAGCTACTTCTTCCGTTATGCCTTCACGTGACCCTGTCGGCAACGTCCTCGGTGCATGCCTTGATACATAGTTACCAGCGTGTTGCTCTCGGAACCACTATATTGGTATTGAGATCCAGTAGTCGTTAGTATAGTACGCAGGGTTCCCTATCTCGACGAAAAGGCTCCTCAAATATCCCCAAGGGTATCAAGGGCTCAGCAAGCTTGGAACATTATTTCCCGTGATTCAGCCTAAGTCTAGTTGTGGATTGCTCAAAGAGGACCTATCCGCCGCTATGCTCTGCATTGTAGTGTTGTACCGAATTCAGCCGCCTTACAACCAACCCCCTTCCCCTATTTCTTTCCCGGCGTTGTCGCAATAGAGTAGATTGAGGACTGGAACCTAGTCATTCATATCCCGAATGGCTGGCCACATGAGTAGAAATGTCGATGCCTTGGTCAAGGCTGAGTGCTCTGTACAATTCCTGTGGTTCTTTTTTGGCATGCCATACAGAGCTGACTGTCTACTCAGTCACATGCAGATTTGGTTACAGAAGGTCGCGGCCACCTCCGTGTTGTCATCAGTCTCTGGTAGATGTCTGTTGGATCCAAGTCCAATGGTAGATATCCGTGCCTCGCTGCCGAGAAGACATCAACGCCAGCAGTTTGGACAAGATCAGGTTTGTAAATGTAAAGGAGGTGAGAGAAGCAACAAACTCAAAACTCAGTCCCCTCAGCAACTTTTTTTAATCTTCTTATGACCACTAATTCGATAGCTTTGAACTCACACAGAAGAACTTGTAGATTGAAGATGGCCGATGTCAAAACGTGCATTACCAGGCTGTCTGAAATATATGCACTATAGTTGCCTATTGTGTTACAGCCTAGCGGATGTAGGCTTTTGGGTCTCCTGACATGATATCCGTGGTCAGTGGTATAGTTGACTCCGGAGCCGTAAATATAATCTACGACTCTATTACGCCTTGTTTAATTCAATACTGGAAAGACAAATAGGGGTGTTTCCAAATTTATAATTATGCAACTACTAGATGCTAATTATCGAGAAACGAATACTGCACCAGTAAATAAACATTATCGATTGACTTGGTCTCGATAACATTAGCAGCCTGAACCGCCCAGTCGAGCGCGTCAATTCTGGCTGAGGACGACCTAGTGAAATAGTCACCAAGGCTACCGTCATCCCACTTACGCTCCTTCGAGTCTTTCGGTGGAGTTGGGATCTTGTCAATGTCCAGCGCCTGAATCAATGCTTGAGACTTGGAGAGGAGCATCGTGGAGTGGACCTGCAGCGAGGAACGCTGTCGGGACCAGAAAGGGAGCCGGCCTTTGAGATCGCCGAGGTTCATAGAGGCGGCGATTTCGCCAGCAGCCCCAGGCTTCGCTCCCAGTCGGCTTCTGAAGCCGTACCACTCGTTGGAAAAGTCGTTCTTGAGATCCCAGATCGCCCAAAATCCGTCCTGCTTACCGCGACGATCGGCAGTCTCGGCCGCCTGGCGGACTGCTTCGCTCGCCGCAGCCTTGAGCAAGGCGCCGCCCTGGTGTGCTGTGTACTGGACATGCAATAGCACGTCGCTGATGCTCTCATAATCGAACTTACGGATCGCGGCAGGGAATTCGAGGCGCCAGCTGGACACGGCGCCCGCTCCCTCGAATGGCATGTAGGTTGGTCCGTTAAAGTTGAGCTCGAATACTCCCGAATCCCCGGAACCTGAGCTGATAGCGATGGTAGAGATGGGTATTCGATCCGTCCGGAAAGATTCACCGTCCGTCTGGGACGAAATATAATCGGCCGCGTCGGCCACGTTTTGGCTCGTGCGGTACCTGTGCTGTAGCAACGTGAGGATGGCGTTCACGCCAGTGTGCGGTCCCACGATTGCCGGCACCGAGACAGCGACCGATTTGATCCTGCGCATGTAGTGTCCTGGGAAGTCGACGTCGTAGAGCAGTTCGTCAATGGAGAAATCAGCAACGCCCGTGATCCTGAGTCTCATCAGTGCCATGGGGTCGATCTGCCTCAGGGAAATTGTCTTGCTGATCGCAAAGTCCGCGGATGCGCTGTTGAGCTGCGCTGTCTCGAGTCTCTTCAAGTCGAGGTATAGAGAATCTGCAGCAAGTAGTCCATCGTGAGAGCCATCCCAGTAGCCAGCTGGTCGGATTATAGACAACTTTCGGCCTTCATCGAATGATAGGGCGCTTTCCGCGCGCTGTGCCATGGCTATGGCGAGTGTGTAAGCCTGGAAGTAGGTTCCTCGAAGACTCTTCTCCATCCATGCATACAGGTTCTCATTCGTGTACTTTGACCGGTACCACGCCTCAGTCTGCTGAGCGTCCTCGAACTCGGACTTCTGGAGGTCAATCTCCTTCCGGGCCGCCATGACGCGTATCCTCTGGATCTCGATCTGCTTGTCGATGGACTTTATATCGCGGCCGCGCATGTTTGCCTGGAGGCGTCTCTCTTGCAGTTGCCTTGTTAATTGAGCCTTCCGCCCAGCATTCGTTCCCCGATCCGCCGTCACCATTGCAGCCATCTTGACAGCAGCCGATCCAGCTGCTACGGCACTGGCGAGTTGCGAACCACCGAAGGATGTACTCACTCCACAACCGAAAGGTGCCGCCAACCCTTCAACTTGGGGGACGGCACATAATGGGGCGATGAAGCCATCCATTCCAGCAGCTATCACATTGAGGACAGTCGAAGCAGTTGCCAAGTCCATTTCGCTCTCCTCGTGTGGAGACATCTTCAAGTCGTCCTCGGTAGGGTCGTCAATGTCTTGCTGTATATCGCTCCAATCTTCTGTTGGTTTAGGGACCTTAGATAGAGGCTCGCCAATCAACCTGAGATAGTAGGATAGTTGCGTCTCTAAGGAGCCCCGGTTTAACATGAGCGAGTCAACGGTCTGCTGGGATTCCTCGAGCTGTACCTTCTTGATATCAAGCATCATCTGCTGTATGGTGGTGGTATGACGAGCCTTGAGAGCAGCGAAAGTCTCGGACTCCTTTTTCTCGATCGCAGACAACAAGCGGTCTCCGAGCGAGCGCAGCTCCGAACACAGTTCTAGAGCTTTGCCCAAGAGAAATTCAAACCGTTGCCGGGGAATAGGAGTGCTACTGTCGCTCATAACGTCCATCATACTGATTCCCGCGCTGCTAAGGGCCATCATCTCGGCGGGGTCGATTGGAGGCTCTCTCAAAGCATATACTATTGGTCGTCCCTGTATGTCGAGGGAGTTTCGGATATTAAACAGACGGCCGCGGACGAGGTTGCGCATCTGCTTGAACCGCGGATTGATTGGCACGCCGAAATACCCCGTCCTTAGGAAGCACGCAATGTTCTCTCCCTTCGGATCCCGCTCCCCTTTCTCCGCGGCGCCCTTAGTCTTCTTTTTCTGCATCATGGCTGAGAATAAAGGTGGGAGTTGGAGTTTTATCAGGTCGTTGACAATATCCTCCTCTCTGAGCTGCTCAAAAGTCATGGCTTTCCTCTTCCTCTTTGCCAAGTCCGGGACTTTCGGTGGTTCCGGACCAAGGACATGGCTGGCCTCTGTATACCGCTGGATGGCTAACGGCAAACTCTCAAGTGTTCCTCGGCGAAAGTGAATATCGCCACTCGCAATCAATATCTCGGCGTATTTCATCACAATCCACTTCATATACGACGCTGGCCGCCCCCTCGCAGCCGCGTGGACGAGTGAACCATACGAACGGCGCTCCTTGACGGCAAGCTCAACCTCTTTCCTCAGCAGCGATAGATCGCTGCTCGCCTCACCGTCTCTTGCCATCTTTCGAGCCATATCTTGAAATGGAGGGAAACGCCAGCAAGTTGTAACGCTCTGCGGCTGGCCTGCGTCATCCTGAATCTCCACTACGAGGTCAGCGGACGGGTCGAATACAAGTCGGGCCACCTGCAACGCCTCCTCGAACTGCTGCGTAGAGAAGAAACGGTCCACTGCAAGAAGTATGGCGTGCAAACCAATCTCCCAATTGTAGAGCGCAGTTGGATGACCCAGCTCGTGGTACCACACATCGCCACTGCCGGCGCCGAAACTTCCTCTATGATTTAGGACGGGCAGACGAGCCAGATAATTGTATAGACTTCGTAGGGGATCGATTCGATCTGCTGTCGCCTCCATCAGCTCGTGCGAAAATGTGTGATCGAGAAGGATGAGCTCCATGTCATTTGCCAGGCTCTTCGCATCCCATTCCACATTGTTCGGTCGAACCAGTGGCTGTCTTGGCAAGTTGAAGTAGCTAATGCTCGTACCGTCGGTCTGTTCGGCGCTCAGTACCAAGCCTGTTACTCTCGTGGTGGACTTTGAAAGCGTCCAAGTGATGTTGTCTTTTGTGGTTTTGGAGGCCAAATCCTTGGGCACCCAGAGGAGAACCTGATCATTGGCGTACTTTTCCCCTTCGATCAACTGATCAGGCTCGAAGTTGCTTCCAACCACCTTCTGAAAGAGCATAGGGAGCTTATTTGAATTAGATGTGCCCACATCTGTCGTTTCATCCCGGAAAACCATTTGGTCTTGGCAGAACTCGAAAGTACCTGAGCGAGTTGCTCCAGCGGCAGCACCATCGACGTCTGGCGCCGAACTGATGATTATATTCAATTTGTCCAATTTGGATCCGGAGAATTTGGGATCCATTCGGAACTGAGTCGCAGAGGCATTCGTTATCTCGACGTCACAACTCCCTTGAGACATGCGCTTTGGAGACCAGCTGCCGGCTACGAACTCTGTCCAACCCATTGTGATCTCCCATATGCGCTTGGGCTTGGGCGCCGCGACTTGAGCTTGGTCGATATACAAGGACACAGGTTCAGGACGGTCTGACAGAGCTCCAGGACCTTCTGCGTGTGCCCCAGGACCAAGGGTTACGCCGGCATCTTGGGCATTTGCGATGGTCTTTGGAACGATTGAGGGCATGAAGAGGTACAGTCTTCCTCCGATGACGATGGGAAGCAGATATGTGCCCGTATTTCTGAGTCGATTTCCTTCCCATTCTGTCTCGATAGACGGGATGTCCATGTCAATCTTTGTCCACGCTCGCCAAAAGATGTCATTGCTTCCCCTGTAGATAGTCAGGGTACGGTAATAGAATACATGCGGCGCAATTCTTGTACGCCCGAAGAAGTGGAAGACGTCTACGTCCTTTGACTGCGGCTCGTGTAGATATGACACGATTTCAAGACTCGATATCTCATTCAATCCGTGAACATAACTTTGAACAGCTTGTAAGAAAGTGCTCACGCTGAGATTCTTCTGCATGAGTGAGGACTCCAGATCATTGAACAGCGCACTCTTGTCGTCTCTCAGGGTTGGGTCGATCCAATTCTCCGGATAGAGGAACATTTTGCGATGGGCCTCCCACATAGTATACTGCTGCATCCAGGCCCACTTCTCCTGCCGCAAAGCAGTCTTGGAAACACCCTCTTCGAGGCCGAGGATGCACCGCTGGGCGAACAGCTGCACGACCGAGATGGCTTGTTTGATACGCGACGTGCGCAGCTGGGGACCCATCTGGACATCGATCAGGAAACGCTCAAACAAGCCATCTGCGTGCCAGATTCCCATGTCTTTAATGTAATCTTGCTGCAGAAGATAGTTCACCAACGCTGTTCGTTGATTCTCCATCAGTCCTTCGTCTGCAGTTGCCCGCTGTGAGCTACTCAGTCTGGTCTGCATGGCACGTGCTGCGGTGACGTACTCGGCTGTGACCGCGGATTGTCGTGGTGGCTGTCCAAGAATGAAGAGATCTTCAATTAATGCCTTAGAAGAAGCTTCCGGTGTGCCTCCCAGCCGTTGGTCAAAGGCGACAATCGATTGCAAGGCCAAAATAGCGTCAAAGTTGCGTAAAGTGTCCATCAACTCTGTGTGGCTGTACCCAGAGTACTTGTAGCTCAGTATACTCTCAATAAGGGTCGTTTTCCATCCGGTACACTCCGTGATCTGGGCTGCGATAGTCTTGGCGTCTGCTTCCTTGGTGCCGGACAACCACGAGAAGAGACCGACGAGCGATTTACCAGGAACGCCCCTGCTTTGATCTCTCAATTTCACGTACTTTTGTAAGTCAACGAGCTCTTGCAGAGTGATGGTGTTGAGATTGGCGTTTAAAAATTTCCCCTGTGACAGTTGTGCCACAGCCATGTACGTAAGGTCGTCCGTCCCAAGCTTCAATCTTTGGCAGATACCTACGACACGACTTATACCATCGTAGATAGCGGCCGCTCGCGACGTTACGGTACGGTGAAGTAGCATGTCTTCTGTTATCTCGGCTTCGGTTGATTCGGCAGTTGACCATAGGAATTCGGAGGCGGTATGATTGCTCTCCAGGCGATACGGCTGACCCTTCGCCATGTATATGGGGCTCCATGATCGCGTATCAGAATTGAAAATGATCAACATCCCATCAACTACGAGCCTGGGGGGCTCGGGAAGCTTGCGGCCTCCTGTCTCTGCAAGTCGGAACGTGAAATTAGAAGCAACACTCGGGGTGAAATATGCATCTAAAGTTGTCGAGCCGGCTTCTTTGGCACCGTCACTCAAATACTGCAGAGCTTCCATGGCCGAGTTCGTCGTCGATGATGATTCACCTTGGCGAGAAAATTTTACAATGGTAGTGAGCAATAGCCGAATGATCTCAGTATCCGCCTCCGGAAATAGCCCTTTGATGGTATCTGTGATCAGAGTCGTCAGAAGATCGTGGATAATCGTAGGCTTGGCAAGCTGCACAAAGGCATCTCGGCGTTTGCGAACCTGTGCCTCAGCCTCGATAAGCTTCTGCTCCTCAAGCCGAGCCTGAGTTGGCGAAGTACTGGCCTTCACTTTGGTCTCGGGCTGCAGTGCAGTTGCTTTCTCGCCCTCCGAGGATGTGGGATCCTTGTCTAAGACCTGGGACGGAGGCCAGTCCTGGAGCAGTATGCTATCCTGAGGCGTATCTCTGAACCTTGATTTGATGATTTCTCGTGCATTGATGGACTTTTTCAGCATTGAAAGGATCTTTTCGGCAACCGCTGGTAGCTCCTTGACGTCTTCTTGCAGTTGCTTCTTCTCCAGTGTGGTTAAGACTCCGAGAAGTCTCAATTCAGCACGGTAGGTACCGCTCTCGATTCTGGTAGGACCAATTGATAATCTGGTAGGCCACTTAGCGGATATCAGGATCAACCTCTCAAAATCTTCCTTGGCAATGGATATAGTGCCTGTGCTGACTTGGGTTCCTGGATAGATGAGTATACATTAGCTTATTCTTACTGTTACTCTTAAGTGGATCAATAACATACCTTCAACAAAGTCAACCACAGAAGTTGCGGTAGACGCATCAAATGCACGCCCCGCGCATTCAATAACATCCTCAGCGGTTGATATGCCCGTTGTATACAGTGATGAGAGCGACTTCTGGAGTTCTTTCGAGCCGACAGCCATGGCTGATGCTAGCTGGAACCCAAAGTTGTTGCCGGCACTTGCATTGTCCTCGCCTGCGTTCGTTGATCCTAATGTTTTGATCAGAGTTTCCGCGTCCCAGCCATTATCCAACAACAACTTCCACTTCTCTAGCAGCAGAAGTGCGTCTCTTGGACTATTGAAAGGACTCCCCATGCCCTTGCTCAATACCACATCGAAGAAAGGAATGCACAGTTTGGCAGGTATCTTGAGTATACGAAGCAAGAGGACATGTCTATAGAGCTTAGAGAATGACTCTATGTCCAGTGCAGCCAGTGCGAGCTCAGTAACTTGAAGCAAATCCCCGAACAGCTCGTAAGGCCACGAAAGTCTTGCACATATGCTGGGGCCGCAAGACTGGATCTGGATCCTCTTTGTGCCGTTAAGAAAGTATCCTCCATTTGTGGAAGCATCAAAAGGCTCGCTGAGTGATGGGCGGAGGAACTTGCGGCGAAGCAAAGACTTTGGTCCGAATGAATCGATTGGTCCCCATAACGGTAGCAACGACGGTGCGTCAATGCCGCAAAGTTTGCTTAATCTGACAACATGGGCGATACCTTTGATCACGTAAGGGGAAATGTCTGTTTCTACCGGTGCTGCAGGCATCTTAAAGGTTGACGAGTTCTGGATCTCCTTGTTTCGCAGACAAAAGATAGCCGCGTCGAGATCCCGAGTCGACCACTTCACTTTAGCTTGCAGTCGTAAGAAGGCTTGAAGACTGTAGCATATCTCTGGGGTGAGAGGTCCAGTGAGAGGCTCGAACTCTTCTTCGTCTTCGTCATTCGGATCATCCGCCTCTTGTCCGGACGGGTATATCTGTGCCACGAGTCGCAGCTCCTCCAGGGAGCCCGTGAAAGTCTGTGAACCCGTTGCATTCGTGATCGTGACTTGCTGTCCGAAGAATTGTGTCTTGACTAGATCCGAAATATCCTGGAACTCAAGTCCAGATCTCTGCATTAGCTGTCGCTTGATATACGTCAGGCCTAGCTCGTTGGTGGCGTCAGTCATGGTATCGTCGTCTTTGTACCCCCATAGCCTGCACATATCAGCCTCTGGGTATCTTGTGTCTATTGTGATGCTTCCATTAGAGAGCCCTCGTAATTGATCAGCAAAGTATACCGGGAAAAAGGTTTCGCCACTGATAGCTGCAAACTCGACCTTCTGTATGCCGAGAATATCCGCCGCCCACTGCCTTTGCAGTACCTCTTCTGCACCCCGAAGTAAACAGTCTCGCAGGTCCTGTGAGAGACCCTGAATATCATCCGCTGAAACGAGATTCAGGAGAAGCTCCCGAAAACTGAAAGCTTCGCTCAAGTCAGAAAGTTCAAGCTGAAAGGTGCTGCAATACTGATTGACCACATCTCGCGCCTGGTTGTAGGGGAAGCACGTGAACGGAAACATCTGCTTGGAAATGTAATCGGAATAAACTTCATAATCCATATTCGCTGGGCGATATACGGGCTCCAATGATTCATCGTCCTCGTCTCCAGTGTTGATCGGTGTATTGAAAGCTTTGATCAAGGGTGGCTTATCTTTGTCTTCCAGGGCACTAGCCGTGTTCTTGTGGCGAATAAATGATTCAAGCACCTCATTCACAAGTTGGATATATGGAATGAGCGTTTGGGAGTTGGCGCAGGTTAACTCAAGCTTCCTCAGATCGGGCCGGCGCTTGGAAAGCAGAGTGAGTAGGCTGTCCCTCGATTGCAATCTAAGCTTCTTTTGATGAGAACTCAGAACCTCATTTCCTGCAACTTCAACTCGCGGCGGAAGTTCCGCACCCTTGGGAGAGGTGGTGCTCAGCAGGAGCATGAGGTCCGCAAAGTATGCGGATAAGGAAGTAACAGAGCAGCACTCTTCGCACGCTGCGTCCTCTAGCCGAAATATGTCGGTGAGGTTATAGAGTGATTTGGCCGTGGGTCCCTCTTGGTGTTGAATGGTGTTGCTCGTGTTCTTTTGGGTGGTGACTTGACCCTGAATAGGCTGCAACGGGATGGAGTCTTTGGTACGGGCTTCCATTAAAGCCAGCCAAAGCTGTTCATTCCAGCAATCAATGCGTTGTGCTGAATCATGTATCTTCAGTGCAACCTCGGAACTCATGCCTAGAGTTACCATTTCTTCGGTGAAGGTATTCTTAGGCTTCAGCGTAATCCAGCGGATAGATCGATAATTGCTGTTCCAGAGACTTGGAACATCCTCGGCATCATTGACTATAGTCGAGAGCCCCTTGATAGACTTGATGAAATCCAAAGAATGTCGCACATCATCATCTGTTGGGAGTGAGGGGGGCTCGACGCTTGATAGACCAGGAAACTTTGCGCTCTTCAACGTATTCAGAACCACTGTCGGGTCTAGCTCAAGATCCTTTTGTATGATAGTGGTCAAGACACGGTCTGCAGTCACCCGATCTTTCTCGTTGATTGCAAACTTGCCTGCCCTAACAAGGACAAGCATGACCACCAACGCCTTGTCATCCAGAAAGTTGGAGCGTACATCGTCCAGCTTCTCCCGCGTCAAAGCTTTAGGGAAACTGCCAGGTCTCTGGGCAAGCAACGTATCCAGCCTCGCCCGTGGGAAGAGAAAGTTCGCCAATGTCTCGTTATCGAGCGACTTTAGGAGGCCCAGTATGCCAGCGCAGAGAGCCGGTTGGTCGACTGTGTACTCAAGAACCTTTCTGGCAAAGTTGATGTTGGCAACCGCTGTTGAAGGCACACTACCTGCCTCTAGGAAGTGGTCGAAAACTTTCTGGGGCTGGCCTGGGTACAATTTCCTTGATCTATTCAACCTGGCACCAAGCTCAGGCGTCAGAGACTTGTTGAGGATATCAAACATTGACATTGTGAGAATTAGATGGTGATTAGGCCCTCCCCTCTACTGAGTGATCGTAGGGATTGAATAGTTGAGGAGCATGAAATGAATTATTACCCGCTACATTTGTATTATTTTCCTTTCCCTTGATCGCCAAAAAGGACTTCAATTCACTGTTGCTCCTTCGGACAGGGGATCTGGGCTAATTGCCAGACAGAGCGAAGGGAGTACATAGTACGCGGAAACCGCTGCACACTGCTCCGGATTGAGTCGTCGTCACAGCTCCATGTTCCCAACACCACAGCACCAATCGGTTGCCATCCTTGCGTTGTTCAGCTCTACACTAACTCTGCCACCCCGCTTCAGCTGAGGTCGAAAAGCACACTATTTGAATATGTGGATACTCTTAGGGCGGGCGGCAGGAACGGGCCAGCCCGTCAAGCTGTGGGGTTTTTTATCGTTTCCCTTGTCGAATGAGACTATTTGTACCATTTCACAATTCACACAGTGGACAGATGAGATTCTAGAGCGGGCTCTGCGCCAAGAGCGCGTCGCTTTTCCCACGTCTGGAACAAGGAGGCTGCTGATTGGCCTTAACCGTCTCGGGTACTGTGAGCCGCGGTGGAGCATCTCGTGCTGCTTTACGTAGGTAGTGTTTCGTCCAGTCGAATACCAATAATTATTCTGTAGACTTCGTACTCTGTACACAGGGAGGGCTGTTCGTTAATGATGCGTGGCTCTGTGGAGCACCCCATTCCCTTAAATGTCTGGGGGGCCTTCCTATTAGATTGGAAAGTCGTAGATATGAACCGACCAGCCGTGAAGGAGATTGTGTGTTACTTCCCGGAGACTTGTACGCTCACCATACTGATGCACTGTTGCTCTGCCTTTACCAGTTGTAGCCAAATTCTCCATTTGTTCAGTCTCTCGACTTTCTGCCAAAGCATCACAAGATGGCAGCCTCACCCTTGGCGTCCGAAGGTAGTCTGCAGATCAACACTGAACGGAACGGCGATGGATTCCAGTACTACGACCAGGTGTGCGCCTTGTCACAGGACGTGATCAATAAAAACTTCGAAAAGCTTTTCGCGCGCAGGAATGACCTAGCGAAGGTTGACTGGGAAGGTCCAAATGCAGCCATCGGTCACATTAAGGGTATACTCCTAGCCCCCCAGGTTGTCCTTTCGCTGGAGTCAGCTACAGACCCTGAGATTCTCTACATGCTCCGGTTAGTCACCTATACCCTTCTATCACTTTCCTCATATATGCCACTTGTAAGGCATAGCCTCAAGGGAAACGCTACTGACTTCTGCTTTTCAAAGGTTTGGCAAGGATAGCAAGATTTACTTCAGTTCTAATTCCAACATCGACATCAGCGGCTGGAACATCGCTCTAACAGCTAAAATGAAGATGATGACTGCCTCTGTGGACCCAACGCTTTCCAAGGCGGATCAGACCCGAGCAAGAGACGCCATGGACGAGCTTGAAGAAGTTGTCGAGTTTGATTTCGAGCGACCGACAAAATTGGTCCCGGGAGAATACTCCATTCACCGAATCTATGCTGCTATCCCTCGTAAGTGCTATCCCCGGCGCAAATGTGAGTCTTCAAGGTGGTGACTAATACCTGCCTTCGTAAACACGTAGAGGCCTCATATGGGTCCCCAAACTGGGAACAGTCATATATTGAGAATTCTGATAAGTCCAAGACAAAACTGAGCGACTGGATTCAAAACCCGAAAAACAACGAAATATATTCAAGAGCTCAATTTGCTTTCAGTACATGGGCCGCATCGCGGTCTTACATGTCAGCGCTTACCCTAGGCATTCAACTGCGGGTTCCTCGACAGAAGCGTTAGTCTTTTCTTTCTTTCCCTGCATCTCACCTCTTTACTCCTAATGTGCCACGCGTATACATGATTAACCTTTTTATAGTGGACAAGGAATCAGTCAGCTATGGTAAGTTTCTCCACCGGGTTTTTTCTTCCAGATTTCTTTTTATATACAACTCGAACTAACAATCGCCGTAAGCCCCCAAGGACCTGTACCTTCAGAATTACCCTTATGTTTCCCCTGAAAGAAAGAAGGAACTGAAGGCAGAAGGCAGGGCTATGGCGGGAAAGACCGGAGACGATTATAATTGTTTCTGTTATAGTGAGATCGTTGACGGGCGCAAGGCCCCCATGCCAGACACAAAGACATTGCTTTATTCAGGAAATTTTGCGGCGCCACCAACGAGCGGAAGTGGTGGGTATGGAGGCACATTTATTCTTGATCGTCGGTTCTTCCTTGAACGACACCTGCTTCCCCAACTAGAAGGCATCAACGCCGCCTCACAAATTATACCACTACGACCGCTCATGGAGGTTGATGAATACCGTGATGCCGTATTCAAGACCAGGATCTGTTCGGGAACAAACCCCGAGGACGCTGAAGATCGAGCCGACCTCCCGCCTCTAGTCTCTAAAGAACCAAGCTTCAAGTTCACCTACACCGGTTCACAGACCTATGAATGGAAAACGCTCCGCTGGGCTCCCGGGAGTGGTGAATCAGGAGAGCCGGATCAGAACTTCGTCATGAATTACGAGGGAAGCAAACAATATCCATTCTTCCGCAGATATAAGACAAAGTCCACCACGTCCACGAAAGTTTCTTGGGTGCCTGGTACCGACCAATTCAAGGTCGAGGGAAGATGCGAGTATGACCACTGGGAGGCATGGAGTCAAAACAGGAGTGACTTTCCATACGGCACTGGTCAGGACATTGATGGCGGTGGTAAATACTACTGGGGCACGTGAGTCTCTCCATACTGCCATCATCCTCATACCGAAGACCGCATACTAAGAAAACCAAAGATTTACGGATGTGGCAACCTGGAGCTTCATCATTGACCTCGACGTCTCTGATGCATCCAAAGTCGACCCGAGCGTTCCCAACGGTGTAATCGAGCCCACAATCCTCAAGTGCAAAATTGAGCGAGATCCCATTACCAAGGAGGAACTTCTCCTTCCTGAAGATTTCAAAGTAGAAGTCGGCGACATGAAATGGGTTTTGGATAGTACGCACCTCAACATCGTTCAAGCCATGAAATATAGCATCGGTATAGGCCTCGGAAGAGCAGCCCGAAATCTCGAGACTGGTTTTGTGGGCATCGGGAAGTTCATGTACCCTGGCGCTGGGGAGCTGGCTTTCGGCAAGCCTTGCATTACTGAACATGGTCACATCGTTGCCGCGATAGACTATATCGAGTAAGTAAACAACTTTTAAGAAGGAGGAGTAGAGAAGGCAAGAATCAGATGCTGACATAAGGAAACGCCAGACCCAAAGAAGATCGCGTTCGTATAGTGGTTCCTAGGCCGGAACAACTCGTGAGCACAAAGCCAGACAAAAGTGTTACATATTCTTCGGACCCTTCAGCATCAATGCTTAAATTACGCCTTTCCTGGACCCTGAAAGAGACCAATTTCAGCACATATACGCCCCCGAAGCCTCGGTTCAGGCTTGTGCTCCAAGCAACCAACCGGACCAACTCTGACTTATGCTTCGTTGCGATCAGGGTAATTGTCCACCGGATGAAGAACATGGAAGATCAAAGACTTTACATCGCCCCTTGGTCAGATTGGAAGCAGAATCTAGCACCCATCCAACAGGAGCCCATACTGCCGCCGACTACCATTTCTGATCCTTCTGACACGAAAGTATCTGGAACGACTGGACCTGCCACAAAGGATCCTGTGACGGAGGAACCTGTCACGACGGAATCTGGCACTGATCCATCTATTACGGATTCATCTTCTGGTGGTAAGGCACCTATGAAAGACTCTCCTAGCACGCAGTCTACCGAACAAACTCCAGATCAGGATGGGCCGACTACAATTGGGATCCCAGCAAGTACTCACTCTACTACGGAACCTTCAGATGTTTCCTTCGCAGACCTACAATCTCAAGGAAATACGGTAAACATCACCACAAAAGAAGCAGAACCCGCTGGGAAAGTCAGTGCATCACCTACTGCAATTGACAAGGCGAACACCGGCGGCTCCGCCTCTACTGCGCAGCCATCAGTACTGCCTCCACCACCGCCCAAACCGGTCAAGAAACCTACTGAGACCTGGGATTTACAAACAGAGGACATCGAGGACGACACTCAACTCGAAGTGAGACCTGAATTGGTAGAAGATGAGTTTCACTTCAATATCCTGCCGGTGGCGGTAGAAACGGGACCCAACGGCAATCCGCTTCCGGACAGGTTTACGTTGACCTCAGAGGACGCGTCTAACTTCACGCTTGAGCTCAACGGAACCACTTGGCTAGACGCGAACGGAACTGGAAACTATGTCATACAGATCAAAGAGATATGGGAAAAACGGGGAAAACTATCGGCTGGATCGGGCAACGAGTACCTCTTAGTCAGCTTCACTGGTGGAACACAGGTTAAGACGAAGTGGATCAGCCAGGAGGAAGCTGACAAATGCCGTGGTGTTGAGATTACGTCTGTCGAAGCCAAGAAATGACCGCCCTAGCCAGATTGTTCTACCACTCATTTTCTTTCGGCCAGTGTACATTTCGCTGAATTTATGTGAAGTTAATCGAACGAATAATATACAAAGCTCGTTGTACCAATAGAGAAGACTCTCTTGTCAAAACCATTAGTGAGGCACCATGGGCTGTGAAATGACATAAGAGCTAATGTCCACCAGAAAGGATATCAGACGATACGTTCAACGACAAAGAATGTATATGTATTTGGAAGATGAAACATTTTGGGTACGGGGGCGTGCAGATGTTTAATGAGGAGAAACCACGCTTCTGGAAAACTGATCACTGACAGACATAGACTAGCAGCAAATATACAGGGAATTAGCCGCTCATCGTTCCTGAAGTCCTGAATGGGCCGATATATCACTGAAAACGTATCTGCCGTAGTACATATCGTTCGTCGGACTGAATTTCTACATAGCCAACCCACTATCATTTGCTACCAGACAGTAATTCAATCCAATACACGCTATTTAGATGTAAACCATCCCAGGAAACAAAGGTGACTCGCCGCTTTTGTCTAGACGACCGCCGGTTGGCCAGAACTGTGCGACGAAGCTCTCGGGCTTGAAATTGGGCAGCGTGGTTCCGTGGACGGTGTTGTACAGCCACACCTGGAAAACGTTCTCGTACATGTAGTTGTTAGAATTGATGCGCCATGTGTATGCACCTGCGAATTCAGCCCTTGCAACTTCGGCGGCCTTATCCTTGACCTCCTGAAAGGTTCCCGTGGTGCTAGTCCAAGGCGTTTCTGAGGCGAAGCCCCATGCCAACTGCTCCTTTCTCAAGCCGGGCATGACATTGTAGTAGACGGACGGGGGGTTGGTTTGTCCGCCGCTGTAGTTCTGCATGTTGACATAGTCACAGGACGATGCAACGCTAGCGTTGAGGTAGTCTCCCCAGGCCGGGCAGATAGAGACTGAGAACCGAACACCACCTAGTTTCTGGCCGAGTTTGTCAAGACTCAAGCGCGTGGCGGCAAGGATTTTAGGAAGGCCGGGGACTTTGGTTCCGCTCTCGACGTCGACGTCTAGACCGTCGATTCGGCCGGAAACCTCACCATTTCCATTTGGCGCGGGTAGCTTTTTGTTGTAGTAGCTTTCGATGAAGGTGGCCACCGATTCACCGTATTTGTTGATTCTGTCATCCCATTCATGAATGATGGCGTAGTCGCTGCCGCCATCGCAGGTGCCATAGAACTGCTCCAGAATAATCTTGACATTGGGGTTCTTCGTACGGGCAGTAGCGATAACCCACTCGAACCGCTTGACGAGGTCACCCGCACCTTCCTTGGGTTTGCTCAGCATAAGGGAGTAGTCATTCGTTCTGACAAAAAATGGGCTGACAAAGAGCACGTCGACAGCATCAAAGCGGATGGAATTCCATTCGCTTGGGATATTGTCCCAGGACCCGTTCTGAGGACCCGGCTCAATCAACAGAATGTGGGCTCCCACAAACTTAGACGGCCAGGTTCCTGTGGACATTTTGAAAAGTAGTGAAGAAGATTGTTTGTGGAGGGTTGTGGTGAGAGACGGTACAGTAGTTGAGATCAAACGAAGATGGACTTCCCTCTCGACTGAGGCTCTGAGAATATGATATGGTGCCTGCGCTGAGAGGGTTTACCTCTCAGAAGTCCTCCACACAGCGGCACCATGAACAAGACCCGCAATTGCCGATCTGCCGCTGCATGTGCAAATCCTTTTCCAAGTCTAGATTCATCAGCTCCAATGTATCAATGTGATGTCTCAGAATTAGCACCCATGTGATGGACGTCTAGACTGCAAAAGACAGACCTGACAGGCATCTACACGTTCTCAGCCAGCCACCAACGACGTGACATGCTAGAAACAGCAATGCTGGGGACGATGATGGCTAACTCTAGAATCATGACGCGTACCCGCCGGCCTCTACTGTTGTAGACCGGTGCTTCCACCGATAAAGGGGACGCTTAGACGACACGATGCGAATCGCTCCGCAAAGGCGGTGATCAACAGCTAGATGCGAGCTGAATAGCCATGCAAGCCAGGGACTTTCGACATTGTTAAAGCGGCAAGCGTGGGGCGCGTTCAAGAATTAACGTATACAGTGTGAACAAAGTGTTACGAGTTTGGGCCACAATGAGAAGCTAGTAAACATCATATTGAACATACCTTTAAACCGTCCCCGTCTAGTGAGTGGTAGCTTTACGGACGTTGGCGGACAAACATCTTGCAAATAAGTCAGATAATAGTCAGATCATACATCCCGATTGAATTCCAGGCGCGCAAGGCTCGTGGATATTGCCATGTTGGACCCAATGCGGGTGTCTTCAACCGCCCAGGGCGATGGGAATAACAGCATCAGCCAGATCGCCCCAGGTCACTATCGTCCTCATGCTCTTATTCGATCTGCGCAAACAAATAATCGCCATGGTAGTGCTGCGCCGTTGAATGTTCTCAATTCTTCAGCTCCTAGCTCAAGGACGACGAATAAGCCCACTGCATTCCTCCCATCAAGCACGGTACAGTCACCTCGAACAATTGGTTCTGGTGTTCCGGGATTCACTACAGCCTTTGAGCCTCCCAGCAAAAGCGGAGGGGCTTTTCGTTCCATTGGTACTAATGGGCAGGCCGATTTTATGGCAAACCCTGCCAATGGATCCTTCTCAGTCTCGTTGCCGATTCATACATCGTCAGCTAGAGACAACTTTGGGCCGAATTTACAGCTCAGCTATTCGTCTGGTGCCGGAAATGGAATCTTCGGCATTGGTTGGCACCTAAAAGGGTCCAGTTCTATCTCTCGTAAGACTGCCAAAGAGATTCCGAGGTATGACGACCAAAAGGACGAGTTTGTCTTCGACGGGGACCTTGAACTCTCATTGAAGAGCAACGGCAGTGTGGATCAGGTGCAAAGGAATGGCTTTTTGGTGACAAAGTATCGTCCAAGGGTTAGTTCTACTTTACCCATTGTGATCCTCGTTTTCGCTCTTAGTCTTTGGGCTAACAACAAACGCAATTGCTAGATTGATTCCCAAATGCTCATCATTGAGAAATGGGTCAATTTGACTGACGCTGCCGATGTACACTGGCGTACCATTTCTTCTGATAATGTTGTTTCTATCTACGGGCACACATCATCGTCAAGGATTGCGGATGGAAGCCGCATTTTCTCCTGGTTGATCACCCGTACCTACGATGCCGTGGGCAACGCAATGGAGTTTGTGTATAAATCCGAAGACGGGGTTGGACGGCCTACGCCTTTGCCAGTCTGGGAGCAAAACAGATCCGATTTCCATCAAAAGTATCTGAAAAGCATTCTTTACGGCAATAAGACACCCTTTCGTCGGTCTAGAGACGCCACGTCTTCGGACGAGGCTTGGCCAAGTAATTGGATGTTTGAGGCCGTGCTCGACTTTGGTGAACACGGGGGCGATATCCCTGTTGTAGAGGAAGTTGCTCCCTGGAAAGCTCGGCATGACATCTTCTCAATGGCTAATTCCGGATTTGACATCCGGACCTACCGGATTTGTCGTCGGATTTTGATGTTCCACTACTTCGGTGACAAGAAGGAGGGCGACCTGGTATCATCTACTTCATTCATTTACGACGAGAGCCCCCATCGCTCTCTTTTGACGTCGGCCACAACCAGGGGCTACATGACTCGCACTACTGGTGAGATAGAAACCGAAACAGCGCCCGCCACGCAGTTTCGGTATAGCTCGATTCCTGACCTACGTCAAATCAAGAAATATAAAGCTCAGACAGCGAGCCTCGCCGACATTCCGGGGCCCAAATCAACATCTGAGTGGCTGGATCTCGAGAGTGAGGGAATTCCTGGCTTACTCACGAGGATGGCTGACGGGACACTGGTATACCAGCGCAACAATGCCGACGAGGGCTCACTATTTTCCCCCCCTCGGTTGTTGGGTCAGCAACCTGTCTTAGGTGGAACCTTTGCGGATTTGGATCGTAATGGGCAATTGAATCTCGTTTGTACAGATGCGTTAGGACGTCCAAGCGGTTTTTACGAGCGCGCAGACTCTGATACCTGGAGCGAGTACTCTGAGTTTCCAGAAACACCAACCTCTATCGATGGGTCTCAAATGCATATTGACCTGACTGGAGACGGCGTCGCTGATACCATGTTCCAGCTGGGCAATAGCGAAGACATTGTCTGGCAGAAATCCCTCGGCAAACTGGGAGTGAGTCTTCCTCAACGAGTTCCTCAGCCTCTGCTTGGCTGCCATTTGAATCTTCAATCCAACCAGGACAGCCAAATAATGGTGGCCGATATGACAGGCGACGGACTCTCCGACCTGGTGGAACTCCGTGCCAGCAAGGTTATGTATTGGCCAAACCTCGGCCATGGAGTTTTCGGCCCTCCTGTGGAAATGGGACAATCACCAGTGCTTGACGCTGATGATATTTTCGACGTCCAACGAGTCAGATTGATCGACGTTGATGGCAGCGGCCCGACTGATCTTGTGTATTTACTTCCCGGGGGCGGGGCAAATATTTACTTCAATCTGGCAGGAAACTCTTGGTCGAGGCCGATACTCGTGTCAAGGTTACCGCGCATTGTGTCGCCTTCTTCAGTTTTCATGCTTGACATCCTCGGCCAGGGAACTGGGTGTTTATGCTGGGCAGACCCCAACTCAAATGATATCAACTACATCGACCTGATGGGCGGAGCCAAACCTCACGTACTTCGCGAATTCTCCAACGAGCTCGGTGTAGAAACTATCGTCGATCACGTCCCTTCGACTCATTTCTTTGCCAAGGATAGAGCTCAAGGCACGCCTTGGACCACAAAACTTGGGTTCCCTGTGCAGTGCGTGAAGAGGGTGAGGACCCTCGATCAGATCACTGGATGCGAATCCATCACTGAGTACGCGTACCACAACGGATGCTATGATCCGACGGAAAAACAGTTTGCCGGATTCGAGATGGTCGAGCAGTGGAGTTGGGAGAGAACTCCGCTCGGGGACGGTATCTACGAGAGTCCAGCAGTCTACACCAAGTCATGGTTCAGTGTCGGACAAAGCCTGCTTCCCCATAGCCAGCACCAATTCTGTACTCCTCCACAGATTTTCTCGGATGCCCCAGATGATACTGGGGCCTATCTGGCTCTGCGTGGCTCTCCTCTGCGCACGGAGACTTACAGCTTAGATGGGACGTCTCTCGAGCATCTACCATATTCCGTCTCGGAAATGTCATATACGGTGAGCAGGCTGCAGAAAAAGGTCACCAACAAGACCAGATACGATGTTCTCCAACTGCTGCCTCGCGCTTTTTTGACCTCCGAGTTTGATCGAAGGATGGAAGACCCTCGAGTGACCCATCAGGTTGTTCTCAAGACTTCTCCTTGGGGAGACGTTGAACGCTCATTAGAAATTGTGTACCCCAGACGACAGGAGGGAGTGGCATCAGTCAAGTCTGAATACGCAGACATAAAAAAGCGCCAACGGATGGGACACACATCTATGAACCAATCATATTTCACAAACGCAGTAGAGGACATCCCGGGCTGCTTTCGACGACCAGTTCTGTGGCGCAGCCAGAGTTTTGACGTTGGCGGACTTTCGTTTCCAGCCGATGGTGAGGTCTTTGGGATAGAGATGTTACAACAAATGGATTTCGGAACATCGAAAAAAATTCTCTTGGCCGAGCAACGAGCCATCTTTTTGGGGTCTGCGCTGAAAGATCCCCTGGATCCCGGAGTCATTCAAGCTTACTCCATCCTGGACCAAACATTCACTTTGGCCTTTACACCTGATCTGATTCAGGCTATGCAGGAGGGTATGAAGCGCTGCAATGTCTCGTCTGTAGATCTTTCCTCCACCCTGAAGAAGTGTGGCTACGTCGAGATCAAAGACTCGGATGCCTTGTGGGCACGTTCAGGCCGTGCGAGCTTCTTAGCAACGGATGGTTCATCTCAATTGGAATCAGCGTTGCAGTCATTCTACTGTCCAACCTTATTCACGGATTCTTTTGGCAACCAATCGGTCCTCACGCTAGACGAGTACCATCTAATGGCAGTCCAGGCCAGAGATGCCATGGGGAATTGTGTGTATTACACGAATGATTATCATCACTTGAAACCTGTGATGATAACCGACATCAACGGCAATAGACACGCCGTGCTTCTGGATGCCCTTGGAGAAGCCCATGCATCCGCTCTCCTCGGTAAGACAGATTCGAAGTCTGAAGAAGTGGACAGCCTTGTGGGTCTTGAGGCCGAAAGCACGAGCAGGATCAGTCTGGGTAATCTCAGAGAAGTTCTTGCTGACCCGACCGGTTCAACCGTGAAGGCTCTCTTAGGGAATGCGGGGAACCGGTGCCTGAAATTCTTGGACTGTCAGGTTGCTGACAACCTACCAGCCTGTCAAGTAAGCATAACACGCGATGTCCCGCATAGGAGGTCCGCAGACCCTATCATTCATGTCAGCGTGACTTATCTTGATGGTGCTGGTACCGCAATCCGCAAAATCTCGCTCAATGACCCCGAGGATGGAGACAGGCGTTGGATCGTCAACGGCGTCAGTGCTCGGGGCGGGTCGGGTCAGGTCGTCAGGACTTTCAGCCCTGTATTTGCGCCAAACGCCTCGTTTGTTCCACTCTCTCAGTTCTGCTCTGCGAATGTAAATGCAGAAACGGCATTCGCCGATGTTGTTGGCCGCCACATCGCTCGGCTGGCACCAGACCACACGTGGTGCAAGTCGAAACATAGCCCATGGGCAGTGAACGAGTGGCATGTTGGCGATACTTTGTCATTCTCGCCAGCAGACGATCCCGATGTCGGCCACTTATTTGCGAGGATTGCATCTTCGAGATTCCTGCCGACTTGGCCTGAAGCTGCGGGTCGAGACACCAGGGCGATTACTCAGTCGATGAGTTATGCTAGCAGTTCTCCTGAGATTATTCATTACGATTGCGACGGTCTCCCGATTCGTCAAGTCAATTGCGTCAAGACTGGAATAACATACACCCGGTCCTTTACCTACGACATCGCAGGGAACAGGTCACACGACTATGATTCGCTAGGTAGGCTTGTGGAAAAGGCTACATATGACAAGCTGGGAAGGGCCATCTGCATGTCAGGCATGGATGTCGGAGAGCAGTGGGTGCTTCCAGATGTCAGTGGTAGTTCGACCATGTCTTGGACCAGCCGCGGTATCTGCTTTGGTTATAGCTACGATGCTCTCCGGCGAGAGACAGAACGTTGGATCCTAGGCACTGAACCGAAACTACTCGTTCAGATGATATACGGAGAATTGCGGCCAGCTCGATCCAAGGTCGACGAGCTTAACATGCGAGGGCAAGTATGGCAGGCTCGCGATCAGTCGGGCGTTCACACAAACCTGAAATTCGACATGCGAGGCCGGTGCCTGGCTACTAGCTACCTGCCAGCTAAGAACTACAAGGGCACGATTGACTGGAAAATGGACAAGGACGACACGGAACGGGTAAACAGTGTTGCACTTGCGGCCCAGGGATACGGCGCGCAGAGCAAGTTCGACAATTTTGGTCAAGTCATATGGGAGCAAGATGCCCAGGGCAACCAGACCCGCAGGCAGTTTTCCAGAGCCGGAAATGCCACGAAGGTCGATTTCCTTCATGACGACGACGATACGTGGAGACCCGTTCTTTCAGGCGCCACATTCTCTGCCGATGGTCTGCCCCTCGTTATTGATCATGGCAACAGGATCAGAGTGACGTACGATTACGATTCTATGTCCCGCCGTCCTCTCTGCCGCAAATCTGTTCTTAGTACAAAGACTGGGACAAACGTTAAGGAAGACATGCATTTTGTGCACGACTGCGCAGGCAAACTTGTGTACCAGAAAGACTTGGCGGCTGAGCCACTGTTCTATGCAGGCTGTCGAGTCGCGGCGGAGTGGACATGGAAGTATGATGGAGTCGGACAGCTCATCGAGTCCACTGGCCGAGCACAGCTGGCTGATGGACAGAATCAGTTGGAACCCTACAGCGATCGCAGTGGAAGAGTATTTCATGCCACCATGGACAAGCTCTACAAGTATATCGAGAGTTATAAATATGACCTGGCTGGTAATATAAAAACCATGAAACACCATCCGGTAGGAATTCCGTCGCTCACCGGGTGGGCGCGGAAATACACATACGAGGAGCCAAGTCTGTTGGAGGGGCAGAAAGTATTTGGCAACAAACTCAGTCACACAGTCGTTAGGAAGGCGAAGGAAACATACACCTACGACGCTAACTCAGGATGCGTGGCTTCCATGCCAAAGTTTTCGCTTCTGCAATGGAATCTAGACAACAAGTTGTGCGCCGTATCAAGTCAGAGGTATGACAATGGTACACCCATAACGACGTACTACGCGTATGACCACACTGGAGCCCGTGTGCGAAAGGTTACCGAGCAAGCAGCGTCTGCGGGCGAAGAACCCAGGCTCCAGAGCGAGACCATTTTTGCTGGGAATGTCGAGGTTCAGCGGATTTACTGGGGCCGGGATTCCAACATAGACCCTGCGCACGAGCGTTGTATGGCCAGTGTGACTACCAGTGAGGAGACTTTAGCCCTCGTCGAGACGGAGGACGACCAGGACCGGCCTCTAGTTCGCTTCCAACTCGATAGTAGCGAATACGACGGGCAAGCTAACCTGATATCCCACGAGGAATGGTCAGCCTTTGGGACACCTGTCTTGTCCACAATCGGGCGTGATATCCAGGCTCGACGAGAATATCGGCTGGCTCGCTACCGCTGGGATCGAGAAACAGGCTTTTACGCCTGCGGTGCACGCTTCTACTGCCCATGGCTTGCCCGTTGGACGTCGCCGGACCCCCTGGGCGACATTGATGGGCACAACCTCTACGCTTATATCGGCAATGATCCAGTCAATGGTTCAGATCCCTCCGGAACAACACCCAAATCTCAGCGAACCAGTAGCTTACCGGCCCTTCTTCCTCATGTAGGGGGGGTAGCAGAGCCGGACTTCTTGAAGAAGTCAGTTCAAAGAGCCGCACCCGGTTTCCTTCAACCCCTCGCAACGAAAAATGTGCCCAGCGGGTACAACAAGAAGAAACTCCAAGAGTTGGGGAAGCAGGATGAAGCACAAAAGAAACCAATCAAGGTTTTGGGGTCCATAGTGAACAACAAGGAAAATGCTAACGACTTTCGTGAAGCTTTGGATCTCCCAAAGCAGATTCACGCATGGAACGAGGAAGTACGAAATGAAGTTGATTCCCAGATCCGCACTATCGCGGATAAGGTTCTTGATATCCGCGGCGATCTGTTGGTCAGCCTGAATAGGAGATTCGGCAAACAAGACAAAATCCCCCTGGCTGGCGAAGCAGGCCGCGAAAGGAGCAAAGGGGTTTTCAAACTTCAGCGTATTGAGACAAGTGCGAAGGAGTTCAGCAAAGGCGAACGCCGGCGCATGTTTTCCAAGCCTCTATTGGCAATGGAAATGGATAAGCGAATCCAACTGGCTCATAGTACTGTCGGGCAAGTAGAGAACTTTGTGGACAACTTAGATGACGGGCCGGATAAGCAGGCAGCCCGCAAGCAGGTGGAAGATTTGCAAGGGGAGGTCAACAAAGCTGTCGACTTGTATTCCACTGCTGTCAACCAGTCTGGGAAGGCAGCGGTTGGAGCCAGCCACCTTGTTACTATGTATGGGGCAACTGAACTGCATATAGACACAGGCGGCAATGGAACCACGGGGCGGTCTGAGCGCAAGCAGAGAAAGTATCGGATCAGGAACAATGCTAGAGCCCTCAGTCACAGGTAAAGACAGTCATGCTAAGTACGCAAGGACTTGCTTGCGATGATTTTAGTTAAGGGATGCCCCATAGAAACCTGTATATACATATAACAGGTAGCTTGAAGTATTTGCACTCTAGACTAGATGATTCAACATCCTCTGCTGGGTCATGATTGGCGTAATATTCTTGAGGTCAATTGCTTTCTTATTTGGTGCTTTATTTCAGTGCGGTACTACCTTGGAAATGAACCGGGCTCCAATGTTCATATCTACCCCAACTGTACACCTACGCTGAACATGCTGACCGTTTTTACGGCAACTAACTTGCGAATGGTTCATCATCACGCTCATGCGTGTTCCTTTCATCGAAAGATCCACATGCCAGGGAAGACGAAGTTGGGAGTCAGTCATCAGCATTTTCGCGATGTGCCTATTTTGAGCTCGCTGCTATTTTGCCACTTCTACTACCACCATTTAGCTGACGAGGACGTTATAGCACAAAAGGCGCTGACATAGTATGAGTATGCATGTACATTTACTTCGTGACACCGTACGATAAAGAGGACAACATGGACTTCATTGTGAATTCTACTCTATTTATTTTCTGGTCTGACGTCGAATTCAACGTTGTCGTGATGGTTTCCTGCATGCCTACCTTGGCTCCTGTAGTTGGGCGGGCTGGCCACGGCGTGATATCTTCTTTTCGATCCATCGTTCCCAGCAGTTGGGTTCCCCTCGAATCGGACAAACAAAGAGGTAAGTTGTCTGGTAGTACAATGCCAACCACCGATCCAGAGTTTCAACAGTTGAGATGTGTACAACATACACCAGATGCAACACCTTGGCTAAGCCACGCATCAACGGTAACATCTTCTCTGTATAGCAACCGGAAAGGAACTTTGCACGGGGAGAAGTAACTATTTAGCACACCGAAATCCCCAGAGACTACCGTCCCAGAGTCGGACAGCAACTATGTGTTAATGTTCTACAATTCATATAAACTTCAGAAGAGTATAACACACTGGGAGAATATGGGTAGTGGGCTATGACGGTATAGTATTCTACAATACCATTACTTCATCAACAAAGTTCCAACGATGTTGCAAGGGTCCCTCATAAGGCCGTGAAATGTGGAAGGTGCTGCAAAGAATGAATGCTGTGGCTAGAAAATAGGGTTTCACCAGGTCTCTTCCTCTCTTCTGTTTGCCGAGGCCTGCGCCATGGGACGAGGTAAGACCAATGCAAAGGTATAGAAGTGACTGGAGAAGGTTGTCACGTAGCACCTAAAATTTGAGGCCACACAGTATCAGAAAACCCCTGGCGTAATGCATGCAGCATCAGAATCTGATAAGTAAAAGTTCGCTGTATTGTTTGTATGCATGGATATAGGGAGTCAAGATTGGGCGTAACAAACCAGCGGAAGAATCCTGGTGGCTTGCAGAGGCAACAACTGCACACTATATAATATGAGAGGCACGGCAAAGTGCATACCTATATGGAGTGTCACCGACGTTGCTTGTAGCTCTACATAATGCAAAGGAACTGCCATTTCTGTGCTGCAACTTGGAACTGTACGCTGCGCACCCCGCCCACTGTCGCATCTCCAAACTCGCGGACTCCGACTGTTAGAACTTTCTCGATGAGTAGCACAGTCGAGCATTGCGCGCGCGTGAGCTTGAACTTCCCCCTTTTCCAAAAAGGACGCCTCCTTTGCCCGACGTCCTGTTCTCAACTTTGCTACGCATGTCGACCATGGCTAACCGTCTCCTCCATTGGTGTCTCGGGCTTTGAGCATTGCTCCTTGGGCTCTTGGCCGTCTACCTCGGCCCCGTTCGAGATTTCGCGTCCAAGGTTCCTGTCCAGTGCTGGTTTATGCTGCCATTGGTCTCTGCTCAGTTACTCGCCGTGACAGACAAGAAAGGAAACCTCACATACATTGGTGCCAGTGATTTTGGCGTCGAGCAGTTCCAGAACATATTCTACGGCCAAGACACCTCCGGCGCTAATCGCTTTGCCCCTCCGATCCCGTTTGAATGCGCCGCCGGCTCCGTGATCGATGCCACCCAGTCCGGAGCATGGTGCCCACAAGGCACCGGGCCAATTCTGCCCTTTACAAGTGTGATTGCCAACATCAGCGAGAACTGTTTGAGCCTGCGCATCGCTCGGCCCTACGGTACACAGCCCAATGCCAAGCTACCGGTCATGATTTGGGTGCACGGAGGTAAGCTACCGCGCTGCATGACGGCCTGTTCCATCTACGGTGCTTATACATCGCTATAATAGGTGGCTATGCTCTTGGCTCCGGCTCTGACATACTATACGAGCCCGGCGGCATAGTAGCGCAAGCTGCTGCAGACAAGCGGCCACTAATCTGGGTTGACATAAACTACCGCCTCAACTGGATGTAGCGCGAACAACATCCTCCATCGTCGTGACGTGAGCTGACGCGTTTCATGTGCAGTTTTTGGCTTTGCGAAAAGCCAAGCCCTTCTTGATGTCGGTCACACCAATGCTGGTTTGCGTGACCAGAGGTTGGCTTTTGAGTGTACGTAGTGAAGGCTTTGTCTAATTTTGCCAATACACTGGTCCATAATCATCATATAGGGGTTAGGAACAATAACAAGGCTTTTGGCGGCGATCCAGAGAGAGGTATGAACTCGCCTGATTCCACCCGTTCTATCTCCCAGAGCTTATCCATTGATACTCGTCATAGTCACCGCGATCGGTCAAAGTGTAGGAGCAAGCGACATTAGCTTGCAAATGATGGCGTGTGGCGGCAAGCATGGCGCTCCCTTCCACCAAGCAGTGTGAGTTTTTTGCAGGGAGATGAGCATAGGCTCTGCGCTGACTTGGACTTCATAACCTGATGTCCGGTGCTCCGGGGCTGAACTTCAACACCAAGTCAGATCTCGTAGCAAAGAATACTGCAGACGTTGCTCAAGAGGCAGGGTGCATCCGCGACGGTGATAGCCAATCTGCAGAGACTTTGAAGTTCCTGAAGGAAGCTCCGTTTGAGCTACTCACTAACCTGTCGATCACTGCTGCTCGTGCCGCCCGCCCACCTTTCGGCGGGGGATTCTTCTTTCCTATATTTGATGGTGATCTCATCGAAGATGCGCCATCGGAGCAGTTACGTGCCGGGAAAATTGCCCAAGGCATACCGATCCTAGCTGAATGGTCCACAAACGACGGAGGCTGGTATGCCTCTCCTACGACATCGACAGACCAAGATGCGTTATCCAGCTTTGGACTTTGGCTGTCAGGCCTGTCTGACATTACGAATTCCAAGCTGCTTGATCTGTACCCGGAAGGTGATTTCGCCTTCATGGTGTGACCGGACATTGACGAGGGTATCTCGCCGCAGTACTATCGCGCTGCACAAATGAGCAGGGATATATGGTTCACGTGTCCCGTCGTCGACTTCGCCCGGCAGTATCTGAAGCACGGCGGCGTGCGAGCATCACAGGTGCACGTAGCGGCACACAACTCAAGCCGTTTCACGCCCATATATGCAGCCATGGGCGTGCCACAGTGGCGCGTCGCTCACCTGAGCGACATTCCATACGTACTGGACAGCCAGAGCGTAGCAGCCGGCGGTGATAACTCGGCGCCGCAACTCGACCTTTCTCGGGGCATCAGTCGAAGCATCGCGAGCTTCGTGACCAGTGGGATCCCGGATGGCATGCCCGGGCTTGAAACGTGGCCTCCGGCCTTTGACGGTGCATCAGCGTGGGAGCTGGAGCAGGGACGCCCGAGCAGGCTCACGCTCGAGGTGAAGGGCGGCCCATTTGGGAATACTGTTGCCACAATCGGCAATACAACAAATGCTGCCAGCGAGACAGGCGCTCAAGCGGCTCTGAACCGGGAGCGGCTGTATGGGAGGTGCTCTTTCATTAACAGCAAAAGTTTCAGAGAAGAAGCTGGGGTATAAGACAGACAACTTCCAGCTGAAGGTCTCGGGACGAGTCGTCGTGCGGCATAGTGTATTATAGATAGAGAAAGAAAACTTAAGTAAGTCTACTTATACATCACTTGGTTGACAGCATCTCGTATATGCACAATAAGTTGTTGAAGCACTACATATTGTCGGCTGGCTGCAGGGTTGTTAAACGTGGCAAAGTTTGGAAGGCAGACTGAATTGTGGCACCAATATCTTGTGCAATTGTCTGAGTACGGTGCTTTCGGCCGCGAGACGGTGTCGACACATGTTTCCTTGTGGTATGGGGGGGACCATGACAGACTTTGTCTGTCCTTCAACACTCCTCGGTCGATCGTGGCAGTGTCGGCCACAATCATGCAGCAGCATTGTTCAGGCCCCCAACAACTGTGGGTCAGTCTGCGATGATGCAAGCCAAAATCGCCGTTCGTTGGCTGAGATTCGGACCTTACTGTTTATCTACGGATGACTGGAGCCCAATCGTCATGATGATATGCACAAAGTGCCATGCCCTTCCGGGGAATGGGTTCCAACCAAGTAGCACCACAGTGACGCAAATAGCCATTTTAGCCAGAAGGGTCCATCAGACTAGCAGAAGTTCTCGGGACGTTATATTCGGTTGGCCTTGCTGCTCCGGTCGGCGGTCGGCAGTCGGCCCCCAGCTGGCGCCCCTTAAACATGAAACACCCGTAATAGGCACGGGAAGGTGTTCGGTGGGTAATCGTTGTGCGTGGACAGGATGTCGGACGATTGATCGTTAGCGGAAACGACAGCAAACAGATCGACCCGAGAGCACCCTGCAGAGCAGCGACTACTGGAGCAGGTTCGTCCGTGTAGCTCCACGACTTTTAAAGGTGCGCTTTGCCCTACTTGACGGCCTGAAGTCCATAGCCATCGGGTGGAATGTACGCAGTTATCGTCACTGATGAGATGTATGCGGCCCCATATAATTCTCGTTCAAGGCTTTACGTGCCAGGTTACCCCTGGCGCCTAGTCATCTAAGGTTGTCGATCCCGGTGGATACATTGCAGTATGCCGTTGGACTTTTGGTGAGATCTGAGGTGGATGTCCTTTGGCTGCCTCGCATGCTCGTAACCTTGATTTCCGCTTTCAGCAACGGGTGCGGGTGATTGCATCAGGATCTGCAACATGGCCTGCAAGACTCGTCGGCACAGCAATCTCTTGGCAGGGGAAAGGACGGGCCCCATCCTGCGGTATCCTGGCCAGAGATCCAGAGAAACGGAACAAACGGGAGGCATGCACGCTGATGTGTTAGTGCGCTATAGTACGTGGACGTTATGCGAAGAGTCCCTCCCGGTCCTGCCTTGGAATATGTAGACAGCGTCTGCCCAGAGAGCAGGTACCACTGTTGGTTCCGCAACACACATTTTCTGTCGCCAGCAAGTATCTTGCCTCTTCCTGTTTACTTGTACCTGGAAATTATTGCAACAGAACACGGCACACGATGCTATTCTCCGCTGTCCTTGTCGGTCTCCTGGCCGAGGTCGTGGCCTCCGCGGCCTATAGTGTCCCCGTTGAGATGATCGCGGAGGCCGATTGCACATTGCCGGCCCAGTACACGATTGGCGACTTCACGACGTTTGGAGACAAGTTCAACGGCACCTCGAACACGACAACCTTCCACTTCACCGACTCTGCCACTGGCATCGACACGAGCTGCCAGCGCAACTCATCATCCAAGTCTATCACCCCCGGGCGAGGCTCGACACCACGCTGGCCTTGCGACAACAGCAACGTTGAGTTCATCTACCAGGCCAACGGGCTCACAGTCATCGAGGCTGCATGCCCAGAAAGGGGAGTTATATATGCCGGAAAGACCATTGACGCTAGGCGGCAGCTGACAGGGGAAAAGCACAACTTCCACCAAGTTCGAGGCAGCTGGAACTACAGCTTTCAACCTCACCTGCACCAACAAATACGACGGTACTTTCTGCACCTCGGCGCTGTCAACCGTTACAAACAACTTCACAAGCTTTGAGCCGCGGACAGCAGCATAAGCATCGGGTGTTGGTCGGTCGATGTCGGGGGATGTTGCGCGTTGATGAGGGAAAGGTTACCGGGAGCGCAGCACATCCCACGAGATTGGGCCCAAGTAGAGTGGCCAGAACGGTCAGTTTAGCAGTAGTGAGAAAGTGCTTCAAGAGTATCGCGCTTTCAGATAGATATGGCACATCGAAGTAGTGCCGTTCAACATAGAGGCCTCATCGAACAAGTTCGAATTTGATGGTTTCACCCTTGCAATACTTGCACATTGGCAGATGTACCAAATGTCAGAATGCTTAGCTTTACTGACTGCCGGACCCCAGACGCCAAGCAGGCTAACAGCAATTGGAGGCACTTCGTAGCTGCGCACCAGCCACAAGAGACACACCAGCCACATACAGCCATACCGCACACAGAACGCACTTTTGGTCGCTTAAACTCCGGCCCACGAGCGGGAACCCGCCTTTTGCACCACCACTAGCAAAATCGATCGTGAACTTTTTTCGACTCCGAAGGCTTTCCCTCCTCATCCCGCGACATACTAACGACAACCACGCCCTCCAGCATCACCATCAATTCGACAAGATGGCCAAGGAAGCCCCCGCCAAGACCGGTATGTGACCGTCACTTCTGTCCATTGTCTCCTGCCGGCGCATCGTCGTCATCGAATGTCAAAGATTCAAGCCCATGCTGACTGATTTCGTCTCGCAGGCCTCACCGTTGGCCTCAACCGTGGTCACGTAAGATGAACCCTCCACCCTCACCCATCCGTTCGCAATGTTCGGTCGGCAAGTTCAGCAAGAAGAGCCCTCCCGAGATGAAGAATCAAGAAGAAGGGGAACAAACGAAGAGAAAGAGGGGGAAATCAAGATCTTCTCACCGTCTCACCTCGTGGAGGATCTCTGCTGCCTGCTTTCTGAACCATAGAGCACTCTCGCAGACGATGGACGCTGGCTGACCTTGGTATTTTCTCGAAATATAGAAGACGACCTCCCGCGTTGTCAAGCCCAAGATCTCCCGCACCAAGGTACGTCGGACTCGCCACGCCACCCCAGAAGCCCCCGCCAGGAATACTGACTTGGATCCTGCAGGGTCACTTGAGCAAGCGCACTGCCTTCGTCCGTGACGTCGTCAAGGAGGTCGCTGGCCTTGCCCCCTACGAGCGCCGCATCATCGAGTTGCTGCGCAACAGCAAGGACAAGCGTGCCCGTAAGCTCGCCAAGAAGAGGGTATGTCGCAGCTTCCTATCACACATCTCTTTCCGCATATACTGACAAGATACTTTTTCAGCTCGGTACCTTCGGCCGTGCCAAGGGCAAGGTTGACGAGCTTCAGCGCGTCATCGCCGAGTCCCGCCGTGCCGGTCACTAAACGACACATCTCACATGATGCGGCTGGTGGGATGAGCGTGGCGATACGACAAAAAAGCAACTTGTTTGGCATGGTCTCGGCGTTGTCTTCTCGGCACTGATGTTTTTCAGAGCAAATGATATGATGGTGGATTGGCATGGGCGCCGGCAGACAGATAGCTGCTAGCTTTAGGCTTCTTCTCACGATCAATACCATACGGACAGGGACCAGGTCAGGTCCTTCATGACATGCCATTATTGAGTTTGTCTTGCATGAATGTGACGAATTGACTATTTTGTCTATTATTCCTATGCCAGGAATGAAATGCATATTACCGGTAGTCACGACATTATATCTTCTCCAGATGAAAGACAGCTGATGACTACGTATCTGAACAAATCAAATCATCCCATTCAAGTGCAAGCATACATGCCTAAATACGTCTTCTCTATCCGTACGCTTGTCCTATGCTGTCAAGGCTGCAGTAAATCAAGGGCCGCCATGTCCTCTCATAACCCGAACTCCGGTATCAATGCAGCTCTCGTTCATGTGGGCTCGCCTCCAGCACATATGCTAAAGTATGTGATGGCGTGCCTCATTTCTTCCCCAGCTTGAGCCACTTGGGCACGCCCTTCTTCTTGCCATCGCCGTCGTCGCTGCGTGACGACGCCGCCGCCGCCCTTTTGGTTGTACTAGGACCCGGCGCCTCATCTTCGTCGTCGCCCTGCGGCAGGTCCGGGACCACGACCTCGGTGGCGTGGCTGCGGGCCGCCTGCTTGAGGAAGGGCTGCCCGCGGACGTCGTCCGGCACCGAGTCGTCCCACACCAGGTTGACGAGCGTGTTGTGCCGGAAGCCGTGGCCCCGGACCAGGGTCGTGGCGTCCGTGTCGGCCAGGACGACGCGCGGGGTGCCGGGCAGCACCATGTGGAAGCGCTGGGCGTCGTGGGCCATGACACCCCGGACGGCCGCGTACAGCTTGGCGCCCGTCCAGTCCGGGTACACCTTCCACTGCGCCGACGTGTTGTCCGGGAACCGGACGCGGACGTCGATGGACCGCACGGCCGCCAGCCGCGCCGCCTCCTCGTCCGCCTTTTGCTGGAGCTCCCGGTCTGAGAGCAGCCGCCGGTTTTGCGCCTGCGTCTTGAGGAGGTGCTGGTGCTGCTGCGCCTGGACGATGCCCGGCACGAAGACCTCGTCTGGCTCCATGGCATGGGCCGCGGCTGCGGGCGTCGAGTTCTTGGGGGCCGAGAATATGGACACCGGTGCTAGGGGATCCGAGGGCGTTGTTGTATCAACCTCCATGAGCTCGGGCTCTGGTTGCGGTTCTGTGATGTTGTTCGGAGTAGCCGACGACGGATGTGCGGTCTCGTTTTGAGTGCCCGCATCTACAGGCGTCTCGTTCTTTTCTTGTGTCGAGGCCGCGCTGTCCGTCTTCTTGGTGGCCTCACCGGCAGCCCCTTCCCTCTCCTGCTGCGCTGCCTCCTCCTCTTTGAAGTACTGCGAGATGTCCTCGGTGGCGTCGACAAAGGTCTTGTCCGTCCTCTGGAACGACAGGCGTATCAGGACGTTCCCCTTGTTGTACCCCAGCTGGGACATGGTCTTCTGGAAGTCGACGAAGCTGGAGAGCACGCGGCTCTCGACCTGCAGCGTGGGCGTCTCATAGTACAGCTGGCCACTGTTGCCGGCGGCGTTGGTCTGGGGCACGCCGCGGCCGGTGATGTTGACGCCCTTGCCCTTGCACACGACGCTCTCGAAGTGGCGGAGGACCTTCCAGATGGTATAGTCGCTGGGCAGCTTGGCGGTGGCGCGCGGGGCGCCGAGCAGGTTGGCCTCGGGCTGGGGCAGCTGCAGGGCGATGTTGAGGACGGCGGGCGACTTGGACTTTGCGATCAGCTCGAGCTTGGCGCCGGCGATGAGGCCCGAGTTGCGGAAGGTGTTGGACAGGTCGAGCTCCTTGTCCTTGTGCTTCAGCAGGTAGCGGTCGGGGGTGAGGTTGAACTTGCGGCAGGCCTGCTCGAGCACGTCGGTCAGGTAGGTCGAGGGGGTGACCTTGATGGGGACCTGTCGAAGGTCGGTCGAGACGACCTTGACGGTGGCTGACATGGCGAGAGGCGGGCCCCCTGTGGATGTATGTGTGGGGGTGAGGGTGAAGCTCGAAGCAAGGCCAAGTCGGCGCGGATGGTGTTGTGGTGATGATGGTGGTGATGGTGGGTGGTGGGGTTCAGATGCAGGCGGAGCGAGGCGTCGGTTCGATACAGTTCGACAGCACTTCTCCAGACATGTGTTCTGGATCAGATGCTATTTCCGGGACAATGGTGGTGAAGCAGTCTCGTATCTCGACCATGCCCACGCGCACATAACGTGACGGGCAGGAAAGCTGCCAGAGTGTTCTACTGATTACGTTATGATAGCTGTTGCCCGTTGACTAGTGCTGGCTGTACGCTACGCAGGCAACTATCAAGATGATGCACGTATTGTACAAGAGCTTGGAGGATTGGAGGGGCATCCATCTCACGCTAAGCCTCATCAGTCCCGCCGCTTCTTAGCACTAAAGCCCGACAGGGGTTTGCTGGCTGACCCGGTCATCAGCCCCTGCTGTCTGCGTTCTTTCTACTGGCTATACTTTGTGTATATTGGGTGATAGCAACTACTTATATAGGTACGTCCACAATAGGGTGTAGAACTTCAAGTCCGGACGCGTGCGTCTGACTATCAAGTCCAGGGCCAGCCGCCCTAACAAAGATCTGCTACTACGATGCATATTTTGGAAAGTGCCGCCTCGGATTTGGCCGTACACGTACAAGTAGTGCTCAGTCCCACATTCGACTTGCCGTTTTCGTAGTTTATTGGTAGTGTCTTGTTGTTGCCAGGGCTGTCCGCGCCGTTAGCTTTCGTCTTTTCGACGCATACATGTAGTTCTTATATCAGTATAAGCTTTTAGAGTGAGCCGACAAACAAGATTGACGAAAGCATGCTGGTGTTAGTCTCAGATAACATCATATCATCTCCGTGCTACGTCGCATGCCGTTCCATAAGATCTCCGATGCATGTTGAGGGAAGAAAGATTGCATCACTAGCGGTCCATATTAAAGCTGCAACACCGCGTTGTTAGTATCAATCCCCCAAGTCTTCGATACACACAGACCGATGAGACGAGATCAACTTCGTACCGGCTGCAACAGTCAGGCCACTGGCGTAGCACTCAGGCTGGATCAGTGGGCTGAAGGAGTTGGTGCATTCACGATCATTGCATTAAAGAAGGACTTCGTTGCTAAGCGAGTAATATTACCATTCTAGTTTGGGGGTTTCGACATACACAGAATCCGAGGTTATAGTCTACAGACATCTCCACGTCCTGAACTTTTACTAGGCCTTGATAGTGCCTCAACTGTTTGCCGTATCTTTACGCATGGGTTTACAGCCTGATTTCCAATCAGATACCGTTTCTCCAGTATTATCTGATAAGTCGCCGGGGCTGGGGGGAAGACCGAGGAAGAGACGACGTAGATAAGGAAGGTTCATGTTCACTAGTAATTCATTACTCACTATGCTGGGCTTGTGTACCCAGAAGTACCTGCTTGATGATGCTGATGGGAAAAGTGACTTTTGAAACTACTTTGCTGCCAGAACATGTATATGCCAGCCTTAAAACAAGTTATCATATCAAGGCATGTTCAGATTGAGTTTCAGCAGCCTCCGCTCGCTCCGCGCCGACCCAGCTTGGAATGTCGCCTGGAGCATACAGATATATCCTTCAAAAGTATAACAGCCATCCTTGTACTGAGAGTTTGTATCGTCATATCCTTTTGTATCTTGCCAGCAATTGCATGAATGATCGGCACATACCCCGTACTAAAGTCGGCCTTGCCTACTTCGTAGTGCCAGCCAAGAACCTGGCGGCTGCCGACGCGTCAGCGCCATAAGTGAGGTGCGCCGCAGTGATGACAAGCGTATTGTCACAGACCAAGTCGCCCAAAGCACAGAAAACCTTTGTCCTCGAAGTGTCGTAGCCAGGGATACGGCCGCGGTCTTGGGCATTGCGGGTGAATCCAAAGAGCACTACACCCTTGACCTTGCTTTTGACACTTGCAGAGAGCGCTTGAACGGCATTGTCTATAACCGCAGTACCTTGGCTGTACACGGAAACGAATTTTGTGAGTTCTCGGGTTCGTACTGGTCTTTCTCTGGGAATTGCAGCTTACCTGTACCCGCCGAGCAGGATGTTTGCTTCGGGACATTGCGTAGCGGCCTGGTTAATCATCTTGACTGCGCCGGCAATAGCCAAGTCATTCGTATTCTTGGACAGAAAGTTGCTTGCGAGATCACCAGCATAGCCATCCACAGTACCAATACCCTGGCAAATGGCATCGCCGCCCAGATTGTCCTTCAAGTCTCCGCAAGTCTGTGGACCACAGATTGCTCCCTGGGGATTATCAGCATGCTTGACCCTCGAAATCGGGCTGCAACTTACCATATTGTCAGCTTCGGTCGAGCCACGTGCAAAGATGAAGACACTGCCAGCACATTTCCCGAGCTTGAGCTCATCAGAGATAACAAGCTGTCGAGCATCGAGCTGATGAGTTTGATCAACAGGAAAGGCGCTCGTCAAGCCTAGAATGGCAAAAACAGTAATAAAGGAGTTCTTCATTTTGACGATCTGCTTCGTTCTCTGGGTGGAAGGAGGGCTGGCAAGGAACTGGGAATCGGATCAAGCTGCTCACTGATGAGAAGATCTGATACCTAACTTCAGAGCGAGGAATCATCGTGTTTTTATACATGCTGGTCAAATGCTGTTGAGATGAGAGTTCCATGGTGTCGTGGTCTACAATACTCCAACTTGGGGAAAACACCACCAATCGCATCAATGCCCTACAAGTAGCCTGGAGGTTTGCTCTATACCCCTCATCTCCAACCGCAAACATTTCCCAAAATGTTATCGTCTGAGAGGCTATCGCGAAGACTTGACACTCACGACTTTAGTAGTGTTTGGTTTAAAAAAGTGATATGCAGATGCGATGCAGTAGCTTCGGCCTCGACCGCTCAACAATGGACATGTTGCTTCCGAGAAGTTCTGTCATCCGATTTGGGCCACACTTGCGAGGGTGGAAAATGATCTGTTTCATTAATCCAGCCGAGGATCTCGGTTTCACTAGCGTGAAAATCAGGCAATGCTGGGCAGGTGTGCGAAACGCCTTAGTCGTACTAGGATTCCTCCTATAATTATTCCATGGGCCTGTGCATCCCTCCTACGGCAATTAAAGGCTGTCCACTAGTTAGTATGCAAGGTTGGCAGATGACTGCCAATCTTCTTGCCTATTGGCTCCAAGCTTGGAATGTCTTCTCGGCTACTTTTACTATCGTCTGTGGCTTCCCACTGGCAGGTGAACCTCAACTTGTCCAGCAATGTTAGGTTTATGGCGATTTTTTTTCCCGGCGGTTTTAGGTTAGTTGTTGGTTCCCCCTAGCTTCATTAGAGGGGGGCGTCTGGGTCAAAGTCTTTCTGTATACTATGTTCGGTCTGTGCGTTGAGTTTCAATATACGCCAGACGACCAAGAGAAAATCAGTACTATGAGCGAGACTTCTTACGTGCAGTTTTCAGTTTATATGAAGAGCTAAATCTTCCCCATCTTAGATCTCTTCAAAAACTTTCAGCATTCTCTACAGGCGTTATATACAAAGGTGATTCTTATCTCCAAGTCAAGAGAAGCTTTCTTGATAGGAAGTGAAGAGTTGTCTCCCACGATGACGAGTGGAACAATTTAGCACACAACGAGGCACATAGTCTCGCAGGAGCAAAGCCATCTAAAGCCAGCCCGGCCAAACATCAAGTTGCTCCCCGTTTCCATTTCAAGGCTCCGGAACAGTATTAATGCAGGCTATGATCGGCGTATATTAATTGGCTCGTTATATTAGCTACCTTTTGATTTTACGATGGCATGTTTAGTGAAAACGCCCCGACGTTTACGAATTCCGGCGCCTCGATCGAATGCTTAGCTCGTGCTTTTAACTTCTTTAAACACCTGGCTATATCGCAATATGACGTGGTGAAGTCAAACTGAAAGTATTGGAAAAAAAAAAAAAAAAAAAAAAAAAAAAACCATCAATACTGAGCGCCTTGTTCGATAGCCTCCAAATCGCCTGACTCCTCGCACATGCGGTGAAAGACGGCCATCTTGCCTCTGCTTCTCAGCAAGGAGCACAGCGCGGGGACCAAATGGGAAATGCAGGCAACCAATATACGAACCATGATGAACTGCGCAGCAGGGGTATACATGGAGTACACTTCTTCTGGACCTGGGTGTCACAGGAAAGCAGGTGGTTTAGATTTCGTGGTTGACCCTAAACAAAAATGTATTCAGACAAAGAAGCCGACGGAATTTGATACCGACTTTGGTACTGGACTCGAGAGCCGCATAGAATGCGGAGCCCAGGCGGCTTCCCAATGCGAAGCTCACGCCAACCAATTGCCTGCTTTGACTCGGGCTCCAACTTGGTCAACTGCCAGGCGTTTGCCCTGAGTGGGCAACAAAAGGTCACATACCAGCGTACGGTTTAGGCTGTTGGGAAGAACCATGGTTCATCATGGGCGATGGATATCAGAGGGCTTCGTTCCTATGATCGATGTGGCCGGCAATACGCGAGGTGCTTAATTACATAAACAGTACCTAGGTAGATGACTTCCAGCCACGGAGCCATTTCCTCACAACCTTGGAAGCTCCGTTTTCGAGTAGCAAGCTACCTACCATTCAAACACCAGAAGCGCCATCTCCTTTTCGTACTGGTCGTGGCCGCGAACGCGCTCGCCTAGGGGTGGATAGCTCATCAATACATGGGAATAGACGCCTGCCAATCACCACGGTTAACGTTGAACGAAACGATTTATCGATGGAAGCCTCCAATGACAGAAGCACTGGGCCTGGCTCGAAAGTGGCATAGCCTGGGTAGGCAGTTACCAAGTACGTAACGAACTTCCAGGTTACCAACTTAGGTGGCTACTCCCCTACTGTGTACAGTGCATATTCTCTGGCCCGAGCGCCCAGGCTGAAGCTGGAAGCTGTGGAGACCCCTGCAAGGCCTCAAGGTCCGCCCGAGGCCACCGGGTCCAGTCCAGTGCCAGCGTCAGCTTTCCAGAGCTGCCGCGCCATAGCGTGTTTGCCTGCAACCCCCCCAGCCCAGCCCAGCCCAGCTCAAGCCAGCACCAGCACCAGCCGGGCCCATCTCAGCCTCGACCTACCAGACAGCAACAGCAACAGCAACGACAGCTTCACAACCCATCACCAACGCCAGCTTCCAACACCTCCGCCATCAACCCCGCGACGACGCCGGGGCCCAGATAAGCCATCCAGAGCTCTTCCGAGAGCTTCACGTCCTCACATCCTAACGTCATCGTCGCTGCACATCCACAATGGTAAGCTAAGACCTACATGCTCCCCGGAGTCCATGTCACCATGGCAGCTTGGCTAACCTGTATACTTTCTCGCTCTAGTCATCTCCCTTCTCGATAAGTTCGTCACCGCCCGCCCCTTCTCCCTCCTCCCGCACCTCCCCGGGGGAACGCCCCCCGATGCCGATGCCGATGCCGATGCCGAAGCTGACCATCCCCCCCTCACAGACGGCGGTGCCGCCGTGGCCATGGTGGGCAAGGACTGCGTCGCCATAGCGTGCGACCTGCGGCTGGGCCTGCAGGCGCTGACCGTGTCCAACAACTTCCCCAAGATCTTCCAGTACGGCGACGTGTTCCTGGGCCTGACGGGGCTGGCCACGGACGTGGCCACCGTCTCGGACCTGTTCCGCTTCAAGGTCAACATGTACCGCCTGCGCGAGGAGCGCAACATCGCCCCGGCCACCTTCGCCAACCTCGTCAGCTCCAGCCTGTACGAGAAGCGCTTCGGCCCCTACTTCGTCAGCCCCGTCGTCGCCGGCCTCGAGCCCAAGACCGGCAAGCCCTTCATCTGCGGCTTCGACAGCATCGGCTGCATCGACTTTGCCAAGGACTTCATCGTCAGCGGCACCGCCTCCGAGCAGCTGTTTGGCATGTGCGAGAGTCTGTGGGAGCCCGACTTGGTATGGCCACCCCGCGCGCCCTTGATCTTTGTCATGATGTCCCAGCTAACCACACACCCCTCCGACACAGGGACCCGAGGACCTCTTCGAGACCATCTCCCAAGCCCTCCTGAACGCCGTCGACAGAGATGCCCTCTCGGGCTGGGGAGCACACGTATACATCATCGAGAAGGACAAGGTCACCAAGAGATTACTGAAGGGCCGACAGGACTAGAGGAGCGTAGCAGAGTGCTGCGAAAGAGCGGGCGGGACTGGCCGGGAGGCGCGTCATAATGAGACTGGCGGGCTGACCCCGGGGGCCTCTGGGGAACCACGTCGAGAGCCGAGAAACCGTTGCATATATGTGTGATAAGAATGCGAAGCGACGTGAGGGGGCGTCTGGGGCTTACTGCAGATGGTTGCTCTTGTGTGCAGAGGCTGTTCGCTAGATGGAAAGGTTCGCTGCCGCGGCCGCTTCGGAAATAGACAGACCCCTCGAGTGGCATCTTTCTGCTGCCATCTTGTACCAATAGAACTGTTTTCACCAATATTATGCTTGCGGTATCACACAGTTGCAATCGCTCCACACTCAAGATTTCGGGGGTTTCAACATCAGGACTCGGTTTCATGGCATTGCTCGAATTACTATGCGACCCGTCATTTCTTGGAGTTGACCATGCCTCTTTCTAATGACTAGGTAGACAACAGAGGTCCCCGTTTCCTCCCGAGACTGGCCAACACAACGGTCGAGAAGTGACGGCAACAAAGACGACTTGGCTTCTTGTTGATGATGAGATTCTTACTTCATTGCTGATCAGCTCTCGCTATATGCTACATGTGTGTGTGCAACGGGGACCATCTCGACAAAACACGATGTGCCGAGATGCGTCCCCTTTTATCTACAGAGTCTAGTCTAATCTGCGCACATTTGAACACCGATGCTTCATGCTCTTCTGATCTCAAGCCTACGTCTCCTTCTTTGCCTTGGTGACGGCGTCCGTCGTCGTCTGGAGGAAGAACTGCCTCTCGATGGCCTTCAGTACTTCGTCGATGAGGCTGGGGTTCGATGTTAGTATAATGCTTGTAAGAATCTTGGGAGGATAACGCTAGGTTGACTTACATGACGGGAGCGCTGATGTACAGCACCGCCTTCCACTCGGTCCAGTTCAGGGGCAGGATGGAGAACAAGGACTGTAGGAAGGGCGTGTAGAGCAGGGCAAAGTGAAGAGCCATGGAGAGGGCGATGGCGTAGACGAGCATCATGTTGTCCCACAGCGGCAGGGTCAGGAGCGACTCGCTGGAGGACAGGGCGTTCATGGCGTTGAACATCTCGATGACGACCAGGATCGAGAGCGAGACGGTCGAGGCCGATTTGGCCATGCTGTCGCCAAACATCTGGCACCCGATCTCGGGGAAGTCGGCCGAGCAGCGGTGGAAGTGGGACAGCTGCCAGAAGCTGATCTGGGGACCCTCGGGGTTATACATGAACCACCAAGCATAGCCTGCCACGGTCGCCAGTCCAACATAGGTACCAATGACGAGGTAGCGGAAGAACAACCAGCCTCCAATGAGCGCCTCATCACGCTTACGAGGGGATCGCTTCATGATGTCATGGTCGGGAGGGTTGAAAGACAAAGCCGTGGCAGGAAGACCGTCAGTGACCAGGTTGACCCAAAGGAGCTGTACAGGAATCAAGGCCTCGGGCATGCCGAGGGCAGCGGTCAAGAAGATCGAGACAACCTCGCCGATGTTGGACGAAATCAGGTAGCGGATGAATTGCTGCGTGTTGTTGTAGATGGATCGACCCTCCTCGATGGCAACCTCGATTGTAGCAAAGTTATCATCGGCCAACACCATGTCGGCGGCCAAACGAGAGACATCGGTACCGGAACCCATGGCAACACCGATGTCAGCCTTCTTGAGAGCCGGGGCATCGTTGACGCCATCGCCAGTCATGGCGACAACCTCACCGAGAGACTGCAGGAGATCAACCAGCTTAGACTTGTGGCTGGGCTCGACACGGGAGAACAGGGATGCCTTCTTGGCGGCCTCGAGCTGCTCGCTGGGGCTGAGGTTGTCAAACTCCCTTCCAGTGAAGCTCTTGCCCTTCAGGTCCTCATACTCGCCAAAGACGCCAATCGAACGGCAGATGCTCTCGGCAGTGTTGCGGTTGTCTCCAGTGATGACGATAACACGGATTCCAGCGTCCTTGCACTTCTTGATGGCACCAGATACCTCAGGACGAGGAGGGTCCAGCATGCCAACGAGACCAAGAAGAGTGAGATTCTGTTCGATCTGAGCATACTGGGCGGTGGACTTGGCGGTGCTGAGAAGAGGGTTGGAGCCGACGTTATCGATGCTTGCGAGAGCAATGACACGGAGACCGCGGTTACCGTACTCCACAACCTCCTTCATCAGAAGATCGTACAGGTTGCTGTTCATAGGGACGCGCTTTCCAGAGGTGCCAACAAGAGTGTGGGTGCAGCGCTCGATGATAGATTCAGGGGCACCCTTGACCAGAAGCTTCTTCTCGTTGCCATTCTGAACAAGCACAGACATGCTTTTGCGGTCGCGAGAGAACTCGAAAGTGGCCAGGCGGGGGTATCGTTGCTCGTACAAGGCACTTGCGTAGTGGACACAGTCTTCGGGGTTGGTGCTGCCGGGAGCGCAGGGCCCAATCTTCTCGGCCAGGACACGAAGGGCACCCTCTGTGGGCTCGCCGACATTGGAGAAGTTTCCGCTGCGGGCATCGTAAGCCAGACGGGCATCGTTACAGAGCGCGGCAACCTCGTTGATCTGGCGGATAGTGCTGGAGCTCTCGTTGAGGTTGGTAACAACCTTGCCGCCGCGCTTCAGGTCACCCTTAGGGGCGAAGGTAGTACCCTCGACATCCAATTCCTCCAGGTCCGAGCCATTCTCGTTGATGTACACAAGCTTGCTCACACTCATCTGGTTGGTGGTGAGGGTACCGGTCTTGTCGGAGCAGATGACGCTGCAGCTTCCCAAAGTCTCGACGGATGGAAGACTTCGGACAACAGCGTTCTTTGCGGCCATCTTTCGTGTGCCAAGTGCCAGGCAGGTAGTAATGACGACGGCTAGACCCTCGGGAATAGCAGCGACACCAAGAGAGACGGCAATCTTGAGGTAGTAGATGGCGCCCTTGGTCCAGTTTCCGTGGCTGGGATCCGCAAAGTGAGGGATGTTGATCAGCCATACCAGTACACAAATAACGGTGATGACCTTGGCCAGGGAGTCGCCAAAGTCGTTCAACTTCTGTTTCAGGGGAGTCGGCTCGGAGATCTGAGCAGTGATGCTCTCGTGGATATCACCAATGGCAGTGTTCGATCCAGTCAGAACAACAACAGCCTTTGCGCGACCAGTGACGACCGTAGTACCCGAGAAGAGAATGTTGACCTGGTCCTGGAGCACAGCCTTCTCATCGTTGACAACAGCGTTGTGGTCCTTGCTGATACTCTCGCTCTCGCCGGTCAGAATAGCCTGGTCCACGGAGAAGCTGTTGCTCTCGATCGAGATGAGTCGGCAGTCGGCAGGGATTCTGTCGCCGACAGAGACCGAGATGATGTCGCCGGGGACCAGCTCCTCTGCCTTGACCCTCGAGATATGACCGCTGTTCCGGATGACGTTGGCCTCGTTGGCCGAGTACTCTTGTAGGGCGGCGATGGCCTTCTCGGCGCTGCTCTCTTGGGAAACACCGACGACGGCATTGAGGATAAGGATAGTCAGGATCTGTTGCCGGGAAGAGTCAGCCATGCCGTCGTAAAGGCAATCGCGGTTGTCAGGGGAGGCGAGGCAAACTTACAACGGCGGGATCAACGAATGCGCTCCAACCGCCCTCCTCCTCGAAGAAAGCCAAGACGAACGAGACGGCGGCAGAGCCGAGGAGAATGAGGACCAGCTGGTCTTTGAACTGCTCGAGGATGAGCTCCCACAGGGGCGTCGGGGGCTCTTCTGGAATAGCTAGAGGAGAAACGGGTTTGTCAGCAATCGGGCCAGCCTCAGGACTCGGGACGACGGCGAGGGTGGCCGATGTCGCATACCATTCTTGCCGTGCTTGGTGCGCAGATCAAGCACCTGGTCGTCGGTGAGACCGGATTTTGTGTCGACGCCGAAATTGGCCAGGACGTCCTGTATAGGACGCGCGTAGGAGTCGTCCATGGCTACAGGGTGGTGGCGGGGTTGAGGTGCTGTCTTGTCTTATCTAATAGAGAGAGAAGCAGAGCGGCGCCAGTTGATTAGATGTACCCAGGTAAGAGCCGGGGGCTGGAGTGGGAGAGAGGAAGAAGAAGAAAATGGACGGGGGCCTATAGTATGAATGCGGCTACTTTATTGAGGCCACATGTCGGATCCGCGAGACGTCTTTTTTTTTGTCCCTTTCGCATACACACACTTGCCACTGGAGAGAAGAGGTCGGATAGTCCGTGGGCCTGTGAGGTTGAATAATAGGCAGGCGGGCGGGCGGTGGAGCAGTTGATTCATGGGACCTGGCAAAGGCACAACGTGTCTTTAGCTACTGCTGGGTTGAGGCTAGGCCCAAAGGCCGACCTCGAGCTGGTCGCCCATATTTTTTTCTGGTGCAGCCCGCCGCCGCCTTGCCGTTTTCCGCCAGTCCCCAGGGCCCGGCCAGGCAAGATCCTGGCGCTGAGGGGCGCACCCGGTCGTGCTGATTGGGCCCATATGTCATGGCCCTGCGTCAGCGTCGCGAGGCTGCCGAAGCTTATCTGCTCCCAGGCCAGTCCCAAGGTCCCAGTGTCGTCCCTGTTCCCAGGGCATTCCGGGTCGGGCGACTGAGGGTCCCAAGGTTCAAACCAAACCGAGCACCGGGGCCGTCGACCACTCACAATCCGAGACCGACAGCCGCTCCAGCAGCAATGGATCGCATCGAAACTGCTGTCTGCGGCAGGCTGTCTGTAACATGCACTGACGTCCCCGTCCGTCCGTCCCTCACACGGCCGTCGAATCCGCCATTTTTTCTGTAGTGTCGTCACTGGCAACCATGCATGGCCATGCCGACCTCGACCGCCAAAATATGTCTCACACGCCTTAGCAACAAGCCACCTCCACAGCACACTAGCTCTAGGTTGCTAGGTACATAAAGGCAGGCAGGGGACTGACTTAGAAGTTAGCATATTCGTACTAGCTGGAGCCCACCCACCTTGAGGTCGGCCCAGCACTCGGTGCCAATGGGTGGTCCTCGCTGCTGCCGAGATACCGACATACTGTGTACACTCTGGCTCCACGGCGCGGAAGTCGCTTGTGCAGTGTAAATGACGCCTATACTAAGATTGTACCCTGGCGGTTTTCTACACTTGCCGGTTGATGCGGCTCACAAGGGTGGGACAGCGCAGGCCGTCCTAACCGGTCAGGCTGACCTCGATGGGCTCGGAGAACATGACGCACCAAGTCAAAATAACGCATCCAATTCAACTTCGGATACTGTAACGGGATATGACTTGCTGCTGAGGACTGCCGGCGCGCTCTGACTTCTTAGGAGCAGTGGTATGGAGTAGCCCAAAGGTACCTATCCTATAGTCTTGGACTAGTTGGTTTTCCACCGAACATTGCATGCACTTATAAACGGGATCCTATAGACCCAAACTATGCACCTATCATTGGCCAGCACAGCCCAGCTCCATCCTGGGTTCTCATGCATTAACAGTCCAAGTCATTCACTAATCAACAATGTCTCAATGAGCAGTCCACCCAAAGCGGTCTCTTCTTGTGCAGTGCCCCATCAGTACATACTCGAACTGCGATAAGGACGCCCAAATTTTCTATGCTAGACTTGCGGGCCCAACGCTTCAGGCTGAATTCTCTTTAGCATTATCCTCGACAAAAACTATGGTCTTTTTTATTTCTATTTTTTTATAACGTCTTAGACCCCGGCTCTAAAGCTGCATACGAGGCTCCGAAAACCCCTTCGCCATGATCAGGAATACCACCCTCCGCTTGTGTGTTCCAAGCTTCTGCACCCCAGCGCCAACGTCGCCGGCGTCTCGAGAAAATTGGACAGGCCAAGTACGTGTGTAGTTGTTCCTCTCCCCGAAGCCCCTGGAGCTGGCCTCGGGGGTTGAGCAGCACACGGGTCCGGAAATGCACGCAGTCGAACGTGTAGTAGTTGACAAAGCCACCACGGTCGTGCTCGTCTTCAGCGAGCATGGCCTTGGAAATGAGTCGCCAGGCTGGCTGTATGGATCGGCGTTTGTCGTTTCGAATCGGAGGCTATTTACCCACCCACCGCAGGCGATGGTATCGAGAGTCGACCAAGAACAAGCTCTTGAACATGGACCGCGGTGCCCTGCCGAATGTGTAGGCACCCTCCATGACTGAGTGCGTCATTAGAGCTGGGCAGTCTAGTGTCCGCAAGTGGGAAAGGCATTGCACCTGCCGCCATTTCATGCCGAGTTGAGTCATGATGGCGTCCTCAGTGCCAGGAATCAATCCGATCGATGGTCCGCAGCCACCGAATTTCTCGGGCAGATGCGCCTCCCACTCGACCTGAGGGCGCCTGGTGCGGTGTCTCCGGACGGACAAGGTTTTGTCGACTATGGAGACTTGGTAGACTGCGTCCTGAAGCTCGCCAGGGAGATCAAGGAAGCACAATAGCTGCGAATCTCCAGGCTTCGCCGCCGAGGAGCGGTTGTGGCGCTTATACTTCGTCCAGGCGGAATTGTTCAGTAGCGGATCCAGATCGAGTAGGGTCGATAACGTCCTGGTGTGCAGGAGAACAGGTGTGGTAAGGTGATTACGCAAATGGCGTATGTCGTTGCCATGAACGAGATACCGAGAAGCCTCGGGATCGACGAACTCGAACGCCCTTGCGTACGAGGATACTTCGGCTCACCCATTCCCCCCTTTTTGGAGGGGGTCGAGCTTGAAGAGCAGTATAGTGGACTTGGTTCTCACCGGAAACCTCCCAGTTGATTTGGCCGAACTTCCTTGAAACAGATCTTCAGGATGATCCAGTCTACAAAGCTCACCCTTCGAATGCAACCCTCTTGGAACATTAAAATGTATAGATGCCTTGATCCAGTTCGTGTTGCTGGCAAACACGCAACAGAGCAGCATTACCCTACAACGAATGGTCAACTTACATATTGACCCTCAAAAGCAGTCATCCTTCCTAGCCGACCAGCCTTCGTCATATGCATGGGAGTGTAGTAGTGTACTTCATGGGTTCATGTGAATCAGGCGGCTCCGGTACTATATACAGCAGCTTTCCATAACCAGCATGGAAATAACAACACCTATGAGTCGATGAACAACCTCCACTGTCGATTGAAGACCCAGCTGCAGTCTCCCTCCCCGCCAGGAACGACTAGAGAGCAACACATTCGCCCTGGCACCATGAAAGCTGACTAAAGACATGGCCTCGCATGAAGTGTCTCTCGCCGCGCGGCTTCAAGGGGACCTCTTCCTCGGAAATTGAGTCACAGATCTTGACTTTATTTTCGTTACGGAATATGTACATTTCTGCCAGTGATAGTTCAAAGCAAACCGCTGCAGTTGTCAGATAAGAAGAGTGACTTGTCTTAGAGCCGAGAAATTGCAATCTCATCAGTAACCAGTGAATTGAGAGATGTGACGTGATCAATGTTTTTAGCGTTGAATATACCTTTGAACCACTCGTCGCGTGCAGGCAGAAGATGTTTGGCTGGAAGTTCAAAGACAAGGACAAGTTTGAAGCAACCCCGGGCGTGTATTAATTAGGAGCAGGGATTATGCACTTGGAGTCTAGGAAGTAAGTAAAAATATATCAGAACTGATAAGAGTATCATCACACGCGATGACCAAACAGTGGAACGGTCATTCAGATCAGTATCATTGATCTCTTCTCGTCATGTCTACGGATGGTGCTATCTAGAAGCTGCAAGGGCAGCGATCGTCAAAAGATGCCTCCAGAGAGGTAACCGATTCCCCCAAAAAGAAGAGCATTGCGCACCGTCTACGCTGCCCCGTTGATTATCCTTGCCGTCGAATAAGCACCTGGCCCCACGAAGAATTCACGCGCGTGAAAAGGGCCACTGCTGTAGGGATGGTGATGCGCCATTTTGTCGTGGGCTCCTGGGACGCTAGAGCGCCCACGTGACCCGTATTCTCGTTCAAAGTCGTAAAGGTCTGTTTACAAGTCGTCATCCTCCTCCTCACCGGGCAGGGGCATGTTGGCGGCGGCCTTCATCTCCTCCTCGTACGTCTTGAGGAGCTCAGTGTCGACCTGGGCGGTGGGAGGGGCGAGGGCGGGAGCAGCGACGAATTCCAGCTGGGCGTTGCCAGCCAACTTGCGGGCGAGCCAGAGGAAGGGCTTCTCGAAGTTGTAGTTGGACTTGGCCGAGATATCGTAGTACTGCAGGTTCTTCTTGCGGTGGAAGGTGATGGTCTTGGCCTTGACCTTGCGCTCCTTCACATCGACCTTGTTACCGCAGAGAACAATGGGGATGTTCTCGCAAACACGGACGAGGTCACCTGGGAAACAGGGTTAGCTTGGAGAGCCAGCGGACAGGAGAGAGAGGCATGTGGGTACTCACGGTGCCAGTTGGGGACGTTCTTGTAGGTGATACGGGAAGTGACGTCGAACATGATGATACCGCACTGGCCGTTGATGTAGTAACCGTCACGGAGACCACCGAACTTCTCCTGGCCGGCGGTGTCCCAGACATCGAAGGTGATCTGGCCGACGTTCTATCGCGAGGGAGTCCAAGTCAGTCAAATGCGCACATATCACTCACTCGCTCGCTCGATCACGGGGGAGCGAGCGAGGGAGGGAGGGAGGAGAGGGGTCGGGTTCGACTTACGGTGGAGAAGCCAAGAGGGTGCACCTCGACACCGAGGGTGGCCATGTACTTCTTCTCGAACTCACCAGTCAAGTGGCGCTTGACGAAGGTGGTCTGCAGGCGTCAGTCAGCATGTGTGGTGTTTTTGGCGGCGTGGTGGGCAGGGCGAGGGGCCATCGCGATGGCGGGCGAAACCCAAACGGCGGATGAGGGCCAGGCCTTTAACTTGGCGCAGTTGGATGTGTGATGGATGCTGCTTACCTTTCCAGTACCGCCATCACCGACAAGGACCAGCTTGAAGGTCGCGACAGAGTCTTGAGGAGCAGCCATGGTGTGTGATGTGTGGCTTCGAGTCGGTCGTTGGGTGATGTAAACAAGACGAAGAGGGCTGGGCGCAAGTGTCAGTGGGGTTTTGTCTTCCAAGGGCGGCGCTCAGCGAAGAGGAGCCAAGTGGGATGAATGGATGGAGGGATTGCAGATTTGCAGGGGCCGTGAGTCTCAGCACCGGACAGCTCTCCTTTGTCGGGGCCTGGATCCAGGACGTCTTGGGCCGCCGGCGGGGGGGAAACGCACCTTTGACCAGATATGCGAGTCTGGAAAAAAAATTTGGGAGTGAGGGAGATGGGAGAGTGTGACCTAAAGTCGACGTCGTTGGTTCTGGCGGTGGTCTTGATCTTTGACCGACGGATCGCTTCAAAGGTGGGTTGTGTTTTTGTACCAAGCAGGGAAGCCCGGGGGGCCGCACGGGCGCTCAGTGGTCGCCTCAGCACCACAGTAACAGCGATTGCGACTTGATTGGGGGGGGGGAGGGGGGCCCTAGTCGGTGGCAGCGGTGGCAGCGGGCAGTGGGCGGCAGGGCGGCGGGCGGCGGCCTGAGGGAAAAATTCACTGACGAAATTTTTTTCCTCTCTCTTCCTTCCTTTCAGTGCCCGCCACGTGACTTTGGCGGGGTATCAATTCGATAGAGCTTTTCTGTCCTGTCCCGTCCCTGCGCCGGATCAGGCAAAGGCCAGGAAAACGAGGGGCAAATTGCTTGCTCGGCTTTGATTGGCACTTTGGTCTAAGTTGCTAGCAGTCCTGCAGCACCCCGGCCCACGCCGCTCTGAGTATGGCTGGATCAGGTAAACCCGTAGACGTAGATTCTCGGATTGCAGCCCCAGGCTTATTCTTTGTCGTGATGACGATCACGGCCAAGTCAAACCGCTTTGGTACAGTCTACAACTACACTAGATGGGAACTGTGTGTCTTGCAATTCAGGCGAGGAAGAATTTGTTCTTGAAACTACGTCTGCGCGGTACCAGCTTTTATTTGTTCGGTATATGTATTGGGCTTACAGGCTCCTACCGCGCAGTCACAATCGGGCATGCATCCGACCGGCTTGCTTAATAATCTATAAGCTCTACCTGTCAGCTTGTAGGCAACATTAGGCAGAGTCCCTTTGGGCCCCTCTTGTCCGTAGCCTAGTTGGAGGCTCGATCTGTAGCCTAAGGATTTGCCCAAGCCCGCTGAGCCTCCTACGTTGGGTGCCAACAAAGGCAGAGGAGCCGTTTATGGTCGACCTTATCGGAGAGGACCAGGAACGATGACTAATACGTCCCTGATGCAGGTATGATGCACAACTCAAAGTAGCCCTGGCCCTACAAGTTCCCGTGCTGTCTCTCCCTTCTCGCCGCTCATGCAGTCACTACCGGACCACTGCCCAACTACGTTGCCTCCTAGGCTTGGTACGGCATCAGATTGGGTATACTATCTGCTTAGTTGTCCACGTCTGCGCGAGCAGTGCGTCGAGCAGCCACGCATCGATTGTAGTTGCTGTTCTTAGATGGGTAGGATGTGGCAGCCCAACATGCCTCTTCCTCCCCAATTCTGCCGCGGCGTGAGCATCAGGTGCAGCTCCTGTCTTCTGGTGGCTTCTGCAGGACGTGAGATCTTGACAAGAATGTTTTGCTGGGGCACCGTTAGTCCTCGGAGCCGTAATTGTATTGCCCAGCCCCTATTACAATAGCAACTTACATTCTCGTTTCCTTGCACGCACTCTGCCACCTTCTTGAGGCCATCGTGGTTGGCCTTGTTGACGTAGCCAAAGTTGCGGATCTCATCACCAGCCTTCAGCCCTGCGGTGTATGCCGGGCTGCCGGGCACAACGCTGTTGACCTTTGCAAACGGCTCGTCGAGCGTCTGCTGGATCGAGTCGCCCATCATACCCGCGCCCGTGCGGGCCGCGGCAGGCTGGTCGTCCGCGTCTTGAAGGCTGGCGAAGTGCTCATGCAGGTGCTTCTCAATAGCGTTCATCAGGTCCTTGTAGTCGTTCCGGAGGTGAATGATCTTGGCGCGAGTCGTTCGGACTGTTCCGCGCAATGGGGTTAGCATTCGCTTCTTCGTAAAGTTGGCCAACACCAGGACGTCCTCATACTTTGCGCTACGTCGATATCGGCTCGGGGGAAACCATCTCGCGTCAGAGGCGTGTCCATATTCACTCCATGCTGTGCCATAGATCAGTCCTGCCGTCGCCGGATGGCCCAAACCGCTTCGAGTGCCTTACAGAGTCCAGTACGCCGCCGAGGGCCTTCAGCTCGGCTTCCAGGTTTCCCTTCTTCTGCGATAGCTCGGCGAATGAGAGGTGCTTCGCGTTGCCGTTCGTGATCGGGCGCGAGGAGGGCCCCGAGGGGACGGTGGGTGCGTGGATGTTGTCCATTCTTAACGGCAAGCCCATTATCGAGAGGCGGGATCTGTCAAGTCATGGTAGCCCACTCGGACGTGCAGAGTTGGCTGTGTGTTCGATGCTCGCTCGAGCTCGCAGACCCCAGTGCTGTTTGTCGCATGGGCCGTTGGCGGGAGCGTCAGTGTCAGCTCAGCCCCTCCAGCCAGCAATCAGTACGCGTGGTTCCGGGCGCTGGCCGGTGGCGTGTGGTGGAGGGGCAGATGGGGCAGCTTGCCGCCAGTCAACCAGTCTCGGCCCAGGGCAGTCTTGCCAGTGGTGCGGGAAGCGTTACCTACTGTCGGACTCCGCACCTAAAGTAGCTCCTCCCCAGCAACCCAGCACCCAGCTGCTCCCCTGAAGGCCCCAGATGTCGTCCACTGGCAGCAGACCCCGGGGATCCAGTCAGCCCAGTCGAGGTCCCCTAACAGCATCGGACACCCCTGGAGCTGTGGCAGCTCATCACCGGCTCTAGCCATTTTGAGCCCAGTATAAGCCAAGACTTTCAACCTTAAAGGCATATCTCCTGATGGCTTTCACCTAATCTTCATCAGAGTTCACTGTCACTTCATCTCAAAAGAGAAAGATGCATTGTCTTCGTGAGACACAAGTCGTCAGCCTCCGGCCACGCCGTCCCAAATCCCCTCTTTCAGCTTGCTCATCACAAGTTCCCCCCCTCTGGCCCCCCGCTGGCGGTTGACGCGTGCACACGACGTCCATGAGCTCACTAGCTGGGCAAGGCTGGGGGAGTGGTCTAATTACACTGTTGACACTGTGATCTTCATGACTTATTTCGTCTGCGGAATGCCCATTCGCTCCCACGCAACACGGTGAGCCGAGAATGACGCAGCTCGTCTCGCCGTGTCACCATGGACACCGTGGGTGAGTCTTGTGTGTGTGACGACGGGCCCTTTGTAAACAAGCACACCCCATGCAGCCAGGGAACTGAACAGCCGTCTCTCGGCGTCGAGACGAAAACCGCCTGCAGCTGAACTGCTGCAAGAGCATATCTATCGCCTATCTCTCATGCTCTTGCTTCGGCCGAAATAGTCTATCTACACACGCCTTCCCCGTCCAAGGCCGAACTCTAGCTGCCCTGTTGCTGTTTCCATGTTATCATGTTGCAGGCCGTCGGGTTGCAAATGCGTGGCAGTCAAGGGCACACCTGTTGGACCACCGCTGACTTTAGTTCCTCGCCCTCTGCATCGTTCCCTTGACCGTTTTCCCCATCATGTTTTGAATCCGGGTCCTTGGTGGTTGCTTTTTTGTTGTCTTGGAACTTATTGAGGTCTTGGAAGCAATTCTTGCATCTCTTCACTGATTTTTTGGGTCCTTCTTTTCTCCCTCCTGAGAGCTCCTCTGGTCATGGCTCTGGTCATGAACAATGAGTCTCCTCGGCCATGTTCTCAGACCGATTCGGTAGATATTCGCAGCGGCAGGACCTCGTGGGCAGCCCGGCTCCATCCACCACCTCCCGCCTTGAGATCCGGCCGCACCGACCCCGACCTGGCGTTTTATGGCGTCGACCTGACCTCGTTCGATGGTGTGCAAACGTGGAAGGACTTGGACAAGTTCGCCGAGCTGGGGTTGACGTTGGATGCTGAAGAAGAAGACGAGTATCCAGTCCGCGTAGTCGACTTTCCGCGGTTCTCCCTCGAAAAATCCGGTCTCAGTCCTGTCGAGGAAGTCCCGAGAGTTGTGAAGCCCTTCCACAAATGGATGAAGACGCTCCAGCGGCGGGCCCAACACCGCTCGAAGACTCAGGCCAGCACAGAGAGCGAGGAGCCCTTCCCCGAGTTTCTGGACGACGACATGTCCTACAGTGGCCACAGGAAATCGTCCTCTGAATCATCATTCGGATACGTGACTGGGGTCAAGAGCGCCAGTGTCAGCATGGCCGGGAGTGTCATGACGCGCTCGAGACGGGATACAGCACGATCTTCACACTATGCCAGGACGGATCGCAGTAGCAGGGCTTCCATGTCGGCTGAGAGACGCTCCGAGGATAGTGTCCGCCTGGAGCGCATAGTGACCGATCCTGCTGTCACCGAGCGCCTGCTCCAGCGCCGACGTATACTTGAAGAGTTGATCAGCACCGAGGAGAGCTATATTGGTGACATCAAGTTTCTAATGAACGTATGTCTCATCCCGCCATGTTTGCCATGAGTACTAGCGTTTTCTGACGCTCGACTAGGTTTATGTTACAATACTTGCTTCTCTTCCTACGCAACATCCAGGTCTGCGTTCTTCCATCAATCGGAATTTGACAGATATCGTCGAGTTGCATGAAGAGATTCTCGGCGACCTTCACCGAACAGTCCCAAACTCCGAGTATACCCAAATAGAACAGCTACCCACCACGCCGCGGCCAGCCTCGAAACCCTCTCACCACCAGAGATGGCGCAGTCTTGATTCTGTACCGGAGGATAAAGGAGGAATTTCTTGGTTACAAAATGTCCCTGGCATGACAGCAGAGCCGGATGTCGCTGCTGATGTAGCGAGAGTATTTCGCGAACGGGTGAGTCCTTGCAAGATCGGGCTTCCCACACTAGATCTAAAGCACTGGAGTAGAGTTGTTGGACTGACAGCAACTCAGATGCATCGGTTCTTTGTCTATGAAGAGTATGGTGCCAAATACGAGATGATGATCAGAGATGTTGCATCTGCTCACAGAACCATGCCTCAGTGGGAAACGTATCAGAAGGGTCTGGAGGCTCTGGCAGCATCTCTCGGCGCCGTCAATCGTCATTCCGACCGCTCGAGAAAATCACTTACCATTGGTGATCTCTTGGTAAAGGTAAGTTGAGGGATATCCGTCCCACGTAAATCGGTGCTGACGTGAACCAGCCAATCCAACGAATCTGCAAGTACCCGTTACTTTTTGCCGAACTACTCAAGTATACACCTGTATATGATTGCCCCAACGCTCATGCCGAGATTGAAGAGGTCCTGGTTCGCCTTCGTGAAGCTACGTCTGAAATCAACAGAGCCACGGATGACCCTTCTGTGAAGGTAACTATGGAAAAGACCTGGCTTTTACAGGATCGTCTTGTGTTTCCCAATCAGGTAAGATCCCACTCTTCTGTTGGGTTCGATCATTGCTGATGAGGCTGTAGTCTTTTGACGCGGCTCTGAAGACAACGGTACGATCCCTAGGACAGATTCAGCTATGCGGTGCACTCCACGTTTGCTGGCAGACCAGAGACGGCGCGGACGGGCAGTATATGATTTGTCTGCTGTACAAAGAATATCTGTGCCTCGCTACTGCCTCCAAAGTCGACCAAATCTACACTGTCCAAGCCTGTATTGGCTTGAATACCATCAAAATCGAAGAAGCTGACAATGGGCGAGGTAAGGACTTTGTCGTGTGCCTACAGTCGCACAAGCATGATTACTCAACGTTGTCAGGACTACAATGCCACACGGCACCCTTCTCTTGGAAAATCATATTCGAAGTAGACCATCAACTTTATGAGATTGTCATGACAGCATGTAGCCCGAAGGAGGAGGCAGAGTGGCGATCTCGTCTCGCGGACTCGATCCCGAACGAAGCACAGGACCGAACGGAGCCACTACTGTGCAGCTCGCTTTCATTGAAAATCAAAAGCCTCGGGACTGTCTTTGGAAAACCGGGTAAGTTCTGAGTGTCACTGGAAAGAGATCATCGCTAACATAGTCCTACAGGGACTGTCGCCCGCCGCCTCTCAATTCACCGAGCGACCACTGTTGGTCCCAAGTCCCCGTTGTGTCAGATTATTCTGAAGAATACGACCACGATTAGGGACTCGGGCGGCGCGGGCTCCGAGTCTCCAATCAATCGTTCACAGTCGCTCTTGACCACAACCGCAAGAATCCCGGTCCTGGCACCGTCCCGGAGCGAGCGAGCGAGGATTGAGGCGCTGCTGACCGACGTTTGGAGCCGCAAGGTGTTGCCGTTCCCCGGTATAACAACTCGGGCACGGAGTGAACATCTCGTCCGCACCTCAGCTTCGACGATGATGCGGAAATTAAGCGTGGCGAGCATCACGAACTCCTTTTCCAAGAGGTCCACAAGTTCTGCCAGCTTGAACACCGTCAAAGCCAGCGACGAAGAGCCAGCTCATGGTGACAACTTTGCCGATCCGCTTGTCGCGCTCAACTGTGACTTCTCGTCCTCTGCTCTGAATATCGATCAGGCGCTAGACGACATTCAACGGCTCCCTGTAATACGGGATGAGATCGAACGGGCCAGCACTTGTAGTCGAAGCATGCGCTCAACGGATGGGGGCACCTTGTCCGGGACCGTGAGGAAGCTTGATATATCCAAACTGGATCCGGACGCGGCCGAAGGCCCGTGCCTGGTGGATGACACGGTCTTTGGAGGGCCGATTTTGCGGGCATCCTCAGCGAACAGTACGCCTCCGCCCAGAGCCGCTTCTCCTTCACTCAAGCCAACATGCTCGGCGTCGTCGTCGTCCTCGGCAGAGAAGGAGAACAACTCGCAGTCAAAATCGGCTAAACGGCCGGTCCAGGAGACAGCCGGCCATGCGAAATCTGCGAATAAGCGATCCAAAGTCGGTGCCATCAACCGCGGTCTGGTGGCCGGAGCCATTCGCAGTTTCTTCCGCTGAAGAAAACGTTCAGGGTCCGTCTGAGCAGCCCGAAACGACGAGCGGGCGGCTCGACTTGATAGACGAAGATTTGTTTTGTGTCGTGTTACATATCCCGTGGTTTTCTTATAGACTACTACTGTATTGCCCCAAAGGGAGGGCCGGGGTTTATTTCGGGCAACGACTATCATTAAGCGGCTTCTGATACCTATTGGATTGGACGGATAGATCCCAACGACTTGGACAACACCCACGTTCATACACAACTCCTTTCTCGTACATAGATTAAAAGTTGGAGTCTCTAATGTGCAATGAAGACGGCATGATTTCCCACAATGACAGCGTATGCTTAACTCAAGCCACTCTGCCACATGATATCGCCCGCGGTGACGCTTTACAGGCCATGGGCACTTCTAGAAATGCGTCGGCCTTGGGGCGGGCCCAATCTGGTGAAGTATGTGCCCATCCCCATGCAGTTGACTACGTAGCTACCTATAGGGCGAACTAGCTATTTTAGAAACTTGGACAGATCGGATGTGCGTACCTGCGCAGCCTTTTCAAGCCCCAATGGGATTACCCGTAGCTTGCCGTGATGCCAGCCGTCGATCATCAGTCAGTGCAGCGGATCACCGCACCAGTACCGGTCATGCGTGGCCCATGGGCGGGACTTTGCTCAAGTGCTTGCGTGCCAGGTCGCGTGCCTCTTTTCGGCCTTGCCTCTGTCCGTAGCCAATGTCTCGGTGGTTGCCAGGCACAGCTAAAGGCACTTGCTCCACATTGTGGGCACCCGAAGCCGAGCTCCGTCTTGGTCTTGGGGGAGCTTCCAGGCCCAAAGCTAAAGGTGCTGGCTGTACCTGTCCGGACAAAGGTGTCAGGGTGTCATAGACTGCACAAGCCAACCAGCACATATGAAGATTCACGTAAGGAGGAACTTTGTGGTTGAAGACTCGCAGCCACGTCAATGTTTTCATAACTTGTCACTGTATCCACCGTGCATAGAGAAAACGCTGGCATTATGTAAGAGCAATGTTGCCAGGCTGGCCACGGAGGGAGATCCCTGCCCCAGGGCCCGTAGCTCGTTTGGTAGGTAGTGACGTAGGGCCGCGGGCTCAATCGATGGCGGGGTAGCTTCGCTATGGGGCGGGCTGGGCGGGCTGACCTGGAGCGGGCTGTTGTCCTCCTTAGCTGACGCAGGAACCCAAAGTGGGCAAAAGGCGGGCTGGGGGCCGCGACTGGGCTTGATGCTGCTCCGCGACGTTATGACGTAGGCTACACGAAAGGCGATGGGAATGAATGGAACGAGGGGGTCGACGTGGAAACTCGAAAGCAAACGGTCCGTGAAGGGCTGGGCAGGCAGAGAGGCTGCAGGCGGCCACGAGCTTTAAATTCCTAGTGCTGGGAGCTGCAGCCCTGACTGTTCCCTTCCTTTCTCATACATACACACTTGCAAAACACCAAAGCAACACTCTCATACCTGAAGTATCTATCCGATACCAACATCGCCACCAACCCATCCCAATCCCAAATCCCCACCACACCACACCACAATCAGTCACAATGGTCAAGGGCGAGGCACAGCAGACCAAGGTCCACTTCAAGGGCAAGGAGGACGACTTCATCATCTTCGTCGACGATGTCGCAACCTTCAAGAAGTGGAAGGAGGACTCGTCCGTTCCCATGGCACACTTCATCTCGGCCTTCAAGGTCTTTGTCACACACAAGTAGGTCATGCCAACCGAGCTGGGCTCTCTCTACTCCTCTCCCCTCTGCTGTCTCAGTTACCTGCCTGTGCTCGGGCAGCCTGTTCGCGCGGGGTACTGGTTGCAGTCGCGCTTGCATCATCAGAGTCAAATCCTCGCATCCCCCAACCAGAGAAACGCACAGTTCACTAACCGGCTTCCGTCTCACACAGGCAAGGCACCCAGGGCCAATATGACACGGCCTCCAAGAGCACGCTAGAGAACGAGTTCGGAACTGACAACGACGAGGAGGTCATCAAGCAGATCCTCAACAAGGGCAACCTGCAGGAGTCCGAGGTAAGCAGCTTTCCCTCACACTCACTGGCTCACTCACTCCGTCCTCAACCCCCCCACCTCTACTGCTTCCACCGTGAGATCCACAGAAGACTGATCAATGCCTGCTTCCGAACCTACAGTTCCCCGAGCGCCAGGGCCCCAAGAACGACGCGCAACAGGGCTCCATCGTCAACGGCCAGAACTCGCGATAGAGGGCGCGCGGCAGCCGCAAGCGAGCAAGTGAGCGAGCAAGCAAGCAAGCAAGCGTGAGACGTTTCACCTCTCGTCGGGCTAGTGTGAAGGCGCGGTGAGGGTTGTCAATTGCTATGAATTGGGTCAGGGTACGTCGGCTGGCACGCCGTTACTTACGAATTGCATGACCCGGATGAGGGCAATCTTTTTTTAGTATTGGGTCACTCACAATTGAGGACCTCGACTAGTGAAATAGCGAAATGAAAAAAAGCGTCACAACAAGTAAACCAAACTGCGGGATGTATAGTTAAGTCGCTATGCGAATTGTACATGAGACCGGATTGCGTCCGTTTGGGGGCTTGGCTTTGTACTCTGTCTAGAATACGGAGTGTCACTTTTACGCTGTTCATGATTGCAGCCGAAGCGTCACCAAAGTGCTTTCTGGTGGCACCCAGCTTACGAAGCATTTCCGCGTGCCCAATCTTCATACATAGACCTAGTCTCCAGCAACACGGAAGTCAGATGAGGTCGACCCCATCCAATGTTCAATGAGTGATCACTGTCTGCCGTTACCAAGTCACAAATTCCACGGTAGATCCGACCCTCAGGGTGGACGCAGCAGTCGCTCAAGCCACTCACATCCAACGACAAACCACAAAAGGGAACCATGTGTCAAGAGCCGCGAATAGCTTGTTACATCTTCTTCTTTCAGTATGAGTACAGCTCTACGAAGCCCTTGCGACTTGCGTCAGGGCAACGAGATGCATAGCTATTCACTGCCTCGGGATGGTGCCACTCCCTCCCTCCTCGAGACCTGGGTACGCCATCCTCTTTCGCCCGTAGAAAAAAAGACATGGAAAAAAAACAAATAGGTATCAAAAGAACTAAACCACGTGTGAGAACCACATGCCAGCATGGAGGGGTGGGTGGGAGAGGATTTCCCTTTGCATGGTGCATCCACATACAACGTCCCCAGTCTTCAGTGAATACAAAGATACACCTGGTGTTTTTCTTGCCTTTTTTGACAGAGGCTGCTCGCCTTCCAGTCCACCTTTCCACAAACCAACGGGGAAATCGAAGGGATATATCAAGCCTTAGCAAGGCCCTAGTGAGGAAGAAAAAAAAAAAGGAAGAAGTGGCCTAGTCCATGCTCGTGAAATTCGTCGTAGGAAAAAGGGAGAAAAGGCACAATCGTCTCAGATTGTACCGTGATCGTGTGGGGGATATGCAGGAGGCCAGCCAGACATTACCGAAGTAAACTTCGTTATTTTCCATACCCTTATCTTGCCCTGGCCATCGTACAATGTGGTGGGCTTCCGAGCCCCTCCCAATGGAGTACTTGAGCAATCCGTAGAACCCGACCGAGTGCGGTGTCAGCTTGCCCAAGTATCGCCAATCCAGCAGCACGCCGTTCAGTCGTGTCTTGCATGGCATTAGCACATGGAAAAAGTCCCAGTGGGAAAATAAGAACGGATCCGCACTAGGAGGGTGGCTCACCCGGTAACCCGTCGCACCCACAAGCCCGTGGGCTCGTACTCGGCATCGCGGTCCAGGCGCTTGTACGCCCGGTGCAGCTTCAGGCCAAGCTCGTACTCCTCCCGCTGCACGTCAGCCAGCTCGGTCTTGAGGACCTCGACCTTGCGCTTCTCTGCCTCGCGCTTCCGGATCACGGCCTCGGATGCCAGGATGTTGTCCGTGGGCATGAGCTCCGTCATCTGCTTGATGGCCTGGTTGATGTTGATCCTGCGGTTGCCGAGGGCTTCAAGCTTGGCGTTGAGCTGCGTCACACGGTCGCGGGCCGTCTCCTCCGGGGGTGCCAAGGGAAGTATCTTGTCGGCGGACGAGACCGAGGCCACGGAGAGCGTGCTATGGTTTCCGTAGGGAACCGGTCGCGGGCCTGAGGGCCGGCTTCTGGGGTTTGCCGGAACGTAGTAGGGAGAATCCATGTTGATTTTGATGGGCTGCGGCGGTGCGGGGCTCTTTGGTGCTTCCTCGTAGCCCTTGACTACAGGGCGTTTCCGGTCGAGAACTGAACTACCAGGAGCCGGCTTTGGCGACTCTGTGAACTGGCGCGGGGGCGTCGGGAGGGGAGGCGCGTCGTCATCTACTGACGGCCTGGGACTCTCTGTGTGCGCGGAAGTCGCATATGTGGTCACGCTGAATCGGGACGGAGGCTGAGCCCAGTCGTCGGCACGAGGCGCGGGGGCCGAAGGTACGTCTTGCTGTGAGTAGACCGACGAGGACGTCGAAATCTGCGGGTTGTGGCTCGGGCCTGTCGGTGGCTTTCTTCGAATGGCCTTCTCGTTGGGAGGGTACAGAGACTGCGGCGATGGCAGGTGAGTGGGAGGGGGAGGGGCCTGGACGGGCTTGCGCGGCGGCTGCTGTGGTGTTGTCCTGTTGGGCACAGGACGACCGTCCGATAAAGGTGGGCTTGGGTATGAGGACTGGGTGCTGAAGTCGTTATCTGTCTTGGCTGGGACATGCTGCGCCGATGGAACTACGTTGCGTATCGTACCCTGCGGGGATCTGTTCTCGTCTACACCCATGGGCGCACCTCGATGTGGTGGGGGAGACGCCGTTTCAGAATCCAGAGAGCTGACAGGGGACAGCACACCCGGCCCGCGGGCGACCCGCTTGCTGCTCCTTCGCGGGATATTCAGAGGCGTCACGTCGTTCTTGTCGTTCACAGGCGCGACCAACGCGGTTCGCCCACTGCCTCCTCGCCATTCGGGCCGGGGCGCCGGTTCCGGCTCCGGCCTCTCGGCGGTCTTGCGCTGAGCCGGCTTCAGACGCACACCGAACGGGCTGATCGGCTGCTGACCCGTCGCTCTGGGAGCGCCGGTCGGAGCTTTGGCACTCGATAAATCCTTGACGTAATGATGAGGGTTGATCTGCGACGGGCGCCCTTTGTTGCTAGTCGTGGGCTCGCCAGTGCTAGGATCCCAACGGACATCACTCCCGTGCGGCCGAGGCTGCCTCAGCCGCTCCCGAGACTTGGACTCCTGCAATGCGCGCATGGCGGCATCCGAGTGCTTGCGGCGCTCTCGGCGCATCATCGGTATGCTACTGGCGCCATGGTCTGGCTGACTAGGCGGTGCGCGGTCCATAATGTAGAGCGAGTTATCTGGTTCTTCGATAGGAGAGACGTCGCCACGGTCGTATGGGCGAGACCTAGCATGAAGATTAAGTGTTAGCCCAGTCGTACTTGACAGCGGTGGTCCGGCGCATAGTGGAAGACTTCGCGCGAGCCTGTGGGCCGTCCTCTCTAACACAGCCTCTTTGATGTGCGTGCCAGCAAGCAAGACCGTAGAAAATGTGATTTGCCATGTGCCTCGCCGAGGGAGAGTTGCCAAGGATGCCCAATACCCAACAAAGGCGGCCTGCGACCTGTAATATTTGACCAGCGACGAATTTGTTACAGGTGAGGTTGTGACGCCGAGACGCCAGGTATTGCCCTTTCAACTTCACCCACTACCCAAGTGCCACCCGTCCACGCCCACACACATGGCGCCTTCGAAATCTGCCTCATATCCACCAGGGAGTTTGCGACTTACCCATGCCTTGGTGTCAACTCGTCAGGTGAGCTCGGTGGTGAGACCTCGTGCGGCCCACCATAAACGTCGTCTCGGAGCTGTTGCGCAGCAAATGTAGCCGCGGCCGGCGACGGCTGCGAGTATATGGACGAGGCTGGTCGGCCGTAGCCCGAGTTGCGATACGAGTCGCGGCTGGCTTGCGGCGGATACCGAGGAGCCTGGACGGCCGGCGCTGACGTCTGGCTGCTTGAATAGCGTGGTGTCAGCATCTTGATTCCTTCTACCCTGAAACGAGGTCAAATGTAGAGCCGCGGCGGTGCGATTCGTCGCAGGTCAATCCTTCCACAGAAAACGAGGATCGCAAGAGTTTCCAGGTGCGACACGATCCACGTGCTTGGGGTATTATTCAGACAACGTTGCCAGATGGTGTTCGGGTCGCCGTACTACCAGGCTTGCTGCAGGCTGCTGCAGAAAGCCGTTGGTAGTTTGGTGGATTGTGGCTGTGAGACAGTCTGTGACCTGTAATCTCAACCAGCTGGAGCAAGCTGAACGCCCTACTTTAATCCTTCAGGCGACAGACACTGGTGAATTGAGTGACGCCACTTTCTGGAAGGCGACTATGCCCGGCTTCGAAGTGCGAAGTGGTGGTGTGGTCCGGTGGGCAGTCGTGCTTGTTTATAACAGTCCGGCGCAGGTTGCGTCGAGGCCGATAGCTTCCATGTCCCATGCACACCTCTCTGTGCAACATGCAGGGAGTTATAGTGGTTAAGGTTCCCAAGTTCCACTCTGGATGCGCCACCACTTGCGCGCCCTATCGCTCATTTCCAAGGTTGCTTGGCCGGGTCCAGGTCATGGGGATAAAGAGGACTGGCTGACGGCGTTGCGTCGAGGTCTGCCGGTGCGTGCGCGAAAGGCCGTGTGTGCGTTTGTTTCGAGAATCCCAGCCGGGAAGCCAGGGCCACCAAGATGCATGCAAGTATAAGGAGTGGGAAAAAGGTCAAAGACACTTACTATTGCTGCTGCTGCTGTTGTTGTCCTCCTTGCTGCTCGATCGGCGGCGACTGCTGCTGCTGATGCTGCTGCTGTTGGTCAAAGTCCCTCGGTGGCCGCGGCGGCGCAGGTCCTCCCTTGATGCTGAACGAGTATCCGTATGGGTTGCGCGACGGCGGGTTTTGCCAGTCCTGCTGCTTCCTCTGGCGGCGCTCTAGAGGCGACGGAGCGCCATCCTTTTGTGTCGTTCGCAGCCGGTCCCACATTGTCGGGCACCTGGGCTGTGATCGCGAGGGGTCCTCGTCGTACCTGACTGAATCAGTAGTTCCCCCAGGCCCGGATCGCGGGTTGGTGTGTCAGATCGTCGCGGGGTTATCCTCTGAAGGGTACAAGCCCAGTTTGCTATTAATTGGCACTCCCGCTATGCTGGGCGCCGCATGAACGTCAAGGGGGCGCCGTAGTGCTGTGGGCTGCGCGGTCTGTCAAGGCTGGGAGCCGCAAGGAACGTTGGATGGCAGGAGCTTTTTCTTGATCGTGAGAGACGGGTTTCTAGAAGTTCGCTAGGTCGGTTTGCAAAGTCGTCTTTGACAGGAAACGAGAAACGGCCAGTGTTCGCAGAGCCCGGGATGGGGTCTGTTGATATTGCGTCGACAGGATGGGCCTGTTCATTTGTCGATGGCTGCCCTGCAATTTACTGCCCAGCGTTTGAATCACGCCCCTCGCAAATTTCGAGTTCGTGATTGGGATAGGGAGCTTATTAGGCCCTCGCCCTCGCCTGCCTCCCGCTTTGACAAGCGAATCGTGAGGCCCCGACTATGACGGCCGAGTCAACAAAGGGTATTTGTAGGTCGCAGCCACGGTCACAATGCGGTCATTGACTGGTCCGTGATGGCCGCTTTCTCGCGACTAGGTCGCGTTGGAAGGTCGCTATCGAATCGACTATCGGGTCTGGGCTGTTTTTTCAATGTCCGATTCTACCGGATCTCGCGATTCTCCTGAAGGTTGTGCATCGGTGCATACACGCAGACCGTGGAATAAGTTATGACAACCCCCCAAATTATTCAACAGTCGAGGTCAGGACTTCGGGAACTTGATATATCGGTGCTGTTCCCTCGGCTCAGTAGGTCGGTCACTTCCACAGTCATGGTCATATATTTAATCACGTCTACGCTCTCCCTTCGATACATCCCGCTCGCCCCCCACAAATAGTCAATAGGCACAACGGCTGTGCGTCAAGGGCCGGGGGTTTTGGACCAAGGGCCAAAGGGCGATCCGGCTCGTGATCACCACTGGAATCCATGGGTTCGGCGAGTCTGGCGAGTCTGGCCGCCCTGCATCACGTCCTGACGGCGGTTTGATGGCCCGTCAGCAAGTCATCGAGCCATGTACTTGGAAACCCTGAAAGTCAATTCGCAAGCCCAGTCTCCCAATCAAGCAGGTTCACAGGCTAGCGATGGTCAAGCATTCTCGCACAAGCCGCTAGCTATAGCAAAGTTTCGCTGTCAAAGTTTCAATGCCTCGCAGGCTTTATGCAAGGCAGATGATCCTAACCTGCCTATATTCCTGGGGTGTCGGTAGCGGTTTCACCTCAAATCAACAGGGACGACCTATCACCTCCAGAGGCAATCTAGATGCGAAAGTGGGGTGGTGTCTCCTCGGAAAGGTCCCCGGCCGGGGTCCACGAGCGTCCATGTGTGTGTGTGCTCTCCCCCATGAGTGGATCCTGACCGGCTGGCTGGCTGGCTGGATAGAATCATTGGCATGCAGGTGCAAATCTGCGAGTTACCTTTGGCCTCCTGCATCTCGTATGTAAGGGGCACGAACGCCTGTTCAGTCTCGCGCAACACGAAGCCAGAAGCGAGGCCCCCTTTTTGAAAACTCCCAAAATGAACCATTGGGGCGGTGACGGGAACGGCAGCTCAGCCTCGGGCGGCACGCTTTGTTCTGGAACTCCAGATGAAGCTTACCCGCGCCGCTGCCATGAGGAACCTGCCCAAGGGTCGTTTCTGCTGGCACCCATACTATGTATGGCTTATAGCCTCGCGCTCGGGCAACTGTCGCGCCATCATCTGAGTGCGCCATGCATGGCAGAGGCTCGTTCGCACCCAAAGTGGTCTGACCGAAATCATCTGACCTCCAAGCCTGTGAAATAGACGAACAACTCAAAGACGTTTCTCCACAAAGAGATGACATGCAACCTGGGAAGAAAAGAATAAGCAGCTCGAGCTCAGGTTTATGAGAGAAGTGGATCATCTTAAGTTACTTTATTGGCTAAAGTCGGAATGTCGGCTGCGCGTTTTACCTCGAACTTTCGAGGATCATACAGCCTTTTTCCGACCGATACGCTACTTACCTATACCGTCAGAAATCTGCTCTCTACATGGATCATAGTGTCGATAGTTTGGGTTTTCACATCAGAAAAGCCATATGAGCAAGCTTCGTCCTTCCTGGACAAAGATGTTTGATGCCTCGGTGACATGCCATTGCTACGGATGCTTAGCAAATCTACTTTGTGGTCCCGTAGGCCTGACGTAGACAGAGTCATTCCACGAATCTAGCTGTGCACTGTACTTCCTATATGTCTTGACCGGTATAACATTTGAAGCCGTTGATGAACTCAGAATTATCATGAACTAGAAAGCCGTAGAGGAAATTGATCTATGAATGAGGATTGAATGCACCTGTCCGGAATGACTAGAACAGCACGACGCAATCAGGTATTCATCAATGGAGTTAATAGCAATGATGTTCTCACGTCCTAATACAAGCTTGCTGCCTATGATGTACGCGACCTGCTGAGTATGCATCTCTAAAAAATCCCTGACCATTCGTGTACCGGTAAATAGAGCCTGCCAACACCTTTTTTCCCTGCAGGGTATAAAGATTCAGACCAACCACTTGCACTGTCAGAAACGCCATGTCAGGTCTACTGTGCCATTTTCCCGATCCCTATGAAATATGAAGAGCCCGCTGAACGGATGCACCAAAAAGTCAACGTGATGAGCAAAGTGAAGAAGAATGCCGCACTGTGTGAGTGTTCCAAATTACGAAATCTAAGTACGCGTACGATGATCGTAAAGGCTGTGACCTACGCGGGTGCTTGGTGGGAGGGACCTGATGCACTGCGACCACCACCTCGTCCACGGCTGCCAGGTTGTCGACCACCACGACCACGTGAGTTCCCGCCTCTACCGCGAGACGTAGTGCGCTTCCCCCTTGTTCTTGGCTGCAAAGCCTCGCCAACACTTTGTTCCGTATGCTGATCAACCGAGTCATTTTGCTGGTTGGAAACTCTCTTCTCAGGCGTTGATGGAACTGGATCAGAAACAGAACGTGAACTGTCTTGTGGCTCAAAGCGACGATAGCCGGCCGCAAGGGGGGTCTTTCTCGGACTCTGGTCTACTGGCTTGGTGTTTTCCTTGGTGGTATTCATCCCAGACTTGGGCATGGGTGGAAAATGGACTCCCACCTCAACTTCATCAGCCCAGGTATTTCTGGTTGGTGAGGCTCTGGCATCAGTCTTGGCTGTAGGTTGTTGGCACTCCTGCAATGTCTCGTCTGTAGTCCGTTGGTCAGCAGCGGCAGAACGAGGTGTAAACACCGGGGCACCAGGATTCAGCCTTGAACCCTATGAAAGAGGTTAGTGTCAGTCAAAAAAATCATTTAGGATTTTTTTGACTGATCTACCTCTTTCTGATGGCCACTCGGTGTCTTCACACTCTGTTCATTAGCTGCTAAAGAAGAAGTTACCAATTTGGGTGTCGTGACTGGGCGATTCAGTTTCGTAGCCTGCGTTTTCGTGGGTTCGCTGGCCGCATCCGCATTTCCATCTTTGGCGTTAGCATTCTCAGAAGTCTCTTGAGTCTGAGTCTGAGTCTGAGTTCTTGGTGGCTCGTTGATAATGTCGTTAGTGACAAGAAGGCCCTTATCCTCCTTGGGCTTCACAAAAATCTGCTTTGACCACAGCTCAGAGTACTTTCCCTTCTTCTCGAGAAGTTCTTCATGGCTACCTTGCTCAACGATCTCACCATCGGACACAACAAATATGACGTCCGCGTTCATAACAGTCGACAGTCGGTGTGCCACAATAAATGTTGTCCTGGCCTCGCAAAGCACACGAAGCCCCTCCTGGATCTTCTGTTCGGTCTCTGTATCCACGGAGCTGGTCGCTTCGTCAAGGAGGACAACCTCCGGTCGTTTCAAAATGGCTCGGGCAATCGCAATGCGCTGCAATTCTCCGCCCGAGATCTTGACTCCTCTCTCACCTACTCGAGTTTGGTAGCCATCGCTGAAGCCCATGATATGGTCATGAATAGCGGCAGCCTTGCAAGCCTCATGTACTTCCTCATCCGAGGCAGTAAGTCGGGCGTACCTGATGTTCGACATGATCGTATCGTCGAAGAGAATTGGTGCTTGGGGCACAATTCCAATGCTCTGGCGGAGACTAGATATCTGAACGTCTCGAATATCTTGCCCGTCGATCCCAATGCACCCTTCCGAGACGTCGTAGAAGCGGTCTAGAAGCTTCAGGATAGTAGACTTTCCGGCACCGGTTGCTCCCACAAACGCTGCAGTCTTGCCTGAAGGCACCGTCAAGTTCACGCCCTTCAAGATGTCCTTCTTCTTGTCGTAGCTGAAACTGACGTCACGGAACGTAATCTCGCCGCCCTTGAGGTCCAAGGGTTTCGCATCGGGTTTATTCACGATAGTCGGCTTTGTCAACATGACTCCCAGGAGTCTTTCGGCATAGACGAGATCTTGGCTGATGCTCTTGCCAAGATTCGAGAAGAAGCGAAGAGGTGATGTCAGCTGGCCCCAGTAGGTCAATAGCATCACAAAGTCTCCAGGCGTGCGCTGGCCGTGCGTGACCTGATGGACAGCCAAGAAGGCCCCAGCAATTAGTCCACAAAGTAGTATCAAGTACTGGAATGCATGACCAATCAAGTAACCAGAGTAGAGCCCTTTATAGGCTGAGATCTCCGACCTGACAGCAGTCTGGTAGCGACTTTCCTCGTACGGAATCTGATTGAAAGCGCTAACCGTGTGCCACCCTTGAATACCAGCCTGTCGCACATAGTGCTCTTCAAAGAAGGTCTTGACCATCTGCTTTCTTTTCTCTTTGAAACGTGCGATCAAGTAAGTGGCGGCCTGGACGAAGGCAATCCCAGTTGCTATCGTGATGAACCCTTCATAGGGACCAAACTTGACGGACAGGTAAATGAAGGCAACCACAAGGTCGATCATCATTGGCAAAGCCTCGAAGCAAATCGACTCAAGCATCCGGGAGATCGAAGTTCCATGCGATATGGCAACAATCAGATCCGACGAGCTCTTAGAATCGTGGAAGTCTGCTGATAGGTTCATCACATGGTTGTAAGCGGCGACCGACAGTGCTTCTTGTGAGTAGAATTCGACCGGGAGCCAGAACATCTGGCGGAGGAGGTGAATGCCGGCTTCGGATGCTGCAAGTCTCAAAGCAGCGAAGATGAGAACCTGGATCCAAGGGTTGAGGCCTTTCGCGTCACCGCTGAGGGAATCGAGGACGATGCCCATCTGTCTCGGTATAAGGACGTTCAACGCGTTGCCTGTGATGAGACACACTCCAACGAGGGCGGCATACAATTGGAGCCGACGGTTATGCACCGGCCAAACATACGGGAAGAAGATCAAGAAACCTTTCGCATAAGCAATCCAACTTCCCTCGCTCTTCAGTCGTTTCTCCATTTGCTCACGTGCTAGACGCTGGCGGCGCTCCCAAGGCGATTCAGGGTCGCTGGGCGAGTTGGTCGCATCTGTGTTGTTTGCCGAGTTTTCGCGAGTTCCGTAACCACTATCAGTCCCATTTCCGTTGGCTGCAGTCTGATCCGGTTTTGGCAGCAGTGGACTTGTTTCATCGTCGGCACCCTCTAGCTCGTTCTTCTCGCGCCAGAGGAAGAAGACCAGGATCACTGCCAGCAGGATGAGATATCGGGTAATGAAGATTGCCACGTCGATCCACAAGAAAACCGTTGAGTTGGCGATCTCAGAGACCTCGATACGACGACCGCGGCAGCGTTGGAGGATGGAAAGCACGGCAAGCACAGGTTCCAAAACCACACCTATGAGCCATGATCCATAGAAAGGATACCATACCACATCAACTGCGTTGCCGAGAGTGCTTTGCTCGATACCGAACACCAGCATGCATGATAGTAGGCCAACCACGGTGTCTTCTGAGGGCCACTCTAGGCTCAGCGCACCCTCGATGAGCTTCTCGGCGAGCTGGACGAGATAGGAGAGTAAGAAGGCCAAGAGAAGACATGTGATGATCTTGGGCCGGCCGTGCTTGGTCTTCACAGCCGTGGAGGCCGTCTGGAGAGTGCAAGCCGCGATGGCGTAGGCGGTAGCAAAGTACAGAAATACTGCTGCAGGATAGACGTAGTGGAGGCTAACAAGCAGCCAGTCTGGCTCGGAATACGCCATTACGACAATTCTCAGCCGCAAGGCATAAGGAGGTCTCTAGTAAACCGACCAGCGACGTCTGCGAGATAGCAGTCTCTTGCAAGCGCAGTGAGAGTGACGCGCGTGGGAGTGAGAAGGGGTCTTAGATGTTTACACCTGGGGTTTTCAGAAGTCAGATTTGATGATTCCGGGAGAAACGAGAGACAGAAGTACTTCTTGTCACAGAAACAACAGTGAGTGAGGTGAATGCATGCGTGTCTCGGAGGACGGCTAGCAGCACCGGTGTATGTGTCGGTGCGGAAACAAGGAAGAAGGACGGGTCTCAAAAGCAGAATGGGCGTGACGATTATGTGAATGTGTTCATCTTAGAGGCAGCCTCGAGGTTGAATGGGAGTCAAGAGGAAAGGGCAAAGTGTCATATCAGGGCGCGATTGTGCGGACATGTCATGAGGAAGTCGCATTCCAAAAGTCCCCATATGCCTTCTCTATCCCAGTCTTTTGCTATGAAGGGGGGCGGACAAGGTGGGCGGACCGACCGAGCATCAGTTGCACCAGGACAAACCGATGACTTGTTCATGCCTTGGTATGTATGAAAGTGATTGATGGGGGAAGATGGAGGGTCGAAGATGGAGTTGCATCCACCATGGATTGGGTCGTCGGCAAGTAAGAAAATAAGGTTGAGTAATGATACTAGGCATCACTTACTTCTTGGTCTCATAGTCATAAGTCCACTTCGAAAAGCCCGGGGCTTCCGGGGAAACGGTCTATGGGGTAAGAAAAGCACAAGGCTGACCACCTGGGCAACTGGATAGGCAGTCAGGTCTCTCCGTCTTATTGGCCGTCTACTCCAGGCTGCCAGCAGTGTTGGTTCTTATGGAGGCGTATAGTAAGCAGTGCAGCTGAGGCTCTGCTATGGGGGTGGCAGCTGAAGAAGGGGGGCAACCACAGTCCAACACCTGAAAATCAGCCTCGACGGGGACCGAGGCGAGGCGGGCAATAGGGAATGACAAGCAGGACAATCAAGGGGGGGTGAAGCCTAGTTTTGAGAGGCTCATTGCTCGCTTTGAAGCTTGCAAAACCCGCTGGGACTGATTACGAGCTGGGCACATGGACCGCATGACCTCCCCGACATTTCAGAGGTAGCCACTTTTTTTTTTCCTTCCTAGCCTGCCACAGATCGCCACGCCGGGCTAACTTCACGCACAACCGTTTTGTTGGACTGGACAGGGCTAATTCTCACACTAACTTAGGCCAGCCGTGTCGGCTTACACAGCTCGTGTGACCCGGAGCGCCAGGGCGCTGGACACAACGTATCATTGCTCCCGAAAGTGTTGCAAAAGGGGACCCGTGGCGCCGAGTCGCTGTGGAAGGGAAGCCCTCACCGTCCCCAACACCGGCCCCGGACGCACAAGGTGGCCCACGGGGCCGCGGTGTGGTTCGAATAGACAGTTCCTGTTGGAAATGCCTGCCGTTGGGAATCCACTAAACCCCGGCTCTTGCGTCGACTATTGAAGGGTCGCCAAGACTTTTGAGTTCAATGGATGCCTGGTCCCTGGGTCTTGCATTTGACAGCCAGGAACCTTTGTGTCCTATTCGTCAGGATCCTCGATCGGCAGCGGTTTCTATTTCCAGATGGGGACGTGCTTGGATGAGTCGACAGCCATGTCGAGGCACGGCAACGACACTTCAGGCGCAGTCCGTATGTGCTTTGGAGGTTGTCATATCATGTCCCGGCATTTGGATTGTGAAAGTTGCCGCGTTGCTGGCCTCGCCGGTGCCTACATTTATGCATTAGTGTTACTTGATGCGTGTCTTGGATTTTGTACTGTGTCTCTTCTGCCTGGAGGTTTGAATCAAGGCCGCGCGCGCGGTATGGCGATTGGCATAGGTATCGGCGTGCTGGCACGGAACGAATGCGTAGACAGGGTTCCAGGGCCAAAAGGTTTTGGATCTGTAGGGGCCGCTCGCATCTGGCCAGTCGGGAAGACCTGGGATATGCGATGCGTTACCATATCGCCTCGAGTATAGCAGTTTGCGCTCGCCCATCGGAGGACGGTCAGGCGGTTCGTCAGAAGCAATCAGGCTGTGTAACCCATGACCCCCGATAGGTGCGACCCGGGTTTGCTGCATGAATTACCGCGCGGACGCCTTGTTCCCTGTCATCAAGCTTCTTGATAAGTGGAATTGTTGAGGCAGCCCTCGACACGTGGCGGTGAGACCAGTGCTAGCTACGGTACAGCACAACTCATCAGATTCCGATTGAGCGGCGTAGGAGATGTGCGTTGTACATGTTCAAGGGCCCATGAGCACGAGCATAAGGTACGCATGCCCCAGTATCCCCTTCGTCAGCCTCATACGGCACTGGGAATGCATGTACGCGTGACCCTTTGAGCCCAGCGTGGATGTATGTGCGGACCAGCTTTGGCGTCCAACTTGCATGCCTACTGCAGGATCCTGCGGGTGAACAAGACAGTGGAGCTCCCGCCTTCTACGATCCAGAAATTCGGTAAACCTTGGTAGAGGCGGTGTGGGGACACACGGTTAGTTGTGGGGGACCTCTACACAGTAAAGCCTGGGTGCTGAATTCACATCTTCCATGACACCTAGTACCTACTTCTCTGCTTATAGAGTGTTGACGCTTGCAAAGGCAGGAAATGTGAGATCCCAAACTAGAGAGGTTAGGAAGCAGACGTTTCACCGCGCCAGGCATAAATCGAACATGCATGTTGGTGATGCAGTAGGACTGGTAACCAACCCCAATGATCCCCTGCCAAAAAAAAAAAAAAAAATTGCATGTCATGTTGGTGGAGGCTCAATACGTGCAGTGCCTGCCGATAAGCAGAGGCAGAATCGGGGAGAAATCGGCACTTTCGTTCCGACGGTGTGCGTCTTCGATCACACGCAAGACCCGGTGATGATATCACGGCAGCATGCTGAATCTCACCTCATCAGATTGAAAAACGAGTGGCATTGGCCACAGCGCGTTGGAAGGCCGAAAGAGGGTGCGACCAGAGAAGAGTCAAGCTTCAGTATCATTCATCGATGAGATGAGTCAGTTAGCTAACCATAACCGAAAACCACGTTGCAACGTGCGTGGCTGCCGCCCTGTCCATGCCCTACCCAAAACGCCTTCGCCATGTATCACGTCACTGAATCCCCTGCGTCATCCCTGTCTGGGCCTCCTATCTACATTTCTTATTCTCCGGTAGGGTCTGTTGATGGTCTTTCGCCACTTGACATACAGGAAGAACGCGTCCTTCAAGACGACGAACAGACAGCCTCCAACCAGACTACGTCCCCATCGCTCTTGTAACAAGCCGGTCACAGGGCCTGAGGCAGGTCTGTTCACCCAGGAGGCCGGCAGCGCCCAGCGCAACACACTGCCGGCACCGTACGAAACCGTTGGCCACATGAGGGCGCCAGCTATGTAGTTGAAGAGCGATCCAAACCCGCCAGCTGCGCGATTCGGCCTCACCGGCGCAGCGTCGTTCTGGGGCCGGTCTCCCGGGATAGCATCATCGTCGTCGTCTCGAATGTTGAAGTCTAGCTGTATGTCGATAATATGGTCTGCCGCAGCGTCAGGCTGGGGCTCGCCGGCTGCCTCTTGTCGGAGAGCTGCCTGCTCAGGAGTCTCTCCTTGCAGATTACGCGGCTGGGTCGCCACAGCAGCGAGCTTTTTGTCGAGTCTCCTTGCGGCAGCTCGATAGAGCTGGAAGTAGACTGCCTTGACGACGGGGAAAGCGGCGAGGACTTTCTGCGGCGACGGGGGCCAATCAAACATGTCGGTCCTGTGGTCACTGAAAAACATGGCATACTACATAGTGTCAGTACCGCGACAGGGACTGCTCGCCATCTGCGTGATATGACTTACCGTGAGCGATGATGGAATCATAACCGTCTCGCTCAAGCTCATGCGGTTGAGTATTAGAGCGGGAGCTACAAGAGTGAGGCTCAAGAAGTGTATGACATCGATGGGGGCATTGACGTCGACGGGGCCATCGTTCCTTGCCAGCATCTGTTTCACCGTAGATACATCCCAGGGTACAAGTGATGGGGCTGTCGCCTTCATTTTCGCCAGGAACATATCCAAGTAGCCCTCTGATTCGGGCCTCAGGTAGAGGAAGCGTTGAACTGCTTCCGGTCCGGCAAAGACGTCAAGTGCATGCACTCCGTAAAAGGCACTGCCCATGGCGGCGCCGCTCAGACCAAAGGTCAACAGCACCCATGGCGATAGCCCAGAGAGCTGGTTGGTGACAGCATCGCTCAACTGTACGGCAGGATCCCAACGGTCGACAACGCCAATCGAGCTCTTGCAAAGCGGGCAAGTCACAGCCTTCCCTTGCATCTCCAGGTCGGCAACCCAGGTGAGCAAACAGGACTGATGCCCTTCAAGGGTACATGTGCACGGGGTGGCCCAGTCGGCGGGCAGGCTCTCGGCGGGCTCGTCCACGAGGCAAATAAAGCACCGGCGCGTATTGTCGTCGTCGGATGAGCTGTCGTTGCGATTGTCGGCTATGGTGGGAGCGGGCGCTGCGGCGGCGTCGTCGTCGTTGTCGGCGGCGGCAAGGCCATGGGGCGCAAGCTGCGACGAAGACACCGACATGACGTGGGTGGCAGGTGTTGGGGCGATGTGGGGTGTCTTTCCTCGCCCGGTATCTCGAGGTAGATGCTACTCCTAGATGATACTCCAGAATAAGGAATGCTGGACGCAGCCGCTGAGGGCCAGAGTGTTGGCCGATCGAGGTGCAGGCTGTCGGTTGTGGTATCGTCGGGCGCTGCTCGCCAGACCGAGGCTGGAGTTGGAGGTTGACAGACAAGCAGCCAGCCAAATTGACCGGACCAGGCTGCCGGATGCGCTTGCGCTGGTGATATCATTAGCGGGTCTGCCTAACCCTCTAGCTGCATCATTGGCCAGGTCCGCGCCTCTGCCGGCCTCTGGCAGCAGTTTCTGGCGGCCCACCTGAGCAAGGGGGGGGGGGGGGGGGGGGGGGGGCAATAGGGACCTGAACCAGGCACTGCACAGTGACTGCCTTATCTACCTAACCTACTGGTAATCAGTTTGACCACCTCTCTTGAACGCAAGCATGGAAATTTGCAAACTTACATTGGCGTTAGAAAAGCGAGGAACGTCTTTGCCCACTCACGCATGCAGTAGACAAATTGACATACCCAACAGTACATGTCCAGCTCTCTCTCCTGTCCAGGCCCAGATATAAAAGTGTGCACAGCTAATATAGAATAGAGATTTCTTCTTGTCGAGCGCATCGTGTACAAGTTGAAGCAGTGCTCATATATTCAGAATGTAGTTCTGGCACCTACTCAAAAGTTGAATGGCCTACTACATCGGATATTTTGTTTTCTGGACTAGAAAATTGATGTAGAGTTTAATCACTTGATGTTCCATAACCAGACTGTTCGCACATAAGCAAAAGCAAAAAGGTATAAGCTTTCTCGTTTTTTCTCAGACCATTCTAGTCCACGGCAACGGTCTCGGTCTGACTGTGAAGCTTAATAATATTCTCATACCACCGCTCGCATGAAGTCGTCTCCTGGCACAATTTTGTGCAATTTTTGCAAGACGTGGAATAATACAATTTGGTCCTCTCTTGTGATAAATACAGGTTCTCACACTTCTCGGAAGGAGAAACGAAAAGAAAAGGTTTCCACGGCGTGACACACATAGTAGCGTCATCTCTACGCCTTACTTTTTCGGTATCACCACCTACGTGACAGATCAAAAGCATTTGCCCAGACTTATTTGGCCCAAAATTCAAGTGGACAACGCAGGACATTGGGTGTTCAGTTCTGGTCATGTTTTCTGCTGTCCTCGTCGCTCTATTCGGAGTTCCCAAACTGGTTTGGGTGTCTGACAGCGCTGCACTACAATCACAACAGTCCCCAGCGGCCGACACCTCTCCTCCCAGCACCCAAACATCCACAAGGCGCACATGGAACCCGCAGGCAACAGCGGAAGGCAGCATAGTGGTCTTCACAGTTGTGAACAACCACACCGCTGCCGTTACAACAAGACACACCGAGGGGTGTACGCAGAGCACTATGAACAGATGTGCGCCAGGAGTTATACATCTCCCCCCCGGTCACGATGTTCCCAATGAGGAGTCGGTAGTCTACCAGGACAACCCGGACCGTAGGATAGAAGTGGGTGAAGAGGTCAGGTTTGGTGTCCCGGCAGGCTACCATGGCAAGATGTCGGTTATCGATGCCAATTACCCGCTCACTGGAAACACCGAGACGCTCCTCGAGGGCAGCTATTTACACCAAGAGGGTGAGTTGAAGCTAGATTTCGATATCAGTATGGTGTAAGTACTCAAATCAGGCATCCAACTTCTGGTATCAAGTTGTTGACAAGGGATAGTGATGGGTTCTCGGTACCTATGACGTGTTCGTGCGCTGGTGAGGTTCTGGCTGGCTGTAGCTGGGATCTTCTACAAGAAAGTCGCTGTCCTGTAAGTTCTCCCACGTTAGTTCACCGCAATGCAAAGTTTCAATGCTGATTCTTCCTTAGGAAAAGGATCGTGGTGAGGGATACTGTCGTAATCCATTGAGGTTTGACGAGACCGCCGCGGTTGCGACGGATTTCTTCCGCCCCTGCCAGGCGGCAGCCTACACTTTCCCGCATGATGATAGCGCGAACCTCAATGGGCATCCAGCGTGCAACTCAAAAGTCACTTGTTGCATTGGATCGGCATGTGCTCCGCATATACGACAGTGTTTGGGAGACATGGCCAACAAACCGGAGTGCAGACGGTTCTACCACCATTAAGCTTGGTCTGACTAGTATCCGCTACATAGATATTGCTACACCGAAGGCGATTTTGGCCAGTACTACGAATAATTCGTTGAATGGTTGTCAATTGAGTCCAAATTCCAGTATAATACAACTCTAAATATTTCAGAGCTATTTGAGAGCACGGAACGGGCAGCTTTGAAGACAAAAGACCCAGTATTGACTAGGTTCTCAAGCTCGCATCCACGCGTAAGCCATCGAGGGAGTGATTCGAGTGGATTCTAACCCCGTGAGTAACAGACCATCCGTCTCGAGAAGCATGTTGGTTGAGCTCGCCGCTTGGCTGTGTTATGCAAGCTCATAAAATTTTCAGGAGGCGTACGCGGTGGTAATTATAATCTCACTTGGGTCAAAAATTTTCAGGGGTCTCTTAAATTCATCTGCCAACAACGGCTTGCTATCTGAAAATCTGCTGGCGGAGAGGGGTTTGTTACAAAGGTTAATGGTGCAGAATTTGCAGATTTGCAGCGATACTAACCTACAGCCTATATGTATCAAGTGAATTTTGTGTCAAATTGAATTTACTCAGGTATTTGGACCTATTTAGCTAGCGGAAGAGAGTTCCTTTTACTTGCCTGTAAAGCAACTTCGTGCATACCGTCTGCAGTCTGGGTTCTGCTGTTGTTTGAGCAACATCGCCCACACAGCCCGTTCACGAGGCAACCTCACAAAACCTACTGGACTCAAGCCAGATATCAGACTCGAATGTCCGATAAAATGCAACTGCTTCTAATCGCCTGCTTCACTGCGGCCTTGGCCAACTTTGCAACTGCGCTGTCTTACAACCAGTCTGTGGCAGACATTGTCACCAGCAGCTTCACCACCTCAACTGTCGTCCGCTCAGAGCCCCTACCCTCCCAATCCGCTACTACTGGCGGCCGCGGGGACGAAGTCATTGTCCTTTCCGAAGAGCCTGGCTCGAACAGTTCCCTGTCCATGGCGGCCAGCATGCTTAGCTATACCTGCTACGCGGTGGGTTGGCTCCCAATTCTCGTAGCAGATATGCATTCCGCTGACGGGTAATCTCGACAGGAATCAAAGACCAATGCCGACGACTGCCAGGCCGTCATCGACTCCATCCGAAGCCTCAACGCCGACCTGTACCTCACGAAGGACGAGTGCCGCGGCTACACCCACGGCACGTGCATCGCCAAGATCTGCCAGAAGGGCGACCTGGAGACCCTCTGCACAACCTCGTGGCTGGCCGACCGGCTCGCGAGCCCGCTCATGGCCAACTGCATGAAGAATGGCGAGAACGGCGTCCTAGCGGACTGCACCGACTTCATGGGCGACTGTGGACACAACCGGATCTGGCTTTCGAATCTTTGATTATGATGATGGTTGTTTCACTGCCGGAGCTCGGGGAAAGCTATGGGAAGACGATTGACAGGTTTCAGTTCACGAAGTAGTTACTGGGATCAACGAGGTGCTAAATACTGAATATTGCAATTCAGAATAGGCCATGCTAGTGACAATCAGATGCCCATAGAATCTGTCCTTGCTCCTTCATCTTCACCAGAGCATCAAACATTGATAGCTGTCATGGCCGCATCTTAACACAAGCTCTTCCTTGACTCAATTTGACATGTCTGGACTCCTTCAAGTAGCTTGATCCCCAACAAATGTCCTAGGAAGCTCTTTCCGCTTAGAGTGGAAGAATCGCCTCAGCAATATAAAGCCAACAGCGCCACCCAGCAAGACGAATATCAAGATACAGATCATAGCGATGAGAGCGCCAGAAGTGTGTTCAGCTCTGGGTAACAGCGTACGTGCTTGGTTCGGTTGGACGAAGGCCGACATGAGAGTGGAGGCCAAGGCCATGATCAGGGGGGCTCAAGTCGTTCCAAATCTTCGGTGCTAAGCTCCGTTCAGGACGAGGCCACTCATGTGATATACGACGTAAGTGCCGAGCTCTTGAGCGAACGCTCTGTGCTGGACGCTGGAAGCGTTATAGTTTTGACTTCGGACTAGGATTATATAAAAGATCAAAGCGCTTTGTTCCCCTCGAGGCGCTGCTAGCTGAGGTCGAGATTGGCAAGTTCAGTGCTAGTATCATTGTGAACGTCTTTGTTCTGTCAAGTAAGCTAAGGCGTGGGTTCATTGGCTTATTATTCATGATATCTATCCAGAATTAGGGGCCTGTGTTCAACTTGTGTTCTTACCACCTGTCTGAGAGGCGGCACCCTTCTAATCTCGTGGTCATTCTATACATTTAACCGTGATATTACATTAATCATCGAGGATTCTTCCTCGGCATCATACTTCAGAACGCTGTACCAGCAGCGCACATGGTCACATGGCCTGTTTATACATGGTATAACAACCCATCCGTTGCCTACTGGTTGCGAATGTGCCTGCGGAGGTTCGTTCCGTTCCAAGCAGGATAAGTCGTGTGGTAAAATCCATCATCGTAGGTCGTTGAACTTGTGCTTGGTTGCGGATATGAAGTCGTAACATATGATGTAGGGGTAGTGCTACTGCTTGAGATGGCGGTGGCACTAGGTGTGCTCTGAGTCTGGAGCGAAGTACTCCTCGTAGCTGGTAACGAGGGTGATGTGGTGAGAGTGGAATGCGTCGCACTGGCAACTGATGAAGTGCTAGTGCAAGACGTCGAAACACTTGTCGAAATAGTCGTTGGTACGGATGGTGCTGTCGATGTTATAGACGTCGCCGGGGAGATGCTTGTGACTGTGGCAGTCGCAGTAGTGGGCTGGATATCAATAATCGAGATCGTAGAGATGACGTTCGTGGTTGGGGTGGTGGTGACCACGACGGTTGCGGTTTTGTGCTCTGTCACTGGCGGCGAAGTCTCAATTATGGTCTTCGTTGCTGGTGTGGCCGATGCGACGACGGTCTCGACGACGGTGGTAGCTGGGGGCTTTCCGGACGCGGAATCTCCATCGCCCCCGCTACCATCAATCGGCACTACCGAATAGGAGGCTCTTGCTACGAGAGGTTCGACAGGGGCTTCCCGAGCGGCGAGCAAAGGCAACGCCGCCGTATAAGAACAGAGGGATGCAAAAGCAAACAGAAGCGGGACGGGAAGTTGGGACCGCATCTTGACAGGAGAGAGGCTCAAGATGCCAGGTGAAGATGCGACGAACCTTGCAGACTGGACTTGTCTTTGTGGATCTGCAGGATGAGCAAGAGAAGGGGAAACGGATAGACCTACCGTACTAGCAGACTTGGTTTTATTGTATTGGAGCCATCTGGGGAAGTTGACGATATTCAGAAGGCTGGTGACTCGGCGCACGAGTGGGAATGTGATGGAGTTGGTGGTGTTCATATCTCAGGTGGCTGGTAGCGCTTTGGTCCCCTGGAATAAGCTCCCAGTGCTGCCTGCCGATTGGCTCGGATCGTATTCCAGCCACCAAAGTTGCCGATTCTGGAAAGCGCCGCAGAGCAAGTACTCAGGTACCTTGCACTAGCGCTCTTCTAGGTTCCATCGCCCCCGGCTCTGCCAACTGTGTGTGTGTACCTTGCCGACTTGGAGAGGCCCCTGTGGTCTAGGTTTAAGTTACAGTATGTCGTTCCGACTCGAAGACCTATTGCCGGCACTTATTGCGTCGTCGCAGAATGCTGGTAATTCAAAGCATTCTTGATGCTGTGACATGTAGACATGTCGATTTTGCGCAGCCTTGAAATGAACGCCTTGTGCTGGGAGCTCCTGGTTGTTAACAAAGACCATCCCGGTTTCTAGAAGAAATAGGCATTCGAGGCTGTGTCTGAGCTAATCTCGGCCGTTGGGCTGCCTCCACTCCTACCAATGGGCCAATGCCCCGCGGGGTTGCGGCTTGCTGCGACCCATGGTCGTTCTTGAGTTGGTCGTTGTTCGGCTACATCAGTAACTACAGATCATGCTCATGATAGCTGGAGAGGGAAGGTATTCTATGGGGATAGCCAAGTACATACATGATGCATGTCATCTTTGGATCTGGACTACGGAGTACTTGACTAACCTAATCGCCCAGGTATCCAAGTAGCTCTGTTCATGCCTGTGCCACCCTCGCGGCGCTGGAAGCACGTCACTCGCTGTGGCTTATGGGGCTTGGGGGGTGCTGGCCCCGCGGAGCTGCTGCTGTTGCTGCCCGCATCTGTTCAAGTAGTTCGGACGGGCAAGGGTGTGAAATGCATGTTTGGTCGATCCCGGGTTTGCAAGGACCAACTCTTGTTTCGAAACATTAGAGCCTGAGTATAACCGTGTGGCACCTGAAGGCATCGCAGTATAGCTTGTCACTCGTCTAGACCCACGGGAAAGTAGACCAGTCACACCAATCTCTACTTCCTGCAGCGGACGGGAGTTGCTGGCCGCCATCACGGATACACGGCTCGCAGGCGCTGCCCGATTTGTGGAGCAATTCTTCTGGGATGACGTTGAAAGTCTGACAGCATCCAAGGCTGCTCCGCCACTAAGCTACCGCGGCACCGTAGCTGTGAACAGGTGGGCTGTTGGTATTCTATGCGCAAATGGTGCTAGCTACCGCGACCATCGCACAAGGCGCCAGTCACACCCATAAGAAGCTGGTCACAGCCTCCTTGGGTGGCGTGCAAGCTGCGTAGACCACACACACACACTCTCTCTCGATCTCTCTCTATTTCTCTCTCGCCGTGAGCATTTGAAATATTGCCATCCGCCGTCTATCCTCCCGACCCGCTCCTTGCTTTGTGCTACCGACTTACAACAACAAACTCCCACGTCCCTGCAGGTCTCCTGGGCCATCTTCTCTTTCCTCCCCTCGCATTCCTTCAGAATCTACAGATCAACAGACCTACCAACCCACAGACACATCTTGATGTCGTACAACCAGTACCCCAACTACGGGCAGCAGGGCTACGGTCCTCCCCCGGGTGGCCCGCCTCCTCAGCAGTATGCTTACGGCCAACCTCCCCCGCCGGGTCCGCACGGCGCATACGGCCATCCACCACCGCCGCAACAGTACCCTCCTCCGGGCGGGCATTATCCCCCGCCACCGCAGCACGGCGCCTACGGGCAGCCGCCTCCCCCGCATGGCAGCCCGTATCCTCCACAGGGCGGACACTATCCACCGCCGGCCCAGCCTTACGGCGGGCACTCACCTCAGCCGCCATATGGCGCCCCTCCCCCAGGACCTCCCCCTCCGCAGGGTCACTGTAAGCAACCATGGCCCGTTCCAAGCCGGACCCGTTGTGATAAGTCGGATGCTAATATACTTCGTTCACTAGATGGTGCCCCCCAAGGCGGCTACGCTGCACCTGTGCCACACTACGCCGGACCTCCTACGCAACCAAGTCTCGGATACGGCCCTCCGCAGATCATTCAGTGGGACGCCAGTCCTGACGCGCAGGCCCTTCGAAGTGCGATGAAAGGCTTCGGCACAGACGAAAAGACTCTCATCCGTGTTCTCGCCAACAAGGATCCGCTGCAGATCGAGGCCCTCAAGTCCACATACTTCCGCAACTTCAGTCGCAGCCTAGAGAAGGATGTGATTTCAGAGACGCGAGGTTGGTTCGAAAAGGGCCTCGTAGCACTGATTCAGGGCCCGTTGCTGCACGACTGCCACTCCCTATACAACGCCATGAGTGGACCAGGAACCAAGGAGAAAGTCATGAACGACGTCTTGCTCAGTCGGTCAAATGCAGATATGCGAGCTATCAAGAGCAAGTACCAGCAGACGTTTGGCAGGTCACTCGAGGACGATGTAAAGGGGGACCTGAGCATGAAGACGGAGCAGCATTTTGTGATTGTTCTCGGTGCAACCCGTGCCGAGGACAACGCACCCGTCATTCCTCATGATATTGACCGAGACGTCATGGACCTCTACCGTGCCGGCGAGGGCAAGATTGGCACTCACGAGATGATTTTCTGCTCCATTCTCAGTTCACGCAACGACAACCAGATACGCGCCATTGCCCATGCCTATCAACAAAAGTTTGGAAAGAGCCTCGCAGAGGTAATCCGCAAGGTAAGTTCACTGATCTCATGTGCAATAGCTTGGTGCTAACATAGCGTCAGGAGTTCAATGGTCACATGAAGGATGCACTATTATATCAGCTCAACCACGCCGCTGATAAATATATGCATGCGGCGGCCATGCTAGAAGATGCTATGGCGGGACTGGGTACCAAGGACCATCTCCTCGTCGGCCGCATCGTCAAGTACCATTGGGACCGCACTGATATCGCGAATATCAAGGGCGCATTCCAACACCGATATAAGACGTCCTTGGCCAAACGGATCAAGGGCGAAACGAGTGGGGATTACGAGCGGTTGATGTTGGCTTGCATCGGGGAGCCCATCTAAGTCATGGGCACACTATGTTTCTAGGGAGCGGCGTACTCGGATTGATACCTCGGAATAGGGTTGTACGTATTACTAGGAATGACGAACATAGCTAATTAACATAATGCGGGCTGTGCGCCGGGTACCATTCCCTTGGGGATATATTTTTTTTCGCATATGGACATCGAGACTCGATATTAGAGTTTGGCAAAATTAGTGTCGCCTCGTCATTGAGCGTATCGTAGCAGTCGTCGAAAGAGTATCTGCATCCGCATGCAGGCTGCGAGACATTGTGCTGTCAACCGTTTCAGGGAACCCGTACCCGATGCACGTCCAGAGGTTCAGCCCATGCAATGCCATCTAAGCGACGGCACGTCCAACCTGCTGCTAGCCGCTGGGCCGGGATAGTATCTGGGGTTGCCCATTGCGGCTGCCAGCAAGCAGAGCGCAGCAGTAAAACGCATTCTCTGTTACAATGCATTATAGCCTCGCCCAACATGGCGAATATTTGAGTGGCATGGTCACGCAAAGGGCAGGTGATCCACTGTCCTGTAGCCTGCCGACGGGGTGCTTCTCGTGTTAAAAACCTCCGACGGGCTCGCTTGACACCTCCGAGGACGCACGCCCAGCCTATCAGTGCCAGCACATCTCGCGAGCCATTGATAGGGCTGCACTTGCAGGAGAGACAACCAACAGAACAAAAAAAAGGCATCTTCCAGCGCGGAAACGATTCCCTCACCACGGCCAAATGCACGGCTTCTGCAAGTGATGTCTGCAGCGGTGAGGCGCACGGTGCCGCACCAGGGCCGGCCAGGCAGAGGGCAGACTGGATGGATGGAGTTCACCAGCGAAGATCGTTCTCCACTCTGGACAGGTCAACGGTTAACCTTCCTAGGCTCTGCCCCCAAATCTTCTCTGAACGTTACATGAACTAACTACTTTGCTTTGCACACTTTTGGTCGGGGCATTGAAACTAACTTTTTGGTGCCAATGGCTACCGACTGAGGACCCTTCTCTACCTCAATCATATACCTATCTCCGTTACGGTTATGCGGTCTTTCTACTACAGCCAATATGAAGAAGCACAACGCTTTCTTGGGGAGCCCTACTCTCCCCATCATCTTGCTGTCCCAGGCTCGCATCCTGGACTGTTCCTCCCGCACGATATGGACGGTAGATACAGCTCAATAGCCCAAGCGGCTCTGTCTGGAGCCCTCCTTTTCATCTTCTTACTGCGTCTGCTACTTCCCAAAGCACCCCAGTGGTGCAGCAGCTTTGCTCAGGAGGAAAGTGAGCAAGGGCCTCACCGGTTGAAGCAGTGGTCTTGGCCGACTATCGGACTCGTACTATTTTCAATCGGCGGATTGGCCCTGGCTATAGTCTCCGCGATAGCTACCCCGAAAACACTATGGGTCTGGCTTGACCTTGTGCCATGGGTAATCACTGCGCTCATCCTACTTATCGACCGGCCGCGCAAAACGCCGAAGACGGTACTGACTATACTCGGCGGCGCTGGTCTTGGCATTATCTTCCACCTATATGCGACCTATAATACTTCCCAGGAAGTCAACATACTACACATTGGACAACTTTGTGTCGCTTTTGGTGCAATCACTATTATTCTTTCGATGCCCATGAGAGATCCCGACTTACCGACAGACGGGATTGCTGGACCGCATGATGCAGCAACCCATGAACTCCGCAGCCCCGAAGACAGATTATCTCTGTGGCAGTTCATGACTGTATCGTGGATGGCTCCCTTGATGAGAGCGGGTTCTAGCAAGAAGCTCAATGACGAAGATGTGTGGCTACTGCCATACGAGTTTCAGCACAGCCGCCTGCACGTGTTATTCAGAGATCTCCAGGGCTCGCTTATATGGAGGCTCATGCTTGCGAACGGCCTAGATCTTATCATCACCACTTCACTAGGCATCCTGGAGACAGCAGCAAATTTGGCAGGTCCGCTCCTGCTAAAAGCTTTGATAGCCTCCATTGAGAAAAAGGGGGACACTCGGGGCGAGTCCGTCTTCTTCGCTATTGCTATTCTGATCGTACGACTTGTCGCGTGCCAATCCGCTGTTTTCAGCCTTTGGTACTGTCGCCGGGCTTATGAGCGCTCTCGCGGTGAGATGATCACGACCATCTACGCCAAAACCTTGACCAGGAAATCCCAGGGGTTCATGCCCGGTGAAAAAGACCCGGCTCATGTCAACGGGAACTCGCTGAACGGCGGTAAGCCAAAAGAAGGCAAACTGGCTCGACTCCTTGTATGGTTGAAAATACGGAAGGGTCGTCCTAAGCAAGTTGTTGACAACGCGAAACCTCCGGCTACGATGGGTAAAATTTTGAATCTGATGAGGAACGACTGCTATGAGGTGGCCCAGCGGTTCTGGGAATTCCCAAACCTCATTACCAAACCTTTGCAATTTGCGCTGTCTCTCTTTTTGGTATGGCAGTTTTTGGGTTGGCCATGCTTGCTCGGTGTAGCATGGGTAGTCTTCATACAGTTGCTCAATGCTGCCACGGTTAAAGGGCTTCTGTCCCGAGAGCGCCTTCGAAGAGCAGCAACGGACAACCGTCTCCAAGCAACCTCGCAATTCGTCGAGGCTATTCGGCACTTGAGGTGGTATGACTGGCAAGGCAAATGGCTCGACAAAATCATGACGGCAAGAAACCGTGAGCTCCACATGAAGGTGATTACTGGACTATGGACCGCCGCTATAGGGACTATCAACATTTCAGCCGGAATGCTCTTCCCGGTTGTTAGCTTCTTCGCCTACACCTATATCGCCGGCAGGCCACTTTCGGTGGAAATCGCTTTTCCAGTACTTCAGCTATTCAACATGCTTGAGACTAGCTTGAAAGAGCTCCCCGATCTCATCCTGGTTGTCCTAAATGCCTCCGTGGCTATAGATCGGCTTGAAACTTTTATGAAGGAGCCTGATAAGGAAGAGGGCTGCTTAAGCGAAGCAATTACGGACATCGAGTTCAAAGACGCTTCTCTGGCTTGGCCAGGGACTCACAGTCCTGTTCTAAACGACCTGAATCTAAACTTCTCGACCGGACTTACCGTTGTCTGCGGCAAGGTAGGGTCTGGGAAAAGCGCCCTTTTGCAAGCGATTCTTGGGGAGCTTGACCGCCGACACGGTGACTGCACCCGTCCAGATGAGATGATAGGCTACTGCGCCCAGTCGCCCTGGCTACAACATATGAGTATTAGAGAAAATATTCTCTTTTCCGCACCTTACGATCCCGTCCGGTACCGCCAGGTTATAGACGCCTGTGCCCTGACCCCAGATCTGGCCAACTTTGAAGGTGGTGACCTTGCTTTCGTCGGAGAAAACGGTATAGGACTTTCAGGAGGCCAAAAGGCTCGCGTCGCCCTGGCCCGCGCCGTGTACAGTCAATCTCGCATTCTTCTACTTGACGACCCCTTGGCGCCACTGGATCACAACACTGCTGAGTCTATCGTCCAGAAGCTCTTCCGCGGAAAACTGGTTGAGGGACGCACAGTCATACTTGTCACCCATCGTGTCGATTTGGTGATGCATCTAGCTGACCAAGTTGTTGAGATTGATGGTGGCAAAGCACACGTATTGAATCCCGAAGAAATACCACGTCAGATCGCGGTACTGTCTGAAACGGCCAAACAACTTGATGCCCAACAAGATTCAGAGGCAGATTCAAAGCCAGATGAAGCTGCCGTGCCAGACAAGTTTATCGAAGAGGAGCACCGCAAGACGGGAGGCGTGGTCCTCTCGGTATACTGGACCTACATCAGAGCAGGCATGCTGAGATGGTGGGCCGTGCTCATCGTCGCATTCTCCATTTTCAGAGGTGCTCGTATCTTCAGCGGCTGGTTCGTCAAGGCATTTTCCGAGGGCTACCCCAAACAGCACACTGAGACAGGCCGGCACATAGCCTATCTCGCACAGAAGACATTGACTGTTACTGGAGAAGTAGCCTCAAATCAGACACGCTCCATTGTCGATCACCTCTTCGATAATCTACCGCCACCTGATCAAAACGTTGGCCCGTGGTTGCTTTGGTACCTCGGCATAGCACTGGTGATGACACTGCTATTCGCCATCTGCCAGTGTTTCCTGCTGCTTATTCTCTATATCGCTGCCAAGAACCTGTTTGTAAAGGTCATTACACGGGTCAGCAACGCGACGTTCCGCTTTTACGACGTCACCCCGATCGGGCGGTTGATGAACCGTTTGACTTCGGACATTGGTATGCTTGACGGTGGGATTATATCACCGTTGCAGAATATGGCATTTTTCTTCCTGACATGGGTCAGTGCAATGGTTATCATTGCATTCGTGACGCCCGTGTTTTTCATCTTTGCTCTGCTAATGACAGCCGCCTTCGTCTATGTCTTTATGATGTTTTTGCCTACGTCGCAGAGTCTCCGTCGCCTGGAAATGGTATCACTGAGTCCTCTAATGTCAAACTTTGGAATCTTGTTAGATGGGTTGGCAACAATTCGAGCATTCAAGGCACAGCCCAATTTCCAGAACCGGAACATCGTGGTGACCGATGCTTTCCAGCAAAAGGACCATTTCTATTGGTCGCTTCAGTCCTGGTTGATGTACCGTTTCGACTCTCTCTCGGCTTTCTCGACCTTCGTGCTCACGATGATTGCACTCTACAATGGTCTAAGCTCCGGGTTGACTGCTTTCGTGCTGACAACAGCCGCGCAGTTTGTCGACGCAACACACTCCTTATGTAAGGTATACGGACAGCTGCAGATGGATTTTGTCTCGGTCGAACGTGTCATCGAGCTCCTCGAACTGGAAGAAGAGCCAAGCGGACATATCGACCCGCCGGCATCTTGGCCCTCACACGGAGACGATATACAGTTCGACTCCGTGACCATGAAGTATGCGCCGCATCTCGAGCCCTCACTATCAGATGTGACCTTCTCTATTCCAGGCGGGTCTACTTGCGCGGTCCTGGGGAGAACAGGCTCTGGCAAGAGCACCCTGGCCCTGGCCCTACTGGCCACCCTGCGGCCAGAGAAGGGCAACATAAAGGTCGGCACCATGGACATATCCAAGGTGAACGTACACACTTGGCGCCAGCGTATCAGTTTCGTGGCACAGGACCCGGTGCTCTTCCCCGGGACCTTGCGGCAGAACCTTGACCCGCTCGAGGAGCACTCAGACCCCGAGTGCGTCGCGGTGCTGCACCGCATCCTCGGCCCCGGCTGGTCGTTGACGTCGCACGTCGACGGCGGCGGCAAGAACCTCAGCCAGGGCCAGCGGCAGCTCGTCGGCATTGGCCGCGCCGTGCTGCGCCGCAGCGCTGTCGTCGTGCTGGACGAGGCCACGGCCTCGATCGACAAGAAGACGGCGCTCGCCATACAGGATGTTCTGAGGGATGAGCTGCGCCAGAGCACCGTCATCACCATCGCCCACCGGCTCGAGGCCGTCAAGGATGCGGATTATCTAATCCGCCTAGATAGTGGCAGGGTTATCGAGGCAGGCCCCGCGAAGAACTTGCAGTGAAACCCAAGTTCTGGATATGTTGCGAGGTGTAGATGAGGATTTCCCCAGCAGTGTCACAATCCCAACGTCATGTTGAAGTCGCTTTTGAGTTTGCCATCATATTTTAACAATCATGAGTATACACTGTAAAGCAGAATAGATGGAGATTGAAAACATTCGCACCTTGATACTTCGTCGTGATCACGTGAATAGTGAGCCACTTCAGTGTTATAATGTTGTGTACAAACCCGCAGTTTTGCTTCAACCTATGATATGCTTTGCAAAGTCCAAAGACAACATTCTGACTCGAAGAAAAACTCGAGCTCAACACTGCAACGTGGCTTCGTAAATCAAAGCGAAGAAGTAAAGGTGAGGTCTCAACCCATTTAAATTGCCGCGATCTCTATCTGAAAGGACGAGGATGCTTTGATTTCGAAAAGCAAGCCGGTAAACCCTGAGGGAGTTGACTTCATGTCATGCCTTACTTCGCTGAACTGCCCTTGTCCTGATCCTGAGTGTACGTTGGGTTCTTCTGCTCATTGAGAGCCGGTGCCTCAGATGGTACATCCGAACAAATCGTTGTTGCATCGACGTTATTAGAGGGAGTTCCCGGCATTTTGCTGTTCTTGTTATCGTTCTGCTCCTTCGCACGTCGTTGTGCTTCCTCTACCCCAGCCTTTAGCGCCTCGTCCCAAGGATTGGCTACACATCTGGTCAGCCGGTCAAAGTGCCACAAAGGGAGTTTTACTCACACATTATCGAGTTACAACACGAAGATCTAGGAATAGGTCACCTCGTCTAATGGCACTGCAAGGGCCTTTCAAGCTGGTCGCACTGGAGATTCTCGTATGTCTGCTCTTCTCCAGGAAAGGCGTAGCTGGTATATTCGACATCTATTTATACCTCTCGTCAACTCATTCTGGACAAAGCCGCTCGGCCATTATCGACCAGGTCAAAGTTGGATGGATCAGATGAACAACTGCGCCGGAAACGACGTTGGTTCAGCATCAAGTATGTCAGCTTTCTACGAAGCCAAGGCGTGGATCAGGCAGCATATCACGAGGGCCAACAGTTGGTGAACAAAGGATGAAGTGCTTTTGAATACAGTTGACAGAGCCACCAGCTTGCATGGGTTGATCACAAGCCTGGGCTTGATATCACCTGCTGATACCGAATGTGGACTTGGAGCCTCCAACAAAGAGCTCAGTTTGAAGCAGAGCAACCAACAGCCGCTGGAATCGGACACTTGGTATCATAACAAAGGGATATACGTAGTTTGCACCAAATCACGGGATGAAGTCTGGGATATTACCCAATACCCAACAGATGGCGGTGTACGCCGTGCATGACCGTTGCCAAAATCCTCAGCGCTAAATGCGTGGCCCCAACGTCTATCTTGCACGAACGACAGAATAATTTAGAATCCTCGTTGAGTCAATCTGATTTGGGCTATGAGCCTACTTCCCCGACCTTCAATATCAAGGAGTATAATCCTACAAGTGAGATGCACCTTCGCAAGGTCATCAGTGACAATCGATTCGGTTTCTTGCCAGCGTCCATGATCATTCTGTGTCTCTAGACTGGCGACGGCTTAAAACAAATCAAACTCCCGCCAAACTGAATTCATGCAAACGCCTTGTGCTCCGCAAACCACGGTGACTGGAAAGATAGTCCGCTACTACTGACCGCCAAAGGGGTCGTAGCATGGGGTGTCCAGATGGGAGGCATCAAATGCATCGCCGAGCGTCTGCAAAGCAAGTTCTGAAGTGTAATACAATGGGTCCTGGGGACCAATCCTAGGCCAGGAGGAGCCTGGGGACGTGGTTGCTTGGTTCACCTCCCTCTCTACAAGAGGCCGGCGAGAGCTGCTGTCGAAGCTCGCCCTTGGCGGTTCGATGGGTTTGGTAGTTGGATTTCGCTAGTAATTCAACTCGCCACCACCGCCGCCGGCGACGTGGTCCAGGTCTTCGTAGCTCTTTAAGCTGCGGCCCTGGACAGCCTCTCTGGGACCCATAGCCGCGCCACCTGCAGCGGCACCGTCGCCCCATCTACCTGCACCACCGCGCCCACGGCCACCACCTGCACCATCCTGACCCCAGCGTCCTTGTGGCTGGCGTCTGTCGTATGGTCCAGTGCGGTTATTATTGAAGCGGTTACCACCGCCACGGCGGATTGGCCCTGCCCCACGGTCATCGCCTCCGGCATTCCATCCAGCGGCCTGCATAGCACCACCGGCGAACAAAGGAGGCATGCCAGGCATACCGGGAAAGCCGGGGAATGGCGGCATCATGTTGTTCATGGCAAAGTTCTGAAGATTGAAGCCCCGTGGCGTTCCCTGCTGAGTCTGTCCATTGGACGGAGGAAAGTGTCCGTTTGAGTTAGCATCAGTCCTTGACGGTGCGATGTGCGACGGGTCGAGGACATAAGCATTGATGAGATCAAACTAGGCGAAGGTCAGTTACAAGTCCAGAGGGGATGATCGGGGGTATAGGGGGTATTTACCTCCTGCTTCAACTGCTCAAGCCAGTCGGTGTGACGCTTTTCAACGTGTTTCTTCCAAAAGTGGTCCTCCTTGAACAGCTTGGAGCACTCGGGAACCTTGCATCGCCACTTGTGCTCGTCTTCCTGCTTGACAAACTTCGATAGCTCATCGGCGATGGCGTCTTCTGTCAACTTGCCACCAAGTTTCCGAATGTCTGCAGTCTCGGGCTCCAAAATCTGCAAGATTTTGTCTTCGAAAGTCTTCACCCATTTGTACGCGCGTTCAAGTTGCTGTTCGGATTTGGACATGCGAGGCTTGCGATCGTCTGTGGCCTCTCCCTCCTCCTCGTCCTTCGCATCACGTTTCTTTGACGGAAAGGGCTCGCCGTTTGCACTGGCTCGTGCTACGTTCTTGGCTGCTGTCGACAAGGTGCTTCGGGGGCGGCGAAGATGACCACCAGGGCACTTTCGTGTCAACTCATGAATCGAATCGCTCTCAAAGACGCAGAAGAAACAGAAGTTGAAGACACGACGAAGGTACTCGATCATGAGATCGAGTTGCTTCTTCTTTATCAAAAGATCCTCGTCATCAACTTCATCGTCGATTGCGCCTTCGTCTTCATCATCGTCCATCTCACCCTCTTCACCCTCATCCATGTCAAGATCCAAGTTACGCTCCTTCTTAGCCTTCTTGACAGGTGATACAGGAACAGCCGGCTGGAGGCGTCCGGCGTTCTTGAGGTCTTCCACACGTTCCTCGATCTTGAGGGTGGCATTGAAATCGGAACCGAATTCCTCCTCAAACTTGTTGACGAGTCGTTGGACAAGAGTAAGATCCTTCTCGACTCTTTCTGGCGCGGAAAACAAGTCCCATAATGCCTTCTTGCGAGGATTACCGGGCGGGTTGTGCACTCCGACATGGCAGACAAAGTCGCCACGGACCTCGTCCTTGACAGTCTTGCCATTGACGGCATCCAATGCTTTCTCGGCCGTTGAGACAGGAACAGGCGACGATGGCTCCATATCACCATCCTGATCCTTAGGGTCCTCACGATCGATGGGCGGGACTGTCTCGGAAGAAGGATGTAGCATAACCCAGCCCATCCTGTGGTATCGCTTGCTGGGGTTGGGATCACTGAGAGACAGCCACTTGAAGCCACCTTCCTCCTCGCCAAGATGTTCCTTGCAGAAAGCCTCCAGGTTTTGGCGGCTGACATGAGGGGCTATCGTCTTGATGAGGAGGGTCGGTTGGTATAGGTTCTCGTCACGAATCTCGTTGCCCTGGGCAGGGACAAGGTCACCGACCCCAAGAACCTCATTCGCCGCCGTAGCTTCGCCCTCTTCCTTCTCGACCACGCCGCCCACGCCATTGCTTTCGCTCTTGGGAAGTCCCTCGAGAGAAAACTCGTCGAACGTGCCAGACTCGAGGTCCTGCTCCCATTGGCTATAGGCGCCCCGGCGGAACTCATTGATCTGCGCACGGAGGCCGTCTCGAACTTCGGGGATGTAACGCTCGCGGAACCATTGCTCTTTCTTGTGCTCACTGACGAAGCTGCGGGCCATCTTTGCCTGCAGCTCCTCCTTGTACACATCGTAGGCGGCCTGGATCTTGGCCTTCTCCTTGTCTCTGTCCTCTTGGGAGTCTCTGCCACGCGGTCGCTCGGGACGGCGCCCTGTCCGAGCACGTTCCTTCTCCTCTTTGATCTTCTCATTCGCCCGCCACCACTCCCCGAAGTAGGAGAAACCGACCTGGAAGGGTAGCTTGACAGGGTCTGTCAATGGGTTGACGGCAGGCGGGGGAGGCTCATTCGCGCCTTGGCCCGGGACGTAGCGATCAATGTTGGCTGGGGGTGAGGCTACCCGACGAGGACGATCTTCACGATCACGGGGAGGTCCATAGTCCTCTCGGCCGCGGGCCCGGGGTTCGTATCTGTCGACAGGCGGGGGGGAACGGGATCGACGACGAGTGCGATCAAAGCCTGGAGGGGGTCAGTTTGGGGGGGAACTTGAATAGCTTTGCATCAGTGGGAACATCGCCGCGCCGGCATTGCCAGGCTGTGACAAGGCGAGGCCACCCGGGAAGATGTGAACAATGATAACGCACCAGGTGAACGTCCACGATAGAAGCTGTCTGCGCGATCGGACTTTCTGTCGTCACGGGTCCATTCACGGTCGCTCGGTGAGCGCGCAGGGACATCGCGTTCGCGGTCGCGGTACGAGTTGTAGGAGTCCATGGCTGGCAGCGTGTGACGGCGAGGTCGTCGCTCTCTGATACTCTCTAGGTCTGTCAGAGCCGCCCGCGAACTCGGCAGTCAAGCCTTTGTAGCTGGGTTGGGTCGGCGATTTGTCTCGTCAGGTGACGGGGATCGGCAGGGGGAAACGCGGCTCGTGCCTGCTGTTTGGCGACGCGATTGCCGTTAGAGAAATCATTCTGGACAAAAAGTTTGATGGAAGCAACAGAATTGAGGGCTTGATCTGACGGAGGGCCTGGGGGATGAACCCGAAGATGAGAAGAAGGCACAGCTCGCAAGCCAGAAAGAGGAGAGAAGCGGGTTCAGAAAAGAAGAAGAGGCGCAAGCTACGTGCGCAGCAAGCCAGACAAACTAATGCATGGTGGGCGAGAAGAGATAGAAGAAGTTTGCCTGCAACAAGCAGAGGGGGGCAGGATACGAGGTACAGAGAGGTAGAGAGGTCGCGATGGGGGCAGGGTGCTTCAGCAGCAAGGCAAGCAGGGGCAAAAGCGACCCGACGGTGATGATCGACGACGAGGTGACGATGGTGATGACGATGATGATGACGATGATGAGGAGCAGGAGGAGAAAAAGGATAGACGAACTTGCAGATGGGTTGATTGACGATTCACAGTCTCCTCCGGGGGCGCGAAGTCCCAATGGCAGAAGAGTCCTGGAATACGCTGCGTTCGAGGCACGAAGTCAGCAGCGGTTGTCTTGGAGAAGAGAGAGGGAGACAAAGGAGGGTGGAGGCTGCCGCAACGCATCTCACCTTAGCACCTCCAAAGGCCCGGTCGATGCTGCTTGTTTCTGCATTACAGCGCCTAAGTGAATACGCTAACAGCGGAACACCAGAGCCGAACGCCAAAGCGATCCTGCTGGTGGTGAATGATTGGCGGATACAAGACCCGTGCAGCCAAGGTACCTAAGTAGCTTTGAATACGATGCCGGCCACTCGCAAGATAGCGTGGCCCAGGTTTCTTGATGTGCCGGTTAAATGCATTCAGCATTGCTCTCAGCAACTCTACACTGCAGTCCTGTTCCCATTGTCGTTTGTATTTCGGCAATTGCTTACCTGAAGAGTTGATGGACTGTCTTTTCTTTGAATGTCTAGCTTGCTGGATCAGACTTGGTGAATCGGGACGACCTATGATCAGTTCTCAAGTATAAGTTGGTCGCCAGCCACCGATCTTCATGGAGCTGGTCCCCCCGAGTCGTGGGGTTCACAACAGCTGACAACGGACCTCTGATGGACGAGCACGTCCTACTTGCGTGAAGCAGAAATGGCACGGCATGAATCATGCCCTCGATAACACGGGGATGGTTCTTGAGGACGGCAACGCTCTAGGGAGCTGTACCGGGAACTGGCAGACACTGGGAACCACGGTTCGCAAATCTGTCTCGGGCCACCAGCCGAGTTCGACCCATTACACAGCTTGCATACGGGAACACCACGGGTCATATCTATTGTGCAGAAGCTATCGCCGATCCTGGGACCCGTATCCTAGATCTTGTATCGTAGAACTCCTATGCGAATCACAAACCCGGTGTCGAGAACGTGCGCCTCAGCTCTCTCGCTGTCAAAAGTGACCCGATGTCCGAGGCAATGGTTGCACGGGGCCAGAGGCAGACCAATTGACCCCCGGGCCTGGACGGCTGCTGGGGGAGCTCCACACCGTTTGTCTCGTTGAGGCTAAACCGCTACCGACTCGCATGCAGGAACGGCGTGTTCGCTCGTTCCACGCTACGTCATCCACTTGCTTCGCGCGCCGGAGAGCTGGCTCACGTCTTATAAACTAAACCCTCCCTCACGATACCTTTCACCTGAGAAGTCGCCCCAACCAAAGGCCCCCGACCAGAAACCGTCAAACCCGAGGACAGCAAGATGACCACCTACATACCCTACCTCACTATACCCCACGAGGTCTTCTCCAATGCCGCCGCTTCGGTGCTGCTCCCCATCGCCCTGGGGACCGGCGTAGGCTTCAGCACCCGACGTAAGCTGCCCGCCCATCATTCCTCCCCAATCCTCGCCCTCCCTCTTATATTCCGCGTAGACCCGTAAAGACTGACAGCTCCCCTTCCACACAGCCTCCCAGACCCAGAACACGTACCGGCTGATGAAGCAGCCGCCGCTGCGCCCGCCGCCGCAGGTCTTCGGGCCCGTGTGGACGCTGCTGTACGGGCTGATGGGGTACGCGGCGCACCGGGCGGTGACGGCGGGGCTCAACCCGCTGACGTCGACGGTGGGCGGCGTGCAGACGGCCAAGCACGCCGCCACGCTGTACACGATCCAGCTGGGGCTGAACCTGGCCTGGATGCCGCTGTTCTTCGGCCTGCGCAAGCCCGTCGCCGCCCTGGCCGACATCGCCGGCCTCGTCGGCATCAACGGCTACCTGACCTACCTGTTCTTCCAGCTCGACGAGGTCGCCGGCTGGCTGTACGTCCCCTACATGGCCTGGCTGGGCTTCGCGACCTATCTAAATGCCGGTGTCGGCGTCATGAACAACTGGAGAATCACGGACGATGATCTTCTGAAGAGGAAGAACGTATAAGGGTCCATCTGACGCGACAGGCACGTAAGCTTAGGCATCGAGAAGAAAGATTACAGGTTGCCAACTGAGCTATGAGAGTGTTGGAGATACCCCATTCTAATAATAATAATTTGCATGAAAAAAACATTTAGAAATGTGTTCATTTGCCAACATGGTCTATATTTTCTATCCCTGAAACTGACTATTGCCGTGGTTCCGCCATATTCAACCCCAGAATACATGGCCGACATATGATAAAAAGATGGTAATGCCCAACACGGACGCCTAAAACTCCATTTGTGCAGCAGGATGTACTCTCCTTCCTGTCCTGTAACTCTTCTACGGGTATTGGTAGTGCGCCTTACTTCCTTCAGAGCGGCAAATGTCGCTTCAGTCCATCATATATCATGAAAATAAACGCTGAGCTTGGTGCGGACCGGAGGACGGTTATGCCACATCCGCGGTACATTCCTCGTAGGCCATGCTGATGCCACAGCGCGGCCCCCTCCTGGAAGAAAGTGTTCTTCTTCGCCGTCCCTCCGACGGCCGTGGTCTGCATCCTGGATTTGATCGTGTCGGCAGGGAAGAAGAGGAAGTTGTACGACATGCCTGCCGAGGCGCCGGCAACGGCCTGCTGCCAGAGCGGAAGGGCCTCTGTGCGCAGCGCATCTTTCTCGGCCTGTGTGTGGATTCCGCGCTCGTTCCAAACGTAGAACAGCTTGGTTGTAGTTTCTTTGAACCCGAACCAGGCGGCGCACCCACCGGCCTCTCGGAGGAATGTTCCCATCTGGCCGTGCCAGAAACCGATGACTCCTTCATGCTTGTACACGTCCCGTATCACGGAGGGAACGCTCGGTGCTTTGTGTACCATGCCATCCGAGCTCGCCGTTGCGGGCACCTGGATCTTGCACTTGACAAGCTCAATTGGTGTCAAGACGAAGGAGGTGAAGGCACCGGAGAAAGCGCCAGTAAACCAGAGCGCTGGCAGCGGGAGGGCCTGGTCCTTCGCGCACAGCCCCGACTTGTACACGGTCTCTCTTCCCAGCCGCTCGAAGAAGAACAGGCTGCTCGTTTCGAGTGCTGCGCCCACCAAGGGCGCGCTTATGCCCCGGTATAGTCCTGAAAATCCGTCTTGTTTGAGGGACTGGCGGAAACAGTCCAAGGGTCCCGTGTATCGTAGTGGGAGGTGGTCGGGCTGCGATTGCAGCCTGACCTTGACCGTGTCGAAGGGGTATTCGATGTACTTTCCGATTATGCCGGCGATCTGGGAAGGTTAGAAGCTGTTCGGTAAGCGGGAGAGCGGATAGCGGCATACCGAACCATAGAGGATGTCCTCGACGGATTCCATGGCTTGAGATTTCTGCCGGGGTGGGCCTGGCTTGAGAGCCTCGGGGAGAACAGCTCGAGAAGCCTCGACCACAGGGGCCGCCATTTCGTGCATTGATGATGTGCCTGAGTAGAGTGATCGGTATTGAGCGTTGGACTGGTGCCTCAAGTCGCAGCAAAGCTGCAGGCCCGGTAGGGGGTTGGAGTGCGAAGGGCCCCAGGTGGTGTGGGAGTGGCCCGGTGTGTGAAGGGATCCTACGACGAGACGAAACAGCAGAAAAGAATATCCGGGGGAAGAGAGGCCAGGAGGGAAGTCATGACAAGTATATCAGGGGAAGAATCGGCTAGGCGACAATGTGGTTGTTGGTGACCGAGTGTTTAAGCCATGCGTGTACAAGTGTGACCAACGACCAACAGCGCTCCCAAGCAAAAAGTTCGTCACCGCCGGTCAAGTGGGTGCGAGAGATGCACGCCGATGGGGCCAACGCGGTTCGGGCGCATTTCGGGGCCCAAAGCTGAGGCCGACAAGGACTAGGGAAACAGCTCTGGCTGTCCGGGGAGGCCTCAGGACAAAGGTGCCATTGTCTGCCGAAAATATCTCATAGATGCCGGCTTTGGCGTTGTGGTACGAGCGGTCTGCTGCGATGGCCCAGCATGCTCATTATGGAAGTCTTGGGGTGTCGGCAAGCGATGTCGCTGGAGGCTTTGGCCGCTGCCGCCTGGCCGCCTGCCGCTTTGCCCTGTGCGTTCATCTCACCTGGCCACTAGTGCGGGGGAGGGGTCCTTAGAGGGTCCCCAGAGGGTCTGAAAGGAGGAGCCCTGGCTGGCATAGCGTGGCATAGGCACAAAACCTTGGTTATCAGATTGATCTGATAAAATTTCGCAACAGCTAGCAATGGTTAGTCTCCGTGTGTGCAGATTTCGTGGCCCACAACCGTATTATTGGCTGTCGAGGTCGCTTGGGCGGTAACGAGGCAGACCTGGGCCCAGCAGCCCACTTGCACACTCGGATTTTCGGAGCTTGACGCCTCGTCCCGCCCGTTTGCTCCTCGTCGTGGCATAGCTAGTACCCTGGTCTTGCTCAGCGGGACATTTGGTGAGGGGCAACAGAAAAGGGCAGAAAAGTTCACAAAATGGCCAAAGACAAGAAGAAGGCGGGCAAGGCCGACGCCAAACAGGCCAAAAAGGCCGAGAAGAAGGCCAAGCAGGAGAAGAAAGGCGAGAAGAAGATCAAGTCCAAGAGCGCCAAGCTAGAGGGCAGCGATGCCGAGGACGTGGATCTCGATAACATCCTCGAGGAGTACAAGAAGCAGCAAGAGCAGTTTCTCAAGGTTACCGAGACCGTGTCCGAGGCTGCACCCAAGCCTCGCTCGGCCTCGACCTTCCTAGCCTCCCCGTCCAACAGCAACCAGCTGCTCCTCTTCGGCGGGGAGAACTATAACGGTGCCATTGCCACGTTCTACAATGACCTCAACATCTACTATATTGACCGGGATGAATGGCATTGCGTCACATCCCCCAATGCGCCTCTGCCTCGCTCGGGCCACGCCTGGTGTAGGGGAGGCAACCAGAGCAACTCCGTCTTCCTGTTCGGTGGTGAGTTCAGCAGTCCCAAGCAGGGGACCTTCTACCACTATAATGACTTCTGGCGGCTCGAGCCCAGCAGCCGAGAATGGACCCGGATTGAGTCCAAGGGCAAGAGTCCTCCCGCCAGAAGTGGCCATCGTATGACTTACTATAAAAACTACATCATCCTATTTGGCGGTACGTAACACTGGGGTGCTCCTTTGAATGTCTGTTCTTGCTGACGCTCCAGTCAAGGATTTCAAGATACCTCAAATCAGACCAAATATATGGCTGACCTATGGCTCTATGATACGCAAAACTTTGTCTGGCACAACCCTACACTTCCAGCCGCGCAGTTGAAACCAGACGCAAGGTCGTCGTTCACCTTCTTGCCTCACGATCAGGGCGCTGTCCTGTTTGGTGGATATTCCCGGGTGAAAGCCACGGTATCGGCGAACAAGTCTGCAAAGGGCGCGTCGCAAGGACAGAGAAATATCTTGAAGCCAATGATTCACCAGGACTGTTTCTTTTTACGCATTACCCAGCCTCCCAACGACGCTCCTGCTAATACCCCCCCAACCGTCCGGTGGGAGAGGCGAAAGAAGCCGGCCAACACTCCCAATCCAGCCCGAGTTGGGGCAACCATGGCGTACCACAAGGGCCGTGGCATCATGTTTGGCGGAGTGCATGATGTGGAACAGAGTGAGGAGGGCATGGACAGCGAGTTCTTCAATCAGTTATTTGCATGGAATGTTGAGCGCAATCGCTTCTTTCCTCTGGCTCTTCGCAAGCCCAGAGCTCAAAAGAAGAATGCAGGCACCGAACAGCGAGTTGGACGACGCGGTCGAGCGCAAGCCAACGAGGAAGAACTCCTGAAACAATTGGCAGCATTACAAGCTGGGTCCTCGCTAGAAGACGTTGATAACATTGATATTGACATCAAGCCCAAAGACGAACCGGAGGAGCCCGAAAAGCCAGTGCGAGAGATGCCAGTTTCTATGGAGCTACCCCATCCGAGATTCAACGCCCAACTGACCGTCCAAGATGACGTACTTTACATGTACGGTGGCACTTTCGAAAAGGACGACCGCGAGTTCACGTTCGATGACCTGTACGCCATCGACCTTGGCAAGATGGACGGCTGCAAGGAAATCTTGAGCCGTGAGCTCGAGGATTGGGTTGGCTCGGAGGATGAGGACTCTGAAGAAGACGATGAGGATGATGGCGAAGACGAAGATGACGAAGAAGAAAACGAAGAAGGCGATGTCGAGATTGCAAACGAGGAGGAGATCCGCCAGCCCAGCAAGAGGAAGAAGAAGCAAGGCGACGAAGAGTCCAATGCCGATTCGTCAACCACCGCCAGTACCAGCGCGACAGAGGAGGAGAGTGAAGCCGACACCACGGCGACGTCTGTTGATGATGGCCTACCTCACCCCAGACCCTTCGAGTCCCGAAGGGAGTTCTTCACGCGCACGTCCAACGAATGGCAGGAGATCTTGATGACGAACTTGAGATGGAAGAATATCCAGCCGGAAACCCTGGCCATCAAGGAAATCAAGACGAAGGCATTTGAACTGAGTGAAGAAAAATGGTGGGATTGTAGGGAGGAGATCACAGCATTGGAGGACGAACAGGAGGCTGCTGGTATTGGTGAGGTGGTATCACTGGCTGATAGGGGTGAAGGTGGCACAGGGGGCGCCGGCAGACGGAGGTAGAGAAAAGTTCGAAAGAACCAATAAAAACTCCCTATATGAGGAAAATACCACGCAGGAGGTTCTTCAGGCACCTGACTGCGTCGAAGACAATGCCATGTTATTATACCTAAGTTGATAGATTGTTGTTGCCTCACTCCGACAGCATCTCAAACCGGTGAGCAATGGCAACGGCTTGAGGCTCTGGTGGCAAATCTGCCTATTTGGTGGGGCGTGCGCCAAAGTTACCAGAGTGAAAGCGCCACAACCCCGGACCTAGCCAACCATTTACACCAGTCCAGATATCGACTGTCGTTGCTGTTGTTATGTTTCCTTAGTCACGAGTCCTCTGGCAGACACGTTCGCTCTCCCGGTTGCCGTATTGTTGTTCGAAACGCTCGATACTACTCATTCCCGCGTCGTCACTCACTGCACCACGAGGCCTGGTTGCAGCGTCCCAGCTGCCAAGATGCCTATCGGTATTCAGCGGCTCAACGCGAAGAAGTCGCAGCCAAACTCACTCATCGTGTTCATCAAGCCACTGAAAGGACCAGATGAAGCTGTAGCTCAGGATTTCCTCGAGCGCATTGCGGCGCAATGTCGTGAGTTGCCTCGTGATCAGCATTGCGCTAGGTCGGGTTCTAATCTGGAGTAGTGCCTGTTATGAGGGAGCACCACCTCTCGGTGATGTCTCTCGAGGAGTATGAACCAAACCGGGAGTTCGTTGGGCGTAACTTCAACGCAGGGGAAGTTATCCAGCTAGTGCTAAAGTCCCCGTCTACAGGCAGATGGCTGCCGTTCAATTACGTGCAGATGGTGATGATGCATGAGCTGGCCCACTGTAAGCAGATGAACCATTCCAGAGCATTCTGGGCCGTGAGAAACGGGTACGCAGACCATATGCGCACACTATGGTCACAGGGCTACACAGGTGAAGGACTCTGGGGACGAGGCGCCCTCCTCACGACCGGCGAGTTTGAGACCAACACCGTGCGACCAGACGAGATACTCCCGGAGCATCTTTGCGGCGGCACATATCGTTCACGGCGACGCAAGCGCAAGGCGAAGGATCAGCTCACCTATCAGCAGAGGAAGGAGCGGCGGATCCTGAAGAAGTTCGGCGCGAATGGCGTGGCGTTGGGCGAAGATGAAGAGGTCAAGGCCGAGCTGGAAAAGGGCAAGAGAACCCAAGCAAAGCCACGAGTGGCGGGCAGCAAGAGGGGACGCGAGCTGAGGGCGGCGGCGGCACTGGCTAGATTTGACCAAAACAAGAAAGCCGCGGACGAGGAGGACGAGAAGACGATCAAGGTCAAGGATGAGGACGAAACGGCAAGTGAACAAGAATCAGAGACAGCGAGCGAGGACGAAGAAAACGTCGACGCTACAGACATCAACGGAAAACGACTGCTCGATGGCAAAGGCAACCGCATGATCAAGGTGTGCGAGGATGAGAATCCAGACGACGTCGATGCTAAGAGGGAGCTACGAGAATTACAGTCTTCTATGGCTGTCAGCCCTGCCCGACCGGTGGCCCGTACGACACCATCAGCCAACAGCGCTTTTATAAAGCGTGAGGAAGATGAGAATGACACACGTGCGGATATATCCAGACTTCGCTCCCCCAATACCGCGAAAGAATCATCTACGCATGGATCTTCCAAAGCAGCCGTTCAGAAGCAGGAGACGGGGATCGCCACACGTAGGTTGGAAAACGTCAAGCCAAACAACAAGCTTCCGCAAGATGCAGCCGAGACCATCAACACTCCTGCTGCCGCTGCCAAACCGAATCCTCCTACCGAGCGTGCAGGAGTTTGCCAGATGTGCTCATACGAAAACGGGCCCGTTTGCTTAATATGCGCCATCTGCTCCCATGTACTGGATGGCAGAAAAGACCCCCGATCTTGGAGCTGTTCCAGTCAGACTTGCAAGGGAAGTCAATATCTCAATGCTGGCGACGTTGCAGTCTGTGGAGTGTGTGGTGAGCGAAAACACATGTTATGAAATGTTTCCCTCGCCCGCTATGACTCTTGGCAGCCCCTTGGCCCTCATGCCAACGGCGGCATACGAAGCTCAAGGATTCTTGGGCCATGACCCTGGACTAAAATTCGAGGCCGAGGGGATGGCGAAGTCATGGTGCGTGATTCTACGTCATTGAGGGCATGACAGATGTGTAGGATGGCTATGGACTGGTAGGGCCACATCTGGATCTATAGTACGGAGCACTCTACGGAGTATACTAGGCCACTAATGCTCACGGGTCAAACGCCAACCTATCTCTCACGCGCGCCATATCTGTCCAAAACTACCCCAGGGTCGTTAGCCTTTGGTTGAGAAGCGCGGTTGCAGCAAGTACACAAATCACATACCCAAGCCGAGCCGCAGTATCACCTTCGTCCCAAGTTTTGTATGTGTAGGGCAGAAGAAATGGGCTGTGCTTCCATCAAGTTGGTCGGATCGACGCCGAGGTGAAACTGCCGACAGATCTCCTTAATGTGGCTTAGCAGCCTTTCGCGCTATAGTCCCAAATAGGCTCTGGTATAGGCTCAAATGAATAGTTTCGTTTCAACTGGACAGACGCCCTAGGATCGTGAGTTGAATGTTCGGCTTGGTTACATCGAACCAAGAGCCAGTCAATCTAATCGTGGCAAGCAAAGCGCACACACGGATGCTGACGCCTTTCTTTCTACGTAGCAGTGCTAGGACGTTTCTCGTTCTTGCCCGGGTCCGACTGCGTTCCCCGGGTCCCACTTTTGTATCAGCCATCCCGATTTGCTCAGCGGAGCACCACGATATACCCCGGTCCTCGCCTGGTGCCGTTTCAGATTCACGACCCTCCACCCCAACCACAGCTTCTTTTTCCGCGATGGGATGACTGGCCGGCCTCTGCCCAGCTTTGTGATTCGAAGATCTCCCCATGGCCGCCTGGAGAGTTGCACCTGGTCTCTCGGCCTATGATCCTCACTGCGACCAGGTTGCAGGGCACTGATCTACATACCTCTTCCGGCACATCAACCGAACAGGGAGATCCCCCTCAAATTCCACCCTAACCTTATCCCCGACACCTCTACTAGAGCGGTAGATCGCTTCGGGGCTAGGAAGGAGCTGCGCGAGCTTTTCTTCCACCTGGATCATCCTTTTCTACTCCCCTTTCGCCCCTCATATCCCGCTGGATTCCACCGCCATGTGTCTGTTGTTTCAAGACTAGATCTCGGACGAACACTCCATGCATCATCGCGTGCTGTTTACTGTCTATATACGCTGAGCGTTCCTCTTCAATCGCGAGCTCCTCAGTGCAGAGCACCTCTTCCCGTCTTTCACTGCGGAGTCGATCATTCCGTCGATCGTTGATCGCATTTCATTCATTCTTCCATTCTATCCAAGGCACGGCTTTGCCAGTCTCTCTTTATACAGCCTTCTGCACCGCAGACTAGACGTCTTGCATTTACATTCACTTCGATTCTTCATCCTGGGATTTTCGACACGAACACAGCCCTTCTTTTCCCCAGTTTCCAGGTTTCACACACAACACAGCCATGTTGCCAACTTCACTTCTGCGGGCCTTTTTGCTCGCTGCCACCGCGACCCTTGGAACGGCTCGTCCATCATGGCCGCATTTCACTGTGGGACAAGAGCACGTTGAGGTACTCAGCATGCGTGCCGCCATGCCCTTAAACCCAGCTGCCGTTTACGACGTCACATGCGTTGACGCTAGCCTGTATGTCATCCTTCTCCTACCTCAAGTGCCCTTGATGTACATGTCAGCTAACCTATCCTCAGGAGAATCGTCTTCCACGACGAAAACGTTGCCCAGCTCTCGATATGCGGGGGTATTTCGGGTTCAAACACCAGGTGTGCCGGCGGGCCCCAAAGCACGGAGGCCCAGTCGGCTTCAGCCAAATTCACTCTAGCACCGGTCACACCAGGCGCAGTTCTCAACATCTCCAAGGTCCGGTGGGAACAATGCGTACGCGCCGCGAGAGCAATATGCCCGACGGGAAGCATGGCCGGTACATGCAGGGGCGGTGCATCGAACGGAGACGTCAAGTTCTCGCTGGAAAAGCCATGAAGGGCTCGTTTGCGTGAGAAGGAACCGGAGCCTGTTCATAGGCAGCAGCATTACATACAGCATTAGCATTTGGGAGTTTTGGAGTTTGATGATACCATGAGAGAAAAATGTTAGGCGCATCTCTCCTGTTTTTTTTCGGAGAGGGGAAAAGCATGGTTGGCGGACAAGGATTAGGGATCACCAACGAAGAATGAAGCTGCAATATCCACTGGAGGGATAAATAAAAAAGGCTCCTATCGTCTTCGTTGTGCAGTAGTCACGTAACCTTGCCCGGTACTGTCCGAATTCCATACCATCAACCAGAAAGAGGACTGTCAGTATAGGATTCATCACGTTGACTATCCATCAACTGTTATACACGCATGAAGTCACAGTGATACTGGAATTCTCTAACGCAGATGCCTGAAAGTGTAAGCTCTGAGATGTTTTGGTGAATTATAATCTAGAAATCTGTAACCGCAGATGTCCAACTGAGTCTTCACCCTACTGGATCGAAAAGAATACAAAGACTGCCTGGAACTATTGATCAAAAGTCGTATGTTGATTCGACGGGCACGATGACGCCTGGGGTCTAATCCGTGCGCTGGTCAAGATGAACGTGCTCCGAAACGGGCGTCTTGTCGGCGCCGCGCTTGTCCCATACACCATTGAATAGATAGTCATTGGCCTGGACTTCCTCTACCGAGGCCACAGCGTCCGGGTTTTCAGACTTCAACTGGTCAAGAAGAGCCGAGAGTCGTGACTTGTCGATGGCAGTATCGCCGTCTCGCTTAGCCCAAACACCATTGAACAGGTAGTCGTTGGCCTGGACGTTCTCGACCGAGGCTGCAGCAGATGGATTTTCGGCCTTCAAACTGTCGAGAGCATTCTTGAGGGCCACTCTGTCAGCTGTGGTAGATGTCAGCGTTCAGCGAGATCTGGCGTATTCGTTAAAGTGGTTGGGGTCTATACCACTTGAGAGCTCCCTTGCTGTGGCCACCTTGGCTGGGAGAGCCATAGCGCTCAAGGCAGTGGCAACTAGGCCGAGGAAGAAGGATGTCAGGTTCATGTTTAATGACAACCAACGAGAGGAACAATCGTAGAGAGTGGATGATTTTCAGCGAATTTGGTAGGCAATAAAAGCGAATATTGTGCAGCATGCGGCCATGTTCTAAAGACCTCTTTCTTCATGGGGCTTGAGGAGGAACTGATCTTATATATAGTCTCAAGGCCCTGCAGCCAAGAGTAATAAGGGTCATAATTGTGTAAAGTCAAGTGAGTAGAGCTTGGTGGAAATAAAAAGAACCCAGCATACTTGTGAACTCCGGTTAAGTGTGTTGGGGGCTGATGCCAAGGCATAAACGACAACAACCAACATTATCCCCTGAGAGTGTCACTGCTGTTCTTACCCTGCCCATTCTCGACGCTTCTGAGGGTACCTTCATTATCGATAATCTAACAACTTAGACTGGCTTTGCCCCCATGGCGCATGGCTTCATGTTTTCAAATATGGTGGCGTGTGTAATTTCGCTCTTGGTAGTGGAAAAATTGCAATGTGACGGTCCTGCGCCCTGGGACCAGTCTCTCGGGTCGTTTCAACATATACCATAGATTCCAGACCACGAGCGATTGGCTAGCTGCATGCTTGTTAAACCTTATTAAACTGAAGGCTCGTTCATTGGTTTGATGAAAGCAACTTCCAACACACTCGAGATCTGGATTCCTCCACCAGACGATTTGCTACGGCTCTGAACATTCAGAGAACACCATTAGATCCAGAATAATCAGGTATATGGATCACAGAAAAATGAGAAACGTAGTCTTTTCAACCAGGGTCTAGACAAATCACGGTGTTTTGAATTATGAACCGAGATGGGTTGACCGTGTTAAGGGCAATACCACGGCTTCTGACTTGGCGTCCCGCATGATGCTCATAAGTAGAAAATGTCGTCACAAAGCGTCATGCAACAAAAATGACTCCTGCCAACAGAACAAGGATTTATAGTTACCTTCCAATTCAGATCTACGGCCATCCAGCCTCTTCAATAGACTCCTTTCCAAATCGATACCCTTGTGATTGTTGTGGTCTGTTGGTAGTTGGTAGTCTGGTACTATGCAGGACGAGCTCTCTCATCCCTTGGCTGCGAATCGGATTGCCCTTTTGGAAGTTCGTCGGTATGCACCGAAATTGCCTTGTATTCTACATCTGGATTTTGAAATGAGCCTTCGAGCTTACCATAAGCGGAACGTCTGGCAATCACCCCTTTTCAGCAATGAGGTCCTGCTGCTTTTGCGAGAAATTCTTCATCACTTAAACTGATCCACTTCTGACTGTTGAGATACCGGAATACCTCAGCGCCATCAAAGCTACATAGTCGATGAAATGAATATGAAGTCTTATTCTTCGGAGGACCGCTGCCAGGATGGTGACGAGGTCGCTTTACTAGGCGAGGGAATATCCCCAACGTTGAAGAAATCCGCGCATAGGCGATTTCGGCATCTACTTTGCCTTTATGTGTTAGTCGTCTTCCAAGCAATGGTTATGCTTACGATGTTCCTATTGCGACCTTCGTCGAACCGCGATCCCACGCTTGCCATATGGTGTACGTCCTCGGTACGACATGACCATGAAAAGACTTACTTGCTGACGAGGAGTGAATTCCAGCACCGGCAAGCGAAGTCGTCCAATACGAAATCCGAGACATGGCTCCTTATTTCTTCAACAGAAGTCCATGGGTTGGGACCAACCGAGAAGCCTTGGATGCCATGTGGGCTGACCTATACGATTGTAAGACTTCAAGAACTCATTCCGCTCACTTACTGACATCTTTCGTTGAAAGTTGGCACTTCTGGAATCAGCCCAGAAGAGGCTTCTAACCTGTTCAACGCCACTGCGGTAGCGCCGTTGGCGGAAGATGTGTATCTCATCGAGCTTCAGGTCATCCACGACCTCCATTGTCTCAACATGCTACGAAAAGTTGCATATCCAGATCAGTACCCAGATATGATTGATCACTACGAGAACGGCACTGTGAACCATGACACCACTCAAGGCTTTCACATTGGTAGGTTGCCTATATATCTTTCTTTAACACTGATACGATGTCACTGACCTTGGACGCCCTACTCAGACCACTGCATCGATGCCTTGCGCCAGTCTATTCAGTGCACCGCTGACGTTACCCCCATCAAGTGGCAACATCACCCAGACGATGACTATCACGTATTCCCCCTGACATGGTCCACACGGACGTGCAGAAACTTTGACGCAGTCAGAAACTGGGCGAAGGAGCGACAGGTCCCAGCTTGGATCCTCGACTATGGGAGCAAGAATAAAACCCGTAGCTCTTGAAGGAGAATCAGTTTCACATTTTCCAAGTAGTCTGCATGCCAATAGTAGTTGTCAGAATGAGTTGCAATTTCTATGACATTTCGAGGGTATCATTCACAAACAACGCCTGAAGTGATCGTAAACCATTTTGATCCTGAACTCCTGAACCCACGCCGGCAGGCATAGTTAGATACCGTATCTCGTGACACACTCCTCACGATGCGTCTCGAGACACTCCAACGCGCAAACCCTTACGCCGCACTTCAGGCATTTGACCCTGCCCCAATACCCGCAGACCTCGCAGAACACCCGCGGGGGATATTTCCTGTCCTCGTCGTTCCAGCCCGCTTTGGCCTCGAGGTACGTCAGCGGCGGTGCAGACATGAGCGCTCGTAGCTCCTCATCAGACGGTAAGGGTGGTATCCGGGAGGCTAGGATCGGGTCGTTATCCGAAGGGTGCGGGGGTGGCAGATGTCCCGTGTATGGCCTCAGGAGAGTGCTGCCAGTCTCCGGCGCGTCTGTCATCTCGGCATCTTCGTGTTTCACCGCACCTTGCCTGCCGGCCGCATTCGTGGCTGCGTCGGGCTTCTTCTGCATCGATGGAGCAGCCCCGGTTCTTGCGCGGCTGATGGCTGCCGTCGCTGCTGCTGCCGCCGAACGCGAGGAACCACCGGTCGCTGTGCTTGTAGGGGCAGCAGCGGCCGCGGCCGCAGCATTGCCACCCTCGCCCAGTGCGATGAAATCGTCCAGGTAGTTGGCAAACGTCTTCTGGCTCTGCAGGATCTTGCGCACGTTCGGGGTGTGCTTGCCCTGGTTGGCGCGGCTGCCGGCGGTGCCGGGCTTCGGCGGGATCGGTATGACGGCGTCGCGCGAATTGTCTCTGTCGAGGACCTCGAGCTCCCTGCGGACCTTGGCCTCCTGCCGGGCATTGAGGTCGGCATAGCTGAGCTTTGCGCCGGTGTTGCGGGCGCGCTTGCGGGATTGCGTGTTCGAGGACGCCGCGAGATTAGGGTGTGGACGCGTATCCGGCACGTATGCCCACCCAGGCGCTTGAGTCGTCCGCGCGCCGGCTACTTCTATCACGCCGAAGTTATTCATCGTGAGAGGCGGCGTGGACTTATGATTGTGTGGACGTCGGGGTCGTGTCGGATGATGTAGGAAAGGTTTGAGCGACAGCGGAAAGCTTCCGCGCCAAGATGTCATACAATTTGGACACTCAAGCCAAGCACCTAGCTTCCTGTCCACCTATAGTTACCTTAGTAGGCGGCGCCTGCACTATTGCGTGATTTCTGCCCGCAATACAAGGTAGAATAGTAAAATATCGCTTCTCGCTGCACTTATACTGCATCACCATGCTCAAGAGATCCATGGCTTTGCTTCGACGTTTAAGTAGCAATGTTAGGCTGAGCAGTCATATTAGCGAGCCACCCTGGCTGAGAAAGACTTGCATCTCCAACTAAATTCTTGTGTCTATCACAGCTATAGAATGGTTTCTACCGTGACAACTATCCCAAGATCGATGCCTCAGTACCTTTCTTCCTTGGTGATCGTTCCACCAATGTTACTATGTCACCGTCAAGGTCACACCCTCTAAGCAGTTCAAGTGGTCTGTAAATAACTCCCTGATTCTGGACCGATCACAAAAGTCTCGAACAGAAATGACCACTCCACCGTCAAACATATGAGGGCTCAGGTCCATAAGGAGCGAGAAACGAACAAGGCCGCCCCCGAAAGCGTTCCCCTTCTACGCTGCTCAGATGCCGGACGCCTCTCCTGGAAGCCTCTTCTCTCGCCCGCCTCTGAAAGCGTGATCCACGAGATGATGAAGGCAATGGCATCTGCATTCTTTGACACGAGAGTTCTAGGCACGAACGCTTTGATTGGCAGCAATATGGCAGATGGGAGTCATGCAGCCACGTGCCAAAGTCGCTCGGACGCGCCAGAGATACAGGGAGCAGCTATCCAGGTCGATCAAAGGGCACGGTTGTTGTCGATTCTTGGCTTCATGGACCGATGTCATTGTGCCTGCACGTGTTCGTCCACACTGACTGCCAGACAGACAGACAGACCATAGCAAGCATGAAGAAATGCCAAGACGCGTTGCAAAGCAGGTATCAGACTCTAAGTCTCTAGCAGGGCCAGTGCTAGAGGATCCGTGCCACTGCTGAGGCTTCACCTAACAAGCAACCAACAAGGCACTAGCTGGAGCAATCGCAATAGCCTCAGTGTCCATTCGCTGTCGTCGAGCTTAGACCCTCAGCAACGGGTCCGTCCCCCGCACTTGAGAACAAGGGTCAACGTATTCCAGACAGACATTGTCTAGAAAGTTGAAGTCGCGAACTCGATCTTGACTAACTAAATCCACTCCGTGCGTTTGCACCGGGTCAAGGATCGCCGCACACGTTCTGCAGGCGCCAAGCTGCTCAGTCGCAGTTTTCATTACATGCATTTACTGTTGATTGAGCAAGACCGCCAAGCTTTGATTCTCTTCGCGTGCGTCGTGGTCCTGCTGCCCCGGGCGCCACCCTCAGGACCCCCGGTCTTGGAACTGGCGGGAAAGGCCTGAGCTCATCTCGCCGAATCAGATCCCGATTGGCCCTGGATGTGACTGCAGGCAAGCCGGCCCCTGGCCAAGCTCTCATGGTATCCACGAACGGTTCTATGAATATCGTGTTCTGGGCAATCCCTTCCATAGGTTGCGGAGACTGAGTTCCCCATAGTTAGCTCCCAAGGCCCCTCCGCTCACAGGGCTCTGGTGTGCCACGATGTTACTGTAGCAGAGCTAAGAAATAGTGAGAGATCACTTGTAATATTAGCGCAGCTGTTGCGGGAGAGGATGCTCCTAGCCGGTGATCAATTTGGATGATTGATCGCATTTGCATAAGTATACCTACGAAATCTAATCACAACTTCACCGACGGCGGATTGCTTTTTTTTTCTTTTTCGGTCAAAGAACCACTGCGGAAGGCTATGGCCGGATTTCTGACTGTTTGCTCCCATTATCATACCATGATCTATGGCCTCGAGCCCGTAGCGGCTAGTGGCCGTGCCAAGTAAATGACACAGAAGAAACCGGGTTGCATCAGTCGAGCCATTGCTAGGTGCAGCTCTTGCAGAACTCAGATGATCTGAGATCCGCTGCATCTAAGTTCTCGCGATTCTTCTCCAGTGAATCGGCGGGCTCAGTCAACAGAGCGGCGAAAAAGGTCTGTGGCAGTGTGGCCCATTTCTGCACGTTCAGACATGCTCCACGTGGTGGTCAGATGTCTGCTAACCTTGAGGTGTCTGCTCAGATGCCAAATACTCAACCAATGCCTTCAATTGCGTTGTGTCATCCCATGTCTCTAACCCATTACCCTGCCTACACTGTCTTGGCCGTGCGGGAGAAAGGCACGAGGAATCTGCCGGACACCAACACGAATACTAGTCTGGTTTCTTGAAGGAAGCTAGTCGATCATTTGTCTGGAGTTGAAATCAGACCGGGTCAGCCAGCAACCCCCGCCCGTTTGCCGTCGGAAGATTTTCTGGTACGCCCGAACCTTAAAAAGACAAACGGCAACGACTGTCAACCTGTCAACAGTAGTACAGGCAATTGGCATTGTATGTAGTTACACAGACACCTAACTAGTGTGCGAGTCGTAGATTTGTAATGTAGTATAGACTACATGCCTGCGCTTGGCTCTTTTGAAGACACACAAATCGCCATAGGGCGCACAGGTTGGAACATTCCAAATGCAGTTGCTGTAGCTGGGCTGCACATGGCATCAGCTCCAATTGCACCAAGTGCTCATACCGAGAGAACGTTGCTACTTATGCAGCACATCCATTATGCGCTCATGCACTCCGTCCAAGCTATACCTTGCATCCGTGCATAGTCCCACAACTCTTCTGGATTTCAAGTGCGTTCTGGGCGCTGCTGCACGCAGAGCCGTATTTGCGTATGACGGCTAGAAAAGTGGCTTCGTGCAGCCGTGTCAACGTTGGCAGATTTTAGTCGAGGTGCTCAGATCGTGCCGCGTTTGCTTCTTGAGCCTACCCCTGCCCGAACCTGTTGTCTGGTGGAGTATACTGACTGGTATGTGGGGGGTTCTGCAAGGGCCCAAGCGTGCATCTTGACTGCTTTCGGGATCCCTGATCTATATCCCCTGTCAAAGCCTTGACCGGCTACCACGATCCACTGTCACTGATGGGCACGGTGGTTGCCCAAAGAGTTGCCAAGGTCGCATGCGGCTGCATGCGTCTGTTTCAACCGGCTTGATGGCTCTTGAAGCCTGCAAGCTCACATTTGCCATGCTCCATTGCCCTGTCAGTCTGTGTGATGGGTGGTACCTTTCATAAAGGTTGCCATGTGCCCCATCTGGGCGCAGGTAGAGGAGAGAATTCTCGCCTGCCCAAGCCTGGACTCTTCTTGAGCGTCGAATACCTTCTTCGCCTTCAAGATTTTTCCTTTCTCTGGCCGAGCAGGACCTTGGTTTCGATCTTTCTTGTAGCCAGTCATGGGTGGTTTGGACAGTTCCTTCTCGGCGATCAACCTCGACGAGCCGGAACCGTGGTCAAACAGGCGATCCGTGATCCTGGGCCTCATTATCACTTTTCTGGTACGCGTCAACTCAGCTGGCTTGGCAACAGATCTGAATTTCTGACAATACACAAAGATAGCTTCTTGGATTTGTGTCTTCGGTCGACTCTATACACGTCTTAGAATAGTCAGGGAACCCGGATGGGATGACTTGTGTGTCGTATTCTACGTGGTACGTACTTGCGGTGGCTCGGGGGATATACATTCGTACTGATGTTTAGACTGTAGATCTTTACGACCATTGGCAGCATTTCCGTGTGCCTCTGTAAGTTGACTTTCCACATGTCCTTGACCAATAACTCATGTGGGTACAGCGGTGAACTATGGATTGGGTCAACATTTCATACTGCTGAGCCTCGACCAAATATACAGCTATCTGAAAGTATTCTACGTCATGAATGCCTCTTATTGCACGGCAACAGCATTCATCAAGGAAGCCTTACTGCTTCAGTATCTCCGGGTCTACGGTCGTGGCAATGTCATGTACTACTTTACTCTCTTTACGGCGATATTTACCGCCATGTGGGGATTCGCCTACTCGTTCATTGCCTGGGTACCCTGTTTGCCGGTGAACCATTTCTGGGAGGCACCACCTAACGCGAGATGCTACGGATACGGATCACCTATCCCTGAACAATTTGTTGGCACCTACGAAAGTCACACTGCGATCAATATGGTTCTCGACTTCATTGTGCTTATAATTCCGCTACCACTGCTGTTCAAGGAAGGTACAGGATTGAAACAGAGGATGCGGATACTGGGTCTACTATTCATGGGTTCTCTGTAAGTTTTGCAGCATATCACCGGTCTGTATCGTCGGTATATAGGTCTTACTAACACCGGACCAGAGTCATCATGCTCGCGATCTGGCGACTGGCAACTATCATCGAACACCAAGCCGGATATTGGCCAACCCACGACCCAACCTGGTACGGTTCGATCAGCATCATCCTGGCGGTCCTCGAAGTGGACATGGCGGCCATCTGTGCAAGCATACCGATCTTTTGGCCGGCGCTCGAGGCCAGATGGGGCAGCATATTCATCACGCAGGAGATCAAGATCACGCGCGAGGAGCGCTTCATCGACGACGAAGATGACCGCATGTCCCTACACCCCAACAGCCGCAGTCGCACCGGCAGCGACGTCGAGCTCAAACGCACCGAGAGCATGCAGTCGGGCTCGAAGGGCGACAACACGCACTACAACGACATGTTCATCATGAGCTCGGTCGACCCGCTTCGCAGCCCGACGTCCGGCACATCGAGAACCCAAGCCGTGGTGAGGAGCGACAGCACAAGAAATAAGGGCAAGAAGTGGCATCTGTGAGGGCAGTGCCATCTTTTTGAATAATATATATTGTTTTTATTGAAAGAGAAAAAAAGATCGGCGTGTTAGTTGGCGATGATCAGCGGCATCGTCGACAGATTTGGTTCGGCGCCTTGAGAGATCGGATCGGCTTGCGACATTATTATTAGTGTGTATTTTAGAGCTTTATACCCCCAAGCATGCGACTGTCCTTACTGCGAGCATGTATATTAGTTGCTGGGTTTCGATTCTAGCCAATGGCCCTGATTGCCGCACGGTCCCAATCGAGAGGTTTCTTGATCGGATTATATATATATATAAGCGAACTACACGCCATGCGATGCGTTGACTTGTTACTGTAACTGGGTGGAATTAATCGAAATAACTCCGAACAACTCCCTAGATGATAACAGGCCGCGTGTTGTCCGCTGAGACAGAAGAACATGGCTATCGCTCATAGAATCGTTCCAATTACATCAGCCAGCTTGAAGCATTGCATGACGACGCTTACTGCCACCAATGATAGTAGCATATTCATCTCATCACTGCACATTTGGAAATAGGATCTGGTGGAAAGGTCGCACAGGCTGCCACCTATCACCATGTAAGACAAGAACATTCGCACGAGGACTCATTAGGGTAATGCGGCCTCAATTGTGGAAGCCCCCTAAAACGGAGAAGACCAGTTTTGGTGGAGAGTCAACGTCTTCCTAAAACATAATCTGCACCTGTTTGTCCTGGGTGCCTAACTTTGTGCAAATGCAATATTACCTAGGTCTCGTATCCATTCCTGACAGTGCAAGTGATCGTCGATAGCATCTGACCGAAACGGTCAGGGTAAGAGATCATGGAAACTGCCAGCATCCACTCGCTGGTACCAAGCCCTAACATGATGTGCAAAACGAAACCAACAAACTCTCCTAAAGCATCCAGCCGCAAAACGAAATCGGCATCTTCTATTGATGCATGGGTAGTGAGTGTATGACACCCCACCTGGGCAATGAGATGAAGTGATCATCCATAGAGTTTCTCGGGGGTAAGGCCGTATCCAGTGTTCCGCTGCTCTGCTGACTGACTGGCTTAATGCTCGTTGCCAAGGACGTTGCCGATGCAGTATTTAATAAAATACTGTATTTACATCGCAGTACAGCTCCAAGAAACTGTTGTGGTATGAGGTATCGGGTACTGCTTTTCGTCCCTACTATGGCTCACTTACTAACGGTAGCGGTTGCCACCACCATGACTACCTGAGCCTCTCCAAGCCGTAGGGGCGCCGGAGTTGTAACCCGAGTCGAAAGACTCCTTGGCCAGGCCGTACTGCTGACGAGCAGTACCAGGAGCATCTGAGGTGTCATAGTCAATGTCGCCGTAGCCGGCCGCGTAAAGGCTGGCATTGGTATCGAAGTAAGGTACCATGGCAGGGCCATAGAAGGCACGCGGAGGCTCGACCTGTCGTCGCCCGCCATTGCCACCTTGGTAGCCGTAATAGCCGCGGCCACCACCAGTGCCGTAGCCGTAGCCCTGGTAGCCGTACGAGTCGAAGCCATCGCTGCCCCACTGGCTGCCACGGCGACGCCCGAAGCCCTGCGACGAGTGACGCTTGCGGGGACGCTGGTTTTCCTCCTGCTTGAACGAGGTGCCCTTGGGCAGGCCGGGGCGGCAGACCAGGCGGCGGTCGAGGTGTACGACGCCGTTGAGGCATATCAGAGCGGCCTCGGCCTCGTTGGGGTCGGTGTAAGTCACGAAGACGTAGCCCTTGTTCGCGAGGCTGTCACCGGCGTTAGACTCATTCGAGGCGAAACCTCCAGAGGTCGAGGGAGACTCGGCAAAGGGCATGTAGATTTTCTCGACGGTGCGGTTGACGTTGTGGATGCGGAGCAACTTCTTGACATCCTGACGGTCGGCGCTGTACTTGAGATTTCCGATGTAGATGCGACGGCCCTCCGAGATGGGGTCTGCGCCGGCTGACAACATGACGGGCGGCTGGGCGGGCGGGCCCATGAAGCCGCTGTAGCTGGCAACGCCACCGCCCAAGTTCTGAGGGGCAACGGGAGCGTAGACGACGTGGGTGCCTATCGGCCCATGCGTATAGGGTCTAGTCACATAAACGGTTGGCAGGGGAGCGCGGCGGGCCATGTTGGCGCTGGCAGTCGAAGCTTCAAGACCATTGTGACTGTGGATCAGTTCGGCAACCCCTTTGACTTCCATATCGTTGCGAGCATGCTCCGGCTCGAGTGGAGTGTTCTCAGTAGTAGCCAAGGGCGACGGCATGGCCTTGATAGCGGCATCGCTAGCATCAGGCGGAAGTTGCTGAGGTGTAGTGACACGCGAATCATCCACGGTTGAGAACGAGCCTCTTGTGTCTGCAGCAGTAGGCTCACGGGTCTTCAGCAACGCCTCCGGGCTTAGGCCGGGAACCGACTCCGGGCTCTGAGTCGGAGAGGGTACTGCAGTGGCAGGGTCAGATTGCGCGATCGCAGTAGTAGACTTCTGAGGAGTGTACTCGGTCGCCTGAGGACGGAGGTCGTGCTTGGTATTGGCCATGCTGTGAGACGTGTCGTTGGGTGTTGAACAAAAGATATTGTGATGAATAGTAAGGTGTGAGCTCTTCAAACCGAACAGAGGCAGCGGTGCGCGTGCCTTTTAGGTGATTTTGGGATAACTAAGGATGGTATTGCTGGTGAGGCAACGTCTCAAGCTCAGATGAGAGGCGAATCTTCCGGATAGACAGAAGAAGCAGTATGTGTTGCGTTTGCGTCAGAGGATCAAGGAGAAAAGGTGTCGAAGACTCAAAACCCAAAATTCAGGATGAGAAGTGAGACCCTCCAGACGGCGGACGGACAAGCGAACGCTCTGTATGCGAGATGATAGGCTGGAGAAGATGATATTGTTTGTAGAGTATGGCCTGGAGCTCAGAATGATTTGTGTTGGCTGACAATCAGGTGTGATGATGTGCGCCTGAGGTTGGGTGAAGGCCACGATACTTACCAAGACGCGTCTTACAAGTTGTCTGCAAAAACGCGTCTATGTAAATAAGATGATAGAGGTGAGGACGATTTAGAGGGTGCTCCGTTCAAGCGACAGACCTGATTCTGCTGGTGCGTCCTTGGCCGGGCAACGAGGGTGAGTAGCGATTAGAGCCGCATATACGCAACCGTCGGGTCGAAAGAGCTGCTTAGGTCGTCATCAAGGCCACAATAATGACTTGTGTTCTAGACTCAGCCAAGAAAATGAGTAGTGAGTACTGGTGAGGCCATATACGAGGCACAGTCGTGAACAGGAAGAACTGCCCAGGCTGTTTTGGGGCAATAATTACAAGCAGCAGAGACTCCAGAGACCGCAAACGAGGCAATGACCGTAAACAGCAGGCGCTCGCTGCTCCGTGTTCGAAAGACTTTCGAGCTTGGACGCGTAATATCGTGATATCGAGATACAGCCTTCCCTAAAGCGCGACTTCGCGTCTCTGACACGACGAGAGGTGATGATCTGAGTGTGAGAAATCTGAGATAATCAACTACGGAAAGCGGACTTGCTTGCTCGTAAAGAAATCACCGCAGGAATAGCGCAAACGCATCCTTAAGTAAGGACAACAGGGCGGACAGCGCAAACAGGCAGCCAGGCGTCAACGATCTGAGGGCCGTGGGCCTGGTGGGATAGGGTCAGGTTGGGATAAAGAAATTAAGGTACCAACATCAGCTATGTGGTGAAGGGATGTCTCGGGCAGGCAGTGATAAGAAATGAAGGCATGAAGGTTATCAATGTCCTGGAGGGGGAAAACTACAACTGCGGGCTGAACGCTTTGGTGAAAGGGTGGGAAGGGAGGCGAGGGTTCGGTCAAGTTCTCTGGGAGCTCCCAGACCACGTTTACACGAACATGAATTAACGCGATGACCGACTTGAAAGCCTCATCCCTCCCATCTTCCCTCAAGGACATTCTCGAACCCTCAGTCCCGTGCCGTTGTCTGCGGCCCATTAGTCCATCCGATCCTTGCCTGTGAAGCTGGCTTGGTCCAGTCTCACTTGCCTGTGATCAGTGGCAAGGCTCCTCTTGAATCCTATGGATGAATCTGGGAGGCCCTATTGAAGATTACTAAATTGGAGACAGTAAGCTAGGGGTATGCAGTTCATTGAAGAATAGGAGAGACCAAGACTGAGGGTTCACCGGCCTTCGGATTTGCAGACTAGTGGAGGACGTCACGCACAGGTTCGAGTCTTCGCATGTTTGCATATCCAAGACCAAGCTGGTACGTACGAAGTTGTAAGATAAGCCATTGTACAGACTCATGAATGCTGTTGTACAGTTTCATTGCTCAAGGACCACTGGACTCCCCGCTGGCAAAAGCCTCACATATGGTAGTGCGCAAGTTCGTCATTATGGCCCGTCCGTCGCAAAGAATATTCCCATGGCCCCTGGCCGCCTTGAAGTCGATGAACCCGATACTCCTCGCTTATTTCCTTTTCCGTTCCACCGCATCCATCTTTTCCTCCAACGCCTGGACATATTTGCTCAATCGCTGGCAGCTGGCCTGAAGAGCCTGTTGTACGCTCGTGTTAGTTGACAGCCCAGATATAGCGCGGGATCGCACGGGAAGCGGAAGAAACGGGAAAATTTGCGTGAATGCCGAAGGATTTCCCTCAAGAATACATAGACGCGTGGGTAACGGCGGGTACGGCCGGAGGGCTCGGGTTCGGGTTCGGGGGAATCTTCACAAAACACAGAGCCACAAATCCCCAAGAAGTGCAACCGGCCGGACACTAGGGGCAGGACGGTTGTTGTTTTTCTCATGTCAAATGCAGAAGCGTACATAGATATCCTCGGTCAAGAGCTCGTTCGATGCCTTGTACTCCTGCAGAACGTATGTGTAGACGCCGGCGCCGGCGAGGGTGCTGCCGAGCAGGAAGCCGAAGAGACTGCAGAATATGGTCAATTAGCCTTCGCTTTCTCTCTTCAGGATGGACACGCGTCCAGGGAAGGGGAGGCCGTACCCTCCGCGGAAAGCACCGACGGGCTTGCGAGCTGGCAGGGCGACAGTCGCATCGGCGAGTTGGCGGGATGTCGAGCTGAAGGTGCGGGTCGCGGTAGAGCGCATGGGGGAAGAAGAAGCCGCAAGGAGGCTGCGAGCCCCTGCGGAGACCATTCGTGCAGACATCGTGACGGTGTGGTTTGTTTGGCGTGGTGTGATGATGTCGGGTGGGTGGAAGGCGAGGAAAGGAAGTGGTCGCTTCGGGTCGATCTGGCTGAGACGCTGACGTCCAATTGAGATGGGCGATGCAGGTGCTGGCTGCAGGGGTCGAGCTTTGGGCAGACAGGTGCTCTGAAAACGGGGCCGGGTCTTAGCGGCGCGGAGTACTTAGCCGTTCGACCCCCAATCCGTCTACCGGTGTCTACCATCAACTGCTTGATATGGGATGACTACGAGTTTAATATCTACGTGGTCCCAGGATGTCCCTTTTGCATGGAGTTCTATTCCGACTATTCAAATAGTCAACATGACAACAGTGGTCGGTCTTACGATGGCTGAACCACGACTTCACAATCGGTTATCTCAGCAACAGCCGCAGTAGAACGATGAAGAAAATTCATTAAAACCTATGCTGCACTACTGATGAGTTCGCATTTTTTATCCCGTGTCCCACGGAGCGGCCCTCCGCTCCTAGCTTCTCTGAACCGAGCCGAGCATGTAGATAGATAAACTGTACAAACGATCAAGGGGTATTCATCTTCATTCCGCTAACCATCTAAAGCTCATCGTGAGTGCTCTCCTTGGCAGCCTCGCTGCTGGTGCTCTCGGTGGCGGCAGGGGCAACGGGGGTCTCCTCGATGGTCTTCTCCTCAACCTCAGCCTTGAACTTTCCGTTCTCCTTGACGAACTTGATCAGGTCCTCAACAGTGCGCGAGCCGCTGTAGGTGACGGGCTCGGTCTTGGCGCCAGCAGGGTACATCTTGATGGTAGGGAATCCCTGGATCTCATCGGGAACGTCGTTGGCAGTGGCGTCAACCTTGGCAATGACAATCTTGTCCTTGAACTCGCTCTTAGCGTACAGGGTAGCAAGGTCGTCGTACTTGGGGGCCAGGGCCTTGCAGTGACCGCACCACGGGGCGTAGAACTCAATCAGAACATCCTTGGTGTCATCGAGGACAATGTCGTTGTACGACTTGGCGACGACGACGGTGACGGGGCCCTCCTGGGTCTCGGGGATGGGCTCAGACTTGATGCTGGGCTCGACCTTGCCAGCGGCGAAGTCATCGACGAAGGCCTTGATCGAGGCGAGGTCGATCTTCTTCTCAATGTTGTAGGGGAACTTCTGGTTCTTGACGGTCTCCTGGATGGCGAACGACGGGAACTTGTCGGTGGGCAGGTTCAGGTTGCCAGCGTGGGCACCAAACTGCTTGGCATCAATGGTGGCGAAGTTGATCTTGCCGCGGTACTCCTCAGCCAGAGACTTCAGGCTGTCGGCGAGCTCCTTGCGCTCCTCAGCCGTCTCGGCGAAGATGTAGGCCAGGGGAAGACCGGCAGACATGTATCCAGAGTAGGTCTCGGGGCCGACCTCGCCGACCAAGGGGGTGCTAGCCGTCTTGGCGAACTTCTCAATGGCCTCGGCGTCGAACTTCTCGGAGAAAGTGGCCTTGCCCTCGTCAAAGGTCTTGTAGAGGACGATGGCGGGGGCCTTGACACCCTCAGCCTCGGCCAACTCAGCGTCGCTGCTCGAACCGAAGGGGTACGAGTCGCGGAGCTTCTCAGCAGTCTTGGAGAAAACCTCGCTCGACTCCTTGTCGGAGGCGTCGAGGTAGGCGACAAGGACGACCTTGTCGGTGTTCTTGAAGTCGGCGAGCGACTCCTTGGTGACCTCGGAAACGGCGGGGAGCGATTGCTTGATCATGTAGGATGTGATGCTGCGGATCGAGAACGTGTCAGTAAGGTGACGTTGATCACGAGCAGAGCGCCAGGAAAACTCACGCGTTGGCCTTGCGCTGGCCAGAGTAGGGGGTGATGTTGTCCTTTCCGCGGAAGACCTTGAGGGTAGGGTAACCCTCAACACCGTAGGACTGGCACAGGTCGGCCTCCTCAGTGCAGTCAACCTTGACCAGCTGGATGTTCTTCTCCTTCAGGGAGGTGGCGGCCTCCTCGTACTCGGGGGCGAGGGCCTTGCAGTGTCCGCTGTGAAGCATGTCAGTATTCCGGAGTCGAGCAGAACTTCGGCTTCTGTCGGAAAAGCTTACCACCAAGGGGCGAAGACTGTAGCAGGCTAATGTCAGCTGGGATTCGCCAGCAGATGCTGAGAGCAATGTTGCAACTTACACTCTGCGAGGACGAGGTCGTTCGACGCAACGAAGTCGTCGAAGGTGTCCTTCTTGAGCTGGGTGACGTCCGAAGCCGAGACGGCGGCGGCGGCAGCCAACAGGCTGAATGCGACCTTTCTATACATGGTGAAAAGACTGGCACAAAGACTGTTAGCTAGGCTCCTCGTGTGACGCTGCTGGCGGTGCCCAAGACCAGGAGAGAGGCTTCGAGGATCCGCGAGTCTGCGGCGTCGAATTGGGTCGACGTCGACGTGAATGCTGACACCACGAAGCTGTCTCCAGGTTGTGGATTGCGTGCCGGGTAGACAGAGGGAGATGGAGAGGGATACTTACTTCTGCAGAGATCAAGCCACCTTAAATAGAAAAAGAAGGCTGATGGTGAAGTGAATGCAAGAACAGTGAAATGGTAGAAAACAGTCCACTCGAGACGGAAAAATGGACAGTTGGGTCCTTTTATTCACCTGGAGCTGATAACGGGGAACGGCAGGGTGAACTCTGGTGCCCAGGGAGGCGGCTTTCAAGATGTCAATCTGTCCAGTCCAGTCCCGCACCAGGGCCGGCGCCAGTTGGTCCCTGCGGTGCGGCCTGGGCCTCTCCCCTTTTGGCCTTTGCCTCAATTGGGGCTCGTCGAAAGCTCGCTGCGCCCGCCCCGATGGCATTTCTAAGCTGGGGCTTCCTCTCCTGATCTTGACACCTGTCTTTTCCAGGCACGTATTTTTGGAGAAAGCTTGCCGCTAGCCTGGTCTGCAGCAGGGATCACCAGCCCAATTGGGCGCATCCCAAGGGTCCTCCTCAGTCCCCACTTGCCTGCTGTACTGCACTAGGTACCACACTCACTCAAGCACACCACCGGGGACCACCATGCCTGCAAGCCCACCGCCCGCAAGCCCACCGCCCGCCGGGCCCTCCTCTGCAGCGGCGCGCACTCTTGGGCGGCGTGTAGGGACCTGAGTCGTGATTGGTGCCTTTGCACGAACTTTACTCCATGAGGCGACTATGGTGCCACCATTTGCCCTCTAAAACAATCGGATATCCTAGCCAGTTGCTTTCTCAGCTGTTCACTTACCAGCCATGGGCAAGCTGGAATCTGTTGCGTGCTATGGAGGGTTCTCTCACACTTCCAGGTCGAAGACGTCTCACAGTGGAGGCTGCCCACAATGATCCAGTAGCACCTCATGTCAGCTTACCTCTGCTTTGCACTCAGCAATCTAGTCCAAGTTACCTCGAATCCTATTGACATGTGGCCTGAGGTGCATGGCCCATGGGACGGGTTAAGGTGCAGATCTCCAAATCCAAGCCACCCCTTGCCTAAACAGACTGATTAATCCGCGGGTACTGCCTCCGTTTGTCTTTCCGGTACAGCCCCAAAGAGGTTCGGCGGAGGCAGTGTGGTTACAACAGATATCACCGATCTCGTAGGATTCAGGTACAGTGAGTCCACTTCGTCTCTTAGCCAGTCTCGGCGCACTTTACATATAATGCTCCACAAGGACTGGATGCGGTGCCTGCTCCAATTGCACCACTACAGTACACTGGATATGAAGACCGAATCAATATGTGAGGCTCAAGCCAGATACTTGGGGTAGCGTACCCCACACTACACCTCCCGTCTTCCCAATCAATGCCTACCAAGCCATCGCTATAGATCGATGGGGCCAAATCCACCTAATGAGGCGAAATGAGAATGACTGTATAGTATGTAGCTTTTCCGTGAGCTCTCATTTGCCATCGTCGAGAACATTTTCGAAGGGAACCGACCCATATCAACCGCAACAAGCCGCCCGCCGCGCAATGGGGGCGGGTGCTTAAATAATGCTTTAGACAGTCAATCGAGTCAGTACGCCACAGTCTGGAAGGGTCCAGCCTGCTTACGGCACAGGCCTCCTCAGTGGCCACACTATAGCCAGACACTTCATCGGGGCAGAATGGGAGACTTGAGTATACTCAGCCGAACTCTATCTACGACAAACCGTGAACCAATAGCTCTTGTGTTCCTTCTTCTGGGATTGCAATCGCTGCGACTGTTCTAACCGGTTGACCTTCCTATCGTGGGCAAGGATTACATGCGGGGGATGGGGTAACTAAGCTGGACCTGGGATCGGGTCAGGGGAACACAGTACGATAGACGTTCCGGAGTTCGGAATGAATGTGAAAAAGATCGGTATTGCGCTTTCACTTGTTTAAATATGTAGTCGCTAGAGATTCCATCTGATCTCATCCTTTTGACGGAACGCAATTTGAGGAGGAAGTTATTAGTGAAGATGACGAGGCGCGCGATCGAGCAGCAATCTCCCCGTAAGTAAACCCCCAAACCATCTGAGGGGCCGCATATTCTGACTTGTCCCCAGGCTACTTCCGGGCTTCTTCCTCATCAACCGCCCATCCGCAGGCACCGGTTACTGTTGCTGAACCCCGGTCGCAACGAATCCATTCTACTAGCCTTGGCATCACAATAAGACCAAGAGCCGAAGACGCGCTGGCGCCAGCAGGCGACGATGCGGTTTCGACCACGAAGAAGAAGTTCTTCACCATAATCAGGGCTGGATTGCTTGTCCCTGGTGATGGCAAGCCTCTTCACGATGCAGCGCTAGTGATCGAAAACAAGATCATTGCCTGGGTTGGCTCCCAAGCTGAAGTGCCAGATGAATATACGGAGGCCCCGCACCGGAGCTTCGATATAGATTATCTCATGCCTGGCTTATGGGAGGTTCATGCACATTTTGATGGTTCGAGCCCTTCAGACCCGGACCTCGGCTATCTCGCATTCCTCTCAACCCATCCCGCCGCTGCCGGTGCGCGTTTGGCGAAGCAGTGCTGGGAGGCCCTCCAGCGCGGTTATACGTCCCTACGCGACGTTGCTGGACTTGGGTGTGAAGTCGCACAGGCAATTGACGATGGATCCATTGTTGGTCCGAATGTTTACAGCTCAGGCGGTGCCTTGAGCCAGCTGGGTGGCCATGGCGACATCTTTGTCATCCCTGCTGGAGACGTACTTCTCAACTTTGGCGTGGGCAACATTTCAGCGGGGCACCATGGGACAGGGCCGGTGGTGATCGTCGACGGTGTCGATGAGTGTCGTCGAGGAGTACGGCTTCAAATCCGGCGCGGCGCCAAGTGCATTAAGGTCATGGCTTCTGGCGGCGTGATGTCACGGGATGACAACCCGCTCTACGCCCAGTTCAGCAAGGAAGAACTCGACGTGATCGTCCAAGAAGCGAACAGGCAGGGCCGTGCTGTTGCTGCCCATGTTCATGGCAAGCCGGGTATTCTAGCTGCTGTGAATGCCGGGGTTACGACAGTAGAGCATATGTCCTTTGCTGACCAGGAGTGTATGGATGCCATCAAGGAGAAGGGCACGATCTACGTTGCTACACGCTTCATCGTCGATTTGTTACTTCAAACTGGCGGGAAAGGCCTTTCGAAAGAACAGTGGGCAAAGGCCAAGCTTTGCGGTGCAAATCACGAGGCCGCCTACAAGCTGGCTATTAAGAACGGTTTGACGTTTGCCCTCGGCACGGATACAGCACCCGGAGACAACTGCGCCATAGAACTCGAATACGCCGTGAAGGCTGGTATGAGCAATCTGGAAGCGATCAAGGCCGCTACCGCGAACGGCCCCCTAACGGTCGGAGCTCAGGCTCCAAAGTCGGGGCAGCTAAAGGCTGGCTACGAGGCAGACATCATTGGCCTCACGGAAAACCCGGTGGAGGATGTCAAGGTGTTACAGAACATAGATGTCATCAAGTATGTCTTCAAGGGCGGTAGGCTATTCAAGGGGCCAGGCGTTGGGCCCTGGGGTGAGTAATAAGTACTAGAATAGGGAGCGCCTTATCTGGTAATCGGGAAAATATTTCCACTCGAAACTATCGACTTGAGGATGGCGCGCGTGAACCTGTGGCGATTGTATTTCTCAGTCGATCGGGACTGCCCTCGAGCCAGACCATCTTGACCCCAGCGTGGACGACAAGTTACAATCCAAAGCCATCCCCGAAGCCACATCTGATATAAGCTATTGTTCAAAGTGTTAATAATGAGCGAGGACAGAAAGGCCATGCAGGTCCTAGATGAAGGCCGCATCCTACCTTCCCCGTGTCTTGCCTCGCACATGCTCGTGGCTTCCTGCTGTCCGCCCATAGCTCTTCCAGAAATGCTCCCGCGGGTCCCAAGGCTCCCAAGGCTCCTACCATCGCCGCGCGGCGAGCTAGAGCACCTTCATCTGATGGCAGCAACACATGAACGATACACTCCGGCCTGCAGGTGCCTAGGTAGCTTAGGTAGTTAGTGAGCATGGCCCCGTGGTCCAGGCGATTTCTTCTCGTCAGCGCTGCACTCCACTCGTTACGACAATCTCGAGTCTCTTACGGCACCCTACGCCGGTGGCTTTTTTGGATGCGTCTATTCATCCAAATACAGAGACTTGGGCCGCTCTGCTTCATTAGTGACTTTCCAAGCATCTATTTCAACATCTAGTGCTCTCCAACCGACGCTGCCCATCACACCCGCCTCGCTAGAGTAGGCCCCCGCTGCTTCACCATGGATCATCACCGTTTGCCCCGACGATCCCAAAGCCATGGCACCCTTCACAGCAGCTACGCCCGGCATGGACGGCCTCTTCATAAGCCTCTTCGCAGCGTGAACGAGAACTCGGCTCTCCTGCCTTCACCTGGTGCTTTGGAGAGTATGCTGAAGACCACAACCGAGACTGGAGATATTGGTCTCTTCAGCATCAAGTCTGTTCCTATTTCACGCGTGGGACCACCAGCAAGTAGAAGGGATGCTATGGGCCATGGTCTGCAATCCCTCCCTCGCCATACCATCGATGAGTCCAAGAGGCATGACGGCCGCAGAAGGCCTCCCCGGCATCGAGATGTCACCGCTGAGATCATCTCTATGTACGGATCCAACAGCCAGAGCTCGAGCTCCGTCACTAGCACTCTGGCTTACTCGACTGATGAGCCTGGCCAGCGTTCGTACTCTATGACGACTGTTGGATCAAAACAGCTGTCCCACAACAAATCCAATGCAACCCTTCAAAGTCAGTCCAGCATTGGGCCTTTGCAACGCCCTCGGTCACCATTTCCGTACCCTACTAGGCTGAAGCGACCAGGCGCTCGCCCAGTATCTCCAGCTGTGACGGATGCTGGCATCGTCGATTACAGCCGCATGGTTGAGATTGACAGAATTTCATTGGCAAGTGACCATCGAACACACTTGGCGTGGACGCTCAATACTGACTTGAAACTCAGAGAACTGGATATGGACCTCTCAAACCCCCCTATCCACGCGGCCATCGAAGGCCGGCACCTTTGGGTATCCGCTCAGAGGCAAACCTGTCAACTCCTACGTTGCCAGCATGTGGACCTCCTCAAATGCGTCGACTTCCAGGGCCGCCATCTTTGCGAACTGTATCAGCAGCGTCGGTAGCGTCCTGGAATGCGCCAAATCGCCCTCATCGGGACAGAGTGAACAGTGCAACATCGAGGACGTCTAGTCTTACTTCGGTTGTCAATATGTACTACCGAATGCCGCCTGCACTTAAGGCTTCGCAATTTGGGCCACCGGATCCGACGCCTCGTTACTACGACTACACAGAAGAATTCGAGAACAAGACAGCGCAGCCAACGAAATCACTTGAGACATTGGCTCCCATACCTACAAGGGCGTCGAGCACTCAACGTCCCCTGGTTCTCAGAGAAGGGTCGGAGGAGCAGCTGGCTGCAGCTTTCGACGACAAATCTGCACCGGATTTCTCAGACGATGACGACCACCAAGGTGAATCTGACGCAGAAACAGAGCCACATCTGCTGAGTGATATAGAAACGCCTCACGAAGGTACCACAAGGGATCGAAAGCCCAACAGTCCCGCCAGAGTCTCCGGCACAGACCCAAGGGCCCAGATCATACCTAGCTTGACGCTAGGTATGAGGAAGCTTACACGAGGCAGCGACATTGATCTCCTACCGTCGCAGGTTCGGAGAACATCCGTTGATACTTTCAGGCCCAGCCTTGACATAGAATCTCCTGAGGTTCCATTGTTCAGCTACCCTAACTTTCGTCACAGAACGTCTGAGCATACAAATACACCTTCTCCAGCACGGCAAGTACAGGTTCATGTCAAGACCCCAACAATCAGAAGTGAGCAAGGGGTTATCTTGAGGGATGATGAACATGACAGCACTAACGGCACTGATGATGCGTCTTCTGTGAACGACAGCGCTTGCGAGCCGCCCCTCAGAGAGCCAAGAACTCCCAGAGTGCCAACCCATGGTTTCAGCAACCCATACCCCATGCTGAAGACCGCACAGGATATGCTGAAAACCAGTTCAAAAGGGTCTGACAATTACTCAACACTTGCACGTACAACTGCTGTGGCAGATCCCTTCAAGCCAGGCTCCCGCAAACTCCTCAAAGGATCTGATGCACATCAACATTTGCCGTGTGCCACAGCAGTGAATGGGTGCGGTTCTGTAGGAATCGCAGATAACAATTCGTCAATTGAGACTTCGGGGGCTACGGACCGTTTAGAAACGAATCCTTCTGATAACCGAACTGCTCGGGGAGTTGCCAGAACCAATGATGACGGCACAGGCCGGATCTTGAGACCACCTCTAAGAAACGATGATCACAACAAGAATGACCAGAGAAACCATGCTGATTTGAAAGTCATCACCAATGGGTTGCCTCAGGATGAAGAGGAGATCCCACAGCTAACTCCGTCGTGTTCTCTCACGCCATTGATCTCGCCAAAACCAATCTCACCCGCTCGAGAGCTGAGGGTCAAGAACAGCATCCCTCAGCTTATGAAAGCATTACCACCGTTACCTGGTCAACCTGGATACGTTTCTCCTCCTTCATCAACCGGTTTCAGCGACGATGGAGACGACTTTGTTGCAGTTTTGAGACCATACCGCTTTTCACAGTCCGGTATATCGAGATGTCGAGATGCCTCTGAGTTAGCCAGAAATGCTGAGAAACCCCCCGCACGCTTGCAAAAACCCAAACCAGATATTCAAAAGAAGCTTCCCAGAATTAGGGCCAAGTCGAAAGTGTCAATCGCCGACGCCCCGTCTAATCATAGAGAGTCAAGGCCATGGAATTCAGAGAAGAATTATCCATGGTGCAATGACGTGCCTCCAATTGAGCTTGTGGATGTGGAATGCGAAGTTAACAAACATGACTCTCTTCGTGAGAAGCCACGGGTCAGTAGCTCTCGTACTGCCAGCAATGTAGACTCACGCTCTAATACCGTGCGCCGACGTCCACAAGCTGGAGGTTCCGGGCTCGTACAAGATATTGCAAGTCAACAGCGGAAAGACCTCTTCAGCTTCTCCAGCGGATTGGGATCTGTCTTTCGCCAAGTCAGTCGTAAGTTCTCTCAAAGCTCACATAAGGCTAGTAAGCCGGAATCAGCATCGCCATTCTATGATGCGGAAACATCGTTGCCTGATCAAAGTCCTGAAACGAAACCACGCGTTCGGCTCAGAAGATCCACCAGCAAGTACAAGGCGAATTACCACAGCTTTGATAAAGACTCGGCCATTGAGAAGCGTCATGGTTTGAAGAAGCACTTCTCAGATTTGCGTTGGCTGCTAGCACGATCGACGCGTACACAAACGCGGGAGACTCCTGACGAAGGGTCAAACTTTTTGCATGCAAAACGGGGAGCCGTTTTGGAGAGTACGTTTGGATTGGGAAACACCGATTTCGATAGCAAAGATATTAGTGTCGGTGAAGGCAATGCTCCGACCAAGCAGCCTAGGCCACGGCTTAGAAGACGAATGAGAGCCAGAATTTCCAAATGGGTGAGAGGGACCAAAACCGGTGGCAAGCATCGGCAAAAAGGGACCTCAGTTACTGCAGAGGATAACTGAGGATGCTGTGAAGAGAATATAACCTACTTACGAGCTGGGATCGCAGTACCAGAGTGTAGTCTCTGTTCTGTATGAACATCAACTGTAGCCTTGGGAAGGCAGTTTTTGGAATGCTTGAGACACAAAGCTGCTTGTTTTGGAACTTCTTGGAACTTCTCATCGGGCGGGAATGACTGCTGCTAGCTTAGGCCAATGGAAAGGGTCAGAACTATTGTGTACGAACCCGCTTGGGGAGCACGGGGACTATTCTGATCCAGGGTGATTGGGGCGTTCTTAGTTATGTGGGAAGACAATATTGCATGCAAACGCTGGATTGCACCTCATTAGTACACAATAATGCCAGAAATCTTCTTAACTGTGGCCTTTCAGCGCATGCTGTTCATCACAAATGTTCGTCACCGCGGTGGTAACCTCAAACATGTGCTTTGGGGCTCCTGTGAATAGTAGTGACTACAACGACGTTGAAATGAGGCTTTGTTTACAGAGGTTTGCCTTGGTTTCCACCCGCTGGCACATTTGAGCAAGAGATCTGTGAGTTTGAGACGAGAGGGTTTGCGATTAGACTTCGTAGGGGGCGCGGTTGAGGCATTCTAGCTCGAGAAGTCCGTTGACAACAATCCAATCATGAGGCGCGAGGTACCACATACATTGAGAAGAATAGGCACGAGCACGAGACATCTAATAAGATTGTTCTAGCTGGTATCTGCCGCACTTCTAGCCGTGCCCTAATAGTACTCTCCTTGCAGCCGTTGAACTGCTTGAAAACTGACTCTATTCTGGCGCCCCCTCCAGCGCAGTGAGCCAGGCTCCATCTCCGTCTGCTCGAGCTGGTCCCATCCCAGCAAGCTAGTAACTTTCTCTCTCTGCAGCTAACAGTGAATGCTTCTTTATCCTACTTTCCTTCTCGATAAACCAAAGTCTTCCTGGGAGATTGCCTAGGGTTGAACCCTTTTGTTCAGCAGCAGTCTTCATTCTTTCAACCGCATAGACTCCAATCCCTCGTAAACCCGTACCTTCCCCATCTATCCACGGCATCTCGCAATGGAGGACCGACAACGCTCAGACACAGAAAATACAGATTCGATAGACTGGCCACAATGTTGGAATGAGGGCCGTACCAACAGTACATCTCCGGAGCCTAAAGGTCCAGGTTCCTCCGCACCTCCGGCTTTGGAACAACAAGTAGCAACAAATGAGCACAGAGAAGGCGAGCGAGAAAACGGTGATACGGGTAGTGATGGTATTGAAGACAATGACGGGATCTCAGCAGTATCTGATGAGCACGTTCCGCTTGACTACCCTGGGTCCGACGCAGAGCGCTATCACCAGCTCGAGGCGCTGAACGACAGGATATTAAGCTGGGCGCAGGCCGGCAGCGCCTTAACGCCAAAGGAGGAATATGCAGCCTTCACGAAGCTTCCGGATCCATGGAAGCACTATCTTTCGAGTATGACGGGTGCTGAGAGGATCCGCCCCCCGCGAGGCGAGGCCGTCCGCGTCAAGACGCGCTGCGGGAGCACGATGTACGTCGGCCGCCCAAAGGGCCGAATTAAGTGGAAGGAGGTCGTGTGGGACAAGAAGTCGGCCGAAGCCGAGAGAGCTGACTCGATGAGCAGCGGCGGCGCCGCGCCCGCTCCCAAGACGGCGAAGGAGGAGGAGTCCGCAACGAGCAGACAGGGAAGCGTAGAGTCCGAACCGGAGCCGGACATAGAGCTCTGGGGCAAGTTGGATGAGCTCACCCCTATCCGCTCCAAGTCGGTTCCGGAGCAGATGAGGGCAAGAGCGTTGCAGAAAAAGCAGTCTCGCCAGAGTTGGCTGGAGCATCTGAAAAACGGTCCGCTTGCCGGAGCAAAGCGAAAGGCCTCGCAGGCCAAGGGCTTCTTGTCCAAACTGTGGGAGAGGCGAGACTCGGGCGTCTGCATGGAATGCAAAAATGGGCTCCCATGTTACGATGAGCTTGGCCCCAAGAACGATCGCTGGGATGAGCCGGATGCTCGTCCCACGGCGTCACAATCGACAGAACTTCCCGACGCACGGTGGCTTGTGCAGCGCCAACAGGACGAGGGCGTGGTGCTCTGACACCGCTCGGCAATCACCCTCCAAACGGCATTGGGAATCTTAATAACCTATCAAGAATAGCGCTAGAGCAAGGGGCGTTCAGAGATGTATCTTCCGAATTTTTCTCCAATAGATGACCAGGAAGCCTATACCTTCCGCACGAGACGCTGCATCTCGCCTCATAGTTGCTCTGCCTCAATCGCTGAGTTGAAGTCCTGTTAGTAGTTGTGGTGTGTAGAGTAATTATATCTTCATGGAAAGGTATTCAGAACACGCCTCCTCCAATGATGAACAATCTTTCTTCTTCGCGTTTAGCCCATTGCATGATCTTATTAGCACCCAAAGTCAAGATTTGCCTGGACGCATTGGGTCCGGCGACGCAGTAGAACTCGAATACGGGTGTGATCCACGCGAGCGACGTCGAGTCCTCGCCGACGCAATGCATCACCTTGAGATGAGCATGCTTCGCATGCACTGTAGCGTGCAGATTGTGATATAGCGACATCAAACGGCGGTGCGAGACCATGTCGTCGAAAAGCGGCTCCAGAGTGGGCATGCAGAACTGCACGTTCGCTTTCGACTTGAAGAGGAAATGGCTGATGTGCGTCCCAGGGGCGATGTCGGTCACCTTGGGCCGGCCCTGCTTTGCTGCCTTCTTGATAATGTCAAGACTTCCCTTTCTCTCCAGCTCATTGACGACATCGTCTCTCATCTTCTGAAGGGTGAAAAAGCTCTCCTTATCGGGGCTAATGAGAATGATGGCGATCTCTTCGTCGACCGGGATATCCGTTTTGGAAGATGTGGAACTCCCGGGCCTTCCACCCAAGAAACTGACATACATGTATAGATACCCACGATTGTTGAAAGCAGGGAGGCACAGGGGAATCCAGTTTTCACCACCGCCAGCCTTGATCCCTCCAGATTCAAAAAGCATATTGAAGATGAGCTGCAAATCGCTCGGATGAAGAGAATGCTTGCGAGGCCTGATAACGCTCACTAAGCGGCCTCCGGCTACTATCAGGCCATATAGCAGATTGCCCGCTTTTGCCTTCAGGAAGGCATTATTTATCGCGTAACGTTGCGACTTTCGGATTTTGAGACATTCCAGCGCCCCCAGCAGCATGGACGGCGAGCCTTTGGTGAAACTGTCCGATAAAGACGAAAGCAGTGACTCTGTGCCCTGAAGGGGCCTTCTCAGATCGGTCGACGGCCGATTTGCGAATATGTGCGTCAAAGTAGGCAACGTCAAGGTTGAGAGGATTTGCATGTAGAGGGCGTTCAACTGGGCCCGCAGTTGCGAATCGCTCTCCCCCAGTTTGCTTATAGCGACAAAGTACAGAGGGCCCTCAGTCGCTATGACGAACCTTGTGTTGCCGGCAGTGAAGCCTTGGAGCGGGTTCTTGGCACCCTGATAGAACGATATGATTGTCTGGACCACACCCATCGAGGAGTTGATCAGACTCAAGTCACCATGTCGGCTGTAGATCGGCTTCCCGGCCGATGAGAGGATCATGTAGTGCTTCAATTTCGATTTCCATATCGACACACGATCCGAGTCGGTCCATTCCTTCTGAGACTCGTCGGGGATGCCGTCGAACTCCTTCTCAAATTCCCGAAGTGCCGAGGCTTCCTCCGTCTTCATGGCGCTGAATGGCGGCACCGTCGCTGACTGCGATCTCAGCAGTTGCCACGCCGGGCTTCTCTTGCTTGTGTCGCCGACGAGGAGGCTCTCGAGGTCGCCAGCGGGACGCAGGGTTGGCGCAAAGCTCATGACACTCATGCCCTCGTCCAGGTCGTTGGAGGCGGGGTTGAAACTCCGCGTGGACCCCAGGTCCCCCGGTATTATAACATCCTCGTGGCCAGCCGTGGCTGTGCCCTCGCTACTTGTGAACGTGCCCCTCGTTCCGTCCGGGAATGAGAGCGTCTGGATGTTGGTGGCCGAGACGGCAGTGGTTGGCTTCGACAGCAGTCCGGGCCTCTCTACTGCAGCAGACGTGGCAGCAGCCGTGACGGCGGGTGTCTGCGAGACCGGTCGCGGCGGTAGGGGAGGAGGTCGTTCGTCGTCATGATCCTGATCGCGGTCGGCATTGGGGCCTGATGCTCCGGCATCTTCCCTGCTGGCTACCATTGCAGCTTTGGTTGTGGGTTTTGCATAATTACCCCTTCCTTCAGGTCCGAGGCGCAATGGTCAATGGGCACACCGAGTCCTGCAAAGTAGTCACTCAAATGGCACGCGTGAGGGTCAAGGTAGTCCTTGTCCACATGTCGGGACAATTATTCTATGGCTGCACGGGGGGGCATGATAGAGGGCTATTTTAGTGCCCTCCTGGGACCGGACCGGCGTCATGGGCCCAGCGCTGGACGGTTTGGGGGGCATGGGAAAGATGAATTGCATGCCCGGCACGCGTCTCGCGTGCAGTATCGTATAACAGAAGTAACACCACGAGTTTTACCTGCACTTCCCTTGAGCAATTGATCAGGGGGTGCCACCAAAGTACTTTTCGAGTATGATACCGAGCACTCAGCACATCACGGGTATCTTTCGTCTCAAGTACTGTGTTCAAGCTTGCAGGCCCAAATGGGGGGATGCCAGTCCATGTAAGGGGATGGTTGCGTGTCGTCTTTGGCAGTTTTGACCTCCCTAAGCACATGACGCACGCCCACATGGGCGAGATATTCTTTCTAGCTACTGGTACAACGATGGCAATTTCATTTCTGCAGCACGTGCCTACCTGAGGTAGGTTTGGTACCTGTGTAAGTGATAGGTAAGTACCGTGACTAGATACTCGAAGGTTTTGGGGCCCAGTTAAGGGTAGTAGTAGTAGTCTACAGCGGGAGTTTGCCTAGGTACCGTGGAATCCCTGGCGTGGGGTCGAGGCCCCAGGGGTCCAATCCAATGAAACCCACGCCCGCTAACAAGTTAGTTACCTGGCGAGGCGAACTGGCAGCCAGGGCAGCTAGCTACAGGCAACGTAATCCGCAAGTCGCGAATAGTCTCATGTTCGCCGCCCTGTCTTCCAACGGCCACGGTTGAGCCAGCTATGCTCTCCAGCCCTCGCGAACGCCCCGGAGAAGATCTCATGTTGCCGCGATCCGTCCCGCCCTAAAGACGAGCCATGAGCCTCGAAACTGGCCCCGTCGGGTCCCTGTCCCCCGAGAGCTCTGGACGCAACACCCCAGTGCCCCGACAATGGAGGAACCAGCTCAGCGTCGAGGACACGCCGACCAAGGACAAGGCCTACCGAAAGTACGCCTCCGGCGTGGAACGCGCCCTGTCCCTCTTTGAGACGGCCCTGCAGGAGTGGGCAGACTACATCTCCTTCCTCAGCCGCCTGCTCAAGGCTCTCCAGGCCCGTCATACCAACATCACCACGATTCCCTCGAAAGCACTCGTCGCAAAGCGTCTATCGCAATGCCTCAATCCTTCACTGCCGTCGGGCGTGCATCAGAAGGCACTGGAGGTCTACAACTACGTCTTCTCTGTCATTGGCACAGAAGGACTTTCCCGGGACCTCCCCCTGTATCTCCCCGGTCTGGCCTCGACACTCTCGTTTGCCTCGCTGACCGTACGAGCCCCGTTTCTCGATCTTCTCGAGAAGTACTTCTTGAAGTTGGACTCCCGGTCTTTGCGCCCAGCTATGAAGGCCGTGGTCATGGCCATGCTGCCCGGCCTGGAGGATGAGACTAGCGAAGACTTCGACCGGACTCTGAAGCTGTTGGAAAATTTCAAGGTTGCAATTCGCACCGACACACGAGAGATCACCACCACACATTCCACCGGAGACGAGTTCTTCTGGCAATGCTTCTTTCTGGCGTCCATCACCAGTCAGAGTCGTCGGCCTGGCGCCTTGGCCTACCTTGTGCGGAACCTACCGAAACTTGGACATTCTCTTCCGCACGAGCATGCGGCAGGCAAAGTTGCGGCTCCTGACAGTGAAGAGGATGACCTCTCCGAACAGCTGGCAGATTTGGTCACTTCTCCTGAGCCAGGGTTGCTGCTCCGTTGTTTCGCTGCAGGGCTAGCCGATGATCAGCTTCTGATTCAGAGAGGTTTTCTGGACCTTCTAGTGACCCATCTGCCGTTACATTCCAAGGTATTGCAGAAAAAGGTCAAACCTGAAGACTTTGAGCTGCTTCTTCGAGCTGCGGCTGGCGTTGTTACTCGGAGAGATATGAGTCTAAATCGGAGATTGTGGGCCTGGTTTCTAGGACCTGAACCGCTGAGCAATGACAACGAAACCGGGCTTGAGTCACCCAGTTCCCCTTCTGGAAATCACCAAAGTTACTTCGCATCCAAGACGAACTACTTCGAGGAATATGGCCTCCAACCCTTGACACAAGCGCTTCTATCGATGATCAAGTCTGCTTCTGATACTAACCCTACCGAGAGAGCACGCCCGTATCGAATATGCCTCTCTCTGATGGATAGGTGGGAGATTGGCGGATTGGTGGTCCCAGAAATTTTCCTACCTATTATCAGAAGCGTTAAAGACTTCAAGGCTCGCGCTGCTGGGAGAACCGAGTTTCATGAAGTCCTGCGTAGTGCCAACGTCTTCTTCGATGGTGTTGAAAGTGGACTTATTTATGGCGAACTGGTCGGTCTTGTAGCTCAAGCTATCGGCCCTGGAAACATTTCCTATACGGAACGCGTCGATAACCTGGGACTGGTTCAGTTCATCATGGCGCATTTCAACATCCGAGAAGAAGAGATGGTGACCATACATGCTCCTTTGGCAGCTCTGTCGATCCTCGCGATGTTAGAAGACTCGAAAGAACGTGGTCTTCGCATACCGGCAGACAAAGATAGGGGCGAACCCACTTTGTCGGATCAAGCCTTAACTATCGCCCTCGGACTCTTGGATCTGGTACCTGAACGAGCATTTCCAGCCAAATCCGGACAGAGGGATTCTGTGGGCTCCATTGAGGCTCCCATTGTGGCCTCAATGTCCAACCACGAACTTCTCAAGAAGATCAAGAGTTTCTACATCGCCGATCAAGGAAACCTTGAGGCTGTGCCTCTCCCCTTTTCAACCCGGAATGTTGGTGAACTCTTGCTACAAAAGACATGTAGCTTGGTGTGTGACTGTCTTTCTGCAAAGACGATACCACAAGCCTTGGCGGTTAGAACTCACGTTCTCTCTCTACTTCTGTCGAAGGTGCCTCAAGAGTACCCATTGAACACCGAAAGTCTCCTGTCGCACATGCAGTCGAGCCTCGCAGGGAGCGATTTGCATTTTGTTGGCTTCAAATCCTTGCTGTCGCTTTCTACACAATTGTACACCAGTGCCAGGACGTCATCATCGTCTCTCTCAGGGTTGGTCGAGTCTCTCGTTCGTCATGCATGGGGGTTCCTCTCCTTGTCTGAACCAAAGTATCATGTTGAGACCGTTCGATGCCTCTGGCAACTACAGTCAGCACTTGGGCCAGAGAACCGTGATATCGAAAGTGCAATTGCGGCTTTGATGTTGAAGAATGATACAACGGGCACATTCGCCATTCGTCCGGCAGATGCGGGACGAAGCTTTAGTATCCTATGGTCCCATACGCTGCAAGATAGTGTCGACCGCCGAGCACCCAAAACACCAACAACCGATGGAAAGATGCAACTCAGGCTTTCTGGGCAGGATTACTATGAGGTTATGCTGACAAGACCTTTGTTTCTGATGCTGGATTCGCTGCTGGACGATCGGACACAACTTTTTATGGCGGTTAAGACATGGCTGAACAACATGATTGGTATTGAGAAGTGAGTAATAATGTCAGGCTGCTTTGGGCCTACCAGCTAAGATTTTGTTAGGTTGTTCCTGGTGTTTGTCACCAAGCTGTCCCAGCTTCGATTTTTGCGAAGCTTACCAAAGACATCAAGCGCAGATTCGGCGAAGCAGTCCATTGCTTTCTCACCAGATGATGACCTCGACATGGGTTTGTATTACCTCCGCACACTTTCCAACATGTTCCGCTGGGCCCCCGATGCCTTCTATGGCGTTCTCGCGACTCGCATCATCGAAGAACCAGAAGCCAGCCTGGCAGAGATCAGTAAGTTCTGTTTGGCCCAAGTGCAGAGGCTGCCTACTGATCTATGGTAGCTGGTACGGAAAGCGACATTTCGCTTCAGGAGTTCTTCCTCCATGTCTGTATGAGATGTATCGCTGGCAACAAATTTCCTGAGGATTCGCAGGTGCAACTACGGATTGCGCAACTCCACAGGTGTTCTTTGACTCTATTGCATCAAATCCTCTTAAACCCTTATGCGGAGCCTCTTTCAGGACTACACCTAGAGAACATCCTGATCGACCGACTGCATCAGTCACTCAGCGGTCCAGATCCCTACATACAGGTCTTATTACTGGATGTTGTATTCGCATCCCTCAAGTTGCGGGATGTATCCCCTAATGAGCTACCATCCTCGCCAACAGGGGAGAAACGAGCTTTGAGCTACCCATCAGGCAGCATGCGATTATCCTCCACCACGATTGAGAATATACCAGAGATCACAGCGCCGCCTCCCTCTCTGCTGAAGTGCATACAAGCGGGACTGAGCTCCGCCAGCAGTCGTCCTGTGTTAGACAGCTGGGTTAGCTTCTTGACAGAGTGCCTCCCGCTATATTTCAACACTATCTTCCAAGTACTGATGCCGCTGGTGGAGACCCTGTGCGAACAGGTCCGAAGTACTTTCGAAGACCTACAAAGGATTTTCAGGCAAAACGCCAAGACAACCGTTGGGCTCAACGCCCCAGAGTCTACTCTGATCTCGTTGCTCAATGCACTCGAGCAGGTCCTAGCGAAGGCCCACGATCAGCTGCTGGCAGAGGAGGCTAGAGCCCAAATCGTCAAAAGCCCAGATCAACAATCACAGGGATTTTTCGGGAACATGGTGTCTGGAGTCTTCAACTCGGAAGCTCCACAGTCTCGCAGTGCCACTGCAAACGATAGATTGACCGTATTGCTTGCGTTCCAGGATGCAGTCCGTATTTGTTTCAGGATTTGGTCGTGGGGCCAAGGAAGCGAAGCATCAAGCTTGGATAGCAGCTCATCATCATCCTTCAATTACACATCCCTGCGCATGCGTAATCGCGCTCGACGCCTTCTCGAGCACGTTTTCGCAGCCGAAGCGCTGGAATGCTTAGAGACTGTCGTTGACATATGGCAAGCCTCGTTGGCCAGCCCCGATGCATCAAAGCATTCCGAGGTCTTCAACCTACTCCCTGCCTTAGACGGTTCCAGGCCAAGGCACACGATACCAGCAATCTTCAACGCGATCTACAGTCGCACGAACCCCAATGCGCTTGAGCCATCGCGTAAATCGACATTGACGATATCTCTGCAGGACACGGACCTGGTCATATTCCTGGTCGACTACGCGAGGTCCCTGGAAGATGACGCCATGGACGAGATCTGGCAAGACTGCATGATCTTCCTGAAAGACCTGCTGGGCAACCCTTTCCCGCATCGACAAACACTACCTAGCTTATTGGAATTTGCGGCGATCTTGGGAGAGAAAGTCGACAACACTAACTTTGGAGAGCAGCGGAAGATGCGAAGAGAACTCGGTGTAAGTTGAATGCATACCTCATCCGTAAGCACTAACTAAAAGTAACAGGATCTCTTTCTTCGTCTATTAACTGCTCTCTTTACAACCCGACCGACAGCATTTACCGAGACATCGGCTAATTCTCACTCCGACAAGTCGAGGAATGACGAGCGTCGGGCACTGTCTCCAAGCGCAAGGGCTGACGATGTTGTGGGCATTCTATCAACCATCGTCCCAAATCTTCCCAAGATTCTAGTGGAGTCCGACAGGGTCTTGACTGCAGCAAGTGCGATTTCGACCAACGTGATTGGACCGTCCATTCGTTCGAAGGGATTCCCGGAGACCATATCCAAGGGAACATTGACCCTCTTGCAGGAACTCACCAGGTTACCCAATAATCAAAAGACGTGGAAGAAGGATATTGGCGATGCGTTCAATGACGCAAGATTCTTTGGATCATCGGTCAATTTGGTTCAAAATGATTGGCTACCGCTTCTCAAGCAGTGGACTATCGCAGACAAGGAACGCATGACTGAGATTCTCAGCCGTATCACACCTCCCACAACGGCAGGCATCGTCTTTGGCGTGGGTGCCACATCAGCAAGGCTGGAAGCAGATCGCAAGACGCAACTCAACCTCCGCCGTGCGGCAACGCTGGTTCTTGCCTCGCCTATCGACGCCTTCGTGGCGGATCTTCCAACAATAACAGAGCGGCTAGTTGAGCTGCTCGCGGCTACCTCGACCTCGTCTCCTTCGTCCACTACACGTGCCGAAATCTATATGCTAGTCAGGGCACTGGTGCTCCGCACATCAGCGGTTCACCTGTCACCCCTTTGGCCCATTATGAATGCTGAGCTCCATGCCGCCATCTCATCAGTTGTGGCGCCAGATCACAGTGCATCCAGCGATACGTTCAACAACCCTTCAATACTTCAAGCATGCAAACTTCTCGACCTGCTCATCTGTGTGGCTCCAGATGACTTCCAGCTCCACGAGTGGCTCTTTGTCACCGATACCATAGACGCAATCTACCGCTCGCCATCATACCAGCCCATTGCGCTAGTGGACGAACTCTCCGAGGAGCTGGGCAACAGCTCCATAGCCAACAACTCGACCCTGCAGACCGAGAGCGCGGCCATCATGGCAGCCTCGGGGTCGCACCGCCGACCGCTTCTGGGACCCGGCGGCATCCCTGACGAGATGAGCATGGACCGCAAAGATGAGCTCGTCGCCAAGATCCTGCGGCCCTTCTTCGGTCAGCTGAGTATCTTCGCCTTCGAGAGCACCTACGCCATGGGCCCCGTGGACGAGGACGGCGCGCTCGTCGGGCTTCTGCGCGACCTCTTTGACGAGCGGAGCATCGTCAAGGCTTTGTAGGGCAAGCCGAGTAGGGCCGAGAGGGAGAAGGCCAGGAGAACACTGAGTCTGAGAGCTCGGAGCACGTGGGTGTAAAATTAGATGTTTAGAATAGACTTTGCTCGGCGAGCATGGGAAAATTATCGAAGACTATTTTTACCATTTGACTGCTTGGAGCACTACAGGAGTTTCTTGAACGAGTGCTCGTCTGTCATTGATTGCTCTTTTTGTGTCGTAATACACATGGCGATATGCAGAAAACCATGCAGCCAGCTGAGTTCCCTCAGCCAACAACATCATTGACACAAACGCCGCAGCGAGCAGAGACCATAGCCCACTCTGGTGAACATAATTCCCAGCATTGTTTGGGTTATGCTGGCTGCCTGTGGTACCACCCTGACCTGTCCTGTCCGCAAGGCCATCTCTAACAAGTGCCGTGCTCACACTCCTTTCCATTATCGAAACTAACGATGCGAAGCCAAGCTAATCTTCTGATATAGTTGTATGCGGTCGAGTTTCCACGGTCATGCGCCGCTCCCCCACCGTACACCTCGATATCCAACCTTCCATCGTCCCACCCACGAATTGTCGTAGCGTTATGGAGGACTCCATAACAGTTCCTGCTCCACAGGTCACGGGCGTCGCCGAGTGCAGAACAGGGCGGTATGTCCCTGGCGTTTGGACATTCGCACTTATTGCCAAAGTTTCTCTTAGCGGCCGCCTTCGGAAGGTCTCCGATGCACTCGCTAGTCAAGGCTTTGGAGCATGCTCCATCGTCGGAACGCAGTTTTGCGGCTACTCGACCCCGTCTGGCTGCCAGCCAAACACGTAACTGTGCCAGTCTTCGTGGATAGGAGATGACCAATAAGGGGACAGCAGCGACAAAGGGGCGTCAAAGCCACTTTCCCTCCAGTGTAGAACTTGTTGCCGTAGTCGGCGGCCAGAGTGGTCGAGTTCGCGAGTGGAAAGTCAGACACCACATCGATAGACCAGCACCATCCCGCGACAAGGCATGTGACAGAGTAAGGTTTTGAGATGTTGGGCCTGGCGAAAGGGAATTCGCTTGTCTTGTTGAGCTTGTTGAGGAGGGTATCATATCTAGGTTCATTCCAAGGAATTTTTGTCGTTTATAGCCTGAAACGTCGAGAGGGATCCCTCATCTACCGCTGTTGCTAGACTGGCCCGAACTAATATAAAGAGGGACCACTCGTACAATCGCAGACTTGAATGTATGCCTGAGCAATTTTGATGGTGCTACGGGAAGTATATAACGGATATTTATATCCAAAGGCTTGTTAAGTAGCCTAATAGGACACGAAGAAGGGTCTAGAATTTATAAGAGGGGAAAAAAGCAATAAAGCACATTGCTAAATTTAGATATTATATTAGTGTGAGCATAAATTAAGTTTATTTTCATGATCGACGCCATTCCTCCTCGGTCCGACGTGTCTTGTTCATGGTACGGCGCTCCACAACAACAAGTCCTAGATTGTCAGATGGAATAGGATCCCCAGGCGCAACAGGTATGAATGTTGCATTGTCAATGCTGGCCATTCCGGCGCAACGGCGCTTATCCGTACCACAGTAGCACTTTTGATAGCCCTGCAAGTCACAGATGATCAATCTGGCAACATACGTTTTGCTAGTCACTGTCAGCCATAGCCGCTGACACCTGTGCATTTAAGACATAACATTCCAGCATTAGTGCCGTATAAAGTGTTTATAAAACATATACATCGATGTTTAATAAATATAAAAGATTAAAAGTTTTAATAATTATAAATTAACATTTATTTAAAATAAAACTATTTTATTTTATATTTAATATTATATTTACGATAATTATATAAATTTATTAACGTGATTTATTATATCGTGTTTATAAGTAATATATACTTATTAATAGCTTGGTAGAAAATTTTGCACCTGGCAAACTAAAACTTGTAGCTGGCCGGACAGATCCTCCGCTAGCACGTAGTAGGGGCTTAACGAATCTTGTCGTTTCAAGGTTGTCCGCAGCGGTGGCCCCGGTCGCTATTCTCTCATTATATTCTCTGCATACCCACATTCGCGAAGCCTCGCTCCTATCCCGCCGTGACCGCCGCCATCATGAACAGACTGCCGCAAGAAATCATAGACCAAGTCGTCTCTTTCTTGCCGGGGGGGGCCAGATGTCGGGTGCACACCTGAGAAGCAGCCTTCCAGGGCGTCGTACGCGTGTATTTCCAACAAATTCCGCCATGCCGTCGAGTGCGGAAGTTTCAGAAGCCTCCGCATCAACAGTGGCGAGCTCCAAGACTTTGTGCTGAAATTCCCACCTCGCGGTCGACCCTTTCTACGAGAACTGTTCTTCAGCGTCGAGCTATATCAGGTCGACGCAGCCTTGGCCAAGCGCTTCGAGCGACCCGCAGAGACTGCGGCGGCAAGCAAGCAGTTCAGCCTCCAGATCAAGGAACTGTTTAGCGCTATCCACAAGCCAGATGGCATCGTGGGCCTGCGGCTATATATCTCTAATGTCACTCAAACCACGGCTAGCGCAGAGGACGAGTCCGGTAATGGATACGGCATCGACCTTGGGCACTACAGAGACTTGCGCTCACGCCTGACCCTACTTGATCCAGCAGCGCTGCCTCACCTCGATTGTGTGTCACATCTCACCTTCTCGAATTGGCAGCGCAAGCCTAGCCCTGCTGTCTATCTCGAGATAGCCGCTCGTTTGGCCGGACTTGAGAAGTTAGATCTTGTTCTCGATAGCTTCGAGATGCGGTATCCGGGACGCCTAAGAGACGACCGCAAAAGCCTGGCTCTTGCTCTTGAAACAAGATCGGAAGAAACTCAAACAACTTCTCATGCCATGCTGGACATGAGCCTTGATAGAGGCGCAATTATCCAGACACTACCTATGCCCAACCTCAGATATCCCTTGGAATATGATGTGCTCAGCTCGTCGCTGCGCACCTGGTCCCAACGACTGATCAGCTTCAGCGTCCGAGGTGTTGTCGACGAATCGCTATTCTGGCCCCATGCGCAGGACAACGTAGCCGCTGCTCCTCCAGAGTGGCGGCGAATGGAGTTCTTTGACGTGCAGCTCGAACGACACACTCCTTCCGGATGGTGGTACTTCATGCCAAAGGGCGAATCCCGGTACGGTGCTCCTCCACGCAACCCAGCGGAGGACCTGGAGGATCAGCCGCCCGAGTTCGCCGATGAGCCTCAGGACGGGGTCGATCCGTTCGACCAGGAAACTGAGGACCACTGGGACATGCACAGAAGGACCGATGGTGACGAGGACCATCGCATCCGCAACGTCCCCAACGAGGACACCATGCAGCCTCTGCTTGAGGCCTGGGCGAAGGCCTTGGCACGCATGCCCTTGCTTCGGCGGGCCAAGATCAGCTTCGAGGTGGAGATTCCCAACAGTGAGACACAGGATGAGGAAGATGTGAACATGGAGGACTGGGAGATTATCTACGAAGCGCCAGATCTGCAGGGTGCCAAATGGGAGAAACACTTGGAAGCGAGTGAGCGAGCCAGCAGACGTTTGATTTTCCACAACACGTGCGGTTGGCGGCCGGCTCAGCGCACAATGCATCTGTTGCAGCAGGTTGGTCTAGGAAGTCACCCGGGAACTGAAATGGCCATCTTGACGGTAAATGAGTGGAATAGAATTCTGCGATAAGTGGAGCCAGTTTATATACATCTAGCCTGCTACATTGCTCGCCGTCTCTTGTAACGGTGTTTGTTTTCATGGGTTGTGGGCTAAGTACTTGGAACAGATAACCGCCGGCAAAGACCGAGTGTTGTATGTTCTCGATTCTCGATTTGAGCCTCCTCAAGATTTTAGTGACCTGTGGATTCAGTGTGTTGCTCTTTCCCAACTCGGGTTTATCAATATGCAAGACTAACGAAAAGACCGGCGTTTTCGTTGAGAAAATTGGTTGTGAGAATTCAATATTCTCTTCACCAGTATTCTGTTAGAAAGCTGGCAATTTGTAGCCGTGCAGACGTGCAGCCGTTTATGATATTGTAGATGGGCGTATGGTGAGACCCAGGAGCAAACCAGTGTTCCAGAGTCTCAAGAACGCATTGGTTGTTTCGACCGGTATCTTTGAGTCTTGAGAAAGGCAAGCTGCAATGACCTAAAGGTGCCAGGCGAAGTTTGAATCGCTTACAACGATGCGAACAGTGGGAAGCTTGCTGGCGAATTCTCGCCCGCTACGTCTGGCTAAAGCAGGTGATTCTGTACGTGGATTTATTTTGCTAAATACACAAAAATGGTTCAATTCAAATCTTGTCGTGTTTATGACCTTTTGAAACTTCATGATCCACGCCTAATCCTGATTAGAGTGTACATTGCTGTTTCAATACTGAAGGAAGCCAGCTACGAACTGACATGACAAACGGTGGACCCGTTCCGAATATAATATTGGAAAGGAAACGAATTCTTTTGGACTATAGGTTGAAAATCTCCATACCCAAAATTGTGCCTTGTCGCCTTTGTAGATATATGGACACGAATCCTCCTGGGGATTTTTGTTTTTTGTTGGATTGTGTGCATATTTTGGGGCGTTCTATTGCAGTCCGATCCGATTTCTTATTTTCTATACCACATTATTTGGCAGTACCCCAGACTGAACCATCCCACTATTCCCAACCCCAACTCCGTATTCCAACCTATACTACCCGGAGACCCCCAGGCCGCCCAACGGCGCCCCTGGCCGAGCCAACGCACCCAGGCTTTCGAGCCTCCCCCACACGACCCTCGCCACGACGCTATCAAACGCCTCGCGCTCGATGACGGCCCCGAAGTGCAGGCACTTGACAACGCCGGCGAACTCGCGCGTCAGCGCCGCCAGCACGGCCGGGTCCAGGGCCAGGTCGGGCCCGTAGAGGCGCACCACCTCGAACCAGGCCTGGACGGGCGTCAGCTCGCGGTCGGGCGGGTTCAGCGCCGCGGCGAGCCCGTAGAGCCCGTCGAGCGTCAGGCCCCCGGCGCGCCACTCGATGCCGTGCATGTGCGGCTGAGCATGCGGGTGGCTCTTGAGCGCGGCTTTGGTCTCGTTGATGCGCGTGAAGACGGTCGGGGGTGCGTGCTGCAGCGCCATCGAGGTCGCCATCAGTGTGTGCCCATTTGCGGCGGCCTCTGGGTCGTATGATTCGTGCGTGTAGCAAGAGTGGTCGAAATGGCTCCAGCAGATGTGCTCGAGGCTGCAGTAGGTTTAGTCGTCAGTATATAGACCAAATAGCCTAAATGTTGATAAAGAGACAGTAACCCCCGAGGACACATGGAGAGTATCTGATTTAGACTATAAATCATCACGTACGCAAGGATGAAGTTAATGACCAGCGCTGTCTGTTCTTGTGTCAATCCGCCAGCCAGTGTCCGCATCGCGTCCTGAGTTGTTACAGTCGCCGCTGTTGTTCGGGTGGACTCGACCCCTAAAATACTTCCAGTGGTGGGTAACTCCGCTCCAGCAGCTTGGCTCGTCGCATTCGAGACTTTGTATGCTGGTGTCTGTAGCACATCACTCATTTCCATGCTGACCATATACTCCGGTTCCCACATAACGCTATTCTGTTCTTTGTCAATTGTCGGCGGTAGTGCGTCAACTACACCCAGCATGCTTGTGGTCATATCCAAGTTCCAGTCAATATCAAAGTCAAAATCGAAGTTTCCCACTGCCGGCACTTCTACAGCGGTCTTCACGGATGCCGATCTTGGAGATGATGCCGCTGATAGGCTGACCGCTCCCGATGCAACGGCCTTTCTCGACAGACGCTTTCTGATAGCGTCATTCTCGGTCCTGAGGGCCCGGCTCTCGGTCTCGGTCTGGTCGATCTGTTCGCGCAGGCGTGCAATGTCCATCTCGAGTTCCTTAGTGTAGTTGGCTTTGCGCTGCCGATGCTGCAGCTGTGCCTTGCGGACCTGGGCGCGGCGGTGCGCCTTGGCTCTCGCCGCGGCGTCGTCTGCCTGTTTCTGCTCTTGCGTAGCTGCTGCAGAGGCGTCTTCACTACTGCTGGTACCTAAGTTTGGGGTAGGAAAACAGCGTTAGCTGGAGCGTGAGAACCACGACATGTGTATAAGTCAAGGAAAGGAATATGTTCCAAGGCTTTGACACCTCAGTCTCACACGTTGAGGAGGGTCAGCAAATCAATGAAGAAAGAGGATGGCTCATAAATGGAAATAATGTAACACGGACGCTGATAGACTGGGGCATCGTGTGACCGGTTCGTTATGACACTTGCCAATGCCCCGGCAAATGGCCGAACTCTTGGATCCCGAGCAAACGAGCACCCCTGTGTGTTCGTATACTCCATCCGACTCGCACATCCCCGAGTCGGGCAACTCATGACCGTGCTTTGTATCCTCATCTAGACGGAAAGGGGAAAGAAGCATCTAACCCATTCGGACCCGGCATCTTTCCTCACTCCCTGGCCTGCATGTATAGGATAACAGGGGTATAGCACAGTGCAACGCTCTCTCACTCCAAGGCAGGTGTTCACTGTAGGAACCAACAAGACAAGACAGGATAGCATGACACAATGTGAATCACAAGCGTACCTGCGCCCACGCCGACGCTGGGCAGAAACGTAACATTGCCCCGCGCGCGATGCGTCTCCTTGCTGCGCTTCCAGAACTCCTCAAAGGAAGGGCGCTCCTCGAAGCCAAAGTTGCTGGCGCCGCTGCCGCCCAGCCCGCCGTCGTCCTCGGCAGCCACCGCCGGTGCGGTGGCCATTGGGGCCGTGGTAAAGAGGGCTGCGGCTTGGCGTGCCCTAGATGGACGGGATGCAGCTAGGTGAGATTGGAGCAAATAGACTCTCTCGCGAGATGTGAACAGCTTTCTGCCGATGGCCGGCTGTTACTGTACCTGCGTGCCGGAGCACGGCGCATCCAAACGCAAATGGCGGAAGGAGTATACGGCACCTGGTTCAAGCTGGGCGTTACTGGATGGCTGGCCATAGATGGCGCGGGTCAGCCTTGGCGTCCTAAGTTAGTTTCTGGGCTCGTGTGTTGTGGTGGAAACAGTATGCACGATTTGGAATCTGTAGCGTGGTGTGTAATCAATTGGTTCGTTTTCGGGAAGGCGGTGGTTGTTTTGGAGTGGTAAGCAGCCAATCGCTGGATGATGCCAATCCTTCGCGGAAGTTGCCGCTCGGGTTAGAGTGTTGACGGCATGGGTGAACCAGCTTCGCGACTAGTCAAAACTCGAGAGTATTGTGTTCAGCAGCATGGGCGGCGGTGGCACTATGTGTTCCCTATAATGGAGTATAGACGCCAAGACGGGGGCATGGCCGAAAAGAGGATAGAGGGATGTGCTGAAAACCATGATCGTATATAGCTATAGCAAAGTGTATATCTGTATACTATCGACAAGATGACCCATTCTGTCCGGAACGCCATACACTATGCCTCAAATGCGGTATCAATTGCTTTTCCTTTGGTTCCGGGCCTCTTGAGAACCGCCCTGCCTTGACGCCTGTGAAAATGCAAAGCCATGATCTCGTACTAATCATCCAGACCAACCTCGTCGTCTGTTGCGGTATCCTCTTCGACGTCTTCCTCGTTGACGACTTCTTCTTCATCTTCGCTGTCGTCTGAGTCATCGGGGTTCAAGCCCGGGATGCTCTTCCATTGCAAGTAGTCTGGCTCAACCCAGTGCTTGCTCGTTGGGAGCTGATAGGGATCGAACGGGAAGAAGGAGTCTAGCTGCTGCCAGCTCTCGTCACTGAGGTCTAACCCAGACTCACGAAGAGCTCCGCCGTTCGCATATGCCGTTGAGACGAATTGGGATAGTCGTAGGCGCTTGTTGGCCTCGATAAGCGGGTAGACATACATGAATCGGAAGCGGTGGGCGAGTAAAGCAAACTGCTCAACGATAGCAGGCGAACACACCTTGAGAGGGTTCAGCTTCGAGTAGATGTTCCGCCGGAGGACATCTTTGACATCTGCCTCCCACTCTATGTCTTGGTCTAGATATGAGGAGGGGTCCTCTCTATCGACGTCGTCGGGGACAGAGTGCACCAGATCCTGCCACCGGAAGCAGAAGATGTACATCAAGGCCTGCGTCAATGAGTAAAAGGCCGAATACCGGCGTACGTCCGGGCCACGGCATGTGACTTCGTAGACGGTGCGCATTTGATCGAGATGGTGCCCAAGGACTGTAAAGATGGTGCGGACAACGTGGCCAGGGACCTGGGCCCCTCGGGCCACAAAGCTAGCCAAGTATGCACACGCAGCCTGCCGCAACACCAAAGGCCGCTGTGACTCGAAAGCAATGTTGATGCAGGTACCGCAAAAGGCATCGACCATGTATTCTGATTTCTGAGCGAAGTGGAAAATGAGGAACTGCGTGTGGCGAGATTTGTAGGTAGGCAGGATTATGTGGGAGAACTCATTGATGAGCTCCACGAAAGCCTCGTGGGCCTGGTCGGATTCGGGGTCCGAGAATAACGGGCTGTTGACGGCGAAGAGGGAGTCCATGATGGCGTCCATCTTCTCGATGTTATCCTTGACAGCCTTGACTTTGGCGAACTCGTCCTCTTCCTCCTCGTCGCTGGCCGTCGACTCTATGTCACTCTCGTCGTCATCGTCGCCCTGCAGTGCAGCTGCCGCTTGGGAGTTCTGGAGGGCCAGAGCGACCATGGCTCCCATGTCATCGTCCAAGTCGTCCAGATCCGTCTGCATCTGAACATCAATCTGCAGCAGTCGGTTCACAATAAGATCCATAATATCAGTTCGGAGCTTTGTGGCATATTGGCGGAGTCTGAGGAGGTTATCGACATAGGCCAGATGTGTCCGTGTGGATTCATCATGAAACGGGAACTTCTTGGTAATGACGGACCCGAGGACGGCGTTGGCGGCAGGGAAGACCTGAAGCAGATACTGCAAGGCCAAATGCATACGCTCTTGCATGCGCTCTTTGGTGACAGGAGGGAAGCCGGGTACCGCCCAGGCACTGGGCCGAGATTCCACAAAGTTGTCCACCAGCGACAACGTCACCTGTTCCAAGTAGGACCCCTGGGCGCTGACCAGGGCGGCCAGGAACTGGGTATAGACCTTGGCAAACTGGTCATCGCGTCCGAGCCACTGGCACTGCAGCACGCTCTTGACGAGGCCGCTCGCGGACCTGCCGAGATGCGGCACGAAGCTGGCGAGTGCGACCATGTAGACCTTGAGTTCCTGGCGCCGCTTCTCTGGCAGGGTCAGGTCGGCGTCCTCGTCATCGTCCTCGTCGTAGAAGTGCTGCTTGCCCGAGAGGGTCTCCTTGAGGATGTCGTACTCCTCATCGTCGCCGCGGGCGTGGCCGTCGAGGGCGTCGGCGATCTCCTTCTTGACCTCGTCGACGGAGCGGGTGCCGACCTCGTGGATCTCGAGGTTCATGTCGAACTCGACCCTCTGGCGTTTGCGGGGGCTCTGGGACCCGTCCATGCTTCCGTCGGTGGGCAGAGTCTCATGGTCGGGGGCTTTCCGCTTGCCGAGGGCGGGCGAGGACTTGAGGATGGGCTTGAGCGGGGCCTGGGCGAGCTTGGCGGCGTGTCTCGACAGCGGCGCGACCGTGGACGTGGTTGTTGCTGTGGCGGCGGGCATCTGGGCAGGCATCGAGGTCGTGCCGTCGTGTCACGTCTCGTCAAACGTCACGTCACAGCCTCGGGGGGAGGGGCCTGGCCAGGAATGTGGGATCACGAGCAGTCGCTGCGGAAGGGGAAACAGCGGTCTTCTATCGTATGCTCTCTCCGGTATGCAGGAAATGAGTGTAGGGAGCGGTGGCACATCGCTGGCGGAGGCGGAGGCTGAGGAATGCAGTTCTGTGTTGCGCTGTGCTCGTGTAGCCGAAACGCCTCTGCTCTGCTAGGTCTGCTCTGTGGTTGATTCTGGGTGCAAGTTGCGAGACCCCAAATTTCGAGGGCGGTTCCCAAAAATTTGAATTTCGATAAGCACCACCACCAAAACCAACCGAAACCCAACCCAGCCCGCCGGCCGGGCCAGGCGCCATCGAGTTTTAAGAGGGTCCCGCGGGGCAGATGTGGCACGTGCGCTCGCGTGTAGGAGTCGTCCAGCGCGGGCAATCCCTGTATCTTACGGGCTTCTACGGGCTACGACGGGCTACTCCGCGACCAACGTCGAAAATGGCACACGACACACACACCGGGTCGTTCTCGTCCAGACCAGACCAGTCGTGGCATGACCGCAGAGACAGGTACTGCTCGATGTCAGACGTGTTAACGTCCCCTACGGCCAGTTCCACATCTCTATCAGACAGTCATTCCTTTGTCTACTTCCCGCAAATAGTTGTTTGACACCCGTTTCCCGCACAGTAATCAAAGTATACCCTTGACGTCACTCACCGTCTCTGGTTGCACACAACCCATCCCGGCAAATTCTCCGACGTTTGGCGCACGGGTTATGTTACAATCTTGACATTGGCAAGCTTACGTATATACTGTCCTCAGTCCTCAGCATTATAGCGCATGCTGGCGGCCAAATGAATCATTGGGCAAAGCGTACTCACACCAACCGTAGTTCACCATAGCCAGTCGCCACCAGGCACACAAGACAGGCTAGACGCCGCGCACTACAATTTGATACCGAGAGTATATAGCTAGGGTAAATATGGCTTGGGCGCAAAGGGCCGTGATCCTTGGCCACAAGCCGAGAAGATGACTGTCGAACTGAAGCTATGTTGCTGAGCCCTGGGATACGCTCCCAGGCAGAGCCTCAAAACCGAAAAAGGGGGGGAAACGCCCAAGGGGAATCTATGAAGAGCAAACAACCAAATAAGTCCTGACTTTTGCGCAATCCCTCTCCCGCCACCAGCCATGCCGTCCACGTCTCCCAAATCATTTGTACAAGTGCCAGATACCGCTCTCATTGACGGCTACAAGGGAGAACCCCCTCCGCATTGGCCCAGGTGCACCCAGGCCCACGCAGTCTCATACTTATACACGCTCAGAGCAGTATAGATGGCTGACAGAGGCCAGCCATCCACGGTATAGATGTAGAGCACCCCCGAAACCGCTCTTGATGCCTCATGCCGCCAGACGCAAACGGACGCTGCGCCAGGGACTTAGTAGGTCTCACCGGCCGCACCGTTGTGGCCTTGGCCGTACATGTAGCCCTCCCCGCCTTCGACCGACTCGCCGCCTTGGAAGCCTGAGCCGCCGGCGTTGGTCCCGCCGGGTGCACTTGCCCCGTAGCCTTGGCTACTTGGCCTGTTCTGTTGGTTTTCGCCTCTGTTGGACTGAGACTGCTGGGAAACGGTCAGCCATCTGCGTCGGGACAGGAGGAGTCGGGTGCCCGAGGGGGACACGGGGCATATATTACCTCTCGGTATTTTGACAGGTAGATCTTCAGAGCCTCTGCGTAGTTCTCGAACCCGAGAGAGGTCATGGCGAACAGGATATCTTCGCCGTTCACCGTCTTCCTCTTCTCCTGGTGGCACTTTTCCGAGGCTATCATGCAAGTCAGTCAGATGATGGCATGTTGACGAGCGTGCTTGCACGTGTCCCGTACGGGGGAATAACCACTCACCCTCGCTCGTGATGAAGCTGATGAACTCGCTCACGCATTCCTGCATGCACTCCTTGGCCTCCTTCGCAATCTTGGCATTCTCGGGGAGAGCCATCTTCATGATGCGGGCGACTGGTGCAAAGTTGCGAATGTTAGCATCGTAACAATCATACTTGTCCGCTTTGGAGGAAGCGCGCGGCGCTTTGGGCGACTGAGGCGGCGAATCGTTCGACATGGACGAGTTGCTCATGCGCGGCAGTCTCCAGCGCCTGAACCAATTGCGCGAGAATGCTCAGAAGCGATGCCAGTCAACGCTCACAACAGCTCACACCCACAGCTCTCATCAAGGGACCCCGTTCGTTGCTTTGCGGCAGAGCAGAACCACCCCCCATAGCAGCCGGCGCGCACAAACCAAGAATGGGCAGTGGGCAGAAGAGGCAGAGGGATCTCACTTACCATTGGCTATAGGCAACCACCTGTCCTGCTCCTTGACTTCGAACTCATAGCCGAGGCCGCTGGCGTGTGGGTCCTGAGGATCGTTCATTTGTGCTTCATCGCCGTCGGGTGACTGTACACCTGGCTCGACGTCCTTCGAAGGGGATTGGGGGGGATCCGACATATTTGGCTACCTGCAGCGGGCAGGAGCTTCTTTTCAATTTTCTTGGACTGCCAGCTCGCACAGCTGGTTACTAGGTTCAAACTGGGTTGAGGTGATGTGTCCCTGCCTCTGACACGTCGCAGGCAGGTAGGGCTTGCCACTGCGCGCGGCTTAGCTGCAGAAGGATATTCTGAGCGTCAAGGGTCTCCTGCCAGATGCGGATCCCTGAACTACGACTATTACTGCGTTGAGAGATAGTCTCGTGGGCGTGACCTCACAGTCCGACGGCAGCCCTGTTGCGAGCGTGGGTTTATGACGGTATGTTTGGGGATATGCAGAGTCGGTCTGCAGAGCCCTGGTCGCTTTTTTCCCCCGGCTGAGCCTTGGGCCTTGGCTTTAGGTAGTGAAGCGGTCGGCCGTGGTAGTGGTTGACGGGGACGGAACACAGAACGTGGATGGGTTGGATGTCCGCGTGGGAAGCGGGGGTGAATGTAGGTACGGGTACGTGAGAGGTCTGCTGCGGGCCTCCCAGGTGGTCCTCTGAAGGCGATAAACTCCTGCTAGTGCGGATGCGCGGTACGATCGCCTGGCTGCAGTTGAGAGCAGAGAGCACCAGGTAACAAGGTACCTCTCAAGTCAACAGGCACTAGTTGGATTGGCTTGCCCGGGTGCAAGTTGCTTCGGAAGCGCGCTGCTGGGCCCGTCCGGTGCGTATACGAGTATCTAGTATCGCGCGCGCGTCTGGGGGAGAAACTGGCCGGGCGCGGGTGTGCTCCGTTACACCGGCGAAATACTTGCCTTCGTTGTGCGCGAGTACGCACGCGCGCGAGGCACTGGAGGCGTATTTCCTGGAAAAGCAAGGCCACACACTCGGTGCTGGGTAGCTGCACGTTGCTCGGCTGCACCGTCGCGTCAGAACCTACGGATCGTGCGTCTGCCTTTTTGGTCGCGGCCTGGCAAGGTCGTCGAGGCGTGCGCTCGGGGCGGAGAAGCGATTGGGCTTACTTTGTTGGGTTTGGGCCGTCCTCAAATGGAGGGTCTGCGTTGTTCTCGTCGGACTTTGCAATGCGCGTCGTTTGGATGCAGGGCCGCGCGGGCGCAGGACGGTTCAAGCGTTGTGTGGTGAGGTCGGGTTGGGTCGCAAAACAGCAGCGGGCTGGGCTGCAGGCGATGGCTGGCTGACGTCTGGAGGCGCGTCCACTGTCCAGTGCTATGGGGGTACACCGGGCGGGATGCGCAGCGCACTTAGCGGACGGCGTAGTTCCCTACTTTACGGTACGTGGGGTAGGTTGCGTAGAGCGGGCGAGGGGGATCAAGCAAGCAATCAATTCAATCCAGACCAAGCGCGCGATACGATGTGGTTTGTAGATGAAAGTGGGAATATTTGGGACGATTTGATTGACGAGACTTTTGCGGTCAACGATCCCTAGTAAAAGCTAGTCCGGGGTCTGAGAGCCTGTTACGTGGGTGTGCGAGTGTGTGTGCCACCGAAAGTGACCCAAGACAGAGAGAGAGTATTGGATCCGATGATGGAGCCAATGATTAATGCGCGGAGCAAAGAAGTAGTCAATGTTGAGGAACAAACTGCAACAAGTAATCAGAGTGTTTTGAGATATGTAAGTTACTGGGTAGATGCCTGGATTAGACACTGAATAACAAAGCCTCGCGACGCTCGCCGAGGCCTTGGTTGGCAGGACAGCTGTTGCTGTAGTCCAATGCCATGAAGCTCTGAATCTCTGGACCTCCCTCTAGCCGCCCGCCCAGCTGCCCAGGTTCCGCGCCAATGACAGGGTTTGAGAAGCGGGATTTCTATCGATAAACATAGCGGGAACTCCCCTCATCCCTTGACGTCGGAGCTCCCTGAGTTGGACGCAACCAGCACCGTGGACACATCTGGCTACCAAGCAGCCAAGTTGCCCGCTCCCCATTTCCTTGATAGCGCCAAATACACGGCCACCAGTTTGGTACTGCGTAATGGACCCCGAAATGGTAAGCTTCGGTGATGTCAGGTCCCATCCTTTACATAGCACTACATAGTATACCATCACTTCGTAGTAGCCATCCGTGATCCTTTGTTCAATGGGTTTTGCAGTGTGGCATGACGCCCCCCTTGCCGGCAAGATCACAGTTGACCGCCGAATGGGCATGAACCCATCCACTTTCCGCAAGTACTCATTTGTTTTCGTTCGTCCTGATGTGCATCCCGGCTCATCCGACCGATCCATGGTGGCGTGCCAGGACTTGGATTACCGATTCGTATCAGCCCGGGGATACATTTGGTCGGCGAATACACCAGCACCAAGCGGTGAAGAACTCCCAAGCACACCATCTATGTACCTCGAATCTGACATACATCTTTATCCCTCTCGTTTCGGAGTCAATTTTCTTCCATGTGTGTGTTTCGGTCCCGCGTAGTCTCCTTACATTCGACCGCCCTAGGCTCTGCAACCATCCAAGTGGTGGGCAACGTCCCTTGTGTGATTCGGCAATGCCAACCAGCATAAACAAATCGTCTTGAGATGCAGCTGCCCTGGCAGGCACAGGAAGGCTGACAGCAGCCTCAAGGGGTGTGACTGGCTGTAAATGACCGTCGCCTAAACCTTGATCGAGTCTGCGATTGAAGCGACTGGCTCAGAGTTCGTCTGCAGTGAGATTAAGCATGCTCGTCATTCCAACGGGCGTTTTCCCATAAGGCTGGCGCTACAGCAATGCGAGCGAAAAATGACAAGAGACAGCCAATCGTAGGAAATACCAGAGAGTCGACGATGTGATTGGCAGTAAATGAGAAATTCCCTCGACGTCTCGGCAGTATTCCAAAATGCGGAGAAATTACAGTGGTCCGAGAAACCCAGCGAGCCCCTCCGTACGATCCCATCGGCATTGCCTGTTCTGCTCGTGGACCAGCATGAACGTATTACCCTGTTCCGTAGTACACTGTGCTTCGCACCCCGGAACACCTCGTGAGGGATGCAGGAGAGGGGACAGACCCTGGGGCGTGGAGCAAGGTATGCAGGGTGTATGCGGCCCAACTGCGTCCCATGAACTACTACACGCCGCCGCCAAATGGTCGGGAGTGAGCATCGATTTGACGACGATCTCATTCGCTCTTTGCTCTTCTTACGATCTTTCATTTCAAGCCAATAGCGATGTAACAAGACCTACATTCAGACAGTGTCCAACTGTTCTGATGATTCCCGTGACAATTGTACAGACCAGTCAGGTGATAACTGCGCAAGGGGAAATAGCTGTAGCGCCCACACCTCACATCCATTGGGCACATCTGCATACGGGTTCGAAGCACCTAGGTTCCGTCGCGGATGTACCTCGCCCAAGTACACTACTCATCTGGACGAACACCATCGCAAAGTGCTCCCTGGTGGCCAGGCTTTGCAAAGTAGACCCCCACCTATGACGAGCTGCCTCAAGCACAGCCGGATTTCGATGCCGTGTAAGCTAGTGCTACACCCTTCAGAGTGTGCTTATGCACGTCTTCGCTGTATAATGTCAGGCCTTGCTCTGGTACATCAACTTTTCGGCCATCGGAAGGACAGTTGTCAAACGATGGGTTACACGAATCATAAGCCCCTTAGCCACATCATGCGTCTATTGGAATCCGGAAATATACCCCGGTGGCCGCAGTCGTAAAACCATCTACCGACAGACAGACCTGACGTGGAGGCAAGACACTTTGAAGTGGATGCTTTTCAAGATGCAGTCCACTTGCACCGGCTGTGGATCTAGAACATTATATTGTCTTCAAAGTGTAATCTTTTGGACAGGGGCAGCCAGGTCAGTCACACTCGGCCTTGGTCGACGTCACAGTCGCGCCCCAGAGTGACGGTGCGTCCAGATAGCCTCGAACGACTTCCAGCCGTTAGGCATTGGGAGCCAGCCAGGACTAGTATGGCTGCAACGCCTCGTTGGACAACTCATCAACACCACCACCACAACCATCACGTTTTCCTATTGCGATAATAATTCCCACATCTGACTTTGGACACCCGTTCGCGCAACTGTACAGCAGCCAACAAGGATCTCGATCGAAAGACCGGAGCTTCCGATCCACGATGGGCGCAGCTCACAGTCACGATTAGGCTCGTAAGCCTCAAGCCGTCCTGAACCGAGGATCCCGAAAGACACGAGAACGTGTGTCCTTCGAGATAGCCACGTAGATCCCGTATGCGACTTCAACCCATGATCCTCAGGGATACTCCAATGTCACCACCTGCAAGGGACATCAAGGTTCCTGCTCATGACTGCACAATCTGAACATTGTTCTTCTTCTGCAGAACGGAAGACGTTAGCTCCAAATATTTCTCTTGATTGCTTCTTGCGAGGTGACGATGTCTGCCACCGCGCAACACCCCAAGAAACACGAACTCGATATGACGTACCTTCCACTTCTCCAGATCATCCTGCTTGGTCTTGTACTGCTTGACCAGCTCGTCGAGAACCTGCTTCAGGCCCTCGGCGTTCGTCTTGAGCGCGGGCACCACATCCTCGACGGTTCTCTCGACCAGGACACCGTTGATCATGCGGAAGCACTTGCGGTCTCCTGGGAGCGGGCCGAGCGTCTCCAGGACAAGCCTAGTAGTAGAAAGTATAATCAGCCATGAATCCTCCCGGATAGGCGGTGAGTGCGGTCAAGATGGATTCCAGGCTGGGTCAAGAGGGGCGGCAGTGAGTGAGTATATGAAGGTCCCGACGAAGCGGTGAGCCTATCCGTTGGTAGGATACCCTAGGGAGGGACCCCTGACACGCCTTCGTGCGAACGTCCATGCCGAAGGAGAAGAAACGCGCGGGGGTGAATCGATAACCACGAAATGTGGCAGACGGAACGTACTTGTGCTCCTCAGCCTCCTGTTCGACGTCTCCTATCTTTTGCGCCAGCTGCTGCAGGGCGTTCTTGTAATTGCCATACTGAGTTTGCAGCTCTGAGGGGAACGGGTCAGCACAGGGCTCGCAAGACTGGCTGGGGTCACTCACGCTGCTGCTGCTTCGCAGAAGGGCCGTTGGATGCCATGGTCAGAAAGGAGCGGGGGCAGCCTGAATTATGAAGTCGCAAGAATCTCTGATATGAAAGCACGGTCTCTCACATGAGATCCCACCTTTGAGAGTAGAATTCGCACCCATTGGATTGCATTGGATTGGATTGGACCGCAGCCGGCGGGCAGTGTGGGGGGAGCCAGCGGGCGCGGCGAAAGTGGCCCATGCTCTGCTATGCCGCCGGCGACCGAGCCCAGAATCGCGACTAAGAAATCTTCCCATTGTCGCGCCATCAAGACGTCTCTCTTTCTGACGTACGAGGCATCCTGAGCCCATCCTCCCTCTGTGTGTGGCACTGTAAACGGCGATCAAGATGCATCCACACTTGCACACCAAAGATAACATCGGTAATTGGCCCCTCTGATCTGGTTCTGCAATGAACCTGCGCCGAGACCCTTGAGAGAGCCTGCGACTAACACGAGCCAACCCGCCAGCTTGCGAGGAGGTCATGACCGCCCTCGAGGAGTGCCACGCCCGTGGCTTTCTCTGGAAGTCGCTGGGCATGTGCAGCAACATCAAGCACGACGTCAACATGTGCCTGCGAGCCGAGAGACTAAAGCGCACGGCCGCGAATCGCGAGATCGCCAAAGCCAAGAGAGAAAAGATCCAGAGGGCCTGGGCCGAGATTGACAAGAACTCGTGAGGTCCTCCCTCTCTGCGGGCGGAGCGGCGTGTACGATTTTGAATTGCATGGTTCGGCGTTGGGGCACGGCACCTGGAAGACCCGGTGTTGAGAAGGGTCGCATGCGGCGAGGGAACATCACGAAAAGGCATTGCGAGGGACTAGCATTTGATTTATAGCGGCCTGTACGGATATATATTCCACTCTCTTCGGCCAGCGCGATCTCTTTACCCTTCCGAAACTCGTCTGCTCCCTCTACAACGTCTTCCTGAACGCATCTCCGAACACGTACGCCCCGAACAGGGAGACCAAGCTCAGCACCAATGGGACAGGCTTGCGAAGGCGGATGGCGCGGGGAATGGAGGAACCGCCAAGAACAACCGATGCGAGGAGTGCGAGCTCGACTCCGTAGGGCTCGCGGTTCTGGAGGCGGTAGCCGCCCAGGCCATCTATCAGAGAGTATTTGTCAGCTGTGCGAGCGGTGATGCAGGGTGGCGGTCGAGGCCAGTAGAGACACATACATAGGAGACCAACCGTCCACCCAGCTGCGACCGAGGGGATGGAACCGGTCTTGAGGAAGCCAATCGTGCCGCCGGTTGCGGTGAGACCGCCCAGCACGTATGCGATGTTCTCGATACCCTGATCACGGGGTTAGCTGGTGCGCCGCGGCTCGCTCCCTGAAAAGAACCTGCCATATTGACGGAAATCTGCAAGATGTTCAGTTCTCGATATTTGGAGTGGTCGAAGTGAATAGTTCCTCAAAGCACTATGGATGCGCAAAGTATGAGGCAGCGTGGCAGCGTGGCAGCGTGGGATGCAAGGGCAGTCCAAGAACCCGAGGCTCGCTCTGCGGGCCCCGAAGCCTTTCGGAGCATCGCTGACCTCATGGGCGCTGTGGCTGGAGCTCTATGCTTGGCGCGACGGGCAGCAGCTTGCCCCAGCTGATCCAGCTCATGTTGTGTGCTCGAAGACCTTCAAAGACCCTCGATAATTCTAAAAATGTACTGCAACCTACCTGCGCAACTTGCAATAATCCTGGACGTCGTAAAGCTCAAACAAGAGAGCCTGTCAACCTCAATGGACAGTTGTACATGCCCACTCTTCTGCAGCACCTAGGTAGCCGGTAAGCCACCCGGCCGAGCAGCACTAGCCACACTTGTCGCATTGCGCGCGCCTGATTGGCCAGCGGTGATCGAGCTGCGTGTCCCTTTGCGCACCTCAACCTCTCATCCATGAATTGAAGGGTCCAGCTTCCAACCCGAGCCTACCCAAGCCACTCCTTTCTGTCTCGTAATCGCCGGTCCATCCTCGCCTCACCCCAACCCGACCCGACTCGACGCTTGAGCAAGCAGGCTGCGGCTCCGACCTCTCACAATGGCCAAGAAAGCGTCCAACACCCCGCCGGCCACCAGCACACCCGTCGCGGCCACATCGTCGTCCACAGCCGCCACGACCCCGGCCTCGACGGCTACTACCGTCAAGAAGACCAGTGCCAATGCCGTCCAGCGATGGGACCAGATCGCCCTCAACATCGTCGACTACTACCAGAAGAACACCCCGCAGCGGACCAAGTTGATCGACGTCTTCATGGCCTTCCTGGTCGTCGTGGGCGCCCTGCAGTTCCTGTACTGCATCCTAGCCGGAAACTACGTACGTCAATCTCATTTCGGGCGTCTGGGTTGAAGGATTGAAAAGATCCCTTGAACGAACCTGCAAGGGAAATGCTCAATGGGGAAATTGTCTGGAAAAGGTTTACACAGTCGCCGGGGATATTGGCTAATCAATGCGTTTACAGCCGTTCAATGCGTTCCTATCGGGCTTTGGGGCCACAGTCGGCCAGTTTGTTCTTACCGGTAAGTTGCCAGGTCTCGTCTCTTCTTTTCGTGGAGAGACTTGTCACGAAGGAGATCGACTGATGCATATTTGTGAAACAGCATCGCTCCGCATCCAGACCACCGAGGCCAACAAGTCCGACTTCCCTGCCGTCTCCCCGGAGAGGGCATTCGCAGATTACATTGTCGGCAGCCTGATCTTACACTTCTTCTGCGTCAACTTCATAAACTAGAGCGGACAGGAGAGATGGCATCGGGAGAATGCATGTGTTTTGAGTGTATATAAGCGAAGAATTGGACAGCAGTCCAGAACAGAACAGAACAAAGAGACGCTGCCTCTGGGAGACCAAAACGATCCTACCGGTGTTGCCATCGGTAGGTCCATATCGAGATCTGAGATCACGAAGGAGGGCAGGGCAGGACAAGGTTGGCAAGGCATGGCACGGCTGCAATGTACTTTTGTACCAGTACTAGGAATGGCATCATGAACACACACAAAGGCGAGATTGGCAGATGCTGTACTGATCTTAAACATGTCTCTTCGTGATATTGTCGCTATGTCGTCTCGGCTCCGTCCTGCACCCGTCATATACGCCGTTGGCTCATACTTCCCCCTCGAGGGCCTGCCAGCGCTTCCATACTCAATCCATCCATATTGATCTTACACTCGTCTATCAGGACAAGGAGCTCAGGCTCGAAACAAGCACCTAGTCCTCGTCACCGCTCCCTGTCTCTTTTTCGTCCGTATTCTCTGTTGCTTTTTCTTCCTCTGGCTTTGGACTGGCCCTCGGCGGCCCGCCCTTCGGAGGTGGTCCTGTGCCAGACTTGGGCGGCGGCGGCGGCGGTGTGGCCTTTGGTTTCGAAGACGTGCCATCCAGCTCCCTGCTCTTCTTTTCCTCCTCGGCAAAGTAGTCGTCCATCAGCCGGTTCGGACTGTGTCCCGCATGCCGATCTCGCCTACCACGCGCCGGTGCCCCTCTCGGCGGCCCGCTGACCGGTGACGAGGCTTCTACCATCTGCGCCGGAACCAAGAAATCCGACGACGGCGCCCCCGCCGGCGCAAACGAGCTGCCATCGCCGCTGCCGAACTGCGGCTCCGCAAATCCCCCGGCGCCGCCCGCGCTCGGCTCCCCGCCATCGAACAAGGTCTCCCCCGGTGCGCTCACGGGCTCCTCGAGCGGCGCGGGCAGGCGGTGCAGCGCGCCGTAGCCCAGGACGCAGCCAAGGGCGCCCTCGCCGCCCCACTCGCGGCTGGGCACGATCTCGACCTCGCGCGTGACGTTGTACTCGTTGTTGTAGACCCAGAGGCGCAGGGGGCGGCCGACAAAGTCCTCGACCAGCTCGCCCAGGCCGCCCTCGCCGTGCAGCACGCCATCGGGGGTGCCGAGGATGTAGTCGCTGTAGGGCAGCAGGCCGGCGGCGTCGGCGGGCGAGTTGGCGGCCACGTCCAGCACGTGCCAGATGTTGGCCACGGTCGCCAGCGCCGTGTACTGCAGCGACAGGCCCAGCGACGGGTTCTCGGCCGGCACGGGCAGGTGAAGCACCCGCGTCCGCTGGCCCTTGGCCGACCACAGGCCCAGGGCTACGGTGCCGCCGGCGCAGTTGCGGACTTCTTGGGCGAAGAGGCGGGGTTCGGGGTTGTCCTGTTGGTCGAGCGGTCAGCGATCCCACGGCGGTTTCAGGGTGGGACATAACAGGTGGGTGTCGGGAGCTCAAGGTGGACGCACGATTTCTCTTCCATTGATGCCGACGATGAAGTCGAACCAGGGCTCGATGCCGAGTTCTAGGTTGGTGTTGCGCAAGACCTGGAATCCGTAGCCGCCATGTTGGTCTCTGCGTTGCTGCTGGGGGTCGCCATCCAGTCGTGATATGAAGCGATTGAGGGCGTTGAACATGATCGCGACGCTCCGGTGCTTTTGCTGCTGACTCTCTGCACCCGTATACTTGCCAATAGACAGTGGACTGGTCAAGATGCTATGGTGGTCGTCGTCGTATGCGCGCGATGTCAATTCACTTCGAGCTCTTAAGTTACAGTACATTGGATAGCACCCATGTATACAGGCACAGCTGTCATCTCAGGCGGCTCAGCCTTGCCTCCCAGGTCCAAGCTCCACTCTACAGCTCTATCTTAGGTGGGTCCCCACAGACGCCACACGCTGGCGAGCACCGTCAGCCTCGTTCACTAGGAACTTTCATTCACGCCTGAGCTCCCCCCCAAGGTGAAAGTCAACCACGGTTGATTACAATGGTCTGCAGCCCAGCTACAGAGGGTCTTGACTGATTGAAAGGGGATGCAGTAATGGTCCGGTATGTGTCTGGGCCTTTTCTTCGTTCTCCAGACAAGTTCAGAATGAAGGCAGCCAAGAAACTGCCGTTGACAGATGAGTGCCACCACTGGCGCAAGATAGGCGAAGTTCCCTGGGATCTGCAAAAGTGAGTGAGACACTTCTTGCTGGAATGGAAGGACGATACTAACATCTTGCACAGATACTGGCAGCAACGCCACACGATATTCTCGTATTACAATGAGGGTGTCTACATGACCCATGATGCCTGGTACGGCGTAACGCCAGAGCCTGTCGCAAACCAGATCGCCTGGGAGCTGCCAAAGACGGTATCAGATGACAAGACGGTCATAATCGATCTATTTGCCGGCGTCGGGGCCAATGCTATCGCGTTCGCGCTCTCGGAAAGGTGGGAGAGGGTGATCGCCATCGAAAAGGACCCCTCGACACTGGCCTGCGCCCAGCACAACGCCGAGTTGTATGGCGTGTCCGAATACATTACCTGGATCAACGGCGATAACTTCGAATACATGAAGCTGCTAAACTCGTCTCCCTCAAGCCTAGAAGATGCGATCAAGGTCGACGTTGATAAGACAGTGCTTTTCGGTTCGCCGCCCTGGGGAGGACCCGGGTACTCTACGGATGAGATCTTTGACTTGAGTACCATGGAGCCATACAACCTAGCCACGATGCATGAAGCGTACCGCAGTATGGATCATGCGCTCTTCCTCCCGCGGACAAGTGACCTGAGACAAATTGCGCAGCTCGCGCCGAAAGGAACCAAAATTGAAGTTGTGCAGTACTGTGTTGAGGGAGCAAGCAAGGCCATGGTTGCTTATATCCCTGGGGCAATCCAACCTGGCGGACAAACGACGGCAGTCGATCCGAAAGAAACTGAAAACACCTAGGACCCAAGAACATAACGGAGTGGTATTAATTTATTAATTGATCGGTAGATCATGCTTGTTCTAGTCCATCTGAGTGCCGTCAATGATTGCGTCAAACCAACCAAAGGCGATGGAGTCAGACGACACCCTGTTGCATTATCCTCCCGAAACTGGGCCCGGAACTTGCACTCGAACTCAACTTGTCGGCGTCCTTCTCCTTGCTGTAATCTGAAAACACGTATGATGGATGGAGAACAAGAAGCCCTAGTACCGCCAATGATACCAGCAGCCCGTCGCAAAGTGCAAAAGCAGCCTCGCTATTATTGCCGCCGTCAAAGCTCCGCACAAAGCCTACAGTTCTGTATATATTCCGCGCGAGGAGGCTGCATACGCTAAACACAACCACCACCAAGAAGAGTATACATGGCCAGCCGAGTCGCCTGTAGCCTCCTCGACGGGGATTGAATGTGGTATATCCAAATTCGCGCCAAGCGACGAATCCTTGTGCCATGGCGTAGGAGAAGAGTAAGAGGAAGATCATAAGCATGATGGCCTGAATCACGAGTCCGGCTGCGATAACACCTCCACCATTATTCGAGTCCAGTCCTACGCGATTCATGGCTGCAATATCCCAGTAGGCGACCACCAGGCCGACCACCTGTAACACCAGACTTATAGCATCGATACAGACGAAGGAAGCGTACCATTTTGGGTCGATCAACGAATGCTCTTTTCCGAAGACGTAGAAGGTTCTCTCTGCAGTAACGTATATGCTGAAAGGCTCAGGTCAGTGTGGTGTCCTTAAGAACCACGAAGCTCGGGCTTATCACCTGGTAGAGATAAAAGAGGGAGCTATCGTCAAGAAGAACGTTGTCACAGCGAAGAGACGCACGTCCAGCGGGCTCGTTGAACTTCCCGCTCGAGCAGCATACCCGACAAGTTCGAATAGGCAAGCAACACTCAATGGAATGCTAAATTTCAACCACTGCCGGGTATACAGGGAGATGACCTGGAGCCCTACGATGCTGGTGAAGAAGCTGACTAGGAAGATGACGTTGATGGACTGGTTCGGACGATAACCCCATGGCGACTCTGGCGGTTGGTGTGGCACTGCAGCCTGGGCCATTACGATCGACCAGGTCTCCGGGTCTGGTCAACGAAGGATTCTGATCGGCAGGTCCCTCGCTTTTGCTTCGCGGCCTGTGGCAGTGGAAAGAAAAAGGAATGGTAGAGCAAGTCTGGCGTTTATTGCAAAAGTCTATATATCTAGCCCCCATCACCAACCCTCATTCCCTGTGCCATGACCGTCTCACCCCATCTCGCAAATCTGCCCAAAGCAGCACCCAGTGGTGGTGGCGGCGTTGTTCCTCGTCAGCTTCCAAAGAGTTATGTTTCGCCGCAGCCCCGCGGCCCGGAGCTGACGAATGCGTGAGAAACGGCCCCGGGGCTGAGTTGTATGCGTTGCACTTTCGCGATAGCCACCACGAACCACTATCATGATGTGTGGTCTTGAAATAGGCCGACCCGCGCCTAAATGGCCAATCAGGGGCCGCTGTTCCTGCATATTGCGCCGCGCTTGGCCCCCTCCCTTCCACCCCTTTCTTCACCCCACGACATGCCTTCATGATTCTGTAAGGCAATTTGGGGGCAGGTCACCGCGGTCGAGCCCGCTACAGAACCGGTGCTGTAGACTGGCCGAATGTGCATCGGGGCCGAAGGGCTCTGGACCCGGCGGCCATGTGTGTCCCATGAGAAGTCTGCATTCGTGCTTGGCTAATGCGCCGTGGCCATTTCCGTCGTCCCCGGTCGCCTCGCTTCGAACAGTCGTTGCCACGTTGCCTAAGAGTTCCCTCGGGCGGATATCTTACACCCATTGCATACACCTTGAGCCTCACCCCTATCGCCCAGGACCCTCTATCAGGCCCCACTCGCCTGCATCTCTGGTAGAAGCATGCTTTCATGACACTCACGCGGCACGCCGGCTTCACTTCCGATCCAGGTCTCTCTTGAGAGATCTGAGGCCGATTTCCTGCTTACTATCATATTGAGGACCCCCAACGGACCCCAGGTCTCAAAATAAGGTTTGTTCTTGGGGCACGGCACTCTGCAATGACGGCCGCATGGGAGATGGCCAGCCTGTGCCCTGGCTATGTGTTATGAATGAAACCTCTGGACTGTATCGACGCATAGGCAGTGACTTCCTAGAACAGCAACTGGAGTATGATGTGGCATGATTCGTTTCAGCTGACGTCGGGGCGAGTAAGGTTGACGACGCGCCCTACCACGAATGAGGGAGAGTGGTGATGGGGGAAGTTGAAAAGAACGGCTGACGAGGCACTAGCACAACCGACTGTTCGATGAAATGCTTGAGAGGGAGACAGAGCGTTCAATGGTCCAGAATTGTGATGAACAATTATAAGTAGCATAATACAAATGGTGGAACCATGCAGAGTAACAAGGTAGGCCACCGTAGATCGCTTGTGCAACGTGCTATTGTTACTTGCAATGAATATAGTCGGTATCTTGTCTATGAGAGTTGCAGCGGCAACGGGTGCAAATACGCCATGAAAATGTTGAAAGGACTATGTATGTAAGCGGAGCTCTGCTCTTGAAGATTCATTCAGAATCGACAGTAACCTGCGACGCGATAGACGTATGCCGGCTGACTTATTTGCTGTTTTCATTAATTTGACTACGGTATGCCGCGGCAGAGATTTGCATCATTTGGGCCGCCAGAGATGGGCCGTCCGCACAGAATGCTATGACCAGCAGCACTGCAACCGACACACACGGCGAGGCGAATACATTGAACGGAGGCGCACCGTGACATGATGGGAAGGGGCAAACCAGGTGGGTCAAAGAGCAATCAAGAAAAGCAATGTTCGATGCCAATGTAATCGTCGCTCTAAGTGCCTCCAGCAAACAATTGACCGTAACTCCATGCCCAAGATGCTTCAAGCATAGTGCACTAATCAGGGCCTCTAAAAGTTGAACTACATCCGAGCAAGAATATCCTTGAGACAACTGCTGGCGTACGCCCAAGCTCTGTCATCCCGAATGTGAGAAAAGAAGTACCTGCCGTATGCTCTATGTGGCTTCAAGTCCAGCTGAAGAGCAAGGTTCCCCAGGTCCCCTTTCCAGTCCCGCCGACATTGCCTTATTTCCATGCCGCATTGTAGCTGGCATATTCGGTGGCCAGCCGTGGTATCATCAAGCCAAAAACAACCACAATAAACGCCTCTATGACCACTCCTCGGTACACTCGTATTTGTGACAGGTTAGATAGAGAAAAGCACGATCTCGCCTCGCTCATTACGTCGCATACGCAGCGACCGCCAGAGCTCCTTCTCTTCTGTCGACTTGCCAAGGCTAGATGACGACTCTGATCGTTCGCGGTGGTAACGCTTCAGTGCCTTGTTCATGCTGTAGCCACGCTCACTGTCCGGGCCCTTCGTACACATGCTGAGAAACACCTCAGATCTTGGCTTGAAAACCACCAGTTGGCCTTCACCGTCCTTGCCGTCGGCACTCTGAGGGCGGTACTCGATCAACTTTGGGGCCTTCTCGCCATCGGACTTGTGGGTACGCTTCTTCTTCTCCTTTCGCTCCGAGGAATGTTTCCTCTTCTTCGAAACCTTTGTAGTCTTGGATGAACCTGACATCAACGCTTTCAAGTTGTTTCCGAAGCTCTCTGTCCGGCTGGGTTTGCTGGCCTTCGATTGCTTGGATTTTTTGATAGGACTGGCTGGCGAGTGCTCGCCGCCATCACCACCAGAATAGTCGGGAGACGGGGGGAATTGCGATGGGCGCATCAGTCTGTTGAGGCCACCGGTGAGCCCTGAGTGCAGTTCCGGGGGCGGCGCATCGGTCATGACCTCGTCGCTGGGCCCATTGTCGATTGCCAAAGGGCTGTTCGTCTCGATGTGCAGGCGCTTGCGCTTTCTATCCTTCTTGTCCCCATCCTTCTTCTTTCGCTCTCCCTTGGGCGCGGGCGTCTGAAATTCGCCGTGCACGGGAATTGAACCAGTACCATAGTGCGCCACCATGTCCTCATCGTCAACCATGTACCCAGTAGGGTCGACAAATGCATCAGCGCCTTGGTCGTAGCGGACCAGTGACTTCTCGTCACCATTGGTTGGTAGGTTGATATTGGAAGCAGTTGGTGTTGCTGCGACCAGGAAATCGAAGACGTTCACATTGGTGTCGACCGCAGGCGGCGGAGTTGGCGCTTCCGGCGGTAGGTCTCCGGTAGACTTGTTGTCATCAGAATCGTGGATCTCGTAATCGCGATACGCCTCATACTCCTCCGTAACATCCTCGACGTAGGCGCGCTGTGACATCTTCTTGGCTTCAGGCTCCGAGGGTCCTGCGCGTGGCTCTGCGTGGTTCGGCTTTTGCTTCTTGGGTTTGTATAGAGCTCCCTGGTACTTCTGTTCTTCGGTCATGCAGCTCTGAAGACCTGTTAGAGATACGAATACATGGAAACCCTGCGGATGCGATCACCCACCGTATGCGAGCGGTACTCGGTCCCGGGAAAGTAGACCATGCAGTCTATACAGGTGAAGGTCGCGCCGCGGCAACGGCTCCTGTGCGGATCGAGCTTCTTCTTGGTGAGGACGTCGCCACACGACTGTGGATAGCGAAATAATTGTTAGGTCTAATGGCTTGCTATTATAGAAACGAGAGTGGGAATATGCAGTACAGTGGAGGCGGGTGGTGGTCTATTTGGGACTGGGCAGTGAAGGGGGTGTGTATCATCTGGTTGGAGGGGCAGAGGGGTGAAACTGGTCAGGAGTCGAGACGACAACAGGCGATTAAAAGGGGAAGACTGCCGAATAATGTGGAGGGAGAGGGAATAAGAGACGGGACACAGAGATGATCAGTGCCCGAGATGGTGAGCAGAGGAATGGAAGACGGGCATGAGATGGAGGGGTGGCGCAACGCGCAATGTCGTGTGTTAGTTAAAGCAGGTGATGGGTGTTTGGCGGATTGGGCAGGGAGCAGAGGTGGACGGACGGGACGTGATGTCAGTCAGGCCCAAGCCATTTGGGCTTGGAACATGGGGGACGGGACCTGGAGGGGGGAGAATTACCTCACACGAAAATGAGACCATGATTCTGAGTGGTCTTGGATTGATGCGCAGTCGGGAGCAGGAGATTCTGATTGGCGCTGTGGTGCACAATTTCCTTCGCGTTGCTGGTCGTGAGTGGCCGAACAGTAATTTGTTGATGGTTTTTTGGGGGTTGTTTGCAGATGGCTGCCGTCTGTGAGTGGATGCTCGAGAGCCCAAAATCCTGCTCTATCTCGGACGGAAGTGGCCAATTCGGAGACGCTGGCAGAGGCTGTTTGCGATTCCAGATTCCTTCCTGTTCAAGCAGGAGAGCGAGGGAGTGAGGCTAGCCGTGCGACCAGATGGGCAATCCGATGTACCAGAGCCGAGTGTGTGAGGTCTTGTCCGGGTCAGGTGGTGCTGGGGGCTATATTGAAATGCGTAGTATGGACCTGCTGCTCAGGCGGGCTTCTTGAACAGTGACTAGTCCGGCGGGCCAGAGGCGAGCTACCTTCTCAACAGCGCGGGTGACCCTGGCGATAGTCCACGGACGTCGCTGATCGTCGCTAGAATGAGTCCTCGAGGGCAAGTTTGAGAGCTGGAGAAGCAACCAGGCACAGCAACTACTGCTGTATGTTTCCAACAAGGGCCGGGCTGGGGGGTTCTAGGGGAGACTGGGAGCTCGGACGGGGCCTACGATGCGATGCGCTTCAGATTTGTTTTTAGAAACGCCAGGCGCGGACCGGGGGCCGGTGTGTGGTGTGTGGTGTGTGGTGTGTGGTGTGTGGTGCGTGGTGGCAGAGCTGAGATTGATATTTGGGGTTCCTGGGCGTTGGCAGTGGACGGGTTTGGGGAGTCCGGGTTGGGCTTGCAAGCTGACCACAAGCTGAACAGGGCGGACTGGGTCTGAACTCTGCTTTCTATGCTGCTTGCGGGCGAGATTGAGTTCGTCGTGCCTGGGCGCAGAGCTGAACCTTGAAACGAGATTTTAGGTATTTCGCTGTGGAAAAAAACAGATGTGGACGTTCTCCAGTCTGTGTCGGGCGCCGATGCGTAATGCACGTCTTTGAGCGAAAGGCTTTTTGGCGCGTCGCATTAAACGCACCCCCAGAGGGCACGTTCTGGACACGCAGCCCAGCAACCACGAACAAGACCGACGACAGGAAGCGGGAAACGCGGGGAGAGAAGATTGGGGGCGAGGCGTGAGAGACGGAGGTCTGTAGGGGTGTGTGTATGCAGCAGGTTGTCCAATCTGCCTGCAGGTTCGCCGCTAGGAACAGGGCTCCAATTGGGCTTCACGAGACCCGACCTCCAGACCCAGACTTATCGACCGGCGGCCTGGCACTAGCAACCTCCAATCGAGAACGCCTTCTGCTTTTTGGCTTACTATGTACTTCCAGGTTGCTCGACGATCACCCTCACTTGCATGAAATAGAAGGGCGCTTATCTGCTGGCCCTATGGGTCGGCCACCGGCTTGAGTCCAATCCCAACAGCCCAAGTCTGGGGACTGGCCAACTCGTAAAGTCTGACCCGAGCGTAGGATCCTGTATCATGTGCGAGGGATGGAAATAGTAAGTTATTTGCTGCAAGTCAAGAGCTGGACCCAACCCTGAGCCGTCATTGGGTTGTTTTGCAAAGGTGACGACGTGTCAGGAACGTTTCCCCTGGGCTCGTTCCCTACAGCCGCCATCTGATCCATAAGGCATGAAGTGCATGAAACGCCAATAACCAATTCTGGCAATTTACCGCTGGGGCTTGTGTATCGCGCGCGCGTCTCGTCTGTGCCAATCTGGAATGGGGAGCGGCTCTCCCTCTTTGAGATGTTGATCGATGTCTCCTTTGCTCCCATTCTTCCCCACACGGGTTGTCCCCGAGGCCCGCGATCATGGTTCGTTCGGGTATGTAAGGGGTTGATTGCATCTCCGTCGAGCATTCTTCCAGAATCAAGAATCCCAGCCACATGGGACGTGATCGACTCCGTTATTGCAGCAGAAGCATGACGGCCAGTCAGTTTGGCGTGGGTCCCGATTGCTCGCAGGAAGTGTCAAGAATCCATCCAGGACTTCCAATCCCATCGCCGCTACAGTACGGATTCCCTGCCTCGGTCAACATCAATCTCCATTGTCATGCGGCAGATGCTGCAAGCTAGAAGAGAAAGAAAAAAAGGAGCAATCCATTAGCTCGGGTCAGCGCTAATTTCACTTGAAGGCGGTCTCATATCTGGCCCTGCCCAGGCAATGCTTGCGTCAGAAATCACACGGACCAGTCCGGCTGGCCCTCGCGGTGCTCAATGCAGCTAACTGTATCAAGCACATCACATGAGCAACTGGACATAGATGCCAATATAAACGAGAGTCCGCCTTGGGTAGGCCGGAAGCGTCAAGGGGAGGGGGAACCCCTTCTATGCGATAGAGCACGCAGAAGAGGCATGAGGGTATCCCTTGAACCTCTACCAGATTCCGTCCAACCTGCAACCCCGTCTGGCAACGCAGTTGGCATGTGCAACGCCCTGCTGCTCTCCTTCTGCTGCACGGCAATACCTGCTCTATTTCGGGACTCTGGACAGCACTGGCCGGGCTGCGCATAGCTTCTGACCCCACAATCTGGGCCTTTCAAGGGTGGCACATGGCATCAACGCCGCTTCCTGCTCGCTTGATCCCAACCTGCGACTGCATAATACATGCATACGTGTGGCTGACAACCTTGGAAAGGGATCGTGGAAAATGAACGGCGCGGCCTCTACTATTCTGTGCCTGCAACTTGACATAGGCGGGTGTCGTGCGTGCTGGAGCACCATCGTACGTAAGTAAATGTGTGAACCACTGGTCTTCTAGGCCCTTGGGAAAGCCGACTAGAAGGTTTGCGGAGCTTTGCTAGCTTCCAATGAAGAACAGCTGGCGTTTCAGGACGCCGTTGAGGCTCTCTCTGCCTCCTCAACGGATGGCCTGGCCTAAGCTGCATACGACTCTAGTGGGATGTTCGGAATTATGAAATGAAACCATGATTAACCAGAGCAGCTTCTCTCATAATAACGCAACGACGCGTAGATGGAAAGAGGCACTTATGTAGCCCTGTACTGTAGCAGTAGTCTGAAAGCAACCTCCTTGAGGGCGAGCAGAAAACTTGATCAAGCGGCATCACCGCGACCCGGGCGTTATATCCACTCCCGTCTCTCCTCGCTCTCATCTCCGTCTCCCAACTCCTCATCTGCCGTCTCATCGTCTTCCACCTCTTCGGCCCGCATCACCTAATTTGTGCAATTGTGCACGACCCTCTTTCCTTCTTGGGCCTGACACTTCATTTATCTCTGATCTCCCGCTGGCGATGGATCTCTCGTAACCCATTCGAACCAATGCACATGCCGTTTCACCACCGCATTGGTCACTGCTCGCTCCTTTATGTCTTGCCCAACATCTGATTATTCTCGGCTAAGCCCTGCCTGTCCACGACCCCGTCCCTGTCCCTGACCGCTTTGGAAACCGGAATCCAGCTCCAGGACCTCCAGCTCGGCTCCAGCTCACCACAGCCCGCCACAGCGATGTCGCCCCCGTCGAGTTCGTCGTCTGCAAGCCCGAGTGGGAGCTATTTGGAGCAGACCGTCTCCGTCCTGAGTTCCGTCTCCTCCTATATGCGCCTGCCGGCCCTGGTGTCTACGGTATGCCATGCCTTCTAGCTCTCCCATCCTGCCGTCGCCCACTTCATTCGCGACGGCGGCGACGACCTCGTCCTCTTTCTCGTCCTCCTCCATGCGTCGAGCGTACCGCCGGACACACAGCGCAATCAAGCACCAGTGCCGGGCCGCAGTCGAGCTAATAGATGTCGCGCAGGGCGTTGCCGCGGTCCTCACGTCACTCCTCTACTTCAAGCAAAAGTTAGTCCCCCCGGTGGTGCTGTCCAGGTGACAGCATCTCTCCACACCACCTCGAAAAGCAAAGGGGAGAAGCTGACCATGTCCAACCCCACCCCTCCAGAGCTCTTATCTACCCGTCGCACATCCCCCCCAACTCTCGTACCGATGTACCGCGGCCGTCGCAGTATGGAATCAAAGACTTTGAGGACCTGGTCATCCCGACCAGCGATGGGGAGAAGCTGTCGGCCTTCTATATACGGGCCCCCAAGGGCGGCCGCAACTCGAAATGTACCGTCTTGATGTTTCACGGGAATGCGGGTAATATTGGCCACCGACTGCCTATCGCACGTATGATCATCAACTACATTGGATGCAATGTCTTCATGCTTGAGTACCGCGGCTATGGCCTGTCGACAGGGGAGCCCGACGAGAAGGGACTGATGGTGGATGCCCAGACTGCCCTGGACTATCTGCGGGACCGAGCCGAGACAAGTGATCACAAGATCGTGATTTACGGCCAGAGTTTGGGAGGGGCTGTTAGCATCAAGCTCGTCTCTAAGAACCAAAACGCAGGGGCCATAGTCGGCTTGGTCCTGGAGAACACCTTCCTGTCGATGCGGGCTCTGATCCCGTCGGTGATCCCGCCCGCCAAATACCTGGCCGTGTTATGTCACCAGGTATGGCCTAGCGAGACCCTGATCCCGACGATCACAGAAGTTCCCATCTTGTTCCTCAGCGGCCTCCAAGACGAGATCGTACCGTAAGTCATACCCACCGAAATGCCACCGTGACCGTCCTATATGATGACCCTAAACAACCATCCACAAAACCTGAGCTCGCTTGCGGGCACGGATTAAAACTCATGTTTGCTGATTATGACCTGATCACCTGTGCACTTGTTCAACTACCCTGGGATCAAGCCTGTTGCTAACATCATGTGTTCAACATCTAGTCCCCCACACATGCGCAAGCTATACGAGCTGGCTACCACCCCGACAAAAATCTGGAAACCGCTGCCTGGCGGTGACCACAATTCTAGCGTGTTGGAAGAGGGCTATTTTGAGGCCATCTCGGAATTTGTGTCAAATGTTGCTGGAGACTCAGCGCCCTCAAAGTCACGGCGTGAAGGCAGATGAACGAAAGCTTGCTGCTTCGAAGAGGCTCCACCGCTTTGAAAAACTGACAGACATGTGTGTCTGCCACTCTGGGATGGCTATCAGATTTCTGATCATGTCAACGCCCTTTTCCCACTTATAATAGATACCCCTGGCACTATTCATGCCCAGCTGGCATGGAAGTGGCCTACTTATAGATTGAATATTGAATGCAAGCCGGTGTACGATTGTTGAACATGAAAAACTGACAAAATCAAGTTGGACTTTCACAGTAATTGCGTTGATGAGAAATTGTGGGTTATAGTACTGTGTGTTATTCTGGGTGATTTCACACTTTGTTAATCATATGTACCATTGCTGTAACAAGATGTTCTAACGCTGCGGAAATGGTGCTGCTAAACACGTCAACCATAGCACCCATGCTGCAAGGCGCACTGCACCTAAAGTGGCGCTCAAGCTCAGATTCCTCGCAAAGCCCTTGCTGGGCGGCAAGGGGCATCTTCAAGGTCGTGGAATGGCCCTAGACACTACGGATCACGCTGCTCTCTCATACAAGCTTAGGTACACTGAGAGACAGATTAGGATTTCAAAAAGTACGGCGTTATATCAGTTCATATCCCCTGGCACTTCTAGTATCTCAGATCTACCAACAGTGGCCTTTTCACTTTCCTCCCCATCTTGAACCTCACCGAACCTCACCCCTTTTTCTGTAGTCCCCAATGATTGACTGAGTAACAAAAGGTCCACTTACTCCTCGTCAAGCTTATCGGCAGCAGCCTCCCAGTCCTCCTCGACCGGCTGCTGCTCCACCTTCTTCTTGCTCTCCTTCTTCAGCAGGACGAACTTGTTACGCACCGACGCATTCTCCGCGGACGCAGCGGGGCGGACAGCGGGACGCGCGGCGGACCGGCCCACCACGGAGCTCCAGCCGCCTTCGTTCTTACTGGCATCGGCCTCGCGCCGGAGCACGTTGAGTGACGAGTCGACGTGGCAGAGGGACACGGCCTTGGCGAAGCCCTGCCGCGCCACGGTCTGTGCGACGGCGGGCTTGAGCGCCGTGACGGAGGCTTCGAGCGCCTGTGGCGTCCAGGCGCCGGACCCCTTGAGAACGATCTCGTCGGACGGGAGGAAGCTGGTCGTGAAGGAGATGGACGGCTGGGTGGCGAAGTCCAGCTTCAGTGAGGACTCGAGCTCTTCGATTGTGAGTCCGAAGCGGGGAGCGGAGAGGACCAGGGCGTTGAACGGCTCCGTCGGCACGATGATGTTGGTTGTCTGCGACTGAGAGGCCTGCGCCGCGTCCGTCCGGATTTTGACACATTGGCCCAGTGTCTTGAGTGGTGCAGAGACGAACCGGGGTGTTTTGAAGATGGAGACATGTCGGTGAGGCTCAGGATCCTGTGATTCGCTGTCGAGTCCGAAGTCCTCGGCCAGGGAGTGTAGGAAGGCGCGCTGGTGCGGCTTCATGGGCTTGAAGCGTAACCGCTTCTCTGAAGGTTCGGTTGAGAAGACTCGGAACTCGCGTTCGTAAGTCTGTGCCCACTTTGGGTGGTCTCTGAAGAACTTCAGGGTAGTCTCCGAGTAAGGCACGTGGTCATCTGTGTGAGTGGTAGGGTCGATATTCAGAGCCGCAGCGAGTCGTGCGTTCCTCTGCAGCCGAAGGCATTCGTCATCGCACTTCAGCGGTTGGCGCTCCGGCCATGAGTTCGTCTTCGACGCCATGCATCTGACTTCCTGTTTGCGATGTTGACATTCGCAGGTGATAAAGGTCTTAGCTTGGCAAGGCTTATCCTCGTTGCAGGGGAACGGCGCATGGCAGACATCCGTGTCGACATGGTCGCAGGACTTTCGCACTTTCAAGCACGGCTGAGAGCAATGAGAGCCCCGGATGCCTGCATCTTCGCACTCGCCGGGTTTGTGACAAGGCTTTGTACACAGGTGCGTACCGCATTTCAGCTTCTTGCCGCAGATCGTACCACAACGCGGCTCCTCGAACCAGCAGGGCTGATTCTTCAGGGTCTGCTTGCCACAGATGCACCGTTTCTCCATTAAGAATGGACAGGGCGGGCACGGCTTATCATCAGGATGGCAGTTATGTGAAATCCGTGGATGGCCGCAGGCGCGGTCTCGAATACACTCGAATCGACATTCGGGTGGCCGTGTTCCGCAAGGTTGAGGGGGTTGGAGTACGGTTCGGCCACAGTGGCAGCCGATTTCGTCAAAGATAGCCTCGGGGCACGATGGGCAAGGCCCAGAGTGACACAACTGTTGGCATTGATGCTTGTCGCATTTCAAGAGACGGCCACATTGCCTGACGCAAATGTGCTCGGCTTCGAAGTCCTCACTTGAAGTGCCCAAGTTTTTCTTCTTTCTCTTCGCAGCTACCCGGGCGATAGCCTTCTTCTCGCCAGGGCAGCAGTGAAGGTCATGGAGATGCCTCCCGCAGTTGAGCTGGGCACGGCAAACCCTTATACATTCCGGTACTTGTAATGAGCCTTGGTGGCATACAGACTTTGACGTTGTCCTGCCACACCTGCAAGTGATTTCTATATGCTGCAGGCATGGGGGACAGGACGAATCATGACATCCGCTCTGGCAACGATGGCCACAAGACAGGGCCTTGTCACAGCGCTTCTCGCAACTCGGAATAGCATCGGAACATGATTGCCGAGGTATCTCAAGAAGCTCCTCCAGCGGTGTCTTACCACAAGGGCAGTGTGAAACCATATCAGGAGAGAATGGACAGTGCGCTGCTTTTTCTTCCTGAGCGTGGCAGTCCAGCTTGCAGCGATGTTGGCCACAGTCGAAGGCCCTTCCGCACTCGTTTGTGCACTTGAAGCTGCCCGTGTACCAAGATTCACCAAGTCCCTCAACTTCTAAAGATACGCCAGTGTGCCCGGGTTGTAGCTGGCCATGGTTGAATGATGGCGTCCTGTCGCCTCGCTCTTCACAGGCCATGTCCTTGAACTCGCGCCCACAGTAGCAGAGTGAAGGTATTGGAAGCTCACAGCTACCACACAGTCCCGGATGACATTCGCGAGCACATTCATGCTCCCCACAGGGAAGTAGATCGCCACACGTTTCCCGGCAACTCCATCCATTCGCGTAGTCCGTCTCCCCACATCGTTTTGTAGAGCTATGTCTGCCACAAAAGCATGGTATACTTGGCCCCATCATTTCACATGGAGGACACGGGCCGGCATGGCAAATCAAAGATGAGCATGGATGGGGACATGTCGGCCTCGGCTTAGAGCAAGTCTGGCCGCATGAATGCGGCGGAAGTCCAGGGATAGATTTCGGATTCACCTCCTTGCCACACCAGCAGTGGTATGTGGAGGGCTCTTCCGTCAAGGCCGAGTTACATCCAGGACAGCGCCATCCGCTGGGAGCTGGGGCATCCGGCTGTTCCGGCTTCTTCATCTGATTAGTATACCATTTGCGTGCGCAGGACATGTGGGTGGCAGTCCAGCAGATGGTACAACTCCAAATCCGGGAATTTGGGAGAACCTCGTTTGTGCATATGACACACTCGTATTGCCCATGGGTGATATCCTCGTGTATTCGAGTGGGAAGATCATCGGCTGTAGATTTCGATCCTCTCCGAGCAACCTGTGTCTTGGCTTTGGGCGCCGTTGGTGCCGTTTGTGATCCAGGAGCATGCGTAGACTGTCCCGGGACAAACTCCGGAGCTTGAACACGCAAGCCGGGAGATGTCACGTCATCATCCTCAGGCTGGTCTGTTGTGAGTTGCCCGCCGAAGGCTCTTTGACCCCCGAACGTTGTTCGCTGGCCTGCTGCACCGACACCTTCACGTCTTGCATTCCGGTGTCCTCTCGATCCACGGCCACCTCGAGATTGCTCATTCGAGCCACCCCGCGCGGGCCGGGAAGGAGCAGGGGCTGGCCCGGACCCAGGGTTCTGAGCCTCGGGTCTTTGGTGCCTGTCACGGGCCTGGCTTCCGCCTCTGCCTCGTCCGCCGCGATTCCTGCCTGCTCGACCACGGTTGGGCCTAGTACTGCGCTCTCCTCCATCCATTACTGCCAACCCAGTGACAGCCGAGCCAACGTCAGCCATCTGTGGTTGGGTTGAAACTGACCAAATCCTCCCCGAAGTGAGAATTGTGTTATCTCTGAGAGAAAGACGTGTTAAAATTCCGGGCTTGCTGAGGTGATGCCCAGAAGTCCGTTTGCGCTTTTTGAAATACAGCGTCTTCGAAGGTGAAAGAAATCAAATGTCAAAAGTCAATTGCTCCGCAATTCGTTGGGAAAGCGAACGAGCGAAGAAATCACCGAAAAGAAGATGGTTGCGGAAGGGCCCTTATGGACAGACGTCCTTCAGAACTTGAAGTCTGCAAACCTTGCGCCTCGCCTGCAAGTAGTTGTGGCGAGGTCAATATCTGCATGCAAGGCTAGACGTCGTTGACTCATCCACCCCAGCGATGCCCTGGGTCACTCGAAATGATTCAGAATGACAAATTAGGCGTTGGTCCAGCGCTGTGGAGGGCACTAGTCCCGCGGAAGACGGTCCTGGCCGTCAGCAAAGAATGGCGCTCTCCCACCAGTGGCCAGGGGGGCGCTTGAACTCACGTGATCCAACTCGCTCGACAACCTCCGGGCTTACAACTATCGCCCCCAACCTATTGACGAAGGGTAGAACACGACAACGGTTGAGGCTGTTATATAATGGGGCACGTGGCGAACCTGAATCTATCGGTTTTTCTCTTCTCGATGCCGAACAAGTTCTATGGGCAGTTCTCGGTCACGTCGACAAAGACATGCTAACATTGATCCATGTCACGACTCACCAGGGCTCAACTCGTCCGGTTTCCGAGCTTGGCACTCACATGGACTCCGTATTTCAACGTGAGTCAAAATTTGGGATATTTTTATTGGTACCCTGCCCCTTGGCCAGTCCTTCCTACAAAGCTATGGGATGCTAGATAGACTCGTTCTCCTTGATGATAGCCCTTGGAAGTGCAAGATGTATAGTGCATTATACTACACAAGTACGCTATGTATCCTATGAGCATGCCTGAGAGATGGCCATGGTCGGAGTTTGAATGGGTTCTTGGTAACAGGTGTGCTCAATTGCAAAAGAAACCCGCTCCCATTCACTATTGCTACGCTGGAAACGTAGTCATATGCACAGCCAAATTCTGGAAAGAAGGCCCTGAAACGCCTTCCTGCGAGAGATCTCTACTCTGTGTGTAAGGCGAAGCCCTTCCAATAGGAGCGAAAAAATGCTAATAATATCATGATCTCAATGATGAAGAGAATAATGCCAACAAAATACGAAGCTAGCAGAGTGTTGTAAAACATATTGAGCGCAAAATTTGACGCGGAATTTATGCACCCTTCACCATGCTGTTTCGGACTTTCAAAATTGTTTTAGTTGCAGTAGTCAGAAAGATCTACTCATGTCACGCGGTGACCGATATGTGGCGTCTGGCGAATTTAGACGTCCACGAATTTGGCTTTGTCTGCCAGCACATGTGTGCATTGACCTTACTCTCATAGCCTAGGTCGGAAATGAGTCCTCAAGACCAGTTATATACCGACTAGGTCTTGGTCACTTTGAAAAAGGAGAAGGTAGGCCGTGCCGCGTCAATAACGATAACTGGATCGGGGAGAACTATATCGACACACCTCACGCCAATGCCTCCCCTGACAGCGAATACGTTGTGCAGTATTCTTATGACCTGCGATTGATCTGTTCGATGCGGTATCTTAAACATCTGTAGTGACCTACGATACCGAGACTCAGAAAGTCGAATCTTGCTATTCCCCTGCCTGGCGGCACATTGGTAGCTTCATTGCTGACTGCTGTGCGCCCATCCTTTGGAGGAGAGCGCATTCATCTAAATCAGATCTTTCATAACGTTCCGAGTTCCGCTGCCGTATCAAAAGGCAACTGCACTCATTCCACCACTGTGCCTCCATGTTGCCTCCCGAGAAATCAGCTTCAAGCTATTTAGCATCCTGATATACGACCGTTCCCTCTTGTGACCTGTGCAAACTCAGTACGGGCCTGCGCCTTGTCCCAGGCCGCATAGCCCTCATACACAGTAGTCACGGTGATCGCACAGCCTATATACACCTTTAGTCTTGGAATATCAGGATTTGCCTTCGATGGCGAGATTCCCGCCAGTGGTATCTATGTTCGCAAAGGAGGTGATTGTACCCATTTGGACTGCTGGTCGAAGTGCCACTTTCAATGGTCAGGAGATATAATGAAATACTGTTAACACTTATTTCCATATAGCACCTAGTAATTGTTATAACCGAGGCATTTAGCTTGCTGTGTGATTCTGAAACGGAATTAAGGTGTAGAAGTTTGCCACTCATTCGAGGATGAACCTCTTAAAAAAGGTGGGTTTGAACATAGGCTACTGAAAACTCTAGAATATGGCCCTTTACTGAAAACAATTTCAAATGAGGCTTTATTGCTTTTTGGCTCATGATGTTTCAGTAGCCTTCCGGGATGACTTCACCCCGAAAGGCCAATTTTGTACCCACTGAGAAGCAGCGTAGGGTAGAGTTGCAGCTCGTACGTGGGTGGTGATTGGTTGATAAAAAGTCCTTGCATATCGGGCCTCAGTGGTTGGAACTTTTTTGTCGACAATTTGACCTTACAAATGGCACGATCAGGACATCAACCTTCGACTGTACTGACTGCTCAGTAAGCTGTATAGAGGTTTCCTTAAACCTTGCCTAGAGCGCCGAGTTGGAAGAAGTTGCCTCAATCAGATCCGAGTCGGTAATTGGCAAACCCAATGGCAAGACACTCGCTCCCACCAGCTTCACGGAGCCCTCCGACAAACGAGGATTGGGATATGAAGAAGCCGATCATAGAAAATTTGTACCTCAAACAGAACAAACCTCTTGGTACAGTCATTGATGAAATGCAAACTTGCTATGGCTTTCGAGCAACGTAGGATCTGTCTTACCCCAATTGATCGGTATTCAATTGACCAGGCTTAGTAACAAAATGTACAAGCGGCGTTTCAGCATTTGGGGTTGGCACAAGTACAAGACAGCACGGTATGCAGAATCGGGAACAAATAGTCGGGCGCTGCGAAACGGGGTGCAGAAAAGCTGCCAGAGACGGCGACAAGCGATCCTCAAGGGAACTCCGGCAGTCCACCATCTTCCGCTTGCGATTATGGATCAAACCAACCACGGCTATTCCCTAGAAAGTGGAATTTATCAAAACGATGCTGTATCGTACTTGGCAGCGCCTTTCCAAGAATTACTCCAGACGCTGATGACGGAAGATACCCAATGGCAGACCACAATCAAAACGCCTACAGACCACCGCGTGAGCACGACCAGACATTTGGTACGACGAGCAAGCCTCTTGATAAAGACTAGGAAGGACACCAAGCAGGGGTGCAGTCTACTATCTGATGCATGTGAGCAGGTAGAGATGGATATGAGAGGGTATGTAGGTACTACTGCAACGGCGTTGTTCTTTGTACCTCTTGACCTATGCCAATTCCTGGGCAACCCACAAATCACTTTAGAATACTTGAGGCAGACCAGGGTTATCTCCAGTATTGTGTATGGTGAAGCCCATCCGATTGCAAGGGTTGCCCGTATGGTCCAAGAGTGGATGCTTTGTTTTGACAGTATCTCAAGCCGATCCAACAGCCAGTTGCAAGACCTTCTGGTTGTGATGTGCGTCATGTTGGCTGAGGCTCACAGCCATATCAGCGGGAAGATCGACCGGCAAGTCTTGAAAGTTTACTACACTTTGCTTGGAATGGGCTCCAAGCTCTCGAACCGCTGGGTGCGCGAACTGTGCTCGGGATACGAGGAGATAATTGGGTTGGCAGCCGAAGAATATGGACGCGACCGAGTTTCGACGACCGTCTTAGAGCACGAGTTTCTGAACTTTCAGGATATGTCCGGGGTCTACTGCAAGGACTTTGTTGAACGCAACGAGGTCATAATTCAGCGGTTGCCCGCGAGACATCTGAGGGTCAATTGCCCTATCGCCATAATATACAAGACTTGCAACTGGAGAATATCGCGATACTTTAGGCGACAAGGAGACCTGGAGCGCGCGGTATCTTACCGTCGAGAATGCTGCCGACATCCCAACGACGAATGGGATTGCGAACAGCTTCGGATTCTTCGATCGCTAGAAGCACAACTGGAGCAATCCCAGAAACCAACTCGTTCGAGCACCAACGAGAAAAACCTGGTTGATAATCATCAGCTTTCTACGATCCCCACCGATTTGCGAATCCCACAGGTTACTGATAGACTGAATTCAGTACATAAACATAGCCGGGTCATTCCGCCGGTAGATGCTGCTTACAGACCACCTGATCCAGTAGCGATTTCAGCTTCAACGCTAACACAGCATCCTTTGGCTTATATAGATTTCAACCAACCCCTCGTTCTAGAGGATGTAGAACTTGATCATCTCGACGATTCTTCATTCCACTCGTACATACAACAAGATACCATTTGGACGGAGCAGTGGACAAATGATCACCGATCGATTGGGGATGTGGTCTTTGATGAGTTCATCACGATGGATGATGAGGCTTTGATTGATTTCAGCCAGCACGCACTCGAGTAAATCGATTACAGTCTAGTCATAAATAGATAATAGCGCGTCAAATAGATGTGTAGTCTAAACCACATCCGATAGCAGGCAAGACTAATAACATTATAGATTGAATACCACGCCTGCAGTTGTGAAATTTCATATTTCTCTCTATCACAATGTCAGACTTGCCAACAATGAAGTTTGGTCTGCATAAAGGAGAAAAGAGAAGCCAACGAAAAATACCTAGACGTTTCACTCACTTTATATGCAGCCATTCAAAGAACTTGCTTGGAAGTTGATAATTGATGCCCCTTAGATAATCTCGTGTCACTTGTCTGCTACAAAAGCTTTTATATCGTGTAATACATCAGTGGGTTCCAAAGAAACAGGGCCATACATCCCTTCCTTGCCTTCTACTGTTTGAGTCCGTGATCTTGGACCGGCGACCACCAGGACTGTTCTGGTAAATCCACATATCTAAATAACAAGAGAACCAACAACTACCTCCTGTTCCGGATCCAATCGTGGTGGAATGCCATCGTATCATCTGAATCGTACCCTCTAGCCTGGTGACAATTCTCTCCCACACCCAGCACGCTTAAAAAGTGGAAATGTGGTGTCTCCATCGTGAGACGCATCCCCGCCAGCAATTCGTGAAGAGGTCAGTCACCAGCATCGTGTGGTCGCAGAGCCTTGTAGCCTCGTTTATTCAGCTTTCAAACTAAATTGAGCGAAAAGAGGAACGTTCGTCCAAGAAAGTCAGTCAAATCTTTCCGAACTGAATGGTGTCTTTTCTATGGACGATACCATGGATCAAGGTGCTAACGCTAAGACTGTTAAAGGCCAAACCTTAGCGATAATTGCAGCTCTTACGCTCGGCAGTGTGTATGGCTCTGTGAAGAGATATGGAACAAGCGCACTGGCGATCAAAGGGGAGAATTGTAACGCAGGGTTTGGGTGGGTCTGATACATGAATGTTGTCAAGGCCACCTGCCTACTTCTAGATGCCTGGCGATACAAATGGGTCAAGTTTGGGTCGGACCAAGACAGATCGCGTACGGAAACATTGGCCTTTGTGATGCTGCGACTTATATTCGACTCGTACAAGGTCATTCACAAACCATGCCACACTTTATACTCATGCCTCTGGGCCATGGAAAGTTCAAGTCGGCCGGTCAGGGGACATACTTCATCTTTCTGAGTTTGCCTTCGTGGACGCGATGACCGCTGCCGATCCCGTGGTGTTCACCAGAAAGCTCGCAGATATGCAATTGGAGACGGTCGCTTACCGACAAGCTTGATCATGGGTGGTTCTTTTCGACTTGTAGTCATTTCGTTGGGATTCTGAGCACCGCTTCGGTAACCATCAGTATCAGTCTATGGAAAGAGAACATTCGCGACGGAGTAGAAGCACTCAAAAAGTTTGAGCTTCAGACCTTGCGAAAGGTACACTGTGGTGTACTTCAAGCCTTTTACATATTGAACAGATAACCCCATGCCTGCAACTCTCTCACAATTGATCCGTGTCAAAGTATCAACAAAGGATAGTCATAGATTCCCCAAACAGTCAAATGCGCGCTATTGACGAGGGGAGAAAAAGGTACCTGCTCTGGCGCCCCAATGTACGCATGTATCAAGGTCAAGATATGTTTAAATTGGATCCAGGGCATGCATTGATTTAAATCTTCATCTCTGCATTATCCACAGCGGCGAAGCTAGGCAGGCACCTACAAGATCCGACGTGCAGCTTTCGAAATTTGTGTTAAGATAGAGAATGTGCACAGGTCTCCAGTATTTACACGTTTCAGAATCTGAAATTCAGCACACATGTCCATTGATGAGGGATATCTGTCATGCATAGGTAAATACTTCGGTATCAAGACAATATCAGATTGTTCTCCATCAACGAAATCCTCAGCTTCATTATAGTTAGTCATAGGAGTCCACAAGTTGATTCATGATATCGACAAAACGGTGTGTAAACCATTTAAATACATTTGTTCTGCCTCTCATCTCGACGTGCTGTGAAACAGTGTGAAGTGCCACATTCTTGCATCCTTCCTTCACCCTGCTCAAAACTCCCCCCTTCTCGCAAAATCTGCTTTTTCGGAGGCAATATGCACACACGCTTATATGTCTTGGTCTACCCTTCGCGTCTTTTCGCTGCATATTGGTCATTTTGGATACCATACCGGGATATCAGCGGCAACTAGTCTGATTCAGGTGATCGTATCCATGTGACAGGAGATCGCCTCAATGGGTTTCAGTATGAATATTTGCGGGATTACAATGTCTGTGAGGAGGAGAGGAACCCGAAATCTTTTCCCATTGGTCTCATTCCGGCCACATTATTAAGCGAAGGAGCACAGGATGAATGTTGTACGCCGAACGGTTCAGCAAAGAAAATCAATGCGTACAATGCGTTCGATCTGGCTTGCAAGAAGATCGAAGCACCTGACCCGAGTCTCAACAAGGTCACTACGTCAGGTGCAGCCAATACGGCAAGCCCGGCCCCAAAGAAAAGAGAAGTCAAAGATTGCCAGTGGTGGATTAAGGAAGCTGTTGCTTATTTAATCAAGGCTAACATCCTGTAACCCCTGGCGGATGGTTCTGTTTTAGAGACTTCTGATAAGAGAGTTGAGGAGTTGCTGACACATTAAAGACACTTTAACGACACTAGGAGCCCTCCGTATGAGCATTGATAGAGCGGTAGCATGAGCAAAAGCAAAGAATCCTGTAATTTACAGTTGCCATAAACTAGCTCATCCATAACATCCAACGCATTATGAACTCACTCCACCGAACAGACAGTAACACGATCCAAACAAGCATTCTTGAGTCAATGTGGCTTCCGCTGCCTGGCTATCAACTTCGGTGTTTTGGTGCACTTGTCACAATGTCGGCCGGATTCATGCCTTTGTGAGGTCCGCGAGCTGGTCTGACCATGTGTTAACGGACTGGTGTCTTCTGGTTGCAGCGTAATACCCACTATTCGCAATCTGAGGTCTTAAGTCCACGCGGAGGGGGCCAGGAGGTGCCTGTGATCCAATCATCGAGTGCGAGACATGGAGTTGAGGGTATGCTAGATGCTTACCGAGCTCTGAGAAGCATTGTTAAGGCTTTTGCCAGGCGCTAGGACCGACAACATAATTTCCTCGAAAGTGTCTTGAACTCGCCGTCTTTATTATCGTCTCCTGCATAGTCGATCAAACATTGAGTGGAAACAAGGCCATTTTAAAGAAGTGGCTAAGGTCTGTATTTTGACGCAGTGAAGTCGTAATTCCTCCTGAACTCCAGCTTGGAACCCTCTCTAACGTTGCCAAATATGTATCATTCGTGAAGTCTAACACGACACATGTCTTTTAATATATTTTTTTTGGCGCCCTCCCCACACCCCTCTTCTCCCTTGTCTTGTGGCCCGAATGATGGCCAACGCCGAGCGCGTGGTCGTGTGCGTAGCAGAACTGCTCAGTGAAGAGAGCATCTTTCGCGAATTTTGCTTTTCTGAAGAAAAAAATGAAGGCGACCTGCCGTCTCCACAGGAAATTCGGTAGAGAAATGTCAAAATCAACGGAATACGCGCTAGAACCCCGCGAGTTTCCCTCGCCCCATTTGAAGAGCAGTGTCTCATCGTAGAATGTGACTCAGAGATTACAATGGCCGAAGCGCAATGTCTCTGGTATTGCAATCGGAGCACATGAACGACGAGGTGTCAACGCCAGAATTATTCGGTCGGGCTGTGACGAAGGCGAGACCTCCATCTGCATGGAGCTTGTTCAGGACAATACGTTGGAATAGGCTTGGCCGTCGCTCAGCGCGGAGGAGGCAGGAGAAATCTGCCAGCAACTGCGCGATTGTGTTGAGGCGTGGATGAAGCATATCCAAGAGCCCGAACCATACTACATCGGTAAGATGGAATATGCACGCGAATGAGGGTTGAGATGCTCACCTACTCCGGAAAGGTCATGTCGGACGACAGGGTGTCGGCGACATAAGCTTCAGAGATGCTGGAGATTCGAACGCGGGACCTTTCCCGGATATTACCGTGTCCCAGGAGTTCTTCGCCAGCTACTCCTGCCGCAGGCATCCGGAGTGGGAATCCCTGACATTGCATCCCTGAGCTTGCTGGGCTGACAGATGGCGGCCCCGTTGTATTTACCCATGCCTACTTGAACAGAAATAACATCATGGTCTCGCCACGGAGTGAAGGTTTACCTCAGCGGGTGCTTGCCATTCTGGACTGGCATCAGTCGGGGTGGTATCCAATTGACTGGGAGTGGCTGAAGCCGCAGTGGATGTGTGAGCGTTTCTAAGATACGGCTTGGTTGTCACAAATCCTAGCCCTGGCCGATGAAGGCTATACATACGGTCGGGGATATATCACGTGTTCTATGTAGCCTCGTAGATCGAGGTTATCGAACCACATTACAACAATGACTGATAGATATATGCGAGATCAAAATGTGTGATCTTGCTTGTTACCGGGTGCCTACATATGTAACTATCAGTAGCTTGTCAATGAAGAATTACCAAATGGTTCTTCACCAGTGTGTCTCCTATAGGAAGCGTCGTATTTCCAAAAGCGGATCCGAAGGCAGATGGTAAATGTCTGACGTGTTTAAGCATTAGGTGGATTCAAAAGCATTGGGCTGTTGTAAGCAAGAGTTGTTCACTTATGCGATATCCAAAAAGAGGAGGCAAGATATACTGCGTTCGCACCCAGGTCAGAGTATCTGAGATCAGTGGTGAATTTAAGTATTTGGTAATGAGAGGAGTTGAATTTGAGACGACGAGAGGGAAAATGTACTGATATTATAAAAAGTGTATGCTCAAGTCTGAAAGCCCTCATTGGGTTTGTTAGGGTCAAAATGAAGAAGCAGCTTGGGCAACTAAGGATTTTGCAAGGGTCTTCGCCAAGTCACGGTAGTTGATTATGATCGCATTGCTTCCCACTTCAACCAGGCTACTTTCTATGGGAGGATCCTAACAGGACTGCGATATGACAGCCTCACATTGGAGAACGTGAGTTACAGTAGTAGCAGTCGAATTAACAATGGACACTTTTTTATTTTATTTTAATTTTATTTATTACCTTATGAGTTGTCACTCATTATTTACCATCATAGCACCATCAGTGCCGTGGTTGTTGGCAACGCTGAGACTGGGCCAGATGACGTCTGTAATGTTAGCTCAAGATGGTGTACGTTAGCCGCCGTTGCCAGAAAAACAACGCCTAGGTGGTCTCGGCCTAGAATGTCAAGGAGGTAACCTGCACACTCTGCGCTATCCATAAACCACCGCTGCACATAGCGACCAAGCTAATTTTGGGCAGAGTGGTTTTTCCAGTACAATGGCCTGGGTAGTAGGGAGAGAAGTGGATGTCGGACAACACAGACACAGACGTTTATAGCTACCGGACAGCCTCAAGCGGAGGAGACCTGTGCGTTCTCGAGAGCAGACTGGAATGAATGCTTACCGAACCCTGTAAAGAACTCCCGGGTGCGACCCAAGACATTGTTCTTGGGCACTCGGGTAACCACCCTGGTTTAGGCCCGTCTTCCTACGAACGCCAATCCTTAGGGGTCCTGCTACACGCTTCTCGCACGTACGTCACTACAGCAGCGAAAACGGTGAAACACCCACAATGACATGTGCTCGGTGGCCAAGCGTGCTAGCGAACGGTCTCACTCAGTCAACTGTGCGTGTGCCGCGGAAGCAGGGTGGCAGAGACCTTTTCGTGGCCTCCGACCCGACGCCTTTGTTGCTCACGTGATGCTGGCCGGGTTCTATGCAGTGTTATCGCATAAAACCTGACCCCAGAAAGTCATTTGCTACGAGGCCCACAGGTCGACATCCACCCCAAGCCTCGCGCCCTGGCATTGTAACGTAGGGGAGGGGCAGCTGGGCAGGAGGTAGTTGGCAGGCCTGCTGGATTGTCGAAAGGGTGGGCTCTGTGGGTGGTCAAGCGTGGTGTTTTGCAGGTTCGTATTCGAGAACACGGCAGTGCAGGTGTTTAGTGGGCTCACTAGACTCAGGCTGGATCTAGGGCGCCCTCCAACCAGTCAGGCGTTCAAAAATAGCCGTGCAAAGCGGGTCAGCGTTGTAGCTAGCGGTGGTGCCGAAGCCGCCGTGCCGGCTTCTGAGCCAGGCAGCCAGCCAGGGGCAAAGACAACACTGGACATGCAGGGCAAGCCAACTCCACTAGAGGCTCATTTAGTTATGGATCGACAGATTCGGCCAAGTCCAGACTCTGGCCTCCTGTCAGACCATGGCGTTGAGACCCGTACGCGTTCGCAATGCATGATGAATCGCGACCATGGTAGACGGCGGGCCGGGTTGCATACATAGGCAAGTTAGGTAAATTATGTAAGTGAGGTTGGTTACCTTCAGCAGTCGGCAACCCCTCCCCATTTGCCCATGTGTGAGAACCCGGGGTTCGCAGGGGGTGAAGAATCAATCCAGGTTAAGTGACCGGGGATGGTCACGCACATCCAACAAGCATTTTGCGGGTTGGCAGATCAGACGGCAATCGCCAAGGTTATCGTTGAGGCTTTTCCCGCCGATCACTTATGCTCGCGGGTGCTCATGGATGAGACCAGCAGCCGCTCGCAGGTACCAAACTCTGTTTGTTGATACACAGTAGAGCAGACGACAAGACGCCACGCGTGCCCGTTCTGTTGGGACAGCTGCAGCGATGCAGCCACAACGGGCTGTCGCCGCGGCCATGGCTGGCTGGATTGACTTGGATGCATCCGATCCCAGCGATGCGAAGGATTCTGCGAAGGGCTGGTCGGAGGGCTTTCGATTCTTGTCTTGATCTGTCCCTACCAACCTGCCTACTGTACTGTGTATGTGACTAAGTACAGAGGGCAGCCAGCCAGCAGCAGCACTCAAGGTAATCCGTAGGCAACACAAAATACATGTCCTCCCAGCCTACTTGCCTACCGTACCAGGCCTACCTAGACACCGCTGTAGGCAGGGAATGTACAGTGGATGCAGCGCTATACCCCGACTAGTCTAGGTGGTGCATGCGTGCTAAAAAGTTCTCGGGTGGCCATCGGGATCCCCCCCTGCTCCACGTTAGCTAGCACCCCCTTCGTCATCGCTCCTCGTGTCCAGACTTTCTTCTGACATGGGGTCCCCATCCCCGAGAAAATGTTGTGAAGCAACCCAATCGAAAACTGCAAGCCTCGAAAGTCGCAGCCCTCTCTCCCTACCTATCTCCATTCCTCCACAGGCCTCCTCTGCAGCAGGATCACGGACACACGTTTCGAGGTCGGGGTTCTGATCGCTTCGTCGCCTACCTTCGTTTGTTCTGCACATCCTCCCTTCGCACGCTCGTTAATCCCACGCCATTCTCTACTTGCTGGATTCTACCCTGCCCCTTTACGCCTGGATCCTGTCCTATTCTTATCTCGCACCCGAGAAACCCTTTCGTCGAGCGACCAGTTGCGGACACCTCGCATTGCGTCATTTGCGTACCGTGGTAGCCCGCCTTATCCTTCACACGACGCCCTCTCTCGCTGCTTTGTCGAAGCCGGCGGAGAGCCCCCGTGAACCATCCGCCCATTGTTCCTGCCGACGCCCAACCCAAACAGGCCGATCCCGTTGAAAGACAGCCCTCCCAGAGCCGTTTGTTCACATGAGGTTCCCTTGAACTTGGATCGTCGGGAGAGAACGTAGAATTGGCCCAGTGCCCAACTTGGTACAGTCGGTCGGCACATCCATACATACGTACACCTACACCTACACACAACATGGGGTGGCACTTGGGACATTTGAGCTCCCTAGTCAGTCGCGATGGGAATCCTACCGACCCCGGTGCCGAGCTGCTCGAGCTGCTCAACGACCCTTTCAAGCAACCGGTAACTACACACCCACCACAAGATCACACAAGAATGAACGGTGCTAACGACGCAATCTGCAGCTTGGTGAAGGTGCTGTCTGGTCTGCACTGGGATCCTCGGTCGGTATCACCGTCGGAATCGCACTCCTCTTTTCCTTCGTTCGCCCCTACAACACAGTCGTATACGCGCCCAAGCTGAAGCATTCCGACGAAAAACATGCACCTCCCCCTATAGGAAAGGGCGTCTTCGCCTGGATTGGTCCGGTGCTGAAGACTTCGGAGCATGACATTGTCAATCACGCTGGCATGGACGCTGCCATATTCCTCCGTTTTACGCGAATGTGTCGAAACATCTTCCTCGTTCTGTCCATCCTGGGCTGCGGAATTCTGATCCCCATCAACTATACGCAGAATAGTGGCAACTCGGAACAGAAATGGCTGAAGCGTATCACTCCCCTAGAGGTATGGGGAGGCAAGCAGTGGGGCTTGGTGGTCGTGACGTATCTGTTCAACTTCACCATCTGCGGCATACTTTGGTGGAACTATAGGAAGGTACTCCAACTTCGGCGCAGATACTTCGAAAGCGAAGAATACCAGAACAGCTTGCATGCCAGGACCCTGATGGTAGACAAGTTCCCCCAACCGACTGGGCAGAAGCAGATGCTGACTTGACATGCAGTTAAACGACATTCCGAAGAATATGGCGTCCGACGAGGGCATCGCTCGAATTATTGACGAGGTCATTCCCAACTCATCGTTTTCCCGAACTGCCATTGCTCGCAATGTCAAGGTTCTCCCAGAGCTCATCGCTCAGCACGATCGTACTGTCCGGATGCTCGAGTCCGTACTGGCTAAGTACCTAAAGGACCCTCACAACCTTCCTGCTGGTCGTCCGACATGCCACCCGTCCAAGAAGGATCCGTCTTACAGCACATACCCCAAGGGCCAGAAGGTCGATGCCATTGAGTACCTCACGTCGAGAATTCGGGAGCTTGAGGTCGAGATCAAAGAAGTACGAAGCACGCTTGACAAAAGAAACACCCTCCCCTACGGATTTGCCAGCTATGACGATATAGCTGAGGCTCACGCTATCGGCCACGCTCTGAGAAGTAGGAAGCCTAAGGGTACTACCGTCCGTCTTGCTCCTCGGCCGAACGACATCATCTGGGATAACATGCCCATGGGCCCGTCTGCGCGGAGCTGGAACAGAATCTGGAATAACATTTGGATTGCTGTCCTGACCCTCATCTGGATCGTGCCCAACGCCCTGATCGCCATTTTCTTGGTCAACCTGAATAACCTCGGCATGGTATGGCCGGCTTTTCAGACCGCCCTGGAACAAGATACCGTATTTTGGTCCATTGTCCAAGGTATCGCGTCTCCCGCAATCACGTCACTTGTCTACCTGGCACTTCCGGTCATCTTCCGACGACTTTCCATCAAAGCTGGTGACAGAACCAAGACGGGCCGCGAGAGACACGTGTTGGCGAAGCTCTATTCTTTTTTCGTATTCAACAACCTCATTGTGTTCTCGATCTTCAGTACCCTCTGGTCCTTCGTTGCAGCTGTTGTCAAAGACACGACCAAGACGGGCGACGCCTGGCAGTCCGTCCTGCGCCAAGAACCAGCAACGACTTTGTTCATCGCGCTTTGCAACATTTCGCCGTTCTGGGTGACTTGGCTTCTACAGCGCCAATTGGGCGCCGCTGCTGATTTAGCCCAGCTATGGAAGCTTATTTACGGTTTTCTGCAGCGGAAATTGTCCAGCCCGACCCCAAGAGAGCTGATCGAGCTCACCGCGCCACCACCGTTCGAGTACGCCATGTACTACAACTACTTCCTGTTCTACTCCACTGTTGCGTTGTGCTACGCTGGCCTGCAGCCTCTTGTGTTGCCAGCCGCTGCTTTGTACTTCGCTGTGGATGTGTACCTACGAAAATATCTGCTGTTGTACATCTTCGTTACCAAGACCGAATCGGGCGGCATGTTCTGGAGAGTCTTGTTCAATCGCTTCATCTTTGCGACAATTCTCTCGAACCTCATCGTTTTCCTGGCAGTGTGGGTACGTGGCGATGGCACACATATCCAAGCTTTCGCCGTGGTCCCTCTGCCCTTTATCATGGTGGCCTTCAAGGTGTATTGCGCAAGGGTTTTCGACGATAAAATCCATTACTTCGCCATCCGCAATGTGCAGCGGAACCCTGAAGGAGCCTTGAAGGACCCTCTACGCTCCGACCGCCTCGCTTCACGCTTCGGCCACCCAGCATTGTACAAACCCCTCATTACCCCAATGGTCCACGCCAAGGCTCAGAATATCCTGGCTTCAATTTACAAGGGTCGTCTCTCAGATGGTCGGGAAGCCTACTCGGGGGATGTGATGTCTACATCGGGCTACAGCGACGCTTATATCCTTGACCCGATGACAAAGTCGGGCAAGTCAAAATCAGCTCTGCCTGGTTTTGAAATCGTACCTGAAGGCAAAATGGATTTTGAATATTACAAGAACCGCCCGGAGTTCGCCTCCGAGCACGGTGGCGGCGAGATCTACGGCCGCCATGCTGATTCCATTCGCCCAGGGACGCCGGGAAGTATGTTCAACGGCAGTGAACCAAATTCTCGACCCGGCAGTCCGAGTATTCCCACTATCCCACGCATGGGAAGCCCGGGACCTGGCCGATCATACTCACCATTCACCCCAACTGCAACAAATGACAATCCGTACGCTCAACCACCAGATATCGGCCGCTCGCGCAGCCCGTTGTATTCTCAGGGCAATGAAAGCGGGTCAAATTTAGTCAGCCACGCCGCTGCGATGCCCATGACAACACCTGGGTCTAGGGAGCCCAGCATGGAACGACCAGCGTCGAGAGCACCGGGTGGTGTGGGAATGCTTGGTGGTGGGCCACGCGGGTATGGAAATCTTCCCCAGGAGGAGGCGGATCACGACCCTATGGCGTACGATTATTTCCGCAGCTCCAGAACGAGGAGAGAGTTTTGAGATGCAGCACAGCAAAAAAGCATCCAATCAGGGATGTGTTAACAACAAGGAAGCAAGTTGCCGCTTCCCGGATGCATCGGTTCGGCGTTTTCTGACTAGGGAATGCCTGGATAGGGCTGCCCGTCATGAGATGAATTTGAAAATGGAAATGGGCACTTCGATAGAGAGCGAATGCATTACCTGCCTAGAGTTGGAAGAAATGCCCTTCCAAGAATGATAGACGGATAGCGAGCGAATGCCGCAGTGATATTGAGCTTTAGGTCTTGTAATGCACCCCGAGCAGGGCAGGCGACGCTCGGGGGAAGGACATAATTTTCTGATTTGAATCGAGATGTAAAAGCTATGAATTGGCCCACTGTGCTCTTAAGTGCCACGACAATCTCGCGAAATATAATTACAATGCGGTAAGGGTTGTCCAACGCTGCTAGGTTGGGGGTTTGCCCCCAGGATTAACTTATACAACTGCAAGGCGGTTCAGTTCTCAACGACTCAGAAGGACGTAATTTGGCTGTTCCCCAAGAAATGGAACATTAAAACAATGGTAGTCTTCTCCAAAGTTCTCAAGTGCGTTATTTGGAGTTATTTCCATCGATGCTCCGGCTTTTCATGCTCTTTTGATCTTGTGTGAATCAACGACGCGTTCACATGTATCACCACCCTCCTGCACCTGTTTATTCCCTGTCACCTTATGGTTCGTCCTGTTGTGGTACAACAATATCATCCCCCTTACTTCTCATGGCAACTCCTTGACAGTCATAGGACCTGAATCTTCGAGCAGATAGTTCTGCAGTGAACTGGAATCATCTATGAGTAAGCCAATGAAGTGAATTATCACCTCAGAACTTACCATTTCATCAATATCTTCTAGTGTTCGACTATGAGTCTCAGGCAAGAAGAAGTACACCCATATTGCACCCACGACACAGGACGGGAACCATATGTACCCATACCGTGGTCCCCAGTTGAGTGAGTCCGGATTGATAAAGTAAGGTGCTGTGAATGTAATTACCCAGCCCCCGAGGAAACCGATAGCAGAGGCTAGGCCGAAGGTATAACTGCGAAGTCTCTGAGACGGTATCTCGCCACCTGACACCCACTTCACCGTCATGAGTTAGTAACTGCATGCTTGTGCCTACATGCCAAGGGCCCAGCTTAGGGGCAGAAGTTGCTTAAGCTCCCCATGTTTCTACAAGAACGGGGCAGAAAACAACTCTCGATGTTACTCACCGCGTAGGTACCGACCATCCCCTGATACATGTTAGTGAAAGGCTTCTTCAAGACTTGCCGGGTGTCGATTAAACTTACACTGTATCCCATCATATATAAGCATGAAAGTGCAACAAGCACCCGGCCAGTCTCTACTGCGTCCGGATTCTGGTCATATACGACAGCGATGATTAGCTGCAAGCAGCCGCAACCGATAAGCCCAACCATCAATAGAACCCGGCGACGACCATACCGGACAACAATACCAGCATTCAGTGCGATGGCGATGAGACCTGCGATGCTAATGATTATAGACATTGCGAAAGGATTTGAAACTTTGGCCATGGTGAGGAAGTAGGTTTTGAACGCTATAACACCTTAGTAAAACCAACGAGAACAATGTGGTCCTTGTGATATTGTACAAACCGATAATGAACATGGAGCCTGAAGCGGATCGCAGGCTTACTGCACCCACCGACAACCCAGTTCGCCGCCGGTCAATTGGATGCTTGAACATATCAAGTACGCCGACATTTCCGCCCATTTCTCGCTCTATGGCAATCGCATTCCTAATTTCGGCGACCTCAGATTCTATCACCCGGCCATTAGGTCTTAGCCACGCTAGTGACTTCCGGCTGTCCTCGATTCGGTTCTGAAGAATCAACCACCTGGGCGATTCTGGGATAAAGAGCAGCCCTACACTCATGAGAATTGGTACAAGATACACAATGCCTAAAGGTATGAGATATGCGGTTTTATCTGGTCTGCCTTGTGTTCCCCAGTCGATGATGTTACCGATGAGCGTCCCCTGCCGGGACGATGTTAGTCGGAAACGTACATCGACTGTTCGGACACTTACTAGTGATGTTATGAACTGGAAAGAAGTCAAGAAGAGACCGCGATACTTGGCGGGGCTACTCTCTTGCGTGTAGAGTTGTGAAAACGTCAAGAAGTAGCCGTTGGCTAGGCCAATGAGGAAGCGCGCGACATACAACGGTCCAATGGTCTCCGTAGTCATCATAATCACGGTCGAGACCACACACAGCAGGCACGCAAGCCAAAGACATGTTTTCCTACCAAGTTTCGCAGCCACAAGACCAGCGGTTCCCGAGCTAATGAATGCCCCGAGAGTCATCAACGAAGCAATCAGTTGCTGCCGAGTAGTGGAGATGTTCCAGCCAATGCTGGTTTTGGCTCTGTAGCCATAGACCTAATCGACAAAAGTATTAGGTGAAAGGTTCAAGATGTTCTGGAACGGCGCAATCGTACTTGCAAGAAACCAGGCATTGCCTGCAGTCCACCTATGACACCGAAATCAATGCCATACTCGAGGAAGGCCAGCGACATGATTCCGCAGGCCATGAAACATCTCCAATGTGCACGAATATTGTCATCTTTCATTTTGTTCATGTCGCCTTTTGTTTTGTGAGTTTGGCCGATGATGTCGTGACTTTGGGAAGGATATCTCGATCCGTCTTATGACTGCTTGGCTTCCCCGCACAGCAACAATATGCTGCAGGAAGATGGAGGTCAGACCTCTGCATACAACGTGTAGACGGTCACGGCAGATCTTTAGACTCGTTTTCAGTGTCGTATTATGTGTGTGTAGCCAACGACTCTGCGGGCGGGGTTATTTCTTGCGAGCAGCAACAACATCTCTGAATGCAGCTTACGCGACACGATATTGCCCTTCACGCTTGGCATATAGTCTGTAGATGGCATGGGGGCTAATTGGCTATATCCTCATTTTTCATTACCGCAGCTGGATGCTGGAATAGTGGACCAGCCACCTACAGTACGAGCTCCCCAACCACTCCATTTACTACGTATATATCTACACTCACAAATGTGCTACTCCGTAGCTTCCCTTTTATTTAATCAATCAATCCATTCCATCCATATCGTCCCTCATATCCTGAGACTGGAATCATGTCCTCGCCCATATTAAAAGCGTGCCGACTTGGGAGGCATAATAAAGGGATTCGATAGGTGACCATAGGGTTTATAAACTGCATAGCAAATACACAAGTGGCCGACCCTGAGAAAGCTCTTGCTGTCCGGGTCATCCCGAACATAAACAAGTTCAACATACGCAAGCCTGAGTTGCGAACTAACTGCCGCGATTGATGTCTTACCGAAATTGAGCAGCCAAGAATAATTCTAACTCGCAAAATTATAGTGATGGTATCTATTTTAGGCGGAAAATCCCAGTCTCTTTCGCCCCTGATGTAATTTCTATAGTAACCTGGAGGCTCTCATTAATAGACATCTGCGTTGGATCTGCAAACTTGATGACATACTTGTGATCAGAGTACTAAGCAGGAATTTGATGGCTGCGGACAGTGCTGGTGACCATCCAGTCAGTATACGACATTATAGGTGAACCAGCAAGCAGGCAAACCAAAAAAATTGAAGAATGGCAGAGCCTTACCAAGAGACCGCTCCGGTCCCGGACTGGCCACAGTTCATGAGATCAGTGTACAGATGACTTGCCAACCTCTGGAACCTCCACTCTTTCATCCGTGAACAATCTAAACAGTCCCTCACAAGTTACGGCCGCGGTACAGATGCAAAGGGTTTTACGCGGGGTGGAGGTAAAGACTATGCGATGGATATGCTCCCAGGTACAAACGTGTGACCTCAAGTCTATCAACCTACCTCAATCTTATCCAAACAGTGGACGAGGTGACTTAAAAAAATACCGAATCAGCGCCCTACCGCGCCTTGAGAATTTTCACGTTTGATACAACCTGAGATGTTATAACGGGCTAAGAAATAAATCCAGAATACTCTCGCATGTTGTATCGACCGGGAAAGCATGCCGTTCTAAATTTCAGAGTCCAATTTACGTAGAAATGAACATAGAAAGCAGGAGTCTTTGAATGTGCCACGATATGCGAGATATCGGGTAGTTCTCCTTCACATTCATAAAATGCTCACCTGCAACACGTTATCTGCTGCTACCGGTGAACTCGTGTACTTGCCATAACTCACTCATGATCTCACTTGATTGATAGTTCGTTATCTGCTTGATTAGATTGGAGATCATGTCCTCCAGCCGCTTTGGCGTGTGGCTACACGTATCATCAAGGCCACAGCTGACCAATTTGTATTTCGGTAAGGACCGCTATCTTGGAGACGGCCGCCGAGGGGGACTATGAGGTGAACTGGTAATGTGTTCTCGGAGTAACGTATGTTGTATAGGCTGCAAGGTAGTCGTCGATGTTGAAGTAGATCATTCCAACATGGCGGAAACCCAATGAAGATGCATGCAAGTCTTCTATCTTCGTTGCTGAAGAAGCAGTACCGTGACAAACAGCGTATGGCGTTGCCGGCTCGGGCTTTCTTCGTCCTTTGAGATAGACATAGTCGTATCAGCTATATAATTCAAAGTGAGACATGCTTCTCACTCTTTTGGGAAAACGACGTTAGGTCAACACGGAGGCGTGACCGATGGCACAGACGCCGGATCCACAATAGAGCACCCGTGCTTCCGCAGCTAGAGCGTACGCCGAGATCTTCGGATGGGGAGTCCGGCTGACAATGCCGCCATGACCAACGTCAGGTAGGAGCCGAGCGGGTCGAATATGCTGCCTACGCAGACGGGCCAAGGTATCTATGAATGACATAGCCTTGGCAACCGGACTTTAACACAACTCTTGGCAGTTGCCTTTTCAAGCTGCGGAACCTGAAAGCCACGCAAGGGGTAAAGGATCAGCGCCGTTTGCTTGAAACGGCCGCCAAGGCTGGAGAACCGGGGACGTGGGCCTGTTGAGAGGAGGGGAATTGGGGAAAGGGGGAAATTGCCCGCCTTATACACAACCCCTTGGCACCGAGCCTCATCCACATGTTAGAATTGCTACATTCTCAACGCGGACCGGGAAAACTGTCCTTGCCGTAATGTGGCTTGGCCTTTGCGCAAGAATTCGCAAATGCATGGGATTGAAGGACTTATTCCGCCGCGCGGCTCCGCGTCGCGGTCACACAAAGTGTAAAGCTGGGAGCGGCCCGGAAGCCGTAGAGTTCCATGGAGTCGACTTGTCTCTCGTACGGTGTATTGGAGGAGACGGTGCCATACTCTAATTGCAAGGTTTTCAGTGCACACGGAATGCGTGTAAGCATGAAACTGGTAACGTGATTGACTATGTCATTACCATGGCTAGCATTCGGAACAGAGATCCTGTTCCTCTTGTAGACAAGTATGACAGCGGCGTAATCTCGGAAGCTGTGACTTCGTTACAACGAACGGGGAATGACTGAGCTACTCGAGGAGGCGGATGTTTATATAAATGGCAGAGGACTGCCTCGAAATGCAGATACAAATGAGCAGGTAGCATTCCATCGTCTGATCTTATCAACCACAGATCACTCACCCATATCCACGATGAAAACATCGTTCACTTCCCTCCTGGCGCTGGCTGCCGTGGCCACAGCCCTCCCGTCATCAGAGTCATCTCATGCCAAGCGCGCCTGTTCTTCAGCGGTGAGCCTGGATGCCAGCACAAATGTGTTTAAGTCTTATACGCTCCACCCCAACTCCTTCTACCGAGCAGAGGTAGAAGCTGCCGCTGCTCAGATCAGCGACAGCACCTTGGCTGCCAAGGCAAAGAAGGTCGCTGATGTTGGTTCCTTCCTGTGGCTGTAAGTTCAGCACGGCCCCCTGGATATCATGACGAATCAGTTGTGCTCAACTTGTTTCACTAGCGATACCATTGCAAACATCGATAAACTGAAGAAAGAAGTGGCCGCCGGTGTGCCTTGCAACAACATCCTTGGTCTCGTGATCTACGATCTTCCTGGTCGCGACTGTGCTGCTAAGGCATCCAACGGCGAGCTTGCTGTTGGTGAACTCAACAAATACAAGACGCAGTACATCGACCGTAAGCCAGAAGCGCAATGCAACACCAATATGTTACATACTGACCTTTCTGATAGCTATTGTGAGCATCATCAAGGCCAACCCCAACACGGCCTTTGCCCTGATTATTGAGCCCGATTCACTCCCCAATCTGGTTACCAATGCCAACGTCGCCGCTTGTCAAGCATCTGCTTCTGGATACAGGGAGGGTGTTGCGTACGCCCTGAAGTCGCTCAACCTGAAGAACGTCGTCATGTACATCGACGCTGGCCACGGTGGCTGGCTAGGCTGGAACGACAACCTGAAGCCCGGCGCTCAGGAGCTCGCCAACGCCTACAAGAACGCCGGGTCGCCCAGCCAATTCCGCGGTATCTCTACCAACATTGCTGGCTGGAACTCTTGGTACGTAGTCTGAAGAAACCTCGGAGCAAGGAAATAAGCAAGTTGGACGCGCGGCTAATCGTCAAATCAGGGATGCTGAGCCTGGTGAGTTTGCGAGCGACCCGGATGCCCAGTACAACGCCGCCCAGAACGAGAAGAAGTATGTGACTCTGTTCGGTGCTGCCCTTGCGTCTGCTGGCATGCCAAACCACGCCATCGTCGATACTGGCCGGTAAGTGCTCTTTTCCATGCCCACCTGTCAGTGGCTGCGTACTGACATGTTCTCTAACAGTAACGGGGTCATCGGTCTCCGTGAGGAGTGGGGTCACTGGTGCAACGTGAACGGTGCCGGATTCGGCGTGCGACCGACCTCCAACACCGGCCTCGAGCTCGCCGACGCCTTCGTGTGGGGTAAGCCCGGTGGCGAGTCCGACGGAACCAGCGACACCTCCGCCACCCGCTACGATTCGTTCTGCGGCATGTCCGATGCCTACAAGCCCTCACCTGAGGCTGGTAGCTGGAACCAGGACTACTTCGTCAAGCTTCTCCAGAACGCTAAGCCTTCCTTTTAGAGGGTTATGTTGCAGCTGAAAGACAGATCGGAAGGTCCTGCTTTGTAGATATCTTCATTCTTGTACATAAAAATTCAGAGAACCGGAGTACTATCATTACTTACCACCAATGCCACAGCCCTACACTTATTTCTTACTCTATTAGTTCTATCTATAGTCTTGTGGTATCTAAATATAGAGTCCACGTGCATCGCAGATGACTATATGCACAGTACCTTGTCAAAAACATCTCTTGATACGTCAGTTGATGCGTGACATATGGAAAGACAATTTTCCTCAGCTTTGAAGATCCGCCTCAACAAGGTTTGTCCCTTAATTTTTCGCAATGATTTCCGTTCTCCAGCCTCGGATCGCGTTCGATTCATCTTCGGTAAGAAGAATTCCAAAGTGCTTCGCGATGGCCGCGGTCCGTTCTGCCTCTGTATTGCACACCTCGATGATCTGAGTCTTGCCGCCCAGGTTCTCCTTGGCTACGCCATCGACCAGCATCCGCTTCCCGTATATCTCCATTTCGCCATCGTCTGTGGGGCGCCCGAGGAACTTATTGATGAGCACCATCGTCGTCTGGAAACTGTTACTGTTCAGTGATGTGTACCAGTTCACAACCTCCCAATCATCTGGGGTAAACTCGGTCTCTGTGAAACAGTAGTACGAATTCCACTCGCGGTCTTCGCCATTACGGTACTGGTAGATCCACGATTTGGACTCTTCCGTGCGATGGACCTGCGCCGGGATCCAATCGCGCACAAGCCGGACCTGCTGGGCACCGAGGTTCTGGTGGATATACCCCGGCACCAGAGGAAGTGGCGCCGTCGGTCCATCGCCTCCGAACGCGACGTCGACTGCGTACCGTTCCGGCACAGCACCGGGAGAGGGCGGAGGAAACGAAACGATGCTCGTAATGTGCACCCAGCCAGGATACTCCCCCTTCGGCACACCTTCGTAGCGCTTCCGCGTCCGGGCTCCAGCGGTATATGCAGTAAAACCTAGACCGCGGAGGAGGTGGTTGTAGAGGATTGCGACTTCCATGCAGTAACCGCCACGGCCTCGGTTGTCGACGACAATTTTGCGGAACATATGCTGGGGGTCGACATTGATTGTATGTGAAGGGCCATAGTGCAAGGAGAGATTCTCGTAGGGACAGGCTGCTATCATGTATTTGTGAAGGGTTTTCAGTAGTTCTGGTGTGGGCGGCGCATTATGTAGAGCTTTGGGAAGTTTTATATACGTGAGTAAGTCGCTGATCTGAGCGGCTGTCAGAGCCGGCGGAGGGACCTGCTCCATGGTGCAAGACAACTGTTTGATTGGTTGGACGCTGTGATTTGGGGGGGTGAAGGCAGATGTGAACACGAGAAACGCCGCGTTTTAAGTTAAGCCTTCGATGACCAAGAGAACCAAGCGGGTTATAGGAGCCAACTACGCCTTTCGACCCCTGGATACTCTTGTATCGTATGCAGGTGTAAGCAATGGCTTGAGTCACGGGCGGCCGATGCCGGGATCCACCCGAGCGGCTGGAGAGTCAGTTGAACAGTCAGAGTCTTTTGTGCCGGCCGTGGGCCAGACTTTGTAGAGGTTGACAAGAGTTGCGACATCAAGTCTGCATGCTCAAAGCCGTCTGGCTCTTTGGCGTTTTCTCAACGTCACAAACCCGCGGCTGCCAAAGCTGTAGCCAAGGCAAAATCAAACCGCATTAGGTGACCGAGATTGACGAGCGCCATAATGTCCCTGAGGACTGGCGTGCTCTGGACTGAGCTTGTACGTCCTCATGGTGCGCCAACGATCAGCCTCCTCTAGGTCCCGTATAATACCTGGCGAGGCAGTCACCGATTCTGCATGAGAACTTGGGGCTCTAAGTTCGTTCGTTCAACTACAAGGGGCGCAAACGGCCATCCGTGAAGCGAAGCGGCCCGCGGACCCCTACCCCCTACCCCCTACCTAGCTAAGGATCCAGCATCTACCTGCTACCTACCTAGGTACCTAATGGTATGTGGACAGCCCCGCCACCGGATTCTGCCCGCCCTTGTTAGTGTCAGTCCAGACCAGATGGCAGACCCTCCTTCACCGCCCGACGCCCGACGTGGGGTACGCTGGGCTGTCGCTGCGGCTACCTCAGGTATCGACAATCGCATGTTCCAGAACGTCAACTGCCAATAGATCCGTACCTAGTAGATCCAGGTTTGAACACTCCTGGTCCTGTCTCCTCGTCGCATTCGCTCGTTGACACGGCCTGAACGTCCTCAAGCAAACAACATGGTATGCGCCTTGCCTGCTGGCTCCCCGTTTCCTGCATCGCACCGCCCAACTGACCATCCTTCCCCAGGCGACAACATCCAAGCAGCGCCTCGCGCTGGCCATCTGCGATTTCCTCTCCACCTCGGCCGAAGATGGCACCCTGAGCGCCGACGACAAGGACTCCATCGATGTAGCCATCAACTGCATTGCCGAGTCCTTCAAGGTTGACCCCACATCCCAGGATGCCGTCAAGGAAGCCATCGGCTCGCAGAACCTGCTGAAGATCTACGGCGTCTACGAGAAGCTACAGGGCGCCCCCAAGCCATCCGCTTCCCCGAGTATACCCACTGCCACTGGCTCGTCTACCGATACGGGCAGCAAGGCGCCCACCGAGGACGATAAGAAGAAGGCCGAGGAGCTGAAGGGCCAGGGCAACCGTGCCATGGCCGCCAAGGACTACCCGAAGGCCATTGAACACTACACCCAGGCCCTCGCTCTCCACCCCGGCAATGCCATCTTCCTGTCCAACCGTGCAGCAGCCTACTCTGCTGCCCGTGACCACGAATCCGCACGCGCCGATGCCGAGGCGGCTGTTCAGGTCGACCCCAAGTACACCAAGGCCTGGTCGAGGCTGGGTCTTGCCCGCTTTGCTCTCGGCGACGCCAAGGGCAGCATGGAGGCCTACAAGTCGGGTATCGATCACGAGGGTAACGGTGGTTCTGATGCCATGAAGAAGGGCTACGAAACTGCCACGAAGCGCGTTGACGAGCTTGAGGCCGAAGAGACATCCGGTGGCGCCGATGCTGCCCGCGGAGGAGGTGGCGGCGGTCCCGACCTGGCCAGCTTGGCTAGCATGCTTGGAGGAGGTGGCGGCGGCGGCGGTGCCGGAGGTGGCATGCCCGACTTTGCCAGCATCATGAACAACCCCATGTTCGCGCAAATGGCCCAGAACCTCATGTCCAACCCCGACATGATGCAGAACTTGATGAGCAACCCCCGACTACGCGAAATGGCCGATCGATTTGGCCAGGGAGGCGGTGGCATGCCGGACATGGGCTCGCTCATGAGCGATCCCAGCATTGCCGAGATGGCCCGTAACTTCATGGGTGGTGCCGGAGGTGCCCCGGGCTCCCCGGGTGCTGGACGTGGAGGCAACTAGCTTGTTCATCATTACGAGGCATGCAATCATATCTACTGAGTTGGGCGTTCGAAGCGTGAGCGATAGAGTTGCGCTTCATACGATAGCCATTATGAGCAAGGAATTCAAGGAATTCGCCCAGTTCGACTCGCCGAGCTTGTACTGTGACCAAATGTTAACTACTGTTGGTTAATTTAATGCATCAGCCAAGGACATAATGTAACACCCAACCCTAGACGGTAGCTTTGACGTCAAGGGGTGCCACTCTTGAGTCTGTTACCTCCTTGCCGATACTGTCTGCGGCATCGCCATTCTCGGACTCCGATTGCTCTTGACTGGTCTCTGCTTCAAGTTCGTTCAATCTTTTAGTTCTACTCGAGGTGGAGTTAGTATTCAATTTTGCTGTATTTACCTTTTTTCCATTACTAACCTTCGGTGGTATAAGATCACGGCAAGGATGAACCCTGCCCAGAGAAGAACGTAGAAGACCAGTGTGACCGGCCATCCCACTGGCCATCGAGGTGCTCCAATGGGCCCAGCAGTCGGAAAGAGCAAAAGTGGGACCCATATGTTGAAGGAGTAGCCAAAAGTCATCATGGAGCCCTATAGATCATGAGTGGGTGAAACATTTAGCGACAAGCGCTCCGGCTAGGGTGCACTTACCATGATGAGTGCCCTTTCCTCGGCATCATCTTTCACAATGGTGTTGACGGTGGAATACAAAATGGGGCTGAGACAAGCCTGGAATCCAAAGAAATACCATGCTACGAATCTGCGAATCTTGTTAGTGTGTGGCTGCACTCCGGACAGGAACTCCTCACTTCAAAGCCGTAGGAATATACCATACAGTCATGCAAGCGGTTGAGAACACAACCGCTGCTGACGCAATGGTGTATATGACCCAAGATGGGTATATTGAAGCCAACGTGGAGCCAAGCCAAGAAGCTACAATACTACCGGCGTTGATGCCCGTTGGTAACTGGTTGATCTGAACCACCGAGTATCCTTCGGCTTTGAGCCAGAGATTCATGTAACCATTAGGGTACGAAGAGATAATCATGGCACTTCGCAATCTATTAGTCTCCAAATCGGAATAATGGTTCAAGAACGAACTCACATATAGCAACCGACGAAGAGCCAAATGTGCCAGCGCTTTAGGCTTCGTTTGAAGACATCCAAGTTGAGCTTGCCAGCGCGAGTGATCTTGGCTTTCGCGAGTCTCTTTTTAGCCAACTCAATCTCGGACTCGGACAGGAAGAAGGCCCTTGGTGAGTCCGGAATGCCCGGGAAGAGGAGGAAGCCGGACAGTGCGACGGGGATCGTGATGACACCGTCAATGATAAAGAGCCAACGCCAGCCCGGCATCCCGCCGACCCCTGACAAGTTGGTGTATGCCGCTGCCTGCAGATAACCGCTTACCATCGAGCCCAGCGGATTGCAGATAAACCACATCCCGGCTCGCTTGAAGAGTTCAGGACCGCTGTACCAGGAACCTTGAATACGCATTAGATTTGCCCACGGCCCTTGATGGATTTGTAGGATGGCGGTAGCTCACCTAAGATGAAATGGGTCCCAGCAAATACGGGTGCCTCAAGCGCACCTACAAAGAACCTGGCAACGTATAGCTGTGTCACGTTGGTCGCTCGACTTTGCGCGAATGTGACGACCCCCCATACGACTTCAAGAGACGGTAGCAACCACCGGGCCCTGAAGAACACCTTTCAGTACTTCCGGTCCTCGTAAGACCAAGTGTCAACTCACAGTTTGGGCCTCGACATCAAGAGTAAGAACGGGATCTGGAACACCACGTAGGCTGTGTAATAGCACACGTTGAAGTAATTGAGCTCGTTGCCGTATAAGCCCAAGTCTTCTTTGAGCCCGCTTGTGTATGCATTGCTGATATTGGTCTGGTCTTGAGTAAGGTTTAGTGCCAAGGCCCTTGTACCTCTGTTGGTATTGGCGGCTTACCGAGATATTTACAAAAGACTGCACAGCAAACATTAGTGACTATTTTGACAATTCCTTTATGAGTGATATCTTACAGCAAAGACATGCAAATATAAGGATTGATAAATCGAGCTTAAAGAGAAGCCTTTATAAACGCTGTCAGCAATGGGTTGTCTAGATGGCAAGAAGCATCTGGACTGACTTTCTCTCCTCGGCCGGGTACTCTGAGGGATACCAATTAAATATTTCTTTGACGACTTTTGCAAGTGTCAGCTTCTGCGGTTGGCCCTTGGAGTCCGCCATGATCAGCGCGGCTATGGGAGGTCTCGTAGCAAAGGGCTGGTCGCGGATGTGGCGTTCTTGGAAGATGGCTGCCTATAGGCCGTCTAGGCACGGAAGGTTTAAACCCAAGCCTTGGCTGTGTATATCTACACTACCTACTCCTGTCAAAGTCACCATCCGAGCATATTGCTTCGTCCAAACTCCGTAGCTGGACGTGCGGCTCCTCTGCGATGCCATAGACCCACTTCATGTCGCCATAGTGTAAGATCATCCAACAGCGCTCGACTATTTCGACTTCGAGGAAATTAGTTTCCGCGGCATCCTGGAGAGTGGAGGATGTCCACGTAGTTCATAGCCTCTCGATGCTGGCCGCGTCTCGGGTGGTGGATGATGTGCCTAAAGCCCCGCATTGCGTGATCCAAAGAGCGGCTTCACACCAGATTATCGTGACGAGTATCCCTCCCTGCCATATTATTGTCCTAATCTCAAACCAATGATAGTTTGAAGAAACCGATGACACCAAAGACCTTACGGATATACGTGGTGGTGACTCGAAGAGCAGCCAATGACGGTGGTCCCAATTACCTGCCTAGTGGAGAGGGATCACAACATGCCACTTGACTTATAAAATCAGATGTAACCAACATGACGTGATTAAATTATGGAACATGACCGCAAGCCCCGCGTCAGAAGAGTAATAGTAGTCGGAGCAGGTCCGACCTGGTGTAGGGAAACTGGTTCGCTACATAAACTTCCCGTGTCTCTAGGCATATACATAACTTACAGTGAAGACGTCTACTATCAAATACCTGAGAAAGTACCTAAACATCGAATAGAAAACGAACCGACATAAACTTTGGATAGTAGCCCTTTGCGATGCCAGGGAGGATCATTGACACATACGAACAAGTGCCGGTCACCAAGGAAAACTGTGCGAAGATTTCACAAGCCCTCCTGATATCAGTATGCTGATTCGATTTAGTGGACTGGGCAGAACTCATCACGCTTGACCTTTCCCTGTATGAACAGCCCGGGGGTAAGGAGCAGCTTGTAAAGCAGCTCGAGCACGCAGTCCGCCATGTTGGGTTCTTCTACGTCAAAAACTTCAACATCAGCCAGGAGGAAGTTGACCGGCAATTCGCACTGGGACGGGAGTTCTACGCTCTGCCCCTCGAAGAGAAGTTGAAATACCACAGCCAGTCCGATCTTGAGAGTGGAGAGTACAATGGCTATCGGCCGGCCGGTCATCGCAAGTCCGTTATGCCTCGCATCTCCGTATCGTCGTAATCACAACTATAACACTAACTCTTATCTAGAGTCGCCAATGGAATCAAAGATAATATCCAAGTTTACAATATTCCAAAGTTCGATGGCTTTCACAAGAGGCAGCATGCCTCTGTTCTAGAACAGAACATCGAAGAGATTGAGGGGTTCAGTCGGGTGAGTGCATAGTTATGAATTGGCATTGTTGCATTCACTAAACCAGACCTTGCTTAGAAATGTCACTCGGAAGTAGTCGTGAAATTATTGCGCCTCTTCGCCGTCCTTTTGGAGCTACCTGATGAGGACCAGCTCGTACGAGACCATCAGTATGATGTCAAGGGTGAAGACCATTTGCGTTATATGCATTACGCCGCCCGCAACCCCGAGGAGAACCAGAAGGTCGCGGACCTGTACGTTCCGGGCATACGGATCTCGGCACGCTGACGCTTTTGTTTCGTCAGCCCGTCGCAGCGCTACAGATTCTCAACTCCGAGGGCAACTGGAAGTGGGTCAAGCCTCAAGACGGAACCATCACCATCAACACATGCGATGCGCTTACCGCGCTGACAGGCGGCTTGATCAAGTCCAGCATACATCGCGTCCATGCGCCGCCACAGGACCAGGCCCATGTGGATCGCTTAGGCGTGCTATATTTTGCTCGGTAGGTTCACCTGAAAGGGCTTAATCTTTTGTCTACCTATGTAACCTTGAGTTTCTAACCATTATTATTCATTTAGACCGAACAACCATGTGGTGCTTGACCCCATCGCAAATAGCCCGCTACTCGATCGCCTAGGTCTTAAATCCAATGCGTTCACTGAGCTTGGCCAGCACCTTACAACGGAGCAGTGGGTAAAAGTCAGACAGACCCAGCAGCAGCGCCCGAACAAGGCGGCGACCATATCGGCCGAGGGCAAGTACACCTACGATCAGAAGGACCTGGAAATCATTCCAGGACTGCACGCCAAGGTTCATAACTAGAATTCTCGTGATTCGCGAAAAACTGTAGGAAGGCGCCGCCGTAGTCGTGTTGATGTAGTCGTTGTGATATTAACCCATTATTGAAGTCATTTTTGACTATTCAACTACACTATGTCTATTCCCTTACACAATTAAATATTGTCACATTGCGAATATAACTAGGCCATCAATACGTGCACTTCAGTGTTGCATGTAGTCCAATGGGAGAGTTTTTCTAATCATTTAGCACTGCCTGCCTAAAGCCACCTAAAATAGCTAGACTTGTAAAGCTGAATGACAATGGTAGAATGAGTATCGATCCGGAAAGTAGCTAGATAGTACCGTTTGTTTTGCGAGCATGAAGTTGTTCTCTGAGTATCCCCTGAGCCTACGCGTAAGCAGCACAAACACGTTGTGTCTTTACACCGCAATCTAGTTCTTTTCGATGCACTGCAACGGTACACCATTAGTCTCGATAGCAGGTCTTAATGGCATTCTTTAGATAGTTCCAAAGTTTTCACATTAGAAAATACGATACATACCGCAATGCATTGCTCAATGAGTTCGATGGAGGCACCAGCGCAAATATCGCACAGCGGATCAAGCGGACCGCCAGCGAGGCAAGCAGCGACGCAGGCGAGGCCAAATCCGTCACAAACAACGCACTCTGGAGGGATCGAGACGGCTTGAACGAACTGAACATCAGTAGCAGGGGAGCGTGATCGAAGGTTCTCTACGCTTCGGTCTTTGAAGGAAGCTGAGGAAGCAGCGGCCGCAGAGGCGAAGGCAGCAACAGCAGTAACCATGAGCTTGGAATGCATTATGGGAAATATGTGGCGTTGCCAAAAAGTGGAAGGGAGTGGGTCGCGATTTGTGTGTGCTCTTGAGTAAATCTTTAAGAAGGTGATGAGACGATATTGGCCTACCAAGGTGCGAGCAAAGCGGACTTTAAATAGCAAATCGTTCTATCCGGTTGCAAAATTACGTCGAGGATTAGAACACGTATATTCCTGAAGGACTGCTAGCATGAAAGGCTCTCGACACGAATGTCTCAACAAAGACAAGTGGTATGTGGAAGATCCTGCGCGGGTGTGCCATCTCTTCTGCAAGTTGACGATCATGGCTGGCATGCCTAACCTTTCAACCCACACCTGATTGAAACGTCTTTTGTACCCCATGGACTGCATTCTTAGTCTTACCACAGCATTGAAATACCTCATGAACGAGGACAAATATGGCTTACCATTGTCTTAGGCGTTTTCAGACACCTAATGACTCCAGAAAGTAATTCACTTTTTACTTGTCTATGTTGGCGCGAGATTCGATGATCAGAGAGCGTGCATCTGTCTCAGTAACGACTAGCTCATCAGCCTCGAGGGTTCTATCAGGCCATTGATTTTCATTTCCACTGTAAGGCGATGTAGATCCCTTCGGTGATTATAAGAAGGATGGTGACCCCGGCTTGGCAACCTGCATAGTAAACTCGGGTACGCACCCCGCGTGCTGCACCCCTAGCTGAAAAAGATTTTACGTTTGCAAAACGCGGAGACGAATTGCCTCTCTAGATGTAAGTCAGGATCTGCAAGGGCTGACGGAGGATTCAACTATGCATACAATAATGGACTACCTTTGGCTGTACCCAGAAATGTGGCTTGTCGGCATGCACATCATGCGCACCCATGTTCAAAGCTTGAATATGTTAAGCTTTTTCGCAAGCTTCCATTGAAACATGTTGTCGATCACCTTGCACTAAGGAGGAGATGCGTTCCCTTTGTGGTACATCGTATGTTTCTTGAGTGCGGCTGAACAGGGCGTGTCAATCACAGGACCTGCATATGATCAATCTCCCTATCATTGGTCAGTACCCCTAGCCGGTAAAATCAAGTCAATAGGTAGGCAATCGGTAGTAGGAGCCCTTTCTCATAGAAGCAGGGGGACTTCTTAAATCGAAAGCCTTCATATATCCCGATGAATTGTTCTCCGGTTTACTGCAGGATGTATTAAAGGAGTAAGAACCACTTTAAAGAATGGAATCTCAGGTAAAAGAGGGACACGCAGAACCAAATTTATAGCGAATGCAAGCTAATTAGGAATCGCGCATGCTGAAACATGCATTAGATAGATGTGGCAAAGTTGAGCCCTATTAGGAAGATGAGCCCTCAAAAATACCCAAGTATGGTCGATATCAGCTTGAAATCAGAACTATCTGGTATAGCTAGTTTCTGCGTTACTTAATAATCCGCACAACCATTCAGGCGGACGTACTGCTTCACGTTTCGACACGAACCCTAAGTGACGACACGTTTTTGAGCGAAGACACAAGTGATACCCTGAAACAATTGAGCCTTTATGGCATGTTCTTGTGCGCAATGCAGAGCACTATATAGGCGACACTGTAATATAGCCTATTATCAATAAGATAAAACAGAAAGAAAGAGGCGAGCTGCTTTACAAAAGAGGAACTGCAGCTGTAGATATAATCGTACCATATATAGACGACCTCAAGTAGAAAAATCTACGGAATTTTGCCCCTAAATGTCTGGATGCCTTGAGCCTACAAATCCACACGAGAGATGCCTGGATCAAAGCAAAATGTCCAACGCGGACCGGGCGTGTATGCTAATCCATCGACCGATTATCATTTTTTTCTAACATCCCTAGCCACCCAACAGCCTCGAATGCCTAAGCAGTCTTGGCAATGAAAGTCGACTTAAGCGACTATTCTTCCTTTGGCCGCTTCGTCAAGATCAACCCGTAGTATGCTATAGCGCCTGGCTCACTCAGAATATCCTTCTCTATCAACCAGTCGGTGCCTTCGCACTGTAGAAACCGCGCCATGAATGTCGGTGTGCGATAAGTAACGTACAAGAATGATCCATTATCCTTGAGAACCCGGAATACCTTGTTATCATCAGTCTACTGGTCAGGCAATCAATGGGCAATCAATGGTCAAGACCAGGCTTGTGCAGGCAATGGGGACGTGGAAATTACTTGCGGCATTATGGATGCGTTAACACGTACCTCTCGCATATAACGACTGGTCAGTTCTAATACTTCATCAGTTGGGTTTAAGAGGCTGCTTAGTCCGTCAACCATTGCATCTAATGTACCCTTATCGAAGGCTACGTCGATCGTCTTGGAGGCGATATCATCCATTTGGCACACATCATGCACCTTCCACTCGACACCTTCTGTACCCGCGTACTCCTGGGACATTTGAGTAACAGATTCACTCGAGAAATCGACGCATAGTTGGTTCTTGTATCCATCCTTGACAAGTCTCACGGGCAATGTCTGTCCACAGGTATCAGCAGCCGTATTGGCTGTCGGCAGTACAGTCACAATAGACTCTTACACTTTTTCCTGCCCCGAGATGGAGAATCCTGGGAGCTGTGTGCGGAGGCCAGACGGCAAAGAGCCTTCTCTCAAGGAAGGCTGAGAGGTCCTCATAGGTGCGGAACCATTCGTGTGTCGGATCACCTGGCTTCTCGCTCGCGTATCGCGTGTCCCAATACTCGGGTTGGGCCAGATTCTCCGTCGTGGTCTCCTCCGAAGCCATTGCTGTGCGCTTTGTCGGTTGAACTTGGTAGTACAAGAACGTTTGAGGTTCGCAAAATCGGAATTTCAGTCCCCACCCTGTTGGTTCTCGCAACCAGTCGGCACCCCATTTTGAGCCCCATGATTCGCGGGCAGATCCGCCAAGGGCCCACCCACCCACGACGCATCACTTACAATGCCGCGACGAACCTCGATCATGTCCATATTTCTTCTTGTCATGTTTCTACGACTTATTTCAACGCGTCCAATAGTACGAAATGATGGTATTCTTCAAGCGGCCAAAGGAACAAGCCAAAATGCCTACATCTACACCACGCGAAACTAAATCCAATGGCAGATTCGCACGGTTCTGTCGTAAAATTGGCCGAAAGCGCAGCAACTTGGAGACAAGTGATGTGATCCGGAGCGATCAAATGGCTGTGTCGTCCCATTTGACCAGAAATGAGTCTGTTATACACAATACCCACCATTGAATAAGTAGTAGCTGAGAAAGAAACAGCAAGCACACCGATCCTATCGTGCCATTCAGCCAGGCTCCTGGTGGTCGCAGAAGCTCCATTAGCACCCAACACACTGTTGCCGGAGGACACCTGAGCACCGATGTTGTAATAATGCAGGACAACTCGGACACCGACCACATAGATGCTGAGTCTCTTGCCCTTGATATCTGGAGCGCCGCATACCGTGAGGCTGTGGAGAACAGCCCTGATGAGAGGATACAGAAACTCATACTTAAGGGCGAAAATGCTGGACAGCTACTTAGACAACTTGAACACGACGAAGATGGCTTGGTCGAAAACTCGCTCTTTCGGCGAGGAATACACTGTTTGAAGACAGTTCAAGGTCCTCTGGAAATTTGAAGCTTGTACTAGACGTCGCCAGTCCTCTTACAAGTATAGAGCCCACTGTTGGCACAGCTTTCGGGGTGCTGAAAAGTGTGACCGCGGTATGTTACAATGAAATGTTCCTAGTGCGTTGAGCTCCCGCCCTTGGGCCATCCACTTACGTGTATTTCTGCAGGTGGCAATCAGCGTCTCTAGTCTCGACAGACCTTTCGCTCAGCAAATTGCGAATATGCTACGGCAGGTCCCTATCATTGACGAATGCGATATATTGGGGCAGAAACTAGAGAAGAGTGATGGCATCCACGACGTTAGTTCCAAAAACGGTGGATGATCGATATAGCTGATTTGCGATAGGCATTGGTTCTCGTATACACGAATCTCCTGGACTTTTACGTTGCGGCTTTCGAAACGTTGACAGCGAGTGACTTCAAGTTTGTGAAGGGGGTGATAGTAGAGAATCAGCGCATGCCAGGACTTGTGTCAGAGTTTCTCGACCATGTGAAGCAACTGAAAAGTCATATTGGAAATGCCACATTGAGGGTCGTGCAAGAACTCAAGGATCTCATAAAGGATACGCGGAGTACGTTCCTTCCCTAGCGGATAGTAAGACACCACTAACTAATTAACCACCAGTCGAAACCCTTTTACGTACAGAGAACACCCGATTACAGGACAGTCTTCACGATAAGTGGCAACACGAGAAACAGCGAGCTCAAGAGGCCTGCAGCTGGTTTGTCAATGAACCATTGTTCCTTGACTGGTTTCACAGCACAAAGTCTGAGCTACTCTTGTTTTGCTGCAATTTGGGTTCCGGCAAGACTGTGACCATGTCATATGTCATAGACACAATCATCCAGCGCAACCAGAATGAATTACCACGGGCTCTGATTAACTACCACTATTGCAAAAGCGATAATACAGGGGACTCCATCAAAATCTATTCGAATCTTGTTTTACAGCTCCTGAATAGGCAAAAGGCCCTCAAGAAGAATTTCCTCGAGTGGGAACGTGAAGTACGAAGTTTGGGGATCCATTCTCCAACGGATAATGTGCGAAAGTTGGGTCAATTCTATTTAGATTCCGTTGCCGGGCTCGACCGACCGCTTTTCATTATCATTGATGGGTTAGACGAATGCGATCAGGACTCTCGCGACCAACTTCTTGAACTATTTCAAGAAATCTTACAAGGAAAGTCTAGAGTCAAGATACTTTGCTCAACCCGGCCAATGCCCAGCATTCTGAAGAAGCTCGGAAGCATTGCACAGATTCGGCACACTCCTGACAAGCACCGAGATGACATCCTTGTTGAACATTTTGTCCGACAAAAATTGGGAGACAGGGATCCTGAAGTTCAGGAACTTGTGACAAACAAGTTATCTGAAATGGTACAAGGAAGTGCCATATGGGTTCAGATGACAGTGAAATATATTCAAGCCTCTGGAACTCATGATTTCTACCATATGAGAGAGCTTTTGCGAACCTTACCGCCCCCAGAAGAGCTATCAACCATGTACTATAAATTGTTCACCAGCTCGATTCAAGACCAGGGCGATAATCGACTCATCGCTTCTTCTGCGCTGGAAGTACTTGCTGTCTGTTGCAGACCACTGAGCATCGATGAACTTGAATGGGCCGTGGCCATGGTCACGAGAAAAGACATAGTTACTGTGGAGGACCTCAGAAAGGCTGTTAATCCTAAACGAGTTATGACTCTGATTGGCCCTTTCATTGACCAGTTCGACGAGGGAGATCGGAAAAAACGCCAAATACGTGTCGTACATCAATCATTGAAAGAGGTTGTGATACAGAACGAGCCAATGAGTTGGTCCTCTCATGAGTACCGACTGTCTCCAGCAGACGAGTCACCCTTCCCACGCAAGGGGCAGCTCGAAGCCAAGATTTTACAAGGATGTGTCAGGTATCTGCTGCTACACGAAATTGACACCAGGTCATTGCTCTCAGAGAAAGACCAAGATATTGCAACTCTTCGGAGCGCAATGCCGTTTGGAACTATGAATGACATTGATGAAGATGAGGACACCGAGGGTAAATACATCGGCGAGGAAACATTCGACCCAATGGATATCGGCTTCGGCGGTTTCTTTACGTACGCTTCCTGTCATTGGACCTCTCACTATGCAGTCACTCCCTTGGAATCTTTACCGCCACTTGTTGAGATCGAGGCACTTTGCAAAGCAAAATCTCAGAGGCTGAAAACCTGGCTCGATCAATCTTACCGCCCTGATTGCAACACTGTACCGAGAGAGTCGGAATATTCGAGCCAGTGCCATGATCCTTTGACTATAACTGCACAACATGGATCTAAAGATGCACTCAAACGCATGCTAGAAGGATGTGACATTAGTCCACCCAACTTTGGACCCTGTAGCGTGGATGAGACAGCGTGGCAATTGATCCTATCCGGGAATACCACCGCGTTGGGAATATTGTTCTTTGACAAGACCACTGGCCCAAATATTCAAGTTTATGGCTGTTCCGAGAAGCTATGTCTCACTGGGATAAATCGGAGAACAAGGAACGAGACTTGCTTTTCGCCTTTCTTGTTGGCCTTGCCAGAAAGGTTGTCGACATTATGGTCGAAAAGCAATGGGGCAACGAACTGCTTTGCCAGGTGGCGAAGATGGGCTGTCTGCCTATTATCGAGATGCTATTCGACGAGGCTGCCCACAATGCAGGATTGAAGGAAGAGTTGCTTCGCGATCGCATTCGGGATCCTCAGGCTCGTCCCGGCGAATGGGGCACCCACCAGTCAGTCGGCGAGGCCGTTTTGCACAATCATGTCAACATTGTTGTGTTTCTTCTAGAGCAAGAGGGTATCGATGCTCACAAGCGGCATAGCAATAAGAATGGATACATTGTATTACATTTGCTTGCCCGTAACTTGAATCCGGAGATGGTGCAGCTTCTGGCATCACACTTGCAAGAGGACATCAACCAAGTGGAGAACGATGAAACAGCTTTGACGAGAATACTTTTCTCGACGGTTGGTGCTAAAAATCGTTTCCTTTGTGCGCAAATACTCCTTCAAGCTGGTGCCGATCCAGCAATTCCCGATAACAGACCTTTCCGGAGGGCTGTCAAGACGAATGACTATGACATGTGCCGTCTCATGGTTGACATCGGCCACGCTGACCATTTATCTGTCATGGCTAAGGATGAGAAAGGACATTATTATCTCAAGGACCATATGCATGACAGGACTTTGGAGCCTGCAATGATACGCGACTTATGTTCTTTAGCTAGACTTGTTCAAGATCGCCCTCCGAGATCTTGATATCCTTCAATAACATTTGGCGTGCCTGCCTCCATTTCGGCACCCAAAACCTAAAACCTTTGGACCACTCTATACCTAGTAGATAAATTTTGTGTGCAGTAAGTTGGGAATTGTGCTGAACATTAAACGTACAGTTGCAAATGTATTCTTAGTTGTGAAACGGGAAGCAAGCGATCCGGTCCTTGAAAACGTGGCGCTATCCCTAAAGCCACTCAAGACTTGAAGTTAGACATAGTAGTCAGCGACCATGCGCAAGGATCCAACTTCGTCATTCCATAGTAATCGGTCTCGCAGTACAGATGGAGATAATAGGGAGAGGTGCTCCCTGCTCAGTGGAAAGATTTAGTTAGACAGTTGCACTTTATTCCGAGGTCTTATGCGCATATCGCAGAGGTCTCACTAGGAAAGTTTTAATACAGTTCAGTCAGTATCCACCGTCGTGACAACATCATGGCTTGTGGAAAGTCGTCGTGCGATTTCATCAATGCCACATCGTTCGACTTCGCGCATTGCGTGATATCATCTTCTGCGATGGGAAGCTCATGGGCTGAACGGCCACATTGCACTTCTCAACATCTAAAGAAGCGCAAGTTGCAATAATCAACCCATTTTTCCGTCTTCATTCTACTAGGCCGATGCTGGATTGTTCCTCATGCATAGGTGGTAGAGTTTTCTCTGTGACTCCAATTCCAGCTCCCTCGGAAAATTCAAAAGCCAAATCATCGAGCTCGCATGAACTGTACCTTGCAGAATAGATGAGGAACCCACTGAACATGAAAGGACCCGACCATTGGGTAAACGTGGATGGAACAAGCCCTTGTATCCAAGCCACGGTTGTAGCCAGTGGCAACGTGTTGTACCAAAAAATGTCGAAGGTCATGCGTAGAACGGAGTACAACACACTACGCTAAGAATTTAGCATAAATAGGATCCTACTACCGGGAGATGAGCCGCAGGCCCCTTGTCCCGATCAGGACGCGGTAACGAATGCCGTGCTGCACCGTTGATCTCTTTTCCCCACACGACCCGGGTTACGATCTCCACGTTTAATGTACCCAAAACTCCCAGTCCCAGATGTGGATGCTACACCAGGTTTCAACGAGACAGCCAAGATATTGCAGCGAAAAATTCACGAGACGGTCTAAAGGCGAGCTAAACTTGACCTATACTCTCTTCTGACGTCTACCACTCGGATCTCGGAGCCATGACACTTCTCCCAATCGAGTTTGTCTCCCTTTGTCCGACTCTGGCGAGGTATAATTACCTGCGTGGTATCCCCGGTAAAGATCATCTGACTCGGATGCCAAGACAAATCTGGGAACTCGATCAAGCTTCTCCTTCAGAATCCAACCCCAGCCCACAATGAAGACTGCTGCCGTCCTTCCTATTCTTGCCAGCCTGGCTAGCGCCAACCCTCTCAACATTGAGGAGCGGCAAAGCTGCCCTGGCGTCTATGTCTTCGGAGCGCGGGAGACCACCGCACCCGCGGGCTATGGTACATCGCAAGGCCTTGTCAACATGGTCGTCCAAGCATACTCTGGCGCCCAGTCTTCAGCTATCAGCTATCCGGCCTGCGGCGGCCAGTCGAGCTGCGGTGGTGTTAGCTACGATTCATCAGCATCTCAGGGCACTACTGCCGTTATTTCTGCGGTAAACAGCCTGAACTCACGATGCCCCAACACCAAGATAGTCCTCATTGGCTACTCCCAAGGTGGTCAGATTATGGATAACGCTCTATGCGGTGGTTCTGGTGCGACTTTGACAGGCAATGCCCTCAAGGCTGTCAAGGCGGCCATTTTCATGGGTGACCCACACAACGTGGCCGGGCTTCCTTACAACGTCGGAACCTGCAAGGCTGGTGGCGTAAGTCTTTTTCTGTGCAGTTTGGCTATTCCCTGTCTAATTTTATGCTGTAGTTTGCTGCTCGCCCAAGTGGCTTCAAGTGCTCACCGGCGGACCCGTCTATCATCCAGTCGTACTGCGACTCCACGGATCCATACTGCTGCAACGGAAACGATGCAAACTCACATCAGCAGTACGTCAACAAGTACGGCCAGCAGGCCTTGTCTTTCATCAAGAGCAAGCTGGGTTAGATGTATGCATTGAAAGCGCTTGTCAGGCGATTCTGCGCGTTGCTTTCACTTTGACGTCATTGGCTTTTTAGGACATTTGCAAGAGACAACAGATTCCTTCTGATGGATTGCCAATTTCAGGGTAGCTTGCGTACGTATTGAATGGGAATCATATCATCCATGCCGATAATATATGTTTTGAGTTTGTGATGTGGAAAGTCAGAATCGCCACTCAGTGACAGAAGGGCCTCCACGATATTGAAACCAGAAGACCATGGGTCAAACTTGGTTCCTTCACGAGTTCCAGCACGCTCTGTTTTCCATTGCAATAGTTATGCGATGGTAACCGAGGCCCAAAATATCACTCCATCGACAATCTATGGCAAAACCAGAAAGCCGCAAAATCTTAGCAGCATGGGAGATCCCAGCGATCCATCTCGAAACACAACGGCATTCCACACAAGATCGGGCCCTTGCTGCCTCCAACCGGGAAATTGACTGCAAGGGAGAGATATAAAGATACGACTAGGTCGATATATGGTGCGTATATCCCATCACGCGCAGTGGAACTCGGGATATGCTGTCCGGAGAGGGGCATCCGGCTGCGGGGAAGGGGCTGCATATAAGGTTTATGGCCTCCCCCAGCGGAAAGATAGATAGATTTAATATAGCCAAACGCCATCTAAATAACCGTTGAAAACAACATCAGGATCATCATGAATTCTTTCTCGAGGGCTACATTAAGGACAGCAAGGCCGATCCCTGTCAAACCGAATACTACTCAATATAGTGTTGTGGCATCCCGACTTCGCTTGGCCCCGCACCAATTTTGCAGAGCGTCGAGTTCGTCAGAACACCAAAGGGAGTCCAATACAGGGAAAAGTGCTATTGTGACCGGCTCAAGCCGAGGTATTGGCAAGAGTATTGCTCTGCGGCTAGCCACCGACGGGTATGATGTTTGTATCAATGATATTGGTGCGAACGCCGAAGGTTGTATGGAAGTTGTCGAGGAGATTCGTGCAATTGGAAGGAAATCATGCTTTGCAATCGCAGACGTGTCCAAACGAGGCGAAGTCGCAAACATGATCCAGACCAGCGTTAAAGAACTAGGGCCCTTATCAACGATGTAAGCAGCATACTGACCGCGAATGAATCATCGTTTCACCTGCTTTACTAACTCGCACGAGGGTCGCAAATGCAGGCATTGCACAAGTGAAAGCGCTGCTAGATCTCACCGAGCAGGATTTTGAACACATGCTCGCCGTGAATGTTACGGGCTTACATAATTGTTATGCCGAAGCGGCAAAACAGATGATAAGTCAGCATGATCGTACCCCAGATAACCCAGGCAAGCTCATCGGGGCGGCTTCTATTGTTGCATTTAAGCCTTTCGCCTTGCTCTCTCACTACAGTGCAAGTAAGTGGGCAGTAAGAGGCTTGACACAGGCATATGCTATAGAAATGGCAGAGCATAACATCACTGTTAATGCATATGCGCCAGGGATCGTCGGAACAGCCATGTGGGAGATCATTGATTCAGAGCTGGCAAAGAAGAAGGGGCAGCCAAAGGGCTCAATGATCAAGAAATATGTACATGACTCCACGGCTCTGGGTCGCGTGAGTGTCCCCGAGGATGTTTCAAAGTTGGTCAGCTTTCTAGCAAGCAGTGACAGCAATTTCGTCACCGGCCAAACCCAGGTGGTTGATGGAGGCATTATTTATACTTGATTAGAAGATCATGAATCCTTGTAAGCAAATGACCGACTTGGGGCTAGTACGCCACAAGGTACAACATTCAGGTGTCTGCCCCCATCATTTGTGGATATTTACTCCAAGGAGCCTTTAAAAATGTCTGGGTGACGTGACAGAATTTGTACAAAAAGGTACCAGATGACTGGCAAATCTGAAATGGTCTACTTAGGTACCTGAAGGAAGTGAATAGAACTTGAGTGAATCTGATATATTCTCGTTTGGTGGAAACAAGACTACTTTTCTGCGCGTTCGTGAGTCGAACCCAATGCAGTCAAATTTCCGACTCTCTTGAATGTTTTTGACACATTGCGGCATCTCTCGCGTCTCTCAATCATGGCCTATAGACTTCGATCATCGGTCCGGATGCCACTTGGGGATGCTCCGGCCAATTTGAAGGATCTCTGGTGTCTTTCTACCGTCGTTGAGTCCTCATAGCTTGGACTCTCGTACAGACAGGGAAGCCTTAACAACCACCCCACGTACACCCTGCTTTGCGTAGTCTCTCAAGACTCGTCTCAAAATCTTCCCACTCGCGCTCTTTGGAATCTCATCAATGAATTCCACTTCTCTGACCCATTTATGGCGAACTTTTTTCTCCTCCACGTATTTCATAATTTGTCGCCCTGTGGGTTGATCTCTCGGAAGCCCTTTTTTGAGCACTATATATGCTTTTGGACGCTCGCCGGCTTGGTCGTCAGGAATGCTGAGCACGGCACAATCCTCAACCTTTTCGTGACCAAGTAGCAGGTCTTCTAGCTCCGCTGGCGCAACACCGATTCCCTTGACTTTGATCAACTCCTTGATGCGGTCAGTTATGGTGACGAATCCTTCGGTGTCGATGACCCCTTGGTCTCCCGTATGCAGAAACCCGTCGTCATCGAAGGTGTCACGGGTGGCCTTTTCGTTGTTCAGGTAGCCCATCACAACTTGTGGACCCCTTGCAAGAATTTCGCCAGGCTCTCCAATATCAGCTTCAGTGCCATCATCCTTGATGATTTTGACCTCCGTGCTCGCCACAATTTTACCGACACGATGTGCATATTTCCAATCATAAGCGTTCGGTGGATGGGCTGTGATGCAAGAACAGCTCTCAGTCATCCCATACCCTTGCTTGAACCCTGTTCCGGGAAATTTACGCTGAAGGAGTAGCAAAATCTCTTCCGATACAGGAGCCGCGCCACTAGAAAATCGCTTGATACATCGAAGATCGTACTTGTCCACAACAGGATCTCGAACTAGGCGGATGAGAATAGGGGGAACAAGCAAGACTTCGCGCATCTGGTACCTGGTGATCGTAGACAACATCCCCTCCATCGAGAATTCGGGAAGCATAATGACTTCTGCGTTGATGAATATTGGCAGATGAAGGCTATGGACCAGACCAGTAATATGGAACAGGGGTAAGGCGCCTAGGACTTGGGTATGATCTTCTGTCGTAAGTTGCTGCACTTGCAGAGATTGGGCTATAACATTTTGGTGGGAAATCATGACCTATTGAGCGTCAATTAGTGCAAGGAAGAACCCAGGGGCGGAGCAGTGGCTCACAGCTTTAGGCAGTCCTGTTGTTCCGGATGAGAAACTGAGAAAACCGCACAGGTCTTTATTCTTCATCCTATCCGGAAGCCGAAATTCTGGGACTTGACCCCCACTGCCAAATGACTTTCCAAATGCTATCAGTTCCTGTACGGTGCTATAACCAGGAAGCTCTCCTTCAAGAAGGATTACGTTTGACTGCGGGATTCCGGCATTTTTGGCTGCTTGTACTGCAACATCCATTGACGTCGGGTGCGTGGCAAGAAACTTCGCATTTGCAGTGCGAAGAGCGTACGTCATCTCCTCAACATTATAAGCAGGTGAGGCGCCCGATACCACTCCTCCTGTTCCAAATTAGCATCTGAAAACTGTGCAGGGTTCACAACATACCTATCCGAATGGCCGCGAATAAAGTTACGGGATACCAGATCGAGTTCCTGCTGAACAGGGCTATCGTATCACCGGCCTTGAAACCGTATCTTTTGGCAAGCGCAGTTGATATATACGTGGCCGCATCCTTCACCTCCTTCCACGAGATACGCTGCCCTGTGGAAGCATCAAGATAACCAGCCAGGTCCTTTTCAGCGAACCTATTCAACGGTGAGTGAGTTGAGTTGTCTCCGAACAGCCATTCGAAAATGGTTATATCCGTGGGCAAAGCAATGTCGGGATGTTCACTCCGAAACACAGGCATTTTGGGCAGCGCGTGGAATATGATGGAAACAACTATGTCGAACGAAGAGAAGACTGATGTTAACAATTCTGACTGTGTGCCAAGCAACCCCCTCATGCATTTGTATACCACCCCACACTTCCCCGCAATGTGCTGCCGAGGCCGTAGAAGCGATGTGCAAGGCTTTATAAGCGTATGCCGTCAGCGTCTTGGGGAATCCCTGACATGGTGCATTGCGGAGACGCCAAGGTACAGGATGCTTTAGCTTCTCTAGATCCGCTCAACTACGTTGCTCAGGCACAATTTCTGTCACCCTATACTTTCAGCAAATATTCCTACCACTTAGACTGAAAAAGGATTTGAGAACAAATTCTTTGGGTCCATTTTGGCCTTGAGTGCCTTCAATTTTCTGTAGAGACTGGGGCCGTAGTAAAGATTGTGTGCTTCAGTCACAGACAAGGTCGGATCAACATAGTTTTCGTAGGCCTGATAGCCAGGAACGCCTTGCGACAAAGCGTCATTCAAGTTGTTTATGTAGTCAATCCCTTCGCCTGGAAAATCGGCATCATTGTCGACATAGGCGTAGTGCTGGGCAACCCAGAGGCCAGTCCTGTGCTCGAAGGCTGCAAAGTTAACATCCTGAAATTGAGTTAGCCTGATGCTCTAACCGAACTTTATTCTAAATTGGTAAGATAGAGATACAATGAGGAACTTGCCTTGGTATTAATTTGGCCATCGGCACCTCCATATAGGTCGAGGAAGGCATAGAAAGGCACGGGCGAGTCTGTGTTCAGAATGTGGCTCAGGTAGTTTTCCAAAGAGTCTTGAGTTAATCCGGGCTCGGGCACTATTACACTCTTTGCGAAGAAGTTGCTCTGGTCCTTGTATGGGCTTGAAATCTCCAGGGGCTTATCGTCATTCAAGTCCTTCAGCGAAGACAGCCAGTCAAGTTCACGAGCTTGAACTGAAGGATTCGGCAGTCCTTTCACCATGGCTGGCTTGATATTTGCATTGAAGTCTTTGAGCGTCCCGAGGTAAGTGCCGCTGATTATGAACTGGTTCCACTGCAGTGACAAGCTGAATGCAAGTTTCCTATCCACGGCTTTGGAATTCTTATTGTGTACAAAGTCTTGGATTGTTAAAAACGCAGCAACTGCGGAATCGGTGCTTTGCATCGCGTCACTGATGTCAACGTTGAAATTGACGACGGTGGAAGGGGCAGCCTGAGTTTGAAGGTAGAAGTTGACAGCGATGCCCATAGAGTCGGCAGCACCACGCATTCCCTGTCCGTGTGAGCATGTATAGGAAGTTTCCCCTTTAGGGAATAACTTACGTAGTAAACATCTGAGTTCTGTTTTGATGTAGCGTACAGTGAAGTACCGTTCGCCTGAGTGGCATAATCAGTCAGCGCTTGATCTCAGTCGATCGCTGGCGAGGTTTCCAGCGCCACACCATTAAGAACCAGGCTGGAACTTCTTCCATGCAGGTCTTCAACTGCATACAGCGGATATGCGTCTGACTTACAAGAACAACGTCCAAACCAACAATCTGATCCATTGCAAGTCCCCAAGCACGACTAGTGAACCCATAACCGCCATGTGTGAAATGCCCACCAATTCCCACTCCAGCACAAGTGCCATGGGCTAATGCTCTCTTTCCTTGCTTGTATAGTGCTGTTGCCATGTTTCCTAGTCTGATCCCTCCGGCAACTCTGGCGATCCCTGTCTTGGAGTCGACGATGACACTTTGAAAGTTTTGCAAGTCAATAACAAGCGCACCGTCAACGCCTCCACTGCTAAACGAGGCGTACGAGTGGCCCCCCGATTTGGCTTGGACCTTGAATCCATTCTGGTCAGCACAGAAGAGAGCGTTGGATATGTCCTGAACGGTTTTGGGAACGGCAATAGCAGCAGGTGTCACCGGGACCCGGATGTTATACGTTGCAGCGTAAACATCCCAGTCGTTATCGGAAGGCCATTTCGTCGGGACCTTTTTCGTCGTACCGAGGCACTTCCGCAATTTTATGCCATCGGCTCTGGCAATACTCGCGGTGGCTCCTTCTTGACCCGCTCTCGCGGTCAGCGCGTTCCCAACGAAGGCAAGTCCCAGGGTGAACAGCAGAAAGGGTGCCATGCTGAATAGTGATCTTTTGTTTTGCAGAATTTATTCGAACTGTTCTACATGATTCTGAGTGGAAATTGGGCCTAATGCGGCTCATTAATAGAAGGATGCAGTGCCACCAAGGTGACTGGACAAGCCTGCAAGTTTCTCAAGCTGCACGTACAATATTTGCTCACATCATTGCACGCTTGCATTGGTCGTTAGGTTACAGCCTAGAGAACCTAACCCAGAATATGTTGCGCCCAGGGACCCAATCACAGCATGATCTCTAGTTCATCAACTCTATTCCTTACGCTGTCGTTAAGAATAAAGAGGGGGAATTGAATGCGGGCTAGCATTCTTGCTTTAATCACCAACAGCCACAATCCAGTGTATCATCCGCTAGGTTCCAATTTCCATGGGAATAATTCACTGGTACGAGGTGTGAATTGAAGATTTGTTATTGTGGGGTTTCCCAAGAGGACTGCACTGAATTTAGGACTATACTACCTACCAGGAATATGCAACGGTCAAGTTGAACCTAGTCCAATCTGCATAACCCTCCGCTGCTTCAGCTTTGACATTAGGATTATAATTAAGTATGTATAGATTGGAAGGCCGTTCGGTACAAGGCCATGGGTATCTCGGTAGACATGATACAATTATATACAATTAATTCCCTTGCGCATGACTGCCTATCGCTTCTGTCGGTCCTGGTACTGGATCCACTGCTCAACAACACTGGCGATCTCCAGGTTATTAAGCTCGAGATGTCCAAAGTGGCCGTTGCCATGGATGCCGACTTCTCCAAGCTTGATCCAGTCGGTTTTAACACCAGCTTGGTTCAGGTAATTGATAACACAGTGATCGTAGGTAGCATGAACACTAGCCTCGCCAGTCGTGCATAGGTATGGTACTTTGGCGATCTGAGGCAACTTGCGCGCCGGCTCGGTCTGGATGTAACATCTGCGCTTCGCAAGCGTATCTTCACCATCCCATTCCTTGGATAATTCAGAAGAGTTGGTCACCGGGGGATCATAAGTCAAGGGAGTGTTTGCCAACCCCCACGGGCGAATCGAAGACCCGCTGTTAAGGGCAGAACCGTAGTTCCAGAAGGGTTGCGTCGAATGCTCCAAGTTGATGTTACCAGCGACAAGGTCTGGACAGTCGTTGGAGAGAAGAATGGGGTATTGAGCACCAGAAGAGTGGGATATGAGGTATGATGGGCCAATCAGTGAAAGCAACTTGCATCCAGAGGCACGCATAGAAAGCTCTCCCATAGTCCAGTTGCTGGTGAAAGGAATTACACCCTTGCTGAACTGGTCAAAGTAAGGGTCGCCCTTCTGGCCTGTGCCAGGCCATTGAGTGTGCAAGGTAGCCTGAGGATAGGTCGGGTTAAGTTCGGGAGCAGTGAAACCGGCTTGAACAGACTCAACGCCAGTAGAGTTCCAAAGTGTATACTCTGACGTAGCCTCCTGAGAGGATCGTCCAACACCAGTGTGGTCCTATAGACACGCTGTTAGTCATTCTATTGGTGTATGAATGGGAAGTACAATTTGGTTCTTTTCCGTTAAAAGGGGAGTCTTAAGAACCAGTAGGACGTGGCGTGACGGAACGAATGGGATCGCCAAATTTTACATTACTTACCAGAAGATAGACCTGATAACCCTTCTCGATGAAATGAGAGGCGAAGCCTTTACGTCCATCAGGGGTGTTCAGCCAAGTAACACCGGACACAGCACCACCATGGAAGAAGACAAGTGGGTTGGGGTGCTTAACGCCACAAGTGGGAGTGAGCTTCTCAACATACAGTCTAATTGGTCGGGTGTATTAGCCGTGATCGCATACTGGTTGGACCAATGACGGACGGCAAGACAGTGGGCGACTTACTGATCAGCAGTGATGTTACCAGTTGCCGTGCTGATAAGGCGGCCACCAACGTAGTAGACGTCTCGCGTGTACTTGACCTCATTGGACCGGCATTTTGGCGAGATAGCGTTGACACCAGTGCAGTCCACGTTGTCGCGCGGGAGGGTAGCGGCCGACACAATGCCGGCAGCGGCAAGCAAAGGAAGAACGAACGAGCGGACCATGGTGTGACGCGCCAAGAGGAGTCAACCGGAAGTTTAAAGAGTGACAGGTTGGATGATGAGTACAGGATAGGGACGGCAACAACAAGGTGAGGGCGCCACGAATAATTAAAATACAACGGTCGGCTGCATCCGCTGGCTAACCGATGGCTGGCAGGGTTGCTCCGCTATGGGGCGACGGATGCTGGCGGACATTACAACAATGCTCTAGTGTTAGCACATGCACTATCGCCCGTTGAAAACCACTAAACAGATCACTAGAATCAACGAACTACCTACCTGATGGGAAGTGCAGCTCGTAGCCCTACGAGGGACACCGCCCAGAACCTATGGCAGGGACCAGAACTCGGCCAGAAACCGTCCGATTGTTGGCGGCTGGCCTCCATAACGAGCGACCACCAGTAGTCGGCCAGGGCCTACCCCAGCCGACTAACGGGACGGCGGGTCCGATAGGAGTCTTGGTCAAATTTCCCCGTCTCCCGCCTCGGAAAATTTGCTGCCTGACGACATAACTTCCAGATTCAATAAGGACAACAATTCGCATGCGTGGAGTAGGCTGGATGCTGAAAAGAGCCTAGACACTGCGACCACTTGGAATATTCCAGTGGAAATCCTGCCCCCCAGGGTTGGCTCAGAATTTTAGCAACTATCAAACGCAAATCTGCAATAAGAATTGGATCCTGGCAACTCGGTCTATTCTGGGAAAACACATGTCCCAAGTGGAGAGGCTTGAAGCCCACGATAGCCAGGGACGGAGAAATGGGCTGTTGTTGACACATTTGAAGCTAGACCTTCAGCCGAGAGAATGGAAAATTTTAAAGATTCCTCACTGCGGAGGCTGTTCGAAATGCTCTGCAAGATAAGGAGAAAATGGCGGGGTGTTGAAACCCGCTGATATTCCACTGGGAAAGAAACCTAAATCAGGACCTCGATACCCACAGTGGGAAAATCACTTAAGGTGTGCCACGATGGCTGTTGTGACAAGTCGAAATTTGGAGACTGATCTGCTGTCAGATCTCTGAGAGCTAGATAATAAGATCTGTTAACGATCGACTTAAATCCATAACCTTACACCAACCAGGCAGTGATCAACTGGCGACGAACGAAGTCGCGTTAACAAGTCACTCTGTCGGAAGATTTCCCATTCTATGGAGAGGAGCTTGGGGAAGGCGTTATCCCACACCTGGGCGGAGTCGGGCCGCAAGTTCCACACTCTCTAGTGGATCCATCCAGATTCCTTTTGCACAGACAATACGAAATTTACTCCTCTTATGCTCAAGACTAACTGTTCTAGATGTGATCTCCGTACGTAGGCAGTTGGACGAGTGGGACAATCGAACCAGTGCCACTTTTTCACCCGATACTAGCTAGATTTGACTTGAAACGAAGTTGCCATCGCCGAACGATAACGTATACTTTCCTACGTCGGCAATGCAGTGCGGACACCCGATTTCTGGATTGCAATTCGGGGTGCGGATTACACAGCGGCCGACGAATGTTAGAGAGATACTGGCGAGACTTGAACATTCGGTCTAGATGTAGCTGATGTGTCAACAGGGACCATCCTGGTAGCTAACAGTGCATAGACACGGCAGGGGCTTGTTAATAAAACCTCGACGTTGGTCCAATTTTGTACCCCCATGTGGCGTGATGCAGGAGTGTGGTTGCAGGCATTGTGACTGGTTCCAGAGCTCCGGTAGTACGGCTCGCTTAGCTCCTTCTCTGCTCTATGGAACAATATCCCGTGCTGTCAAGCGCGCCGTGTCAAGCATGCCAGCAACGATAGATAAGCCGAACTGCATTGGAAGCCTGTCTCTCGGGATTCCTGAGCACCAAACTTGATCTACGGCTGTCGCTGAATGCAGGCGTCCTCAGTGCAAAGGAGACTACGAAGCCAGGCCCTCTTATTGGCTGGTAAGTTTGCGAAAACGAGACCCCCAGCACCCAGGCATGGTGACAACCCTCACTAAAAACACCCTTGATACGCACCCTAGAATTACGTTTCCTGGTACGGAGCAGAGGTCCTGCTTGCATTGCGGGTCGCCGAAATCAACCATTGCTTCGAGTACACATGCTCCGAAATGTTACAGGTGGTCCGTCTCCTTTGGTCCACCCTGATCGTGCTGCGTAACACGGCAGGTTGTCAATTCGCGGCCTGCGAACTAATCCGCATCTAATTCGCAAGATTTTGGGTTGCCAGGGGTGAGTTCCGCGGATGGAGTCGACTTGAAAATTCCTCAATTAACCTTTACATATCATTCGACTTCCAAAGCCTGGCAGAACCAGGAATGTGCGTCGCTTGTGTGCTCCTGGCAAAGCAGCATAACTGGCGATAACCGAAAGTCTGGAATCCACCCCAGCCGGCGATTCTCGAGGAGTATTTGATGGCCACCAGACCCAGTCAACTACGACACCGATGAAGATCGTCGCTGGCTATTGCTGTTCCTGGTATTATCATCGCTTGCCATGTCGACTTCAACGTCGGCCTTCATAGGCCAGCCACCAAATACTGAGCGTGATTATTACATCGTCCGCGGTTTCTTGCGTGGTGTCGGACTCGGCAAGGTCGATCCAGCTTTGGGATACACACGAGCGGCCAAGAAACCGTACGATGACTACACCTATACATCCAAGACGCCGGGGATTATTACAGGCCTGAGCATTGTAATAATAGCCATTGTGCTCTCAACGGGTACGAGACTATTCCTCAGAGCCTCCATGTCGCAGATGCGCTTCGGCGCTGATGACTGGGCCACGATTGCTGCTGCTGTAAGTGATCTCGCCCTTCGTCGTGTTTAGCGCTGAACATCCTTTGGCTGCGTGCCTTTACCCACCATGCTAACTGATACGGTTCCTAGGCTATGGGTATTACCTACACCGTGTGCCAAATCATCATGGCTACTCGAGGTGGTGGCAATCACATCTGGGACGCTACATACGAAGATTACAATGTTTTCAACTACTACGGAGTGATCGACAAGCCGATTTTCTACGTTACCGTCGGACTCGTCAAGGTTTCCCTTACACTCTTCATTCGCAGATTGGCAGATCGAAGCTCTATATTCTGGAGGTGGTTTTGCGACTTCTTTCTCTTCACTCTCTTCGTCTATATTAGCGCGGCAATCTTCTGGGAAATCTTTACTTGCAACCCTGCTCAAAGTCAGTGGGATAAACTTTACTCTGGACAACTGGAGACTGCAGCTACATGTCTACCAACAGCCATTCAGAGCAAGATTCTAAACATTACCCATGTGGTACAGGGCACCATTCTACTTTTATCGCCGATGGTAATTCTCTGGACTGTACGTATGGACCGCGGGAAGAAGAGGAGGCTTTTTATCATGTGGGGTGTTGGATTGGTCGCTGTGGTCTGTGGCCTGCTAAGACAGCTGCGTGCCGACTTTACCACTGACATTATGTGGGACTACACGGAGCTCCTTATCTGGACAGCGCTGGACGTCTGCGTCGGCATCATCACCATCTCTCTTCCAGTGATGGATGCCTGGCTTGCGGGAGCTTGGCGCGGTGCCATGACCAAACTAGGAAAGACATACGGCCATGGAAGTCGGGGCGGAGCTGCGGGCCAAAAGTACGGCCACAACACAACAGTGAAGAGTTCGGTCGCTGTGCAGACGCCCAGGAGGGACTACTCGGACTCCATTGAAGAAATCATCCAGAAGAGCCATGAAAACGACACTGAGCTTGCCACCATTGTCAGGACTGATGAGTACAACGTATTTTACTCCGAGGCTGGACCAGACTCGGACAGTGAGGACCATAGAGCCCCAGCAAAGGTCTACAGCAAGAGCAAGGTTATTGGTGTTGCCCATTGAATGAGCGCACCTAGCCACGAGACGCTCTTTGAGCCTTTGCAACGTTCCATGTATATATTCATCCATCCGTAACATATAGCTTGAGATACCCCTATACAAATCCTTTTGTCTGTCATAGTAAAGCTCCTTCCAGACTGTTATGTCCAATTCTTCGTGGTATCGACCACAGACCACCGAAATGGCCCCCAGAAAGGCCTTGATCAAACCCCGTCTGTTTTCATCAAGCCCTCAACTGCTCCCCTTCACGTCGGGGGTCGATGGCATGTCCCGTTTAACGTTCACTAGCGGCGTCGAAAGCCGTTGGAACCTCACCATCTAGCTCGAAGTATGCCCTGTACAAGAAAGTGGATCTATGTGGCCAGATCAGTAGTCCAGGCTGCCCGGATGATTTCAGAAATTGGCTCTTCAACGACTCCATCGCCCCACAAGCCAAGGGAGAAAGACCAGCCCAGGCCGCTACCGGGATGCGGACTTCAATGCCACAATGTCTATGGTCTGTCAGCCGGTAGTCGCCGCCTGGGGTTGATAGTTGGAATTCTCGCCGGCAGATGCTTGACTGGTTAAAGCGGAAATAATAACTGGAGTACAAAAGAGTTATAGCTCGAGGATAATCTAAGTGGATAGCGAACCCTAAAGTTGTTCATTTGACTGGGGTATGAGACTAGCCCGTAAGCCTTTTGTCTTAAAATCGTATTAGAATTGAAATCCCTGGAAATCTCAGAGTCCCCCCTAACGCTTTTATTACTTGTTGGAGCTTGGGCAGCCCACACGGCCTGAGTTGGGCAAGTCTGGTCGTGGAATAGCCCGACTTTGGTGCTAGGGATTAGAGATGCTGACCATGAAGCGTTGCACTTAAGACGGGTCCATGGCCATACATACTATTGACAACACCTGAAGAAGCGCTGACTCCGAGCCTGTGAAATAAGCGTGCCAGTATAATGATTATGGGTCACTGTTTGGTATGCGTAGACTAGTTAGTCATCAGGTCATGCTACTCGGCGTTCGCTTTAACCATAGATAGACAGACCATTACCACGTGTACAGGATCTCTCCTAAGCCTATATCTCACGATTTCCATTAGCTACATGGTGGAAATGCATCGAAAGTCTGCGCACAGAATTGATCAAGCCCCCATGGGATGCCTATGAATCTACCTCTCAGGATCAATCGATTGAGGGCATAGCACTGGATTAAACTCAGTCCTGGAAGGCAATCAAGGAAATTCTCGTGCTTCCTCGTTTGTTCTTGTGTTCCTTTATGTTTTTTTTGAGCACAGCATGCTGGATTTTTCCGTAGTAATTGTAAAATCTACCAGCCGTTCTTTGCGAAGTGAGAATGTCGCTTGTCCGGGTTCCACTTGTGGCCATATGGGTCATCCTTGAATGCCTCCTCCCAATCGCCACCACTGCAATCCTTCCCATCATTGTCAGCCTTTTCTTGCCTACCATGCTTTGTGACAGGGCGACCACCCATAGACTGTTGAGCAATCTTTTGCTGTCGATGCGTAATCGAACTAGACTTGCTTGCAGTGTCTTGGCGATAGGGATGTCCCAGGCCGAGCCCGGTCTGGGGCTTTGCTTGGATAGGTTCGATAATACCCTTGCCTTCCGGACCTAAGCCTCTTTGCGGGGCCCAACCAGAGCTCATCATGACCTTAGAGCCGAAGGGATACTTGGCTTGGTACTCAGCGAAGTTGGCCGCTGAATCCTGGATATTGGCAGTGGATATTGCTGAGGGTCGGTCATTAGGCCAAGGTTCTTCCGGGCTGTGAAAACCCCTGTGAAGTACCTGGGTTAGGGTTGAGGCCGGATTCTCGGTGCTGGATGACTCGCTCGATGGACTTCTGCCTTCACGCTCGTAGAACTCTGCATCTGCCTGCTTTATCATAGCTTTGATCTCCCCGGGGCTGCGGAGACGGACGATGTTGTCAACTTGCTGGCCGGAAGCCTGCACATGCGAAGATTCCAAGCCACTGGGAAGGTTGGAGCCTGTCACCAAGGATCGAGCATGAGGCGGGGTATGACGAGTGGTCGACTTTGTGCGAACCATAGGCTTGTCATCCTTATCAAAACTGTCAGTGACTTCGCCGGCTTTAAGTGATAGTGAACCTACCACGTCGGGCAGGAGGTCGGCCGGCACTGTCTTGTAATGGCCGATAGTATTACTGGCAGCGTCAAGGTCACCGGAAAACAAGCCATCTAGTTGAGTCGTAGCCGGGGGTGCCCCGATGGCTTTTCTGTCCGTAGGCGGCATTTGGGGGAGTGCTTTGATGAGCTTGCCGAGCACATTCTTCTCGAGGATAGTCAGATGGGCGTGTGTCTCATAGTACTCTTTGATCTGGTTGGGGGAGCTCAGTATTGGATCGAGAGGGCTACATGGCCTTACGTCGAACTCACCGACAAGAGCAGGCGGCGACCGAGTTCACCATCGTGCTTTCCGTCGTAAGCCTCGTTGAAGGCATCCCTGAGACTTGCCTTATCGGCGACCTCGAGCTCTGACAGCTCCAAGAGGTTCTCTAAGACCGCGATGGACAGATGAGACATCTTCACAGTCCACTATTACACATCTTTCGATTAGTAAAGCCAGGTTTTACTCATTACCACTCTGAACTCGAAGATGATGATGGCAGACGAGAAGAAAGTGTCAGGCGTTACCTGATTGACCTCATCATGCGCCATACTGGGAAGCTCGTCAAGAAGCGAGAGAAGGTTGTTTTGTATATGGGGGAAAAGTGTTCTCAGGATCAAAACGAAGCACAACAATGTAGCGAGGGATGTCGAGGTCTCCAAACGATGGATGAAAAACAACGCCAAGATGGCCAACATAACCGACGAGAAACGTGCTAATTGCCAGTAGACTACCTGAAAAAGCCGAATAACCATGACGTAGGAAGTCCTTCCGCCGACATCGTCATACCAGCGAGAACAAGTCGCTATATTTCAGCGCGGCCCGGCAGGGGGCTGTTAAACAGACAGCATTGACTCCCCATCTCCGTCGTTAATGGGCTCAGGTCACCCAGGTATGGCAACGGATCGTATAGATTGAAACCGGATACGGGGATCTGAACGGGAAAGTGTGGCGTCCTCGTTCTGTCAATGTGCCGAAAGGTCGGGTCAAACACAGTCGGTCCAAGTCGATCAACTGATTCGACGGAAAGGTGTTGTGCGGGATTGCAAAGGCGGCGTTTGGACCAAGAAAAATTTTGATGAGGGCTGAAAACATAACATACCTGAACAGTGATGTTTCAATAGGCGCTGGATTTGGTGATGGTACTGCTGCGACTGGGAAGAATCCAAGCCCTCCGAATGTCATCTAGGCTGATGATGATGTTGGGTGAAGGAAGGAAGTTTCTTGGTGGGACAGCAACTTGCGAGTCTCAAGTGAGTTGCAGTGCCCAGGTAGAAGCTGCAGCAGTACAAACGCTCTGCGGCTCGACCGCGCTGACAGCCGCACGATGATGTCGTCCGCGGCTGAGGAGTTGTCCCTGACCATGGTGTTGAGGCTCAAAGGCTAGCCGGCGACCCTCATGAATGTCATACACAATGCAGTTGAGCGGAGAAACTGGGGAAGATTGGTGATACCTGTTCCAAGGCGGCTCTTATAACTGGATATTAACGAGTTCGAGAAAGTTTGAACGATAAGGAATCTTGTTGTAGACGACGCTAGACTGCTGTCTGAAATTTGTACAAAGAGCGCAACATTGAACCTGATCTAAGCATCAACAATACAGGGATGTTCAAAGTGATATCTGGCTGTCGTTGGGAACGTCATCACGATCTAGAACGGTTGCAACAGCTTGTCTTCCAGGTCTTTGGTCTACCGTTGTCGTGTCGGGTGACCATAACATACTCGCAGGACTTCGTCCTGCCAGGAGGTAAACACATCGGTTTAGATCTAAGTTACGGAAGTTATGTATGTGTGTGTGTGTGCGCGTGAAAGTAATTACTCGAGGTAGCATCTGCTTCAGCATGCGGCGCCACCTTGTCCATTAACCTCTCGACTTTTGCGAGATGAATCTACTATCTATGGAGTTCTAGAGAACAATCTTCTGAATAGTGACTGTTATCGACAAGAAAGACCACCACGCAGTGAGTGACTTCTGGCTTGATGTTCAGAAGTGTGCAGAAGTGGCGCTATATGAAAACATCAAATGGGGCAATTTAAAACACTGAGTTCAGCGAAAATCTGTCCTCGGTCTTTCTACAGGCAGGTGCAACCATTTCTTTGGTAATCGAGAATGACGTCGAATATACATTCTGGACTCAGCGCCTCGTATAGCTTTCATCTTTCAAGTTCAATGCTCTTGAGGCTAACCCATGATCTAATTTGTCTTTGCAGGCTCTGATTGACGATTGCTATATGTGGGATTCGCTGCTCCATACTGCTATTTCGATGTCAATGGCCAAGCCAAAGAATCGTGCGAGAGTAATCTTTGGCATCTTTTTCTCAAGCCACGTTACTCTGTTGGTCAACTGTTCCTTCACGTCACGTCACGTGTGGTCACTTCTGTCTGGCCGATAATTTAAATAGTCTAGACTTTTTACCATGGGCTCCTCGTCTTGGACGGGTCAATTGCAGTCTGGCTAAAACGACTGCCCCTGATGTTCCCGCCCGGTGCTGAAACTGGTTCACGTTCACAATTCTGAGAGCACCTCGGTTGAGCTCTCGCAAGATTGATTGCAGTATATTTAAGGTGAATCAGTTTCTATTTGCTATGGACCACCTCTACTTGAATAAACATGTGTAAAAACAGGCTCCAGGATTCATTCGCAACATTGTACGGACTTGTGGCGTTTAGAGCTTGCCCAGCGCTTTTGGTGCCGAAAGGTAGCCGCTTTAGCGCGCAGCTCACACCGGCGGTGGCGATGTGGCTGAGGTAGGGAAGCGGCGTGGCCGGCGTTTTGTTGCATCATGCTGCTGACGGACAGCCTGCTGTTTTAAATGGATGGCGACCATCTTCAGAGCCTCGCGCTACTAAGACCACTGGTCTCTTAACTTAGTTAGCCCCATCGCCTAGTACTCATGGCACCATAGTCAAGGATGTAGCGACGGACCTCGTGCCAACTACAGCCATCATATAAGCTTGAAATCACTGCGTCAGGACTTGTGACCAAGACACGCAATTGTACCAACCGGATTTTGAGTTGAAAACCCCCGTAACCAAGAGCTGGAGGTGCTTCGCGGCGAGTCGCAGAAGTAGGCGCTTCTGAAGCACACCCACCCGCTCTGTTGCACTCTACCTGCAGGTACCTACATACATACGAGGAGCACGAATGTTTGATGTGTGTTCTGCTATGCAAGACCCGCATTGATATATACTCGCCATACCAACATCTTAGACAATTAGCGGTTTATCTGACCTCAGATGTTACTCGTCAGCGCAAATCCCCCCTTGCTTTCAAAATTGCAAATCCAACAGATTCATTCAGCGCGTTGATGGGATTGAATCCTCTGGCAATCAGAAGGTGTGTAAGACGGAGGACACAGTACAGGCCCCCCACCATGGCGAAGCTGATCGGCCCCGGCCCAACACCGTAGTCAAAAAGATAACGGGCAAGCAGTCAGGTGAAAAGGAAGGAGGGGGTGTTGCTGCGCCGTGAGACAACATAATTACCACGGCTGTCCAAGCTCAGCCACAGCTGCGTAGGCTGCTGCAGAGCTGCATGTACTGCCTCTCGGTCAGTAATCTCTTTGTACGTACGCGCCTGACCACTGCTGTGGCAAGAAATCCGCCGCATCGAGTTCGCGGGGTCCCGCATATCTTTCAGCACAGCCAAGACCGGCGGGATCTTGCACTCTACCTTTACCATGCCTGGTGCAAAAAGTTCAACACGGCAAACTCTTCACATGTCCTGCGAAACAATGGGTGCAGATGGCAAATCGTCCAACTAATACCACGGATCCACCCTCGTTCGACTTCCAAACCAGCTTTTCGGTGTCATACCCAAGAAATGCCTCCCGCGACTTGCTGCAACGGCAATCGAGACAACCCTGGGACCGTCACTGGCCCTAGTTGCTTCTTGCAGCAAATTGGTCCTCAGAATGGATGGACAAGATCATAAGTCCCTTCGTAAATCATGCATTGATGAACTCGCGGGCAAGATTCAAGATGCCATGAAGAGAGGCAACGACGGGGAGCGAGCCTTCTGCTGTCATTCCAGCCTGAGGGCGATATGGAAAGAGAGGCGTCTACAACAGCTCTTGTTTGACAACAGACTCACTGACTCACAAATTGACTTTCTATGGAAACACTTGCTAGGCTTCTTGTCTTTCATTGTTTGGGCTGAGATTCCAGATGACGACTGGTTCTCAACTTTCAAGAGCCGAATCTTCTCTCCTCCAGATACCACGTGCGCACGGTTCATCGACGACCACCTCCCGCTTGATTTGGAGACACTCAAAGGGTTAGGGTTCAAGTCTCATCGCGTGGAAAAGTTTTGGATAGACCAACACCGATTCGTTCCAGCTGTTCTTGACTTCAGCATCCAGCGTGATACACAAAAGATCGGCCCGCATGTCCGGCTCCCGTTTGAATTTCGGGCGGAAGAGGATAGAAGAGGAGGATATGGGTTGATCGAAGTACTTAATCGAACGTTCTCGTACACTTACGTAGGCTGACTGATCCAACAGTTCTACCGAATTCCACCAGAGTATGTTCAAAGCAGTATGTACGGCCACGCTACTTGGAAGCCGAATGAGCCCTACGCAGTTGCTGTCAAGTCATTTAAGGAAGGCCGTACAGATGCGCAAAGGGAGGTAGAGACATTGTGCAGGGTGAAAATGACACTGCCAGGCGACTTGTATCGAATCACCCTCCATCACACCATTATCGAGCAGGATATGCAATACTATATTATCCTTCCCTTAGCTGACTTAGGAAACCTTGACCAGTTCTTGCGTGCACAGTCCGCAGTCAGCTCGAAAACGTACTCTCTACAGCCAAAGACTTTCAGAGAACGATTTCCCGATCTTCCTAGTCACACCGCCGAACTGGCTGGAGCGCTGCTTGAGCAGTGTGTTGCCATTGCCGACGCATTGAAGTGGCTTCATGCTGGATTTCGCGAAAACCAAAATTTGGTCTACCTTGCTCATATGGACCTCAAACCAGATAACATACTACTATTTGATGGGCATAGCGCGCCGGTTGGGTTCTGGAAGCTGGCTGATTTTGGAATATCAGTTATCAAAAAGATCCACAAAGGGGTGCAAGAGAGACAAACGATGCATACAGGAGCTCGGCGGCCGCAGAACACGTATCAGGCACCGGAGGTCGAAAAGAGTTGGCTTTCTGGTGGGTCTTCAAAGGTGGGAAGGAAAAGCGACATATGGTCGTTTGGTGCAATCTTTTCCGAGGTCCTTACCTTCGCCGAAGGAGGACCGTCATATCTAACGAAGTTTGAGAGGACACGACCTGGTATGCGACTCCCAGGTTCTCATTTCTCCCCTCATTTCCTATGCTTTATCAAAAGTTATACCTGTTTCAACAAGTCATGCTGATTTTTGATTGTCGCGAAGGTACATATGACAACTTCTACTGCCCGATCGACAATGGTTTGAGTCCTGGAAGTCCTGATTTCCAAGTACGGCCTAATGTGGTCACCTGGCTGGAAGACCTTTGTCATCATGCGGGTGCAGATCGCAGCTACGTTACTTGCTGGACAAGGTGCGTTAAACGCCTTTTGGTCGTAGATCCTCAGCACAGGCCAGACGCAGCGCAACTGCTGGATTATGTCAATCACGTCTCCGACCATGTCCACCGATTCATACAACAAGAAGAACCCCCTATGTGTATATTTGATCAAGCTCAACGGGAACCACTTCCTCGCCTACGTGGCTCAGATGCAAAGCCAATTGCTCCAGCAGCATCTGATATACAGTTCAATCTGGTTAATACGGCAGTTGATAACGCAGAACAGTTAGCCAGCATGAATGCAGAGAGTTTCGTCTCCACAGGGACAAACTCCGACGGACTGTCTCCTAGGTCTTCGAGAGTTGATAGTGATCCAGAGGGGTCCTCGACTCGACACACGTCAATGAGTCAGCCAGGCATGAGAGCTGCGGGAGGCCCAATTGCCTACTCCCGCTCAACCCCCCTCTTAGCTGAAAGCACACTTGAAATCGATCTACCGAAAACAGAGTTGTATCGAGAATCATGGGAACCAGGTATAAACACCCGTTCCTGTCCCAAGGCTGTTGCCATCGGCCAGCTCTGGATTGCGTATTTGAGTAGATTCAAGGTATACATGTTCAGACTCCGCCCAGATTACCAAGGGAAGCGCATTGTTCAGCCTACGGAAGGCGTTGATTTACCCACTGGAGACAAGAACGAGTGGAGAAGTATTGTTGTTTCTGGACATTATCTGGTAGTTTGGGGTGAATCTAAGCGGAGCCGGGAGCCCTTGGTAAGCGCATTCCAACAGCTTCTTGACAGATGTCTTACCCGATGGTTGGGACTGACACCGCATTAGCTCCGGGTATATAGGGTGTTCCCCCAAGATGCCGGTGGATCCCCTCCTACCCTATTACAGACTTCACTAAAGGACTTTGATTCGCCGAAGAGAGTTGCTTTATCATGCCAGGGATTTGTGGCTGTGATCAGTTCGAAGAACTTACTTATATCCCAAATCGAGTACGTACAAAATGACTCGTACTTTGGTCTGGTCGAAGCTCTAATAATATCTCTATGCAGAGCCCCGGGTGAGACCCAAAGACTTTACACAGCAGCAGGTATCCCTGAAGACGAGTCTTACTTCGAAGACATCGCATTCAACGAGGAAGGCGATATTCTGTACGCTTGGGCAGCTGGACGTAAGGGGTGGCTTCTTTGCTACCGGATCATAAAGCCATTTGTCATTCATCTGGAGCACAAAACGTCCCACGACTGTGTAAGCATGACTTCCCACCTTGAAGGAGCTTTCATTGGAGAGCCGTATTGAGCTGATTAATCTTGTACTAGGAAGTAAATCAGAAACTGCACCTTGCGAAACTGCTGCCTTACGACATGACGATGGGCTGTATCCTTTCTCCAGATGCCGGCAAATACGTGGCATTTTCCGCTGAAAGTTCCATCACCGATAACATTTCACCAACGCTTTCCACGTCTCTACTGTGGCCTACAGTCTCCGATATTCGGGCATGCTGCATATATGGGGATCGTTCCTTCGTCATCGCAAAACCAAAGTCACTGAGAAAGACATGCCTGGTAGAGTACCCGTTGCCACGGAATGGTGCTTACGACCATACGGAAGAGAGAATCATCTGCAGGCTCGATTCACGTTTGATTGAAGGCTCAGCAATGAAATTCTTTCGCTGTGGGAATGATGGTACTGTTCTAGTCGTCATATGTCATCGCGATGGTAAGATGGAAGTTATCAAATATGGCACGAAACGTAACCAGTAGGCCTCCTCGTTAACTTGACTATTTCATTCTAGGTGGAAAAAAGGAAATAAAGACTATGCGTTATGCCGTTGAAATCATGACTTTCTCGTAACTGCCATCCCGTCTGCGCCCCGAATTCCGCTTCTTCACCCACCACACCCCAACAAACAAGCCTCCTGTAATAACAATCAGAACTAGCCATATGACGATGAATATCCAGAAGTCATTTCCAATCATGATATTCCGAGTGTCATCATTAAACTCAAAAAAGTTCATCCCAAATATAGTCTGTGATAACAATAATTAGTAGATATTTCCACCGCAATTGGAAGACCGAATGTCACACACTTACCGCAACAAATCCTCCCGGAATATACACCGCAGATACTATGGTGATAATGTTGACAATAGCACTGTCGTCTACAGTGACTTGCGTCAATTCTTGGAGTTTCTTTGTCACAACACTGGTTTCCTGGGTCATATCCTTCATCTTCTCGGTCAAATCACGATTTTCTTGGGCGAGGTTCTCCATGTGCCGCGTCATGTCGCGAATCTCCTTGTGGTTGTGGATAGTTAACGTGTAACCAACCTAGTTTCATGAGCGAAATGCCATGGATTTCTGGTTTCTATGACTTACCATGTCAATAGCATTGTGGACCCTCTTCTGGATAGTTTGGCTACTGTCTCGGTAGCGAGCTAACGATGACAGAATTGTCTGTAGAGCTCGTGTCTGGGAACTTGACAACCGGTTGCTGGATAGAATAGTCCGGGCAACCTTGATATTACCTTCGCAGCATGCATCTGCAAACATATTCATGTCATGAACGTGCCGCAGGTTTTGTACCCTTTCAAAACTCTCTTGTCCAACTCGATCTGCAGATGCAACCATAGCATGGTCATTCTCAAAGGCTGTCAGCTTTGATACAAGTCAATACCTCTGAGGGACATGATACATACTATTCTAGAGAACTTTGATCCAAGAAGTCTAAAATAAGCCTTCCAATTTTCATGATACTTCGCAATGACCATTAAATGTATATCTACTGCATTCTTTTCTAAATGCAGCAAGTCTCTGTTGTTGAGCAATGGGCCTGTACCTTTTGATGAAACAAGTATGGACTTGAAATGATCTATAAAAGCGGTATTCTCTGTGCAATTCAATATGATAAAAAGATCTGATTGAGGTTGATGATGATGGTAGACACCAACGTGACGGTAAGACCACGGACTTAAGTCGGATCTTCTGTTCTTCTCAACATAGTTCAACTTGTAGGATATGACAACTGTCCGCGGTCAGACATTTGAATTTCTATCAGAGAGCAGTGAACCCCTTACATTCTTCAGATTCTCGAATTTGGAGGTATTGAAATCCATCATTCGCCTCGATTTCCTGCGGTCCCTTCCCGAAAGACAGCATTACGCGCAAGAAGTCAAGCGTTATACTGTACTTCAAAAACATGCGACTCGCTAATTCAGAAGAGATATTTAATGGAGCGTTCGTTCGATCTGAGAAGATGGACCTTTAAAGAATCAACATTACACCGAATACAGATCATACGCTTGAGTACAAACACGACTGTGATTCCTGGATCTCGCCGCTGTGAAGCAGCCTCGAATTGGCCTGCATTTTGGATGCAAACTTTCTCAGAGATGCCTGCTTCTCATTAGCGTCATCGTCATGGTTGCCAGGTCTCAGGAGCTTGCCATCGTGAACTTTATAGATGTTGAATTGACTGGAGTTTTCAAATACTTCGTCTTCAACATCCTGGAGTTCTTCCCTCAGGGCAGCTGTAGCAGAAATATGGCCATCTTGTAGATTTTCGAATACTGGTTCCCACTCTTTACATGCCATTTGACACTACTGGTATTGCGATTCCAAGGCTATTGTCTCATCTCGTCGAAGTGGAACTATCGTTATATTCGCGCCTTATCTGAGGGGGGAGAAAATCCTCCCAAAATGCCTTGTACGCGCCACCCGGTTTCAAGGCATTACAGTCAGCCCAAGAACAACGCATGGGGTTCTGCTAAATTATCACCAGGGAACTCCGCCACTGCACCCGTGTCATTTCGACCCCTCAATCAAATCAAGCGCAGTCGCTACACAACAGGCCCTCTTGACGCAGCGACTTGATTCTGACTGGCCGACACATTGCTTATCCCAACCAATCCACTGACATTAACCAGGGATCAGTTCCTCGCCCCCTCTCCGCCTACTTGGCTTGCTTGGCTCCTTCCACGTCGGTACGCGGCAGTATGCTTGCAGTTGCAGCCTGCTTGCGTTTGAGTACTTCGCTCAACATTTTCCTAGGTACAGGTAAGCTTGAGCCACGGACAACGGGGCGGTGCCGCACTTCAGTTGTTTCTGTGCGCCCCAACATTGGTCAGTTCAAAACCATCATCCTGCTGACTGCCTTTGGAACTTGCCTGACTCAATTCCTCGGGCCCGTCGAAGCACCACCGGTCATTTCGATTCTGTTCGACATTAGCGGGGGGGCAGACGGGAATTTAGCACAACAATTATAGCGGACCCTCACGTAGAAATCATAGGACTCGTCGATAGTGCCAGCGTAGACTTCTTTTAGATATGCCTCAAGGTCGTCTTTGATGACAATATACCGTGAATCTTCTAAGCTGAAGACATTGGGGATGCTTTGCGCCATAGCTCTTGATGTTGCACAGCCTGCTGGTAAAGTGCCTTGTCGGCTCGAACTGTCACATCAGTCAGCTATCTTCTTTTGTAGATCAAGTGGGGTTATGAGAGGTTTAAATCTGAGGATAGAGCCTTATCTGCAGGCTTGTCGAACCATTGAGGCTTCGGTTCCCTCCTGCAGCTGTCGTGTGCGCAGACAGGGCTGCCTCGCCGCGAACCACTGGCTAGTCTGCCTAGGAGGCACACATCAAGTGTACCAGCCTCATTCCTTTCAACAAGGAGCCGCACTGTCCACGGAAATTTCCACCTACAGATCAATTAGGAACTGATTGAGAACATATACCGTCTAATGAGCCGCTTATGAGACTGAGGCCACAGCTGTATGCCTATCGGCGCGCGCGTTTGTGCCGTACTCGACTCCACCAGCGCTGAACTCCCCAGGACTTGAGCCACCTCGTAGATACCGCCTACGTCTCCAGGAGCGGACCCCTCATACATGTGGCTCATTTTGTTGCTGTCGGTCACATCTTAGGTCTCCCCCTGAAGAATGACTACCAACACTAGAGCTCGGCATGGACCCACGTCCGATCCTTCGCAACTTAGGTAAGGCGCCAGCTCCTGTCTCGACAACGGCATACATATCGAGACCTTACTGATTACTCTTCAGACAACGGTTGAAAGATTTCCAGATCTTTGTGAATCCATCAACACCGCGATCATGTCAGGACACTAATCCTTTTGTAGTTCATCATCTTCAGCGTTGTGATTGGATCGGGAGTGTTTAACTATAACGGATCAGTTTTGGAAATTGCCGGTCCCTTGGGTCTACTTCTGGCAGTCCTCCTCAACGGGCTTCTTGCATCATTCGTTGGTGAGTGTGTGAGCGAGCTTGTACAGCTCTTTCCGGCCCAGAATGCTATTTACCTTTACGTGGAGCAATTCGTCGACGAAGACCTCGCATCGGTGGCAGCTGTCGCTCATTGGTAGGACTTTCTACAATCTGGAAGTTCAGACAGCCTCCTAATTCAGCATAACAGGTACTGCTGGGCTTCTATACTTCCGCTACAGATGCTCAATGCCGCGAGGATACTTGAGTACTGGAAAGGGGACACGATTATTGCCTCGATAGTATTTTATGGTGTCACGCCTTGGATAATTTTTGCGCTGAATCTATGCGGCGTTGATGTGAGTGAACCACGACTCTCTTGGTGCTACAGTGCCACTGATCATCTTAAACAGTACTTTGGCTGGATTGAAACCGTGGGGGGCATTTTAAAGAGTAAGTAATCTCGAGAGGCTCGATTCTTTCGTTTTGACCCCGGTTTGAGCAGAGCATTTGTGTGCTCAACCCAATTACCTTGACTCCCAAGGTTTGCTCACAGCTGCCAAGAATACTTTTGCTCATGGCTAACACGGATTGATTACTGATGGCTGTTTCCATAGTGGTCATTGTCTTTGCAATATCTTGTGTCTTATATGACGTGACTCGACAAAGTAATTGGCCAGCCTTTGTACTTCGTGGATTATACTGATATGAAAGCCAGAGAGCCAATGGCCCCTTACAGATCGTAAGCTATCCCAACGATGTCGGACAATGATCAGGTCAGACTGATATCTCGGCAGCAACCATGGACTTGTTATCGCAGGCTAGCGGACTATTCTGTTTACCATACAACATTTCGCGAGGTAGTCACTACTCCATCCCTGCGCTAGAAGATCTACTTACTAACAACTAGATTAGAGTATCACGAGTTCCCCAAAGATCGTAAGCTATGCAACGCTAATTAGGAGGGGTGTATCGGAAACTGATTGCCTCCAAGCAATACATGATACCTTTCAAGCAAGCCCCCAAATATTCCCAGATGCACCATTTTCTTCTTTTTGGTCAGTCGTCTCCCTAGACCATGAGAGTGAATACGAAAACTAACAGGGCCATAAGCTTTGTTCTGCCCTCGGTAACTTTCATCTTCCTTGGTGTTGAGACGATAGCCATCGCTGCGTACGAAGCTCGAGATACCAAATCGATAGCGCGTTCTTCACAGATAACGCACTGGTCATGCCTCATATTGTACTTCATGGTCACGCTCGGCATCGTAATTAGCGTCAAATGGGATGATTGCCGTCTGCCCGGCGTATGGAACTTTATTGCTCGAGGACCATTGTCAGACTCTCCACACTCTGATAGCGCTACCATTATCTCAATCTGGGATGTTTATCCTGAACTAGCCGGTGTGGCAAATGGGGCAATCATATTTGCTGTCTTGTCTTCTGCAAATACTTGCCTTTATATTTCAAGCCGTACTTTGTATGGAATGACTCACCAACTTCGAAATAACTACAGCTTCAGTCGGTACTTCAAGAAGACCTTTGGCCAAGTATGGTCATCGACTGGGGTACCGGCCATGGCCCTCCTCGTAAGCCTTTTGGCTTTCTACTGGCTTCCTTTCATTCAATATTCTTGGAAGAAAGATCGAGATCGGGCCCAAGCATTAGAACAGGTATGAGGATTACAACAAGGTGAACTGCTGACCAGAAGATTGACTTCGGACAAGATCATACAAATAGTCTCACTCACATCAAGCATCTCCTGCATTATCACGTGGACACTTCTTCTCATCGCATATCTGCGGTATAATCACTGGTAAGCCTGTGTGTCACCCATTGCTAATCTCTTGATTTGACCATGAGTTTATAGGATAACGACTTGCGCCGACGGCCTCGAACAGGCAGGAATGCAGCGTTTCGTTCGAAGTAACCCTGCATACAAAGCATGGAATGTTCTGATATGGTTCCAGCCATGGACGGCACGTCTTGCTTTGGCCGGTTGCTTCATCGTCTATGGCTGCCTCAGCGCAACGTGGTGGCGCCACCCAGCGAGCTTTGCCAAGGTGCTGGTAGCGTACGGGCCTGTAAGTACATTACCATAGGTTTTGTTTAGGCTCAGTGCAGTCATGAAAGCATGCGCTAAATTGATTGAACAGCACGTAGTCGCCTTTGTAATCTGGATCTGTTTGAAACTCTGGAAACACGGGTTACACCTCTCGAAATGGTGGATACAGACGCCGATCTCGGCTCGTCGCCCAGTGGCTTTGATACAAAAACTCCGCCATCTGGAGCGTCTGTCAGCTAAGGGCGAAGACAGAAACAAGCAACAGATCAACATGCCATTTCTTACGCTGAGGCCTACGACAACAACGTCGCAGACACACGGTACAGAGGAAGAGAACGGCCATGCTATCAGTACCGATGGTTCTGCACCCGAACGGGGCCAGGTCTCATGAGTTCAAAGGTACGTCTTGGTCATTATAACCGGGCATGGCATTGAAGGTAGTCGGAGTTACACTGGAGCGTGTCTTGCGCAGATACCAGTAATCGAGGTCACATAGGAAGTGCTTTGAGTAAAGAACATGATGAATAAATTGTATCTTATGTGACACTTTCTGGTCAGGTTGCATTATCGTCCCAGAGTAAGATTGCCAACGGCGGACTTGTCGGCTCCACCAACGCGAATGTAGACAGCCTTGTGCTCCAACCAATCATCCATGCTCATTAAGAGACTCTCGCGACCAACACCACTCTGCTTGTAGCCTCCAAATGGCATGTCCCACGCGCCGGATGGCGATGTGCAGTTCACGCCAACCATACCCGCTTCCAATGCTTTCGCACAGCGCATCGCCCTGTCAATATCATTGGTATAGACAGCGGCATATAAGCCGTATTCCGTATCATTGGCGATCCTGAGGGCTTCCTCCTCGGTCTCGAACGTATTAATACAGACAACGGGGCCGAATATCTCCTCCTTCATGACCTTGGAGTCCTCAGGTTGTTGTAGGAACACAACAGGCGCCACGAAGTTGTCAGCGTTTGTTTCTGGCAGTTTAGTGCCTGGTTCTACTAGCTTGCCTGTCTTCTTGCCTTCCTCAATGTAACGACGGACAGTGTCGAACTGTGTCTTATCTGCTTGTGGCCCGGAGTCTGTCTCCTTCAATGTCGGGTCACCCAGCTTTCGTGCCCCTGCTAAGGAGTTGAAGGTGTCGATGAATTTCTCCGCAATTCCCTTTTGCACATAGATTCTACTGTTCGCCATACATGTCTGGCCGGAATGCCACATGATGCTGTGCTGAGTTTCCCTGGCTGCCCGCTCCAAATCTGCGTCATCAAAGACTATGGCGGGAGACTTGCCGCCTAGTTCGAAGATCAAATGCTTGAAATTCGAATCCGCAGCAGCCTTCTGAATTAGACGGCCTGTAGGGACGGAGCCTGTGAAAGACAAGGCACGAATATCCATGTGGTGTGATATTGCATTACCAGACACAGCACCGTGTCCATGAATAACGTTGACGACTCCAGGAGGAAAGCCAGCCTCATTCAACATCTGATTGACTCTATGGGGGGAAAGAGGTGCCTTTTCACTCGTCTTCAACACTACAGTGTTTCCAGCGGCCAGAGCAGGCGCCAGCTTCTTGCTGTGAAAAACAAGTGGCGCATTCCATGGTATGATGGCAGCGCAAACACCGTATGGCTGGCGTAGCGACATGTTCAGGAACCCCGGTGTGTTCAGCGAGGACGTGCCAACAGGGAACGCAGCTTCGGAAAAGTAACGAAAGTGGGTTGCGGCATAGTAGCCATCAAAGTAACTGCTCACTGGCCGACCGAGAGCGAGCGCATCGGCCTTCGCGAGCTCTGCGTCGGCATCTGTGATCAGCTGGGCTAGCTTCGCCAACGGCCGTCCACGCTGCTGGGGAGACAGAGCCGACCAGGCTGGAAATGCTGCTTTCGCGGCTGCAACAGCTTTGTCGACATCTTCTGTCGTGGCTTCAGATACTAGATTGTGGTGTTAATATGCGGACGGGTTAGATGTGTGTGGATGGTCACCTACCCTGGGCAACCAGGTCCCCCGAATAAGGAGAAAAGAGATCGAATGTCTTGCCGTCACTGGAGGGCACGAACTGTCAAGGGTGAGCAGGGTCTGTCGATATAATGTCGAGAAATCACATACCTCTCCGTTGATGAAATGCGTGACTTCGAGTGGCGCCATTGAAGAAGCACCTAAGAAACTGCTACCAATCTCAACGTTGCTTGATGAACGGAAGGCAAACTGATCCTGCAAGTGGTGCGATGAAGGGTGTGACTTGAAGATGCTTGGGTTTCTCAAAGGCTTGGTAACCACGTCTAGGAATCACTGCTGACGCCCGTTGTACCGTGTCTCGGTCTCGATACAGCCCCCGATGTCATGAGCAATCATTATGGGAGCGCTCCTCAGCATCCACAGCTGAGGAAATCGCTCGGCAGGCCCAGTTATTCCCACGCCGCCGACGACGGCGGGCTGATCCACCCGAAGCTTCGACTTCGCAGTCCGGTTCTGGTATCCGATGCGGGTGCCGGAGACAGGTCGCAAAGCCATGGCCCACTGATAGCTGCCGATGCGATTTACGCTTAAGCCACCAATCTGACTCGGAGGGTAGCCGAAGGAGGGTCCATTTTGGCATAGCTACGACCTTGATACAGCTTTCGACGTGAGATGACAAAAGTATGGCCGACACCCATGCAACCATGCTCTACGGCGTGCTGCCAGCCCAGTTTGCGGGGGAGACCCACTGAGGTGCAGGCGATGGCGTTCTGTTCGGCGGACTCTGGCCGATGCGCTTGTGGCCATCGGCACGTCCCTAGCGGCACCTAGACAACTAGGCTCAAGTCGCGAGAATGGTCTCCATCTACTGACCAAGCTGGATCTGAAAGATAGGGCCGAGGTACGTCTCTGCCATAGGAATGCAGTGGATCGTGATCACAGGGATTCCACGTGGCCAGCTTGCCCCGTTGGCAATATGCGGTCCAAAGCCGCAATACCAACTTGGGAGATGACCATTTGTGGAAAGTTGCCGTAAAACCATATAGGCAACTATTGACTACTTGCTGATTACCAGTAGACGCACGCCCTTGCTTGACAATATCTCATGAAACGTCGTTTTTCGTTGTAGTCTGCCATATTACTTCTCAGGTCGCCACATATCAGCTTGATACGACAGGCTCCAATTGGGCACGCACTCATAAATTGGCGTGGGTCTGGTGCAACTCATATTCTGCAATGAGTTTCTCTGCAGCAAGTTCTCCTACGATGTAAGCTGTGCTCTGAGTGTGGTTGCTTTATAATGTCAGTGGTAGTTCGTTCGATTCTCAGGAATGAGTTGTATCTTACTTGGGCACCATTGGGCACACACTCAAGTCAGCCACCCGTAGTCGCCTCAGACCGAAGACCTTGAATGAAGAGTCGACACAAGCCTCATCCGAGTTTCTCCCCATATTCAGAGTCCCACACATGTGCCATGAGCTCCGAAGATTTGACGAGAAACATTCCTGTTGCTGTTAGTAATTCCTCGTAAAGAATGGCGGTGAATGGGCATCCTTACCCATATCGCTTCGTCTGAATTGTCTTGCGGCCAGCCCAAGGTTGTAACAGTTTTCTCTTTCCACACCGGAGCCTGGAGAAACTTTAGCAACTCTCGAAAACTCTCTATCGCAGTTCTCCTGTCGAACGGGTGTGACAAGAACTTGGGATCGAATATAGGTGCATCCCCCGGGTTCGCGGATCTGAGTGTAACTGTGCCTCGAGATTGGGGGTTCATTATCAAAGAAATGCACGAGAAGACCTCTTCGTCATCTTGGACCACAATTTCATCGAAGAAAGGTGTATGCTTTCCAAGAGTTAACATTAATGATATAACGGTAGTCTCTCAACTCACAGTAGCAAGTTCCCAGTTTGGCACATTCGCTTTGCTCAAGAACTGTTGTATTTCTTGTGGCAAGACCTGAAATTCATTTGATTCCAAGACTGCCGGCACTTGGAACCAACCCATTGGGGTAGGATTTTGCTTGAATGATTTGCCGTGGTCTTTCTTTATCACTATCCCAAGGGTCGAAAAGCAATGATCCTGCAGATTTTTGCCAACTTGACGTAGCTCATGTAGAGTCGGAAGACCATGTTTCTGTAATTCATCGGAAGGTCCTATGCCAGACAGTAGTAAGATCTGCGGGCTGTTCAAAGCACCACTAGATATGATTACTTCCTTTCTAGCACCATATCGACGGCCATCGATCGTCTGGACACCAACAGCGACATCGCCCTTCATAACTATTCTCTCGACCTGAGCGTTGGGGACAACTGTAAGGTTTTTGGGAGATTTTGCGATGTATGCGCTCGATGCGGTGACTCGAATGCCCTTATAAATGCACGCAGTCCCGATGCCCATACCTATGGGGTTGCCGTTGTTGACATCCGCGTTGATACCAAACCCAACCTGGCTGGCTGCATCGAATACGTCTCGCGTCGTCGGAAGCCACTCGTCCTGGTAGGATACATCCACAGCTCCTCCAATGCCATGATCTGAGTAAATGTCATCAGCCAGAATCAATCAGCCACGAGGTACGCGGTGACACTGACCCTGGTCAAGCGGCTTTATACAATCTTTGAAAACATCTGGGACATCATTATGGAAGTTCTCAACTCTTTTCAGGATTCCCTTAACGTGATCCCAGCCGAACGATGTGTCGCCCACCAGCCGCGCCCACTCATTGTAGTCCTCATCAGGCCCAATCACCCATCCACAAAAGTTGATTGCGGTGCTGCCACCAAGCCCTTTCCCGCGAGAATAGTCGATTTCCTGACCCTTCAACTGGGGTTGAGTCCTGTAGCCCCAGTTGAGGGGTGATTTCTCGCGGAAAGCAACCTCATACCGTTGCGCGCCCGTCAAGTGAGCAGCGTCTTCGTTTAAGCCACCAGCCTCGACGAGGAGTACGGATGGACGCGCGGCGGCTTCTGCAAGCCGCGCTGCAACGACACAGCCAGCTGCACCACCTGTGACGCATTCGTCAATGTTCTTTGCATTCGACGATGCATAGTTGGAATAAACTACCCACCTCCAACAACGACGAAGTCATATTCCTCGGTCATGGCAATGTTGGTTGCTGAACTAAGCTCTTGCCAATGTGTCATTCTTGGAGTGCCATGGGGTAGCTCTGGCAGCAGTAGAGGACATGTAAACCAAACACACTCGATACTTGGGAGAACTCGTTAAAGGCACATAATTGCATTGCCAATAGCGAGGAGCCTATCCTCAGTGTCAGAGTCCTCCGGGCCGCTCACAGGCATGCAGCAATCCAGCCGCCCGTTGGCTGCCGTCATCATTGGTATGAGCCCCCACCATGGTTCTGCATCGGAAGGAACCTGCCGATGATCTGATGTCAAATCCAGGGTCACCTCCGATCATTTGACGGGGGGACCGGTACCCGAAGGATGTCGCTCGATGTCTTTCAGTACGACCTTGCCACCACTAGATTGGTTTCAGTGGTTTCTTACAGCTAAAACTGGGGTTCGGAGTATGTCGAAGACACTAGGTCTGGGGCTAAGAGGGCCATTAGCACTAGGCTCTTGAGGCTGGCAGGGCTGGGTCCCATCACCTCAGTAAACTAGCCACTAACCAGTGAAGAAGGCTATTCATATTGTGAGAGTCGCATGTGAGACGTGTTGATCACCAGGAGCGGTATACAGGTTTCAATTCGATGATAGTCTTTAGTCTCGCTTTACAGACTGACAATGCTGGATTTCGAACGACTTGACACTTCTTGGGGTGCTTTCATCTTGCATTACCGCGGCAGCCGGGAACGCCACTGCAGTGCGTGACAGAGGGTGAGAGGGTAGTAGCTTGACTCAAGGACAAGGGGAGGTTGCATTTTAAGTCACGTCGATTGGTACCAGGATTCTGGGAGTTGCAGGACCCCAGGATTAATCGATAGCAACCCAAACCAAAGTACCGGCAGTGTCGCTGATCTTCTCTCTGTGGCACACTCGAACCAAGCTTTGATGAGGGGGCTAGTCGTTGTCAATGTCTCGTCGATAAGGTCGCTCCAGACCAGCCTAGCGGGTTTTGCCTGTCTCTGGACGTGCTCAAGCGGTGCTGCGTACGGGCTTCGTTTATCCTATCCTATCTGTCAGATCCCATATAAGGCCCCTGACTTGGCAGATTCTCGTCGAAGCGATTCGGTCGAATGTTGATATAGCCAACCTCTTAACGTGCAATAATTGTTTTGCTCCTCCCCTGAAAGGAAGCGCCCTTCACTATGGGAGCTTCTAAGCTTCTGAAAAGGCTCGAGGTCAAGCCGACCGACGACGAGTACGAGGCAATCGAGACCAGCAGATGGGGCAACAAAGATGTGTACCCAATTCCTCACGACAAACGAACGTACGGGTGGCTGTCCTTTTATGCATATTGGGGTACATGTGGTATTTGTCTGTCCTCCTGGACCATCGGAAGCAGCTTGATTGGCATTGGCTTAACTGCTGGCCAAGCATGTGGAGCTATCGTAGGTTCAAGATATCGTTCAATGCCGGAATCTTCTTATCACTGACCTTTGCACCAGGTTATTGGCAGTGTTCTTGCTTCTCTCAGCGCTTACCTCAGTGGAGGGCCGGGTGCCATTCATTACCTGGGCTATGGGACGATGGCGAGAGCAGCGTTTGGACTGTGGGGGTCATATTTCGTTGTGATGTTGAATGTTTTCCAATCGTTCGTCTTCTACGGAACTCAGATGTACTTTGGAGGTAACCAAAAACCCCCAGTAGATGTCGACCAGTTCAATACTGACTGTTAATTAGGCATGGCTTTCGTGCTAATCCTCAACGCGATTTTCCCCAGCTTCCTCGCGATGTCAAATACACTCCCGGACAGCGCTGGCATTACAACTCCACAGCTTATCGGATTTGTGCTCTTCATCGTTCTATACATTCCGATTATATACTTCGTGCCCCCTCATCAAATCCAAAAGTTCCTTGTCGCGAACCTGGTAGTATCTACCGCGACGCTGTTGGGAATCATGAGCTGGGCAGTCCATGCCAACGGTGGCGCTGGGAACCTAGTTTCCCCTGCTGTTGAAGTTCCCCCCTCAAAAGTCGGCTTCCTTATGGTCCAAGGAATCACATCGATCGCAGGAACATACACGGGCGGGAGTGACCGTGTGAGCGACTGGACACGGTACGCCAAGCATCGACACTCACCGACGCTTGCTCAGTTGACAGCACTTCCCGTCACTGTGACTCTTACAGCACTTGTGGGCATCATTACCACGTCTGCCGCAGCAGAGTTTATGGGTGAAGCTCAGTGGAACCCTCTGATTATGTTGCAAGTCGTTCAAGGGCGATGGTACACTGCAGCATGCAGAGCTGGCACTTTCTTCGCCGGAGTCGGTCTCCTCTCTGTAACTGTCTTCGTGAACTATACACAGAACTGCGTCAGCTCCGGTATGGACGTCGCTATCTTGATCCCACGCTGGATCTCGAGAAGACGAGGATCAATCATTTTCTCGATCCTTGGAATTCTTGCAAATCCGTGGCGTTTCCTGACCCAAGCAAACACCTTCATTACAGTCCTCTCATCTTTCGGTGTCTTTATGTCGCCTGCGGCAGCCATCCTCGTTGTAGACTTCTGGGTGGTGCGTAGAACGAAATGGAACATCCCCGAGCTCTACAGTCCAGCGGGGATATACTGGTTTTGGGGCGGACTCAACTGGAGAGCCTTCATCGCGTACATCCTGGGTATGGTGTGGGCACTTCCTGGCTTCATTATGGCTGTTGGAGGCCCGGCAGTTGCAGATGGTTGGTACCAACTCTATCAGATATCGTTCTTTTTCGGTTACGTCGTGTCTGGAGGCTTGTTCTACATCTTCAACCTAGTGTCTCCGCCACCAGGTCTTGGTGTGCAAGTTGACTTCGTACTTGATCAAGGGCAAGTTGTGTTTGGGGTAGAAGCATCTGGGAGAACGCACGAGAGCTCTGAAGAGGTTGTCATTGAGAAACGAGCCGAAGCAGCTGACCAGAAGGTATGAGGCGTCTGTAAGTCTGAACGAGCTTTATGTGCGTACCACTTGATCGAGAACACATCTTTACTGCAGAGTATGCCCTTCGATGCATATTGAATAGATTATTTACCACGGAAATACCAAAACCACACGTCTTATGTCTCGAGAACCCTGCGATCATTCCCCTAAACGGCACATGCCTCCGTCACGTTTCTTGCTGTGTACCTAAATTGAGGGCTGGTTTGAAATAAAGAATTGCAAAGCCGAATAGATGTGGTGATGAAGTGTGTTGCATTAGGGCAAGATATACTTCGTTGCAGAAGTGCCATGTTCAATGGAAAATGCTGACTCGTTGGTTTCTGTAGGTGCAGGAGCTAACTAGGTTACAGGGTCTCACCCCACTGAAGAGCGCCTGCTCCCAGCATACAACCTCCAAGCTCTATAGTTAACAGTAATCCTGGACAGGGGCGTCGGGCTCTGGTGCTTGCCCCAAAGTCGATTTGTCCGTTCGTTTCTCGGGGATGGTTTTTTTTCTTCTCTCTTTTTCCAACTCGAAACGCTATCTTGAGCGAATTGAAACTGTCCGATGCAATCATGCAGTTTGTCCAGCCCACTCCAGGTGCGAACCAAACTGAAAAAAAGGGCCCAGGGCGGATGTCCAGCAATGACGTCCTCGACTTACACTTCGCGTCACCGAACGCGCCGCGACATTCTACAAAGACATTGACATCACCCAGTCAACTGCCCGCTTGACTGAAGACTGTGAGATATCTTACAACCTTGTGCGCAAGTGAAGCTAAGTGTATCATTCAGCAAAGTGTCCCGAATCACCAATCATTTAGGCACCTCGATTTTCCAAGTCCTCACAACGCATTCCCAACCTCCAGTATCATTGGCGCTAACAACTATGGGCGTCTCACTATCGACAGCGCGCTACTTGGCGCCAATATCCTTCGTCGTTGATTTCGCCGCACAGCAGTATGGCATGTTGTCGAGCCCTAACATGAAGGATGTGCACGATGCGAACCTGTCGTTCTTCTCGCCCCAACCTTTCTTTATCGCAGGATTCTTTTTCCCGCAGCAGATCTTTCAGCTGGCCTGGATGTGGAAGCTATGGAAGGCGAAATCAGAAGACATTAGGAATGATCCATCAGTGCAGGAGATGGTGGATTTCGCCCCGTACTATGCCGTTGGTAACCTCTGCATTGCCAGTAGGTTTGTCAGCCTTGCCCGCTGGATACCCTACTAACGGAGCGGCAGCTTGGATGGTCTTCTGGAACCAGTCAGATTTGAAGACGTCGAACATCTTTGTGGTAATAAACTCACTTGCACAGTTGTACTTCGTTTTTGGGCGCTTAGGACCCATGAACCTAAATTCATGGAATTCGATCCTTACGCATATCGTGTCCAAGACGTTCGCAGGTATTGGTGTTCTGGACCTCCTCCACAATGGATCTGTAGCATACGCAACCGGACTTCCGCCATCTACCTTAATCAAAGGTATGACAGGTGTTGGATTTGGCCTGCTCGCTTCGGCTGCTGACTGGATCTTTGGGGGCTGTTTGGTATACGACTTGGTTGCTCTAGCAGTAGGGCAGAGGTTGTACGGGAATACCAACTGGGGCAATCTTCTTGGTGCCTATGCGGCAGGAACAGCGGCCATCGTAGGGGTCGGTAACTGGCTAAGGTAGGGAGATATTGTTGCCTACGCTTCAGAACACTGATAACAGGCAGGCCTCCATACGTCCGCGGAGTCGACTACCAGCCATTGTGAACAGCTTCGTGAGGCTGGGATTGCTATCAGGATGTAACTTAACTACATAAGGGTTTGCATTCAGATTGGGCTGCTTGGTCCTGGTCGGTTTTGTTCATATATTCATCGATTATATAATTAATTCCATGGTTAATTTATTCCTCTGCCGATGGCGAAAAGTCGACCTTGCCAACCAACTCGCCCTCGTATCCTACTGCCCTTGCGAAATCTCGCAGGAAAAGCCACCGGGCCTGCTTTACCCACCCTTTCTCGGAGAAATTGTTTGCCGACTTAGGAAAGAAGTCCGCAACGCTGAGCATGGACTCGTCATGCGCAGGCACAACCAGAATATTGTCATGGGCGTCATATTCCTGGAGTTTCTTTATCGAATCAATCATGTCTGGAATATTGAAGTGTGGAGCTGTTGGCACGTTCGCAGGATCAGCTGGGAGGTAGAATGGCTGGTCTTTACCATCTCTGAGGACGCCGTCGAACATTTCGCCTGGACAATCCGAGCTCAGCCCTGTGAACGGATGGGGCTCGATGGATACTGGCAACGGATGCCAGCGATGTGGTCTCAGTTCGCCGCCATGGTGTACAGCGTCGCCACCCATGAGGATGAAGCTATCCGGGTTGCTCGTCACGCGCGCAAGTCCACATAGATGGCCTATGGCATGACCAGGCGAGTCAAGGAGATAAAAGGACCCATCCCCGAAATAATCGACAGCGTCAAATTGTCCGATCTTCAAAGGCGATTCAGCGAAATCGAGCTCTTTGATTTCTCGGCCTTCGACGTCCTTTTGAAGGAATTGGGCCACTGGGTTATCTGGGTAACCTGGGAATATTTTCTCCTTGCATCCTGGTCCTACGATCAACTTGGTGCTGTGCTCAAACGTCGATGGGTTGCCAGTGTGATCGAAATGCCAGTGCGACCAGATGATTGCTTCGAGCGACTTTGTGTCCACGCCTCCCTCATCTAAGATCTCTCGGATATGCTTTGGTACGATGAGAGCAACGCCAGCCTTGGTGAACCTCTCCAGCATATACGGCGGATAATTCTCCCAATCTTTCTTTATACCCAGGTCAAACAGAAGTGAGCGCTGCAGCGTTGGATGTTGTACAAGGAATGAGTAACATGGTGTTGAGAGCCAGTCGTGACCCTGAATTGGAGGCGCAATGAATCTCCACGTAGGCACTCCGCGGATTTGCCCGCTGGTATTGACGATGGAGACGTGCACTGTCGAGGTTGAGTGCGGAATGTTTAGCTCGGGGAGCGGCGTCGCCATATCGCTCGTTATGCAACCCCTGCCCTGAGCAGAAGTCTGCTGTATAGAACAAAGAATGGTGGTGTGGGATAAGAGTAGCGGGACACATGAATGTTCGCCAGATCATTGGCGAGGATTCCTCTATTGTGTATTTATAGCGCCAATGAAAAGCAGCAGCTCACAGGACAAAGACGGGGGGACTGATCCAACCCCCCTGCCCGTATCTCCACCAACTCCGTGGCCCAGATGTGAGAAGTCCGGATCACGGACAATTAATCCAAACATGCACTGAAGAGCATTATAATAGCTGTCTGATGTACGTAGCTGGTCTACACTGGATCTTGAGACGAGTGGAGAATCGCAGCTTGCAGCGTGATTTCATGGCAAGCCCAGCTTCGATTAACCACAAGGGCCCACCCGAGGCATCGGATGACATCCGATGGCCATGGCATCGAGCCAGGGCATAACTACGCGCTAGAACTGCACCAGGTGACAGGGTTCTTGTCCATCAGGCATTCCGGCATTGTGGTCTTTCTGTACGTTCGGAGTACGATAAATATTGATGACTGAGCTCAAAGCACTAAGTTGATCGTACTAACCATGAGTAATTAGGTAGGAGCGGACATCTTTCTTGTTCTTGTAACTTGTGTTTGAGAACAACATACACAAGCTCATCTGGCTAATGGATCTGCATGGGCTATTGTCTGGCATCTGTGGAACGTCGCATGGACATGACGTTAGGCTCGCGGTTGAGACTTTGCGGTTCAGCCACGGACTTTAACAGTCCTTTTAAGTGTGACGTTAGGTCCTTACGTCTGATATCATAGTAAATTCGCACGTGGTCTGCACTCAGTTGGTATATCCCAACCCCAAAGACGCCTATACTGCCAACTAAAGTCCAATAAGGTCATTGAAACATCCCTCGCAGATCACCCATGCCGTCCGGTACATGTGGCATTCCATGCCACATCTGCTGGAATTGGCCTAGATCCGATGCCTGCTGCGGCTGGCTTCCAATGAGAGAAGTTGCAGTAGGGTCCATTCCGATGTCAAAGGGCGGGGTCGCCGCAGCGTTGCCAGTCATGGTGTTGATCATGAATGAGAAGTCAGACCCCATCCCGGCCATGCCTCCTCCCCACTGGCCCTGGAATTTGCTGACACTCTCCTGAACGGCTGGCTCCAGGTGAACGGGATTTCGAGGCTCATGTTTTCCCTGAGCGATCAAGTCCAGGATAGCCCTCTTGATGCGCTCGAATACGTCTCTATATTTACGAGCCGACGGATACCGCTCAGTCACAATATAGAGCAATAATTGACAGTCCGTTAATGGCGCGTCGACGCTGATGTAGTTTACAGGAGCAAGCCACGCACAATAAATAAGCGTTAGACCTATACCTCGTCAGTATTCTTTACACGATTCTGCCATGAAAATATGACCTTACCTGCCAAAAACATAGATTGTATGCTCAATGCAGAGAATCCAACCGGAAAGACGTGGTGCAACCTTCTATAATCTGAGATGATGCCTGCACAGGCATCTGCACACAATTTTAAGTAATGCATGTTGACAGGTACTTCGGCGAGTGACGGGTATAATAAGAAACGGACACAACGATGATAATGGATGGTATAGAACTCTAGGCCGTCATATGCCGTGTTTGGTTGGTGGGCGAAGTTCCGAGCTTCAAACGGGATAGAGTCGTTCCACAAATTGAGTTGATCCAAGAACGAGCGTATCGTAGCATCGGTGACTTTTTCTGACTGGTCGACCCTGTAGACCACATGCTGTATCTCAGACTCTATCCTCTTGAGCCTTAGCCTATGTATGAAGGAAGTCAGTGTGGTCGCTGGGTTCGAGGGAATATTGCTGACGTGGATCGCCGCCTGACGGACAATATCATCACTTCGTGTATCCTCGTTGATGTCAAGAGGAAGGTCTGCATCAATGTCATGATCCGATATACTTGGTGGCCTCCCAATGGCGATTGATATGTCCCGATCCAGAAAATATGTCGTCCAGAAGCGGCGCTTGTGCATTTCCCCTTCAACGCTTGACACTTGTCGCCTCGGACGACGATGCAAACCAAGTTCTATGCATAATTGCATGGCAGCTCGCACGTAGGTCCAAGCTCCTGGATCTCTAGGCGCCCTCGTGCAGTAGAGAGCCATCAGTAAAAGGTAGTCCACAGTTCGAGAGTCACGAAGCTGTAATATCGTGTCCATGTTTTCAAAGGCCGCATCATAATGCTGATCACTGAAAAAATGACCCATTTCTCCCGCGGACTCGAGCCACCGGCCACTGATAGCGTATATGAGATGAAGTATACTTTTATCGTAGTCGTTGGCCAGGTTTTCCCTATTGTTGTGAAGATCCATCACATTCGCCGTATGCAGAACGGGATAGCGTGTTGCAGTGTGTCGAAACCAACCCTCGAGTAATCTGTGGGCGACGTTTGGGCTCAGAAACGGTTCTCCAACGACGTCGGTGAGCCTCGTTGAGTAAACAGATTTAGGGGCCGGGTCATCTTCGTCTTGGGCTCCAAGGTCGTCGATGCCCGGGTTCACTGTGTTCCTCTGGCTATGAACCACAGAGCTCAGAACACGTCCAATAGTGATGTTTGATGAAGCCCCAACATAATGCCCAGAGGCGGATAATGACAAGTCTCGTACAGCATTGAGAATGTCGTTGCCATCGTCTTCAGAGTCTTGTCGCAACTGTTGAGAGCCAATGCCAGACGGGCTACCCGACACACCAGCCTGCTGTGAGAAAGAAGATGATGCACCTAGCATGCCTCTGAGATGATCATTACCAACTCCGAGATGCCCTAGGGATGCAAGGGCCGATTCAAGTTCCGCAACCCTTTGTTCCAAGGCTTTGATGTACAGCTTCTTCTCACCCGCAGCGGGGACGAGGGGGACTATATAGACTGATAATGTCATCAGAAACGAGTTGTCAGGCCACACCAAACTCAAACTTACCACATTTCAACGACAGCCGCGCGCACGACGCGCAAGCTGGCCGCTGGCCATCACACTGGAAAGGTGTACAACGTCAGCGCAGCTATTTCAAAGCAAGAAAGGGGGTTTAGACGATGTAGCGCATACCTTCTGCTTTCGTGTCTTGCATCGCTGGCACGCCAGTGCGACACGATCACGTTTGCCCGTTTTGCGTTGAGCCGTCGCCTGGTCCGACGTAGTCGGAGCATTGGGTGACGCGCCGGCAACCTCCACGGTTTCCGGCGATGAACCAACGGCTTCCATGCTGTGAGACATGCCGCCGTGTGACACAGATACGGCTGGAGCGCCGTGAGCGCCAGCAGGGATGAAGGCGGCTTACAGTAGCACACCGATCTGACGGCTTCGGATCCGGTGAACGCCGGCAGAGCCCGTAGATTTCGGAGGCGCCCCGGCACCACGGTAGTCGCGTAGGGCTGAGCCCAGAGAAGATGTGATAAGCTGATACGTTGCAGGAGATGGACGATAATGGGTTGATTTCATCAAAACCGTTGTAGCACCGGGATCTGTCTGCCGAAGCCTTCTGTTGGAGGCTTTCGTATGGGGTTGTCAGAGACAGGCTGCCTGCGGGGGAATCGGGATTGGCTTAAGACACCGCCGTAGGTCGGTCCACTTTCTCTCCCAGTACCTCTCCGCAAAAAGTCAGCCACTGTCGAGCCCGGCCGCGAGCGACTGACTCATCTACCGTGGGGATGGGCGCTGGTCTTCAGACCCAAATGAGCTCCTGGCGAAAAAACGGCTCCGAGCGGTCGCTTGATGAACCACAAGCAGTATGCTCAGTAGGATGATGTGATCGGGGTCGTCGGGCTGCACCCACTTGGCCGGATGTCGCTCGAGGGCCTCGGGTGATGCTGCAGCAGATTGGCTATGAGTCTTGCCCAGATGGATCCAGGCACTACCTGGGGCAGAAGATCAAACAGCGAGCCTGGTGGGAACTCGCCAGCTAGGGGAAAGCTGCAACCTCTCTAGCTACACAATTACTAGCTGGTATCAGATACTAGTTCAAGAGCAAGGTCAACTGTCGCCGACCTGGTCAACCAGCTCGCCGAATGTATGTGACTGGCAGACTAAACGCAGTCTTCCCCACCAAAGGGAAGTTTCTTTAGCGTAGCCAAGAGTAGGGCTAATGTTCCTATTCATTCATAAGATTCTATGGCCACCAATCATACCTCGCTCTTCTCGTTGGAGGATGGCAATCGTACTGACCGCTATGCTGCCTTGAGATTAATATTGGCACGGACTAGGATGATGGCTATTCAATTCCATGCTGGACCACTGGCTAGAGAGTCAAGTTTCGGGCCTGCGTGATGAGACATGCCTTAACCCTCTGTCATCGTAAACCTATCTTAGATCTGTCCGAAAGCAGGCGGCGCATGTATCGTTGGATGCCCAAAACATGCATTTGAAGTACACGCCAATGCTCAAGAGTTGCTGGAGCTTTTGTTTGTGGTTGGGTGCAGGTGGTCATCATGCTGCCTCTAGTACCCGACGACATTCAACTCAATGCTGCTGTCGCACAATCAACCTAGCACCGCGTCATGTGCCAGAGCCAAAGCTCGATAAACAACAAAGTCAGTAGTCATCTTCGAGACTGCCTTGAAGAGATCGCGACAGCCTTTCAAGGAATGAGCCCAGCTTTGACTGGATCCCTAAAACGATTTTGACTCATTGATGGCCTGCTCATCTAAGGTTCATCACCTGAGCCTACCACCTGCCTTCTATCGCTATATCATCAAGCTATGCAGGTAGAAAGAAGTGGCCGGCAATGCCAAAGTTACCCCCTTCATCAGAACAAGCTGGCAGCACTGACGAACAGGAGTCCTGAGCATGTGTTTATCGGTAGCAGCTGGGCACAGTGAACCCTGCCTGGGGCCAAACCCGGAGGCGTTGGAGCGATCGGAATCAATATCCCGCTAGCGCTGCTTCCCCAGTGCCCCAATCGAGTGCGCTGCCGCCGCACTATGCCTTGCAGTACGATCTAGATGAGATCTTGCCACGCCACGACTTCAGCGATGTCATTACCAGAAATGCCCTGCCCGCGTTGCTGCAGACCTTAGGCTCGCTGCATCCGAGGCATGCTGAGCTGAGCACGTAAGCAAAACTGTGCGTCCCCAGGACACCCTCAATACTATCAAGATGCTTTTCTTCTTCCGACTCCCTACCTAATATAGTAGCCAACGGCGGATCGCTGCCGGACTACAGGTCCGTCTTTGACTTCTAAGCTTCCGCTACCCACTCTCTCAGGACACGATGCCGAGGGAGTCCACATAGCATCCTGGTCTCCCATGCTCGTGGGATCTGGCAGCCGAAGCTCTTGTGTAATAAATTGACAGTCACTGTCGATCGAGCCGCAGCCAAAAAGCACGACTAGTCCAGCTTCCACAATAGGCGTGCCCAGGTGCGTCTTCTAGTGAGATCGTGTCCCACTCAGGCTTATCAAAATGTCCACCTCCACCAAATCCAAAAGAGCCTCGGTCCTCATGCAACTCAGATCATTCCTAAGTCAATTTTCGAAGCAGCAACAGGAAATTTCTGGCCCGGGGAAAGTCATGGAAGAATCGCCCCCGCAACCTCCCACAATTGCCGTTCTGGGTGCTGGCATTGGAGGCCTAGCACTTGCCATCGGTCTTATCAAACGCGGCATCCCCGTAACTGTATACGAAGCAGCTGATGCTTTTTCCACCATTGGTGCGGGAATTGGTCTTGGTCCGAACTCACTTACAGCAATAGACTTAATTGACTCGCGGTTTCGCGAGAAATACAACGACGCAAAGACCGCAAATGAAAAGCCGGAGTTTGAGCACAGTGTCTTCGATGCGCTCTATGCCGAGCACGGATTTGGGGAAAAGCGAGGCTGGACCCGAGGTCTGATCGGTGCGCCATACTTCACGAGGAGCAGTGCGCATCGGAAGGACTTATTAGAGATTATGCAAAGCTTCATCCCACCTGGCACCGTCAAATTCGGCAAACGCGCAAGGTCTGTCGAGGAGAAGGGCGGCAGAGTCGTTGTCACTTTCGTGGATGGGGAAGTTGTAACAGTCGACTCCCTCATTGCTTGCGACGGCGTAAAGGGGATCACACGGAAGTTGGTGCTAGGTGATAACAGCCCTGAGCAAGTCGCACCCACTTACTGCGGAATGTACATTTATCGAGGCATCATTCCCATGGATAAAGCGAAGGAGGTTCTCGGGACTCACGCTGGTGATGCGAAGTGGTTTATGATGAAAGAGAAGGGGGTCGCCATCTATCCCATATCGAAGGGCAAGGAGGAGAACTTCGTCTTCTTCGTCACTGACCGCAAGCCCTGGACTCAAGGAGACTCACCAATTCCATGTACCAAGGAGGAGATGATCGAGGATCTAAAGGACTTTGACCCCAGGCTTATAAAGCTCTTAGACTGGGCAAAGCCTCTGCGGTGGCCGACCTGGCATCACCCCAAAACCTCAACATACTACAAGGGCCGCGTATGTCTCCTTGGTGACGTCGCGCATGCCTCGAGTCCACACCAGGCTGCTGGCGCAGGACAAGGGCTGGAAGACGCTGTCGTCCTATCACATCTGTTACCCCTGGTCGAGTCCCCGGATCAGCTTGAGGTTGCTTTCAAGGTTTACGACTCCATCAGACGACCACGTGCGCAGAAAGTCGTCACAACCAGCTACGAAGCCGGTATTATTTATACCTGGCTTGATCCGGAGATTGGTGATGACATGAACAAGATCGTGGAGAACGCCAATCAGAGACTGCATTGGATCTGGCAGCACGACCTCAAGGGAGATATGGCGAGTGCAGAGAACGAGTTCAAGAGGTTGACTTCGGAGAAACGAAATGGGACACCAATCAGCAGTAATTCGGTCAAAGCCGGTCCAGTAATGGAGGCTAAGGAGCTGGCTGCTCCAGCCTCGTAGTACGCTTTCTTGCAGCTGAGTAACTTGGTCTGCACATGAAGCGCATTTGCATTAGCGATGGTGTATTATCACGATTCGGAGTGGGCCTCTTCAGCCCAAGTTACCGGACCGCGTCATTATGTATCTATATGACTAAGTTATCTTCGCCATCGCCTGTCACTTTCCGTAAAAGCCCATGCTCTCCGGGCAATAAAGGGATTTATTTGGTATGAGTTGCTACACAACTCAATTGCCATATGGTCCATGGTGGGTGGTAGGAGTTAGGGGCACCCTGCCAGCGTTCAGCACTACACAGCAAGGAGATTGCGTCGCTAAGGAAATGAGTTCAGCCGGGATATACATGAGGCTATCGCTTGCAATTACATCTTAGAACAAGGGTCTATTTTAGGTATCTAAGGTCGCAATTCACGGAGTTCTGCTCCGGAAATGACCTTCAGGTGACAGCTTGAGATGATGGCTCAGGAAAGTTTAGGGGTCTCATGAATGGACGGACCACAGGCCGCCCCTAGAACCCATAATGCCCAATCCGCCCCAGACCCCCCGCTAATTGCACCGGCTCAGGGAGCTTCAGCCTGACATTACGCCAAGACAGATTCACTTGCAGCATTTCAAGTAACTCAGCTAGATGCTTGGCCTTATTTTCACGTATACATGTAAATTCTAATGCTCTTCTAGCAAAGACCCAAAGCCTTTCACCTTATCCAGGATACCGTTGGTCCTATATGCGTGCCATAAGGTTGCGGTGTTGATTGCGATCACCGGCTTTCCGAGCTCCTTCTCCATTTCTGCAGCAGCCCTCGCGGCAGGCAGGTTGGTGCCTGCTTGTAGCAGGGCATCGACATCCGAAGCGTTGACCTTCCTGAAGGCGTCTTTGATGGTATCGGGATGGACCTCGGCGATCGAAGTCGCTGTATCGCAACGGAGACCATGAATCATGTGCACCGTGTAACCCATCTGTGTGAAGAAATCGACCACCTGAACATTGTTCTGTGTCAGCTTTGGCTCAACGTGCATGGCAATTTAAGACAGCCGATTCTTACCTGTTGGTCGCCAACTGCTTGATATGGAGTGATGATGCCAATCTTCTTTGCTCCATAGACATCAAGGGCAGATTTAGCAGCCAAAGCACCCGTCGTAACTTTGAGGCCACCTGCTTTCTCAACCATGAACTGTTCGAATTGCTTTGCGCCCTCTTGCCCACCCCAGAATGTCTCCGCGCTCATACCCATTACCATGTACGTTGGTAAACACGAACAGACGCGTTCCACGGCGGCGCCGATGGTGCCTCGTAGCGACTCGAGGAAGGCTACCATGGTATCATCGTCGTTTAGATTCGGATTCGCTATCTCAATGCGCCCGCTATGCCATGAAACCCCCGGGACTGTCATCCAATTGAATTCGGCCTCCACGACGGTATTGGTGGCGGGGATAATCAATCCAAACCGCGCCCGTGGAGAGACATAACTGACAGGAGCTTGAGATGCCATATTGCAATAATCACTGCCAATCCAAATGTACAGTGCAGAGTAGCATATGTCGTGAGCAGCCCAGGTTGAAACTTATCCAAGCACGCGTCCTTTGCCTAGTTACAGACCTAAGACGTCTTGATCTTCGGCAGTGTCATACCGGCTTCCGTATCGGATGGGCTTGACGAATGAATACGCTACGGCGCCGAGATTCAGGATAGTGTCCGAAAGCCCTGTGGGCAGGCTCAATACATCGCCGGTCAGCAGCCTACAAGTTGAATGCCGGTAGCTTTGATTCGTCAGGCCGTGGAACAAAGACCCGGAAGCTCCATTCCGAAGGTTGTCAGTGTGTCGGGGCCTACCGAGCAACCCGCCTAGGCCGAATCCATAGGCTTGTAGTACGTAGTACCACAATCTTACTCTATCGGAGGAGCTTTCGTTTTATATTCTCGTTACACGACTTCACAGTATAGGACAAAACGGATCCGCTAAATAGCGACACTCCATATTCAATGACAGCCCATACTTAGGGAGCACAGAGTGCACACAACGGGCGACAAGGTGGCGTTTGGCCGGTACCGGGTATATGATTCGCAAAATGACGTTACTTGGGCTGAATATTGTGCGAGACCGCTCAAGATGTGTGAGGAATAGATACTCGGTTCATGGTCCCCCACCTGCATCAGCCTGTACCATAATCCGTGGCTGCCCTCTATCCGAAGATACCTGCACTCCGATCTGCGAAAGCAGCCCGTGAATGCATCCATGCATCTTAACATTCCTAGCTCCAAATAGTGGGTAGCCAGGGGCTTGTTTAGTGTGCTCATTAGCTCCCAGCCTCTCACACTATTGTCCATCTCGGTTCATTGATTCCTACTTGGGGCGCTAATGTGACCGTCACTCCAGCTTCAAGCGGGAGCCAAGAAGCACCCCGAGCGCGAGCGCCCATGTCTCCTCATTAGACAGATTAACAGCGTATTGGTTGACCAGGACAGGCCCTTGATAGCAGCTGTCGACGCTTTTATTAATACTTGGGACAAGTTCGGGTTTCGATCGTAAGTTTTTCACACCACGACCGTACTAAACGACCCAAATCCACGGCGCCGGTAAACTCTTACCTGATCAATCCCACTACGTATCGTCCTTTCGGGAGGTCTGGTTCCTTGAGTGTTCTGTACCCATTGGACCCGCTACCCCAGCCCGTTTGCACTTTCTTCGCGGGCCGCCACTTATCCATGGCCGAAGTCCTCAAGGTGGTCCCACAGGAGGACCTAAAGCTGGCCGAGAAGAGCGATGGTTCGTTGAGAAGCGCGCATGTCCTGGAGCATGATCCGGCATTAGACCGAAGACTACTATGGAAGCGAGACCTGGTTTTGATACCCATTATGGGTGTTCTTTATATGCTTTTGTTCTTAGACCGGACGAACATCGCAAACGTACGGTCCCTTGTTTTCTTGACGTCCCGGTTCTCTTCGTCCCTAAGACAAGCCCCTTCTTTCTTAAGGTGTGATATCTCCCGAGTCAGTATCGTGATATCGGAAGCCCGCTTCACCTCAGCTGCAACCGCAGTGATGCTACATAGAAGTTCAGACGGAGATTTTGAGACCAATACCACTTTGCGCGACAATTTGAGAATGAACCGACTCCCGGTGCAGGTCATTGCTAATGTTTGACGCCCCTAGGCTCGCGCTCTGGGCATTGGATCTCCAACTGGACTAGAAGGCGCCTTGGGTATGCCAACGAATGGATATAACATCGCTCTCGTGATATTCTATATCCCCTTCGTCCTCGCCGAAATCCCAGCCAACCTGATCTTGAATACGAACAAGGTTGCGCCACGGTACTTATTGGGCGGGCAAATGGCCCTACTTGGTGAGTCCGAACTTGACCTTGGAATTCGACTGTGATACTAATCGACAGCACAGGCGTCCTTGGGATGTGTCAGGGCTTGACAAAATCATATGGCGGCCTGCTGGCCGTGCGGTTCCTGATGGGTACTTTTGAAGCATCGTTGCCTGCGGGGGCGACCTACATGATATCCATGTACTACACCAAGCGAGAGGCTGCGATTCGTTTCTCGTGGTTTTTCAATTTTGCTCTCGCCGGTCCGTTCTTCTCCGGACTTCTCGCGTTTGCGATCAACAACCTTGAGGGCGTTGGTGGGTACCAGGGGTGGCGTTGGCTTTTCATTATCGAAGGGTGTAAGTGGAAGTTTCTCCGACCATCGAGATGAGACTAACATATCGCGCAGTAATGACCGTTGCAATTTCCATACCTGTCGTGCTGTTTTGCCCGAACTTTCCGCAGGACGCTCAGAAATGGTTCCTAAAACCAGAGGAGCGCAACCGCGTTGTGGCTCAGCTAGAGGCTTCCCGGGGTGCCGAGACCAAGGGCTCTGCTGCTGACAGCGTCTCCATCTGGGAGGTGTTGATCGACTGGCGCATCCACCTGTTCACCATGTGCTTCTTCTGCTGCGACATCACGGCAGCATCCATCTCGGCTTTCTCCCCCACAATCCTCACCGAGCTGGGCTGGACCAGCACCATTGCTCAGTTGATGGCAATGCCAGTGTGGGCTGTCGGTATCATCTCGTCTTTCGGTGTAACGTGGCTGGCCTCGCGCCTGAACTTTCGGACTCCTTTCGTTATCGGCGGGATCTGCTGTCAGCTCGTTGGCTGGATCATCATGCGCGTCTACGTCCCTCAAGCCGGCGTCCGTTATCTTGCTTTGTTCTTCATGTCCATTGGAACATTTCCACAGATGCCCATCCTCATGGCTTGGCTTTCAGCAAACCTCCGTGGCAGGAAGCACTTGGCCGTGGTATGTAACTCCAATGTCCCAACCTCTCTTCCATAAGTCATGTCCTATGCTGTTTCAAGAGCCATCTGCCTCGAACAAAGAATGCTGATCTCTGATTGTCGTAGGGTATGGCATGGATGGTTGGCTTTGGGAACTGTGCCAATTTCGTATCTTCGAACGTCTTCATCAAGACTGAGGCACCTCGCTATGTCACGGGCTTTACCACTGGGTTGGTCTTCACCATCCTTGGTATGGTTCTGGTGGTATTCGGCTGCACTTTATTGGTTGTCAAGAACAAGAAACGTGAGGCGATAAGGTCGCAAATGACTGACGGGGAACGGGAGGCCCATGATGAACTGTATTTCAAATTTGTGTTGTAAGCGAAATCGAGCGGCATGCTTTGGTGCATTTGCTGTCACATCTTATGTTGGTCGACCTCAGGCAATGAACACAGGGAAACCTGCAATACTTTCAGATACAATATGCCTCTTTGTGAACTTGTTTGGCTTGGCTGCTTTCAATCAAGACGCAAACTATCTGATGGCACTGCTTGGTAGATGTTTTCGCCCTGTGTTCCGTTTCTGTCACATTATGAAGCTGATGGATGTGCAGACGGACAGGAGAGCACACGCGGTGAGACTGATCATGGTGTACTATTTCAGGGTATATATCACTTCCAAGGAAGCTAGTCGCTTCCTTTTTCGCCTTGATCACCGCTTTCACAGGTACCGAGGAAGAGAGCAACATACCTAGGTAGTCTCGGAACAAAATCAGATAGTTGCTGAGAGCATACGGACCGAATCGACAAGGTTGTTTTGGCCAGGGAGACACGGTGCCATCCTAAAGCCGTCAGATACTCTAGCGTAGACACTGACAGGTGTCTGATGAACCTTCCCAATGTCGCTTATCGCATGCCAGAATGGATATGTACCTAGGTAGGCACCCAGGTATGGAATACCTTTCCTGCTCAGGTGTCTTACTGAATTGAGTGTACAGTTGAAGCTATGTACCAACCTCATCCAGCTACAGGATGTGAACTAACCGACTGCCAGTCTCCCAATAAGACACGGTCAGGCCGACATTAAAATGCAATCCGCATGGAGTGGCATGTTCTCCATGTCTGACTATCCGAGTAACAGGTGGGATGAACATCTGACAAAATGGCCCCGCCCCATCCACAGAATCACCAAAGGTAGACTTCCAGTCGTCCCCCGCCAGCCCGCGAAAATGATCATCTCGGTCAGGTCTAGAATTTACCGTTCCAACTCCGGGCTGCCATTTCCATCACCGACCTGGACAACATCTGGGAGCACATTGCCCAACCACTTCGACATCTGTTCGAGATTTCAATAGACGGTTTGCGCCAAGCGGTGGCGAATTTTCTATGTTGTTCATAATGGTGTTTCGATTGCCGTCCGCACCAAGTTGAGGTCGGCTGTTGAGCGAGTCTGACGGGTCGTTTGTGACGACACCGCCGTGATCGGTCCAACGGTTTGAAGGTAACCACGTGCTTCAGGTCAGAACGCCATCGTCAGGAGGCGCGATTTTGACGCCTGAAGTTTCATTGGATGCCTGGCTGCAGTGTTGCAATGATACCAAGCTGGCCCAGGTTCAGGTCCGCACTTGCTCATCAAGCACGGAAGAAGGAGCAAGCTTCCAGGTCCCTGCTTTCATTCACCAGGCTCACCATTCTCTCTAATATGTGGCCCGGTGACAGAGAAATTTGTGCTACTAGATACGAGGGTGACGGGTGGATAACGAAAGGTGACTTCACTGATTCACCCCTTGATGGTCTAGGCATGCGCTTCCCTCTTGGGACTGCAGCATGAGCAGCGAGTACTTGACATCGATATCACCCTGTCTCCTGTCCTTCCCGGCCATGACTCAGCACAGCATTCGCACTCGGCCTCTCCTGGTGCTGATCACAGGGACGCACTTTCCCGTCAGCATTGTCATCTGAGCCGTCCACGGGCGTCATCCTGGAAACCACATTGGCAACCCACTTCCAACCTCTAACCAAGGGATTTGTGTGACATTTTCAAAAGGATGCTGCTCCTTCCCATTGAATTCTTCTTTGAGGGTCCAGCTTATGTCCTGGTGATAACTCTCGCTACTTTCACAAGGGACGCTCTGCAGTCTAAATTTACTGTCCCTTCTGTCCCCTTTGCAAATCGTGCCTTCTCTGAAGCACTTTTTCAGGCAATACGAGAGGTAGCCGAGAGAACCAGGTACTTCCCCTAAGCATATTCTCCTCTGAACCTCACCCACCTTTCGCCGTATGCTCTTTCTGCTAATCTTCATCTGTGGCAAGGACTGTATCTGACCTCCGACGCCCGGGATTCATGCAGTGAGACACTTCAGACAACCAGATCACTTTCCCTGACAGCAACCTTGAACCCTCGCGGATCTTCCAGCCTTTCGGACCACGGTCACGAACGTTACTGCCCACCGCCTGCCTGTGAACCTCGTAGCGGCAGATACGTGCACTGAGGTCCTTTTACACATACTCGGCAACCTCACAAAAGATTTGCAGCATTTGCGAGCATACAGGTAAGCTCCTTCTGCAATTAGGGCACTTCAATACACCGCACTCTAGACTCTTTCATCCCAAGCCATATTCTGCAAATGCTTCGAGTTTCGCTCGGAATTATCGGTGTTTCCTTGCATTGAGCCGCAGGCGCGTCGGACAGGTTGCAGGTCATTCAACAATATCTCCAAGTAACCTCAGACGATGCTTGTACCGCACATGACAGTGCCTTCAAGAAAGCAACGCAGATATGGAACCAAGAATTCAATATGAAGGTACCAACTACGGAACCGATTGTTCCACTTCCATGTTGGCACACTTCGACTGATTTTGAGGCCTCGATTGTTGGCCCGCCTTGCAGTTTGATCACAACAGACCAGTACGCTTGAGTTGTGGTCTAGGTTTCTTCCCGGCGTCACCTGCGTTTTTCACGAATTGAAATGATTCGTTGCCTGAAGCTCGATCTGCGAACAGTTTCTTTTGCCACAATGGTTGCGCAATTCACTTCATGATCTTCTTGGCTGACCCAATCGTTTACCCGCAGACATGGCTTCTCTCCGAGATATGACCGCAGGACAGTCTATGATGGACGATCCTAACTTGGGGCCAATTCACGGCCACGGCATGGCGTCGACTCGCTCCTCCTTGGCCACCGAAGCACTCAGCGATGCACCGAGCACCAACATTGACGCAAACCTAGGAAAACCGGAGGCACTCGCGATCCCGCTGATATGCAGTGTCTGCCCCAAGACCTCCAAGTTTTCTGATGTCTCTCACCTTCTCACTCATATTTCGTCGAAAGGCCACCTTTCGAATATGTTCAAGCTCGAGATTGCCAAGAACACCGATGACAACGCTCGTGAGACATTGGATGAATTCAACCAATGGTTCGAGGAGTACAATCTTCGAGACCTGCTTCAGAACCGGAATGAGAACCGTCAATCGCGAGGGAACAGAAGTCGTGGCAGTTCAAGTGTCAGTCTCCGCGGTGGACGTGGGTCATTGGTAAGTCGCGCTACTGCAGTATCAGTCCCAGCATCACGAGGAAAACGAGTAAGTCATGTCCTGCGGTGTTTTTACATTTTGGTTGGCCAATTCTGCAAGGTTGTCTGACCAGGGCTTGGATGTAGCGTGTCCGCAGCAAAGCCCAGTCCATGACACCTTCGGATCAAGTCAAGTGCGAACCCCAGGATGATGTAGACTCTGTCTCCGACTTCACCCCTTCATCCCATGGCCATCATACGAGCCATTGGCATTTAGGCCATGGCGCTCAGTCATGGAATAACTTACCCATGTGGAACGGAGCTTACTTTGGACCTGGTTTTCAGCAGGGACCCAACTTCGATGATGATCACATGGATGTGCAGCCGGATGCACTACCGGACACCGACGAAGGGGACGACAACATGGACAACTCTTCCAAGTATCAGCCGTCTGATGACGATGAAGAAGATAAGAACGAAGGTTTTCTGCACTCAGAGGACACCATCGACACGATGATTGATGAGATTGTCCCAGACCTAAAGCTAACAGGGGTCACCGATGACGAGCGCGAACGACTGCATTTCATGAAGTACCTTAAGGGAGACATCGCTCAGCTTCCAGGTGTGGGTGGATTTGATGCAGCGCCTGAGGAACAGCGGCGAAAGCGCAATCAGAAGAAAGACCCTTCGGTCATTCGACAAATGCAGGCGGCATCCCTAGCGGTTGACACCACTGAGATGGTGTTTGACTTGAACTTCGTCTGGCAACGAAACCGCAGCGTCTACGATGAGCCGTCAGTCAATGGCAGCGAGGTAAGTCATCGATGAAACGAAGCGTCTTGGCGGTGAAATATTGGTATATTAACCGTCTTTAGGACGAAGGTGATAATCCCCCGTCAACGAAGAAGGCCAAGCGTCGCTCTCCCAGAAAAAAGCTCGCGAAAGCGGCCAAGCCTCGTGCAGCCTCCAGACTGGCGGTGCTCGATCCCCAAGGGTTGAGCATAAGCACTCTAGCTACTAGTTCACGACGGGGTCGGCGCGCTGTACGAGGTACGCAGAGAACTTCGACTCGGGCTTCGAGCTCCGCTACCGCTAGTATGCCACGAGACACCCCTTCGCATGGCCCTGGACGCATAACTCGGTCAGCACGTGGCGGTCAGTCTAGTTCAGTACCTGCCGCTGCTTTGAATGGCTTACCTGGTCTCGTTCGTCTCGGAAGCCGAGTGGTGGATGTATTTAGAGACCCTGCGGATCCCAGCCCAGGTGAGGGTTGGCTTTCCCTCACCGAGATGGCTCGGAGACTCTGCCGTTTCTAACGAACTCCATAGGGCGCATCCAAAGCTCTGTTCCACGAAGACCGTGAGTGTCCTTCTGAGTTCTCATGTAATTTTCCACTGACAGCAGCACAGTCACAACAATATCTCTGGTCTATCTCTACGTCCTGGAAACCCAAATGTTTCATTGCTTTCTCCCACTCCTACATTGAAGCGACACACGTCGGCCCGTGGATTCTCAGGAAAAGAAAACAGCAACCTACTTTTCCAGCCTGATTCGACTACCTCGAACCCGTACCTTGGTGCACAGGATTCCCTTCACGAGAGCACATTCAACCCGCTATGTGTCCCAGCCAGAGGAACCGATGGATTTCGCGGGCTCACAAACTATGCCGACAATACGAAGCCTTTTACCTCGGCTTTCCAACCAATCAATGGGCTAGCCGGGTACGACCCGTTGCACTTGGCCTCTCACGGTGACGATGGCCTTCAGTTGAACCAGCGCCACAACAACAGCAGAGTCTATGACATGTGACTTTTCCCCCAGTATCTAATTCTATCGCGAGGTAACATGATTCATACCGTTCCGTTCCATGGACAAAGCACCGGGTGAAGACACGGCAAGGTTGATTTTCACCCTCGATCCCAATTTCATCAGGTGAGCATATTGGTCTAACACCGGGGTGATCGAGCTTCTGACACACATCCGTAGTTTCAATTCATATCTCATTAGGAGCCTTGTCTTCCCCCAAAAGAAAAAATCTTTTAAGAACCAGCAGGGGTTTGAATTCTTGAGGCGAAGGCTACAAGTCATTTCGCGGCGGAGTATTACCTTCAATTATGGGAACATATTGCTTTTATCTTGTCTGGCGTTTGCCACTGCATGGCACGCCATATCATTGAAACCATTGCACAAAAATGGACCACTCTCACCTGGGGATGGTGTCGGGAGGAAGACCTAGAATTTTAGTTCACCACAAGCATTTGCATTGTTCGTTCATCCACTCTTACTCCCATCATCTGAGGAATTGCAATCATCTCATGCATGATCGCCGAGGCAAATCGCCAAACAAAGAGATATTCTGACACGCGAAGACCACCTTCTAGATTGTGTATGGCTGAGCGCGTGTAGTGAAGATGATTCGTATCAATATTTGAGGTTATGACGAGCTTGTATCATGTTCTCCCGCCATGCGCGTACTGATATTCTAGACCTAGACCTAGGCCAGCCGACCTGCAAGAACTACAGCTGTTCAACACTGGATATAAGGTGATCCAATTGGCCAGGGCCGTCTTGGAGGACATCCAGCAAGAGCCTCGCCGCACCCCCCAACCTCCGCATCTTGATCTCATCCTCCAGCTCCCTCGATTTCCTGGCAGCCACATCGAGAACCTTCCGTGGGATCCGCGCCAGCCGGGCGACATTTAGGCCGTACGATCGATGCGCGACGCCCTCACCGACCTCGTAGAGAAAGGTGATCTCCTCGTCCCCGTCCCACTCGGCATCGTCGTCCTCAGTGACCTGCCCATGCCTGCTAGCCGTGAACTTCATGTGCACGTTCCGGACCTTGCCGCCCTCGATGCCGTCGGCGACCTGGCTGAGGCTCTGGTAGTGCGTGATGAACAGCGTCAGGCACCCGACCTCCTCGGCGACGTGCTGCAAAACCGCCTGGGCGATGGCGGCACCATCGTGGGTGCTGGTGCCACGGCCTAGCTCGTCCAGAATCACTAGCGACCGCGGCGTAGCGGAGCGCAGGATCTGCGAGGTTTCGTTCACCTCGACCATAAAGGTCGACTCGTTAGTGAAAATGTTATCCGATGCGCCCATGCGCGTGTAGATGGCGTCGACGGTCGTGAGCTGCATGGCGGCGGCCGGGACGAAGGAGCCAATCTGGGCCAGCAGTGTGAGGAGCGCCACGGCCCGGACGTACGACGACTTGCCGCCCATATTGGGGCCCGTAATCAGCTGGGCCAGAGGGGCGGGCGAGCACAGCCTGGTCGAGAAGGGGATGTAGGACGTCATGAGGGTGTGCTCGGCGATCGGGTGGCGACCTTCGCTGATGCTGATAGTGGGCGGCGAGTCGGCGGGGAGGAACTGCGGCTTGCTGTATCCCGGCAAAGCGGCCACTTTGGACAACGACAAAAGACAATCGAGGGTGGCCAGCGCAGACACCGCGTCGCGCAACGCCTGGTAGTCGGACGCTATTGAGGCCAGGAGGTCCGAGAATGCAACATCGCATGCCGCGGCGAGCGACTCCTTATGCTGGTCTCGCTCCAGTATCATTCGTACCACCTCCGGGGTGTGAAACCGTGAGAGCTTCTTGGTGCCCGAGATCTTGGCCCACGATGCTGGCACATTTTTGAGGTCGGTATTTGACACCTCAATCAAGTATTCGATGCCGGCCACCGTGACGTACTGAACAGGACTCTTCTTCTTGAGCTTCTCAGCAGCAACTTTGCGGTGGGCATCGAGTTCCTGCTCCACACAAGCGATGCCGAGCTTGTGATCCGTTATGGCTTCGGTCTCATCGTTTTCTCGGAAGAAGGCGTATTTGTCGTCTTTCCGGGCCGCCTCGGCGTTGATGCGTTCAAGGTAGGATAGCACAGTCGGCAGAATTTGTGGTAAGGAGGCGATTGCATTGCTGATAGCTGGAGACTTGAATCCCGTGTCCTCGGCGGACTTGACTCGCGAGAACTCGGTAGATATTCTTTGCAGCGTCTGTAGCACAGCCAGAAGCTCCGGCCGGGTGCATTTTCCATAGTAAATTCTGATCAGACTACGCTCAAGATCGGTTTTGGTGTTGACTAGAAGGCGCTCGAGTTGATCAACGCTAGATGAAGATGCGTTGAGAAGTAATTCTTCGACAGCAGACACCCGCTCTTCCAGTCGCTCCTTATCCAGGAGTGGTCGACCGATCCATTTACGGAGCAGACGCTGACCGAAGCGGGTGAGTGTCTTGTCGAGTGCCCAGAACAGACTGCCTTTATCAGAGTGGTCCGTCTGGTTGCGGTAAACCTCAAGGCTTTCCAGTGTCGTGCCATTGATGAGCATATGCGAGCGAGCGCTGAATGATGTGAAGTATTTAGTCAGGTCGAATATGTGCTCCAGGCCATACTCTTTGAGGTGGTTGATCATCGATGACAGACAAATTGTGACGAGTTCGGGCAGCTTCAACACTTTATCCAGTAGAGCGGCTGCCTTGTCGTTGCCGGCGGCATTCTCCTTCAGCTTGCCTGCGTAGAACTGAGTGACGTGGGAATAGGCCTCTGCTGCCATGGTTTTGGACTTGGGTATTCGTTCCACTCTGCACCTGTCCCCAAAGACATTGGTGCTGCTCCCAGAAAGATGCTGGATGAGTTTATCGGTCGCCTTGGTCAGCTCGCCTACAATGAGAAACTCGCACGGCGATATGTGCAATAGCCGCGTCTCAATCTCGCCTCGCATAAAGCCATCTTCAAAGTTGTCGTAGATTATATCTCCTGTGGCAGGCTGGACGGCGATGATGCCCACATCCACCTTCTCATCGGTGCCCCCGCCTTTGGCTTTGGACTCGGTGATACACAGCAGGTAACCACCCGAGGGTGCCCCTGAACTATCCCCATGCTGGTCGAGCTCCCCAATCTCATCGACATAGGTTCCCTTGGTGTAAACGTTGGTGAGCTTCCGTACGAAGGGGGCGTTCCTGTTATCGCCAGCTTTCTTGAGTGCAGCCGTCTCGATCTGTCGTACAACACCGACCTTGTGTCCGGCGGCGACGAGGCGTTTAGCATGGACTGGCAATCGGTGGACAGGAATGCTCGCTGAGGCAAATCGGTCTAGATGTGCTTCTGAAGGGTGCTCATCATAGCGAAACTTGCCGGGTATACAGACGATGCTCAGCTCCTTGGCAGCGATCCTGGCATCCTCGCCAAAGAATCTGAACTTGTACCCGACCTCCATGATGAGCAGGGTGTCTAGGTTCTTCCGTTTGATGTCCAGGAATTGGAGCTCCATAGGTGTAAGCTTGCCCGTCTTGGCACCCTTCTTCTTCCCCTTGGGCGGCTGCGGTGCTTCTTCCTCGTCGGCTTCCTCGGCCTCTTCGCCGTCCAGCGCCTGGGTCTCGTCATCGATCTGGAAGTTCTTTCGCCTCAGCTGGGCCATGCTATCCGGGCGGCCGAGCTTCTTGACGAATTTGGCATGCAGTTGTGCCTTGCGCCGTTTCTCGGCCTCGTCATCCTCCTCACCCACACTACCACCGCCGTCTGCCTGACTGGATCGATTGTAGACATATTGTTGTGTGCGAGGACTCGACCGAGGGTGTGCTGCGTTGGCTGCAGCAGGTTTCGGCGGGGACTTGGCGAAGAAGGTGCTCTGTGCCGAGTCCTCATCCACCTTGGAGCGCTTGGGACTGAGAGCAGGGCCCTCGTTGCCGTTGTCACTGTCGGTCTGGAGTGGCCGCTTCTTCGAGGCTACGGAGGCATCGTTGCGACTAGCCAGCGGCGAGCTCTGGGGTTGGCTCTGGGTTTTCGGAGCGCTGCCGCCCTTTGGTGTAAAGAAGCTCGTCAATGACTGCTGCTTGACGAGCTTCGGCTTCTTCTCCTGAGTAGAGCCGGCCATGTTAGGAGCTGGACACGCATGTGCACGCCTGCCAGGTTGGTGATTCTCGCTCGAGCTGTGTTCTCTTCGGTCGTCATCAGGTCGCGGCTGGAGCTCCAAGGGGCTGGCGCGTCTCGCCCAGCTTGGGGAGACGCGTTAATTGGCAGGGGCCGGGCTGCAGGCTGTCACTGATTGGCCCACGCCCGGTTTTCGTTTCCAGCGCCACCTAACTTAGTACACAGCACGCACTCGGTGCGTGCTGTGCTGCATAACTGCCCCCTGCACGCATGTCGGTAGTCACCCAGGCCAAGATTTCCAAGAAACCAACCCACACTAATCCAACCAACCCTATGGCTTCAGCCCGCCAGTCGGCCATCTATCAGCATCAAAGTTGCCCTAACGCCAATGTTGCACTTCCCTCTTTAGGGATACGGCACGCTTGCAGTCGTAGTAGTAATAGAGATCGTACCCTCCTCTCGTGCGCTCCTCTCCTGGATTCTCTCGACCATCTGGCACGCATCGCCCGCTCGCTTGGCAACCTCAACTTCTGTGCCCTTCACCTGGCCAACATTGTTGCTAGTTCCTATGCGGTTCTTTGGTGACCTGGTCCTCTGGTGTCCAAGACGAAGACCGTCGTCTGGCCCGCATGCTCGCCATGCGATGCGTCCACACAATATGGCGAAATCCCACCCTTCAACTCTTGGCCCGCCTGCCACGAGCGCTGCAGCCCCGTGGTCGAGACCGGACAACCGGCACGCGCTGATGTGAACATCTACGAGACCAGTCGCAAAGTTACCTGAAATGAGCCAAGAAGAGGGGCGAACTGTCGTCTCGATGCCAAGAGGATTCCAACGGCCATTATACTAGCAAGATCCGCACAGAGCCCATGGTTCAAATCAGCCGGGAATGCAAACACTAGGTCTGCCTTTACCACGATCGGCGCAAAGAAGCTTGTGACCTCGAATCCGGAAGTAGAGCCTCTCCGGGCTCTGCGTGGGAATGAACGCTAGACGCATTTAACCGGCGGCAAAATGTATAGACTGCTTCCCGTCACTATAGGTCGCCGGCTCTTCAGAAACATGAGACCCCTTCCCCACAAAAACACTATATCCCCCACAAAGATCGGATGCTGTGTGCCAGTCAATATGCACCCCAGGTTGCGAACCAGGTACTGCATGTACGATGGCGCCTTGTGGTACTCGTATGTGATCATAAGATTTGCACGTATAGATGGCTCAGGGGGAGCAGCGCTGAGAAATTATATAAAGATTGCTTTTCGTCTCTGATCCGGATTATCGTTGCTTCCAGATCGGCACCCTCACGTCTATCGATTATCAAGCACAATGGTTTCTGCTTCTGCGTTCTTCGTCGCCTGCACGGCTATTGCCGGTGTTGTGGCCGCGCCTGCCGGCCTCGAGCCTCTGGACGGTCTTCACGAGAAGATTCAGAGGTCAACTCCTGCCGGAACCGGCACGAACAATGGCTTCTTCTACTCGTTCTGGACCGACGGAGGCGGCAGTGTCACCTACAACAACGGACCCGCTGGTTCGTACGATGTGCAATGGAGCAACGTCAACAACTTTGTTGCCGGCAAGGGCTGGAACCCAGGTTCTGCCCGCGTCATCACATACAACGGTACCTGGAACGGTGCCAACGTCAACAGCTATCTGTCCGTCTACGGCTGGACCAGGAACCCCCTGATCGAGTACTACGTCGTCGACACGTATGGCACGTACAACCCAGGCTCTCAAGCCCAGAAGAAAGGTCAAGTCACCAGTGACGGAGGCACCTACGATATCTACCAGACCAAGCGTGTCAACCAGCCGAGTATCGATGGTACCGCGACCTTTGATCAGTTCTGGAGCGTCCGCACTAGCAAGCGTGTTGGGGGCACCGTCACCGTGCAGAATCACTTTGATGCTTGGGCCAAGTATGGCTTGAAGCTTGGCACCCACAACTACCAGATTGTTGCCACCGAGGGTTACCAAAGCAGTGGGAGTGCCAAGATCACTGTCTCGGGCCCATAGGGGGTTCACCCGTTTCGGAACTACTAGCTTGAGCTCTATGCCATTTCTGGCCGGTGATGGCCAAAAGCGAGCATGTCTGCTTGTACCTTCTTGCGACGGAATTTTGGAATTTTGCACCAAATCACTATGTATATATATGCTGCAGGCACAAACAATCATTATATTGCCCTGTAAAAAGCCACTTGGCTGACTTTGCTTCTGAATTCAATACCGTGTGGCAAATTGTTGGACGGATTCTACTGACATGTGATATTCTTATCCGCACGAAGCCTGCTAGGTTGTGTAACACGGTCACTATCCAGGAGAAAGCATTCTAGCTCAAAAGGGGATACGTCATCTTGTGAAGTGCCGTGTTCCTTTCTGCCCGGTGCTCGTATCTCACCAGTATTTTGGGTCTCAGCCTCACGGCTATGGTAACACCGTTTTCTCTATTTCGGGTGCTTCTAGGAGATAGCGTCCGATCCATGAGATAGTGTCCGATAGCACATGCATCACCTCGTGTTCTCACAATGTGACTTTCTAGAAAGCTTGGCGTGCTTTATTCATTACCGATTCGGACCCTATATCGACAAAGAGGTCGGTGCTGTTGTTACCTTGGTCTCGCATGGGTATCCGATATTGTGACATCTATTACTGGCTTGGTTCGGGCCTGTCATGTAGGATCTGGAGGAGCGGTAATGTCCATGAAGATTCATCGCCCTCTGATGCCTACTTCATAAAGATCACAATAAATCCAATACAGACAAAATCGACTGCATACAGAGCGGCTTCAACATCCTTGCACGCTGGGATGGCCATCCAAACAAGAGACTATTCCTGCCACATGTAAAATGAATTGTAACGTTCCAGCTGGTAGGAACCCAATCCTCTAACCCCCGAACGCCATGTTGTCCGTGAGTTCTGTACGACGGTGTACATGGGCCATTGATACCCCGGAGGGCTGAAACATGGTGTTAGGTCAAGTCACACTACTTTCCATTTTCCCGCTTAGGACCGTCTTGTTGGGTCAAGAACCGTATCACTCGAATTCTTTAATCGTACATGCATTCGGTCGATCGGCGATAGAATATTCTGCCACGGTGATGAGCATACGAATACGTCCGCACTATTGAGTATGGATCTATGATAACCTCGGAGGTAAAGCTAAGGAATTCGTGTGTAGCAAATACTACGTAACCGAAGTTCGGAAAGAGGAATCATTCAAATCCTGTGCACTTGTCGTCGGTGTCTTGTTAGATCCCCGCCAGCATATATATAGATGGACAGACAGTCGCGAATAGTAGGCCAAGTTCAAACTGACAGTTGATCGGGACACTGGTTGCAATTCACACTTCACTCTCTACCACCAGACATGAAATTCTACAAGTTGTTTTTGGCGGTCCAACTGCCTCTGGTCCTGGCTAGAGCACCGTTGCTTATGCGTGCCGACAATGACAGTGTCCCGCATAACTACATCATTACTCTCCGGCCTCATCACACCGCAACCAACGCAAGAACTTTGCTCAAGACAGCAATTGCAAAGAAGCTGGCAGGCACCAAGCACCAAGGTATCTTGAGGACATTTGGTAGTATAGATGGCCTCACCGCTCTTCATGTGGATTGTGACCCCAACACACTAGAGGCTATAAGGAACCATCCCTCTGTAAGTATCCGACCTACTTCAATCTCAGTCAGGGGGTTTCAGATATGCACGCGTGTTGGGCTTCACTAATTTGCAACTTTTCAGGTTCAGTCAGTCCACCAAGACGGTTTCGTTTATGGACAGTTCGTAATCCCTCGGATTGTACCCCGAGATGACCTGGTGGCCGGGCCAACTTGGGGGCTCGGAAGGATATCTCATCGGGATCCCGGAGTCATCGGGTATGACTTCAAGCAGCCGCCACAAACACGCCTCTATGTCCTTGACACCGGCGTCAGAATAACCCATAAGGAATTTGGTGGCCGTGCCGTCTGGGGCGCGAATTTTGTTGATGGGTCTCCTGTAAGACATCCCGTCACTGTCAGGCTCATGCCTCGGCACCACTGATGGCTACGCACAGAATAACGATGAAAACGGGCACGGAACGCACATTGCTGCGACAGCCGCGGGAAATACCGTCGGTGTGGATAACTCGACGATAATAGTCGCTGTCAAATGCCTCGATAAGAATTCTGTCGGTACTTGGTCTGGAATCTTAGCTGCCATTGACTGGGGTATGATACGTCTTGGGTGTTCATCTGCCCCCTTTGGAGGTCGGAAGCTAACCGTCGTTGGGTTCCCTAGCCGTGGGAGATGCGCAATCACGTAGCATCATTACCCGCTCTGTGATCAACATGTCAATCGGCGGCCCAACCTTCCCGCCTCTGGACGACATGGTGGCAAAAGCTAACGCAGCGGGCATGACTATCGTCGTGGCGGCGTCCAACTACGGCGCAGATGCGTCCGGATACTCCCCAGCCCGATCGCCCGCTGTCATCACGGTGGCAGCTATAGACCGAACGGACACACGTCCATCATGGTCCAACTACGGCAGCAGCGTCACGGTCTTTGCGCCCGGCGTCGATATCAGTAGCGCCTGGTTGAGCTCCGACTCTGCGTACGCGACGCTGAGCGGCACCAGCATGGCTTCGCCGCACGTTGCCGGCCTAGCAACGTACCTGATGTCCCGGGAGGGACTGGCGGGTCCGGTGGCGGTGCGAAGGAGGATGGTGCAACTCGCGACTAATGGCAGGGTAATTGGCGCTGATGGGAGCCCGAATTTAATTGCCTACAATGGCGCTGGTGGACCTTGAGCGCTGACGATGAGAAGAGCTTTCTTGGGCTGTGGAACGACAAGGTACATATTGGGGTGAAGAAGTGATGTACGGCAAGGGCTTATTCGATACGGTGCGTCTATCTTTGCACAGGAGGATATTTAAATTAGGGAACGGAGTCGCTGGATGAAATAGGTTGAACCGTTGCGTAGTGTTCAGGCAGGTCGATTCAGAGTTGTTGGTCTTCGGTTTGAGTTTCAGTCCAAGTCTAGCTCACTCGAGACAACTAAATTATTCGGACTATACCTACATGGACTGGGAGAGAGTATCTCGTACTGGAAGTTTTCGCCCTCTAATAATGGAACTACAATGCAATGCCTCCAGTCTCATGAGGCCACATTCATAGCCTGAGCTTACTGCTGACTTTTTCCCAAGATAAATCATAAATGGCGAGGAATTGCGAGCAGACATCCGTTGTGCCGGCTCCACATGATTGAGGAATCCCTGGTGGGTTCGTCTGTTCCTGTCAGCCCTGTGGCCCATCTTCGCCAGGCTACATTTTAATTTTCGGGGGTACCCTGACGGGCCTGAATGGCGCTGATGAAACCCTGGTCATGCGCTAACCCCCCGATGGTCCAGCGAGCCAGGAGTCTGAAGTGAAGATTGTTTGACAAACAGTTGCAAATCAATCGGCTTCATAGCCATATATGGACTGACATCATATGCATTTGGAGCAGCCAGAGTCACATTCTGCGCACTATTAAAGGGGTTGCAGGAGCTTTAAATACCAGATCGTGGGTAACCACCCGCGGGTATCTTATCCTCCCCCACACGTCTTACTACTATTATTAGCTGACGGTCTACTCCGTAAGACCTTTGAAAGGGAATCCATCAGCCTGGTTCCAACAGCTCGCATGCAATCCACCGGCTACAGCTACCCGCCAAGACTCGTAAGATTCATCTTACTGGACTGTGCCTCAGCCGCACTTGAAGCATGCTGGGAGGGCCGAATGAGTGACAGGGTGGTCCTGTCATGAACGACTGTGTGTGTGGCCTGGGTCGCTTATTCGTGGCCTTCTCGAATCTCACTCAAGCCGGCCAACTCAGTTCCGGTGATGGGGCTTGCACACACCTTGCTGATCTCGCAGCAAACTGGTCTAACCTGCATAGCCCCCAACAGCCAAGCTGCATATCTGACCTCCCTCAATGGCACCATTTGTCCCATCAAGATGATGTCCCCGCCCGTCGCAGTTTTCCCGTCGCATCTGACAATTTTTGCACTCTACGGCATCTTCGCCTGAGGCTCTGTAATGCAAAGCAAGCCGTTTTGGGGCCATTATAGACAGTCGTCACTATCATGAAGTCCGCCTTCTTCATGGCGGCCATCATGGCCGCTATACGCACCTCAGTAGCCCAAACGACGACCTCAGAAGTCGGAGAAACGGTAACTTCGGCTCCTACGACGTCTCCGTCCTCAACAACTCGCGGACCTGTCACCACCACGGTCAGCGTAGGTGTAAACCACAAGTTCATACCCGATACTGTATCAGCACTTCCAGGCGATACAATTAGTAGGGCTTTCGCCAATATGTCAGCATCTCATTAGCTAACCCTACCACAGAATTTGAGTTCTTCCCATCAAACCACTCAGTCGTTAAGGCTGCCTACAAATATCCATGTGGTAAGACTCACGCTCTCATACTCTGCAACTAGGTCTTTCATGAACGGCTGCTAACGTCAACTTGCCAGTCCCCTATGACTACATCGAACCTGGAGAGCCCACCTTCTTCAGTGGGCCCGAACTATCGAACGCTGGTGACCCGCACCCAACTTGGCTGCTTGAAGTCAATAGTACAGAGCCGACATTCTTCTACTGGTACGCCAAGGTCTAGATATATGTATATATCTATCTCAGCTAACTGACAGCCAGTTCCGCACCCGGTTCTTGTCAAGATTGGGCAATGGTCGGAGTGATAAATCCTGTAGGTACCATTGGCCCCGTGGATGGCATCTATATCTAACGGATTGATCTTAGAACGAAAGCTTCAGTCTTGATGTCCAAAAGGAATTTCAGAAGAACGTCACTTTCCAACTAAGTCCGGGTGAGCCTTGGCCTGCGGAGGCACCGAGACCAACCACCACAGGATCTGGGACGACGCCGTCCGAGACTGGGTCAGGCGGAAACAATGGTTCCGGGGGTTCTGGGGGTACTTCGCTGTCCGGCGGCGCGATTGCTGGAATCGCCATTGGTGGAGCAGCGGTTCTTATTATCGTGGTGGCTTTGATTTGGTTCTGCGGCCGCAAGGGAGGAATCGAGAAGGGATATCGCAAGAGCACGGTGATGCAACCGTCCACACCAGGAATGGTTGAGGCACACTATCCCAACGATCCGAAGAGCCCACCGCCACCGAGCTTCAGAGACTCACCGTACGGCATGCAATCTGCCGAAGCATTCCGGTCTACTAGTCCGCAACAATGGTCACAGACGGGCAGCCCGCACGCCTCCTACAGGGGATACCCGAGTCCTGGCCTTGGCAGTCCGCAGCCATGGCAGGAGGTGCACCCGCAGCACACTGGACAGAGTGGATACTCGTAGGTCTCAAATACCCTGTCATTGATGGCATCAAGTCTAATGTTTTGGAACAGTGACCATCCGAAACCGCCTACTGAAGCGCCGGTAGAACTTCCAGGACACCCTACTTCACCACCGGCGGAGCGCCACGAGTTTCCAGGTTAATGGTCGTACTACGAGAAAACACACGGGAAAGATACCAGTAAAATGTTGCATAGGACCGGCGTCAGGGGCCTTGATCAGGGCATATACGACATTGTAATTTAGTCGATGGATATCCTTTGAACTTCTTAGCACCATCATTTGAGACGTCTTCAATAGGAAGAGACCTACCGTTTTTTTTTTCGATAAGAGGCTACAGCCTAACGTCAGGTGATACGTCGTAAATATCAAGGTTTAGTTCAGGGCGAAGTTCGCGCACAGGCTGTTCCGTTACCGATGGCTTCTGGTGCAGCGGTTCTTCAAGTTTGATATGCCCGAGCGAATGGCCCCAGGTCAGTCAACGAAACTGTTGCTCAAGTGACATATCAGCCGTTCATCATATCTTGGTAAAGTACGCTCAGAGCATTAATGCTTGGGGCGCCCACGTCTTTCTTTTCCGACGGCGGAATAATGCTACTTAATGGTTGAAAACACGATAGAAGTTCATCCATCTTGAACTGACTATTTTCAATACACCTTGCTTTTTCAAAACACCCTATGAACGACTGGACTCTGCGTACGCTAGGACGTGTCACTTTATTTACATATGCGTCTCGCCATTGACGTCAGTAGCGCCGGATCCGTGCGTGTTTCGTATTTTTGTATTATTGCATCTGAGTAGTCAATAAAGCCTCACTGAAGTGCATCGCGATCCGCTTCCACCCCCACGACAATCTGCGTTCCGCCACAACGTATTTCCTAGAATTGAGGATACATACAAGACAAGGCTACTCTTCGATACTTTCCACCCCCACAGTCAAATTACGTCACGTTCTGTGCGCTGTAAATTTGACCTCTACAAGCACCCTCAAAGAATTGAAAATCAAAGATAGCAGCTGGCGACCTTGTCGGCTGACAGGAAACACGGAAGTAACTAGTCTATGACATGTCTTAGACCGTTTTAAACATGTTGAATAGTTGCTGAGAAACAGAATAAGCACTATTCTTCGGCACCGGTTTCTAATTGCAGCAAAAAAGGAAAACCGTTTAGGCATCTTGAGTATGGTGTTCTAAGCGTTCAATTGTGTAATTAAGACTTAACCCCCCGGAAACAAGCTGGCTTCACATGCCCCTGTTATGACGATCGTAGAGATCTGTATGGGAGGGGACATGGACTGAGCCAAATCGAAGTATCAGTGGGACTTGTCGTCTATTCGAGAAGCCACTTTATTCCATCCTCAACGTCTCTCTTGAACTTCGTTGTCGCAGATATGGGAAGATCAAAAACCCAGAACACATGAAATAGCCCAGGGTAGATATCCAGCCTTGTTGGTACACCAGCGTCTTTCCAGACTTGTTCCATGACCAACGTACAATCTCGAAGTGGATCTAATCCACATGCCTGAAAGTACGTTTTGGGCAACGCGGAATGATTTGAGAATGCGACCGGGTACGCCAAAGGGCTTTTTGTTTCAGGCTTGTAGTTCTCTATGACACGTTAATTCTTCTAGCTCGTGGATTCGTGGTTCACATGGAACTCAATAATGGGAGCCCAGAAGCAGTTCATGGTAATACTCAGTACAGAAAGAGAGTGTCGAGGATCAATGACACTTACTCCTGATGAACTCGAGGCTTTCAATAGTAAAGCCTGGGGCTTCAGCATTCTGGTCTAGGCTGAAGAAGTGATCTCTGTATCGATCGGGCACCGTGTCGCGACTAATGCCAGAATTGACAGAGGCGTAAATACCGGTCAAAGGTGGCAAGGATTCTTGCTCGGACCACAGGTGCGCAACAGTGAGAGCGATATCAGACCCGGAGCTCTCACCTGCAATTAGAAACCCCAACCGTGGATCGACGTCAAGGTCTGCGAGATTTTGTGTCATCTACACAGCATCAATGGGTGCTCCTCGATAGTGCATTACTCTGTTCACATACCCAAACCAAGGCATCGAAGCTATCATGGATTCCAGTTGGAAACGGATGTTCGGGGGCAAGGCGGTAGTCAATTGTCACTGCAACACCGCCGAGTCTGGCGAATGTGTGACTGACCATTGATCCAGCATCAAGATCGCCCACTATGTGTCCACCCCCGTGTATCATGAGGAGCCCAGGCTTCTTGGCCCTCGGACCGTGCGGTGAAGTCACCCTGATTGCTATTGAGGTCCCGTCTCGGACCTTGATCTGGCGATCTTGCTCGATGAATGGCAGCGAGAGTAGGCCGGGGCTTTTGCCTCGAGCTCTCCTAGCCCGCTTAAGAGTATCTCGAAGCGAGGAAACATCAGAGTCTAAGGTCCATGCTGGAGGGAGACTAACACCACTTGCAACTAACTTGATGGAAGAAGTGAGTATGCTGTAGATGCAATGCAGACAAGCCAATTACCTCGTCAAGTTCTGTATCAATCTGGGACAAGGCGCTGGCCTGTTCGATGGAAAACATTGTGTATCTCTTTTCCTACTTTTAATGAAAATGAAGGTCGACTTATGGAGATTAGCTAGTACGTGCACGATGCTCTGTATTACTCAACGTGACGAGACATTTTTGTGTACGCACCCAGCTGATCTTAGGTAAGCGCGTTGGCCAGCGGCCGTTCCCCCATCGTTACAACCCCGTTCGAAGCCGACAAGCAATGGCAACGAAAGTATGAACACAGCACTGATGATCGTCGAAAAATTCCCCGTTACTTTCACCGACTATGCTCTAGAGGTTTATGCTTCATGCTATGGGAGTTGCTCACAGGTGTCTAATCCGCCCACTCACGTAAGCCGGGACTACTCTTGAATTTGTCCCAGCGTCAGGCCATTCCGTTCTCCTGAATGTTCAGAAGCCCAAATCATTGAAGGAAAATGTGTAAACAATGTAATTTGTACTGGAACGCATCGTTTACTTAGACCTATCGACACCGGTTGGTGACGTCTTATCGGCGTTAAGATAAACCTCCTTATCAGTGGCGCCATCGGAGCGTGACGGAAGTTCACCCTGCTTGGTCGCATTACAAATTCGCTTCGCAGCTACAACTTGCGACCAACTTGCGATCTTGCCCAGAGACAAGATTCACAGCGTCGCCATGGCATCCCAAGCAGTTTCAATGCGTAAGCAGTCCCCAGAACAGACCACTTGACAATTCGAGGCTGACGGCAGCAGCTTCTCTCAGCTCCAAGACGGACTCAAAGCCCGTCGCAAACGCGGATGCGGCCTCGAAGCCAAAGGTAAGGCCAAATATGCCCTCGACCCCCCACGACCCCAATTGCGGCTGACTTCTTGCGATTGCTAGCCGTGCTGCGTATGTAAGGACGAGAAGTCGAAGCGCGACGAGTGCATGCTGTTCTCCAAGGCCGCCGACCCTGCCGCCGACTGCAAGTCGACCATCGATCAATACCGAAGTTGTATGGCCGGGTTCGGCTTCCAAGTATGAGACGAGGACGACATCATCGCTTTGGAGGGGAAGAATTCCAGCGAAGAGCTTGTACAATACAGGGCACTAGCCGTCAACACGTATGGCAAGGCCTAGAGATAGCATAGATCTGGCGTTCTGGGGTCAAGGTAATACAGGAATCAACCATTTCCACTTCTTCCTCTCCTGGCATTGTCCCATTCATGCCACCTTTACATATGTACTGCGTTGCTTCTCGCTCAGTTCACGAACGCCTCATGAACACCAATGGCATCCTTGGGTGAAGAGGTGCTTTCAATTCAGACTCGGCCTCAGCTTCGTCAGACGAGATTCCGCTCACATTACAACCTTCCTGCGAGCTAGGTCTGGAGCTCTCAGTAAAATAGGTTGTGCAATTGTCAGGGGTCGAAATTGAGGTCTCACCGCTTCCCAGTCGCGTTTCATGGTGGTACGGCTGCGCGCGAACCACATATTTCCACACATCCATCTATGAAATATCCGACTTCTCGTGGTAGATAAAGAGACAATCTTGCACATCACTGTATTATCCTTTATTCATATGACGAGACAAGGGGCGGCACCAAGTCGGCTACTCTGGATCTATAGAATCCCAATATTTCCGGGGCCAGATGTTTAACGCCGTTTTCAGCCCGCCCGTGACCGGCAGCCCAGCATGGACCGTTCTGTCATCGCCAGTGTTGTTGGCAAAGAGATTGACCCAGAACAGGGCGTTTCCGGCCACAGGCTTGAAAGCGAGCCCGCCCTCCTCGTGGCGCCGCCATAGTTCGCCCCTGTCCCGCGGCCGGACGGGCTCGACGAATGGGAACCACGTCTCCCCGTCGGTGCAGTTGTCCTGCAATATCGCGAAGAAGCTGGCGGGCCTATTGAAGACCCTAGCACTCCCGTCGAAGGCCTGCTGCGGAACTCGGAGCCAGTCGCGGTGCAGATCATAGTGCTGCCCCTGCGTATACCGCACCAGTTGCGGGATGCCCATCTCATCAGCCACCGGGTCTAGTGTGGTCCCCAGGAACTTCCTGGCGCGCCCAAGGATGCAAGAGACGGCTGGGTCGTCATCAGGCAACCCGGCGCTCGAAGACGTCCGATACGGGTTCTGGATCAGCTCCCCGTTGCGGTAGACCGTCGACGGCTCGAAGCGGTCCTCACCGGCGGCCAGAATACCAGCGATCTCCTGCGGGCTGAGGAAGCCGTGGATATAGATTAGTAGAGGGTCGAGGGATATGATTTCGGTAGTATAAGACAGTGATAGACACTCGAAACGCTCCTGGAATGGCCACCTCAGGTCGAAGCTCGCCAGAAAACGCGTTGCCGCGGGCAATGACACGGAGGTACTGAGCGCAACTAGCAGTAGGACAGCCAGCAGTGCAGTGATTACGACCGCCACCTGAGACGATTTCTTCATCTTCTTCGATCGTTGCCGACTGGGTTGCTTTGAACCCCGGCCGTTCTTCTCTGCAGCCATCTGATAGACGCACGTGGATCACGACTCTTCGCAAGCAGAGTCAACTCAAAGCTCAGAGCCGCAAAACTGTTTTGGGAATTCTCATAGGATAGCGTTGTCGATTGTGATCTAAAATCTAGGTAGCCGAGCCTTAAGAAGAAAACGGATGTTGTCAAAACCGTGACGTGCGGTCTTAAAGCCTTGACAGCCGTTCCGGATGAAATGGTCTTCGGACGCCCACGGTCCGAAAGAGCCACGCCTCAATGACATCGGCGTGTATTGTGCTTCAACGATTGAGCTTAATCGGAAAGGTTTTCTTTCTGCAGTATTTCAAGAAGGCGAAACTTCATCACTGGCCATGAGCCTCCGTATTATCACCACCATTTCCGCCGCGACGTAAGCCGGTGTCCGACCTGTGACATCGATCCGCAGCCCGTCGACTCCCTCAAACTCGAACAACGTGCAGCGACTCAGGAAATCCTCGAGTACAACCCTGTCGACTAACTTTCCTTTGCCATCTGCCGTTCTCTCTGGCCTCACAGCGCGCCTCACGTTCTCTTCTCTCTCACATTCCAGGTACACGGGCAGGAATAGCCTCCCGGCCTTTGCAGCGGCCGCCTGATACTCTCGTGCTACGCTAGAGCCAAGCTCGTTGGCTGTCTGGAAATCCGTGAAGATAATTGTTTTCGCAAGCTGTACCTGGCAACCTTGGCGATCTGTCGTTAGCAGCGCGGGTTCCAAACCAAGCACATAGTGGTTGAAGGCGTTCTGCCGAATCGCACGCCGTTGCTCCTGATATTCTGGGTGGTCACGCGCCAGCTGGACAGGGTCGATGAGCGTGTGGTTATCGATGAAGGTAACGCTCTCGTAGCCCAGCATCCGCTGAACCTCACGGGCTATGGTCAGCTTGCCCACGCCTGGGAAGCCATTGATCCAGACAAGTGGTGCTGATTGAATTCGGCCTGACGTTGTCATAATTATAGAACCCTTCTCTTTCGACATCAGCTTCTGCTCGGATAAAAGATTGTCCAAGCTCGTGATGGAGTTATTTGAAGTAGCTAGACCTATTATATAGTCACACTCGACAGGGGAACATGGCTTGCAGGTTGAGTCATATGGGGGCCGTTGAGTCAATGTCCCAAGTGGATAAATTCCGCAGAGCCGCAAAACCTATTGCAGATCTCTCGAGTTCTTTTCCTCGTTATGAGTTGCCGGAATTCTTGGGCCTGCACAAAATACCTTTCACTTTCTTAAGTTGGTATGGTAACTTTGAAGAGACTCTATTTAGACTATGGAGGGACTTTGATTGTAAACACGGTGAGCATTGTCAAAAACCGTGTCCTTTTTGCTGCAGACCAGCATGAATATGGATATTTGCGTTGTGAGAGGGATAAAAACGCCAACGATACTAACTCATACCACGTAGTCCGCCCCACGGCACTGCATAAGCCAACGCCACTCTTGACATGTCACAGGTCTCCATGGCACGTAATGCTACCTCTAGCAGCAGACTGGTTGATGCAAATACTGATGGATTATTATCCTAATCTACCTACAGTACAAGTTGAAGTCGTCATCAGATGCCCGTGACTCCATGCACTCATGCTAATCATCCCCAATCGCCGGATATAAATGTTGGTTCTATGAGAGATTGTGCGGAAAACTTGCGTGTGGTATCAATTTCGATGGTTTGTCTGGTGGTCGTAGCGGTGGTTTACAAGTGCTCCATCTTGTCGAGGATAGAGCGGGTGAATTGGTGAGTGGTAGCATCACCACCCATGTCGCGGGTGCGGGTCTTGCTGTAGAAATCGTTAGAACATGGTCATTTGGATAGGTAAAAGGTAATACGAACCCCTCAGCAATGACCTCGTAGACGGCCTTGGAGATGCGGTTGGCGTGCTCGTCCAGGCCAAGATGGCGCAGGAGCATGGAGCCGGACAGGATCAAGGCGGTGGGGTTGGCCTGGTCCTTGCCCTTGATGTCGAGACCGACGTGTCGGCAGCCGGGCTCGAAGACGGCGACGTCGCGGCCCATGTTGCAGCCGGGAACGAGACCGGGGCCACCAACCAGGGCAGCGCCAATGTTGGACAGGATACCGCCGTACAGGTTGGGCATGACCATGACGTCAAACTGCTGGGGCTTGGACACACACTGCATGCTGGCGTTGTCGACAATCATGTCGTTGTACTCGATGCCGGGGAACTCGGCGGACACCTCCTTGCAGGTGTTGCGGAACAGGCCGTCGGCAAGCTTCATGATGTTGGCCTTGTGGATGCAAGTGACCTTCTTGCGGCCGTTGGCCAGGGCGAAGGAGAAGGCGAACTTGGCAATGCGCTCGGACTTGGGGCGGGTGATGATCTTGAGCGACTCAACGACGCCGGGAACGCTCTGGTGCTCGAGGCCACTGTACTCTCCCTCGGTGTTCTCTCGGATGATGCACAGGTCGACGTTCTTGTGGCGGGTGTCGTAGCCGGGGATGTTCTTGATCAGAACGATGGAGGCGTAGATGTCGAGCTCCTGACGCATGGCGACGTTGAAGCTGGAGTGGCCGGAGCGCTCGATGGGGGTGTGCAGGATACCCTTGAGGCCGAGCTTGTTGCGCTTGAGCGAGGTGACGGACTGCCTGAAGAGCTCCTCGGCGCTGGCGGGCGAGCCCGAGTCGACACCGGTGACGTCGATCTGCTCCCAGTCGATGGGCACATTGTCGGCCTTGAAGATGGTCTTGACGCTCTCGGCCACTTCGGCGCCGATGCCGTCACCGGGGATGAGGGTGACGGTGTACTTGCTGCCGAACTTGGTCGGCCTGAAGATGTCGGACTCGACGGTGGCGTAGGAGCGCGCCGCGATCTGGGGTTGCTGGCGGGCAGCGGCTCGCGCCAGACGCTGATAAGACGAGAGACATGGTGAGCCATTTTATCCAAGCCATAGCGAGCATGTGACAGCGGCAGCGGGAGCCATTGGGGCGCCGGACGGGGAGATGGACTTACCTGGGCAGCTCGGGCAGAGGTTCGCGATAGCATCGTGCCGACTTCTGAGGAGAGATGGGTGTAGGAAAGGGATGCTGTCTCGCAGGATCGGGGTCGTGAGAAGAGGGCGGCGGAGGAATGGGAAGTCAATTCTCACAAGCCTTGCTGCTGCAGAGCAAATAGCGCAAAAACAAAAGATCGGCAGAGTGCCCAGGTGGACGCGGGCAGCGGGCTACGCTCGCTGGCTGGCTGGCTGGCTGCAGGGGGCCTGGGGGGGCCTGGACGCCAATTGCGCCAACCACGCCCGCTAGACTTTGAGCCGACATGTTCCGAGCTCACCACCCGAAACCTGCTATCCCGTTCTACGCCTAGCGCCCATCGTTGGCGAATTTTTTTTTTCTTTCTAACTGCTATCAATCAACGACTCGGCCTTATCTGTTCCATCGGCTCGGAATCTCCTGCACGTATCTCCGAAGTAAACACCACTTATCATCACTTGCCAAGTAAACTACCACAATTAGGCACTTCCATAGCTGAGTGCGTGAGTAAGTGCATATGCGAATTCTAGTATGACAGGTGGCAGTCGTGGATATCCTCTTTTGTAGAACCGCTCGGCGGCACGCTCCTCACCGTCCCGTTACTGTAAACCCGCATATACTGAACTGTTCAAAGTATGGGAGGAGGGTACAATGTGAGGTCTTGTACACTAGCCGTCTCACGACCAGGCCGATTATTTATGTGCGAGCACTTCTCGTTCAACCTCATTCATTTCTATAGCTTGTGTCGGTTGGGTATCTTTGCTATGGTACAATATCGATAATACAACTGCTGCTATGCAGGGTATATTCGCCTATCACCCTTCGATTTTCTGAGGAACCAAAGCCTCGGCCATGTCGATGCTACCCTCCATGTTATCCTTGTTGAACAAGAACAACCCTTGTATTGCGGCGGTTGAGGTCCGTGGTGGAGGGGCTCCGTCCTCACTGCTACCGAAGAGGCCGAGGCTGTCAAGTTTATTCAGGAAGCGTGCCTTGCCCGACCCATCCTGGTCAACATCACCATAGAAGTTATCCCACATTCGGCCTGCCTGGTGTCTGGTAGCCTCGCCAATGCGGATCATCATGTCCACACGACCTGGCCGGATAAGGGCCGGGTCCAGGAGCTCGATATGGTTTGTGGTCAGGAACGCAATGCGTTCCTCGCCTGCTGAGAGGCCATCGAGGGCGTTCAATAGGCCTGAGAATGTCACAGTCGGGCCGCTGTAGCCGTCTGATCCCCTAGCTTTCCGGTTGACGAAAGCTGAATCCACGTCTTCGAGGAGCAGGATGGTCCGTTCAGGGAGCTTGGTAAGCAGGAATGCCAGCTTATCATCCGTGACGCCAATCTCACTGAGGTTGACCATGGCAACACTGTAATCCAGCTCGCCGGCCAATGCTTGGATGAATGATGTCTTTCCGCTTCCGGGAGGTCCATGCAACAGGTAGCCCCTCCGGTACGGAATCCCACGGTCGATGTACCACTTTTGTCTCTGGAGGAAGTCCTTGACATCACCGACAATGCCTTCCTTGATGCCTTCGTCTAGTACAACACTCGTAAGCGGTCGCTTCCTCTTTGGCTCGCCCAAGGGCGTCCAGTCAAAGTTCCGCACTGAATAAACGACCGTCTTGCCTTCGTTGGCTTGCAATGCGATCTGACGGGCCTCGGTGAAGACGTCCTCAAAGATGTGACGGTGCGCATAAAGAGTGGTGAGCTCAACCGTCTCGTGCGGCTCGCCAGTGTTCGACCTCGCAGTGGCCTGCTTCTCCCTGTTGACAGAGATATACGCATGCTTGTACTTTATAATATGTCTGCCGTATCCAGGCTGCAGGAAGAAGCTGGCGCGGGTCGGTCCGTTCGGTGTCGTGCTCGTGGCGGTCGCTACCGAAAGCTTGTTGATCCGGGTCAGGCGCTTGGCGAGGAACGAGGTCTGCGGCCGGGGCTGGGAGAGCCATGCGAGCACCCAAGGGTAGGCGGGGTCCTGCTTGCTGATCTCGACGTTGACCAAGAGCCGCCTGCGAATCATGCCGGCGCCGGCGATGGCTCCTCTGCGGGCCATGGCCAGCGCCGCTCCAAGCGACGCGAGGCCGAAGCCCCCAGCGAACACTGGATTGTCGAGCAAGGCATTGACATTGAGGAGTGACTGGGTTGCTGAGGCTTCAGACATGACCAGGCATGATTTCCGTGCAGAGCTGCCAAATCGAAACACCGCTGGAGCTAAGGATGGGTGCCCTTTAGGTGGCTCGAGGTGCGATACCGACCTTGAAGGTTTGGATAAAAAGTTTAGATGACTAACGTCGACGCGGTCGCGCCAATGCCCACAACGGTCTCGCTAACTTAGCGTCTGCACCCCACAACGGATGTATAGTTACATCATCGTTAACCTCAACCACCTAGGTTAGGTAGCTGGACACGCCGGCTATAAACGAGCGGGTTATGGAATGACCGCGTACGATTATCATGCTGTCCAGAGTTGAAGTCCAGCGCATCTACTGTCGAAGAACATGACTCGATTACGATATTGATGTGACATCACACCCTGTCCTGTTCAAGTTCTTTCCGAGGTTGGACATATTCTGGTCTGCACGACATGTGGCTACCCATGTTCCTGGCCTTTGCTTTTTTCTTTAAAACCAGGTCTCCATTGCTGGTCCTGGTCTGTTGTCTAGATGCGATGCCTCCAACTGATGGATCTAAACTTCTCACCCCCTTGGTACCAATTTTAGCTTGTGGTGCCACAAGATCATGATTGTACTTGATATCGCTAACAGTGGACCCATAAAGCCCCATCTTTAGAATTTCCAGTACTTGAAGGAGTGATGTCTGCTATTCACAGGTTAATCCCCCAGTAAGGGTCTCTTTGAGGTGTAGGTGTCCCTCCCATATCAGTACAACCGATGGATGAAGCACTTACTTCATCCCTACGTATTGTCGACTGCCCCTTGAAAGCGAGGATAGATCGAGAAGGTATGTTACTGGCTGCGCCGGGGTGGCACGTGCTCACCGTTTCTGTGCTGCATATACGCCGCGGACTGAGTAAATCTGCTGCCGGGTTTCCATTCAGATTATCCGACCGCAAGGCTTAAAGTTTCGGTTTCCAGGTTGCCATGCAAAACCTACGTATATGCCATAGAAGACTGGATGGACGCATCTTACTGCTCGGGTTGTGAACTGACGAACGATTAGTGACATCTGCCGTGTTCCGAATATATATCATGTTCCAATCTACTGACATTGGCAAGCAGTGCCACGCGATGAAATGCCTCGGGTGATTTCAGACTGTGACACCTTCAATACATGAAATATTGCTCAATATTGAGTTTGGCACTACAATTTATTTCTATCAGTTTGCCAGATATTGATTCACAATATTGGAAGCATCTTTCTGGAACGGTGGTTGCAAGCTGTCCAGCAACCAATCGTATCCGAGCTAAAGTGTCAACACTAGCAAAAGCGGGACTTCGGGTTTAGAGCGACAGGCGAAAACTCAGAACCACAACTTTCAGCCGTCTCGTCGCCAAATCTCCATGGGCATTGCTGCACACGAACCTGAATAATTTCTGATGCGGAGGAAAGACTTGTTCTAATTGTTTGAATCTGGATACCAAAAATGAAGAAATACGAGCGTCATGCGCAGTCGCAGAGGAAACACGGCCCCCTCCCCGTTAGCAGTGCTTCAAAAGCACCAGCTCCTCCACCAGTTTCCCGGCCGGGATGGACTGGGCCAGGATATGTGAAGAAAGCCGCGCGGCAACCTCGGGCCCCTTCCGCGCCAACGGCTTTGGCATCGACAGTCCAGGACCATGTTCTGTCTATTGAGCTACAGCAACGAACCCTCGATATCATTCGGGACACGTTCCCTGCATCTCATGACTTTGAGACGTTGAAGCCGTTGTTGCATCAGGTCAACGATGCATTGCTCCAAAAGGATTTCGAGACAGCGTTTGGGAAGCAGGAATTTATGGAGGGCTATGCAATTCGATGGAGTCCGAGTCGAGCTTTGGGCTATTCAAATCTGCTGGCACAAATCTGCGAGCAGAGAAAGGACGACGCGTGGGTCAGGCAGCTGATTGGCGATGACCGTTCCACGCCGGCGAAGGCACTGTGCTTTGGAGGTGGCGCGGCAGAGATCATGGCTTTCGCTGCATTGTTGCGGCATTTCCGGGAGGGTGCGGCTGGTAAGCCAGCTGCTGCGTCTTCGATTGAGCTTGACGATATGTCGAATACTCCGCTCGACCCTACAGCTTGTACTCCGCCCGTCAACATCCATCTAGTCGACGCAGCAGACTGGTCTCTGGTCGCCTCAAAATTGCAAGCTGGCCTGAAAACACCTCCTACGCTTTCGAAGTACGCGAGTGCCGTTGCTCGAGCCTCGAACGCGTCTTTCCTCTCAACGGAAGCCGTTGAAATAAATTTTACTCGTACGCATGTTTTCACCTTATCCTTGGAGGACCTCCGCCCCATGATTGGACCAGACCAAGCATTCATCACTCTATTATTCACCCTGAACGACCTTTATACGACTTCAATTCCCAAGACTACGGCGTTCTTACGGAGATTAACAAGTGTAACGCCTGCAGGAAGTATGTTACTGGTGGTTGATAGTCCTGAAGCTACATCTACAGCCGGCATCGCCAAAGACGGAGAGGAAAAGAAAGAGTACCCGATGAGCTGGCTTTTGAATAAGACCCTGCTCCCAACCAGAGAGAAGGGACAAGGCGACGAAAAGGAGTCAGAACCAGCATGGGAGAAGCTCATGGATGACGCGAATAGGGTGTATAAGAAGCCTGAAAAGGGACTATGGTATCCGGTCAGTCTGGAGAACTTGAGACTACAGGTCCAGCTATTTAAGCGCTTATAAACAACTTTTGACCTTTCGGAATCATGCATAGGTAGGTTTTGAATGCGTCAAGAAGCACTGGGAGGCTGGAAGCTAGGCCCGAAGAAGCATTTATAAAGCTTGGTGCTCGTTAGCGTGCCTTATCTCGGCTCTGCCAACGGCAACCAATACTTGGCGATAAGCGACGTCGATAAATTTCATCCATCTCATGGAGGGCAATTGATCACGCGATCATCTCCAATGTTCGAAATACGCCATGCTGGCGTCAAAGGCTTCGGCATCTTTGCCTCTCGACTTATAACGCGCGGCAGCCGGATCTTGGCCGAGCGGGCTCTCCTCTCAATCAACAACGACAACCCCAGCATTCTTGCCGCTGCAGCGCAGCTGTCCCCCCTGAATCGCGCAGCACTTCTGCGCCTGTCCCTTAATGAGTCCAAACGCTCTGCTCTCGGCCTCATTTCCGCAGCATGGCAGTCTTTTTCTCTCAAATCGATGACGATCGGCCAGAGTAGGGATGTCCTCAACGTTTTCTACAACAACAACTTCGCTCTTTCAGACAAACTGGGTACACGAGCTGTATTTCCCACTGTGGCACGCATCAATCACTCTTGTGTACCAAACTCCCAAGGAAACTTCAATGAAAGTTTAGGAAGTTTCACTATCCACGCGACAAACGATATTGCGCGGGGAGAGGAGGTGACCATCTCGTATCTGCACGACGAGCTAGGCTTGCGCGCAGCCCGCCAAAAGAACCTTCACAAAGGGTATGGCTTCTATTGTGGATGTGAACTATGCTCTGGAAGCGCTCAGAGACAGAAGGAAAGCCATAGGCGGCGCAGCGACATCCAGATGAAGCTGAGGGCTTTTGCTAAGCAGCAAGGCTCAGTACACACTCCAGATACGGCATCTCGCAAGCTCGTGCTAACGCGGCTCATCATTGACACACATGAACAGGAGGGCCTGGCCGGCAGAGAACTGGCCTCGCTCTACTTGGAAGCAGCTCGCCTTGCAATGAGGCTAGACGACCATGCTTTGGCATCGACATTGGGCGCCAGGGGTTTGGAACTGGAGAAAGACGCTGTGGGTAGTGACAGCCCTTTCTATGAGGCCAGCCAGTTGGCATTCAGTCAGATGAGGTTTGGGGAGGATGAGATTTTACCGAGTCGGCCAGACGAGTGTGAGCCAGAGCTCTCTTATGCTCCCTGGACGTAATAGTCAAAATGGTAGGCTGCTCGCTTTTGGGTAACTACGATGCTGCCAGCCAAGGTGACCAGGCAGTGCAAGCGAAGCGGCCAGTTGGAAGGCTCTCCAATTTTCTCCTCAATACGGTGATGCTCGTTCTAGTTGCTCAGAAAACGGTGGAACTGGCTTGAAAAGCAAACGTAGCTGTCTTGTCAAGAGCAATAGGTTACGTCCTGCGCTTTCCAGCTCAGCAGATTTTCCGTTGTGCGTGCCCTGAAGATTCTGGCCACCGCTCTATCCCAGGGTCCATGCACCTGCTGCTCACAATGAAGCCACTTTCATGTTTTGAGTTTCAATCCGTTGGGGGTTGCGCAGTTAGTTTTGGTTTATCAAACCTGCTCAATTCATGGCCTGAAGCCTGGGAACCATGAAAAATGGGAGCTCAAGAGAGAAGAGATCGGAGATGGGCACCCACGTGTAGCTTAAGTATTGATCGCTAGGTGTAGCATTATGTAGCTAAAAGCAACAAACAACAAACAACAAACAACACACCGGTTTGCCTCTTTCAAGACGAACATGACGGCCAAAAAGATTGTGTATCAGTCCTTTCTCGGGCCAATGAGCGAGCAGTTGCTCGCCCGCCTGCCACAAATGGCATCTCGCACGGAAAACCAGAGCATCGGAGAGCCTTGTAGGCCGCTACACAACCAAGAGTGGCGCGGTTTGGGTCTTGAGCCGATGGACATCATCAAGTGTGGGTACGATGCGCTCTTGGACCAGATACTGGGCGGTCTCCAGTGGAAGCAGCGCCTGCCTTTCCTGTATGCGGCGCACGACCAGCAGCTGAGACAGTTGACATGGATCTCAGAGCGGAGGGCGCGAGACAGACAAGACGCAGATCTGACCCGGCAGAGGGAAGCGCTCCTATGGAGGAGGGAAGTTCTGCTCACAAAACTATTCGAGGCAGAAGACTACGAAGATGGTCTTCGGGGTATTCACGCTGTTGGTGTATTCAGGAGTGTGAAGGCGAGACTGGACTTCTTGAGGGCTGCGGTTCCAGGATCCAGGGACGCAGGGAAGTTTGCATGTCAACCAGAAATTACACTATGTTCTGGCCCTTTAGCGAAAAACCAAAAGGAGAGAGAGGCTCTGCGGCGGAGAGCAGCGACCTTTGTGCATAGGGACGTTTAATTTGAAGGCTGTGATAAATCGAACCGAGTCGCCGTTTGGGCAGAGCCCGAGAGGTATACGCAGCGTGCTTCTTCTAATGTATGCGCAGGGTAGCCTGCGGTGAATGCCAAAATCTTGAATTTTCCCCCATGGTAGACCACAACTCCAGACTCCGGCGCGAAAATGCAATGGTATCATCCTTTCCAGTCCCACGACTAGAAAGCAATTCTTCTCTTCCGTCCAGTGTACTTTGAAGTCGACTTGACCACCTTGCCTTTTCGTTCCATCTGCTCCTTTTTGTGCATGATCCATGCTTTGCTTCCCTTCTTGATCTCGCCCTTTCCACTGGAGGCCTTTCGTCTCGCGTCCATGACGTCGACATTATCCATGCCCTTGACAACACCGGTAATGTCGCCTGTCTGGCCGTTGACCACGGCTTGGCCGACAGTAAGAACCAGGTAGACCTTGACGTTCTTGGTGTCAGGATCGTCCTCCAACAGGCCGGCGCCAAATCCGGCCTTTACGGCGGCGCCCGTGATCATCTTCTTCTGCTCGTCGTTCTTGGGGTAGAACTGGCAGACGGCACGGCCGCCTCGCTTCAGACTGGCGTACAGACCGTTGAAGAACCTCGAAAGCCTGCCCTGCGGTGACACATCACTGCTCTCGGCGTTGCACAGCCACTGGATGGCACTGATACTGATGGCTGCGTCGAATGTTCCGGCCCGAAACGGAACCCCTTGGCCAATGTCGGCTAGCAGCAGATCGCCCTCGACGTCTCTCTGCAGCGCCACGTCCAACATGGAGGCGGAGACGTCCATGCCAATCCAGACGTGGGGACCGCCTTCCTCTGGCGGCAGCGACGACAGGATCTCGCCGGAAAGACCACTGCCGCAGCCAACGTCGAGAATCAGCGAGGGAGACGACAGGTCCAGCAGCTCGAGGGCACGGTGGGCCATGGAGGCCTGGATGTTCTGAATTCGCGACGAGGTCGTGTACTTGCGGGCTTCGACGTCGTCATAGTGGACGTCCGCGGACAGGGTGTCCTCGGGTCTCGACATGCTGGGCAATGTTGGGCGGGACGCAGACGGGTGCCTTTGGGTTTGGGTTCCTTGCTGCGACCAGAAGCAGATTCTCTAGATGTCCCAAGCAATTTCACCGCTGGGCAGTCTCGGCCAGTCGCGCAGCAAAATCGAATCGCAGCGCCTGATTGACCCCTCCAAAATTTTGGTGGGGCGGCCCCTTGCCCAGGTGGTTCCAGCGGTCATTATCGTTATCGGATCCATTGAACGCCAATGTCTGCAGGAGGGTCCACTAAAGGTAGGGACCTAGGGGAGTGCTACAGTAGGCGGACCTTTTGTAAGTCCGAAGTCCGGCAAGTTCCAAGGGGCGCCGTTCTATAGGTCAGGCCTGACAGTACAGACCCCAGGTACCCAGGTACCTGCTGGAAGAAGCCACGGTTGACGTCGCGTTTCAATTACGTTGGTTGGGGCGTCGGTCGTGGAGCTTGCCAGGCGCGACAGTGCAATTCCCAACCCGAAAAGCCCACACCTGCAGCCATTTCGAGGGGCATTCCGGCTGCCCATGCGACTTTCCCATCGACACTCCTGACAATGAGCTTGCCATAGCCGCCATCATGTGGATTCTACCTCTGGTCGGATATCTCGGCTCCATCGTGGGCTTCTGCTTTTTGACTCTGGCCATCGGTACGTTTACTTGCACCCGCCCACTTCCAGAGGCGCCCGATAGCACCACCCTGGGCTGCCATGCTCTGCCTGCTTGTGTGCTAACCCGCGATGCTTGCCAGCGTCTGGTCTCTACTATCTCTCGGAGCTTGTCGAGGAGCATACCGTGCTTGCGAAGCGGCTGTTGACACAACTGATATACGCCACCATTGTGCTCCAGACCATTCTATGGCTGGTTGACGGCTTCCCGTTCGGGCTGACTGCCTTGAGCATCGCCTCGCACGTTATATACCTGGGCAACATGCGCCGCTTTCCCTTCGTGAGGCTGACAGACCCTCTGTTCGTCGTCTCTTGCGGTGCGTCTCCAGCACATCCTGCCCCGTGACGTCACACGATGACTTGAGCTGACCCGGAACCAGTCCTCGTGCTCGTGAACCACTACCTCTGGTTCCGCCACTTCTCTGCTGCACAATCGCGCTCGTATTCCCGCATGGCCAATATCTACGACCAGCCAGATGTCCCGTCCTTCACCGAGATCGCCTCTTACTTCGGGCTTTGCGTGTGGCTGATCCCGTTTGCCCTCTTCGTCAGCCTATCTGCTAGCGATAACGTACTCCCAACAATGGGGACCGAACAGCCATCGAATGATTCCGATGGCAAGAGCAAGCGTCAAAGCATTGTCAAAGTTGGAGTGGATTACGTCCTCAGTGGCATTGGAGAGGTTAGCCGGATGGCGGGATGGAAAAGGCCGGAAGACCGTTTTTGACAGTTTTGACAACTTCCACGGTGCTCGTATTGGGCATCTGTATTACTTCTGTATACATATCTATTAGACGAAGTCCGGATATTGTAGGACGTGGCCAATCAACTAAGGTGTGTCTAAAATTTGCGCTAGTGCCCATATCGTCGCTAACACCCCTGCCAGCTGTCCCATTTGGGTTGTTATAGTCACGCACAGGCCCAAGTTGTTGTGTGGAAGCACCAAATTTAGAGAGTCCTGATGCGACTACTCATGAACGGCCGACCCCGGGCGTGCGAGACTTTCTCTGCTTATCAGCAGCCTCGCTTGATATACCACATTGGGTCCGGTCACGACATTCATCTCACCATATATGGTACAGAGATTCTCCAAAGGTTGGATTTAGCCGAGTTGTAATATCTTGTTTCCTCTTTCGTTACCAGGTATCGCCATCCCAGATATTAGGGGGTCAACGGCTACCGAGTTGACGCCTTGTACAGACGCAATTTCGACAAGCCATTGACTACGCCATAGTCAGCATCACTTCTCGCTTCGGTTTTCTCCCCCCATATCGTTAATGGGTTGGACCAGGCAACCGTGGAATCATGGAACCGAGGTCGACGATAGTTGAGCATCCTTGCAATGCGTGATTACGGTGTTCCCAGTATGCCCTCCCCTACCGCTTCCAATCATACCACGTTACTTGAGCCCTGACTCGTGAGAATCCCCCTTGAAGCTCAACGAAGATCGTCTTGGTGTCATGTCTTGGCCAGCTACGGAGTTGACCATGCTCAAAGTGCCAAACTATCCCGGAATGCGTTGAGACGGTCTTGTATCAGCCGACAACTCAACTCTGGAGCTCGTATCTAGACTCTACATACGACTCGCAAATTCGGATCCATAAATCTGCATACCCAGTGGGAACTCGACCTATGGTTGCTGTGCCAGGTTGGCCAATCACGGTGAAGCTTATCTTGTAGCCTGGAATCTGGGACATGGTCTGGCTTAATCTGGCAACCCAATCTGATACTGCAGCATGCAGGCCCGCAATCTGCGACGGTTTGGATGCGCAAACCCGTCTAGGAACCCTCACGTTTTTGCGATTGAATGGAAAAGTCCTCGAACACATTGAGTGCTTATTTTCGCCGCCAACAACTTCCGCGCTGCGCCTCGTAGGATTGAGCGGCAGAGTCGTGCTTGTTGGTGGCAGGGCAATGAGTGCCGTGCTCTGCATGCGCAAATACCCATGAACGAATGACAGTCCGGTGAGACGGATGCGCGCGTAGAAGAGACAGTCCTTGTGTTCTCCGCCCAATGGACCCAGGATCGACGAGACAATATTTTTGATATCGTCAATGCACCCAACTAGCGATGCACAGCCAGCGCCAAGCGTCTGAAGGAATTGGCTCTGTGGGGTTAGCCGCTGGTGAGAATGAGTTTATTCTGTTGCCTACAGCAGAACCCTGTAGATCGACTGCGGAGCCACCTTCGCTCCATTATTCAAACCGAGCCTATTTCTTAAATGAGCTCTCCCATCAGCAGGTATCACATAAGCTTTTGTGTTACCACATGGCCGTGTTAGTTTGCGCCCCACGAATGAAGACACATTTCTCCGATAGTCGACATTGTTGTGTTTTAAGCTCGACCTGAGAATCAACTTGAGACCAGTCATAACAGAACAGCTGCACAATACGACCGCCTCTCAATGTTCACCAGTCTCTAGATTATTCTTCGACCGGCACAATGAAGATGCTGCCCTTTCCAGAATCCTTCGGTCGTCAGACCTGGGCGTTGACCAAGAAGAACTTCACCCTCATGGTCATTCGGTCTCCTTTCTGGACAGCCTTTCGAGCCCTCATCCTTCCAATTCTGATTGTCACACTCCTATTGGAAATACCCAACTTGGCAAAGTCCCGCGACGTATATGGCACCGGAAGTCCCGCGCCGGTGCGTAGTCTGGCACAGTCTATGGATAGTTCGAAGAAACTTGCCATTGTTCAGCACCCAGATCTGGCCTCTGATGCTCAAGACGCACTTAAGAGACTCATCGAGCCTTTGGACAGCAGCAAGATCACCATACTCGATAACAAGGATCAGATCGCCGACTCCTGCAACGTCGACTATCATGGAAACTCCAATTGCCATGCCGTCATCACCATCAACGACTCACCCGGCAGCGGCAGGGTCAACGCGACCTGGAATTACACTATACAGGCAGACCCAACGAGGTTTACCAAAAACTTCGACGTCTTCGACCATGGAGGCAATTATGAGGGCTTCTGGGCACCTCTTCAGGTTGCTATAGACAACGCCCTTACCAACAGCTCGGTCAACCCCGACATGTTCTCCTTTGTTTATGGTGACCAAGAGTCGTATGATCGACGACAGCGGGAGTCGTTCCTGGAGGCGTCATACTCAATTCTGCCGCTGGCCTATTTCCTCTCTATGCTAGTGATGGTTTATCATCTGTCGAGTATGATGTCGTCTGAGAGGGCGACAGGTCTGTCTCAGCTTGTTGATGCGATGGGCGGCGGTTGCGCTTGGCCGCGAGTTTACAGCTATGTCATCATATTCGACATACTGTATCTCCCCGTCTGGATTATCATGGGATGCTGTGAGTTCACCTCTCCCGACTTTCATCTTTGCTCTTACTTACTTTATTCTTTCAGTGTATTGGTATTTGCTTGTGCCGACGACAAACCCAGCGATCACCATCTTCTGGCAAATCCTCACCGGCTGGGCGCTGACGAGCTCCTGTGTCTTTGCCACGGCATTTTTCAAAAGCTCTACTGCTGCCACATTTTTTGTCTCTGTTATTTGTTTCTTGGCCGTCATTCTCACGACATTTTATCAGATGTCGTGGGATAGCCCCATGACGCTTGCGCAGGTCATCCCAATCTCCCTTTTCTTTCCCAGCGCGAACTACGTTTTCTTCCTCACCTTCATGGTCCAGTCAGAATTATTTGGCATTCCGACCTATATGTCTACTGCACTTGATGTTTCCCTTGCCCAGGATGAAACCAGCTCAACCCTTTGGCTCTACCACAGTGGGCCATATTTCCTCTGGATAATGTTGGTGGTTCAGATCCTGGTATACCCCCTGTTAGCCCCCTGGGTAGACAGCTTTTTCCATGGAAATAACCGCCGACGCCGTGGGTTTACCAACACCCCAGAATCCGCTGCTTCGCATAATGCTATTATGACCACGGACCTTGAGATGCACTACAAGACATCGATCTGGAGGCGAATATTCTGTTGCACTCGACAGCGGACTGTAAAAGCCGTGGACGGGTTGAACCTTGTTAGTCAGAAGCGCCAGATTCTGTGTCTTCTTGGACCAAACGGCAGTGGGAAAACGACAACTTTGGACATGATCGCTGGCTTTCAGAAACCAACTGGGGGTTCGATCAATATCAATTCGTTGCCATCACAAATTGGAGTCTGCCCTCAGAAAAACGTTCTGTGGGATGACCTTACTGTATACGAACACCTGGTTTTCTGGAACACCGTCAAGAGCGGGACCGACGACGCTGCGACACTAGAGAAACTCATCACGACGTGCGACTTATCAAACAAGAGAAACAGTCTCGCGCGGACACTCAGTGGTGGCATGAAGCGCAAGCTGCAACTGGCATGTATGTTGGTTGGCGGAAGCTCCGTCTGCTTGATGGACGAGGTTACCTCTGGACTCGACCCTATTTCACGCCGAGTCATTTGGAACGCCGTGCTTGGCGAAAGATCCCGGCGCACCATGGTGTTTACCACCCATTTCCTCGATGAGTGTGAGGTCCTTTCAGATCATATTGTTATCGTCTCTTTGGGCAAAATGAAGTGCCAAGGCACACCTGCGGAGCTCAAAAACCAGTATGGTGCTGGCTATCGAGTACATTTGCCCAAGACTACAAACATCTCGCACATTCAGTACCCGGTGGTTGACCGTGGAGATCGCTACATCTGCACCACTCCAGACTCATCCTCAGCAGCAAGACTTCTCGCAACTCTCAAAGACTCCAAAGACTCGGAAAATTTCATCACGGGGCCAACCATCGAAGACGTCTTTCTGAAAGTTTCCGAAGAGCCTCACGTGTTGAGCGACAACGCTTCCGTAGGCGAGACTGTGCATTCTAAACCAAGTGCCCCCAACTCTGTTCAAACTCGAGCGCTAAGCCAGAAGATGATATTCCTTGGTCAGGTGCGGGCCCTGTTCGTCAAGCGCCTTATCATTCTCCGCTACCAATGGTGGGTTTATCTCGCTGTTCTTGCTATACCTCTCATTGCGCTTCCTCAGCTCAAGGATATTTTGAAAAACTTTGAGCCTGTTCGATGCGATGCTCTAATTGGAGCCCCCTCGTCACCAAGTCCACAGTATATCTACAGTCCACATGACAAAATTTTCGGGCCTACCTCTGCAAATGTATCCATCGCGGAAGCTATTACGGAGTCGCGGAAGGCTTTCAGCAACCCCTACTACTATTGGATTGGGTCTGCTGTTGTAGTGGACGATCGAGACAGCTTCCTTCAATACATTCATGATCATGGCGTGAATGTGAGTGCAGGTGGCTTGTACATCGATAACGTCACCACGCCTCTTATTGCGCTGCCTGGAAACTCCGACCAAATCTCTTTGATCAATGTCGCGAACATGGCTAGGACAGGCACCCCGATCCACCTTTTGACTGGAACTTTGAAGACTAAGCAACCATACAGCACTGGTAAGTAGACTCAAGGTCCATCCCTCTGGTTTCTTTCTTCTTCCTACATGTCATATTGTTCTGCGCGCACGTGTATCCTCGGCTGCAATTTTACTAACACCGGTCTTAGGTAACGTGACTTTTTGGGTTGTTATGTTTTGCCTGATCATGGCAGTATATCCAGCTCTCTTCTCCTTATATCCAACTTACGAGAGAAGATCAAAAGTCCGGGCGCTCCAATATTCTAACGGAATCCAAGCCCTACCGCTGTGGCTTTCGTACCTGTTGTTCGACTTGATGTTTGTCTTGTTGGTATCGATCTGCTCCACAGCCATCATGGCAGCGCAAGCACCGTTCTGGGGAATTGGTCACTTCTGGTTTGTGCAGCTGCTTTATGGTTTAGCGGCTACACTTATGGCCTACATCGTATCCACTTTCGCCTCGACACAGCCAGCTGCACTGGCATGGACTGCGTTGATAATGATGGTAGAGTTCGTCCTGTCCATCATCACCATGATCGTCGCTCAGGACAACTTAGCCGGTGACTTGCGGACGATAGATGGTACAACCTACGGCCTGGGTCTGATCTTTCCCATTCAGAACCTACTCCGGGCAGCATCTCTCAGCTTAAACCAGTACATTGTGCGATGCCGTGGAACTACCGAAATCACAGACCCCGGTTCATTTTACGGGTATGGCGGGCCAATCTTCCTGCTCATCGTCCAGATCATTGCTTTAGTTCTCCTCCTGACCTGGCTTGACGGTACAATTTTCACCTTTTCTAGATCCAAAGCACCGCAACATGACGAAGCAGTGCTCGGTTCTTCCGGACGTCCAGATGTTGACGCCGAGACTGCTCGTGTTCATACTTCACAGGAGGATCTTCTTCGCATGGTCAGCGTGTCCAAGAAGTTTGGTAGCACAACCGCTGTCGAGAACGTGTCTTTGGGCTTGCGCGAGGGTGAGATCCTGGCGCTTCTAGGACCCAATGGCGCAGGAAAGACCACCAGTATCAACATGATCCGGGGCGAGATTGTACCATCTTCTGGACAGGTTTTCCTCGAGGGCGTCAATGTTCAGAAGAACAAGCGTGTCGCCCAGACCCACCTCGGCGTCTGCCCCCAGTTCGACGCACTTGACATGCTCACTGTTCAGGAACACCTCGCGTTCTATGCACGATGCAAAGGCGTGGCCGACATCAAGTCAGACGTTGAGTTCGTATTGGATCGGATTGGGTTGACTGCCCACGCAAACAAGCGCGCCTCTAAGCTATCAGGCGGCCAGAAACGCAAGTTGTCTCTCGGCATTGCCCTAGTGGGCAACCCACCTGTGCTACTCCTGGATGAGCCCAGCTCAGCGATGGACGCGGCATCGAAGCGCGTCCTCTGGAAAACTCTCGAAGCTGTGGCGCCTGGCCGCAGTGTACTTATCACCACACATTCTATGGAAGAAGCCGATGCCCTCGCCACTCGTGCCGCTATCATTGCCCGCCGTCTGTTGGCCATCGGTACCACCCAGGAACTGCGCAAGGCTCACAGCAATGAATACCATGTGCACCTGATCCTGAAGTCAGCACCACTGTCAACACCTGAGGAAATGCGCCGCGTGGCTGACTGGGTCATGGAGACATTTTCTACTGCCGACGTCCAGTTCAAAGGCGAGAACTTGGGTGGCCAGGTTCGATTCATCGTACCAACTGATGCTGTAGTCCCGGTACACACATCGCATCAGCAGGGCCTAGCAGACGATGAGGTCGTTTCACCCTTATCTCCAAGTGACGCAACCTCGGGCCAGGTCAGGAGCTTTGTCAGATACCTCATTGAGACGCTGGAGGCGAACAAGGAGCGCCTCGATTTGGACTGCTACTCCATTGGCGCCGCAACCATGGAGCGGGTGTTCTTGAGTGTGGTCAAGGAGAGCGATGCCATTGAGGAGGAAGACGAGAAGAAGTCGGTGTGGAGTAAACTCGGTTTCTCAAGGAAGTGAGGCGAGGCTTGGCCTCAATAGATCGTCACCGCTATCTGCATTTAGCAGTGAGCTTGCAAGGTCGACTGATGAAATGTGGAGGTAGATTCTTGCATATATACCCAGAACTTTGTTTTCTTCTCAATTGAATGATTAAGGTTTCTAAACTTGTGAAACTGATTCTATATAGTATGTGGGGCGCTCGAGTCTCCGTAAATGGAACAGACCTTTCGTCTTTGACGAAGAATGATATAACCCGCGCTGTGATCTAGAATATCTAGTTATCTGACCGTGGGAAGTTGATCTTTTTTAATGGGCTTTTATGAACTTGGCATGCCACGATGTTTCATAGACATGCCAGCCATATAAAGCACGTGTTAATTGCGTGGTCAGGTATCACTACGGTGTGTGCTGATTTCTGTTAGTATTGAGCTCCAAATCACAACACTCCTGGTTTGCTACAGCGGACGCAAAGATAAGAACCTAGATAAGCACCCAACAAAGCCATGATGGGTCAGAGTATAACCAGAAACACCGGTCTGCTTCTGCATACTGTTCATTACAGACGATGTATGGACACGGGATAACGATTTGCCGAGTCTTAGTGCTTATGCTTACTTGACTCTCGATACTAGATTGAACACGAACCTCGAGCCTCAAGGACCACCAGCCAGAGCGGACACTTGTTGACATATCGTGACCATAGATTCGGGTTTAGTCAAGACTACAAGAGAATCAGGAGATTTGGCAAGTTTCGCCGCGGGTAGTAATCAATATCTTACAACATTCGTCACACCTAACATACTCACTCAATATGGGTGTACCGCTAGGCTACCGCCTGTTTTTCATCTTGCTCGATATTATCCTTCCACTTTTCGGAGTCTTTGGATATGTATTCGCTGCCGACACAATGATCTTGAACTCGTTTGTGGCAAAACCACAATGGCCACCGACACCGGAAATACGCGTGGTACTTGATGCCATGGCAGGCTGGCACGCGGCATTTGTCTTCCTCCAAGTCGTCTTTCTTCTCAAAAGACCCAACGACATGCTTATATGGCGCACACTGCGCGGAGGAGCATTGTTACTGGATGCCATGATGCTTCTGGGCCTAGCGCGAGGCTTACAGATGGAGGGAAGGCTGCATAACACTTTGCTTTGGCGCGGAACAGACTGGGGCAACTTTGGAAGTTATGCGATTATTGCTCTGGTACGAATTTCATTTTTGTTGGGCATTGGACTCGGACAGTCCAGAGTAGTTGTGTCGAAGGGCTCCGCAAAGCAAGCATAATACACCGGGATGTCGAAATGAGACACATGTTCGCCGCAGGCTCAAGTGGCTCGCAGCTGGGAAGTAGGGGATGACCGGAGGTACTTATACTGCAAACACAACTCAGATATAGTCACATCTTACGGCTAGTGAGGCCGAGCAAACAGTATTCAGATGTGATGGGTGTGAATCAAGAGCGGCACAAAGACTTGGAGCCTAGTAGATCCAGACGATACTTCGGTATCTAAAATACACACTCCCCTAAACGCCACGGATGCGTCGGAGATGATAGCACCATTGTCAGATAAGGAGCCGTGAAACATTTTATTTGTTGTGCAACAAAACAGACAATGAATAATTGTTGACATGTGATGGCCATCAACAGGTTAGCCATGTAGCTCTCTGGGGACTATCCTCCCCTGGTTACGGCATTGAGAGTGGTGTGATCGTCGACCGCCGCCGGATTTGTGTAGGCGGGCGGCCCCACACAAGCTCTAAAACACACCCTACCCAGCTGGAGCTTCCCCGGATTCACTTCCCGAGACCAAAGCTTTTTGCAACGTCAGTACCGACTAGCGAGAGGACCTCGGTCTCAAGCAGCCACGCCTATTTGCTACAGCATAAAGCACTGCTGGGCTTGTTCTCTTGAACTCACGAGGTCGCCCGGGCCATTGGCTCTTCCAGTGCACCGCGCCCAATGGCATCCCGGTTCGTGTCCGGTGGCACAATCGTAGGCTCTGATACCTCGACTCCTCCCTCACATCCCACGCCCACCGACACGACAGCTGCTGCTGCCGCCAAATCACAAACCGCCGACCCCAAGTCTTCGGCCTGGGCGACCGCCCAAGCCCAACTAGAAGCGGAACGACGGGCGCGCGAAGCGGCGCGGAAAACTGCCATCGAGTCGGGCGGCAGTGGACAGGGCCAATCGCTGTACGAGGTACTACAAGCCAACAAGGAGGCGAAACAAGCCGCTTTTGAGGAGGCGAATAAGATCAAGAACCAATTCAGGGCCCTGGATGATGACGAGGTAGATTTTCTGGAAGGAATCGTTGCCGATGAACGCCGAGAAGAGGAGGAGCGGCGCCGCGAGGTCGAGAGGAGCCTGCGGGAGTTCAGGGACGCACAGAAGAAGGGCACCGCAACCGCAGAGGCCGAGGTAGACGAACCTTTGGATCGGGTCGTTGCCGACGGGGCGGACGAGTGGAGTACGGCGGGCGCGAAGAAGCGCAAGAGAGAAAAGGAGCACGTGATTAAGGGCATCAAGAGAAGGGCAAGCGAGGCTGCAAGAGAGCAAGTAAAGACAGAGTCTCGAGAGCCGCCCGATGTTAATGTCACAGAGCGGGCCAAGCCCGCCGCCACGGTGAAGAGCACTACGCCCAACAAGGAGATGGCACCAAAGCCGAAAATGGGCTTGGTGGACTACGGGTCTGATGATGACGATGATGATGATTGAGCAGCTCAAACCAGAGTAGTTGTTTAGCTACAGAGTATTCATGTCCGTTGAGGCAGGCATGCATGTCAACAGCGTGTAAGTACTCTGTTGGACCAAGTAAACATCCTGTACGGACCATTAAGGGTAATATGAGACGAGTTCCTGGCGGAAGATACCCACAGGGCACGCATAGTAATGGAGATGTATCTCAAGAAGCTGTCACCAATAGCCAAGCGTTAAACTGCGGGCAATCCTCGTCGTCAAGTTGCTAGCGATGGAGGCGACAGCGTCGAGGCGAATATTGGGTCGAACATGATCACGTCGTAGGTGAAGGTCGTGGTCCTAGGCGATGCGGACAGCAGGATCGATTCCCAGGTAATGGGTTTCTCGAATCAGAGGAATAATCCAACGCAAATTACTAAACGAATTCTTCATAGCGAATGGTGAATATTCTGAAGCACTAGAACCGTACCTGACTGCCAGGCCCCTAGAGGTCCGTTGGTTACCCTGTGGCATACTTGTGAGGAGGGCTCCGCAAAAGACGTTGCCCGGCCGCACTTGATGCGGCCATCATTGTCATAATTTGAAATAGGCCGCCCATTTTCAACGCAGCAGGATGGCGCGGGCCTCCACGTCCACTTGGGCTGCCAGATTAGTCTGGTGGTTTATGAACACCGTCCTGCTGACAACGATAAAACTGTGGCAGGGTTTTTCGACTAGCCCAGTCCGCACTTAGAGCATAGGATGAGCAGGCCACGTTCTGGGACATGACCCTACTTTCGGCTGGGAAGGGCTTTTTTTGCCAGTTTGAGGATCGAATCCTACCAATATGTTTTTCGCCTCCTCCCTTTTCACTCCTGGTTTCCGTTTTGGTGAGGATTCTACACCCTTGAGATCACCTGCCTTTCTCTTTTTCTGAGATACGAGCTGCTCAGTGTCCCTGTGGCCTTTCGCTTCTATCTATCCGTCTACTACAAATACTTTCCTAGCAGCTAAATAGGCGTCAATGATTTATTTCACACTGTCTACCTTTACCAACCTGGCTAAGGCTTGTAATATGTCATGGCAAACACATGACAATTTACGAGAGGTCAAAGTGTAGCTAGCCAATGGGACTCTGGCAGTAGAACGTAAACATAGCCACAGAGCATATTGTTCTCAGCAAGGAGTCACTTGGAAACGCATACGGATCTAATGAGAGGCGTGATTGATTGTACAAGGACGTGTTAAAACACGCAAACGCGGCAGAGTGAGGGTGCCACTTCTATCTACAGTCAACCGCTTTAGTAGCTTGTCGTCTATAAACCCCATTAACATAAAATACTCCACACCTAGGCTACCCGAAAATGCATCAGATGGTATCCATATCGTACAGTTAATCCAACAAGATGAACATGGCAATCGGCTACGATCTGCTCACATTTCATCGGACGACCAAGGCCGAGGCGGAGGAGGCGACACGGCCCAGCGGTACAAGCTCCGCAGGCTGCCCTTGATCCAGCCCTCGATCTCCTCCTCGGGCACGACGATCTCCCTGGCACGTGCCTCGTCTTCCGGCTGCAGCTCAAAGCGGCGCATACGAGCCGACACTCTCGAGTCCATCACAATGGGCTTGGTCCAGATCTTCTCCTCTGGCAGTTTTGTGACGGCATTGGAATCCTCGCTGGGCTTCTCCGTCTCCTTTGGCTTGTCGTCCTTCCACACGGATTTGGGCCAGTCCTTCTCCTCGTTCTCCAAGGCAGCTTCCCACTCTGACTCAGAACCAATGGTGTCTGCCTTGTACTCGCGCGCGTGAGCCAGACAGACAGCGGCGACCTCTCGGCCGATGTCGTCTGCGAGACGGCGGCGGTTCAAGAAGCGGCCTAGTCTGATGAAGGTGTTTGAAAAGCCCAAAATATGGGGGAATTGAATCTGTGTAGAGGGAAAGAACTCGGGAGGAATATAAATCGGCAGGGGGGCGGCGGGGTAGTCGTCGACGGTGTTGTAAGGCACGGGCTGTGGTGGCCTCTCGGGCTTCTTTTCCTTCTCCTCCTCCTTCTTCTCTTCCGCCTTCTTCACGTCCTCGCCTTCTGTTGTCTCGGCTGGGACCTCGGCTGGGATCTCTGGCTTGGGGGCTTCGGGTACGGGTGGTGCAGTCAATGGCCCCAGCCAGCCCTCGTGTATGCCTCTGACATACTCCTTCCACGTATGGCGGCCGATCACGACGTCTCCGTTGATACCGTCCCAGTCGGGGGTGCCATTCCGCTGTCTGATTCCTGCAACGATCTCCTCCCCAGTAGGCTCCTGCTCCTCGCTGGGGACGCCCTCAGCCAAACGCCTTGTCCGCCGTATCTTCTCGGCCACGGCAGCCCTGACGTCTCCCTCTCTGCGGCCCTGCACGAACTCCCAATCCAGGCCCGACGCAGCCAGCACGGGCTTGACGTACTCGGTGAAGTGGTCCTGCGCCACCCTCAAACCCTCAGTCGGCGGGCTCTCGAGGAAGATGGTCAGCTTCCGTTGAAGTTGGTTGGGGTCTTTGACGGGCTCCTTGGCGAGGTGCGCGACAGCCTTGCTCCACCTCGCAGTCGCGCGCTTCTTCTCTCTCTTGTCGTAGATGATGGCTCCCGAGAAGGCGGCCGTCAGAGTCCAGAAGATCATCCAATTGCGCGAGGGGAGCTTCTTGGGGAGGTTCGGCAGGCCCATCATGCGGAGGGCCGGGTTCGGGGCCGGTGCCTTGTAAGTCGCGGCCGACGAGGAGGCCGCTGGGGCAGCGGCGGCTGCTGGGGCACTGGCATTAGGAGCTGTTGGGGGTTTGGGGTCGGCCATGGTTGACGGCTGCAGAGTTGACGGTCAGGTCAGGCTGCGCGTTTGGAAGAAGGATGGGACGACGATGGCAACGAGATCGGATCCGATTCTCAGGGATACTGGAGGCGCTTCCGGCCCAAAAATTTGGTCGGGTCCTCCAGGGATCAGCTTATCGTAGCTCTTATCAGTGGTGCACAGGCCCCCAGCCCCGACTCGGACGCCAACTGCGAGTTTCTCTTGGCGGGCTGCCCCAGCCGTTTAGTGCCCCAAGTGGGAGGGAGTACTGGGTACCTAGGTATAGATGGTACTGGCACATACAGGACAAGCCGACTAAAACTAGGTACGTAGTTATGTAGTTACCCATCCTATTTCAACTTCAACACTCTGCATAGGACTCAGCACTGGGGGCCATTCCGCAAAGGGGCAATGAAGCGCCCCCAAAACCTTTCTCAATCCCTCTATTGGGCTGATGCCCACCGTGGCACTTACTATTCCCGTCATCATTGGTAATCGTAGCACATGAGGTCAGAGCCTGACGCCAGCTTTGGTTGGCTAGGCCCAGCTGAGGCGGAGTGCATGATGGCTTGCCAGCTTGCCTCCCGCCAGCGTCAGCCTAGGCCCCTTGTACGCCCCGGCTCTGGGATCCGGCAGGCTAGCCCAGAACTCTGGGGTCTCATTTTCCATTTCGAGGAACATGTCGTTGCACAGATGGACGCCATTGGCTTTCCCAGCTTAGTGAGCTTTGTTTCATGAGTTTCATCGAGTCCTCAGCAGCTGCCGTGGTACATTCGCAAGTATTTGGGAGGTGTGTTTAAATACCGAGGGAGATCCCTCATCATTCCGCCTCCTTTCCGTGCAAGATAGAAGCCACCATCGACGAGAGTTCAATTCCTCTAAAATAAATCAAGTCTGCTTGCCTACAACATGAAGTCCATTGGTATTCTTGCTCTTGCTGGCGCAGTAGCTGCTGAAGTCCACAAAATCGAGGTCGGTGGCTCCGGTGGACTCGTCTTCAACCCAAACAATGTCCGGGCTGCACAAGGAGACATCATCGAGTATCATTTCTATGCCAAGAATCACAGTGTAGTCCAGAGCGACTATGATACCCCATGCCAGCTAGCAAAGTCGAACGGTTTCTACTCCGGATACTTTCCCGTTAGCGATGGAGAAAGCGTAAGTTAGCACATCTTGCATACAGCATATCCATTGCGCTCCCTTCGCCCTACTGTCCAACTTACAAGCAACGATCTATCTACCTATCCCCTAACTCCGGGTACAGAAATCCGTCTTCCAAATAACAGTAAACAACACCAACCCTATTTGGTTCTACTGCTCGCAGGGCAATCATTGCAGTCAAGGCATGGTTGGTGTCATTAACCCGCCCGCGGATGACAAAAACGGCGGCCTCGAGGACTATCGCAAGAAGGCCGCTTCCTTCACTGGCAAGGCCGGTGATTCTGCTGCTGCATTCGGGGGGCAGATAACCTCCAGCACTGGTGGCACTAATGGCAGCACTACTACTTCCCCTTCTGGCACGGCAACCAACAGTGGGTCACCCAGCTCAACCTCAGCCAGCAGTTCACCGTCGTCCACTCCCAATACCGCCCCTGGACTACAAGCAGCGGTGGGTGGAGTACTCGGAGCGCTAGGCCTAACTATCTGGAGTCTGGTCTAAAGATTGCTTGTCATTGCAGCCTTCTATACCTGACACCTGATCGGGGGTGATAGATTCCAATTCGCGGCATACTGAATCTAGTTAATAGTCGTCTTCTAGCAAAATGTCTACACTGTACTATCCTTACTAGAGACCTTAATTCCTTTTACATGAAACTATGGTTCGAAATAGAGTCTATTTTCTGTCCGTGGCTCTCTCTTTACTCCAGCTCATCTGGGAAACGGATCACCTGCAGAATGTGAGACGCGTACCACCACAATAGCAGTGAGATAAGCAGCTATTGAACTGGAGAGGTGCTCTTGGGCCATATTCCAAGTAACACAACCTCAGCCAACGCAGTCCTCCTCGTCAGTGTCGACGAATCGAACGTACATTGTTCGTGTGGCTTAAATAGACGTATAAATCGACGGTCGCCAAACCGAATAGTCGTGAAATGAAGGCAAAAAGTGCGATGGTGTATTAAAATCTACGGAAAAGAGGGAAATTAAATAAGTAAAAACGCGAAAAGCACAGCCACAACTTCTTAAGCCACAATTCTATACCACATCTCACCAGCCCGAGCTCACTATTTAGTACGCAATGATCAGCAGATCTGGTTTGTGTGACGCCTACGACGTCGACACTATATTTCGAGAGGTTGGTCGGGTTCGTCAGCGGATGATTGCATAGGCCTACCAACTAATTCTACCGAAATTTTGAAGGGGTTTATCAGGTCCCACAAGTGAGTCAATGGAAATGGCATCATTGGACTGCGATTATCATCTGGGGCATTTCATAATGTGTAAGAGAACGGTGATGGTGACAGCATAGACTGACTCATCCTCTAGCGACAAGTTGTCTGCTTTAATGTACATGAATATAGATCACGTCACGCTTCTTCTCTCTCAAGTCTGTTAAGTATTTTGATGCAAACAGTTTCACATTATAATCACTCACTGCTTATATATACACGCTTCTTTCGAATCAAAACACATTGTATAGCTATCAGTCTTCTCTTTCTAACCAACCATAGCTACTGCCACGACCACGGACAAGAATCTCTCGATGTATGTTGGGTTACTATGTTCCAACAATTTGATCGATACCACACTCAGTATACTAAATCAAAAATGTGAATGAGCTACGCCAGGCAATTTGTGAAATGTCTTTTCTTTTCTTTCTTAGCCGTTCTTCAAAGACGGACAGTGTAACTGAGACAGTTTCCAGTGTTGATAGAATAATACTTAGAAGAAAAATTAAACCAAGGTTATTGATGGCATAAACCATCCGCGCCCTGGCATATTGACTACTGCACGCGTTGCAGTCAATCTGAACATAGGTGTGTATCACGACCCTGAACTACTTGAAAATGCCCTGCTGCTGACTAGACCATGTATTAATGTCATAAACTTGGCCAAGCCTTTTAAGTTTTCTCACTAATGTTATGTTGATTGCACAAAGACACTATCAATAAGTGGGACCCGAAATCCCGACACCCTATCCAAGAAATAATTGTGAAATCTACCCCGTTAGACATCAACGCTAGAGAGAATCGATAGACGATTCGTAGTACCACACAAGCTGGAGTCGCCTGGGCACTTGTTGTAGCAAGATGACGTAACAACACGCACAGTTTGTGATCCAAGAGAGTTCCCGCAATAGCAAGTCGAGTCTCGCAGACCCGCAATGGTGTAACCCTTCTGCGTACAGGTATTCGCGCAGTAGGTACGGGTGTTCAGATTCCCACTGTAACCCACTACAGTCAATGTGGCAACCGATTGAGCATTGTCCACATCGGTGAAGCAACCACGGTGTGTCTTCCCACCAGCATACGTGTTAGTGTCTGTAGACGTGAGGGGAGCTCCTGCCTGAGCCGGGTCTGGGTATGGGTCGTCCACCTCAGAGTGGCGAGGATAGCCGAAGTCGTAAGCTTTGGAGTTGTCTCCGTTGAAATTGTCCCGGAACAGCCGTGCCCAGCCTGCTGGCGACGTGAACATCTCCTTGTTGTTATGTGTGGTGCTCACGAAGTCGACCGTGTGGCAGCCATCTGCTGCCGGATCAGGACACAATGGAGGCCATTTCTCCAGGAACTTGAAGAACCGCTCGTGACGATCCTTTCCCGTTGTGTATGGTGCACAGAGACCTTCGGAATAGTCGCCACGATCCAAAATACCACGCCCATGGGCTACGGTCTTCCCCCTATAGTTAGCCAACACGGCATCACCACCTTGCGCAATCAGCTCGGCGTTGTACGTAAGCTCTCCCCCATGAGCCGCGCCATAAGCACTGTATTTATCCAGACCTTCACGCCAGTCGTTGAATGTGCTGGAGCACTTGCCCGTTGATAGTGGTCGGTCACTGGTGAAGCGAGTCTCACTGCTGGGATTTCCAATGTAGATGCTCACAGGAACGGTAACACCGAGTTGCGCCCTGGTCTTGCCTACCGCCGCGTAACGGTGCAGCATCTGCGCTCCCATAGAGTGACCAGAGACGACTATTTGCTTGATATTCGGAAATATCGCAGTGTTTGCATAGTACTGGATAAGTTGATCCAGCACATCGTAGGCAGACACCGTCTTTAGACGCGGCGGGTACTGATTGTTGGCACCACCACCCCACTGCAAAGGTTCTGCATTAGTATCGGTTTCAATCACAGCGCGACAGAGATCCCTGTCAAGCTCTACCTTGCAGAATACATAGTATGTTGAAAATGAACGGTCTTCTAGGCTTCACCCTTTTCTTTTCAGTTTCGAAAAGTTGCAATGGAAAGCTGACTTACATCTGAGCCATACCATACCAGTGCGGGAGATGGGTACTTCGCATTTGGAGTGGTCCCAGCAGAATTGTAGGGGAATCCTGTACCGGCATGGTTGTCGTTAGGGAAGTACGGTGCCAGGATAGCCACATTATCCGTTGTAATCGAGCTGTCTTTCATAGCTTGCAAAGCATTAATCATGTCCTTGTGGTAGGCCCATGCGTCCGCCTGTGCTCCTGACACAACAATGACAAGCCGTTTTATTTCATTGTTCTGCAACCTTTTCCCTGTGGAATTTAGCGAGATGTAGTTCAGCAGACTGAAATCGCTAGAAGCATCTGAAGTGCAGATATGTTGGCCGGAGGGGTCTCTAATCTTGAAAAATGTGATGTTGGACAACGCATGGTTCGTCTTCAAACTGTTGGTGAACGGTGTCCCAGCATATTGGGCGGGTATTACTTCTTGGCATTGGGCCGAGACTCTGTGCAATAGAGCAAGTGAGCCAAGAAAAGGAAGTGTAACACGCATCCTGGTGAAGGGAAAATATAACAACGCTGTCTACTCAAACTATGGATGAGATTCAGATGACAAGGGAAGCCGAAAGGACTGTTCCAGGCTGCGGGTAGATGCTACTTTTATAAGGCGTCGAATGATCTAGCACTTCTGCCGAACCTTATGATCCAGAATTCGTGAGAGGAAGAGATGGTGCCAAAGGTGCTACTGACAATGGGAGCATGCGCATTCCCAGAATGCGTTTATTGATTTTTCGGTTATGCATCATGGTAAGAAAAGACGCACATCAGAATCCTAACCGAATCCTTATGAGGGTAGCTAATCTACCAGCAGGAGTCGTAAGCTTTAACATCTACTGAACAATCACCAACTATCGTATGCCAATCGAGAGCCGAGCTTTCAGCCTCCTTTGCGAATCAGGGGTCAAGCCCGGAATTTCGCTCCAATTACGAGCGCTGGGCCAATCAATGTTAGCCGCTTCGAAGGGCCGGAGAGTCTTCTGCATGCTGAGAGGGTGCGCCACCTGCCAACTCATCCTAGTTCCCGCCCTGATCCGAGGCCTGGTACTCAGATCCGTGGCTAGTAAGCTCGATCAGCATGTTCTTCGGCTTAGTGGCTTGACAGGGGGATGCTGTCTCATTCCACCAAGCTGCATACAGTGAACTATACGATACGCCTCTGTGGGAAACATGTGTACTCCGAATTCCATGGCCGTTGATGTCAGTCGAGATGTGTCTATAATTAGACATTGAATGCTACCGTACAAAGCGCCACAATCTTGGCATAGAGAACAGGAAGATTCAATGCTTACTCTGCGAGTACATGGTTCTTGAGGAAACTTCTTGCGTTATCATGTTACTCATTAACTGATTGGATGAAAAATTCAAGCTTATTTCGGCTTTTGCAGCTCTAGACAAGGGTCATATGCACACATATCTTACAGCTGCCTCATACGCTCAGGTGCATTAAATGGCGGACAAAATCAACACGACCTTGACGGGACGCAAGTAATACATACATACTTTTATGAAGCTACAGTAGTTCTAGTGCTCAACAGTCTGCAGGTGCATGTGGCGCAGGCATACGTATGTCGAGTCTATCTTTATTGATTACTACCCGGCTTCTTAATCCGTCAAGCTTTTTGCTTGACGAGATTAGGTTCTGCTCTGGTGTACATTGCCTCTCTGTACGTGCAGACGTCTACTGTATGTAGACAACCTGCTGCCAGTTCATACCCTTTCTCGTCAATATTGCTGACTCAACATCGCGCGCAACAATCTCGACCTCCACCCTCATGTCGTGTTTGGCAAGCTTTGACATGCTTGCACATTTCTTCATGGGTTATGGTCCGGCGCCCTTTCTTTGAAGTTTCCGGTAGCTGCTACTACGTCTTCCTCATTGATAGGCACGTGAAATGCAGTAGCTAGGAAGACTTGCAGCTATTCCTAACCACCCGCTTTCTCTCATTGCTATTTGCACGCTTTCGAGGGCCTGGTCGATTTGAGCGTTAAGCCTGAGGTTAAAATACGAGTCTGAAGATCTCATCCATCTTTGGGTGGAATCTAATCTTTCCTATATGAGAAATGAATAAATTAAGCTTGCACCTAGGTTAGAGGGGGGAATAACCTTGCCCCAAACAGTCGATGCAGTATCAAGTGTGGACTTCAACCGTACCAGCCCTGATGCCCTCGACAGGGGCCGCATACGAGCAGCTAGGCCATCGTTTTCCCGGGCCGCGAAACATATCTTCGTTTATTTGATCCCTAAAAATTCAGTTTGATTCGAAGTTATGTTGCTGTGAATACCCAAGCAGTTCACAACAGTGTTCATGTTGCATCTGATAATCGATTTCCTCAAGTTTTTATGATCTAGTGCCTCTTGTGTAGCCAACCCACTTGCAGCACATTCTGTCAGATATCTAGAGTTCCGATCAAGGGGAGATCCCTGCTGCTTCTTCCAACCGAGATACTATATGTGCCTTCTTGCAGTAGCCACTTTTGGGCATCAACGTCCCATACACTCAGATCTCTCCTGGTGAGGCCGAATGTGATACACACTGTTTCGCCAGCCTTGATCGACGGCTTATTAAATCCTCGTAACTGCTTGACCGGAACACCCTCACCTGGAATGCCAACATAGAGCTGGGCAACCTCCTTACCGTCTCGATCCCCAACATTGCTGACCTGAGCAGTAACGTTTGCAATGATCTCCCACAAATCAGCATGTCCGCCCTCAACGACAGGACCCGTGGGATAGGGCCCCACAGCGGTACCCGTCTTCGATACAGCAAGGTTCGAATACTGAAAAGTTGTGTAGCTTAGCCCGAATCCGAACTCGTAGCGCGGGGTAATGTTCTGGGCATCGAAATGACGGTAGTCAATGAATACACCCTCCGTGAAGTTGGACTGCGGGAACGCTTGGTACATATCCGGGGCAAGTGTTTTGTCAGGCTTCTCGAGCGAGCCATAGTCTGACTCATTTCTGGCGACAGTATAGGGCAGACGTCCTGAAGGGTTGGTCTTTCCGTAAAGCAGTGATATCAATGCCTTTCCACTCTCCTGACCAGGAAGATGCGCAAAGATAATCGCTGTCACATTGGGGTGATCAACAAAAGTGTCCACCAAACGGACTCCAGCATTGTGGAAGACGACGATAGTGTTTGCACACTGATCTGCAACGTTGTTGATTAGGCCATCCGTAAAGTCATCCCGAAGCGCCGGTCGATCGTAGCCTTCCGCAGCCCAGGCATTACCAACTACAATACAAGCATCAGATGTTGGGTTCACAAGTGGTGACCCCGACTCAAAATCCCAGAAGAGAGCAGTTCCATCTTCGTAAGCCTGGGCAACAAGCGCGTCATAAGGGGCGCTGATCAGGTTCTGGGCGGTCGCGCCTGAACCACCACCAGATACGAGAGTGCCATTGGGTGCAATGGCAGAAGTGCTCAGGTTCAGATCTCCAAAGAAAGCCTTGTTCAACTCCGTGTTGTTCGCTGAAGAGGTACCCATACTCCATGCGGTGAAAAACTCGCCGTCTTTCTTGAGCTCCTGGTTGTTTCTGTTGGGTGCCTTTGCTGAATAGCCGAACATGGATATGAGCTTCATCTTTGCCGACTCTAGCGGGAGAGCGCCGTTGACGTTTTTCACCAGTACGTGCCCTTCTGCTGCTCCATCGAAGAGCGTTACACGGGCCTTTGGGTTTCTCGCATCAACAACCTCATGCGGTGCTGCGAGGTCAGCGGGCATACCAAATCCTGGCGCAGGGTAGTCGGGCTGGTCTTGCTTCATCTGAAACCATGACGCCAGGATCCTACGTACGTAAGCAACAATTAGGGGAGATAGCTATGGGTAGATGGCTCACCTAGTGGCCATGTTGTCTAATTGGCTCTCTGGAACGCTTCCATTATTGACAGCAAGCGTCAGGTTACCACCCCATTTGCCGTCGCCGCTTGGCATTGCAACGTCAAGACCGGCAAGAGCGCTAGCGACCCCAGACATCTGAGCGCCCCAGTCGGATACGACCCAACCCTTTTTTAAGTCAGCTTGAAAAGTTCTTATGTGGGCGACGGTTAGGTGAACAAACTTGAAACCCTAGCTCCCCCTTCAGAAGGCCATTCAGCCCCTTGCTGTTCTGGCAAGCGTATGAGTTATTAAGTCGGTTGAAGGAGCACATGATATTTCCGGTCCCGGCGCGAACTGCTTCCGCAAATGGCCTATTAGCATAACGTTAGTCTCATTGCTATCATCTAAGGTAGATTGCCCTCACCATAGGTATAGCTCGTGGATCGTCTTGTCATCCACATTGGATGAGACGGACTCTACGAGAGCCCCGCTACTGGTTTGTAGTCGGTGTGTCTCTTGCTCTTGGGCAATAAAATGCTACAGCGCTGGTCAATTGAAATTTGATCGGGAATATAGAGCTTGTCTACGTACCTTTGTGCTTGTTATAACACCGGCACTTTGCACACCAGAGACAGTCTCATAGACCAAACCACCAGACAAGTAGGGGTCAATAGAGAAGCCTATGTTATATCTAGTCAGTCAAGCCATCGAGATCTTTGAGGACCCTTACCTTCCCAATTCCTTCCTCCTTCCACTACTCTGCCTATGGGGCCAATACACGGCCCGAGCAGAACATTAACGCCTTTCGTACGTGCCTCATGGCCCAAAAACTCAGCTCGCTGTCGAGTTAAGTCTTTGTTCCAACTAACAAACTCGGATCAGTTTTTCGGTTTCAAATGTTGTACTCAGAAAATGCTCACCTAGCACCAACGTGGATACCAGATGGCCAAGAATGGACGTAATCAGTGTTCCGAACTCCTTGGCCGGCATCAGCAAGACACAAGCCAGGAAAGCCAACCCGTTCAATGCCGGGCACAAATCCAGAGCAGCCAGTCGAGGACGTGACTCCTCCAGTCAAGTTGACTTTCTCTTCAATAGACAATTGGCCGACAAGATTCCTCGCCTTCGCTACGGCTGCAGCCCATGGCCCAGCCTCTGTCAGTTCCGCTGTAAAGTAGAATTAGTCGACAACTCTTTTTGCATTCACGGGATGCATGCTCACGGGTAGGATACACAGGGTCAGAATGGCCATAAAAAAAGTCATCGCTACTGATGACATCCTCTTGCGCGATGACTGCCCCGTTTAGGCTGAGCAGCCAGAGAAGGCTCCGGAGATTCGAGCTCAGCATCCTTAGTACAACGCTATAAGTTTACGGCGTTACTTTGCTGAGAGAACTGGAATGGGAAAGGGATCATCCACGTCAGGAACACATACGCGCGGCCACACTGCGACTTTATGCAAATGGGGTCTTGCCGTCACGCATCATTTGAACCTCATCTCGACCGGCACCAAACATAATTCCGGCCTGTTCCCTGGAAGCCGGTAAGGCGTTGGCCAAGACTACCCACTTCTCCCTGCCAGCATGGCACATGAGCCATCCATGTCTCGAACAGCCTATCAGACTCAAAGACCCCGGACATTTTGTGCGGGGGAATTGCAAAATTACTCAGTTCTTGCATCTTCGGGATCGTGAAAGACTCGTAACACAGATCAAGTTACGGCAAAACACCGGGCACCTTGGAGGGACTAGAACCTCATTCGGGCCTTTTCAGCTTACCTAGTCGATCCAAACTTCCCTCTCTCGTCTCGCGAACCCAACGGCGGCACGTTCCGGACTAAGCAAGCCAGGTTTACCTAACCACGTGCGCCTACCGCCGGGGATGACCGCTATAGGAGGTTAGTAATCTGGAGAAGTGCGGAGAATATGGGGACGGATATGGAGCAAGCATTGGATGATTGCGGGGAACGCCCTTGGCTCAGTAGGCGCTAGGCAAGGAGCCATACCCGACGGCATGGCGTCGGCACTAGGATCGGCAGGCGCATTTTGTTTAATCACCTTTCTAGAACTGGGCAAACCGTTGTTTACCCGTACCGAGGCCAGTGATGGGGACAGGAACGCCGGCTCAAGACCAATGACCAGGGTCTTCAGGACCCTGCTGGAATCTGATGACACACATATGCTGGTAATACCTAACCGAGGAGTTCATTTGTCAGGTATCCAACGGCAAAGTTGCTGTCCTTGCGTCCTTGACGTTCTTGCATTAGCTATATACCAGCCTTGTTGCTTCCCTGTAACAGTTTTGTGTATTCGAACCTGGAATTAAGCACTATAAAAAGCCGAAATGCACCGATTCTTGTGTATATACTAATAGAATATTGAATGTTACGCTTTCAAGTGGGCTGGGGAAAAAAGTTCGGGATATTTGTATAATAGGAATACAGTAAAACCTGATTTTATTTGCCAGCCTAGAAATAATTTGAGAATAGCAGTAAAAGTGGACGTGAACGTCACAATGTTTCTGCCAGAACCAAGCATAGTCCCTTTTCAACATGCCAACAATGGCTATCATCAATTTCGATTCGCATATAAAGTCGAGGTCTGGATACAAAAGTTATGGCCTTAAGACACATGAGAAGTACTTTCACTCAGGCCACTTGACGCCGAAATTTTACTCAATTCATAGAATGCCAAACAGTACTTCTGCTAGGTTTTCGGGCGCCATACTGGCAGTGCAGATGTAGTGAGAAACGATGACCTGAGTGCAATGTTTCAATATAGGGATCTACTTGAGCCATACAAAGGCCCGTCGCCGAAAAGGGGTAGCACATCGAGAATAAGGGTTTGGTAGGCTGCGTAGCCGTGAACCGTGGCTTTCAGAAAAGGCTCCCTGCCGCATTTCAAGACTCTGCTACTGAGGACAGCATCAAGAACATCGTGCTAACGCACAGTAGATAACCAAAACTACCATGAATACTCTAAGTGGCAACTATAAAACGCCAGAATAGCCATTTCAATTGATACAAACTGGTGGTAGAGTATCATCGGCTCTGACTCAGCGTAACAAATTGAATAACAAAGCTATGTGAGCCTGGAAAGCTTAGATCATAGACCAATCCGCCAGCGCCCAGTTCATCGAGAGCGAAGTTGACTGAAAATACGACGTGCTTAGACATGTCTGCCTGAAAAAGGTGATGGCCGATAGAACACAAGAGACACGCCGCCAGGATTTATCCCAATCGCGCTGTTGGAGCCGAAAGCCAATTGTTTCCACCGCAATTTCCATAAGACTCCCAGCATTGTGTTGTCAATGTGAGAGTCTTTCGCTGGAAGCATGCCGCTTGGCTAGATTTGGTCCCATTGGAGTGCCGTTTGCTGTACTCGTTGCAAAACTCCCGAGTTCGAAGATGGGAAGTATCCTGACGGTATAAATTGTGGTATACTGATTGTAAATGCACATACCATAATCGATGAATATCAAGCATGACTTTGCGGCAAGGGGGAGCCCAGCCATGAACTGGTGACCTCTTGATTCTAAGAGGTTTCTTTTTTCTAGTGTTGGAATTCTGCGATCATGAATTGTTAGATACAGCCTTTGGTTTCACAACATGCTTCCACTCCGAAGCGGTCGCGTGGAAGACTGGAGAGCAACTGTTGAGTACATATTCTGGGGCGAAATTCTTTCTATTTATGCTGCCGCTGCCGCCGCTCCTGCTGCAGCACCTGATGAAGAGCCAGCAGCCGCATTTTGTGCAGTCCATTCTATGTGCCAAATCCTCAAAGCCGTGATCACGGCCATGAGAGCCCACCTCTCGCCCATCTCTCCAGTAAGACCTGCCCCCACGAACTCGAACTTGTATGCTTTTGTCAGACTCCACCCAGAGTTCTGTGCCCAAACTGCCACGACCTCTTTGCCATCGCTGGTCTCTCCCAGTGATCTTTCGTTTCTCTCTCCACCCGATCCCTGCGAACAAGCTCCTAAGCGCGCAAGTTTCCACCCCCAGCTGTGCTTATCAAGGCCCCGGATTTCCGCCCCGCGACTATGCCGCCACTCAAAATCTTCACGGTGCGCGTTCGGGCCGTCGCCAACTTCCACGGCGAATTTGTATGTTAGGGTCTTCAAGCTTGTGTGGGTCTGCATAAACTCGCTGCAACTCTCCGAAGGCGAGTCCGGCAACGGCGGTAGTGTTACTGTTGTATGCCTGCTCCAATAGCTCTTGTTGACGGCAGATGCCAGCACAGGGTCATCACTGCTCGGGCCGCCGTGCAGAACGATGCCCGGTTTCCCTCGCCAGCCTGAATGCATCTTGACGGCGAAGAGCGGCTGTTCCCTGTGCTCGCCCAAATGCATGGTCATGGACAATTTCTTTTGGTAGTATGCATTAAAAGAGGGCGGAAACTGTCGGTTGGTGCGACTTGCTGGCTCAACATCTCGTAGTCTATCTTTCGAATCCACTGGCGGTGCCTGATACGAGGTTTCTGTTTCCGAGTACGCAGGAGGTGGGGCGTCATACTCTGGCGTTGAGAAACATGCTTCTTGAGCCTTTTCCATAGTGGAGGTGCTGCAAATCGATAAAGTAGTGCAAGTATATTGTGTAGCTGACTCTGTATCTAGGATATGGTAACTTGAAGGCTCTCCAAAAAAGAAAAGTTGCGCGTTGTTCTATTTATCACTCTTCAGGTTTCCTGAAAGATCGTCAAAGTCTAGCGAGCATCGCCATGCGCTAGGCTGGCTATGTGGCTGAATGCTCGGGTCCCACCGTCAAACGCGAAGCCTAGTTAGGGAACCGATGTACCAAGATACTGCATGTCAGCCACTCAAGCGTAACTGATTTGGGTATAGTGCAGAGCTAAGCAGCCCTGTACTCACGCAAATCCCGCTGACGCGAAGCCTAGTTGGGAAGAACGGTGTAGCTAAGTATCTTATGGACTCCCCGATTGACCCCTGGGGCTGTGTTCTGACCAGGCCACTCGAGCGTGAGCCACACATTTCGTTGAAAACGACAAATGCCTATGATGTTGTGAGCAGCGGTTGTCAATACACCCGGACCTTTCAAGCCCTCGTACCCAAACGAATCATCAGCCCGGTGTTCTGAAGATGCGGAGCAGGTTTACTCACCTTTCCGGTGCATAGTGCTTTCTTACCTACTGTCACATACCTGCACTGGTCGTTGATTTAGTAACTTAGAAGTTTATTGTCAATAAAAGCAATGGAGAGCTGCAAGGGTATCTATTTAGGAGCTATTTCCTCATGAATTGCTTCAATGTGAAGTTTGTCTCTTCTATCTAAGAAAAAACAAAATTAAAAATAAGAAAGGCACCCCCCGAGCCCAATGTCCTTTGACTACCAAATCCTGTAGCTTCTGAGTCAACAACTCCGGGTGTTTCCCCGAGGGTTGGATGGCAATCATATACCGCGCTTCACCGAAATATTGAGATCTTCTAGATTACCACTGATCTGATCCATGACGGCCTCAAAATCCCGCTGAATTCGATCTGCTGTTTCCACGTCGCCCGTTTTGCGAAGATAGGTCTCTAGAGTCAACAGAGAAGAGACCATCTTAGTGTCGTTTGGACCGAACGTATCTCTGATGCAGCGAATCTGTCTGCTCAATGCCAGAAGGATTTCCTCGTGGTTGCCCTCGATCAAAGCTATCTCAGAGAGATTAATGAGCGCGATTGATCTCAGAAGTCGAACCGAGTGTTCATCTGCTTGCTCCGCTGCCACCGCAACCTCCGTGTACAGTTCACGTGCCTCGGAGTACCTCGCTTGATGGAATAAGATCCAAGCCAATGCTCTCTTCATCCCTAGGACAGCAGGCCCCGCAGTCTTGGCTGAAGACTCCTCCTCAAGTTTGTTCAGATATTGACGCAAGGTCTCCTCAGCTACTGTCCACTCCATCTTCTTTACGACAGCAAGTTTGGTGGTGATGAATTGCACCACATACGCCATTGCAAGGCTATAGGCACCGAATTCGTGCTGGAGGGCCTCAATGTAACCTTCTAGCATCACACGGCTAAAGTCCAATATATGAGCAGGTCCCAAGTGCTGCATGCTGTCGGTCAGCGTTCGCAGAGGGTGCTGAGTCGGATAGAGGATTTTCGTCAAATCCCGAAGATAGGATGTGAAGGAAGTGGCGAGCTCTGGATGCCGTTCGGAATATAGCAGTGCCACCAAGTAGACGTAGATGAACAGGAGAGGCTGCTGTTGTACCAAGTGCCGACGGCAGTCGTTGAAGAGGTTGTGCAATACTCGAAAAGCCTCTTGCGTTTTACCTTCCAAAAGGAGGGTCGACGCCAAGACCCCCGGCTCCCAGATTGACGACTGCAACTCATTGGGCATTATTGTCCTGCTGGGGTCGAGGACCCACATCTTTGAGTCCCTTGCTCCAATAACGTAGTGTCGCATCGCGTATTTGCAACGCTCTATAACTCGCAAGTCATCAGGTGACCTAATGGACGTGAGTATTGAGCCAGGCACTTGAAAATCCGCCAGCGCCGCCGCAACTTGACTCGCAGATGGGTCGCCAATACTCGCCAAGAGGCGGTATTTTTCCTCAGGTAGCTGGTTGAGGTAGGAATGAAGCCTTTTTTCCAGGCCTGCTCTGAAAATTTGAGCAGGTGCGCCTGGTTTACCAGAGCTGCTCGCGCCCTGGCGTACCATCTTGCTGACTCTATCCAGGTTGAAGTTCTTGTAGATCCCCCATTTGCTCAACCGCCACTTGTATTGCTTATTCCTGGAAGGACATGTTAGCGTTATGGAGATATTTGATGAGGTGAAGCAAGACGGAAGTTGAACCTGTCGATAAAACTTACGTTGCGTAAAAGTGGTGCTCACTTTCCATACACCGTTTGACTTCTTTCAAAGTCATTCCCTGTCGCCCGTATAGGTTTGTAATGGTCTCTCGATGGAGGTCCCAGTCGCTTTGCTGCGCCCATCGCGTGGGCTGAGCTGTGGATGGTGTTGCCATGGCTACATTGTCACTCTCAGGCCTCTCATCTCTGTGTGGTTTGCATTTAGAATAGCTGAAGAGGCGCAAAACATTGAAATTGAGACTACGATCTGCCCTTATTTCTGCTAGCCGATCCGCACGTGATCTAGTTATCTGCTGTGCCACCGGCATTCGTGATCCCTGTTTCTGTGGCCCACAGCCGCCCACTTGCAGCGGCGTGGGGCGACCCTAAGATACATGCGGTCAGCAAAGCGAGGTCTATTCAGACGAAGGACCTCAGTCATCTTCTTGTATCGGACTGGAAGGAACTATGCATGAAGATCTAGGAGCAGCGCGCGTTCTTGCGCAAGAATCTCACTTCGAGTTTGATTTCGATAGACACAACACATATTCGCTAGATTATACATATCTTGACGCCAAGCATACAGCCAGGCCAGACGTACAGCAGCAACTTGATCTCAAAGGCTGGCTTCATAGAGAACAAAAACTTGCGGAACATGCGACACTCGATGAATCGTCTCATATCAAATTAGCCGTTTTATGTCAAATTGGACGGGGGAGGCGCCTTCCTATCAGCGGCCTACTCACCGCCATTGGGGTACCATCCTATGCCCGAATTGAGGGGCACGATTTCTCGTTTCACAGCTTTCCACCTCGAGCAGAGGATGACTCCGTCCTACTTTGTGAGGCAACAGTATATACTGTAAGTCGCTGGGACTTTGGCGTTGCGTGGACGTATTACCACCAAAGCCATAGGAGTGTCGGTGTTGTCTGGGCCAAAAGTACAATAGGCCAGACCGAAGCAGCCAGTCTTCTCAAACAAATTCATCGAAGCGGAGATGTGTTGCCACACCCTTTGATGCTGCATGCCGTTGCATTACAAGCAATGGCTGTTTCTGTGAATAGTTGGATTCAGGGCCTGAAACAAGACGTCATTCAAGCGCAGTACAAATCTGGATACCACTATTTCCACCCTACGCCAATGCCTGCATCCGGGAATGGCGTCGACTTCGGCAGCCTCAGCTCGAGCCTGAGCGGCCAGGCGGCTAACTTGGTCACAGCTGGTCTCCAGTTACAAGGGCTACAGGGCCTGGCGGCGTTTATTCAGAAAGAGAAATTCGTTTCCAATACGGCTGCTGACTCAGAGGGACGCACCAGAGATGCAATGCTCCGGGCTGAGAGCCATATCAGACTAGAGGCCAAATATTGGGAAAAGGAGTGCGAGTTCCTCGAGCGCGCAGCACTCTCCTGGGAACGCAAAGCGTCTATTGTCGTTGCTGGCCTGTTCAACCTGATATCTCAGCGAGACCAGTCGACCAGCATTGAGATCGCAAAGTCCTCCCAGGATATCGCGACCGAAAGCAAAAGAGACAGCACGTCTATGAAGGCCATTGCTGCTGTCACCATGTGTTTTCTGCCGGGAACATTCGTCGCGGTAAGCAAGGCCTCCCCGGTTCCCAACTAAGCAGGCTGACCATAGTGGACTCGAACAGTCATTCTTCGCTATGCCGCTATTTGACTGGGATGCTGAGCAACAGGTGGTGACCGTACGGGGCTTTTGGCTCTATTGGGCCGTCACCGTGCCGTTGACCCTGGTTACATTAGCAGCTTGGTTCTTGTGGACCTGGTTGTCTGACGCAAAAGGAAGTATGGCTCGCCTTCCGAAGGCTTTCTCTTGATCAGTAGTCCGCCTGACTGCCAAGTTGGAACCCAACCAGGCCATGTGCATAATCCGCATTTTGACGACATCCTCGTGTATCGAGTATGCAATTCAGTAGAGAGTACCATGATTTCGTCGTATGATTCAACCTAGAGACCTGTCCTAGAGCCCGTCGTCGTCGTGATCGACGTGATCAAGCGGCTCGCTATACTATATATCCGCCCCCGGGCCGTGCATACAGAAGCGCCACACGGGAGATAGTCACGGTAGAAATCATGTATCACTCGAAATGAAGGTGTGAAATCGTGCGCCGTATATTCGTTCGGCTGAACGCCCAGGTCGATAAGCACTCCGGGCGATAAGACAGCCGTGGAGCAAGGCAAGGAGACCCTGGCCTCTCATCTGGGTCGCCCAGCGGCCGGCGGCTTACTAGCGCGTTGCAGGTCGCGCACAAACACACCGAACCCACGTGCAGCAGCTGCCAGCAACTGAGAGTTTCGCCATTCCTGACCGTCGGGACCCTCATGGCCGCCAGGGATCTTCAGACTTCAGGGGTTGCGCCGCCGTTCGTCGTAGGACTCGGTCACGACAAGACGGTGAATTGAACAGCTTTCCTTCTCCTCCCTCCCCGAGGTGCTGATAGCCTGCCTGCTCTACATTGCCCGAGCCTGGCACGTCTTTTGCTGTCCGCCCAAGCGCACGTTGGAGTGAGCGCCTTGGTCGTTTTCCCTTTGAAACAACCAGCCTCGACCGTTAACTTACCGACCAGGAGACCAAGCTTCGACCTTCCAACGGCCCGCAATTCAATCCCCCCCTCCTCCTCGACTGCCTTCCCCCTTACACCAGCCGAGTTCGACGCACCTGGGCATCGAACTCAACCTACGCCGGTCTTGGATCCGACAAGCTGCTTGACCAAAGTTCACCGAACAGTCTGCGCCGAGGACGGCTCACCGCGTACAGCCTTCGTTCTTGCCCCTCGACGGAGCATCATTCGGTCGCGTCTTTACCCCTCTGCTGAACGGCCGCCGACTCTATACAGCTCGCGGTCTGCACAGCCGGCCAGACCTAGGCAACGCGACCACCATCCTAGGCCCCTACTCATCGGCCGATATGGATCCCAACAACCCCAACAACCGTCTGCACCTGAACTTTGGTAACAACAACGAGCGCCTTGCAGCCTCCGACCGCACGTACCCGACCACGCCATCGACTTTCCCGCAACCCGTCTTCCAGAACCAGCAGCCCGGCATGCCTCAGCAGCCCCAGGGTGCTGCCCAGCAGCAGTACGCCGGCGGCTATGCTCCCGCGCCGAACTACTTCATGCAGCAGAACCAGTACCAGGGCTACCAGGCCCAGGGCAATAACGCCGACTACAATGCTGCGTACGCCCAGGGCGGTTATGCCCCCCGATCCAACACTCCGGGCACTAATGATCCCAATGTTGGCTTGGCTCACCAGTTCTCCCACCAGAACCTGGGCGGTGCTGCACGCGCCTCTCCCTATGGCGCTCGAGGGGCCTCTCCCGCTCAGCGACCCCGAACTGCCGGCTCAAACCCCCAGCAGCAGCGAGACGCATACAACAGCTACCAGAACCACCCTATGCCCGCGCAGGCCGCCCGACCCGAGCAAGTCTTCCAGACTGCCCCTGAGCGTAACCCGGAGAAATATGGCACCAACTCCAACAACAACCAGAAGAAGTGCTCCCAGTTGGCCGCCGACTTTTTCAAAGATAGCGTCAAGCGTGCTCGCGAGCGCAATCTGCGACAGAGTGAGATGGAGCAGAAGCTGGGCGACCCCAACCAGTCGGCCTCCAGACGCGAGCAGATCTGGCAGAACGGCGGTAAGAAGGAGGGACGATACCTGCGATTCCTGCGCACCAAGGATAAGCCCGAGAACTACAGCACCATCAAGATCATTGGAAAGGGTGCTTTCGGTGAAGTGAAGCTGGTGCAAAAGAAGGCCGACGGACAGGTCTACGCCATGAAATCCCTGATTAAGACGGAGATGTTTAAGAAGGACCAGCTTGCTCACGTCCGCGCCGAGCGTGATATCCTTGCCGAGTCCGACAGTCCTTGGGTTGTCAAGTTGTTCACAACCTTCCAGGACGCAAACTTCCTGTACATGCTTATGGAGTTCTTGCCCGGCGGTGATTTGATGACGATGCTCATCAAGTACGAGATCTTCTCTGAGGACATAACGCGCTTCTATATAGCGGAGATTGTACTTGCAATCGAGGCCGTGCACAAGCTCGGCTTCATTCACCGGTATGTGTATCACTAATCTTGTACGGATGCACATCTGGCTGACACCCCGACCAGTGATATCAAGCCTGACAATATTCTTCTGGACCGAGGCGGCCATGTCAAGCTCACGGATTTCGGCTTGTCCACCGGTTTCCACAAGCTGCACGACAACAATTATTACCAGCAGCTCCTGCAGGGCAAATCTAACCGACCGAGAGACAGAAACTCTGTCGCCATCGATCAGATCAACCTTACTGTCTCTAACAGAGCCCAGATCAATGACTGGCGACGATCCCGCAGACTTATGGCCTACTCGACCGTAGGAACCCCTGATTATATCGCTCCCGAGATCTTCACCGGCCAAGGTTATTCGTTTGACTGTGATTGGTGGTCGCTCGGGACCATCATGTTCGAGTGCTTGGTCGGCTGGCCGCCGTTCTGCGCCGAGGATAGCCACGACACGTACCGCAAGATCGTCAACTGGAGACAATCGTTGTATTTCCCGGATGACATTACTCTGGGTCGCGAGGCTGAGGACCTCATTCGCAAGTAGGTAGCACCTGTTGTTGGCGCCCACCAAACCCCCGGCTAATACCATGGATAGTCTTATCTGCAACACTGAGAATCGTCTTGGCCGAGGAGGCGCACAAGAGCTCAAGGCCCACACTTTCTTCCGAGGTGTTGAATTCGACAGCCTTAGACGCATCCGGGCGCCGTTTGAGCCACGCCTTACCTCTAGCATCGATACGACGTACTTCCCGACGGACGAGATCGACCAGACAGATAACGCAACTGTCCTGAAGGCCCAGGCTATTGCCAGTGGTAGACAGCCAGACGAGACCCCTGAGATGAGCTTACCGTTCATCGGCTACACGTTCAAGCGGTTCGATAACAACTTCCGATGAGCATGATCAACATCTGCAGTGTCATCTACATAGAACGACAAGCTGCACGCCATCTCTGTCTGGATACTGATGGGGCTCCTGTTGCACATGCTTTGGATTACGAATTTCTTGGGAGTACCGCCCAAAGACTTCGCCCGAACCATGCGAAAGACTTTCTGGTTTATATGTTACTTGTCTTGCCTCGGTCCTGAACTCGGCTATCGGGGAACCCAGCTAGGAAGCCACAAGCCCCGACTAGATCATATGCATCAGTCCCGAGCACCCTAATACCATTAGTTCAAATCAAGACATCTGCCTTCCTGTCTCGGACCATGGCAGCATGATGCGTGGGGCACACCTAACTATGTAATGAAATGCAAGTCTTGCCGGGAGCCTTGGCTCATAAGGTTTCCATATCTGAACGGAATGATCCCGTGCCTGTTGCAATTGTCAGTGAGGATCTTGAAACGCAATAATCGCGGATCAGCGCGTCCGCAGACAAATTCAGAACTGCTGTTTCGTACATGGTGGGTAAAGGGATTATATGCTCACCACGCGCTGTTGCAATGTTTGCCTGTTGAGTGGTGATTTCACACCAGGCCAGATGTCGCGTTCGTTTGTGTCAAGGCCATGATCCCGTTGCAGAGTTGTATCTTTTTGTGGTGGACATTATTTCCGAACACGAATCCCTACACAGTACAGAGGTCAAGGCGCCACTCCCATCCCCTTACAAGTAGAGCTTTCCCCGGGAACTTGAGCTTACAATGGGCAATGCCGCTTGCAGTGACTGAAAGGTACGAATACTTGTACTTTACTGACAGTGATGGTGATACTGGCCTGCCGGTAGGCTTATCTTATCCGCAGTGCGGCCCCTGTAAACCGCCACTAACTTAGCGCTATCCCAGCCTTGCCCTTGTCTTTTGAGCCTCCAACTGGCTGTGCTCCAGCTGCAACACAGTTACATACTCGCGGCCTACCAACGCACGCTAAGTCCATCTCAACCACTTCGATCCAACGACACTATCGCATCCTCCCTCAGAACACACGCCCAATACGACGCGAGACGCGAAAACACGGCGCGACCGTTTGATACCTAGCGATGGACTACCAGAACCGCGCCGGCTCCAAGTTCGGTGGCGGCGGTGTCGCTTCGCAGAGCGCAACCAACGCCGACCGCCGAGAGCGCCTGCGCAAACTCGCCCTCGAGACCATTGACTTGGACAAGGACCCTTACTTCTTCAAGAACCACGTCGGATCCTTCGAGTGTCGCCTGTGCTTGACCGTTCACCAGAATGATGGCTCCTACCTCGCCCACACCCAGGGCAAGAAGCATCAGACCAACCTCGCCCGCCGCGCCGCCAAGGAGCAGAAGGAGGGCAAGGGCCAGATCGACCCCCAAACCGGCCTGCCCGTCGGCGTGGTCGGAGCGGGATTTGCCGCGCTAGGTCTGGGGGGCGTCCGCAAGAACGTCGTCAAGATTGGCCGTCCAGGCTACAAGATCACCAAGGTGCGCGATCCGGTGTCGCGCCAGCAGGGCTTGTTGTTCCAGCTGCAGTACCCGGAGATCACCAGCGACGTCGTCCCCAAGGTGCGCTTCATGAGCGCCTTCGAGCAGAGGGTTGAGGACCCCCCGGACAAGAACTTCCAATACATGCTCGTGGCCGCCGAGCCCTACGAGACGTGCGGCTTCAAGCTGCAGGCCAGAGAGATCGACAGGACCGGCGAGCGGTACTGGACCTGGTGGGACAAGGATCTCAAGGAGTTCTGGGTCCAGGTCATGTTCTTAACGGAGCGCGAGGAGCGCTATGTGGGTGTGCCTGGTTTGCCGGGCAGGAGGTGAGGGAAGTGAGGGGCAGCCGGATTACAACACTACAACGAGGAGTTATAAGCAGGCCGAGAGAGGCGTTTCGGATGCGGAGTCAAGGGAAAGGATCGGCAAGATAAATTGTAAGATACCTCGGCCTCAGCAACGTGCCGCTCCTCTAACGACCAGTTGCAGAGCTGCTTTGATGGAGGAATTGAATATACCCCATTTGTTTGACCGCCGTGGAGCCAGAAATCCGCAAGTTCCAGTGGCTTCAAGTGCGTCACTGGCTGTCCACTATACAGATAGCTTCTGGATTGTTGTGTCCAAGAGACCTCGTAGCGAGAAATAGACGCTGGAGTCAGAGCAAGAAAAGCTTATAACCTTTATATTAAATTAGGGGTTTGAATTGCAGATAAACTCACCATGCCTATTATGATACCCAAATGCCAGAACAAAGGTCTCGATAATGCCAGCATACCTTCTCTAATGCCCCAATTTTCAGATATATCTACAATGCCTCGCCCCCACGCTGGTGGCCATCTTTACCTATCTCTAACTCGTCAACACACACAAAGGGACCCCAATATACAAAGATATACCTCACAACCACTACACGATGAAGCTCGTGTGCTCCTCCGCTGCGATTGTTGGCTTTGCAGCCATGGCGCACCTGGTCTCCGCCATCCCCATGTCTACAGCAGACCCTTCCACGACGGCGGCCAACGTGGCATCGGCCACACAAGGAGTTGCCGATGAACAGCCCCTGGCAAACGCCTACTCGCACTTCGGAGATTTCTCTGCGCGATGTAACGCCTGCCTGAACAAGTGCCTTAGCAGCCGTGGCTATGATGCGAAGTGCGCGGATCAGTGCTTCAAGCAGAAAATTTGCTAGATCATGGCTTCCCAACACACATATCCACCCGTATGCTAGGAACACAGCAGCAAGGCACGCACCACACTGGCCGAAACGATTTTCTATGACAAGTTACTGGCGCCCGTGGCGAAGCTTGTGTCGACTTCAGGCTTATATGTGTGTGGGATCGATAAAGTCCTCATTTCACGCGAAGTATTTAGTCTAATGGCCCAGAGGCTCGATTGGAAGCTGTAGTCAAGTAGTTAGACTAGATGGAATAGCTAGGATAAAGTGGCATAGAAAGTGATCTGTCAAAATCTCAACAAAAGTATAACGCGAAAGCGGCTCTGCTCAAAGTGGTCGGTTGCTGATACTGTGATGAGCCAATGCTGCGGTTCCGTGCAAGACTCAAAGTTTGCAACACAAACAACAGAACCACCGCTTTCGTGGCCAGGTGCCCTCTGAGTCATCAGCATGAGCCTCCTTTGTGTGACTCTGAAAGAAGGGTGACGCTGCTGGCTTATGAAATTGTTGCTTTCGTAGCACATTTCGGTGAATACTTTTTGTCAGCAAGCATATTACCGCCTCAAGTGTTGTGGGTTGACCCAAGACACTAGCCATACACTCAGCTTCCGCGGTCGAACTCTATGCTCAAGCCTCGCTGCCTGGTGGCGGAGTGTGTCATTGAGCGCGACAGAGTTCTAGTAGAGTCATCTATCACGTGTTGACTACTTTGGCTCGAACCGTTTTATCTATCCTCCATTCATTCCCCTGTACGTTGGTCATCTATGCGAATTATGTTTCGTTATGCTTGGTGACCCTTGACCATGAGATGAAGACTCTCGCGCCTTAACCGATCAACTCAAATTGCATCGTGCGAATCTGCTGTCTATTCGGCACCGTCCGAAAAACTTGGGGGCGGTAAAGTTGGGTGGCGCAATCGAGTGCCCGTGAAACTGATCAAGAAACTCCAGGCTACACCTAGGCTAGCACGCTGCACATTGCGGCCGCAAAGTAAGCATCACGGGCTCGAGTTACCGTTCCACAGCGGCCATTGGTGTGACCACCGAGCCGCAGGATAACACACCATCTTACCTACATTCCATCCCTGGTACTAAGGGTGAGGCTCGGTTCGGTCACCAAATTTGGCCTTGAGAGAGCTCACAGCCTTCTCATACCGGGTTTTACGTTGGCTGCATTCCTAATTACATATTGTTCGTGTGCATGCGGGCTGCATGCAAGCCACCCCGTCTGCCATGTGAGCCAAGGATTCAACGGCGGGAGGCGGCCAATGGAAAGTCATACCGGCTTCAGATGTCAGCAAGACCAGGGGTCACCTGGCGTTCATTCTCCACGAACGGTGTGTAAGACAGACTGCCATTTCGGGCTATGCGCTCAGCTCAGCCGCGGGATTCGGCTCACTGGTCAGACGTGCATCTGCTATTTCGAGTACTAGGGTTCATGAATGGGAGTGATCACGGGACTGTTGTCAAGGGAAGCCTGTGTTCATATAAGTATCTACCAAATTTGTCCAATAACTGATCAAAAGGTTAGGCTTACCAAAACAAAAATAAAAAAAGTTTACTACACTCGCTCGACGATCAAAACTATAAGTCAACTTTGGTCAGTGAAACCGACACGAATAGGCAATACGAAAGTCGCACCACATTACACAGTACTAAGGCGACCAGATATAAGGCTGTTGCGATTGAAATCCAGCAAGATGTCAACAGCCCCCAAAGACGTCAACTCGCCTCTCCTTAGCCCATCAACGCGAACAGCTCATCCGCAAGTGAGCTTTTCGGCAAAACAAGCCGACTCGAAATCAACGCCTAGCACTAACGGTCCACGTCTCGGCACAGACATAAACTCGAGACCAATGGCGCCTACGAACGCAACCCCCATTGACCCCGTGCCACTCAAGGCGGACACCAACATGTCTTGGGGCGCGCCACTCGGCCTCAAAGTCCGTGGTGCGAACGATGAGAACTTGATCATATTCAGAAAGGCTGTGGGTATCAACTGGCACCCCAAGAACGTCGACAATGCAACCCTGGAGGAAGGGCGAAAATCGGCCACTGGTATATACAAGTCTGTCCTGGACGCGGAGCAAAAGAAGAACATCCAGCATGATACAGTCACTGTGCTTCTGTACTTTCTCTACTTCGCGCAAGTGGTTGTCGGTGCGGCGCTCACAGCCCTGGGTCCGAACGCATCCCAGTACGTGGTCCCGATCACCCTACTGGGTGCTGTCAACACCGTGATCGCGGGTGTGCTTGCCTTGATTAAGGGCTCGGGACAACCACAGAGACTGGGCAAGGATCAAGTGGGCTACCGGAAAGTGCAGGACTGGATCGAGGAGACGGAGGCGCTCCTAGCAGTCGGTGTCATCGGGAGAGACCGGCGGGAGGTCGGCCTCCTGGTCGAGGTGGCGTTCAAGAAGTACAACGCCGCCAAGGCCAGCGAGGAGAACAACCGCCCCGACATGTACGTGCACCAACCCATGGAGTCGCTCGGGAACCGGACGAGCTCCGATTCCTTCGAGCGCGGCAGCAAGTCCAAAAACACAACCGCTGAGACTGAGGAGGCGAACTAGGTTCCGTCGCGTACTCGCGTCTATTGTACGGATTCTTCGAAAGTATCTACTTTGGCGCAAGGATGGTAATCTATAGAGGAACAGATAGAATCTTCATAATTGTATAGTTGCTTAATCCAATAATCGAGACCTCATCTCACTGGTGCCAGTCGCCCACTACCCACTACCATGAAAAAAAAGTATCCCAACCGATCGGCGCCTCCGGTGTCCTCGTTGATTCCAACATGCCCGATTTCCGACGCCTTGTCCCAGAAACAGAGGCTTGAAGGAGCTTTTCCCGAGAATCAACCAATGGGAAGGGAATGTTATGATTACAGCCTCGTCGCAATCCGAGCATCCTACGTCAGCAATAGATTCCTTCCCCTGCAGAGTCATCCCAAGCCATGGTCAGCCTGCATCCAATCACACCTCAATCTCCGACGCCGATGCTCCAGCTGACACGACTTTTGTGTCGTGTAATTTCAACCACGTGCCACGGGTCATCTCGTTATGTCGATGCTTCAAACGAGTTATGCAGATCGGTTTCCTCGGACAACCTGCTCGTGGAACATAGTGCTTACTTCAAATATGGGTTGCCGAGTCCTGCAGGGCGAGAGGAGCGCTTTCAGGCAAACAAACAATCGTCTGAGTGGAGCGATACATACCGGCGGAAGGCTCTTATGCGCTTCGCAGGACCCAGTTTATCGATATTCGCTGAAAGAGCCAGTCTGCCACAATGCGCATGACTGTAGATTGGGTTTCGGACTCATTGTTGCCCCATGTTGTCGTCTCTACATGCTATAGTGCTGGTCTTACCATTGTATTCCTGTCACAAGGAACTGCAAGTTGTTTTGCGCTTGTTATGCTACCCTTCGAGCTTATACAGGGACGAGAATTCTTCTGGTTAAGTTTGAACAGCATGCCTTTTCTTTCCCTTTGCATAACTCTTTGTTTCTGTATTTTTTCCACTCTTAAAGATGTGACAGCTTACCATCAGGAGAGAGAAAGGTCCAAACAAGCAACCCGTACGTTATCTCACTGCAGGAATAGGGGAAGTGCAACAGATTCTTTGAAAGGTCGGTTGAGGAGATTTGCATGGCCATAAATATGTCCTCAACTTGAGCGTCGGTTCTTACATCTCTATAAGTCATCGCCACCAGGGAGTTGGTCTTGGTGTCACAACTTGTCCACGATCGATGGCATAAGTAGATGAGTACGGTGCCCACCATATAGTCTAAAGGGCCTTAGAGGTTACGATTGATATAGAAGTGCCCCGCGAGATTGTACGTCAGTATTAGAGTATATGCTGTAAAAGTTTAGGCCTCCTTCGGCAGTCTGAAGGATTTACGTTGAAACACCACAGAGCCTCGAAGTCATGAATACAGGACGAGCAGATGAGCCAGGCGGGCAATACCAACAAAGTCAAACACTGTCTATGTCAATATTCATGGCCTACACAAAACTGACCCAGACATCTGGGCTTCATCAGCGCTTAGTAATTTTGCCAAGTGCCATGCCCCTAATACTTCCTCGGTATGTGGGACGTGGCCCCGCTGTTGCGGGATGCTAAATGATAACTTCCACTGACGATTGCGGAGGGGTGGGCAATGTTTTGGAAGCAGTACACAAGAATGAATGCCGTCAGTATTTCATTCAGGCCTGCAAGAGCGCCTACTTTGTGAATCGTTGACTGCATACTGTCAGGTATTCAGACACTCGGTATTAGAAAGGATGCAGGGACCTCTACACCATGGTTTCGACCCCAACTTTCTCTCCAACTTCAACCCCCAAAATGCAAACTTGAACCCTATTTTGATGTATGTAGATCAATGCTGATCTATCCGCAACCTCCCATATTGGTGCTACTGTAGATGGGCTTTTTATGCGGAATATCACCGTCCTAACGTTGTGAAACAAAACAAGTTAGCCTCGCACTAGTAGAACCTTGGGTCACCTCACTACTACGTCCTCTCCGTCCAATCGCATGACGGGTCTGAAGATCCTTCCGTTTATGCACACTTGGCAAGTCTTGTCTTAAGACAACAGCCCTTGTACAATTGTTACCTCATAATATCGTCTCTAATAATGCCTAGCATCTCTAGCAATGAGCACTTGTGCTCGGATGTTGGGCACATGCCAACGGCTATGTCTTGCCACACCGTTGCTTTTCTTCCTGATGCAAGATCATCCACGTATGAATCACTTGCCGCGGCTGCAAGGGAGAAACAAGTTCAAGTACCTATATAGGTACTCAAGAGCTAGCATCAATTGTGACTAGGCGGGAGGTCAACCCACTCCAGTAATTCGGGGCAGGCTCACACCAACAACCCATGGACTTGCACCTGCCCGAATGGAATGTGACATCGTTGCTACAACCAAGGCTTCCACAATTCATACAAGGCACACAAGGAAACAGGATCTGGCCCGAGTAATTTTCACTATTTTACAGGGTACGACCCATGCTTGACACTGAAGTCTCAGTCACATCTATCTTGTTGCGAAGATAGAGCAATCATCAAATATCACCAACTACCTTCCAGTCAACATGCATCTCGCCATCATTTCAACAATTGCATCGGCCCTTGTGCCTCTTGGTATGTACCTGACATCTCCATAGATGCCCTCAGTGGCCACCACAAGTGCTAACGCTGTCTCTCTTAAGTATATGGCCAGCAAAACTCATCCTGCCCTGGGGTGCCTGGGTTTCGCTATGGTTTTGCGATTGATCCGCAGTTTCGGGCAGTCAAAGTTGCAGGCGGCCTCACCAGACCCCGCGGCATAGCGAGAGATCGGGCAGGCCGTTTGCTCATAGTAGAGTCTGGAAAGGGGATCACGCAGCATGCAGTGGGCACTGATGGCTGCATCATAGGAAGCGTCGTCTTGCTGGGACTTGCCAGTTTGAACCACGGCATCTACCTAAGCCCTGATGAGTCGAAGCTTTACGCCAGTACTGGAACCGAGGTTTACAGCTGGTCTTATGACTCCACCACTGGAGCTGTCGGCAATGACCAGACTACTCTTGTCAAAGGCATGCGCAATTCAGGCCACACCACCAGGACTTTGGCGATTCCGCCCAGTCATCCAAATCTCCTTGTCGTTTCTCATGGCTCGGATGGGAACATGGACTATCCAACCGTTAGCCCAAGCGCGGCCAGAGCAATTGTCAAGGTCTTCGACCTCAACTCAACTCCAGCAGGGGGATTCGATTATGTGACTCAGGGTTGGAATGCAGGCTATGGCTTGAGAAATGAGGTTGGTCTTGCATTCGACGCCAACGAAATGTAAGTTCGATTCGAAGTGAATAGAGGAACCCACGTTAAAATGGTCACAGGCTATGGGGTGTGGAGAATAGCGGCGACGACTTCGTGCGGACGGTTGATGGCGTGTCTACCGATATCCACACCGACAACCCAGCGGACGAACTTAACTATCTCGGAGATGTGAGCAAGCCGAACGATCAGTGGTATGGGTATCCAACATGCTACACAGTCGGTGGTCCAAGTGAAATCAAGGATGCAACCTTTGCCCTTGGTGATCAGTTCGTCCTCGCTCCTAACAGCACTTTCAACGACACCACTTGCATCCAGGCATCCGTGCCACCCCGATTGACTCTGCCGGCACACTCTGCACCACTTGATGCGAAGTTCGACAGTGTTTTCCAGAATCTTTTCGTAACGCTTCACGGAAGCTGGAATAGACAGCCGCCCTCAGGCTACCGCGTCGTGCGAGTCCCTTTCACCAAGGCTAATGACGGATCGTTCGCCCCTGTTGCAGCCAGCAATCAAGTCGGATTCACGGACGTCTTTTACCCGTTGGACACGACGCAGTGCAGTGCTCAAACATGTACCCGCCCAGTTGCAATGGTATTCGATGCAGCCGGTCGGCTCTACGTGACGAGCGACACGTCTGGGGAGCTCTTTCTAATCGAGGGCGCGTGAGTGATGGACATCAGCTGGAATATCTTGGAAGATCCAGGAAGCTTTGGCCTATTCTGCGCCATCAGAGTGTAATGGGGACCAAAGCGTTTGTAGTTTAATACAGTTTCATTTCTTTGCCAAACGATTGTCGCGAATAATATCACTTTATTCTTTAACAGCACGATCAAACTATTGAAATCGAATAGGGTGAATGCAGTGATACGGATGCAGCCCATTGCTAACTGCCGATCTCCGTCACAGGGGTCCTGGTGAATTGTTGGAGTAGACCGGGGTTGTCTGCCAGGGGTGACCAGAGCTTCACCCTAAAAGGAGGAAAATTGGGCACTTCATATCTCCGATACAGACCATATCAATGCTTTCGGACTCTCTCATACCCACAATCGGCTCGGTTACAGACTCTCCGCCGGTTGCCGTAACATCGCTAATGACGAGGTTAGTTATGTGTTGTATTGATGCGACACACTGACCTGGGCTGCGGGTCGATAACTCCTGGTTGTAATTGATCGATAACATTGTGAGAGTCACATATAAAGTAGATGTCCGCCCAGATTGATGTGATTGAGACTCGCGCGTGAAGTCTCTCGAGCGCTACATCCCAACACCACGAACAAGTCAAGATGATGATTGTCACGCTTCTCCTCTCCTTCCTGGCCTTCAGTGGTCAAGCCTCAGCGGCAACATGGTATTTCCTCCGCTATTATACGCCGTCCGGCGCCAAATTCACTTCTTTTTCCGGAGAGATGGTCATTCCGGCACTACCCAAGGCTGGGACATACTATCTGTGGCCAGGGCTACAGCCGACTGATAACAGTGGCGTATACCAGAATGTCTTGGATGGAAGGAGTGGGACGTGGTTAGTATTGAAAGATCATGTCCTTGAACCTTCTAAACAATTGACCTTATTTCAGGTGGATCGGATCTGGATGGTGTTGTAGCAATCCGAGCCTGCCCTGGGGCGGTGGTTTCAACACATACGCTGGAGACACCGTCACCTTTAGCAATACACTTAAGAGTGACAACTCTGGCTGGACTTCTACCATAAGCAAGTCCGGTTCTACTGCCACTGACACCTTCGCCCTTGGTAAGTGAGCCCTGCGCGAGTTGATCCTGATAGAGCGCTGACAGATCTTGTACTCTAGCAAGCAAATCATTCAACCAGGTTCTCTTTGCTATCGAGCTGTAAGTCGTTAGAAGTTGCAAACTGGAATGGAAAATTAACCTTTCACCTAGCACTGGAGTAAGTTGGGACTTTGGACAATTGGCTTTCAAGAACGTCAGGATTGTATGTCACACCTTGCCAACTGTGCATGAGCACGTGTACTGACTGACTCCTCAGACAAGCACTGGTACTGATTCAAGTTGGTGCAACTCGTCACCTGAAAACTACAACGGCGCCACAACGTACTCAATCAGCGGTGTCAAAGCTAGCGTCAGCGGAAACACTGTGACTTGCACCATCAGCTCTGTCATTCTGCAGAAGCCTAAATGAGAGTAACATGATAGATCTGTATCGCATTTACGGTTACCTTGGTCCCCTTGGGATCCGATTTCCATTCTACTTCATACCCCATGAAGTTGGAGTCGTACTCATCTCGAACTCAATAGTGCCTGCTTCTACAATGTCCCTGTGCCTGAGAATTGGACGATCAATAGATCGACCATTGACCGTGAGATTCTTGATGTATGGCTTGGTAGGTGCCCCTCGAGCAATGATGACCAGAGTCCTCTCTTCTGCTCCATCCGCGTTGGTCTCTCCCCCGGACACTGCTCCGATGGGAATGCGTATGGTGACTCTCTCAAAGAATGGAGAGCCAACAACGTATTCATCGCTCGAGGGATTGACTGGGTAAAAGCCCAAGGAAGAGAAGACGTACCACGCACTCATCTGCCCCAAGTCCTCATTGCCACTGAGCCCCGAACTTGTAGTGTTGTAATTCTCCCAAGCGATGCTCCTAACCTGGTCAGCCGTCCGATGTGGATACCCTAGTATTGAGTACAGATATGGCACATGGTGCGATGGTTCATTGCTGTGCATGTTGTGGTCGCCATCAAAGTGCTCGTTCAACTTATTGAGGAGTCCGTCACGGCCATCGTGGAAAAGAGATGCCAGGCCGTCAACATCGTGCATCACATCAAAGGTGTAAACCCATTTGTCGCCCTCCGTCCAACCCCAAGTATCATTAGCCCACGTTCCATTCGCATTACGGGCTTGCATAAACTCTGTCTCATTATTCCAGATCATCGCATAGTTCTTCGATCTTTTATCGAGTGATGCAGCTGCTGACGTGTTGCCGGCAGCGCGTGCAACGACAGCACATGACGCATCGTCAAAAGCGTAGTCCAATGTGCGCGAAGCAGATTCTGACCAGCCATCATTGGCCACCCACCCTCGGCTCAGGTAGCTAGTCAAACCGGCGCGGGCTTCATAAGGGGTGTCAGGCTGCCTGTCATAATACAGCAGACCCGTGTCATTGTCCGGAGGTGTATATGCATCTTTATGTATAGCCTCCCAAGCCTTTTGTAAATCAAAGCTTCGAAAGCCCCTAGTTATCGCGTTGGCCAGCAGGGCGTCCGCGTTTGTGCCTATCATGATGTTTGTCTCGACCATGTTCGCCCACATTGGAAGTCTTCCAGTCCAGTCAAAGATCTTAAGCAGTGTCCGCATCATATTATTGACTTTCTCGGGGGCAAATATTGTCAAGAGTGAGTGCTCGGCACGATAGGTGTCCCATATTGACCACGATTGGAAGTATGATTCGTTACTCGCGTGAATTCTGTCCGTATATCCGTTATAGAAAGTCCTGACACATTTCGGGCCATTCGTTGTCGGCTCAGAATAATCATTGGGGTATTGAAGGGTGTGGTATAAGCTGGTGTAAAAAATTATGCGTGGATCGTGGTCCTCACCCGTGGTGTTCACTCCCTCAATGGCGACCCTCCCTAGTTTCTCCAACCAGGCAGTTTTACTGTCATGTACGGTATCTTTCAGTGCGGTACCATCTGGTATTTCAATGTCGATGTTCTTCCTCGCCTGTTCAATGCTGACGAAAGAAACACCAGTGCGCACTTCAACTCTTGTCGTATTTGCCCTGAACTTAACATAGGCCCCCAAAGCTTCTCCCGCAGCCTCAATGGCACCTTGGGAGAGACTTGAGCTCTCAGAAATTCCGTGTTCTACAAATGGCTGCGAAAAGCGAGAAACGAAATAACCTCTGAATGAGTCTGGTCTGTCTGGACCGAGTCGATAATCCTGTCGCTGAGGATTGGAGCCCGAAATCTCCCACTTCAACGCATCAATACGTACTTGGCCTGTCCAGTTCTTTCGGGATGCTTGAAGAAAAATGTATGGCTCCAGTGCCGTATTACCTGCGCCATTGGTATCTTCGAAATCAAGCCGAAGATGGCCAACATGCCCAGTGGCACTCAATGCAGCTCGAATCAAGCGATCATATGGGGTATTACTAGGCTCCGATCTCTTGAATCTGCCATTCGCACCCGCAACGACGTTATCAGAGGCGGGACCTGTACCTCCTGGGACGGGACCCTCCCCGGCGGCCTCTTCTGTCAGATTCCAACCATTTTCACCAGTAGTATCTGCGTTCAACAACACTTCATAGACATATGGTGTACTGATCTCGTCTGTCTTGCGAAACGCTAGTCCACGCTTCTTGAACAGGGGCTGGACTTCGGCACCCCATCCTGGGGTAAGCACGACTTGCCCCAGCTCCCCCATCCAGATAGCTGGTTGGTGAGTTGCCTGGAACCCATGAATGAGTTCATCATTATCGTGATATGGACACTGAGATATAAAGTTCTCACGTGTTTGCGGGGTCCATCTCGTCATGCCGAAAGGGATTGACACAGATGGGATCATGCCTCCATTGTCATTTGGGCTAGGCCCGCTGGTCCCAACGCGGGGATTGACGTACTGAAGTACACCGGAATTCTCGTGGTATGTTGCTCCCTCATTCTGCCTTGACACTGTCGGCATACTGAGGGCGTGGCACGCGCCGAGACAGAGCCAGGTGGCTGGAGATAGTTGCCGCATTGAGGCGATTATAGAACAAAATGGTAGACGGGAAATATCTAGTCACTTCGAATGAGAAATTAATATTCAACTTATTTTCAGTTTCAAGACAATCATCTGAAAAAGTCGATCCGTGCTCCTCGTTACAACATGGGAGGGGTGCATATTGATGACAGGAGGACCCACACTACACCAACTAAGGCGAGGCGATGACCGGACGGCCGATCGCTTAACTGTGCGGAGAAGGATCTAGTTCCTGATGCCTCTTCCTATGGACTAGAAAGTACACAATTGTAAGATTCGTACGTTACTGTGCTTCACGGATTGTTGAAGGAGTAATGGTGGGATAGAATGGATTGCCATACCTAGCTAGGTAGACGAACCAGTCAAACGGGCCTAATCATTGGAAAATGGTATTTTCAGACTATTCAACACCAACAGTATCAAGCTTCAGTCCTATCAATATCACGGCGTTTTAATGTCGAGCGATCTGAAACAAGAAGCGGAGTGTACTCACGGAACTGAGCATGACAAAGCTGGAAGCCACCACTTCAACCTAGCCAATCTTGAGCTGTTCATTGCTTCTCGTGTTCCATAAGAAGCCCTAACGAGACTCGCGGAAGCTCGGTCGCCCATCTATATTGTAGGTTCCTCATCGACTAGGTACTCTAGGATATAATAGAGCATGATACAACAGCGACTGAACTATGTTCAGGCTGCTATGACTGGCAGGTAGATGATACCGGAGTATAGTACAACTTATATCGATAGTAGCGAGATATTATTACTATATGTGGGATACTAAGCACTATCGAGTTAAATAGAAGAGACTGTTTCGAGTCCGAACGACACAAGGCTTGTGGAGTGGTTGCAATGCTGTTTTTGCTACGTTTTATGATCTTGGGACTCTGTCCCTATCAAAATGGTGCTTTAACTTTACTGGAGATCAGATGAGGTACCCCAAAAGATTCCTTATACAGTCTCTACCTTGTCCCTTACGTTAACAATGGGGCAAAGTTCTGTCTGTCTTTAAATACTACCTAACTCACCATGCCGTTACAGCCCTAAATTGTAGAGTGCACTCGATAAACCCCGTTACTCTATTAAACTCACCCTTCAGTACTTAGGTCTAATTGATCACGAGCAACTAACATGGAGTCGTCATCCAAATTGCTTTTAAAGGCTTGTCTGACGCCTATATAAGTAGCCTGCGTGCGACGCCTGAAGCATAACTTGCTTCTCACAGAACCTGTATGCAGATTTAAACGCGCTCAATGATGAATTGAGCTTAAGCCACCCCGTATTGGTGTCTGGAGATGGCCGCGGAGGATCTTGTAATTGTCAATAGTAATTACAGTTGGCCGATGCGAATCTTCGTTGTAGGTGATAGCGAAGACAATTACATGATTGGAGCATACGTAAGCCCTAGTACTAACCTTGATTTTTTTTATCGTGTTTCTATTTAAGTGTATACTTGGGTAGTCTCATCCTTTTATGTACGGAGGAGGATGACTTGAATTGCTAATCGATAGATTAGTTCGTGAGTTTGTGATGGTATACCTGTGGTAAGAGGTGAGACCGGACTTTTCGGGGCTACCCTTTCGTTGATCCCAGGTCAGCGTCCGTGTCCCCAGGGCCGAATTTTTAAGCCCCTTCTATTTGATAACAACTATGTTCTACAGAGCAGGTTCTTTTACTTGGCTAGCTGCAGATGAAAGCAGTACATATGTAAGTATTGTATGTATCACTGGGCGAATATGGGAGGTTCTGCCCAGTCAAAGCTCTGATTGGCTGACCTTGTGCACCATCCTTGTCAAATATGGCTCCGCTCTCATCCGTGGAGCCTGCATCTTAAACACCCTCGGAGCTCTTGGGCTATGGACTTGCAGTAGGCTCAACCGTATGTCGAAAAGACGGGGGAGAGCATTGATGATGCATGTGAAGAAAGTAGAGTTCACGTGCCGCGGTGTCAAAAATGTAAGTTCCATTCACAAGTCGATGAATTCATTCCTGCAGAGAAACTCACACACTGGACAACCACGGCGGCAACTTGCAAGGCGCACCGCCCCAAATTTGTGGAGTTGGGAGGAGACGCCGATCGCTAAGAGGAGCGAGCGACAAGTGTTCTCTCAGTTATGAACCTGGCCAAGCGCCGTTTTCGCCATCGCAGTCGTAATCGGCTTCTACAACTCTTGAAACACTCCACCGCGACGACACGAGGCTGGCCTTTCGAGTCGCCGTTTTCATTGCAGCGCAGCCCCGGATCGTTCATCCCGGATTCCTCGATCCTCTCGCCATTCTGGTACCCGTTGTGAAGGGAGCCGAATTGCGATAGACACTTCAGCCAGGCCACTCCGTCGTTGCACCAACGTCATCGACCAGCATTCTGGATAGTTCGGCGACGAGCAGCCTCCGTCACGAGCGCTTATCACTCTGGCTACGTCAAGGACCCCTAGAACCTTCACCCTAATCATTTGAAAGACGCCCGTCCAACAGTGACTTCCACAATGTCTTGGGAACTCACTCGTCGCCGAATCGCCCGTGCGGCCAACAGCAAGTTCATCTTTGATCGTGTGGTACGTCGCTCCGCCGTCCCCCCCAAGGCAGCATTAGCGACGATCGGCTTCATTCCTATCGTCGCATAACTCACCTGTGCCTTTAACCGACAAGCTGACATTGCGTGCCACTACGTCTAGCCGTTACTCCATGCCATCATATTTTTCATCGAGATGACCATCGTCGCGAGGCTGGTCACGAGGTTCAATGCCTACTACGATGAACGACCTCGTATGCTCCCTCCGCCCTCAGACCACGTCTCAGTACCGATGATTTGAAGTCTAAACCATGCTGATTCTTGACCGTTACAGTCCTCACCATGATGGTGACCAACGCCGTCCTCGGAGGTATTGCCGACACGGTCGCCCAGACCATTACCTCAGTCCGTCTCAGGGCGCTGCGCAAACCCGGCGGCATCACCAAGGACGATCCGATCGCCATCGAAATCCACGACCTGGACCGAAAGAACCCCCTGTACGACCGCGACTTGATCCCGGACTCCAAGGCACTGCCGCCGCCGTTCGACTTTGAGCGGCTCACCCGCTTTATGGCTTACGGTTTCGCCATGGCGCCCCTCCAGTTCAAGTGGTTCTCCTTCCTCTCGCGGGCGTTCCCGATCACCAAGACGAGCGCTTTCGGCCCGGCAATGAAGAGAGTGGCATTTGACCAGCTGGTGTTTGCACCATTTGGTATCGCCTGTTTCTTCACTGTCATGACGGTCGCTGAGGGCGGCGGACGACGGGCGGTCACGCACAAGCTGAGGGACATGTACATCCCTACTTTGAAGGCCAACTTTATGGTCTGGCCTGCGGTGCAGATCATCAACTTCAGGCTCATGCCCGTGCAATTTCAACTGGTGAGCACCCCAAGAACTCTGAGGCGATGCGAGCACCTGCGTCTAACACGGTCGTCTAGCCCTTTGTTTCTACTATTGGTATTGCCTGGACGGCATACTTGTCCCTGACCAACGCGTCGGAGGAGACACCGCCGGCCAACGAGGCGCTCCGATCGCCCAACATCCGACTTCCCTAAGCGACAAGCAACTTGAGGGTATAGAAAGTGCGTCATTTGGATTCGTATTCTCTCCTTGTTTGTTTCGATTATTAGACAGACATGGAAGGGGCGTTGCCGGCTTCCGCTCCTTTCACTCTGCTCCCCATGGGTCGCTTCAGCAAAATACTCACGAACGGCATGGAGTTGTGGATTTGCAATTCCCGGATGGCGGCAGGTCGGCGTTCCTCTCGTTTTTCTACGTGTACCTTAAGATGGATATCCGAAGAAGCATACCTAGCACTCGCTTGTTCCGCGCTTCGTGAGTGATGCAAGTCTCGCCATGTACCCCGTGTGGACGTCGAAATGCTGCAACAATGTGGGCATAGGGAAGGCTGCCGCAAAAAGACGCCACGCGTAAGTAACTAGTTACCGTTCCCATCACCGTGGAATGCAGGATGCCTAGAATCTCCGACGACCTCAGCGAGTTGCCGAACTCTGCCGCGGACATTGGCAGCTCGCCAGCGGTGCGGGCGGCCATGACGAAAATCAATAGGAAGCGGGGCCCTGAGTAGAGCCGGGCGGTAACGTCACCGTCCACTGGGCCAGCTACACTCTGCCACCCCGCGGCGCGCGCCGAGAGCAGCTGCTACAGTGGGCTGACGCTGCTACAGTGGAGCTTTGGATAGCTCCTCCAGCAGCTGGCCGGGCGCCGCCGCCACAGCTGTTGCTGGGCTGCTGGGCTGCTGGCAGAGAGGCCCGGCGGGCAGGCTCAACCCTTTTCACCCCACCATGCGGCCTGCCCCTCCTTCAGACGCAGCTCCAAGTCTCGACCCAATCTAGTCGAACAGCACGACTGCACTGCGTTGTTTTCCCTGAAACCAACCCAACCAAACCCAAATACCTCACTCTTCCTCCCAATCGCCATTCTCGCCAGCAAGAACCTAGTGAGGATCCTCTCCCGTCAGCTCCAATCTGCAGTCTTCTTACACACACGAGCCGTCAACATGTCTCTGTCTAGCAAGCTGTCCATCACCGATGTCGACTTGAAGGGCAAGCGGGTGCTCATCCGCGTAAGTCAATATTGACTTGACCCCATTGCCAGTTGCTCCGTCAGAACTTCACCCTCCCCC